TTTATAAAATATTTATTAATCGCGATCTAATTCTTTTTATATAATCTAATTAGCTATTTTTATATTAGCTTTTTCGCTATTTTTATTAGTTTATTCTAAATTAAACTAAGATTTACTAATATATAAATCGCTAATATTTAATAATTTAGCTATAATAATACTTTATTTTAGCTATATTTTAATAATAATTTTATTATATAATAGTCTAAATAGATCTTCCGCTAAGATATCTTCTAGTTTTAGATCTACTTTTTAAGATAAGATATCTATAAGATTTATTTTCCTTAGTCTATATTTAATAAAAAAGTTATATAGAGATAGGAATATATATTATTTTACTTATCTTTTATTTACTTTTAGCTATTTTATAAAAGTTTATAAATTTATATAGTTAGATAGAACTTCTATAGATTAGATACTTTCTTCTAAATAGTAATACTAATATTTAAATAAATAAATAATAACGAATAGTTCTTAATCTAAGATAGAATAATTAAGTTTAATTTTACTAAATTTTCTAGACTAAAAGACTATAAGATACTATTTCCTATTTTTATTCTTCTAGAATATAATCTCTTTTATACCTTTATTAGAAGTATTAGGTTCTAATTATATATCTCTTTCTAGGTTAAAATAATATAATAATATTAGTAATTAAAATACTATAATTAAATAACGAAATATAAGTCTTTTATAGATATTAAATTAGATCTATTTAGGTTTTTTCCTATTTTTTAATCTTTTTAGTAGAGAAGTTAATAAGAGTATAATTTATAAGAACTATAATATAAATTATTAGTAGAAATTATAAAATCTAATAAATACTTAGATATTATAGTAACTTTTAGGGAGTTCTTAGTTCCTAATAGATTCTATTCTTTAGAGGTCTATAAAGACACTCTTTAAGTCTATTATAAATCCTAGGAATTCTATCTTTTCCTAATAAAATATATACTTTAAAGCCTTTATATATAAACTAGTCTTTTTAAGATTCTTAAGGACTTTTTAGAGGTAATTTATATAAGATTCTTTTATTAGAGAAAATATTAGTATATTATTAAAATATATTATATAAATTATATTAAGATAATCTTATAATATATTATAGATATAACTTTAGAATATAGTAAAAGTATTAGTTAGTCTAAATAGTATAACTATATACTTATAGTATCTATATTAAATATAAAATATAATTTTTTATTTATCTCTTTTTTTAATCTAAATTTAGTAATATATATTTTAGATATTAACTTTACTAAATTATTTAGCTCCCGCTAGTTAGTTTAAAATTTCTAAGATAAATAATAATAGATATTAGTTTTTAACTAAGATTTTATTTAGTTTTTAGTAGTCTATATAAAGATATAATCCGCTATTTTTTTTTAGAATAAAGAGAATTAGTACTCTTATAAAACTTTTAGATAGTTAGATTTATCTATTTTCTAGATTTTTATTAATATATTCCTAAAGTTTTTATAGTTCTTTTTAAGATAAAGAATAGATTAGTCTATAAGAGAGAGTTTCTTCTATTAATATATTAATAGTATAGTCTATAGCTTTATTTAAAGGAAGGGTTTATACGTTTTTTATAGAGAAAATATTATTAAATCCTTATAGTTCTAAAGATAAATTAGAAGATTCTTTTATATTCTTATATTTTTTATATAAGAGCTATACTTTTTTAGGTATTTTTACTATACTATAGATATATATATAGTTCCTATAGTCTTTTATAAACTAGTATAAGATTATAACTTTATAGTTTAAGGTATTAAATTACTATTTTTAGTTTAGTAGAGAGAGATTAATTTTTTAGTTAACTAAGGTTATTATTAATAATAGTACTAAACTACCTAAAATCTTTAGATCTTTATTAATAATAATATAGGGTTATATAAACGTTTTAATAATTCCTCTACTATCTATAATAGTTATAAAGACATTCTATACCCTATATATAGCTACTTCTTTACGTTCTACTATTTTAATAATAAAAGATATAAGTTTCGCTTTTTAAAGTTTTTAAATTTTTATAAACTCGTAACTAATAAGATTAACTTTTATATAACTATCTAGATCTATATAGGTTTTAATTTTTCTTACTAAGATTAGGGTATAAAAACGTATTATTATTCCGATCTAGGGGGTTAAAGTAGAGGAATCTACTCCGATCCGCTTTTATTTCCCTATTATTTTAGGGGATTAATAATAAAATATCCCTCCCCTACTAATTAAATATCCCTTTAGCTAATTAAATATCCCCTATCTAATTTCTACCTAATTACTACCTAAAGATACCTAAAGATACCTAATAAAATAACCCCCCTAAATATATAAGAATGTCTATAACCGCTTCCTTTACCGCTATTTTTACCGCCTTCCTCTTAAAATCACTAAGACCCACTAAAATAGGCGGTACCTCTATTTACTATATATACTACTATTAAAATATATAGAAATTAAACTAGTAGAAAGAAAGTTATATAATATTTAAGGGAGGTTATTTTATTAGGCGTCTTTAGATAGAAAAGGTTATATAATATTAGGGGGATATTATCTTATTAGGTATCTTTAGATATCTTTAGGTAATAATTAGGTAGATATTAGGTAGAGGGATATTTAATTAGCGAAAGAGATATTTAATTAGTAGGGGAGGGATATTTTATTATTAATCCCCTTATTTTAATAAGGATCCTTTTACTTTTACTAGTTATACTTTTATCTTCTTTATTAGGGAATCGTTAGGATATTTATTTAAAAAGTAATCTTTATTTTAATAGGTATAATAGATAAGTTTCTTCTCTATCTTTTTATTAATAGGGCTTTCTCGCTTTTTCGACTTTAAGTCCTTTAAATTTCTTTTTTTAGATAAGTTTTTATTTTTATAATATTTTTCGAATTTTCTCTTTTTCTTCTTTATATCTAGATCTCTCTACCCTAATTTAGTCACTTTTCGTTTAGGTTTTATCTTTTAGTTTTAAAGCTCCTAGAATTTTAATATAATAGAAACTATCTCTCCTTAAGTTTTTAGAAGGGTTAGGTTATATTTATAGATATAGGTTTAAAGTCTATAATTAAATTTTAAAAAAAAAGATAAAAGCTCTTTATTTCTTATTTTATTTTAGAAAATATTTTTCTAAAAGATTTAATTTATAGTAAAAATCTCTTAGATCTTAATTATTTTGTTAGATTATCTTTTATATTTAGTTAATAATAGTAGCTTATATATTTATAGAATTTTTTATTAAGAATAAAATCTATTCTTTAAAGTAAGTCTATAAACCCTATATAATTTAATTTAGAGTTAAGAGTATTTTATTTAAGTAATTATACTAAAATTATTAGTAATTCCTATTTATATAGAATAAAATACTAAGAATTTTTTATTTTTTAATACTATATTTTTTACTTACTCTTTTAAATTCTAGATATAATCTAAATAATTAGTTTTCTCTTTCTTAGATTAAGAATTCTTTTATAAAGTTAGAGTTCTTAAAACGGATTTCCTAACTATATAGATTTAGTAAATTACTATAGATCCGGCTATAATATATAGGTATTTTAACTACTCTTTTAAGCTATTTAATCCTTATTATAAAGGCTTAAAAGGTTTCTTTCTTAAGGATTACTAGAGAATTATCTTTCTTTTACTAAGGATTTAGAGTAGTTTCGGAGAGTTATTAGTTATCTCTACTAGTAGTAGCGGGTACTTCCGAGAGTCTAAATAAGGATTAGATTTCTTCCTCCTTTATCTATTAGGACCGGCGTACTAGCGGGTCCTAGTAGGTAATATAGAACTAGAGTAAAGGAATAGTAGGGTACTAATATATTTATAAACTAATCGCTAAAGAGCTAAGTTCCTCTAGTAGTCTCTATATAAATAACCTCTAGCGGGTTATAGGACTAGGTCACCTAACCCGGTAGGACTTAGTCTTCCTAATACACTCTCTAGCGGGGGGTCATACTACCCCTACTAGGTCATAGGTCCTAGGTCATAGGACTAGGCGGGATCTAGCCTATAAGGCACTCTCCTAGTAGAGGGTCGTAACACTATCTTATAGATAATAGGATTTTCTTATAGAGATATCTCTTTATTATCTTATTAGGATTATAAACTCTATCTTATTATTATTTCTTTAGATAGTTAAAGAAGAAGATTTAGAATTATTAAGGTAACTATTTATTAAGATAGTACTTATTAACTAAGTAAATAATAATACGAGAAGGATACGAAATTAGAACGAAGGGTATTCGATTCTATATTATTCGTAAGACTAAATCTTACCTTCCCTTTCTATATAGATATCTTCCTTTTATGATTTAGTTTCCCCGCTTCTCGGAACCGGATCATCTTAGTTCTATCCCGTCATCGTGGGGTATTCGGAAGAGTCTCCTCCGTCTGAGAGAAAGGGAGCCTAAGGCAAAATCATACAACAAAGAAATACCGTGACAATAACCGCTTCCCTTACTGCTGTTTTAACCGCCTTCCTCTTGAAATCACTAAAACCTACTAAAATACGCGGTACCTCTATTTGCTATATAAACCACTATCAAATATATATAAATTGAACCAGTAGAAAGAAGGTTATATAATGCTTAAGGGGAGTTATTTTATTAGGTGTCTTTAGGCAGAAAAGGTCATGTGATATTAGGGGGGTAATCGTTTTATTAGGAATCTTCAGGCATCTTCAGGTAGCAATCAGGTAGAAATTAGGTAGGGGGATGTTTAATTAGCGAAAGTGATGTTTGATTAGCCAAAGGGATGTTTTATTATCAATCCCCTAATTATAATTTATAATTTATAAAGGTAGAAGACTTAGGTCTAGATATAGCTTATATACTTATAAAAAATAGTATTTTATCAACGTAATTATTATACTAATATATTAAGGATATATGTCTATTAATTAGGATTTCTAAATATTTCCTATTCCTAATTACAATAATAGAGGAGAATCATATATATAAACCAAAACATAGGTAAAAAAAACGGTTATTTATTTAGGTGATTTAGCCACTCTATCAACGCCAAGACCATTAATTTCGAGCCTAAGGGGAGGGGGGAAGCGACGAGCGCCCCCCTGCGAGCCGGGGTCTGGGTCGAGCTTGAAAAGACCGACCCCTAGCTCGTTGCGGGTCGGGTTTCGAGCCCGGACCTTAGGCCCAAAGTCAGGCTTTGCGGAAGTCTAGTTAGGCGGGTCCGTAGAAACTTTCGCGGTTCGGCTATTGTAAAGGAATACTAGGTTTTCAGGCTAGCACCTGTTGGTCAGGCAAGAAAGTTAGATGGAAGGGAAGACAGTATAGTATTCTTTTTGCAGAGACTAATCCTTGCTAAGATCAGGATTGGGAGAAGAGGGGGACCACCTTTTACCTCTTCGTCCCTGACCCATACCCATCATAATGAGAAGCTCACTTTGGTCATGTTCAGAGTCTCACTTTGCTTCCATGACTCATTGCCGTCATGATGAGAGTTTCACCTTACTCTCGAGTCAGGGTATCCCATGATATCAGGATAAAGGGTCTTATCAACAAAGGGGTCAGGCACACATGTGAACTCCATTTTCCATGATCCTTTTCTCTTACTATATAAAGTCCCAGAGCGCACTGACCTCTAGGGAGGGTTAATGCGCCGGCACGATTATCTCTGCTTTTTTGGTTTGAATAGCACTCTTTCCTCTTTAATTGATCTTAATCGACCTAGCTAGTGATAGTTAAAATCGTTCCTAGGGATATGGTTACAATACACTAGCGCTACCGCTTTTCCGTCCATAGTGGCCCTCCTATGGATTGATATATAAAGGTTGGCCTTGGGATAAAACCCAGAGCAAATCCACCATAAGACGCCACATGTAGGCGATCAAAACATACTTTGATCGGTATCGGCCAAACTATATCTTCACAACTCCGGGAATGGGCATACATAGTTGTTTAAAGCTATCCTAAACAAAATAGACAATCGTAAAAGACCAGGAGAGAGACTGCCTCAGGAGTAAAAACCAATCATTCATGGCGCGGGCGCTGGAGCAGGGGCCTCGGGCTTCTTTTCCACTTTCAGACCCCCTTTACCCCCTCGTCGATTTGCACCACCTAACATCCACATCGCAAAGCTTCCAGGCACTTCCGTTCCTCTAGATTTGGTTTTTTTAGGAGCTAGAGGAAGTGTAAGCGCATGTTTGTGGGGATGCTTCAAGCTTAGATACTTACCATCTGGTTTCTTCTTCGGCTCAGCAGGTGGATCGGGAGGTTTGACGGGAGCTGGTTCTGCCGGAGGTGGAGGAGGGTCTTCCTTTGGCTTCTCGGGAATGGGCCACATGTGCATCGTGATGGCCCAGTCAGGCTCGACCACAGTTTCCCAAACCTGCGGGAGAATGATATCGCCATTCGGCCCAATAAGATCATAATGGCCTTCGGCTACATGGGGTCCAATGACTTCTATGTGGAGGAAAGCCTGTCGGATAAGCTCTTCCATACCCTATAATCAGATTAGCACGAGGAAGCTATATGCACGGGCAGGGGAAAAGAGGATGATATACCTGCCAAGTAGCACACAGCTCAAATGGAAAACTGAATTTCCTCCCGACAGCGTCCTTGAACTTGATGGGCAGCTTCTTCTCTGGAGGCGGGGGAGGCGGGGGAGGTGGAGGCGGTTCGGCAGCTTTGGCAGCCGCTTCATTGGCCGCGGCTGTTGCTGCTGCTGCTGCCTCAGCAGCCGCAGCCGCAGTGGCTTTCTCCGCTTCCTCCTTGGCCTTAGCGGCATCTTCTGCAGCTTTTTTTTCAGCATCGGCTCGAGCTAGAGCCGCAGCCTCTAATGTGATCTTTCTATCGTGCGCCGTCTGTGCATCTTGAGCTGCTTTTTCGGCGGCTGCGCGTTCGATAGCCTGTTTTTTGGCAAGTTCTTTCGCCTCGCGCTCCTTTTCTTTCGCCTCGCGCTCCTTTTCTTTCGCTTCGCGCTCTAGACGGTCGTCTAAGATCAACTTCTCTAGCCTCGCAATTTGTTCATCCTTCGCCGTATCGGCCGGGGGTGGGGGTGGAGGCGGAGGTGGAGGTGGCGGGGGAGGAGGAGGGGGCAGGCTCAGGGGCAGGGGCAGGGGCAGGGGCCGGGGCGGGTTCAGGCGCAGGTGCAGGTGCAGGTGTCGGTGGTGGCGGAGATTTAGGTTCCGGTTGTGATGGAGGAGAAGGAACTGGGGGATAAGCGGGGGGCCAATAAGGAGGCGGCATCATCCCTGGGATCGGTCCACCAAAATAACCGTGTTGATCACGATAGAAACCAGCTTGACCATATGCCATCAATTCATGAGGATATCCAGTGAAAGGGGCATGGGAACCGTGTGGACCATGAGGCATAGATGGCTGCATTGGATTGTGCAGCTGAGGTGGCGGGCGGGGCGCATGTCGTTGATGTAGTTGTGACTGATCGGGAAGGAAATGAGGCGCATGTGGTTGAAAGTGAGGTGGGTATCCATAAGGCGGAACACCATAAGGATTAGGTTGTACTGGGTTGTGGCTAACTCTCATGAGTTCTGATGTAATCGGAAGGTTGTGATGGACATATGGGCCATGGCCATGGCCATGGCCTGGGACGGGAGGGTAAGGGGCGTAAGATGGACCGGACGACTGGCTGGGAGCATACCCAGGCGCCGGGGGTCCTGGTTGTTGCCATGGCCTTCGATCATCCCGGCGGCCAAAATTGGTAGTGTATTCGTCAGCCGAATCAGCACTGTCGGGAGAATCTGGCGATTGCGGTCTTCGGCCTCGAGGGGCGGAGAATGACGGGTGTTCTGGAATCATGCGTCGTGATGTTGGGCGGCGGCCCGAAGCGGAGCGCGAACCGTGGGGCGGACGACTACGGTGCGAAGTTCTTGGTCGGGAGGCTGAATCAGATGGTTTCACTTCACATTCATCCGGATATGGCAAATGCGCCCACTCATCATAATCATGGTACTCATGACTTTCTAGCTCTGAAGCAGAGACATGCACACCGGACGAATCCTCGTCGTCAGAGTAAGAGCGATCCGAACCGTTGGGGTCTGGATCAATCGAGATACTGAGCCTGTAGAGAGAGGAGAGAGGGTGAGAAAGTGAGTTTCCAAGGGGGGGGGGGAAACCCCTCTCAAAAAGATAAAGATAAACATACGTCATAGAGACAATGAGAAGCCTCGGGGAATATTGTAAAAGAAAAGAAAAGTGTCCTCTCTCTCTCTATCGCATGCGCGAAGTGAGGAGGGAATACCCAAGAAGGTTTGACCAGCACTAGGTGGAGGGGTGTCGAGAGAGAAGAATGTCAAGATCAAAATGATCGGGGGACGCGGGGGTTGTTGCGCATTGACTATTTTTTTCTCTTCTTTTTCTGTGTCGATTTCCACTTCACGGACTGGAATGAGTCAACCGAATAACAAACCCCCCTTGCGCTTTTTGACAGGGATAGTCAGGTATATTTGAAGATGACTACAGAGTACCAAGTACTGTAGAAAACAAACATAGGATAGTAGGACAGAAGAACAGTGAAAGCGAATTAAGCCAGGGTATCATGCATAGAACAAGAAGTAGTCAAGTAAAGATCACAATCCACAAACACCAGATTCCAAAAAAAAGAAAGAAAAAAAGAAAAGGAACAAGAAGCCTTTTTTAGTTCAAATATTGTTGTGGCCTTTCTTGGGCCCGTTGGGCATTTTTGTGTGTAACTGGCTTTTCTTTCTCGCTTTTGGACACAGCTGCTGCCCAAAAATGCCCAATCTCTCGACTCGGGTGGATCTGACAGTACGCACGTTAAAAATGGAACAATCTAGAATCAAAATTTCCGGTTTTATTGCTGAAAGGGGTATCCTCAATTGCAAATCAGCGGCGATATTAACTTGAGCCGCCTGAGAATTATTATTTCAATTATAGCGATTCAGCAGTTCTTTGGCTGCAATCAGCTCGCTCCGACTTGATGCCCAATGTTGGTCATCGACCGACCGTGACTCAACAATCTCACCCAATCTTTGGAGCGCAAAGGCCTTCAAACGTTCCAGGGTTTTCTTGGATGGAGGGCTTTGACCTGATACGCCGGCGTAACCATTGTCGAGCATCCGAGTTGAGGCCTAGAAGTTCTAGATTAGCATGGAACAATTGAATCCATCATTGCCGACTTACTAAAGCCAACCCATATAACCCTCGCAGATAGTCGTCACAAAGCTCAATGCTTCGACTGAAGTGCTGTACCGACCTCCCGAGGAGCCGGGATGCGTCTCCGTCAGAGGCATATATGTAACACAACTCCCCAAGACGAGAATGAATCTTTAATTTTAATATCAGTGACCACCCAGCACCAACCAGGACAAAGTGCCTTGTACATACATTCCAAGAGTTAGGGGCAATGAGTAAAGCCTCCTCAATGCTAAAGATGGCCTGGGAACCCAGCCCCTGTGATTGATACAAGTCTGCCAGTTCACACCAGGCTTCAGCATCGGTAGGGATGGCATCGAGGAGTTGAAGAAGAGCGGAAATTGCATCTGAAGACCGGTTGAGCGAGCGCAGCAACGCTACTCGGCGCTTGAGGATAGGCTGTATATGCGGTTAGACCTGTGGTTCCCCCAGAACCTATAACGGACACTAACCACATTAACTGGATTCTGCGACAGGGTGGTTTCGTATTCCTGCAGGCATTTATCTAGTGCCGACTGGTCCTTGGCAGTTGCCTCCTCGTACAGTCCGCGAAGTCCCATGATCCTTTCATTAGAGGGTCCGAACCGGAGACTGAGGCTGTTCAGGCAGGTCTGTGCTGACTGGTCGTCTCCCGTTCGAAGACAAGCCAACAGAAGCTGCTCTAATCGTGCATAGTAATCTGCGGTATCTGCCGAATTGGATGAAGTGCCCCTTGACCCGGTATCTTGGCCAAGAATGGCTGGTGCTTGTTGAGCGAGATGGAGAGCAGAGATCAGATCCGACCCGCAGATTTCGCGGATGCTAGCGACTGGACCAGCCATGGTAGACTGTTGATAGCAAACCTTCAGAGTGATCTCGAGAACAAATTGATAGCAGGGGTGATGGAACGTTGTGGAGTGAACTGAGCGCAATGGAGCTTGATTGGCCACGGTCCCGTGATCCTTATCGGATCCCCCAACGCCAACTCTCCACCCCGCGGAGTTCGGATTGCTTGCACTCGCGTCTCTTTCGCTCTAATTATAAACTATGGCTGATCTAACAGTATCATTTTCAACCATGGGATTCGGTCAGCTTTACTAGGTTGCTTTTAACACTCTTTACCCATCAACTTGAGCCTTTGACAATTAATAGCCGGCACGATGTAGGCATCCTATGTTTCATGCCCCCAGAATTGGCCAACACTAACTTCTCCCAGGTTCGAAAAATCCCTTTATGACCTTATAAAAGGTCTTCGGGGTCATAAAGGAGGCGAAAATGAATACATTCAAAGTTGCTTGCGTGAATGCAAGGCCGAGATCAAAACACAAGACATGGGTACTATCATTGAATCGCCCTGCAGTTGCATTGACTAGTTGTTGACTCCGATCAGACAAAAAGGCCACAGCCCTCCTGAAGCTCATTTATCTTGAAATGTTTGGATATGACATGTCATGGGCATCTTTCCACGTTCTCGAAGTCATGTCTTCTGCCAAATACCTCCAGAAAAGAGTCGGGTATCTTGGAGCAGTCCAAAGCTTTCGGCCAGACACCGAAGTTCTGATGCTAGCGACCAATTTACTGAAGAAGGTTTTTATTTTATTCGCGGCTCCAATCTTTTTTCCTTCGGGTTACTGATGCTTCTCCAGGACATTGTCACCTCCATTATCCCCAACATGTCACTTCCTCTGATTACTTTGCCCCATATCATAACACCTTCCCTCGCAATGTCCCTGCTGCCTGATATCCTCTCCCGACTTTCTCATTCAAGCCCTGTCATCCGCAAGAAAACGATTGTGTGTCTTTATAGACTTGCTTTGGTGTATCCCGAAGCTCTTAAGTTGGCATGGCCCAAGATAAAGCACCATCTGATGGACGATCAAGAAGATGGTAGTGTCACTACGGCGGCGATCAACGTCGTTTGTGAGCTTGGTTGGCGACGGCCTCATGACTTCCTCCCTCTGGCCCCCCGATTTTTTGAGCTCCTTGTCGACAGCGGCAACAATTGGATGGCCATCAAAATCATCAAACTCGTGAGCTTCTGACGCATCATCTTTTGGATCCTTTCTAACCTTTTTAGTTTGCAACACTGACTCCATTAGAACCAAGGCTAACCCGTAAGCTCTTGCGGCCATTGACGAATATCATTCAAACTACTTCTGCAATGTCCTTGCTCTATGAATGTATCAATGGCATCATCCAGGGGGGATTCTGGATGGAGAGGAGAACCTCCAAGAAAGGGACGAGGTCGCCACTCTTTGTGTTGGGAAATTGCGAGGGATGATAGTCATGGACAGTGACCCTAATCGTATGTTTCCTTGCATCGTGATTTATCTTTATTTCTGACAGTCAGGACAGTGAAATACGTTGCGCTTCTTGCACTTAATCGTATCGTCGCCACGCACCCATCATTAGTTTCCATGCAGCAGGACATCATCATGGATTGCCTAGATGATGCGGATGTTTCTATTCGATTGCAGGCTTTAGAGCTTGCGGTTGGAATCGTCAGCAGTGATTCCCTCCAGCAAGTCGTGAATCGTTTAATAGATCAGCTGCGGCAAGTTTCTGCTCCTACAACTGAAATTGATGATATGTCCGAAGCCTTTGAGAAACCCGAGACCCCAACGGTGTGGCCCAATGACTACCAGACCGAAGTCATTCATCGGATTTTAGATTTATGTTCCCAAAAGAACTACTCTGAAATTGTTGACTTTGACTGGTATGTCGCAGTCTTAATACAACTAGTCGGACTTCTTCCACCATCCGAGGGTGAAGATGACTGGGTTCACCCGAAAAAACAAGAAGTCATACCCTACATCAGAATGGACGCTGCGCTTCGAATAGGAACAGAAATCCGCAACATTGCTGTAAGGGTAAAAGGCGTGCGGATGGAGGCCACAAGAGCCGCCGAATCACTCCTGCTTGTCGAAAACCGATCGAAATTTTTCCCTTCCAGTCAACCTATTGGTCATGGTGTCTTGGGCCCTCTTGCCTGGGTAGTTGGTGAATATGCCGATTATCTGCTATCACCCAACCGGGCACTACTATCATTGATTGACATCTCTAATGCCTCGCTCCCCCAGAGAACTCTTCCCCTCTTTTTACAAGCCATACCAAAGGTCTTCGTTCGAGTCAGCCTAACCAACAAGCCAAAAGATCTCTGGAAAAGTGAAATGTCACTTTTGCTTGCCCGAGTGATCGAGTTCCTTGAGGCATTGGGGGCCCATCCTGATTTGGATGTCCAAGAGCGAGCTATTGAGTTTTTGGAAGTCCTCCGCCTAGCAGCCGAGGCATTGACTTCCGATACACCAGAAGTTCCATTTCTTCTTGCTTCGGTCATACCGAGTTTATTCACGGGCCTTGAGCTCAACCCGGTTGCGGCCAGTGCCCAGAGAAAAGTTGTGTTGCCGGATAGCCTTCGTTTGGATGAGGCATTTGGACAAGATTTGCCGGGGCTTTTCCGTGATTTGGACGGTACGTCATTGCATGAGCATTCTTGGGAAACATCGGGCTTCTACCATGTGTCCGAAATCTCGTATCCCGACAAGCAGGCTCGTGACCTTGCAACGATTGATGTGCACTCCCATGTCTCATATCAGAACTCTGCTACTGCTCCGTTGGAGCCTTCTGCTGCTGTTCAAAGAAGAATGCTCGAGCGCAAGGAGAGATTTAGGGATGATCCTTTCTACATTGCTCCTTGCGGACCATCGTCTGGCACAGATACGCCATTCCACGAAGCTTTACGTACATCCAATGGCGAGATCTTGGATATCGACTCCATCCCGATTGTTGACTTGGAATTGGGAGACGGACAATCCAGCCATGTTGATGTCAGTCGTCGTCGACCTGGGAGCAGATTGGTAGTCGCTGGCGATGAGACCTTTGAGACCTCAAACCAGTCAACGGACGTCTCTAAGCTCGGAATTGCTGATAATGACCATATTGCATCTAAGCGTTCTTTGCTCCAGGTTGACTCGAGCAGCCTCGGAAAGAAGCCATCTCTTCAGGTCTCCACGGATGAAGGGGAGATAGAGATGGCTCAAGCGATGCAAAAAATCGAGGAGGTGCGATTGCGCATGCAGCGAGCATCAGAGCGGATTCAATTGGAGGGGATTCCGGCAGAAGGGACACTCGTCAAAAAGAAGAAGAAGAAGACGAGGAAGCTCGCTGATCCAAACTTTCAGGATGTCGGCCCCGTGGCTGATAACTCTACGAAGGCTAAGAAGAGAAAGAAGAAGGCCAAATCAACACCAGGCGAGACTTGATCTTCCAGATCCTTGGAAGTAAACATTACAACTTGTGGTGTTTGGGTCAAACAATAACAAAGATACAATCAAATAATACACATTTCAGGATCAACAAGTCCTGTAATACGCAAACCATCTTGATTTTGACTCGATTGACAGAGGACCCTCAATTCATCCCCTGTTCGCCGGTCGAATCAGAGATAGGACGATTCAAGAATTATCGGATGGCTATAGGCTAGGGTATTGCTGCAGTAGGGAAATTCTGACGGGCGGTCCATTTTATTCTGCGAACCGTGTGAACCATGAAGCCACAGTGGACCAGAGCCCAGGAACAATGCGTAGGAGTTCTAGGAGAAGTCCGCCACAGACAACGAAAGCGAGGAGCACTAGGAAATCTTCAGTATAAGTCAATCCATGGAGTGAAATTCGTATACACACCAACCCAGCTTGCTGAAAGAGAGGATTTGGGGTTCTTTTTCGGTCTGACCGTGGTTGGCGCCTTTCCTCGCTTCGCAGCCTCGGTCTTAGCGAATCGGTCGTTTGCTCGACGTTGCTGCGGTGTTTGTGTCTAGCCTATTGCTTAATAATAAGCCACGACAGAGGGCAACCGTTCTACTTACCATGATGTGCTATGCAAAGGGGATGTTTGAAGGAGACAGATAGATGGGGTAGGGGTGATGATAGGCGTGAATGTGCCGGCAAAAAAAGGCCACGTTGTTTTTTTTTTTTTTGAACTACATACAACATACGTACGGAGTACAGAATAATTACCTACTCCGTACGGAGTCTACGTATTACATTAAAAATATATCTACCAACCCCCTGAGTTTGATCTCAATTCTCAATGTTTTGCATTGCATGCTTCATCTGAACAGAGCGTCTTGATTTTCAGACTCGGGCTAGGTGGTTTAGTGACCAAGTCCTCAATATCCTGATCAGTCTCCATGACACAATATACCATTACTCCATTCTGATCGATCTCGGCCTGGGGCACAAGATCCTCAAACGTTTCTTCTCCTCTATTGGGGGAATGTCTCAGTTGTATATTCGTGAATTGGGCTTGTTCTTACCTAACCTATATATGAATAACGTCGATATACACCGAAGGCGGCATGAAGAGTCGGAGAACAAGGCGGTCAGGATATGAATAGGATGGATGACATCATGTGCGTAGTCATGGATCTCGGATCTCCTATCTGTGGGTCCAAGTGGGGCCCTGGAATGGCGGGTCAGGCACGAACAACCTGGTTGGAACGTACCTACAATCTCGTACCTGTACTCCGTACGGGGTATATACATATATGTACCCTGTACCTTTTATATATGCACAAGTATGTCGTACGCATGATGTATCTATATATACCCAGATAGATATTAATATCCATAGATATGTATAACATATTATGTAAAGTATGTATAAATGTACATATCATGCATTCAGTGTGTACAGGGTATGTAGGTATCTACACATAGTTACATACATATTCATGTACATATAGGCACTAGGCACTGTACGACCTCGGGAGCCTTCAAAAGACCCACAGCAGCTTACAACATTAGGTACACATCCCCGGGCCGGTGAATGTATGTACCTACCTAGGTACAAAGAAAAATGAATATTAGAACCCGAGAATAGATACCCAGTATACCAACGGGTCGGTGTTATTGAAGAAGTGGCTTCCATTCGACGTGCTCACTGGCAGGGTCACCAAGGAGATCTGCAGGGGGAATCCTGACAGTCACGCCACTACCTGGACTGTGGGGAGACACTGTTCCGATTTTCGCTTGAGAACTCAATGCTAGCGGTTTCCGAGGAACCGTCGGTGGCACTCTCCCAAAACCCACTACCTGCGGTGAGATGGACCCCGTTGGTGATTCAAGAGCATCACGTCGCGGGGGTAGTACGGGCTTCCTCACGACCTGGACAGGGGGCTTGTTGTTGGTTCCCCCCGAGGTCGAACTTGCTACCCAGTCGACATCTGTAGAAAATGGATTGGACTTGCGCTGGGTATTTGCAATGAATCCTTCCTCGGGTGGTTGCACTGATGCTTTGACCGATGCACCTGTTGTGCTGTTAGTTCAACAGACTCTCTCCATGTCCATAGACTGCAATACTCACCATTTTCTAACCACCACCGACTGCGGTCAGAGCTTGCCGGTGGCAGCCCAGGTGCGATTGGCAGTTGCACCGTGGTTTCATCATCCTCCATGTCCAAAAGAGAGACGGGGTCAGCAGGAGAAGCTTGACCATGGCCTTGCCTCTCTGTGTATATCGATCGCCTAAGTGTTTCTTTCAGCGCATGATCAATGACGTCGATAACACAATCAAATGTTGCCCAAACTGGCCGATGGTCAGATACTCTCAAGTCTGCAGTGTGATAATGTGTCTGCCGCAGGTTGGCCCCTCTCCATAGGACTCGGTCACACCATGCAGGGATTCGTGCCTTCTCGCTGTGTTATATTAGACATATCCTGACATTAGAGTCCACGAAATACTTACGATGTATCGTAGTTGTCCTTTCCGACATCGTATTTGTAAGTAGGTGGAAAGTCAATCGGGCCCTCTGAATAGAACTGGAATGCTCTGCCTGCAACCATTTGTAGATTCAACTATTGCTTGTCAGACCGACCCCTCCATGGAAGAATGCTTAGCTTACTTGATCGTTGTCGTATAGCCTTTGATAATTTCGCTGCAGGATAAGCTCTCTTACGCTTGGGTTGTCTAATCCAATTCGATAGTTGAAATCACCCAGCCAGATTACTGCATCATGATCAGCGATTGATCGGTTCTTTTGAAACCGCAGCCCTCGATCAATAATCTCGTAGTCCCTGTTTCTCTCGTCATAGTTTGCAAATCCTGCAGCAAGATGGGCGGTAACGAAGCAAATACTTGTGTTGGAAAAATCAAAACGAACTGCACAGCCGCCTTTGTTGCCAGCAATCCCAGAGAGACCGGTCTACAAACATCAGTTAGTGGGAACAAGCCGGGGCACCTTGAACTATTTTTCACCTTTTTGACACTGCCTTCGACATTTTTGATATATTTCAAGGCATCTTCTTTCACATATAGTAGAACCGCAGCGCCAACTAGCTGGCCACTTCTCAAGTGCACGTATTTTCCAGTCCCTTTCATCTTCGAGTGCGTATTTAAACAATCGTGGACTGCCCTTTCCCAGACCTTGCGGGTACTAGGGTCGGTAGACATAATTTGCTGAGGGCTCAGGGCCACAATTTCCTGAAAACCGACTACAAAGATCGCCGGATCTTCATCGGACTCGTCTGATTCTGGGAAAAGCCATGGTGTAAGATCAGTACCTGGGCCCTCGTTGCGTCCATTCACATTGAAAGTGCCAACCCAGAATCGAACTTGTTTGCGTGAAGAAAATTCCAGAGCTCGACGGTTCAATTCCTCAATAACCAAATCATTGATTGGATCATAGAGGTAAACAGGCATTTGATTTGTGAGTCTTCCCAAGAGCAGATCAATCGTCTTCTGTCTAGCTTTGTCTGTGAAATTGTTGACGTAGAGGCGAGTGGCGCTCTTTCGCGCATCTGCAAGCGCTCCCGCGAGAGACATCTTTCCATGTCGAGTAAAAGAGGATTTGAGGGCGCCTGTCCCGGCATAGATTTTTGAAAGAGCATCACCGTTGTCGGCCCAAATTGTTGAATGCCGAACTTGCATATCCGAGCTGAGATTTCCATCTTGCTGTGTCAAAAATGACTCGAATGCCATCGAACTAATGATGGTTTGGACGAGATTTGTTCTATCTAGGCAATCCAGGCAATTAGTCCGAAAAACACCCTCTTGCTGTAGAATGACTGAAGAACTGTTCGCTGCGTTGTCCCCTTTTGGGCGACCTGAATCTTCCGACAGAAAATAGGAAAACCCATCCAATGAGTGGATGAGCTCATGTCTGATCTGGGAGCTGGCTTCGTATCCCGAAGGACCTCGAGTCTCAGCAAGGAAATCATACTCGGTCATTCGCAAGAGGCTACGGCGTGGAGAAGAAATCCCAGCAGATTCTTTCTGTCTGGTTGAACTTCTGCTAACGTGCTGTCGAAACTTGGCCGACAACTGTGCTTCACCGGGCTTCAGCTCACTTAACAAATTAACCACATGCACTGCACCGTACTCCAGCTCCAGAAATTCAAAGTGCTGGTTGAATGCATGCTGTGTTGCCTCGCTTGACCGCGTGACCTCAATCTTTTGCTGACCCGGAATGAGACCTGGAGCTTGTTCCCAAAAGATGGGCACTGAGCCCCGGACTTGAGCATATGAAAACACAATTCCCGGTGATACCCACAGGATGGTCTCAGTTTCCACGAAATTTGCAACATTTCCATCATCATCAATGCCTCTCGAATTGAATCTCGTCCCAGCACGCCGAGAGGATTGCCGAGATATGATTGTCAGCATCGAAGGAAAGTTTGTTCTCACATGAGGAAGAATTGAGACTGTGGCTGGAATTTTGAGAGTACTGGCAAACCCACGGATGACACAGGTTAACATCTGTGACGCATCTAGTTTGGCTTTGTCGGATGGCGGTAGGTGGCTTCGGAATAAAAGAAGCGGACCGATCATGTAAGAGTTCCACAGCATGTCTTCATCAAGGGTGTCGATGTCAAATGCCGCGGATTTGTCGGCCCTGGGAGATAATTAGTGGAGAGATCGACTACGGAAGAGCATATTATATGAATGGCTCACCGGTCCTGTAAACGATCTGTGAGGTTGAAATCGAGGCTGTAATAAAAACTTCCATCGCCAAGCAGCTTCTTCAAGGCCAGAAAAGGATGGTCAGTGACCACATCCTTCCCATCTGTGCCTAGTCGCTCCTCAGCAGCGAATTGAGAGCTAGTCTCATAGTCTAGACCATACTCATACTCCGAACGATTGAGACAATCTGAACTCGTTAGTGACGATTCAACTAAAAGACTCCATGGGAAACACACAGAAGGCTACATTGTCAATTCTTGACACAGTTTCTCCAGGCCTCACAGTGGCAGCTTGCGAGGAGCTGGTAACGACGCAGACAAACACATCTTCGTTGAGAGTAATCAGACCAAGTGTACCATATCCATATCCCAGCGGCCTATAGGTTTCCAGATCCACTGACTTTAAGTCTGAGAACTCAAGCTGACAGCGTGGACTGTCCTTCGTAATGGTCTCGGTTAATGTGTAGTGAAACACGAGAGCATGATCCGACGAGGCCAGCGCAATTGTACGTTGAGGCTGATCTCGACAAAGGACCCGAAGATTCGACATGGCGTGTGACCAAAATCAAATTGCGGGGAGAAGCAGTGGCATTGCTTACTTCCAGATGAATAGTTTAGTCCTATTTCGGTGAATTATCTATCGAGGGGGGGGGGGGGAAGGGTGGGAAACTCGCCCCAGGAACCCAAGATAGAGGATGACAACTATGTTAAGCTTTCAATATCAGCAGCGTAATTGCAACGGAGCCACTCAAAATAAAAGAACAATCGTTGAACTAAGGTTGTGAATATTGAAGTTGGCTTTCTCCCCGCGAGGTCGGGCCCCGGAGGCCGGACTTCCCGCAGGGCCCCGGGCCTTATCGATTGCTGACTCAGCCCGCGCCTCGTCCAGTCCCGACCTTTTTTTTTTTCTTACTCTCAAGCCCTTTGCCGTACACCTATTTCCTGGAATCGATATTGCCGCCATGGGTTTAGCAGGGCCGCGGAAGTACGTAATTTGAACAAAAGCTACCATTCAAGTTTTTTTTTTCTAACCGCTGAGTAGAAATACCAAAATTGGCAATGATCCCAACAACACCAACTGGACCCGGTCTACAACCGGGTTCGGACATCGGATCATGAGCTCACAGGGCTGGACTCCTGGAAGTCTTCTCGGAGCAAAAGATGCCGCTCACGCCAATATGTTAACTGCCGCCAGCGTCACTCACATCAAAGTCACACTTAAGGATGATACTCTCGGATTGGGTGCTCGTATTGGACGAGAGACTGAGCAGACCGGGCTTGATGCTTTCAAAGGACTGCTTGGTCGACTTAACGGCAAAAGCGACGTGGAATTGAAGAAGGACGAACGAAAGCGCGATGATGTCCGGTTGGCTCGATATGCTGCCCTGAAATTCCCAGAAGTCAGGTTTGTCAGTGGTGGACTGTTGGCACAGGAAAAGGAGACCGAAGCTCCTTTGCCGATCCCCAACGATGTCGTTTCAAAGAAATCTAAATCGGACAAGAAAAAAGGCACAAGGACTACTGAGGATGACGAAACTTCCTCAAACGAGTCGGATACCCCAGCCCGCAAATCCAAGTCCAAGTCCAAGTCCAAGAAATCGCGCCCTCAGGAGGAAACCGATGCAGAATCAAAAAAGAAAAAGAAGTCCAAGAAAAGAAAGGCTGATTCGGAGCCGACTAGTTCCTCGGACAAGGCATCTGAACCGGAAGTCAAGGCAGCCCCGACAATATCCAAGGAGCGGCGGCCTATGGGACGCAATGTCACCCGATCACGCTATATTGCCCAAAAAAAGAGAGCTATCATGGATGACAAGTCTCTCAACGAGGTAAGATATGTGTCATCACTCCTCATGACACTTTTACTAACATGACTTAGATTTTTATGGTCAAAGCATAGCGTTATGCATCCCCGCATCTGAAGCGCATTTAACATACAATCTGGAGTTATTTGGTGTTGGCACTTTTCATGATTTCCCTAGATATATCCAATGAATCAAATCAATTCTAATGTTGAGAGGACTGATCGGGTACATATATAACTACATGGGTGTACCTGGATGTGAGCTGTGAACATGAACATGAACACAAACACAAACGGGACTGCCCCCGGTTCCCCAGGTGACTTTCAGAAAATCCCATAGAACCTTGCTCAGCGCACGACTCTAGGCCGCTAGGACTTGGTGTAACTGCTACTTACCTGGCACTTTGTACTTAGTAGACCGGGCTTTGGAGCAGGTCACGGAACGAGTGCAAGGTCCACTCCAGGGAGGGCCTGGGGTCCACTAGCTACAGTAGGTACAGAGGTACCTATGTTGTACTCTGTAACTATATATATGTACATATGTTGTACTCCGTAGGTGCATATAGGTAGCCCCTCCAGGGCTGGAGTCGTTCATGGATTACCTAAGCGGGATGGTCGGCCCCGGGGCCCCGGGGTCCACCGAGGCCCTGTCAACGTCATATCCTTTTGCTTCATTCACAAAGCGCATGCCCCTAATCGTTGATTCTTCGGCATTGGGGGTACATAACCATCCTGCAACTCGGACCACGCTGTACAGGCAAATTACATCCAAGAAGCCTGTTCCTGGTCTACCGTAGCTTTGGCAACTTGCATTCACTTAACATTTCTCGCATTGACGGAGGGCTAAGACCAGGGCTCAGTCACTACAATAATGAACGGGGATACTCGGTCAGCTGATCGTGCATCGGTGCCTGCCTCTCAGCCGAGTCGTGGAAGCAGACGGTAATTCACACCCAACAACTCTTCATTTACCCATAACTGACAAGAGTTAGTATTCACTGGGCACCTTTGGATATTGGGCTTGAGCGACGTCTACAAACATTCGTGGTTTTATGTCACACTCTGACCATTGCCATCTTCCTGACTAGTTTTTTCTTTACCTGCGCTATCCCGTTGTTCTGGCCCCTTTTGGTCCCGTATCTCGTTTATATCTCTTTGTTCTCAACTGCTGCCACATCGGGCGATCTCAAGGGACGCAGTCAGTTCCTACGCTCGCTACCTATTTGGAAAGTGTATGCATCCTACTTCCCTGCTCGTCTTCGCCGCGAGGAGTCGCTTCCATCCACCAAAAAGTATATCTTTGGCTATCATCCACACGGCATCATCTCCCATGGTGCATTTGCAGCGTTCGGCACGGAAGCTTTGGGCTTCTCCAAACTTTTTCCAGGAATTACCAATACCCTGTTGACGCTTGATGCGAACTTTCGTATTCCTTTCTATCGAGAATATGCACTTGCCATGGGACTTGCCAGTGTTTCTCGAGAATCTTGTGAGAATATTCTCATGAAGGGGGGCGTGGATGGAGAAGGAATGGGGCGTGCAATCACAATCGTCGTGGGAGGAGCCCGAGAATCCCTCAATGCCAGACCTAATACCCTGCGTCTTGTGTTGAAGCGACGTAAAGGGTTTGTCAAGCTCGCTATTCGGACGGGAGCTGACTTGGTGCCCGTTTTGGCCTTCGGTGAAAATGATCTCTATGACCAAGTCGATTCAGACCAGCATCCACTCATTCACAGGATTCAAATGCTTGTGAAACAGACTCTGGGGTTCACCATTCCCTTATTCCATGCACGTGGGGTTTTCAACTATGATGTCGGACTGATGCCCTATCGCAATCCTATCAATATTGTGGTCGGACGACCGATCCCGGTCATGCAGCAAAAGAACCGCGACATGATCAATGATCAGTACATCAATGAACTCCATTCTCGATATGTGAAGGAGTTAATGCGTTTGTGGGATCAGTGGAAGGATATTTATGCGGTAGATAGAGAAGGAGAGTTGGAGATTATATCATGATGATACAACTCTCAATATGTGTGTAATGTTTTGACATTCAAGTCAACCTACGGAGCATTTCACTCGATGTATGTACAGCAAACATCAAAGGAACAAAATCATACAGTTAACATCGGAACGTAGGTCAGAAAATACACGAACAAGAAAGTAAACCTATCAATTGGGTATCAGATCAAACAAATCAATGTCTCCGCAGAAGCAAAAAGAAGAAGAAGAGGCGGGGGGTGGTGGGCGAGGGGGAAGGGGAAAAAAAAAACAAAAAAAGGAAAACGCATAGAGAAGTTCATCATCATCCTCGGAAGGGCGAGCTGAGATTTGGATCCCACGAAGGAGCAGGCATCTCCGCGGATGAGGATGCTCGTCGACTTTCACTAGCAAAGACCTTGCCCTTGGCCATATGCCCACCCTCTGCTCGGCCCTGGATCATTTCTTCCAGCATCCGTGAGACCTCGTCCATATTTTTTCCCGCGTCCTCTTTGTCACTCTTGCCAGACAAGGGACGCTTGCTTGGACTCTCAGGCTGTGGAATGAAGCCATTGATACCGACCAGACCATCTGCATCATCGGCTGCAGACCCACTCTTGCTCTTCAGTTCCGGCGACTGGGAATCGTTGGTCACAGCAGCTAGATCCCGATGCCGGGCCGCAGACCGAAGCGCGGCAAGCATCCGATCTTTATCATCAAGCTGCAACCGGAGCTCATTGATCTCCATATCCTTCTCGCGTACCAAAGCCGAGGCATCTGGATACTCGGCAATTGTGGCATTTGCAGGCTTAACACCCACTGACATCCGAGAATGACTGGACCGTCGTGCTTGGAGCAACCGGCGCTCCAGGGTAGAGATGTACCGATTCTTATCCCCGAGATCAGCTTGCAATGCAGTGATCTGCCGTTGCAAGCTAGCTTTGCCATCACCGAATTCGCCAAGATCATCTTCATAGTCGTTGCTGAACGATCCTCCCGGATATGGCATAGCAGATGAGGCATCGTTGCTATTGATAGACATGAACGAGATGGGCCGCATTGAAGAATGACCACCGCCCAGTGTAGATTGACTGGCGGAAGAACGTAGAGATCGAGCACCAGAATCCGTTGCTGACATGCGGGAAACACGTCCGAAAGCAGAGAAGCTGTTATGGCTGTTCACACCGGTGGACTTAGAACTTAAAATCAGGCGATTTAGATGCTCGATCCGCTCTTTGAGTGCAGTGCGAGCTAATTGCATCTCCAACACCTGTTCCTCATGTCGGGCTTGTGCTTCCTTCTCATATTGCTGTTCATCCCATTTGAGTTCCTTCTCTGCCTGAGATTTGGCCTGAGAGTCGAGCTGACTGCGGAGAGCCTGGATTTCCATGCGGTATCGTTCAAGCAAAACCCGACTGCCTGAATCACCACCACCCCCGCCGTAAGCTTCCTCGGCCTTTTTGGCATGACTGACGATATTATTCTTCGCCCTTGCCGCAAATTTCATGGTGTTCAAAGTCTCGCCAGTGTGGGAATTGACTGCACTGGTAAGTTGGATGGTGCACAGAATACTTACGAGCGAGCCACCGGACAGGGCTGGCTGTAGGAGTCTGGTCAACTTGCTATCTCGATAAGGCAGATGCCTCCCATCGCGATCTGTGGGGTTGCCTTGTTTATCTTTGTTTTCCGAGAGGCGAGAGATGATGGTGCCCAAAGTGAGAAGACTTTTGTTGATATGAGCGCCTTCTGTCCGCCGTTCCTTATCATCAGCTGCGCGCTCAGAGCCAGCCAGATCAATCAAACTCAGCGTTGATACTCGCACACCACCCGGGGCAATTCCAGAGCGCTTGTCTTGAGAGTTGCCTGAGGGCACTCGCTCTCGACTCTCAACCACAATCTGAACCACCGCGTGACTTCGAGAGCTGCGCGCGTTGAACTGTGTGCTGCTCGTACGTCGTGCATGATCACCTCGGGCAATAACACGGAGGAGTTGGGTTGGGCTCTGGACGATCTCTTCCTTAAGCGGTGTTGCATACACCCCTCGTTTGCTGTCCTCTCTAAGTTTGATTTCCTCCTGCTGAGATCCGGCTGGGGCGTTGGCCGCAGAAGCGGAAAGAAGATCGTTTATCTTTTCATTGTAGATTTCCAGATAGCTGACCCGCAGCAAGAACTCCCGATGCGGGGTCTCTCTGATGAATGAAAATATGTCGGTGATTGCGAGAGGGATTACACCAGGGGACGTTGCTGTTCCCTGCATGGAGAATGTCTTTCCAGTTCCTGTCATACCGTATGCGAAGACCGTTCCGTGGTAGCCTTCCATAACACGCCGGACCAGGCGTTTGGCAGCCGAATCATAAACCTTTGCATTGTTTTCTTGTGGATTAAAGACATTATCTGCATATTCTATTAATTCTGACCGAGGAGAAGCTGAATGTGGGTGATATTTCTCACCATAAAAATAATCGCCTCCTTCTTTCCCTCGGTAGGAGATGAGGCTTTTCCGGCTATCAACGGACCATTCGCCGTGGTTCCGGGGGGTTTCTCCGCTGTTATTATCGGGGCGAACGCGGACGCTGACAAGCACGTTCCCCTTGATCTCCTTTGGTTTAGAGCTTGATTTTCCTGTCGCATCCTCCGCATCTTCAAAAGTTGTCGCACTCGTTGAGCAAGATCCTTGCGCCGAGGAACTTCTGCTGTGAGTTGGAGATGCTTCTGGGTCTCGCGCATCTGCACTTGATATAAACTTGCCTTCACCGACACCGTTAAGCAATGACGGGGTTTTTGAGCTCCGGTAACTGCTTGTGGTTCCCGTACTCAGCCGCGAGCCTCTTTGGGGTCGCACGACAGTAGGAGCGCCTTGTATACCTGAGATCGATGATGCAGTAGATGGACGGCTACTGGCCTTGGGTGGGTGAGGGAACGACGCGATACTAATTGTTCGGCGCAAGGATTTGTCAGGGCTACCGGGGGTGCGCCCACTGGAAGCTGACCGAGCAGTGTTGAGATTGGAAGTCGAGTTCGAAGTTGACAGAGGCGACTTGAGCGAGGGCTTAGGGCTGGATGGCGTCCGCAGTTTGGTAGCCTGGTAGGGGGATGCAGCCCGCGGTGGGTCGGAACATACGGTCTTTCTGGGTTTAGGGTTAGGGAGGGGTGGTAACGACCCAGTTGGAGGATTTGTGACAGGCCGCGACGGCTGCGGCAGGGTTGACATCGAGGCCATGGCAATTTTCAGCTCTCTCTAGCGCCGAAACCGATGGACATAGATAAATCTAACAGGGAGCAGTGCGCGTGATGGCCATGCGGGCAGATTGGAGAGTCAGGCCTGGCATTATTGTCTCGAAATTAGCCAAACGAATGAGAGAGGAGGATTGGATGGTTGACTGGACTACCGAGTAACGGTGAGTTCACTCCTCAAGGCTGTCCAAATGTAAATCAACGTGATTGAGGTCTCGGGTACTCACTGATTTAGTGGTTGCTGGAGGTATGAAGAAGTGGCAGAGATGAAGAAGGTGGAGTCAGGCAATAAGCAAAGCAAAGACGCGACGCCTTAAGAGCGAAAAGGCGTATCAAATACTCCCCGCAGAGAGAAGAGTCGGGGCCAGACTCTCTTTTTAATTATTACATTATCTCTTTTACCTAGGTGCTTTGAATATCCCTTCAATTTCCGCATCACGGTCCATGTACGTTCACCGTTCTCCTTCTATCCCCGACATTCTTTTCTCTTCTGGTATCCCTCTCCAAAGGGGGAAAAAAACGAGACCAAAGGACGAAAGAAAGGAAGCAAGAAAAAACCACCCAAACAACCAGACAAAAAAAAAGGGGGTAGAGCAAACCATTCTAGACTGACAACCTAAACCGTAGGGGCTTAGGAAGCTCGGAGCATGGAATGTCCAATGAAAAGGCTGGCAGTGGAGGTTTCATGGGAAAAAGGGGCAGTACTAAGCTACTTTGTACCTGCCCGTAGGTCGATCCCATTTTATGATTGTGAGGACCCGATGTCCGGTGAAAGGAGTAGTCTCCTGGTTTCTTCCATGGACAAGCTTGGGATGGGACTCCTGTTCGAGGGGGAAGAGGGAGAGGAAGGAGAAAACCCAATATCGAGCAGAACAGAAGAACAATCACAATCATACGAAAATAATACTTCAAATCCCCGATGACGGCTCATCGCGTCGAATCAAGAGATGTCGGCAAGCGCAGAAGATTAATTACTCGCGTTGATCCTCATTTGGGTCACAGACACTTCGCTTCATCCGGAGTACTCCGTACAGAGGGTTCACGGCTGTAGCATCGCTCAAATCGCTGCAATGTCATGCTACCTCGGCTGAAATACCATCAATGCCCATTATGACCTTCTATTTCTGTCGTGTTACTTGTTTCTTTATTACTTCATGCCAAAATCCAGTTGCCGCGCAGCACTCTTGAACATGCCCTCATCCAATTCACCCCCACGTCGCATCAAATCTTCACCCATCTTTTTGGTCCCGGATTTTCGGGGAAGATCCTCATTCTTGGTCGGCCGCGGTTCAATCGTCCACCAGCTATGCCGCAGGCACTGAACGGCCGTGCTACGCTTACGTGGGTCAAGTGCACACATCGACATCAGCAAGTCTGCCCCTACCGGTCCTGCAGTGGGGAACTGTCGCATGAAAAAATCCCGCCCTTGCAACGGTACTAAATGAGCCTGGTCGGTGGTAATGTAGTAGGGCAATTTGCTGACTCCTGGCCAGTTCTCCTCTGTCGGTGTACCAAACGCCTCGCAGATTTTGGAGGTCTGATCTAAGTCGGTGTTACCCGCCACGAATGGAACCCGTAGTAGGAGCTCCGCAAAGACCATTCCCATTGACCAAACATCGACTGCGCCAGAGTATTGACGTGCCCCGTAGAGAAGCTCGGGCGGGCGATACCATCGAGTGATGACCTGGTGGGTCATGTTGAACAAAGGATCGGCAAAGGATCTTGCAAGACCAAAATCAGCCAATTTGACCTCCCCGTCTGACGCAATCAGCAAGTTGTTGGGCTTGATATCCCGGTGAAGAACAAAGTTTTCATGGCACCACCAAACGCCCCGGGCAAGCATTCCCATCCAAGCTTTGATATCAGCCACGCCGTAGTGAATATCGCTATCTTTGATGAGCATCTCGAGATCTCCACCGGGGAGAAATTCAAGCACCAAGCTAAGGTTTTGATCCTTGGAGGAGAAAACGTCATGGAGTGCAATGACGTTAGGATGCTTCAGCTCCTGAAGATACTTCACTTCACGAACCGCATCCATCGCAAGCCCATCCTTGTATTCTGCATTGACCTTGATCTTCTTGATTGCGACAAGTGATGATGGATCGTGTCGGAGGTGGCCAACGTATACCACAGCATAGGTACCTTCTCCCACCTTCTTGTCTATGTCCTTGTTAGCAGCCCAGTCATCTGAGAATGATAGAACACATGTTCAAATACCTTTGACATATCGCTCCCGGACGTCAATGTTCAGTTGTTCAGTGAGTTCACGATCTCCACTTGGCACATGCCCTCCCGCAGATGTAGCCCCAGTGGCTGAGTTCTGTGCAGCTGTGGCTCTGAGCCTGATTGCTGTATTTGGGGAATGCACAGTCATAGAGGGCGAACGAGAGCCGAAAGGTGAGAGTGCCATGGCTAAAGTGATTGAAAGACAAAAAGTCAAACTTTATGGTGTGAGGGAATGAAAGAATTGTAGAACAGCCACAGATATTGAGTGGCACATTGAATTTTAGGATATCATTTTCATATGTTGAGGTAAAGGCAACAGTATCATTGGAAAACATGAGCCCGATGTCATCCTTCCTTTGAAAGGCTAGCCCGGAGTATTGTTGATCCTGGATGTTGCTACGCCCGAAATTTCTCGGAGTCAAATCAACAGCAACCCCCAGCCAATCCCTCGGCAACCGTTGGAAACTCGTCAATTTTGAATATACCGCAAAACACATCTATCTATCATTATTGCAATCCTAGTTTGCAAGGGGAAAAAAGAACAGGGACGAGAATTATCAGAAAGTTCGGAGCTTGCGGCACGCTTCCCGCAACGCCTTACCCTCACCATGAGCCTTATGACAATGCGAAATGCACCGCTGGGCAGCTTGCCATTGCGTCTATTTAAGACTGTGTCGATTTCAACCCAATGCATTCGGTCACTTCACAAGAACGCTCCCCCTCCCGTGCCTTCTCCGACCCCTTTCGTTCCCGACGTTCAGACGTTCCTCACGCTCATCGGCCGCGAAATGTCCAAGCAAGCGAGCAAGATCCCCTCATGGGAAGAACTCTTCACCTTAAACTCCAACCAACTCCGCCAAGCTGGCATTGAGCCAGCGCGCCAGCGACGGTATCTAATCCGGAAACGCGAGAAATTCAGGAATGGACTGTACGGCCCTGGAGGCGATCTTCACACCGTGGTCGATGGTGTTGCGCAACTGCGGGTTGTTGAGGTGCCTCTTAAGGCCAAGGGCCTGAGACAGGAAGGCACCCAATCAGGTGTTCAGACTTCTTCTGCCACACTGTCACCAGGCATGGTGAAAGCCCTTGTCAACCTGGCGCCTGACGCTACTGAATATACCTATGGCAAGAAAAATCCGATCAAGTACTTTGCGCACATGAAAATCCACCGGGGTTCTCAACCCAAGGGTCCCTTCCTCCAACCCTTGAAGGGTAGCAATGGTACCGCCGCTCTTATCTCGGTTCAGGAGGGCATGTGGGAGGACAAGCGGGGCCACAAGGTTGATGGCGGCGAGCGACGACGCCGGGAGGTTCAGAACAAGAAGCGGCTGGACGAGAGAAAGAAGGCATAAATCTGAAAGGTGGAATGCCACCTTGTGTATCTTGCATATTTCTTGTTGAGCCTGGACGTTCCGAGCTCCAACTGTACTATACTATTGCAATCATGATCTATTTCTTCGTTTCATATTTTCATCGGTGCCATAAGAAACCAGCGATATAGAGAGAGTCCGATGAAATGAATATAATGAAACCATACAAATATTACACAAAAGAGAAGATAAGAGGTAGAAAATACATGTGAGAAAGAAAGAAGGGGGGAGGGGGAATAACAGAAGGACGGAAAGTCGCAAGAAAAGCAACATGATAATTTACATAGAGCACAATCGTTTCGAAGCAAAGAAAGAAAAGGATACACGATGCAAGACCTCTCGAATCCACATCAGGAAATTCGTCCTAAGACCAGCCTGAGCATCTCCAGTATCGATAATATGACATTAAGTATGTGATCCAATCTTTGATTGGAAGATATTTTTTTCTAAAACAAACTCCGATCATGCTTTGACTCCGCGCTTCTCATATCGAACAAAGGACGTACCTAAAGGCTTGGAGAACAGGGACTGGGTGTGGTCAGTTAATTCCATAGTTTATGGTGATAGGGTATAAACTTACCGAATAGTCTGTCTCGGGGAACGGTGTCTCAGCGCTAGGGTTGGAAAACTTGAAATGTCTCACCAATGCAGCCATAATTGTACCCAGTTGCACATAGGCAAATTGCTCACCAATGCAACGATGACGGCCAGCACCGAAGGGCAGATAGGGACTGTTAGTGCCTTTGGTGACAAGTCCGTAGCCATAGTCGATTTGCTCCTCATCTTCATCCTTGGGCGCCTCGGCCTCATCCCAACGGTGGGGGTTCCATTTCAGAGGCTCCGGGAAGAACTCTGGAGAGCGGGCAGAAAATCCGGGAGAGGATAGGACATTGTGAGTGGTGGGAATGACGAAAGAAGTACCTTCCACAGGCATCGGGTTTTTGACAGCGCGAATGATTGAGTGAATAGGAGCGTGAATACGGAGAGTTTCCTTGATCACTTTGTTATGCAAGTCAAGCTTCTGAAGACCTTCGTGGGTGAGTGGAGGCAGATCGGAGCCCAAAACCCTGAGCTGCTCTTGATAGAGCTCTTCCACGATCTCAGGACAGGTGGCTAGGCGCAGAACTATCCAAGCCGCGGTAGATGACGAAGAATGCTGACCAGCCATAAGCAAAGCGATCATCATGTGGGCAATTTCTTCGTCAGGAATTGGTGTGCCGTCCTTGTAAGTGCACGACATCAAGTTCCAAACCATGTCCTGGGAGTCTTTCTTGTCACCAGCTGCGCGACGTTCCTTGATGATATCCATGTATGTCTCGGCCATTTTCTTCTGTGCAGCATCGCGCTTGCGATTGTGCGGGAGCGGAGCCCAGGGGAGTACGAAATTAATAGGAGCAAAACCCTTATCAAGGTCATGGTACATTTCAGCAAACGTTGAATCAAAACGATCGCGGACTTCCTGTCCTTGCAACGAGCGGGATGCGGTGTAGATCGTGATCTCGGCAATAACCTTAGAGACATTGAATGTACCCTTGGGGTCTTGTAAAGCGGGAGACTTCTTCACAAAATCATCAACTTCATTGGCGATCAAGGAAACATAAGACCGAAGGGCCTCGGAGGTGAGACCGAATTTCACAAACTATAGCATCGGTCAGCAGATGCCTGTCGTGACTTGATCCTTTCCATATACCTTCTTTTGCTCCATGAGCTTAGCGTTGGGGCAATCGTAGACGACATGACGGCCGAACACGGGGGTGGTGAGAGGGGAATAGACTTCTTCGGCGTTCACATCACGAAGTTTGCCATTGAGGATGAACTCGTTGCCCTTGGTGCCTAGGTAGACCGTGGTCTTCTTGCCAAGAAGCACGAAGGTGAAGATATCGCCATACTACCGATGTTGAATCCGAGATTAGAGATTGCTCTGCAATATGGGCCACGAATCTGCAAAAGATACTTACCTTTGCGTGGGCCTTGGTGAAAAACTTATATGGCTCCATGCCATAACTGATGGTGCTTCCAAAAAAGGGGAACCAATGGAAGACCACAGGAGGCTCATGGGGGTTCTTGAAGAATAATTGGCGCAAGACATTGATCACGACCGATAGCGCAACGAAGGACAGTACCCCAACGCTAGCCAAAGTGTAGATTGACTGGGTCGAGCAATGCTCGCAAAAGGCTGCGAGAAAACTGGCGAACAGACCCATGTTGGAAGGAAGAATGAGGGTGGTGAGAGAGGAAGAAAAGAGAAGGGCAAAAAACAGGGGATCGCAATGACCCTAGGAACCTATTTGATGACCTCCAATGTTAAAACAAAAACGAAAAGACAAGACAGACAAGACAAGAAAGACGGTTGAGGGGTGAAGGTTAACCAGGAGGCGAAGGAAAATAATTAAGTCCGTTATCATTCGGTGAGACGGACCCGCCCCCCTGTGGTCTAGAAGAACCGTACGGAGTACCTGGAACCACCTACCTCAGGTACATAACAATACTCCATACGGAGCGTACATGGAGTACGGAGTATAGGTTACCTACTCCGTAGATACTTGATAATGGGGATCGACTACTGCGTACGGAGTACTCCGTACTCCATACATGTATAGTTCAATACAGACATCGTAAGTTGGTATGTTTATCGAGGCCCCCAATGATCATACTATTGCACATCAGACCACTTCGGTCAAGGGGTTCCCGCTTTGTCCCTCCCCGTACCTGTCGATCTCAACCCATGTACGGAGTACATCGGCATATATGGATTACCTGCCTCTGTTTCTCGTTTTCACCAGACTTCAAGTGAACCTCATTGGTATACATGTCATTTCAGCACCGGATTCGGACCTAACTACCTAGGTATATCGACCCTATGCGCCCCCAATCCCAATGATATCCCAAATACACGCAAAGAAGATAATAATGACCAAAAGTCATCCAGAACTACAGGATCCCTAGTTATCGTACAAGATAGGATCACCGTGTTCCCCGATATTAATGAAATCTTTTGGAGCCCGGTGACCACTTGGCGAAATTTCACGTTGCGACGCCTTGGCTGGCCGGTTGTGGATGCGTTTCCCAGCTTCATTCCGGAATACCTTGACAGGTACCTCGCTGCCTTCAGCATGTTCACTGAAGTGAGCATCGTTGACGCTGCTCAGTAAGGTCCGCTCCCGTTGGATTTTGCGCTTGGAAAAGTCCAGTTTCCCGAGAGCCCCAGTCAGGCCATCTGTACTGTCGCTGAGACTCAGGTTCTTTCCGGTCATCCAGGGATGTTCAAGACACTCATCTACCGTAATTCGCTTGTCGGCATCCACAGTAAGCATCCTATCGATGAGGTCCAGTGCAGGATCGCCAACAGAGTCCCAGTACGGAGATGGGTAGTCGAACCTGCCCATCTTAATCTGCTGGGCGAGAGTAAATCGGTTCTCCGGGGTGTTTAGTTCATCCGAGAATGGTGGGAAACCGCATAGGCAGATGTAGAGAACAACACCAAGGGACCATACGTCCACAGCCTTCGTGTATTTTCGATAACGGGAGTCTTTCAAAATCTCCGGAGCAACATCTGCAAAATTAGTAACAACATTTCAGGAAGCCCGACACTCCAACTCACAGCTCGGTGTACCACAGCTGAGGGGCAAAATGTATTAGCGACCTATCCTTACTGCCATGGACAGGCTTTTCACCTACAGGGTCGTTGTGAAGGACTCTTCTCCAATAATTTTAGCCAGCCCAAAATCGCCTAGCTTCACATTCAAGTTCTTGTCCGCAACCAGGATATTCTCTGGCTTGATATCTCGATGGACAATTCCACGTTCGTGCTGACAACGCATTAGCCGAAACTGGACTGTTGATAAGGGCTTCTGATATACATACCAGATACTTCAATCCGTCAAATAGTTGACGGAACACACCGCGAGTTTCATTCTCGGTCATTTTCTGATTGTTCACAATCCAATTGAATAGTTCTCCCTCAGGCGCCAGTTCAAGTACCAGATAAGCACCATCACTTTCGTCGAATGATTCCTTGAGACAGAGTAGATTTGGGTGATGAACGCCCATTAGCAAGGCAATCTCTTGCTGCAGAGCTTCGTCTGTTTGTGATTTTTGCGAGTCACTGAGGCGCTTTTCAAAGACCTTGACTGCATACTTATCCCCCGTAGATCTATCGGCACACAAATAGACAGTTGCAAAGTGGCCTTTGCCGAGCTGTTGAAGGATCCGATATTGCTGACGGAACCCATTGGCTTCCCGAGTCCGAGGATAGCGAAAGACGAACCGGGCTTCATTCAGAATCGAAACTTCATCCCCATCCTCCAGTTCCCGGTGCTTATTGCGTCCAACAATGGCATCGTTCACGAATGTTCCATTGCTGGAGAGATCCTCCAACATAGCAACCATGTCGCCTTTCCGATTTTCGGCAAAGACGAGGAAGTGGCGGTTTGAAATTGTGGGGATTTCCAGGACAAGATCTGAGTATGGTCAGAATAGACACGCTATAATGACGAGCAAGTTATCACTTACCACATTCCCGATGACGGCCGACTAAGAAGCCACCGGGCGACTTGGCACTTGTGGACGTTGGACATATTTTGTCCTTGGATTTGGCAGTACCAGTACCGTCTTCACAGCCACTGCGTTTCCTCAGCACGAGTGAACCATTCCCATTATCATCCAATGGTAGCAGGTATCCCCAGACCCCTTCGGCATCCTCGTCCTTCACATCGTCTGCGAAGGCTCTGGGTGGATAAACAAACTGCGAGAGAGCCTGGGTATCCTCCGGTGGCTGCGAAGAGATACCGTCCGACGATTCGGGCTGGGATTGCTGACGAACGTTGCGAGGACTGTCGGGCGGTGTTACAGTTACTTCATTGCGAGTCTTCGTAGCGGTAGATTGAGGGCCAATGGCCGGAGTTGGTAAGTAGTTCAGGTCTACTGGCGTATCTTGTGGTTGGACTTGACTCGAAATTCTTTGAGAGCGCCGCGGTTTCTTTTGGTCTTGTGAATCTGCATCAGCGGTAGCCTATAGTGTCACTCGTAAGTAAAAACAAATTCGCCCCAAGACCAGTGAAACATACTCGGGTGCGCTTGAGCGAGCTTTTCTCGCGAGGCGCCATCGTACAGGGTGCGATCACGGCCACTGGAGAGGGTTCTAGACCAATTAGCGAGGTGAGTTTACTCCAGCACGACAGGCGCGTATGGAGGGTGTGGAGGGTGTGGATAGGGTTTGTGTTCTTTCCCCCCTACTCAATGCTGTACAGTAGGAATAAACAATTAAATTTCAAGAATTTAAGAACTGAAGAAGAAACATATGTGGAGAAGAGACACCCACGTATATCTTGTCTGGGGCGGGTGGAAGACCTGGGGAGAAGGGCTGGAGAAAGCTCTCTCCCCTGGCGCCTCTCCGCCTCAAAATGGCGAGAACCAACACGAGAAATCACCTACGTAAATTCGATTTGATGTTTACAAATCGCACCCATACGACGGATACAATTCTTCTGGAAATTTAACAAGATAACATAGGTTCTACATCTACCGAGACATACGCGTAGATTTGGATCTATACTTGATGTACTCCGTAAATAGGTGTTCGGACCTACGTTCGCGTCGCTGGCACGTGCTGTCTCCCCTGACCTCATATTCGCGCAGGGGGTTCCGCATTCTTATAACCTTAGGTTCTTCACAATGGACGGGTATGTAAGATATTTAATGATTGAGGATAGTGCTAATGGATAATAAAAGCCTCTCAGGTGGAATCAGACGTTTGGCTTTCCAAAAACTAGCTGCGTTGGCAGTTGAGGCGCCCCGCGATGAATCGGAGCTCACTCGCCTTGCGGACCAGTCTCGGTTGAGTCGTCAGCCCGATGGTGCCTTGAATGGTATTTTGAGGGACCAGGCCCCTATATCTCAGGTTCCAATGGTGCGTCTGCTAGTTATCAACCTCCGGTGGCGTAGGGTATAAACTAACCTTTGGACAGGGCATCCGCGAGCTCGATGTCCTCCTGGCCCTATGCAAAGCAGCCTCCTCGGTAAACGACCCAGAAAATGCTGCTCGATTGATGTCACAACTCTCTCGATATCTGCCGGAATCCCACAGTCAGCTATTCCGGCCGTCGCCCTTTCTGCATAGTGTAAAGCCGTCGCCTTGGGAAACCCTAACATACAATTTGGTCATCGCACTTTTGTCACTAGGAACCAAGTATCCAGACATTCGCACAACGGCTCTTCGGGCCGTGCACAGCTATCTGAATAACTGCACTGAGGCTATCAAAGCAGTCACGCCTTTCCAATATTCTAGATCTGAGACGGGGCGGCAAGGCGTTGTACATGAATCTCTTGCCGTGTTGTCAATTGCAGTTTCCCTTGTTGGGTTCATGGAAGCCTCAGCCGAGCATACTTCTATCTGGCATGCGAGCGAGAAATTACAGATTGTCGATAATCTGCGTGCAATGTTGTCCGAGCCTTTTATAATTGCAGTTGAGACGGCTTCATCCACCATTCGCAATGCCAACGTTGCGGAACATGCTTTCAGTGACTGGAGAAAATATACTCGTCGATACGCTGCTCATGGTCGCCCCTTGGGTGCTATGCTCGTACAAGAAGGCTTCATGCGCTTTGTAAAGTCATGCGCAGCATCTCTGATCGGCTTCCAGCATTTGACTGATGATCAGCTCTTGGACGACTACATGACTGGTGTCGGTATTGCCAAGAGTTATGATGAGGCAGATATTGCTCTAGTCGAGCGCGTCACTGATATCATTAGCGAGGAAATCCACTTGCTAGAGGATGGCTCCGATTATCTGCAAGTTGGCTCACCTTGGCAGCAGCGCCTTGCCTTCTCTGTGAAGGGCCATGCTCTGGTAGGCTTCCTGAACTGCGTGATTCTTGGCGAAGATTTAACCAATAACGATATGTTGCTGTCCTGGCTCGAGGATACTTTGCTCGATCCCCAGCAAATGTCGAACGTGGAGCTATCTGTGACCGTTTTGAAATGCACCGCCATTCTTGCAAGAATGTCGCCGAATGGTGCATCTATTGGAAGACGGTGTCTTTTGAGATTCTTGGCCCAAGGAGGTGTGTCAGCTCGTTCCACCGTCGCTGTCGCCTCCCGGTGCCTCGCTCAAATCCTGACTATCCTTTCCGAGGATGCTGTGATCACTACCCTCTATTCACTTGGCAATGCACTAAGCCCGAGCACGAATGTGGATCAATCTAGCCAGGATCAACTGATCGGGGATCATACCGGACCCGGAATGAACCTTGAGGCATACCCGAAGAACGCAAGCCAGACTTCGCTCTCGGCCAATGGTGAGGACGACACCGTGACCTACAGAAATGTCATCCATGCCATTGTGACAGTTGCAACTCACTGCAATGATGGGAAGATCAGTGCATTGGCTCAATCTATGCTTCTCCAAAAGATTGGCAAGATCAATATCACGGTGGATGCCTTTATCATTCAGGAGACTGCCGTTCTTGCTTTAAGCGGCGGACAAGCTGAGTTCCAGCTTCTGTTGAAATTCTACGCACGTATCTACCTTGACGGCATCAACAAGGGACTAGATACTATCTCTGATGCTGTCCAGTGCGCCATGGCTTACCTCTCGATCACTTTGGACCAGAAGTCTCCACTTCACAGACTTTATCTAGTCCATCTGTTAGAAAGCATTATCAACAAAGGTGATGTGCCAGACCGTGAAAATGAACGCCACAAGGAAATTGTTTTTGCTGCAGATGATATCACTCCACTTCTGAAACCGCTCGCTCTGCTCCTTTCCTCCAAGGGCAGCCCTACCGGGGCTTCCTGGTCGATCCTGGACTATGATGAAACTATTCTAACACTGTTCCGTGATGCTTGGTTCAATATCGCCATTCATGGGATATCCCTTAGCTCTAGTGTTGCCCAGCGGCACCACAAGGAACTTCGCATTCTTGCACATCACTCCCCGCCCTTGGTGGCCGAGAATCACATGGACTCGCTGGAGAGCGATGTAGAATTGAACACTGTGCTCAGACGTGGGATGGGACCGCAGCGAGTCATGGAGCAGAAGAAAGCATTGGTCTCCGAACTTCCTGGCCGTGAATCCGATATCAAGCGACTGGACTATTCAAGAGCAGTGTTTCTCAATGCTGTGATCTTGGTCGAAAGCCTCCGAGCCTCTTCAGGGGACTCTACCAAGATTCTTAGTTATTTTCTTGATCCTGCATTGGCCACACCAGAGATGGTCGTATGCACCAATGCTGTTGCGGACAAAGCGGTCACCAGTTATCTGTCCTTAACACTCTCCGGGGAACATGATGAGTTTTCTGCCCCTTACCTGTCCAAGCAGCTGGCTGGGTTCCTGGTGGCCTGCTGTCATCGCATTGAAAGAGTTCAGAGTATTGCGACACAATGTGCGGATAAAATCATTCGTGAATGCCCTTCTGCCTTGTGTGAAAAGCATTCACTCTTTGCTTTGCTTGAAATTCTGACAGTCATGTGGTCTTCCTGTCTTCAAGGAGAACTTGATGAGTTTGAGTGGAAACCGTCTTTGGTTTCTCCCATGGGCATTGTCAAGGTTGAACTGCCGGACAACTATGCACTGAGAAGAGCAACTCTGAATCGATTCCATGAACGAGCAAGAACTTGGGTAACCACCGTCTTGAACATTGCCCCACTAGATATCAAAGGATTACTCCAAACCTATCTTTCCGAATACGATGACGATGGTGGCTATGGACATATTTCAATGGGACGTTCATTTGCTCTCGAAATGGGTTCCCTGATCCCACAAAGTGACCCACGACTTGGGTCCATCGATGGCTACGGAAGCACACAGTTCAATGTCGCATCTGATTTTATGGCACTATACACAACACGCCAGAAATACCGGCGACCAGATATGCCTTCTCTCGGTGGGCTGGACGGGGAATCCTACAGCCAATGCGTTGATCAACCTCGCGTCGATAATCTTCCCGAATCTACTGAGTCTTTGGAAAAGATTCTTGGTCGCCTCTACGAACGGAGCATCGCTGGCGAGGAAATTTCTGTGGTGGAGGTTAGAAATGTACTTCGGCAGGCTGCGGGACTTATTTGCAGCAGCAGCAAGCCACGACTCTCTGTGGTCCATTACTTGGTCGCGTTGCCTTTCCAGATTTTCACCAAAGAGACCATCAAACTGGGTGTATCCCTCTGGCTTGGGGTTATTCATGAGAACCCAAGCACCGAGCCACGAATCCTATGTGAAGTCATCGAGGGGTGGGAGAGAAGCATGAAGCGCCGCAAAGGATTGTTTGATCCTACCTTCGAATACCTCGACCCACTCCACACTAGAATTGAACTTTTGCCAACTGACAAGGATCTCATGCTCCGGATGCAGCAAAAGGCTCAAGATACTGTCTCGCCGCATCTACGCGTTCTTCATTTCTTCGAAAGCCATTTCAATGCTATTCGTCTAGGAAATTTGCAGGATCAACAGCTTTTCTGTCGCCTAATCAGTAGCACGGTTGTTGGTCTCTCAAAATCTCAGGGGCATCCGTTGGCGAGGGAAATCCATTTCCGCATTGTGCTCCTTGGTCTCAGAGTTCTGAGACATCTCAGTCCTCGAAACAGCGGTGCATCGTGGAAACTGAAAGATCAGATATTATCTGCTGCTCTGAGTTGGTTTAGACATCCTCCAAGGTGGTCATTCGGAGGTAATCGCCTACAGATTAAAGCAGAAGATCGAATTCTCAGCGAGGTCACGGCGGTTCTACGAAGCGTTGCGGGAATTGCTGCTCTTGCACAAGGGTCGTACAAATCTTTGCAGCCTAAACAAGAATTGCTTCAAGTCCTCGTGGAGAATGAACGATCTCGCCTTCGGGTTTGGCTCTTTCCCCTAGAACCGGAGCGAAAGCACCATATGCCTTCCATTGGTGGCAAGAGTCCTGATGAAGGCCCCGTATCTTTACTTCGGCTTGCCTGGGCGGAAAATGCAGGGTTGGCTATTCAGATGGCTACTCGGTTCCCCTCGACCAAAATGCAGACTGATATTAGGTCATTGATACTGAATTTCCCGGAGAAAGTCATCGAAGAACCAAGCGCCCTGGAGATTATGTTCGACAACTCTTTACCTGCCGATGTTGGTCCGCAGTTGAAATACATGCTATATTGGGCTCCTGTCACTCCTACGGAGGCTATTACATATTTCATGCCTGCTTACGGCAATCATCCCTACATCTTGCAGTACGCCATGCGGGCGTTGGAGAGTTATTCAATGGATGTTCGGTTCTATTTTGTACCGCAACTGGTGCAGGCTCTACGCTTCGATGCTCTGGGTTATGTAGACCGCTACATTCTCGAAACAACCAAGTTATCTCAGCTGTTTGCTCACCAGGTTATTTGGAACATGAAGGCCAACTCCTTCAAGGACGAGGATTCTCAAATAGTAAGTTTAATGCTCCCCCAGCTCAACGTCTATTACTTAGCATTTTCGACTTTTAACAGCCCGATCCGATCAAAGACACACTTGATCGTTTCCTTGATAACTTGATTTCAAGCTTCTCAGACGAAGAGCGTGCTTTCTATGAGAGAGAATTCTCATTCTTCAACGAAGTCACGGGTGTCTCGGGCAAACTTCGCCCCTATATCAAGAGAAGTAAACCCGAGAAAAAAGAGAAGATTGAGGAGGAATTGCGTAAGATCAAGGTGGAAGTCGGAGTGTATCTTCCTAGCAACCCCGACGGCGTAGTTGTGGGCATTGACCGGAAATCTGGTAAACCGTTGCAGAGTCACGCAAAGGCACCTTATATGGCGACATTCCGCATTCAGAAAACACGGCCACGATTGATTGAAAAGGCCGAGGCCGATTCTAGTGACCATCACCACCAGCATCAACGGCAATTGACCAATCATTCCGAGCCTGAGCAGGAGACCTACGAAGTTTGGCAGTCGGCAATTTTCAAGGTCGGTGACGATTGTCGTCAGGATATGCTTGCCCTGCAGATGATTGCGGCTTTTAGAAGCATTTTCACCAGCGTTGGCTTGGACGTTTGGGTCTACCCTTACCGAGTGACCTCAACAGCGCCTGGCTGTGGTGTGATCGACGTGCTTCCCAACTCCATTTCTCGCGATATGCTCGGTCGCGAGGCAGTTAACGGGCTGTATGACTACTTTGTGTCCAAGTATGGAGGCGAAGACTCTATTAAATTCCAAGAGGCGCGGACCAATTTTGTCAAGAGTATGGCTGCCTACTCAGTCATATCCTACCTGCTGCAATTCAAGGATCGGCACAATGGAAACATTATGATTGACGACGCTGGCCATATCATTCACATTGATTTTGGATTCTGCTTTGACATTGCGCCGGGCGGCGTGCGATTCGAGCGAGCACCGTTCAAACTGACCTCCGAGATGGTCGCTGTCATGAGTGGAACTCATGATCCAGCCCACCATCAGGGCGGCATCAACTTGCCAGGCAGTTCCCATAACCCGACCACCACGCAGCCATACCGGTGGTTTGAGTCGTTGGTGGTGAAGGCATTCCTTGCATCGCGCCCGTATAGCACGAAGCTGGCCCATATTGTATCCCTCATGCTTGACAGTGGTCTTCCATGCTTCAAGCCCGAAACACTGAAAAACTTCCGTGACCGGTTTGTTCTGGACAAAAGCGAGCGCGATGCCGCCGAGTACATGCGCGAACTTACACGCAAATCGTACATGAGCGTATCAACCAAGGGTTATGATCAGTTCCAACTCATGACCAACGGTATTCCTTACTAGGGCAGTCTATACAATTCAGTATTTGTCTCTTTTATACACCTAATATGCTTCTGGCCTTTTGTTCGCCATGTTTTAAGATAGTTCAATCGCTTCTATGCACGAAGGATGGAGTATCACATTGCTATATTAGACAGTGGAGGTGGATGTAGGTAGATCAACCGCAGTCCACCAGCTTAAAATAAGCTTACGATATTATCCAGCCTTTTTCTTCTTCTTCTTCTTCTTCTTCTTTGGTCAATTCAAAGATCAAAAACAAAACAAAAGTCCGGTTGACGTCATGACTTCACGGTCACAACATCCTGACCTTTTCCCTGCTTCCCTGCTTCCTTGCTTCTCCGGACAATACCCCGGAGTACCTTAGAGACAGCTGTTTGCCCCTGGACAGTCGACTCAGGTATCACGCCGGAGAGATCAAAAACCACCGAAGTATACATCCAATCCGTCATAAGTGTGTACATTAGACCGTCTATTCAATTGATACCACACTGTACATCTCTCGACCGCACTGACGCATTTAATGCATGACGGTATAGGCCTGAGGACGTTCCGGAAGTGGCAATATGACGATGTAAAGACACTGTGACCTATAGGCCAGACCTTTATAACCGGAAAGACACAGCCTGGAAACACAACCGAATTCCCCTCCCCACAACCAAGCCGTATTTGGTTTGACATAAGTTCTTTTGACTGTACATACCTCCAATCCCTTGTTCTCACCATGAAAATCCCATTTCTCCAAAAGGCCGGTAGTGGAAGAAGCACGTCCCCACCATTGACGGACTTCTCTGGTGAGCCGTCGGCTGACCGCGAGAAGAGAGGCAGCTTTATGGACGAGTCGCATGTGCCGTGGGTGACATGGCGGTCGGTGCTACTGGGCGCGTTTGTGTCTATTGGTGGTATCATTTTTGGATACGATACTGGCCAAATTTCGGGCTTCTTGGAGATGAATAACTTCAAGCAACAGTTTGCCCAGCTCAAGCCGGATGGAGAATACAGGTTTAGCAATGTTCGGTCTGGGTTGATTGTCTCGATGGTGAGTAATATTTCTCGCCACATCTCTTGGAATGACAAGAGAAGTGGAGAACAGGGCGAGGTTGGATCTTCTGACGCTTTCCAGCTCTCCATCGGAACCTTGATAGGAGCCCTGCTCGCCGGCCCATTGACAGACCAAATTGGCCGGAAATGGTCGATCTTCTTCTGGTGTATCATCCTCCATGTTGGATTGATCATCCAGATTTCCTCGCCAGCAGGGAAGTGGTATCAGATGATGATGGGGCGATTCGTCACCGGGTTCGGCGTGGGAGCTTGTTCGCTGTTAGTTCCCATGTACCAAGGCGAGATAGCACCGAGACATATCCGAGGAGCGATGGTGTGGTAAGTAACAGTTCCATGCCATATGAGCCATAACCCTAACAGCACATACCAGCTCCTACCAGTTGTTCGTGACACTGGGCATCTTTGTCGCATACTGCATCAATTTCGGCACGGAGAGCATGGACAGCACAGCATCTTGGCGAATCCCACTCGGGATCACATTTCTGTGGGGTCTTGTCCTTGGAATTGGCATCCTATTCTTCCCAGAAAGCCCTCGATTTGACTATCGGCATGGCCGCGGGGATCGGGCACGACGCACCATGTCCAAGCTGTACGGCATACCCGAAAACCACCGGGTCATCGTGCATGAGCTCGCGGAGATGCAGGAGCAGCTAGATGCGGAGAAAGGATCGCGAAGCGGCATCTATGGATGGGTCGAGATGTTCCAGGCGCCGCGCATGCCCTATCGCATCGTCCTTGGCGTGGTGCTTCAAGCTTTGCAGCAGCTGACTGGTGCCAACTACTTCTTCTACTATGTCAGTCCCTTCCCTATTCATCCCTTTCTGCCCATACAGTGAACCCGGTAGGATTCATCTCGGACCTCAGCTGATTCAATACAGGGAACGGTCATTTTCAATGGGGCCGGAATCAGCAACACATACGTCACGCAGATGATCCTCGGTGGTGTGAACTTCGGCACCACGTTCGGCGGATTATATGTGATCGAGCATTTTGGACGTCGTAAATCACTGATCACAGGCGGGATCTGGATGTTCTGCTGCTTCATGATATTTGCCTCGGTAGGCCACTTCGCGCTAGACGTGGAAACGCCGAATAACACACCAGCTGCGGGAACAGCCATGGTAGTTTTCGCGTGTTTGTTCATCACTGGGTTCGCCATGACCTGGGGCCCGATGGTGTGGGCAATTGTGGCAGAACTGTACCCATCACGATACCGGGCGCGAGCGATGGCCATGGCAACGGCATCAAACTGGCTGTGGAATTTCCTTATAGGATTCTTCACGCCGTTTATTACTGATGATATTGACTTTGCGTATGGGTATGTGTTCGCCGGGTGTCTGTTTTTCGCGGTGCTCGTTGTTTATTTCTTTGTTTTGGAGGGCAAGGATAAAACACTTGAGGAGATGGATATGATGTATGTGATGCGCGTGCCGCCGTGGCAAAGTAGCAAGTGGGAGCCGCCAGCACCGGAGGACCAGCTTACGACCGATCAGCTGATGGATCGAAAAGTGGCAAAGAAGTATCACAAAAAGGAGGAGAGTTCGGCAGACAACAAGGTAGCCGAGGGCGCACCGGGACATTCGCATGCTGAGCATCCGGAGGATGACGCTGGGACAGGGCCCTCACACTTTTCTTGAAAGCGAAGAACGGGGTGACACGGACTAAAGTTGGCGGACGCTGTATATGGACCGAAGGAAAGAAGGGCTGTATGACCTCTGGGTAGATACATACACCCCCCGACATACTATATAGACTGGGTGTCATGTACTGCAACCACGATTACATATAGAGCAATCGAGTGTTTATCTCCAATATCCAGTCAACCTTAGAATGACCAGTGGGTGTCAATTTGGTAGTCATATATCAGTAAGAAGAGAATCACCCGCATCGCCAGGATGGGATGGACAAGGAATGGACTCAAAAACATGAATACATGAATAGGAATCTCCGGTGATCCCAGGCCTCAGAAAAGGAACCAACCCCGAAAAAGAAAGAAAGAAAAAACAAAAAGGTGACGATCCTCCATGAATCATTTTGATACATATTCCAGATATTTGCAGAGAGGGCCAAAGAAGAGAAAAGGAAAGAGGAAAGAAGAAAGAGTTGGGAAAACACATCTGGACGACCGAAACCCAAAATTGGACACAAGTCTGAAGACAGTAAAAGAAAATATACACCCAATAGCACCGATCGGGATATACTTCCCTGGGAAGATGACAAGAGAATGAATCTCTAATCCATAAAGTCACCTCTCAGGATCTTCTCCTGAAAGAAATCCGGCTTATTCTGCTTGGGCTGGCGGGGGATTTCCCGGCCTGGCTGCTCCATGGACGCAATGGAGGCGGCACGCTGGTGGTAACCGTGGGAGCGCTGGCTTGCCTGGGGGGAGACGGGCCCCCCGAGGGAGGGGGCACGCTCAGCACGGGAGCGGAGGGCCTCTGACCAATTAAAGCCTTCGCCTAAGGGTCGGCGGGATGTGTTAGATCTCTCATCCTGAGGAGAAGTTGAGATACTTGCGGAAGATCGGGTAGCAATGATGGCCGAGCCAGCCGGCGGAGAACGGCGTGGGCCTACAGCAGATGGAGGGGGTAGTTTCTACCATTGCCTATGCTTCCTGCACGAGCATCACGCAGTGCCTGTGCACCGAAGGAGACACGTCTCGCAAACTGTGAGTTGGGTGAGGTTCCCTGCTCGTCCTCGACAGCGTCTTCGGTGGGAAAATTGGAGCCCATTGAGCTGGAGAGACTGCCTCGGCGGAGATCGCGATTGCCTCCAAAGGCGGAGGTTTGTGTGGGAGAACCAGAGAGGCCTAGCGTGGTGATCGAGAGTCGACGCTGGTTTGGCTGCGGATTTGTAGTATGGGTATTGGATGGATTACTCGGCTTGGAAAAGATATCGGCGATAGAGCCCCGACGCTGTCGATTCTCTGCATTTGGGACTGAGATAGGGGAGGTGCGATCGTTGGACATGGTCAGATGAAGGAGGGTCTGAACTGAGAGCAGAGAAATAATCCGGACGGACTAGCCGCCCTTTTCATACAGAGGATTGGGATAGAGATGGGGAATCTCGGGAGTTGAAAGGGTAGAGTGAAGAAGAGATAGTGAAGGGTGGAGGGTGAAGGGGGAAGGGTGAAGAGTAGAGAGTAGAGAGTAGAGAGTAGAGAGTCAAGGGTGAAGGGTGAAGAGTGAAGAATGAGGGAAAAGAAAAAGGCAGAAGTGGCCGTACCACTGAGGGGTTGCACTCACCGGGAAAGAGAGCTAAGCTCCGATTTTCTGGGGAAAAGTGGCGCTAAGTGGAGAGTGATGATGTCGATGAAGGGCCTATTTTTTTTTTTCTCTTTCTTCTCCTTTTCCCGGTTTCAATTGACTGGATTCTTTTAGAAGAATTTGAAGTGGAACTGGAATGTCTTTGTTTGCCTCGAAGGGGATAAATCCCTGGACATACGGTATCTCTACATCTACAGACTTGTACCTACAGAGGTCAAGACATACTCTCATGGTGACTTCATGGCTCAATACATAGAACAAACCATGGATCTTAGAAATCCTATCCAATATACCAATTCAAATTTACAAAGGGTATCGTGCAGACCAACGCCAATCCTAGAAAAAGAGGAGCATTCGTGTTCATAGCTCCCCGGTAAGAAGAGAAATAAATAAGAAAAAAAGAAAAGAAGAAAAAAAAAAAAAACATGGACGTACATCGTGTATTGCTCGTTTCCCATGAATATTGTTGTGCGTGTGCGTGTGCGTGTGCGAGTGCGATAGGACGCTGAAGAATCCTCTCGGGGGGTTGATTGGAAAAAAGCCCTGGAGAGCGTCCTCCCCTCTTCTGCCGATGTCAACCATCATAGGCCGGGCATGCTAGACCATTGGCTATCAAGAGAGAGCCCGATCTTAAGCGGGAGGCAAATGGAAAAGCTGAATCAACTTGCGGCCGATCGTCGGCTCGATTTCGGTACCGTCACGGGCGATTTTGATCTCCCGATTGGCATTCCACGGGTTACGTAGCCCACGAGTGCGATGAAAAGGCACTCGCTCGGTCGAAACCCATTCAATGCGAAATGGTTTGCCAAAAGTCTGGCCCTCTTCCGGATCCTCGGGCTCAGCGCTCTTCTCGCTGCGCGCATCGTCGGTTTCGTCCTCCGATGATTCAACTTCCCAAAAGATGGTCCCCCGTGCAGAATCGTCAATGATGCGGCCTTGAGGCGCTGTCGAGGTTGCGGCAGTCAAGGTCACGTTGAGGTCGTCGGGCCCGGGTGGAGGCTCGGGCCGTAAGGGCATTTCTAACGCGAGCTCTTCGTCGTCGCTGATCGGCGACATCATCCGCGCGTATCCAAAATACTCACCAGACTTATTGGCCGAAAAGATCAAATAAACTTGATCGGCCGTCTAGACAAAAGGTCAGTTCCGGTTATTACGAGCGTCCCAGCCCGGGGGGAGGGGGGCAGGGAAACATAGGAAACGTGATCTCCACTCACCTCGTAAGCCTGATTCATCGCCGCCTCATTGTGTGACTGCGTAGCCCAGATCCCACTTTGCTTGCTCAATTCGAGATCATCCACTGTCAAGCTTTTGACTATAAAGTAACGATCAACCAGTCGGGCCGATGCCGGATGGTTACCCGTAGCAGGCGCTGCCGAGCTGACCTCCGGTGTCATTGGAAGGTTTTCACTCGACTCCGCAGGCGGAGGCATAGGAAGATCCTCGAAGCATGACCGAGAAGGGTAGTTCACCGTGGAACTTACCACACTGACAGATCCGGAACCCGGAGCAGTGAATCCCTTTCGCAATCGACAGACAACACGCACACCTTGGAATCGAGAGTCGTGGAATCTCGCCAGGGCTGCGACACAGGCAGCAGCTGACTTGTAGTTCACGAAAGCACAATTACTTTTAGAAATCAGGAATACACTTTCAATGTCGTTCGTTGCATCCTGCGAGAAATGGTCCTTGAGATCCATGACATTGGCCCCAGGGGGAAGATTTCCAACCCATAGTGCATGGCCTGATTGCTTGGGCTTTCGGGGTGGGCCTCGTGGAGTGCTCGGAGCGGACGGGGTGGATTGTGAGGGGAAATCGTCTATGAATACAATAAAGCGTTAATCACTAAGCCCGGCGCGAGAAAGGTTGAAACACTCACCGGAAAGCAGCGGTTGGGCCTGCCCTGGTTTCATAGGATTTGAACCATCCACGATAGTCTTAGAGACATCATATTCCAGGTCGGTCATCCGTTTCTCGGTTTCTTTGCGTGAAGAGCTCGGGTTCAATGGTGAGTTGGTGTGTGTACGGACTGGGGATCCAACTTGAGCGATTTGACCAAGGTGCATTCCATGTCCATAGTGGGCACTGTATGGCGAATGAGGGTAGTAGCCAGAGCTGTATGGAGATGTTTGGCCGGAAGCAACGTTTGGCATTTGGATTGCATATGGCTGGTAAGGATGTCCATGCTGAGCAGATCCTGGATGTGTCGGGATTGCGTACGGTGGATAAACTGGAAAAGGCACCCCATATGCCATGGATCCGGGATTGTGTCCATAGGGAGCCATTGACATGGAGTACATCATCCCTTGCCCGTGCGCTGCCGGATACTGGTGTATTGGCGGCTCATATGGCGAGCCTTGCTGGCCTGGAAGGGCGTATGTCATATTGCCCATGTTTAAAGAAGGAGTCGTTCCATATCGAGTATCGCCGAAGCTGGAATGGTATCTGACATTGGAAGGTCGCGAGGGTGGAGCGGGGGACGTACCTGGAGATTCAACGTCAATACAAGGGAACAAGAAGGGAACAAGAAGGGAAAAAGAGCTTTAATAAATTGACTGACTCGGTCTGGACACATTTGATTCTGATACCGGGTCTGTCCCGTCGGGTGTCTTGTCCGAAGGAACATTGCCCATCGGGGGTTGAATCGATGTCAACTTCTCTAAAGCTTGGAAATACTACTGAGACTTTAGTGCCTGTAGAGAACACGTTTCTTAACTTACCCCAAGATCTTTCTTACCTTCAAATTAGCCGAAGCCCCTGGTCTACAATAAATCCCCCAAAGACTTCCCAAAGAGTCCGCACTCACTTCCAAGCCGGAACAGAAAAAAAGATGGGAAACCAATGGCAAAAATCAGATCCAGGAGATATAGCGAGTTCAAGTCCAGACTACTCAGGTCAGTGGAGGCCTGGGATTGTCATGCAATATAAAAGAAAAGAGGGAATTGGGGAAAGCTGAGGGAATTGGAAGGGAAAGAAAAAATCAGCGCAAACGTGCACTAACCAAACCTCCCCTCCACCCTCTCTCTCTTCTAGACCATACGCCCACGAAGCTTGTGGCTCCCTAGAACGAATAGGTGGGACAAACAACCGATCTCAAGAAAATAGAGGGAACGGCACAGGAGTATAAGGCCAAAGGTGGGGGGAGGAAATCAGGTATGGAACCCATAGGGATATACCTAAGTATCATTTCGAAACAAAGGGAGGGAAAACAAGACACAGACAAGAGAAGATGGACATACCTGTGTTTCAAGGTGTTACTCAGAAAGTCTAGACGCAACCAAGGGGGGCAGGAAGAGTCTTGGTGACTGGCATTGACCAAAACAGCCGAGTTGTGGCTGAAGACCTAATTTTTTGCTTTGCGATTTTTTTTTTTTTTGAAGAAAAGAGCTCCGAGAGTTTGAACTAACCCCTCGGGTTTATAAGTGAGCTTGCAGGGGAAGAAGGGGAGAGCTCCAAGACTAAATAGATATATAAGGTGAAGAGTGGCGGATGCGCAAGTGAAGATAATCTGGGTCTTACGTCAATGGCCTCGATATCAAAGGAGAAAAAGGGAGAGTAGGGAAGAGAAACGGAAAAAAAAAAAGAAAAAGAAAAGAAAATACAATGGATTCGGGGTATACTACGGAGTATGTACTAAACGTGGGTCTCTTAAAGATGTTTTGAAGGTACCCTTTCCCCCCCTCCTCTTTGTATAGGAGGATATCAACCAATCTATACTTATACAGAGACCATGGATATAGGTACCCAAGAGACTCTATTCTCGGTCTGGCCTTAGAAAAGAAATAGATCTAGCAATTTCTAGAAGCTTGCTGTTCATTCCTGAAAATAGTAGTCTCTAGATGGGTCTCATGGCGAACAGATGCAGATCGTCCTTTTTTGGCTTTCTTTTCTTTTCTTTTTTTTTCTGTTGGACGGCGTACATTTGACCAAATCTAGACGCCAGCATATGGGGCCTGTCAGAGATTGTATTAGTGACTTGCACACCCGAGGAGCCTCTGGGAGCCTGGACCAATGATGCCGCAGCAATGCATTTGTGGCGCGTTTGCCACTGAAGAACGTACTAGAAAAATATCGAAAATGAGGCTAAAAAGGACCAATGAGAGGAGACCCTCTGGTTGTACGTACAAAGGGAAACAAAGGGAAACAGTACCGTATTTGTCAAATCGGGGAGAGGATGGGCTTTGGGTCTTTGGGTCCGACGGGCGGCGCCTCATAACCGCAAGGGGAAGCCATGGGCCGAGAGGTTCTCTTTAGTCTCGATCATGGTCCCACCAATCATTTCGGGACATCGGCTCTAATAGTACATATGTATGTATATGTATGGGGTTGCCGGCTTTTTTTTCTGTGCTTTTTTTCTGTTGGCTTTTTTCTTTTCTTTTCTTTTCTAGCCTATTTCCCCCCCTCGCCCTTCTGCTTTCCTTTCCTTTCCTTTTTTTTTTTTCCATGGATCGAAGATGGTTTGACTTGGAGTTGGACAGTCCATCTCAGAGGTAGGAGTTACGGAGTAAAAGGTCGTGTGTTACTGTATGGTGTAACGGCCCTGGAGAGCAACCTTGGAACTTCAATTTGATGATCCATACGGAGTAGCGAGGTCGGATCTATGATACATAGTTCAATATACGGAGTACTCCGTATCGATTTTATCGACTTTGTTCACACTATGCCATGGAAGTGGAGATCCGACTTCCAGCGGTAAGAAGACCGTACCAGGTACAAATCAGATCGTGCATTAGCATTGTATCTTGACGAGGAGAGATGGCCGAAACGAGATGGAAGTGGAAGGTGCTCAGGTGATCCATCGGCATCTCAGGCCAGCCAATGAAAACGCACCCTGGGTAACAACGACTCAACGACTTCTTCACACTCGTTTACGTTGATATGTAGTTGCATGTCCCAGCGCATGATTTTTTTTTTCTTTCGAGTCTCAAACTTCAAGTCCCCGTAGTGGCAACCATCTACTCCTCGGTAATGACCCGTGATTCCACTGTAGTGTGTGGCCTCCAACAGACCAATCAGACATATCAGAAACAGCCACCGTGACTCTGGGACACTCATCTCTGAATTCCAATGGCGTACACATGGATACCCCTCTCCAGTGCAGTCGGTCGGTACCTTGCATCCGGCCAGCCCGAACATGTCACAACTCGGAAGGCCGTTGGACAGCATCTTCGCTCTACAGGTGATTGGCTGTCACGTGTCGGACCATTTTTCCAGGTCAGCTGACCCCTCCACATCTCCATTTATGTACTCCGTACGGAGTACGGAGTACGGAGTACGGAGCACCGTTGACTCGATGCTCAACGCATTTTCGGATCTTTTCGCCACTCCGCTCTCCACCGGTAGATGATCACATTTGATTGGATTTTCTTCCGGAGATTTACCGAAAACCAAAGCGACTCGATGTGCAATATGAAATCGATTCCGATACTACTGTACTCGGTGTAGGCGCGCAAGGCGTCTCCAAAACATTCCAGCACCTTCCATACTATGGAGGAAACATGATCGGGATTAACCCGGCGATCAGTCCAACGTGAGTGGTTTGTCTCGTCGCCGCATGTCCGGGATCAGACGCCACATTAACACCTCAGGCGCCACTTGGGTCTGACGTCACGGGTGGATCCTCTCTCTCTCTGCTCTCTTCACGTTCCTGAATCTGATTCACCAACCATAATGCGTGTGTCCACGGTGATCTCTTGACTCAAGATTGATGAGCCCCCTCTCCTGGGCAGACTCCAGCCGCTCATTTCAACAACGGAAAGCGGAAACCACACGCCGAGTTGAACGGGCTCGGTGCTCAATCTACAGTGTTGAGTACCTAGGCAATTTGCTGATTGGAGCTTGCATTCACAGCGGGTGACTCCGCCCAGCCATGAAGGACATCTCCATCCACGATTACATTTGGATCGCTGTGGAAGAGTTTGTTGATAAGCCCCGTTAGCCTGCTCCGAGACACAATTTTCCCGCTCCCTCGAAAGTCTCTGCAAGCGTCGGCCCAGCAATGACACGAAGCTGCTACCTACTCTTCCATTGTACAGTGAAACTGGAGAAAACGCATATCGCTATACAATGCTCTGACTCACAAGTCTGGATGATCTCCATTTTCGTAAAACCTCACAGCCCCCACAGAATGGATAGCAGGCATCAGCCATTTGATTGGAATCGTCTGATTGGTGTATCCATACATTGGATTATGTTATAGGTACAAATTGGTATGTTTGATAAACTGCAAGTCTTACCCTTCTGAGGCAGCCTCAACGCCTCCGGCTGGACGATCTTGTAGTTCTATTTTCGTGATACAAAATCGTTAGCTGCCGGGGTGGAGAGACTTGCCTCCAGTGATATCGCCACTGCTCGGCAACTTCGCCTCTCTACAATGTATCCGGTGGCCAGTGTCTGCGGTGAAGAACCACTACCTGCCATCTGCAGCGCCAGTCAAGTTGATTGGCGTATACATGTAGTAAATAGTGCTTGAGATAACTGCCATGGGAATACTTGCGGGATTATCATACAAGAAAAAGAATCAGAATGTAGGGCGAAGGCACCAGACCTCACCCATATCTAAATTTGTCCTAGAAGACAGGACAACCAGAGAAAGTGATGAGCAACCATCCAATAATAGGATCAAATTGAACCAGAAGGTCATCGCCTGGCTCTCAAGCAGAAAAGAGACAATGCTAAAAAAAAGGGAAAAGAGGGGGGGGGAGTCATTAGGGAATTATCGTGCATAAAGCCCAGTATAATTACGATGGGCGGCTGATGTGAATATAGACAAGATGAAGGGCGAATGAGTCCCTTATCGTTCAATTCCAAGCGAAGCCACTTTTCCCGCAAAGCGGGCGCCGGCGCTTCCTCTCTTGGACAGTTTCTCTTTATCTTTATCTCTGCTCTCCGCGAGAGTTACAGTGTTTGGTGTGGAGGAAGGTTCCTTGCTGCGAATAGTTGGGAGAGAACCAAGGGTATCGTTTGCAGAAGACCTCCCACCTAGCGGCGGTGGAGGCACACTAAAGGCGGAGGTGCGTGCGGTCCGCTGACTGATATAGAGCTGGGCCGCAGGGGAAAGAGGGATGGATGGGGGCTGTGGGGGAATCTCTGCGCCATTTTGAACAAGTAGTTCGGCGATGGGGAACGGTATGGCTTTAGCGCTAGATCTGGCAGACAAACTGGTCGGCGTGGAGCCGGGAGATGCAGGATCGGCTGCGGCGAGCGCTAGGAAGGTTGCATGGGTGTTGCGGGAGCGATCGGTGATGTTTACATTGCCACGCAGGGCAAGGCCGTAGAGAACGCCTTGAATGTCATTCGTTTTGATAGAGGCAAGGAGAGTTTCATCGGGTGTTGTGAAGCGAGAACGTGGCGAAGGTAGATTTTCAACGTAGAGTCGATCAACATATTTGGCCGTGATAAACTTCAAACGTTGCTCTCGGGTAGAGTTGCTACTTGGTTTGAGAGTTTGATCCAGGGTCGCCTCCCAAATCATGTTGCTGACACGGTTGCCAATTTGCAAAAGAATCTCAACGATATCGTTCGAGAAGGAATGAACGTCCAACGTAAGTGAGCGAATCTTGGAGATATGAGTGCCCAGAGAACGGTGAATTCCACTACATTCTATGCAGAGAATGATCCCAAGATTGATAGACACCCACTCGACCTTGGAAGATGACCCGCAATCAGCACACCAGTTGTTGCCTTGATCTGCATCCCGCACAACTTGCAGGAGTTTTGCAGGATTCTCCTCAAAATTGTTGCTGTCTTGACGAACATAGCCCGGGCGCGCACCGACTGTTGTACGGCGGATGACTCCAGCATTGTTGCTTGAGCTAGAGGACGAATAGGAGTGATGCCCAGACACCGACGAGCTTTTTCCTGTGAGGACGGAACCGATATCCCGATTGGCGGGTGCATCATTCCTAGATGAAGAGGGAGGTGGCGTTCCTTGGCCTTCAACCGCACTCTGGAGCGCATTGTTGATAGACCTGATCCAGTTTGACATATCTTCCTCTGAAGTGGCTTGGTAGATACGTTTGAACTGCGGGGTGATCACTTCGAAACAGAACCGTCTTTCTGCGTTGCGAGCTTCACGAACGGAGGCCATTCGTAGATCGATGGGATCCATGTGTAGATCAAGCTTTTGTTTCCAGTTGCTATATTCAGACAATTTCCCTTGATCCAAAACAATCCAGAATCTGTAGAGGTTAATAAACAACGGCTCGAAAGGGGGCGCTTAAAACCTACTTATGCCACGCCTGTTTGTTGATTCCCTTGGGATCGATGTGAGATCCTGGACGGGACAGTGCCCAGAGAAGGCCTTCTTTCCGTTGCTTGCCGCTGCTTCTATCGGGTGCCAGACTGTTCTGTTCTTCGAGATCCCGGATACCCTTGAAGCGATTCTGGCTCACATTATTAGTTGTCGTCGAGTTTGACGCAGGCGCACTGGTCCCCGTGGTTGAGGCAATAGAGCCTGCATTTGCCTGAGACGAAACCGATGAGGTGTTGCTAATGACTCCCCGAAGCTGGGAGCCTGTGCTATCAGCGCGACCAAGCTCCACCTCGGTAGAAGGGCCACCATTGGGATTTTCCCCTACGGGTACACTAGCCGCAGCAGCCACTACGTCAGGCTCAAGATATGGGTTGCTGCCATTTTCCAAAGCTCGACGCTTCTCCTCGCGTTCTGTTCGCTGGAATTGGAATTCCTTGTCGGCCTGGTCCACCTCATGGATAAGAGCATCCAATTGAGGAGTCATTCCTTCGACCTTTGTGGCGGTTGCCAGGAAATTCTTGGCTTGAAAATTCGCGTACTTAGTGAGGTGCGAGAGAACTTCTTGTTCTTTGCGACCTCCATGAAGATCCTGCATGAACGAAGAGTAATCAAACCGCTTCAGTTCAAAGTTCCGTCGCTTAGCTTGATATTTTGAATCGCTCTCAGCACGCTTCTTCTCTTTCAGCGAATCCTGTCGCTGCCCTAGATACCGACTGACATATGCGTAATAATCACGGCTTTCTTCGTCCCATTCCTTCCTTTTGGCCTCTGCTTGTTTGATATCATTATGATATAACTTGATCAAAGGTTCGATTACGAGTTTTTGGAGTTGGATCGTGTTCAGTTGCTCGTACTTCAAGATCTGCCGAGCAATCTTCTCAAAATAGTGGTCCAATGCAGGTTGTATGGCGTTTGCATTGGACGTGGAAGCATCATTCAATGAACCTAAAAACGCCTCCATGGCTTCGTTGCAGCTTACTTGCGCCTGCTGTGCGTTTTCGGCTTTCTTGAGCACTTTTTTTATTTTGGCTCGCATGTTCCCTGTCTTTGATTCCAGTGCTTTCATGGTCGCTCGGAACAAGGGACCATCTTCCACCCCGCTCATCTCATCGCCTGCCCGCGAATGTGGAAGGTCCACCTTGGCTGGTGGAGGAGGGGGTGGGGAGGGCGCAGTTGGTGGTGGTGGTGGTGGTTGTGGAAGTGGTGGGGGCGCGGGGGGAGGAGTTCGAGGAAGAGTTTGGAGAGAAGATTCGGCGTCGCTGTAGTGCGATAGGACTGACTGGGTTGATGGAATGCGAGAGCGCGGAAGGAGGGGTAGCTCTAGGTTTGGTGAGGAGATTTGGGGACTCGGTAGGGGACGAATCGAATTATGCACCCAGAATGAGAAATGTGCGAGGGTGTTGAGACGATTTGTTCTCTGATCATAATCCAAGAAACTGCAGCTGTTGCGCCAGCCGCCCCCTTTGTCCTCTGTCACTTTCGGGGGCTTCCATCTCCATGACCAGTCAAACGTCACGGACGGAGTGCCTTCAGTAGAGTAATCGCCGATCAACTGAACATTAGAATTATTCTGAAGGTTAGGATTTGCGTGGAACTCTCTTGTGATCAAATTATCCAGTTCTTTGGAGTTAGATGCATGAGCGAACGTGAGGCCCATGAGACTAGTATCCACCACTTCGGGCATGGTGGTTGAAACACCATTGACTGAGTTTGGAGCATTGCCGGTCTGTGTCTGACGTATGATAAAAGTAAATTTGAATATCAACTCCTCATCGTTTGACAAGCGCAGCATGAAGGTCGGGATCGGAGCGGCAGACGGCGTGTCAGGGTCCTAATGAGTGGTTAGCTGGATCATTCGGACTATTTGAGGGAGCTGCATACCTGGATATATTCGATCGGAGTATCGTCGCCAGCATTGCGCTTGGCTGCGAACCTCGCCGCTGGGAACGCGTTGGGGGATAGGGTCAGAAGACGACGCCTGGAGTTACTTATCGTGACCGATGCGATCGCGACTGATCACAAATATTTTGTTAGTGACGCAAAAGAAAAAGATTCTGAGACCCGATCTTTCCACATACAGCGATTCTGATCCTTGAAAAATAAATTCCCCGCATCATCAAGACGGCTGGCAACATTCCCCATGATGTCGCAGGCGAAGGAATCACGGCGCGAGAAAAGGACCTAAGCAGACCGATGGCCATCGATGGTCTGCGAGCCTGCAGTCGGATGGCCGGCCTAGAAAGCAGCTTGCAAAGTCGTCAAATGATCCGTCATTCAGTCGTGAGTTGTCTAAGGGGCGGAGAGGAAGAGCAAGAGGAGGGTCTAAAGGAGGGGGCGATCGAGAGTGATCGGAGAAATGTAGGCAACCACGCCGGAGGGAGTTTCAACCACAGCACGTATTTCTTTGATTATCACAATCGCTCGGGGAAAAATGAAAAATTCCAAGTTCAATATATTTTCTTTGTATTAAGCTGGTATCGATAATTCATATACATCATAAGACTCAGTTCCAGACCAAGTACAATGAAAGCCGAAGAAAATCACAGCACGAGAGACGTTTACGAGTTGGCCGCGTGCTTGGTGATCGAACGATTGGCCTCGAGTGGGCCGGCCGATACAGGACGCTCGCCAGAGAAGTAGCGATGCTTATGCTTATGACCATCGGGCTTTTCTTCTGCCTCCGCCCATCGCATCACTTGTCCACGCAAATCGCGCATTTCATGGACTCGCCGGGAAAGATCTCCTCGTTGTTTAGGATGACCACTGAGCTCATTGAGCTCATCTTCATCCGAGCTAGAGATTGACGATGATGACGTGCTGCTTTGCTGTAGGAATGTGATGATATTGCCTTGGTTCTTCTTGAACTCGCGCTGCTCGTCTTTCAGCCTGCTCATTCGCTCGGCATCGGCCTGGCAGTCCAAAGTCGTAACGTGAAGACCAGGGAAGTTAGAGGAGACAAACTCCCGTAGAAGCGGCAGTTTCTCCGCATTGGGACGATAAGTCCCACTGTCATTATCGATAAAGAGTTCGTAGTCCGCAGGATCGGTCGAGATCGATATTTCTTGTTCGTCTTCCTCCACGGGGAAATCGTCTGCTGATTCCGTGCGCCCTCCCGGTGAGCTGCGCCGACGACGATTTTTGCGCCGCCGGAGGAAAAATTCACCCGAGTACGCGATATAGATGGACACATCGCTATGCATGGTATGTTTGCTTAGCATATCGATGCCAAATTCTTTGCCGGTCTCGGTGAACCGGAGTTGTCCGTCCAACGTGAGCACGTAGGTGAAGATCCGACCACCTTGGCCATAATGTGCAAACTCCAAAAACTTCTGAGCGAATTCATGACAAGGTCTCAGAAAGGACCCGTGTAAAGTAGTGCGGTCGAAATTGTAGATCCGCTGGTGTTGATGATGGAGCGCTTTATGCAGAATGCGCCCTCGTAGACTCTGGGCCTGGAACATCCCAGCCACAAATGGTTTGAACTCCACATAGCGATGATATAATTCCGATGGCACGGGACCTGCGAGTTGCATTTGAATCGCTTGGAAGCTAGATAGATTAATATGAGGAATGCTGGGAGGAGGACAGGGAAATGTACTTATAACGGCTGATTGCTTTGCCACTGCCATCTGTGCTTTGAACCTGATCTTTGATGCCAGCCAGCCGTCCGATCATAGGGGAAAAATGTTTGAACCAATGATTGGGCCCGACAGTGTACATCTGGGACCCCACGGTGCCAGGAGTCTTGCCGAGGCACTCAATGCTGACTACTAGCCAAGATTCCTTGTGGTGACCAGTAGCAAAGGCAGAGACATTAGTGAAGACATAGACGCGCTTGCTCCCAAAGCGCTTTTTAACCTTGAAGGGCTTCTCCTTAAAACCTGCCCAATCCTCTGAGAGTGTAGGAACCTCGATGAATGCGATTCCCAGCTTATCATCGTGATCCGCGGGGTCCTCATCCATGAGAACACATTTCAACTGAAACCCCGAGGCCGGGACATTTGCGACAGTCCACTCGCACTCCCATTTGGGGTTCATATCCTTGTGCACGGTTGGAGTACGAAACCTCACGGCGGGGTCTTGTTTATGGCGTCTCGGTAGGTTGACAATCATTTGCGCGGCGACATAGGGATCGGATGAGAAACTGCCGAAGTCCGCGATAGGCAAGTCCTCTGCACGATGGAAGGTGATCTTGAGCGTATAGCCTGGCGGAGCATAGGGCATCGGAGTGGCATCAAAGCCTCCCGCAGGTTTGGGCTCGTCCATGGTCACCCGGCGATGTATTTGATCGGCCTTCTCGACGAATTTAGGGCCATATTTGTCAATCGGATGGACAGGCAAGGACCGGGGTCGGGAGTCCATGACTACGTGATATCTAGGTAGATAAAAATAAAGTCATAGACAAAAGAGGATTTCAGGGGGAGTAAGAAAAAGGTCGGGAGGCCAAGCTTTCAGCCTTATGGTCGAACTGTCCATGGGGGTTCCGTGTTAGTGTCTCCTACTCCAAGTGACCCTATAAGGAAGGATGCGACCAGGCAGCAGAGATATTCCAGCGAACGCCAAGACCCTATGACCTCATTGGTTTGTCCGACCTCAGCCTTATATGCACCCGTGACCAGAATGCCTCCAGGGGCATACATACTGTATTACGTACTCCGTACCTACATGTATGCAAGTAATTAAGGTACAGGTACGGAGTGGGTACATGATGCATACCTAGTATGGTATTGTGTATTGCATCGTTTCAATGTCACATATCACCAATATTACCTACATGTAGCTGCGTACTCTGTAGTAGCTATCCCACATGCAGCATAACTAGATGCACCAGAGTCGGTACGAAATACCTAGTTCGTGCATGATTTCTCATTAGATTTGGAATGGTACCTAGCTAAGGCAGATCTCTAGAGCGTACATGTAGGTAGCGAAACCACAGAGAAAACGATGTGAAAGTACATATATAGGTACCTAGGAGGGCCGGGATCATGTATGGAGAAGTCGCAGAGAACCCATAGGAATCTAAGTTCCTCGGAAGAGGAACTGCATGTCTTCCGGAGTCAACTTTTCCAATGCCGCTGCTTGATCTTTGTTCAGGGTACCCCGAATGAGGTTGGCTTTCTTCTCTTGCAGTTGAATGATTCGTGACTCGACCGAGTCCTCAATACAAAGTCGGGTGACAACACAAGGCCGCTGTTGGCCGATTCGATGGCTGCGATCGGCACTCTGCCATTCCGCTGCAGGATTCCACCATGGATCAATAATAAAGACTCGCGATGCCTCTGTCAGATTGAGTGCCACGCCACCAGCCTTAAGAGAGACTAAGAAAACTTCAACCTCGGGCTTAGTCATGAAATGTTCAATGGACCTCTGCCGTTGCGCCGGGGTCATCGACCCATCGAGCATGACAGTATTGAACCCAGCGTGACGCAAGCGCCACTCGACCAATTGTAGCATGGATGTGAACTGGGAGAAAATGATGGATTTGGGGGTATGGCTCTTGCTTCTCTCTTGGAAGAGTTCGTAGAGGAGCATCTCAATCTTCGTCGATGAGGTCCAATTCTCCATAGCAATACGATTGATAATGGAATTCTTCTTGACAGAGTCCTCATACTCTGCGAGAGTCGGTTGTTCCAAGTCAATGGAAAGAGCGATATGGCATTGTGGACAGTCGACATGCTTGCTGTCGTCCTGGAATGACTGGATATAATCCTTGGCGCATTGGCGACAGAACTCATGACGGCACTGAGATCGAATGGCATCCTCCGCAGGCTCATCACAAACACAACACACCGCAACGTTGAACCCTACCTGTGCTTTTTTCTTCAAGATAAGATCGGGATGATTTGCGACTTGTCGCATCTGCATGATCAACCCAAAGATATTGGCATAGTTATTCAACATAACGCCCTCGCTGACATAGGTATCAAATTTTCTTGTTGAATTCGTCATGATGCTGCGTGAAAAATCTTGTTCGATCTCGCCGAAGAATTCATTATGCAACGTGATGCGTTTAGCTGGGAGCTCCATCGACTTTGTATGTTGTTGTTTCATTCGGCGAAGCATGATGCGATCTGTGATAAGACGGAGCTTTTCTAGGCCATCTTTGCGTTGTTGCTCAGTTTTCCCTTCAATGATTGGGTTAAGGATCTCCTTGTTAAATATTGAAATGTGCATGAAACCAGTGTGGGAACACTCGGTACAACGTCCTTCTTTATTTGACGTCCACTGCAGCTGTTCGCAATCGCACTGCTTGCAAAAGTAGCATGCGAACGGCTTGACTTGCAAAAATCGAAGGAGAGAAAAGAATTCTCCAATCCGATTCTGTACAGGTGTGCCAGATAGGCACCACTTGTAATTAGCCTCCAGGGCGAAGCATGCTCTGGCAACACCCGTAGTACGTGATTTGATACTATGCGCTTCATCAAGAATTAGGCGATGATAGTGAATTGAGTGGATGACGCTGTCTGATTTGACCATCGTTTCGCCGCGAGAAAAGCCCTTCTCCTGCTTGCGATGGATGGATTCGAGACTTGCGTAGGAAATCATGATAACATCGTATTTGCGAATGTCAGCTGGTGTAAGCTTCTTGACTTTCGCGTCGGAATTGTGATATACCAAGACTTTCAACTTGCCGTCAGTGTATTCCTTGATCTCCGATACCCACTGCATCAAAGCGACCGGTGGCACGAGAACGAGAGTTGGATCGGGTTGGGGAAAATCGGACATGATAAGTGAAACTGCTTGGATGGTTTTCCCCATACCCATCTCATCGCCCAACAAACCACCCTTATATTGAGACTTTTCTTGTGCTATCATCCAGTTCAAACCCTCCAGTTGGAATGGCTTGAGCTGGCGAGTTATAGAGATGGGCTGCTTCGCCTCCTGTGGCTGGATAGTCGGTTGAGATCTGAGCACATCCCACATGGTGCTAATTGTGGGATGCCTCTTCTCGAGGTTCTTCCGGTCTCTTTCCGCCTTAGTTATAGTCAGCGCTGATAAAGTAAATCGGGAAGTAACCCAATAATCCAACTTACACGGCGGGCTTTCCTTTGCTCTTCCCAGGTCGGGGGCAACTCCTCTTCAGAGTTGTGATGTTCATCATTCAGGTCTGCTACTAGAGAATCGGCAGATCTGCCCTCTAGGGGGTTCTCCGAGGTATCTGAATAAGCCTCCCCCAATTCTGATGGCTCAGTGCTCAACGGAGAGGAAAACACAGGCATAGAACCTGGGTCCGTGTCATTATCTAGGTGTTCATCGATGAAGGCTTGGCTCAACGAACGTTGTGGTTTCGGATATATTTCTGAGTCCTCATACTCCTCTATTTGAAGAGCATGCGCCAGAGCGGCATCAGAGGTCTGAGGATTGACAGGCCGAGCACGGGTCGCCCTTTTGTTGGGGGTGTCATCAACCAAAGCAGATGCTGGGCGCTTTTTCCCTCTCTTGGGAGCTCCGAGGGATAAGGTGCTTGACTGTAGCTTCTTGACGCGATCAGCGGCATTGATGCGCGCCGGAATCTTGGTGTCGGGCTCGGTAGCTGCAGCAACGCTAGTAGCTGGAGTATTGTAGCCTGTGGACAAATTCCCGAGCGAACTCCGAGAATTAGAGTCACTGGGCGATTCATTTTTCACTGATACGACCACGGCGACATTACTCGAAGTAAAATTGTCTGGTGCCACCGAATCCGATAGACTGACATCGTCATCCTCATCTGCCTCGGAATCTTGGATGACGCGCGGCCGAGATTGAGAAAGGGATGACGCGCCCGCTCGCAAGGGTCCCGATCGACTCGATCGACGGAGGGAAGATGGGTTCTTCAATGGTGTTTCGCTGAATTGCGAATCGTCAGAATCAGGGACTGTGGCTCTACGTCTTAGCCTAGGCCCCATTTTGAATTCGAGCTAAGATGGATAGATATAACAAGTGGTTGCGCTGTGAAGATACGGATCAGCATGGCTCAAGGAGTTTGGTGGAGAAAGGTCTCACTGATTGTGCTGAGAGGCCCTAGGGGATGAAAGTGAACGAATGAGGGTGAAGACAAGAAGGTGACAAGATTCACAAGGAGAACGGATCAAGGCAACAGAGCAGGTGCCTGAACCAGAAATTTTCTTCGGAAGCAACCCGATTTCCCAGTTTCTCTTTTATCGGTGGCAAATCAATTCTCAGGGGCAGGAATCCAGTTTATCTTCCTCTTTTCCTCTTTTCCTCTCTTCTTCCCTTCTCTCTGCGCTTATCGTTGACAGATAAGAGATCTCGCGTTAAGTGAAACGCGAAATTGCCACGGGTCCAGTGACTTGGGGCCCAGACCTCGGAATTTGAGCCTCATCTTTCACTCTCCAAACATGTTAGTCACTCGGATACCTTTCCACGATTAAGCTGACTTCTTGAAGGACAGGAAGACAGAGACAACCACAGGGTATTCGGGGCCCGTATGTTTTATTTCCCCCTGCCATCTATCACTAGAGATGAGACTGATCGCAGCTATAGACGCTCTGCCTTGACTGACTATCTCGCTGTAAGTCTTCTCATAGATCTTTCTATTTATTTTTTTCTGGCTGTTTGACTGACCGCATTGATTCAGTCAAATAACATTTCAGCACAACAAATCCGAGACGATTGGGATCGTCGGCAAGCCGAGGAACTACGCCAGTCTGCCGAACAAGAACCACCCAGTGCGGCTGCCGAACAATCTAGGTCTCCGTCGAACTCACCCGACATTAAAAAACGGAAGCGCCAACAAGCCATTGCAAGGATCAAGAATAGCAAGGAATTTGCTAAGCGCAAGGCTCGCCGTAGTGGAGACCAAGGCGATGATTACGACGATGAAGCTCTTGCAAATCAAATTCACGAAGAACAGAATCAACCGAAACCGGGTCAGTTGGCAAATTGTGAGATCTGTGAGAAGCGTTTCACTGTGACTCCTTACAGCAAAACCGGCCCTAACGGAGGTCTGCTTTGCAATGACTGCTCTAAGAAGCAAAAAGCCGACGCGAAAAAACCCCCAAACAAAAAGCGAGCTCCTGGGATTGGACGACGTCAGAACCAGACTAACTTATTGGATGGGCTAACCCCTCATGGGACTCAAAGTCTGCTGGAAACCTGCATCAAGGTATGTCCATGTCCATGCCAAACCCCCGGGGCATTGAGAAGGAAGTGCTAACTATGTCCTAGAAAGTGGCTGATTACATTCATGATATCGAGGATTTCGGTGACTTGCCTCCTTCACTATTGCTGCGTCTTGGCCAAATCCTCTCCAGAAGACGGGCTGTGACTTCACGGACCTTGGATCTGTTCTTGCGACCTCAATACACATCGATCGACCTGTTTGACTGTGCCAGTAAGGAACTTGTTTCATTTTCCCTATCCGAGCCAAAAACGACCACTAATCAATAATCAGGACTGGACACGGATGATTACCATAGGATATTGGCTTCCATGCCTCATCTTACACGGGTAAACCTTCGATTTACCACACCAATGAAGGATCGAATTTTCCATTATATGATCGAGCGTGATATGGAGATCAAGGATCTTCATCTGGATGGGCCAAATCTTGTGACCGATGCTTGCTGGCGCCAACTTTTCATGAAACTTGGTCATCGGTTCCTGAGCTTGAAATTGTGGAATCTGGATTCTGCGTTTGATAATGAAACCGCTCAAGTGATGTGCCTTCATTGTCCCAACCTTCACCGATTGAAATTGAAGTTTCTCCACAAACTTGGCAATGAGATGCTTGAGGGAATTTCAAAGCTCAAGTCACTTCAGCATTTGTCGCTTCGTTTCCTGAAGGAAACTGAGATTGAAACCGAACATCTCCTTCAAATCATTGCTTGTGTCGGTTCTCAGCTGCGATCACTGTCTCTGGAGGAATTCGAATTCGTAGATGACCGACTCCTACAGCATGTTCATGAACATTGTCATCATCTGACGAAGCTCCGTCTTACTCTCAACTCAACGTTCACGGATAAAGGCTTAGCTGCTCTATTTACAGGCTGGTCTAATCAGGCTCTTACCTACGTGGATTTGAACTCGCTCCGGGACGTGGACATGACAAATCCCGCTGGTCCAGCAGAACCGATTGGGCTTGCATCTGATGGATTCATTGCGCTCATGGAACACTCGGGCTCAAAAATTCAACATTTGAACATGGCGTCGTGCCGCCACATTTCATACAAAGCGTTCGAGCAGGTTTTCGCGGAGAACAAACTGTATCCCAACCTCAAATATCTTGATATCTCTTTTAGCACTGTAGCTGACGACTATCTTACGCAATGCATCTTCCGATGCTGTCCAGCTCTTCAGAGACTGATCGTCTTCGCATGCTTCAAAATCAGGGACATCCACATCCCCAGGGGACTTGCTCTGATCGGAACCGTGGGAGCGACTATCAGGATTGATGGGATTACTCAGATTGAACCATGTTACCGGGGTATCAACTAGTATTTGCTAGGTATTGACTAGTTAATTCTTTTTTTATGGTACATTGTCCTGATGATTTATGACATTCGCTTGCCAATCTGACTTTGCCAGTTCCGTGACCTCTCAAATCCATTAGATGCAGTCTGGTAGTCAAGCATCGCTTGGTAGACCTCTTCTTGGGTGTTGAGGACGAAAGGTCCGTACTGCACAACCTTTTGGTCTAGTGGTTGGCCAGCCACAAGGAAGATACGGGCATCCTGGTGTGCGTTATCTGAAACCGAGAGTTCGACAAAGTCCCCAGCTTGCTCGAATTGGACATTGGTGAACTCCTTCACGATGCGAGTGGAGTCATTCGAGCCAAACACAGTCTCGCCAGCCAAAGTGTAGGCAAACGAGTTCCAACCTTGCGGTAGGGGCTGAGATACACGGCCACCGGGTTTGATAGTGATATCCAAGATCCAAACCGGGGTGTATGCCAAATCACGCACTGAGTCAACACCATGTGATTGGCCAGAGATGACCTTGATCTCAACACGGCCCTCGTCCACTGTGGCGAGCGGGATCTCCGCAGCGCGCAAATCACGATAGCGGGGCTCGCAGAATTTCAATTTCTGGGGCAGATCAACCCATAACTGCATACCGACGTTGGGGCTGCCGTCGTCATTCTCATGCGGCATCTCGGCATGCATAATACCACGACCTGCAGTCATAAACTGCAGATCGCCAGGCCCAATGGTGCCCTTATTACCAGCAAAGTCTTCGTGGTCAACACCACCGGACAATAGATATGTGATGGTCTCCTGGCCACGGTGAGGGTGATCTGGGAAGCCGGCACCCTTGCCGATAGTGAAGTGATCAAGCATGAGGAAGGGGCTAAAATTGCGGAGCTTGGCGGTTCCAATAGAGCGGCGCACGCGTGCACCTGCACCTTCTGCTTGCTCGATGGCAAGGAACGCCTGTCGAATTGTGCGGGGGACGGCCATGTCGGTAATAGGAGAGACTATGGGAATTGGGGTTTCCAGGCTGAGGTTGGTGGTTGTTTGGCTGACAGTAGCTTTTGTCAGAATGAGCTGTGATAGGCTAGGAGCCTGTCGCTTGATATATGCGATGAGAAATTCTGTGATACAGGTATGAAAGGCAAGAAAGATTGCTGTAATGCAAATGAAAAAGGACAAGGATGGTTTCATGGACAAGATTTATATGAATTTGAGAGAGGGGGGAAGGGAAAAGAATCTGCTAGGGTCAGCGTGAGTCAACTTCTCATCAATGCTCCCTTTGTACTATGGATTTCCATCTTCTGCAACTTCATTAGAAATGGATCCATGGATGCTTTGCAACCCATCAGTCAGCGCGGTTGAGCCAATTAACGGCTTTCCCCGGTTCCACGGAACCTTGGAAGGTTATTACCAACCCTCCTGTCAGCCGGGGCTGCCGCCCAGGCGCGTGGCAATGTCCCGTAGGGTCGATTCCTTATAAATCAGGTATTAATGCTGGGATCAGCATTAGATCAGCATCGGAATCAGGTGACCTTGAAGTTAGTCCTGGGGGAACCTTCGGAGATGAGCGATCGGTTGACTGTAGGTAGGATCTAATATAGATTTATATGTATGGATATATACCGCACCATTAGAAGGAGACAATCTATCCCAGAAACTACATACATGTATGTACATACTGAAGCTGCTTCGTTATAGGTACTTCCGTCATAGATCGGGCTTTATCAGATAAGGCCACGCAGCATGCCGCTCTCTACCAAAACCTCCCCCAGCATGTTGTAGGTGTTCCGATTATTTGTTACTTTCATATGATACCCCTTTCCATTTGATTTGCAGGACATCCCCTATCATTGCCGAATTGAAACTGCTTGGGAAATACCCCTTTCGCGGGGGATTCGCGACCTAGCCATCTTTGGTTTCTTGTGGTCCGGTCTGATCTGATCGTAAAGATGGGCCGGCCAGAAAGACTCTCGCCATGGCTGATACTGATCTGCGGTGTGTCGGGCGCGTGGGCAAATAAAAAGCCGTTCAATATCAACGATGATATCTTAGCCTATCCCCAAGTAGGTTGGATGTGTCGTGCACCCTTTTGATGGGATGCTAATGTTGGGTTTTTGCTTCAAGTATCAAGTGACTTTCCCCGAGGAATATGTGCTTGAATCCCATGCGGAAGCATTACTCCACTCCCAGGCCAGTCCGGAGGTGTATGACCAAAACAATCCTCAGGTTTACATGGGCACAGGGGAACCCGACTCCACCGACCGCCCCGAGGCATTGAATGGATCTCCATTCACCTATGAAGAAATGATACTTGAGGATCGGCGACTCCTCTGCCAGATCCCACATGTCACAGTCGACGAGCATAATGCTACGAAGGATAAAGAAAACAGCAAGACCGAGGAGCAGAAGGAGCTAGCTCACGCAACAGATCGAGGGTTAGAGCTCCTACGCGAGATGGAAGGGAAATGCATGTACTATTTCTCTGGCTGGTGGTCCTACTCCTTCTGTTATCAGAAGCAGATAAAGCAATTCCATGCACTCCCGGCGGGTCGTGGTATCCCTCACTACCCGCCGATTGAAGACACCGATACGCATTCCTTCATCTTGGGAAGATTTATCGAGGACAAGGGCGAAGAAGCGAAACAATCTACCAAAACAGATGTCGCAGAGCTTCATACAAAGGGTGGCTCACGGTACTTGGTCCAACACCTAGGTGGCGGGACCAAGTGCGATCTGACGGGCCGTGAGCGCAAAGTTGAAGTGCAGTTCCACTGCCATCCACAATCAACAGATCACATCGGCTGGATCAAGGAGCTCACCACGTGCTCTTACTTGATGGTTATCTACACCCCCCGTCTATGTGACGATGTCGCTTTCTTGCCACCACAGCAGGATGAAATACACAATATTGAGTGTCGTGAAATCTTGATGCCTGACGAAGTCACCGAATGGGAGGCTATCAAAGAGTGGTACATGGCCAACCAACTGGCCCATGCAGCTCCTGACACCGAGGCAGATCACACCCAATCGGAGCTTCCGATCATTGGTGGGATTAAGGTCGGAGGGCGAGAACTTGTTGGCATGGAAGGCAAGGTAATTGAAAAAGGACGTGTGGCATCTGCAGGTGAGGAGCGAGTGGAAGTGGTTGCGAAACGCGAAAATGGCGAGATCCAGAAAATTTCTAAACAGGTTCTCAAAAAGTACGACCTAGACCCAGAGAAGATCGAAGAGATGAAGAAACTGCTGGAAGAGCAAGCAAATGGCAAAGACTGGACACTGGAGGTTGTGGAAAGCAACGGCGTGATCAAATTCCAAGGCATCCTTGAAGAAGATGAGGGAGACTCCCGGAAATCTCAGGAAGAACAGGCCCCTGACCCTTCCGCCGGCCAAGATTCCAAAAAGCAGGAAACAGGGACGATGGAAAATCCCAAGTTGAAAGAATCTTCAGGGAAGCCTCGAGGCAATGAGGGGAGCGAGGAGACTTTTAAAGACGAACTATGACCTTTTTATAGTAGTTGTATATTTGAACCAACAGTCATCACTCTCATTCTCATTCTCATTCTCATTCTCACTCTACAGCTTCATTTCATGTCAGTTACCACAGTCGGAGAACCGAGGGAGATGCAAATTATAAATGCGAAAGGAAAAGAAAACGAAACAGAAAAGAAGTCAAAAAGCAAACGAAAGGAAAGAAGAATGTCTTTTGTAGGGCATAAGGCATACGTAGGCAACGTGACTCTGGCCCACCTTCCCGCCATCTCCTCCCTGATCCAATTCCATCCTTTCCCTCTTCTCTTTATTCTGCCCCCCACCACCTCATTCCCTTGCGCCTAGGCTTGTGTCTACCCCTCGGCACACTCCGATACCTCATCTCGACTATACCCCTGCTCCGCACACCAAGGAGCGCCAAGGCTGACCGAGCAACGACCAGCGTCACGAATCACACCTATTCCCCTCAACTACACTTCAGCCTACGATAGTTAGAGCTAGTACATTGAGACACTTGGGGGAGTCTATTTTGCCATCGATTGGTGCAGTGGGATCACGAGCTTTCAGTATGGGATTCATCGGTGTGTATTCGGCTGTGTACGACTACCAGCCACAGGGAGAGGGCGAACTCGAGATTCGCGAGGGCGACCTCCTCTACATTTTGGAAAAGAACGCGGACGATGATTGGTGGAGGGCTAAGAAGAAGGCCGAACGGGAGGATGAGGATGAACCCGAAGGCCTAGTCCCCAATAACTATGTCAAAGAGGTGAGTCTCGTTCAATGCGGAGTACAGCCGACGATGAGGGGAATGCACCTACGCAGGCTATGTTCCATAGGCATATTGCTGACCTTGAATATAATATAGGCGAAACCAGCGCACAGAGCTACAGCCCTATTTGATTACACGCGACAGACAGACGAAGAGGTTTCTTTCTCAGAAGATGCTGAGTTGATGGTGTACGACATCTCGGATCCGGATTGGACTTTGGTTGGAACCAACTCGGAATATGGGTTTGCGCCATCAAATTACATTGAAATAATTGAGGACGCATCCGCTGCGACCAATGCCCCTCCACCTTCTGCTCGAGCCGAGCCTCCCGCGCCGTCGCTTCCGCAGCGGCCCACGCAAGCTGCTCCAGAGGAAGGTGAAGCATCCCCTACTGGCCCTCCAGTCGATATGTCCCATAACCCCGCCGCTGCTGCAATTGCCAGTATCATCCACCAACAGCATGCTTCTGTGGGTGCTCCTGTTGAGACCGAGACAACTAGAGATGAGCCTCCACCCCCCAGCCTTCCAGTCCGGCCATCGTACGATCAAGCAGATAATCTCGAAGAACCACCAGCGCCTACTCTACCGCGTCGACCCCCTTCAGAACACGCAACTCCGCCTATGAGCCGTTATTCGCCTGACCCAACTCCCCCACGCCGTCCCCAACAGATGGTGTTTGCGACGGTGCCCACAACAGGCCGTGATGGAACACACGTCAAAGCGTCTCCCCCTTACAACCGGGCAGGTGAACTAACGCCGCGATCACCTTCCGGTTACCATCTCTACAACATCAATGAGATGGTTGAGGTCATGGGCAAGAGAAAGAAGATGCCTACTACATTGGGCATCAATATGGTGACTGGGATCATTTTCATCTCTCCCGAAGGTGATGATAGGCAGCAAGAATGGAGTGCAGAGAAGCTCACTCATTATTCAATTGAAGGCAAGCATGTCTTCGTTGATCTTATTAGGCCTAGCAAGAGCATCGATTTTCATGCAGGTGCCAAAGATACCGCCCACGAAATCGCAGCCGCACTAGGCGAGATTGCCGGTGCTTACCGCGCAGGAGGATTGCGGGAGGTGCTCGAGGCCGGAGAAGGCAGTGGTCCAAAGAAGGGCCAAATTCTGTATGACTTCATGGCGCAAGGCGAAGATGAAGTCACGGTAGCCGTGGGAGACGAAGTAATCATCCTTGATGATACCAAGTCTGAAGAGTGGTGGATGGTGCGGCGGTTAAAAAACAACAGGGAGGGCGTTGTCCCCAGTAGCTATGTTGAAGTCATCAGTTTGATACCGAAGGCACCACTCATGCCTGCGGAACCAGGCCTATCAAGTGTGGAAAAGAATCGAATGGAGGAGATGCGGTTGACTAAACTTTCGATGGGCAAGTCACGCACAGACTCGATGGATTCATCTGATCGCCACAGTAGGCGTGACAGCAAAATCAAGTCGAAGCCTGATCCAAGCAAAGTGCGAAAGTGGACGGATCGGAGCAAGGACTTCACAGTTGAAGCACAGTTCATAGGTCTTCAGGATGGTAAGATCCAGCTCCACAAGGTGAATGGCATTAAAATTGCCGTCCCTGTCTCGAAGATGTCGGTTGAAGATCTAGAACATGTGGAGAAAATCGCCGGCGTCTCGCTTGATGAGGACAAACCCCTTTCAAGTATCCGACCTCGAGCTGCTATTGACAAGGAATCCAAAGCTGGGGCTTCTGTGCAACGTTCCGACTATGATTGGTTTGACTTCTTCCTCAAAGCTGGCGTTGGGCCACATCGGTGTGAGCGATATGCCCAGTCCTTCAACAAGGATGCGATGGACGAGTCTGTGTTGCCCGACATTACGTCCGAGATTCTCCAGACTCTGGGTTTGAACCAAGGCGATACCTTGCGGGTTATGAAGGTCCTGGATACCAAATATGGCCGTACACCAGACAAGTCCAAAGTTCGGAACGTCAGTTTCGGTGGCGAGGAATTCATTGGTAATGGCGAGGACGGGGGGCAAGGTGGTCTGTTCTCTGGGCCTGGTGGTGTGCTGCGCAACAATACTCGCAGGGGCAGACCGACACCAAATGTCCAAGCCGGAGAAGTCGATCCAAAAGCGTTCGGTCAAGGAGACGAACCTAAATCACCAGATAGTTCGGCGAGCCCACCACCCCCTGCTGCGGCTGAAAAGCCTGTAGCGCGTGGGTTTGATGACGATGCTTGGGAAGTGAAGCAGCCAAAACAGCCTGCTAAACCCTCTGCAGCCAGCCCGAGCCCGCCACCCGCCGTATCCCAGGTACCTCCGCCCACGGGCGCCATGGTAGATTTGACCTTGCTCCAAACTCCTTTGCAACCTACTCCTGCTCAGCCTGCCGTAACCGCACAGGCAACCCCACCCAGTCTGCCATCCCAGACAATCGCCGTGCAACCACCTGTTATACAGCAACAGCAAACGGGTGCCACTTCCAGTTTATTCGAGCAAGTGGCACAGATAGGACAGCATCAACAAGCACAGGCCAGGCAACGCCCACAACCCCCCCAGACAGTTGGACAAAACTCACTCCTGCCTCCTCCCCCGCAACGCCCGTTGTCCGCACCGCAAAACTTCTCGCAGCAGCAGAATTCCTTCGGCCCTCCTCCGTTGCAGGCCCAATTAACGGGACTTCCTCAGGTGAGCTCCCCTGATGCTCCTTTTGGTCAAAGTCCAAGTGAACTAAATCAGCAGCGTTATCAGCCTACGATGCAGCCGCAAGCGACAGGTTTCATAGGTCAGAATCAATACCAGAACGGCATGATGCCGCAGCCAACGGTGTTTACTCCGCAATCCCAATTCGGTATCCAGCAGCAACAGCAATTTAGTGGTCAAATGCCCCCCCAACAAACCGGCTTCCACGGACTAGGGACGCAGCCCACGGGTTTCAATGGATATGGGCAATTGCAGCAGCCAATGCAGACCGGGATCAACTCTATTCTTCCTCCGGCATTGCAACCACAACCCACCGGTGTGAATGGTTTCATGAACCACTATCCATCTCCGCCCCCTATACCACCAATTCCTCAACAATCAACGGTCACTCCGCTGTCACCACAGAAGACAGGGCCAGCTCCTTCCATCAGATTTGGTGTCAAACCAGATGGTCCCAAGAAGCTTGTGCCACAGCCGACTGGACTCAAAGCAAACCTTGCGCAAGCTAGTAAGTGTTTATTTGTCTAATTTAACTTGCAAGTGAACAAAAGTCTAATTCGATCCAACAGCCCCCAATAATCCATTCGGTTTCTAGTCCGCTACGTTCACACCTTCTAGATTGGCGTATATAATCATGGAAACCTCTCCCCCCTATGTTCGAAAATTTGCTCATCCGGAGGACTGATTTCCACATTTCGCAGCTTGTCCTTTCGAACCAGTGCTGAATCGACATGTGTACATATCATGGCCCTGGTCCCATATTGAAGCTCACGCATAACTCTTCATCTCACTCCCCTGCAGCAACTCCCGCACTTAGCGAGCCATCCATGGACCTTTTCCTATTCTCTTTGACAGCTCTGATCATGCCTCTCATATCCTGCATTTCCCGTTGTCTCTAGCCTATTTTCATCTAACAATGGTGATGCATATTGTGTGGATGCCCTCTCCTTTTCTCTCTTCTCTTTTGTCGTTCGGATGGTTCTTTTTCGTTGTTCGTTTTTCATTTTTCGTTTTTCGTTTTCTTTTTCTCTGCCTCCTTTTTTTATCACATACATAATCCATCGCCATGCACTGAACACTGCTCACATCGGGCTCTTAAATCTATGCTCACAGAGCTTGACAATTCAAATGTAAACACAACCCGAACATAGCCTGCAGCGACATCATACAGCAAGCCCCTGGTACCTTTAAGTCCGAAATGTCCATATCGTTGGATACCAAGGCGTCTTCTCCGCGATGATGACAAAGTAGTCCCCTGGGCCACACACCCAGGTTTCTCCATTCTACCTCCTCAAAGTCAGTCCGGTAGTCCGCTAAGGTAGCCTCGATGCGAGCTAGTTGTTGTGGATCTTCTGCAATAACCAAGGCAACAACGAGACACGGCACTGCAAAAACCGCACCGAGGCGATAGCGGGAAATCAAACCTGTAGGTACGTGCATCTACGACACAATCCATATTAGGTAGCTAAACCTATAGTAAATTCATTCGCCCTCGGGGTATATTACTGCGCCGATCCTAGAAGTATGAAAAGAATCATCACATCATAGACATCCATCTCACATAAAAAGAGATACAAAAAAAGAAATACACAAGACACCATGCTACGCCCAACATGTGCCTATTCACCCGTTTTCCACCCGTTCGGATTTCAGAGTTCATTGTGAAGTCCCATGTAATCATGGGTCTTCTCCCCAAATCCCAAATACTGAAAGATCCTCGGCCATATAAAGTAGGCCATTCTCCGGAAAAATCACGTCAGAGAGCGGAGATGGACCGGAAACTGATGGAAGACCGGGGGGGATCGTCCCACCAGGAGAGCAGCCCACTGGGATCCCAGAGGTGGTTAAAGCAGAGATAGCGGTATCGTAAGACAACCCTCCCGTCGCAACTGGCCCATTACACAGGGCTTCCCAAACATCGTTCTCGACGGGAAGTTGGGATTGAGGGGGTGGTTGGGAGTGGAGATACGGAGGAGTTTCACTAGAGACTATTCCGAGGGAGGTAGGGGATGGCCCCGTTGCAGATGCAGATGGAACTGATTGAGCATCACTCCGGCGGGTGAAAGGAACATCATCGCTACTTCCCACTTGACCGAACAGTTGATCTACCTGTTTGCTCCGTCGGTTCATCCATTGTCGATTTCGTCGGGAAACGTATTCCGCTATAGCACCACGGAGATATTTGATAATCTGGAAGAAGCGGCATGCGTGGGGATCGTGCGGAACGAACAGCCCTAAGAACCGTTCGGCTTTGCTGATTCCTTCTTCTAGCGGAAGGAGATTATCGTAATCGGCGAAGAATGCAGCGCCGAGAACAATGACGGAGTTGAATACGGAGTTAATCAAGAATGGTAATCGAAGTGGAAGGGAGACACAATGGCTGAGGTCATCGACCACGTCCAGCCCTCGAAGTGCGGAATAGACACAAGCGTCGGCAAACAGCGCAATGCGCGAGCTACCGTTTCGAGTCTCAGAGGATGGATCAGCTTTGCCCTTGACATATTGGGCGACGCGATAGATGAGGAATGGTCGTGTCAATAGGATGATTGACCAGTAATACGAGCCAAAGATATGAGCTGCAGCCAGACTCCTTTCTGTCGATTGATTCTCGGGCCGCTCAGTCGACATTTTGAGGATTGCTGGCAGAGTTCGAACCCAAGCCCGATGTTGGTTCGAGATATTCTCTGCAACATTGATGGATATGACTTGCTTCATATAGACATCGGTCAGAATTTGTTCAAATATTCGACAAAGTGAGATCACAGCCCCGGAGAGTTGCTGATCCGGGCTCAAATGATGTTGCGGGGCTTCTGATACAGGATTATCGTCACGTTTGTCATAATCATAGTCTGAAGTTGCAGGGGGACGCCCTAGGGAGGCGCTGAGAAATAGATCCATCATCCGGAGACTCTTCCAAACTCGCTCTCTCGCTCGACGTTCACGCCCACAAAAGAGGGCATTTGCATCCTTGCGATGAATCCCTACGGCATAAGCAGCACGTAAAGCAATCCCAAGGTTCATGAATGCACCATTACGCCTGCACGCACCAAGCATGTACATAGAGATCAGAATGTATGATTGAATGGTGTGGATGCTGGGAGTCTCCTGGAAGGCCGAGAACGCTAATTGACGACCACTGCCAAAATATTGCTCGGCTGTTGTTTGATCAGTATCGGAGACTTGAGCTCCGATGGCAAGGACAAGATAAAATATAGAGCTAACGGTATCTTCGTCCCCTAATGGGTTTGCAACCCAATTAGCTAGTCGTGGGCGGAACTCCTCCAGGTCAAATGGGTCTAGCAATGGGCTTGTGGCAAGCACAAACTGACTAGCTAGTCTTTGGGCTTCTTCGTTGTTTGGCGGAGTAACTAGAGGTCCAGATTGGGTGTTTGGGTTGCTTTGAAAGGCCTCGAGCATAGAATGCCGGGAATTGTCTTCAGTGAACTCGCATCGGCCAATGGAAGACATAACCACACGGCGCACACTTTGCAAAAATGAGAGACTGGCCGAGTCCCCGATGTACATGAACTTTCCTTGGCCATCGCGCAGAAGTCGCGCCACTTTTGGCACTGGCGCCGTTCCTTCCTTCTCATCCTTGGCCTGTTGTTCCATATTCATCCCTTGATCGTCGAGAGAACTCAAGAGGCGGTCCATTGCCGTTTCCCTCTGCGGAGATGCAACTATGCGCTCACTCAGCAACATTGTCGAGTCCTTGCCATCCGACTTGAGTAGGCGTGCGGGCCGATCCGAAAAATGACATTCCGACTCCTTGTGCCTCTGAACACAGATTGTGCATGGCTGTTCACCGTTGCATTTCTGTTTTCGCCTTTTACAGCTGTCGCAAGCTCGTCGGCATCGGAGCCGTGCTCCCGGGGTCGTGCTGGCCCGAGGCATCCCGATTGCCCGCACTCGCGTTTGGTGAATGGGTTGGGTCAATCGTTCGGAATTGCGGTGCTGATTATCTGCATTAGATTTGCTCAAATCTTGAACAGATGGTTTTTTTTCTCTCCCTCTCTTTTGGATTGTCAAGTCATTGCTTCGGCCGCATATTAATACCTAGGTATGCATAACCGTGGACTGTTGTACGGAGTACGCTTGCTGCGTCTGCTTTCCCCGGCCCCGACTCCGCCATATGACTAAGCAGGCTGCCCTAAGTGGCCACCTGGGAGCTGAGTAGGGCTCCCAACAAGGCTGCATTCTTATTTTGTGGAATATCACGAAATGAGCATTGGCATTCAAGATTTCGGATGCATTCTGTCAGAGATCTTACGCCATACATAGCTCTTAGCGTCAGCAACAATCACGACCATGCATATTGATGTCTCCATACAGAGTAGGCTCTACCACATTCATGTGATAATAAGAGTGTGTACTCCGTATTGGTCTCATATTCATGGTCGGAACGAGACTATTTTTCCCCAGGTATCGGCAGTGCCCCAGATACCAGAACGCAGGCATTCCAACTGCACAATCTGGCTGTGATCCACAAACAGGTTGACATCAATACCAAACTCTCGGACATACCAATTGAAAACTTTAGGATCAGCAGCTTCAAACATCACACGCTCAGGAGGAAGCTCTTTCATAATCTTCGAAACCACATCGGTCCGCCATGAGTCTACATTTTCGGTGATGCCCTCTGATTCAATCATCAGCCGCTTTACACCAGCGTTCAGGAATTTGTGACCCAGGTTAACCAATTTTCCAGGATCAGAGGTCCCAATCGCTTCAAGTCCAGAGGCTGGTGTATCTCCCCCGGCTCCGAATTGGATCCCTAGTTCAGGCTTTGCTTCCAACTTATAGGATTGAACCTTATCAACGAGTCGGAGCCAGTCATCCTCTGGGAAGGAAAGGAAACCGGAAGATAATTCGATGACATCAAGCCTGGAAAAGCGACTGGTCAGATTCACAACTCATATCCGACACCGATTGCACGTACCCGAGATCCTTGCATTTCTTCAAGTAGCGGTCAAGCACCGTATTTGGATCAGGATGCGTGAGGAGATGCTCCGCCCATCCACCCTGGCACATGGAATCTGGCATCAGAGGATGCCTTCGAATATACTGGGGTAAATGAAACCTACCGTTGAAACGTAGACGCCGTGCTCATGGGCTAGGTCGATCAATTCACGCAATGATCTCTCGTGAAAGAGAGAAAATGCACCTGATTCTGTCTTAGTGTGAAGTGCGAATTGGAATTCCGTTGGGACCGACCTCCGGCAAATTTGAGGCCATCTACATGATCACCCATCCTATCGACTGCTGTTAGACGGCATGTCCTTGAGTCAATGAGATATTGCAGAACCTTACGTTTCGAGAATATCTGCTAGGTATCTTTTCCCCATGACCTGGTAGACGTTAGATTCGGGACAAGACACGGCCAATCGCGACATTGATGGCTCTGTAGTACTGACTGAGTAGTATGGGCCTCGGATCTCAGTAACTCCCTTCGTTCTAGGCTTGATGGGCCTGGGGTTTGATCGCACGAAGCCAAACCCATTCTGCTTATCTTGCAGAAGAGTAAGCCTCTGGTATATGCTCGGTGTGGTAGCAAAGGTTCGCGGTGAGATCGCCGAAGTAATCTTGGTCGCCTGAAATGGAGTGCGGCTCATTTCACCCCGGCTGGTTACAAGTGGACATCTCATGAGCAACATAGCTGGATAGGTTATTGTACAAGAATTACTGGAAGTTTGTCGGATATATTGTAGGTTTGACGTCAAGCATACTTCACCTGAACTTCCACTACGTAGGGGAACGGCAAGGGTTACATCATTTTGCAGACGGTCTCAAAGACTAAGAAGCCCCCAATACTTCATATTCCTGTACTCCCATACTCCATACTCCACACTCCATACTCCGTAGGTACTCTGTACAAGAGGATTGAAAAGAAGTACGGAGTACGGAGTAAATGGGGTCCCGGGGCCATGCTTATTCAGCTCCGAGGCGGTCTCGGATTTCGGCATCAAGACATCCGAAGCTCTGTATTTGTACAAGAAATATGAACATAACTCACACATAATTTCCCGACGGAATCACGGGTGTCGAGGTATGTTGGTGCCTATCTCATTATGCTACCTGACAACCTTGGAACGTTGGAGACATTTGGGCATCAATTCTTGTTTGACTCCGTACAGCAACCATTCTGCTTTCCAAGGTTCCTTAAAGAACATGGATATTCGGAGCTCCTTCTTGCCCCGCCAATCTGACTACCTAGGTAAGAAAGCCATGGAGATACAAGAGCAATACGGAGTACTCTGATATGTACTCGGTAAATACGGAGTACGGAGTACGAGTATCAGACTACCTCCCTTCCCGAGGGTTGCCAAGGACAAAGCGCCAGCCTTGTGGATGCCATGTGGATCCCACTTCTGATGTACGGAGTACGGAGTATGTGGTCTTGGCTCGGTTTGGCATCGATTCTCAGAAAAGGGCCAAGGAAAAAAACAAACACTGCTTTGTTGACTGGAATCCGGTGACTTCCGCCCTGGCGCCTTCTGGTTGGCGCACTTTCGGTTTCTTGACCTGTGGATATACATCCGAAAACCTCCCCCCCCCTCCCCCCAAAGTTCCCCATTCCACATCCATTCTTAAGGTACCTTTTATGTATAGCCTTATTGTCAGCCCCTCCATTTGTTGTCCCTTTTGCCTTGGAAACGGTGGTATCTGGTGTGTGGGTAATAGCTAACCCTTGCTACTCATCATGGGAGTGGGTGCGGTCATAGAACCGTTGGTTGTCATTGTTCTTTTGTTTGGAGGCACTTGGATTAACCGTTCTGTCGGATCACCCACAACTCGGCGCTACAACCGACGGAGCTCGACCGATCTGCGACGAGTTGCTTCATCGGATTCTTTGGAGTCGGGATACTCGAGTCCATCGACAAAGGATGGACTGTTGCTCTCGAGATCTCACTCACCGCTACAGGAAGCCGAAGATGGATGGCATAAGCGAGAGGTTGGACTCTTGGGGCTAAAGTTTGAGGTATCGTCGCCGAATACCATCGTATTCCAAGACCGATTGCTCAGTCGGTTGCTCCGAAAGTTTCCTTTCTTGGTGGAATGCTGGTATTGGGCTTTGGTTTATTGGGTAAGTCATTACCATCACTGATTTGAGTGTTGCCTTATGCACTCTCTGGCGATGCCCGTAGCTCCACCTACGATATCTCACCGAGAAGCTTACAATTGATGTAGACATACCAGCTGGGTCGTGCCTTTACCGCCGTCACCCTCAAAGACGATACCGTCGATGTCGCGAGGAGACATGCGTTGCAATTAATCAAGATCGAACAACATCTGGGCATGTTCTGGGAGACGTTAATCCAGAGGCGCTTTCTCCGCCATTCCCTTGTGATGCCTTGGATCAATCGGATATACTCCTTCATTCACATTCCTGGAACAATCGCGTTTCTCGTCTGGCTCTATTACTACACCACCGTCCCTATTCGGATCGATGAGACTCAACCTGGAAAACCCAAGGGTGCTGCGAGTAGATCACCGGCGGGTCCTCTGCTATATCAAGCGCGACGACGGACTTTGGCCGTATGTAACCTTCTCGCGTTCGTGGTGTTCACACTTTGGCCTTGTATGCCACCACGGTTACTGAGTGACACGGCTGCGGATGGTGAAGAGGCGGACCTAGCCCGCAGTTATGGATTTGTGGACACTGTACATGGTGCCAATGGAGCGAGTAGCGTCTGGACAGAGAACCGCTTCTGCAATCAATATGGTAAGTGGTGTGGAATCCAAATGCTCTCGATGGAACACTTGACTGACTGTCCCTCCCCAGCGGCAATGCCTTCCTTGCACTTCGGCTACTCTTTAATGATCGGTCTCACGCTTATAACAATTCCCTTGCCACAGCATCACCGGCGCACAATCTTGCGCACTCGGCTGACTCGCACCTTTCGACTGAATCTCCCGTCATGGCGCCGCCTTGTTTGTATCTTACTCGGCTTCCTGTATCCGTTTACCATCCTTGTGGCTATCGTTGCCACGGCCAATCATTTTATCTTGGACGCGGTTGCAGGGGCTCTTGTATGTGCCTTGGGATGGCATTTCAATGGAGTGTTGCTTAATCTATTGCCACTCGAAGACTATTTTCTTTGCCTTGTCCGAATTCACAAGCCCGAACCGTCCCTCAATGTCCCCGGAGAGGATCCCTCCCTGGCGAGGGTGCTTTGGAATATACTGGCAACTGATTCTGCCCGCTTGTCAAAATCCAGCTATCCATCATAGTCGGTTGGACTTTTCTGTTGGGTCGGTGTGTTGATTCTAGAACTTGATACCCTGTATGAAACACCTCACTATCCCCTGGTCTGGGTTATGAATTGTGCATATTGCCTGTTAATTATTGTTATTCTCTTTTTGGTCCAGAAGCGTCACATACCTGTTTTTTTCTTTTCTTTTCTTTTTCTTTAACTCTTTACGTGTCTCTTTCTGTCTCTCCAACCAGCATATACGTTGTAGGTAGCTAATTGATACGTTTGCACTCTGGGCATTGATCTTTGTCTACAGGATAGAGACGTATAGCACAGTATTATCTCCCCTGGATATTTTGATTTGATTTTGTTTCATATGCTCTATCTTTGGAGTTTCACTGCTGGACATCGCTATTACCTACGTGTATATATAGCTTCGGAGATAATCCGTTCTGGTTCACATATACGATATAAGACCCCCACAAGCGTGACTATTAGGATTGCATCTGTAAACATAGCACTCTGTTGAAGATACAGAGGTATGATATAGCATGTAGGGTTTCAATAATGGGTTCAAATGATACTGGGAATAGGATCTCTCATGGAAGTATTGAATTGTCTAAAGATCTAGATAATATCTGCCTTTTCCTGCTATTTATGCCCCTTTGTGTGCCGAGGATCGGAGTCCTCAATTTGGCCCCCAAAGGTGGGCTTTTCGGCAGAAAAGACAAAAAGGGCGTAGCGTTGATAATCCTGCGGATGAGAGAATCCTGCCTCAGGCATGGTTCTTAACACGCCCCCTTAACGTGCAGCCGTTATATATCGTAAGATCATATTGTCGGGGACTGAGATGAATGAGGTTTCTCAGTCAAAAGGTGTAGCTTTTAGACTATAGGAAGGTGCAAAACTACTAGTTTTGCACTGCGAAAGACGTAGGGGTTTATTCTGCCGAAAGTCTATGTGTTTTGGGGTCGAGGTTTAAACCTACGATAAACTCTGCAAATTTGGGAGCCCCGAGGGGCTTTATTAGTCTATCTGCAATGTTTTTAGTCCCTTTCATATATATAAGCTTGATTTTTCCCCTTTTAACTTACTCGCGGATCTAGTGCTAGTGCACGTCGATATATTTTAAACGTCCTGAAATAGTAGGGTTCTTCGTTATCGTGATCGTAGACTAGCTATCGCTATATAAAGGGATAGGGGGGGAGGTCTATGCTTCCTTAGTAAAAATTAAGATCTTTTAGCAGTTTTCGTAGCTAAATTACCTCTCCGCTAGTAATTAAGAGGGCTATATATTTAGCTTCGGCGCTTGATTTTGCTATGCTAGTCTGCTTTTAAGATTTCTATAATATTAGACCCCCTACGAGGAAGAAGATATACCTAGTCCTACTTTTGCTTTCTAGGGCTGATCCGTATAAGGCGTCGATATGCCCCTAGAGGTCCTAATTAGGTCTAGATTAGTATATGATTATGTAATAGCTAGTGCGTCCTATATAAGTAATTGCTCTTTATACTAGATCCTCGTGTTTAGTATTTAGGTTTATAGTGAACTGCGAAAGCATACTTACTGCGAGTGAGAGGTCTAGACGTATAACTATACTAGTATAGTTAATCGAGCCTATATCGGATTGGTACTATTTCACTACCTTACTTATAGCGGTAAGGGTCTCTTCCTTTGTTAGGATAATAGATAAAGGGATTACGGGTCTTAAAGTTACGGTTTTTAAGAACCTTTCGACGTATATTTTTTGCGAAATTGTTATTTTTCCCGTCTCTCTATCGTGCACTATTTTTATCGAAAGATAGTGGGATAGCTCGCCGAGGTCCGACGTAGACTATTTTATCGAAATAAGGTCCTTTATAGTTTTAATGAGATCCGCTATAGAAGCTATAATTAAAAGGTCGTCGACGTATATAAAGATATAGACGATCGTGCCGGCGCCCCCTTAATTATACTACGTGTAAAGATACGGGTCGGAAGTGGATCGTATAAAGCCTTTCGTTAATAAGTGGTCCCCTAATATGTTAAACTAGTTTGCTGCTAACTGTTTTAGACTATAAAGACTCTTTTTTAGGAGGTAGACTTTGCCTTAGATCTCTAAAAAATCGGTATTATCTTCGAAACCTTCGGGGTAGTATATTAAGAGTCTCTCCTTTAGCGTGGCGTTAAGATATATAACGTTTACGTTAATGTGAGCTATGAAAAGCTTCTTTTGCGTGATTATAGCGAGGAGGATCCGTAGCGTGACGTAGCTACCTATACTAGTAAAGGTCTCGGTATAGTCTAGATCTTCCCGTTATTAGAAACCTCTCGCTACCTAGCGAGCCTTAAATTTTAGGGGGTTTCTATCCGCGTCGAGTTTTAGTTTATATACCTACTTACCGGTAAGGATACGTATGTTCTTAGCGGGTACGGGGGTAGGGATTATCTCCTAAGCTTTAATCAAACTAAGCTGTTTAAACTCGATTTTTATAGCGCGGTGCCACTAAGGCTAAAGGGGTAAGTTACGTGCTTATCGGACTGATTTAGGGTCTTCTATCTATTTAGGGTCTATATTTTTTAGGGTTGTTAGTAGGGGTAAGGTTAGGAGATCCTTAGATAATAGGGTTAGTCTAGCTTACGTATATAGGATAGTGGTGCATTATACTAGATCCTATATACGTTTTTTGTCTGCCTAAGGTATAGTGGTATAGAAAACCTTATTTTGGATCTTATGATTAAGGTTAGCGAGTTCTTCGGTAGATAGTCTCGGTAGGTCTGCTAATAGGACCGATTCGTCACTAGAACTCTCGTCGATAAGTCTGAGATCTCCCTCGGAGTCCGAAAAAGGGGTGCTTTCTTCGGCGGAAGAAGTTATAGGGGTCTTTTCGGCGGAAGAATTTGTAAGGTTTGCATTATTTATAGGGTTCTTAGGGTCTATAAGGTTCTTAGGGTCTGTAAGGTTCTTAGGGTCTATAAGGTCCTTAGGGTCTGTAAGGTCCTTAGGGTCTGTAAGGTCCCTAGAGTCTAGGAATAGGAACCTAGACTGTTTTGCCGACTGTAGGGTTTCTAGTGGGACTGGTAGATTAGGATTGTTATATAGGGTCTAGTCGTCTCCTTCGTCGAAAATAACGTCTCTCCGGGTTATGATCTCTCCCCTATTTCTATCTACGTTTGGACGCCAGATACGGTATTATACACTATAGTAGCTGCTATACCCGATAAGTCTACCTATCTAGGCGCGGGGCTATAAATGTCTGCTTGTTGATGTGCTAACTATAGCCCTAATCTCTTCGGGGCTTCTTATAACGTAAGCCTTACTGCCGGGTATCCGTAAGAATAAGATATTAGGTTTTCTGCCGAATCGTATTTTATATAGTGTCTAGTTTAGGAGACCGTCTCTTTTTCTGCCGAAATAGATAGTGAGGTTACGGGTTATTATCACCATTTTTATCAGTTCGGGTCATAATATATCTAGGAGTCTAGTATCGTCGAGAATAGCTCTAGTGTATTCTTATACTATTCGTATTATTCTTTCGACTTTACTATTTTGCCCGTATACGTATAGTGCTAAGAAATATAGACGGGTGTTAGTATCCTTAGCCTATTTTTGTAGGCGGAAGTTATTAAACTCTCCTCCGTGATCTAATTAGAAGGCTCCGATCTCTAGTCTGCTAGGCGGTAGTGTTTTACTTCCTATTGCTAGTAGCGGGGGGAGATCGGGGGTTATAAAGGTCTTAATTATTATCTCCCTTTCGGCGGAATATAGTTTTACTATTTTAATTATAAGGTCTAGGACGAAGTCTTTATAGGAGGTGAACTATATTTCTCCCTATCTATCAAAGTCGTCGATACTAATTATCTAGTATCGGTAGCTACCTCCCTAACCTCTAGGTATTTTACCCCCGCCCCCTAGATCGAGGTATACGAGATCTCCTATTTTACTAGATCTATATAAAACTAGGGTTCTACGGGGTACGAGCTAAGCCTTTCTAATTTAGTAGTGGCTATAGGGTCTTTTAGGGGTAGGTAGGCCTATAATATTAATGCCTTCCGTAATTTTTGCCGTTTCCTATAGGGGTTTAATCCTTATATAGTATAGTCTGCGGTGCTAGGTGTCGATATTAACCCTATCCTTTTTGAGCTTAGTAGGTGGCTCGCTAGGGGGAGTCTCGCTAGGAGAAGTCGAGGTAGTCTCTAAGGACTATTATTTTAAGCTACTAGACGAGTTTATCCTCTATATCTTTATTGCTCTACGGGTAGCGAGTATTTCTGCCTTTTCTACCTAAGAAAAGGGTCCCTTTTTCGGCGGAAGAGATATTGCCTTTTTCGGCGGAATAGCGCCTTTTATTAGTTAGTTAGGTGAACTTACGGCGTTTTCCTGTTTTTACGTGCTTAGGCCCCCTAGCTAGGGGTAGGGGTCTCTTAGGATGACCTCTATATTATTAGCCTAAGAAATCAGGTATCTATAGGTAGTTTTTTCGGCGGAAATAGGAGTATCGGCCTAAGTTTTTAGGCATCCGACGCCCCCTACTTCTTATACCGTCGTTAAAACTAACGTTTCTAGATCTAGGGTCTAGTATCGGTATACGTGGCGAACGTTTAGTATCTAATTTTTGCCCTTTTATAGTCCTTTTATAAGAATACTACCGTCTAGTTTCCGGAAAATGACCTCGTCTCCGTATATCGCTATAATCCTATAGTTAGCGAGCCTAGGCTACGAGATAAGGTTACTACGGAGTTTAGGGAGATATATAGTCCTAATAAGAATGAGATCTCTCCCTTGCTTAGTCCTATCGTCGACTATAATCTTAATATCCCTAATTATACCTTAGACCGGCTGGTTTGTTAGGGCTATTTTAATTATAGTAGTTAATAGTTTCGTAGTACCTAGTATGAAATAGTCTAGCGAGCTAATTATATATTCGTCGTAGGCTATATCGTAGATCTAGTTATTAATTAAGATACTAGTTAAGAAGTTTTATACCTCGTAACTATATTCGACCTATATGATTAGGGTTTCCGTAGTCCGTTTAGGTGCTAAATTAGGGTTTTTTAGCTAGCATTTCTCGGCGGGGTACCCCTTCTTTTTATAGAAGGTATATACTAATCCTAGAGGTCCTCGTTATATACGGGGTCCTCGTGGTTTTATAGGTTTATTAGTTTCCGTAGATAAGGTCCTTATAGCTATCTTTTTACCGGCGGCGAGGTTATCTTCTTCTCTTTATAGTTCGCTATATAGGCGATTAAAGAGGTATTAGTCTAGCTAGTTAGTTGACCTACTAACTATTTTATCGTGGTTAAGCTTCTACGGGTACTATTCTAGGCTATCGAGGCACGCTATAAGTTCCGTGTATTTTTCGAGTTCGTCTATTTCTTATAGCTTAATTAGTAGACTCTCGATCGGGGGACGTATAATAGTTTTATTAGTCTATATAGTCTTAAATACCTCGATTAGGGTTCCGACGTTATAGACGCGGGACACGTATAGTGCTTTTATTATAATAGCGCTTTATTTAGTAGTAAAAGTATCCTTTATATCGTATTAATTTTATAATTCCTACTAGATACGCTCGGGTTCTAGAGGGCTCGGCGGTATAATATTTTTCGCTAAGTCTAGGTGTATAGCATTTAGGATAGTAAGCTAGGCTACTCCCTTCTATACATTTAGTATATAGTGCTTCTCGTGCGAAGGGGGTAATAATCCTACCTTACCGTCGATAACTTATTCGAGAAGGTTTTAGTTTAGCACTTACCGTATATTAGCGGCCTAGGTGCGGTAATTATTCAATCCTATAAGTTTTGGTCCTTTATATTCTTCTTTTCTTTTAAATATTTTCCCGAGGTCCTTAGTGAAACTAAGGTATCGAAGGGCGTTTTCTTCCTCTTCTCGGGTGTTATTCTTTAAGGTAGCGTAGCGGTTACGTAGCGAGAATATAGAGCTATCTCGATTAAATCGGTTTAGGTTATCAATCTATATTAATAGGACTTATACATTAGTCTCGATAGACTCGGAGACTTTAGCGGGGGGTCTACCCGCTACGAGCTACCTAGTTAGTCCTTAGGACTACTAGGTATAGAGATACTCGGTCGACTCGAGTTCTCTAGCTAGTTAATCCGCGGGGTTTAGACGTTATAGGCCCTAGCCGGGGTCTATATTTCTAGTGCTAGCGGGAGCTATAGGACTATCGTTTCCTCCTTCGTTATCGCCACCCTCGCCTAAGGCGCTACTATAGTCATTATCGGACCCTAATTCGTCTAGTCGGTCGGCGTCGGAGTCGGAGGGTTCGTAGGGTATATAGGGTGCACTAGGTGCACTAGATGCCCCCCTATCTCGCTAGGACTGTCGGGTGATAGGGGTTATAATGAAATTGATGAAAAAATAGGTAGATCTACGAGAGATCGAGAGGTATAGGTATAAAAGGTAAGGTATGAAATGAGAGGTGAGATATGTGTAAGAAGAAGAGAGAGATCCTAGGGTAAGGACCTATATATATAGGGTCTAGGCAAAGATCAGATGAAAAGGTGCATAGGGGCAAGCAAATATTTGCTAGCAAATATAGCAAATAGACTATACTGCGCAATTTAGGTATTCCGGCTATTGGAGACAGCCGGGCTTATAACCTGTTAAAGATACAGAGGTATGATACAGCATGTAGGGTTTCAACAATGGGTTCAAATGATACTGGGAATAGGATCTCTCATAGAAGTATTGAATTGTCTAAAGATCTAGATAATATCTGCCTTTTCCTGCTATTTATGCCCCTTTGTGTGCCGAGGATCGGAGTCCTCAATTTGGCCCCCAAAGGTGGGCTTTTCGGCAGAAAAGACAAAAAGGGCGTAGCGTTGATAATCCTGCGGATGAGAGAATCCTGCCTCAGGCATGGTTCTCAACACACTCACCTGAAGCCATGGACTCTTCTATCCACGCGCTACGGAGTATAAATGAGAGGGTTGCCAATTCACCATGAAGAAATAGTGGCATCGATCCACTGTCGCAGTGGTGAAGAGTACAGGTCACTTGGATTTATGAATCAGTTCTACTCGATACAAATCCAACACGTAGCTAGGTACTCCGTACGGAGTCTAGAATACCCAACGCCCATCTACGACTGGTCTGATCTTCTGGAAAAGCTCTCGCCAACTGCCAGTTGTCGGAGATATCTCAAGCGACCCAGAGAATGAGAGGTTGATCCCATGCTCCCATTACCCTTCAAGTTAGGTCCAGGGTCAGTCCGTAGGAGTTGAATCAAAAGATCTCGATTGAGAGGGGTGTTTCCATTGTGAGGTCTCTATTGTCTGGCTATTGACACTCAAAAAAAAAAAAAAAAACACCCCAGATCCCTCAAGAGGAATCGCGTCATTGGGGAGTTTCTTGCATTGTTCCCATACAATAAGACTGTCCAGTCTAACAATTCCTAATTGAAGTCCAGATCCTCGCATTCAAAGGGTTGTGGATGAATTTGAGTTGTGGCGTCATTGTGGTCATTGGGGTTGTTCTCCAGCGACAACGCGTCCTGAAGTTCCCGTTCGCGACTCTCTCTTTCTTCTCCACATCTCTCTGGCCTCCCCTGGAAGCTTCCCCTACACCTACCACAGCTCCTACAATCTATCGCTGGATTTTAATTTATCTCATACCAGCTTGCCATTATGGCTGATGACACCCCTGTTTCTGCGCCCATTGTGGGTGACCAGTCTCAGCGCGCCGAGAAACCCACTGACTCCGAGAAGCCAGCGGTGACCGTGTCGGAAGACAAGCCTACCGGTAAGTATAAGCTGATTGCTACCGTTCAATTGTTATGCGCTCCATTTCCCCACGCTGTCACCCGGTCGGGACATCCCATTTCTGTGTCTGTGCGACCACCGCTAACCTACAATGTCTACCAGAAAATGAAGCTGCGACCGAGAAGAAGACCGAGGCCGAAGCCGAGGCTGACAATACCACTTCCTCTGGCGAGACTTCTGAGACAAAGGCTGATGGCGAAGCTGCTGACGCTGCTCCTGTCGATGCAGACGCTGCTGCACCCGCGGAGGCCAACGGAACCCCTACCTCAGCAAAGAAAGCCTCTAAGAACCGTCGCGCCTCCACTGGGGCCTCGCAGAAGCTCAGCCGCAAGAAGTCCCAAAGCCGCATCACTCATCTAGACGCTAAGCCTGGCCAAACCTACCTCGCGCGCCTCCGCAGCTATGCGCCGTGGCCCGCCATCATCTGCGACGAGGGAATTATGCCAGCCAGCTTGCTTGAAACTCGTCCTGTCACCGCCATGCAAAAAGATGGATCCTACAAAGGCGAGTATGGGGATGGGGGCAGACGCACCCATGAGCGTACCTTCCCCGTCATGTTCTTCGAGACCAATGAATTGTAAGTTGGCATCCATTCAATCTCTACATATCTGTGAATCTTCCCTAATGAGGGTTCCTTTCTGACAGCGCTTGGGTTCCCAACACCAACTTGACCCCTCTTGACCCTGCCGAATGCAAGGAGATCTCAGAGAAAAACAAAAGCAAATTGCTCATCAATGCCTACAAGGTCGCATCCGAGGGCCATGACCTTCAGTATTTCAAGAAGCTCCTGAAAGAACACCAAGCGGCCATTGACCAGGAAGAGGCCGAGTTCGAGGCCCAAGAAGCAGAGAAGGCAGCCGCCAAAGCCGCCAAGGAGGCCAAAAAGGGTAAACGCAAGAGCAAAGGAGCCGAGACCGATGTTGAAATGGAGGATGCAGACGACTCAAAGAAGACCAAGGCCCCCTCAAAGAAGCGCAAGAAGGAGGCTGAGACCGATGCTGAAGCTGATAAGGTAAGTGCTATAAGGACCCTCGTACTGTTGACCTCGCTCATTTTGCAAAATAATAAAGCCGGCCAAGACCCCGAAGACCAACACTAAGCTGAAGTTGACCACCCCCAAGGCCCCCGCCGACGAGGCTGGAAAGAAGACCCCATCTAGTAAGACCAAGAAGGCCCCTGCTAAGAAAGGCAAGGCTGCCCCTGCTGCCAGTGATGAGGGGGACAGCATCGATGTCAAGGAACCAGAGAAGCCCATCGACCCGGAGGAGCTCAGGAAGAAGAAGGAGAAAGAGAGTACGCAAACCCCCCTTATCCCCCGTAAGGCCCATTCGGATCGCTCATATCTCACAGTCTTGTTCCTGCGTCACAAGCTCCAAAAGGGGTTTATCTCCCGTGACCAGCCCCCGAAGGAGGATGAAATGGCTAGCATGGCCACCTACTTTGACAAACTGGAGAAGCATTCCGACTTGGAAGTCTCCATCATCCGTTCCACAAAGATCAACAAGGTCCTCAAAATGATTGTCAAGCTCAACTCAATTCCCCGGGATGAGGAATTCAACTTCCGTCACCGCGCTATGAGCATCTTGTCTAACTGGAAGAACATCTTGGACGCTGATACTCCCGGTCCGGCGGACAAAGATGATAAGCCCGCCACTAATGGCTCCAGGGATGAAGATGGTGTTGACACCCCCAAGCTGGAGACCGAAGAGGAGAAGGAGCCCGAGTCCAAGTCGACCAAGGATGATATGGATTCCCCCATGCCTGATGCGGACGACAAGGCCCCTCAGCCCGAAAATGAGGATGGCGCAAATGGCGAGAAGCTCTCAGAGACCGAGGAAAAGCCTGAAAAGCCCATTGAAGAATCCAAGGAGAAGTCGGTAGAGGCCGCCGCCTAAGTAGTCTGAGAAGTACAACTCTGCGATGTCTGTTTCCTTACTCTCCTCCATTTGCGCTTCGATTTACTGTTCTATTCTCTGTCCCTGTTTCAGTTCACGGGGGTTTGCCGGTGTGCTTTTCTCTCTTTTCTATTTTATTTTATCTCCTGCCAATGAAATACTGGGATACGACGCTGGACTAACCAGCAATGCTTATTTGAATCAATCGACAATGTGATTGCTCTTGTTTTTCGTCTAGACGTATTTCTGTAGATTGAGCTGTACCAGGCGATCATTTTGTACGCCAATGGTGGTCTATCGAAGAGATCACAGCAATTCTATTGGGATTTCGAATATAGTCTATTGATGGATCCATCATGACTGCTCAAAGCCTTCATCTAGGCAATCCATGGTACAAATCAGGGTACCTTGGCGTGCCTTGGGAGTGGAAGCTATATCTATGTTCTATTGGGATTGGGATATAGTCACAGTATCAAATACAACTGAGAACACAAAATGCCCTATATGCTTGGTTTTTTTTGGGGGGGGGGGGGGGGGGGGGGGGGGGGTTTCTCTGGCAAAATCAGAAATCCTCGCGCCTTGTATATGCACACAGCCATGCAGTAATGCATCATGCTTCCTCTCCGAAACAAAAGAAAGGGGGAAAAAGAAATCCAGCTTGACGCCAGGTCTATAAAATCTCAAAACTTCCAGATCTCTCTCAGACCTTACGGCCCACAGCTACGCTATCATCGACAGCGATGATAGCCACAACGCAGATATCATCCACTTTGCCGCCGCGATAATAATCACCAGGATAATAGCGCTGGGCCTCTTTAGCAAAGGGGCCATCACGGCGATAGTCGACACTAGCCATTTTCGCCTCACCAGCAATAGTTGCAGCGAGAACAGACTGCAGTGTCACTTGATCCTCAGGCCCTGAATCGGGATCAGACGGGCCTTTCTTGGACAGGGGCGATCCTGAGGGACTGGGAAGGGCATCTGCCAACCCACCCGGCGCAGCCAAAGCACGCAGGTCCTCCGAGACCCCAACGCCAGAGTCAGTGGCCGTCCACGCTCCAGTCATAACCATCCGACTTGTGATGAGCTTGAGGATATCCTGGTTGTTGAGATTGTCAAAGACGCCATCGGTGGCAATCAAGAGTACATCACCATGCTGCATTTGTATATTCGTGACAGATGCATCTCGCGGGAAATCCTCTAAAAATGCCCCACCAAACACCGACGCCTGCGCGCGCATGCGCGGCGGGATCACGCTAAGCTGGTAAGGAGTGTTGAAGCCATGCGTCTGTGGGACGGAGTAATGATGTACCGCTGCGCGACGAAGCAGCACCGAGCCAGAGTCACCCAAATTCGCCAATTCTACGCGACCATCGGGCAGCGCAACGCCAACAGACGCCGTACTCCCACCCGCGCGGATTGTAGAATCCGCCACGACCTGGTCATACCCGGCCTGTAGTAAGTGCTTGGGACGCAAACGCTCTGCCGGCTCATGCCAGGTCTGCGCAGTCTGCGCCATGTACCCACACAAGCCGTGTGAAAAGTCCGCCGGATCGACGCGGGATTCTGTCCAGCCACCGACGCCGTCAGCAACGCCAAAAGCAACAGCTTCGGCATTACTGTCTTGGTGGTCTGAGATGCGGTTTCCAATGCGACTCACGAAGAAGGCGTCCTCGCCACTATCTGGGCGGTTGCGCCGCCGACTGACGGAGTTCTTATCATTCGTCACGCCAAGGGCGTCGGCGGCGGGGTCGAAGTTATATGCATTTTTGATGGGGTGGAAGCGGCGCCCTTTGCCTGAGGAGGAGACGGCGACGCGATAGGAGAGCTTTGAGGGAGGGGAGTCTTCGAAGGAGGTTGTGGGGGTTGAATGGAAGGCTCGGTGCGAGGATTGCCGACTCAGTTTTAAAGTGAGACGAGTGTTTGGTCTGACCCTGGGTGCATGAAATGAGAACCTGACATTATGGGGTTGGGACAAGAAGGGGCTGTAGGCGTTGGGAGTGGAGGTGACTGAGTAGACGCAGTCTCGAGCGATGGCTTGTAGGCTACTGCAGGCGGGAGTGCACGCTCTACACGAAACATTTGGCGGGATCATCGCAGGTCTGTAGCTAGGTATATTTCTTCCTCTTGAAGGAAAGGCCTCAATCTGGAGCCAAGAGGAGCAAGAAGAGGTACAAAGAAAGAATCAAAAAAATCAAAAAAATCAAGGAGCTGCGCTGAATCTCAACGGATAAGAGGGTACCCGCTCTTATCGCCGACCGCCTGGCGTCATTCCTGATTTCGCTTCGACACCTGATATCTCAGGCATCATTGGCTCCATGATGCAGCTATCAGGCTAGCGATGGCGATGCACTTGGGGCGCGAGGGGGGAGAGGAAAAAAAAAAAAAAAGAAAACAACTAAGTACACGGAATGACCTGAAATGTCATTCATTGATACCTGTAGCCAGTGATTTAGGCTTGGATCGGATAACATAAACTTGCCTGCTCTTCTCTGCGATACCGCCAACGTCTATCAATTCTGCCGCCCGCAACATCTTCTCTCCCGCCAACGTTTTTCACTGTCCTATGTATAGACTACGTCAATTTCTTTTCTCTACCATAGCGAGAAGCCTTGTCATTTAGTCCTTGGACCTACTGGAGAAGCGTAAGCTTCTATTCTGCTCAATATGATGCACCCGGCACGACAAGCGTATGTCGAGGAGACTGAGGATACAGACATGGGCATCAGCTATGCCGATCTTCGTAAGTGATCATTGAACAGCTCTTGCTTGGAATCTACTGACAAAACTCGATTTCTAGCAATTGACCAAGACTATGAAATGCCCTCCTCCGCAGCGGGCATCCCCACTGAGCGCGCCTCCGCTATTTTGTCGCAATTCGAACGAAAACGAAGAGCAGCAGCGATGGTAGTTCCAACCGATGATACGAGAGTACGCGCACGACTACGAGAACTCGGGGAACCTATTACGCTCTTCGGCGAAGGGCCTTCAGATCGACGCGATCGTCTACGTGAATTTCTGACTGATTTGGCAGAAAAACAAGGCGAGGGGGATATTGAAATGGAAGAAGCCGAGGCAGAGGAAGAGGGCGAACAACAAGAAGAATTTTATACTGCGGGTGGAGACGCGTTGCTCGAAGCGCGGAAGGATATTGCCCGCTATTCTTTGCCGCGCGCAAAGGCACGAGTGGCCAGGCTCAAGGACGAGTCTACAATTTCACTTCGAACGCATGTCAAGCATCGCAAAGCCATTAAGGAAAAACTACAAGGATTTGATCTGTATGGGTCTCAGATTGCTGGCGATCGTCCAGTCAGCATTTGCCGATTCTCGCCGGATGGGCAAACAATCGCTGCTGGAAACTGGAGTGGTGGAATCAAATTGCTCAGCGTACCTAATCTGGAAGAGAAGGCGAGTTTCAAGGCGCATACAGACCGAGTGGGTGGTTTGTCATGGTTTCCTGGCGCCACCTTGCCCGGATCTAACGTCTCACCATCAACTGTCAATTTGATTTCGGGAGGTGGCGAAGGAAGTCTTAACCTCTGGGCCCTGGATCAAGAACAGCCCCTTGCTACATTATCCGGTCACTCTGGGCGTGTATGTCGTACCGAGTTCCATCCTTCGGGTCGGTATGCGGCATCAGCCTCTTTCGACACTACATGGCGCCTGTGGGATATTGAAACGACAACTGAGCTGCTCTTGCAAGAAGGCCATTCGCGAGAAGTCTATGCAGTGTCATTCAATAACGATGGATCTCTCGTGGCTAGTGGTGGATTTGACAGCAATGGGCGTATCTGGGATCTGCGCACCGGGCGCACAGTGATGATCCTTGAGGGCCACATCCGCGAAATCTACGCTATGGATTGGGGCGTTGACGGTCACCGAGTGCTGTCCGGTTCCGGCGATGGCTGGGTCAAATGCTGGGATTTGCGACAAGTGAAGAATACGGGTGGAATTGGCGCACACAAGAGTGTGGTCTCAGATCTCCGCTGGTATAAAGGTGCGGAAACGGCCTCGTTTTTGCCTTCTACAGATGGTAGCCAGATGGATATTGATGGCACCCCATCAGCCGCAATGAACAAACCTGCGGAATGTGTCCAGCCCAAGAAATCAGGCACATTCTTTGTGAGCAGTGGATTTGACAAGAGTGTCAACATTTTTAGCGCAGATGATTGGTCCCTGGTGAAGTCGCTGAGCGGCCACTCGGGCAACGTTCTCAGCACAGACATCAGTGACGATACAAAGTGGATTGCTAGCTGTGGTCATGATCGCACAGTGAAGCTTTGGGGCATTGAATGATCGGGTGTCATACAATGCTTCTCAATTGCTTATTTTATACCTCCCTATTGGAGATCGCCTCCAACAACATTGAAGTCCACGACCAGTGAGACTGTATTTGTTTAAGATCTGTCAAATATCTAGATGCATAGGTATTCTTGCAGTCTCCGCTGTGTCACTACACCTGTAGATCATGCTATTGGCTCAGCATATCTCTCAACTTGTCTTAAATGCATCGGAGGATTATCCATCCGAATATTACGCAGTACAACCGGCCATCAAACTGTCCTTTGACACTCCCTATGCTTCATAGTTCCTGATCACGTGCCAGTGCGGGGATGACGTAAAGCGGTATGCCGGCTTTTTATCTGCGATGAGTATAGCTTTCCCTTCAGCATAGAAACATAGAAACACCACCACAACCATGGCGATCGCTTTTCGCTCACAGAGGATTGCACAACATCTTCGCACAGTGACCCCATGGCCTCTCTCACAGTCAACCTCCCCTCTATCAAATTCAAGCCAAGACGCATGTGTGCTTTATCGATATCGCAACCCAGCGCGAGGACTGACAACCCTCCCCACGCGTCAATCTCTCATTCAACAGCCTTCCATGATGCATCCTCGCTTTGCTTCAACAAAATCCTCCACTCCCTCAGCAGAACACAGCGAAATAACTCTCGCTGGCGCGCCGGATATCACAAACCACTACACAATCTTTCCTAAGACACTCCCCGCAGGCCCACCACCAGCCTCGCCCTTCGAGATTTCGACCAATGACCTGCGCCGAGAGTTCTTTCAAATCCAAGGCCTAGTTCACCCCGACAAATACCCCAACGGGGCAGAGAAGCAGCACGCAGAAGGCCTTTCAGCACGAATCAATGATGCATACCGAACGCTGATGGATCCGCTGCTACGTGCACAGTACATCTTGCGCGAGTGGCATGGCATTGATGTCACAGCGGAAGACGCAGCTACTAAGCATGCCCTCGACCCGGAGACACTGATGGAGGTTATGGAAGTACAGGAGACCATTGAAGAGGTTGGGGCCTCGGCTGAAGGGGAGGTGCAGATCAATGCACTTAAGAAGGAGAATGACCTACGGGTTGTTGAATGCGTGGAGGGCTTGGGGGCGGCATTTGAGAAGGGAGATTTGGAGGCTGCAAGGAAGGAATGCATTCGCTTGCGGTTTTGGTACAGTGTTGGGGAAGGGCTGAGGGAATGGGAGCCTGGGAATACCGAGATCCGGTTGATGCATACTAGCTAATCGATAGGCGGCTACGGAGTATACGTCTGGTTTATGTAAATTATTTGTGGAATGTATGTCGGGTCTTTTGGACATATCCGAAACCGATTACGGAGTACGCTCTTCGAGATATGATGTGGTTGGAGAGATTGAACCCATGTTTTAGTTGTGATTGGTGTTTTCTATCGTGCCAATGGCCTTGATATGTTTGAAATCCCTGTCAGTGGGCTGAATCGCTCATCCTTGATAGGATCTCCAGGGGAATAAGGTCGGATGGGAAGCTCCCAGGAAAAGAGGGGCCACGAATATAGTCAACCTGTAGCAGAAGAGTATTTAGAGGCTAACTGTTGCCAGCCAGGCCCCCGATGCCAGCTATTTTTATCAATATATCCCACTTGTTCGCCAAATTTAACCAATCTCGGTATAATTAGGGACAGATGTAGCTCAGGACGTCGGTGAACAGCTGTTGACCGCCACATTGAAAATTTCTCACGAGACAAATGACAAGAAAGTGTAAAGCTTTCAACCCCCAGCAAAGATTAGATGGAGCTCAGGAACAAACCAACCAGTGAGGCCACAGATTGGGTTCTCTGGAGGCTGGGATTGGGCACAAACCTGCCGACGCCAACGTCACCCGACGATTGGGGCATAGTCAGGACCCAGTGAGGGTGTTCTGTATGGTCGCTCTGCGCTGTTCTCGGGGGATTTTTTTCCTCGGGGAAAGCGGGAAAGCGGATGTCAGTAAATAGTTCAAAAGGACGAGTGGACCGGTTGTTGACAGAGATTGGAGCAATTCAAGTGCAACGGACAACGAGGATATCGACATCGTGGACGAACGTACTGCTCAGGGCAAACCGGTCTAATCAATTTCGGTCCCGGTTTGCATACTCCGTACTCCGTACACTCGCCCTGATCATCTTAGCGGCACTTAGTCAATGGTTAGTATAATGGGTCTTGTTGGAACTGCTCCTCCCCCATCAGAGCTGCACACGTAGCAAGCTAGGACTATCGTCGCATCCCAAAATCGCTTCCGGTGCCGTGGGAGATTTGGTCAATGGGAAATATTTAATGGGACTATCCTGCTTGTTAGAACGTAGATTAATCAATTCTCAGATTCCCTTCGAGTCAGAAGCGGATCAAACCTCTCCTCATGGAGTCTGTTCCCAATTATAACAGGTATGAATTGAGATCGTACACGGTCGCACTCGGTTCTACTTGAGGTCTATACAATTTGTGAGCAGACCGCTAATTCAGATGTCCTTACCAGCATCATTCACTCCTCACCCTTCACCTTCCTCGTCGGCCCACGACATACGAAACTGACAATTCAGTCGGGGCTCGCCGAACATGTCTCGAAACCACTCGATAATCTCATGAATGGCCCGACAAGGGAATCGAAACACCGAATCGCCGTATTGGAAGAAGAGGATGTAGAAACCTTTGTCGCTTTCTGCGAGTATGCATATACTGGAGATTATAGCGTGCCTCGTCCGGAGCCAGAGGCCCAGGAAGAGCCCAGGGTTGGAGTAGTCGAAAGCGCACCGAATTCCGCAACTTGGAGAGCCCATTACCGAGCTGGTTCTATCTCATCGGTTGTGCCACCCCCGGCGCCGTCGCCCCCGCCGCAACACCGCCACCGAGGGGATGATGCGACTTACCACCAGCTCCAACCTGAACCGTCTATGTCTCAACCGGGGGAACATTTTGCCTTCGAGGTGGCCAAGGAGCCCGAAGCCCCCACCGATGCCGTAGAGCACGAAGTCGAGACGGCCCCTGAACCTGAGGTTCCAGCTTCCGCACCTGAGCCCGAGCTCGAGCCCGAGATATACCAGGATGCGGAGGGTACACCAGAGGCACCGGCACCAGTCGAGGAAGCACCTCCCGCCGACGAACAATGGGCAAATTCAACCCAACAACCGGCGTCATGGGAGCCAGAAGAGCCCAAGGCAAACAAGAAGAAGGGGAAGAAGGGGAAGAAGGGCAAAAAGTCAAATCTTCAACCTGAGTTTGTTGAGGAACAAGTTCCTGCACCGGTTGAGCCTGTCAATCTCACACCACCATCCACACCACCTCCAGAATTTGCTGCCGTGCCTCTTCCCGAGCCAGCAGCAGAGTCTGCTGATCCATGGGACACCCCGACAGAGCCTGCCCCAGAACCAGAATCGACTCAGTATTACGAACAGCCGATCGAGGAACCTACTCCTATGACGGAAGAACCTTCTCCTGCTGCCGAAGAACCTGCGCCTGTAGAGGAACAGCCTGCGGTTGTGGTGGAAGAACCGAAGGAGGAATTGTGGACTCAAGACAGAACTGAAGACAATGATGTCACTCCAGGGCAGCTCCAAAGACCAATGCTCGACATGTCCTTTGCCCAACAGCAAGCCTCATCACCATGCGAGCCGGGCCTCAACCTGTGGGATGAGTTCCTTTCGCTGCAATACAACGACGAGCCAGCGGTCTCCAAGCCCTCACGCGTCGACACAGGATCCACGGATCTTCCCTATATCACCTTCCACGCGAAAGTCTACGTCTTTGCCACACGTTACTTGATCCCTGCTCTGGCACAGCTCTGTCTCCGAAAGCTGCACCGAGATCTTCTCATCCTCGCCATGCCGGATGGTGAAAGCATCGGGCCAAGTGAATCGCAAATTCTAGACGGCTTGGCTGCATCCAAGGCGCAGATGGTGCTTGAGCTGCTGCAATATACGTACACGAAGACGGCCCGATTGGAGCCAATCACGCCGACATCCGCAACCCAGCTTCGGGACAACGAGTTGCGTCGACTGGTCGTTCACTACACGGCGTGTAAAGTGAAGGAATTGGCACGATATCACTCGGCAGATGATTCAATCACGGTGACGCCTCCTTTGCAGCCGGTGGATCTGAAAGTGGAGCGAGTCGAGACTCCTGCGCCTAGAAACCTCCGTTCCTTGTTGGATGTGACAACGGAGTTGGCCTCTGATCTTGTCTATCGTTTGATGTGAGCGAGTGCCGCGGTGTGATTGGAGGGGGAAATCGATGACGAGACATTCTGTATCCATTTGTGATGTGACGCATTGCTACCCTGGAGAGTTTGAAGATTTGAAGTCGGGCGTTTCGAAGGACCCGCTGGCGTTCTGTTGCATAATTTGAATTTGTCATTTTCAGAGCGCATTTGCATTATCTTTCTTTTCTTCTGCATGATCTTGGCTTGCCAAGTAAGCCATTTCCTTTTGAGAATGTGATATTTCGATTGTCAGGTTTCACGATTGTTGATATTGCAGTGTATCATCCTTGTATTGTAAGCATTCCTCCGGGTGATCAGTGGGAACCTGTGTCAAATTGCCAACTCCACAGACAATACTCCGTACCCCGTATAAGGTGACGGGGTCCCGAGTCCAATGGAATCACATGAATCGTGATCGATGCATTGAATTGACGTACTATTTTTTGCTTCTTTTTCCACGTCTGGGCATCTTGGCAGGGCAAGTCCCTAAAGATAACCAACTCTGAGAGGCCAATACCAAGCAAGGAAGTTTCGAAAAGACAGCCTCCCCTTGAAATGATCGACAGACATCCATGTCAGAATGAGACTTGGCGAGGGATGGGCTATGTCAATAGTGTTGAAGGGGAGGCTGTGAAGATAAGAGTTCAGGGGAAATCGCCCGACGTCACGGGTTCCCTGATTTTGCTTCTCAGCGTCGTCTGTCGTCACGTTGGAATGCCAGATGCCGTACGGGGTACCATCTACAGAGTGTCGAGGAGTACATCTCTTACATCCTACGTTGTACTCCGTACTTGCATCCACGCAATGGTGTTACCTAGCCCCTCGCCCTCTTCACCAATCCACTTTCTTCGTCACAGCCACCCACTCAAAGCTTGGCAGCGGTCCGCCAAATGCTCTGTCGATCATCTTCCTTGGCGTCTTTGGCGTCTTTGGCGTTTTGGGCGTTTTGGGCGTTGTGGGCGTCTAGGCACGTTGCGCGTTATCAGCTTAACCTTCCACTCGGCTTCGGCTGGCTCTGAGTCGGCCCGAACGGGGACGGGGTTGAGATTCATCATCTGAGTAACTTTCCAGGTTCGAGTGATAGGGAACTGACAATGGTGTATTGTCAATCAGTCTTGTGCAAGAACCAGGTCACATCTATTCAAAGCTACGGAGTACACAGCAATTCCTCCCATGTGCTTGGCACAGTCCACGCATCTCAAGGTTGACTTCACAACCCCCCTAGGCATCAAAATTTTGGAGATGTCAATGCATCTAACCTGATGCCCAGACTTCCACGGTGGATCTTCATGCTTCTGGGAATTCCCCCCTAGAGGATCGGTATCCACCACCCCTGATGCTTACGCCGATGAATCGTCAAAGTCCACGCATCCTAGACCGATCTATTCTTATGGCCTCCTTAGTTCGTACGAATTATGGGTCTGCGAGACCATTGATGCCGCTGGTAGGTCCGTTCGGAAAGTCCCTCATTGCGTTGGCTACAGAACCCATTTTCGCACTTCCGGTTCTATCAAGGACTGTGGGCTTGGAATTTCTTGGCTGATCTTCAGGACGAGCGTTTAGAACTGTGGACATGATGTCTGGATGTTATTGCTTTACTGCCCATCCTGGTCTGTAGAAGTATTTTAATATCCCTTTTCGCTCCTTCCACCTCCAATCCATTCACTTCATTTCTTCTCTTTCGACCTCATTCTACAAGCCCTTGGTCGAATTTGCCCTTCTATTTGTATGGTGCTGTCAAGATCAGTCGGTCTCTAGTCCTACTTCAGTACATTCACTCTCATATACTCATCTTTTTTCTGATATCCCGAGTTACGGCTTTATCTATACCTCATCGCATCTAAACTACTATACACATCATGTCCAGCCCAACTCTACTCGGGGCTTTCCCTAATCACAGTCAGGAGCTTCGTCCTCCTCCCTCTGCACACTCATCACATTCGGACACACCCTTCATTGACTCCGAAAAATGCCAACCGCCTATCAATTTGGACTTTCGCCAGCGCCTCCGTCATTTCACGTGGGCATGGTACACTCTCACTATGAGTGCAGGAGGTCTAGCCCTGCTCATAGCCAACCAGCCTAATCAGTTCAAAGGCTGCTATGAGATCGGTCTGACTGTCTACCTCATCAATCTTGTCTTGTTCTCTCTTGTTTGCTCCCTAATGGCAGCACGCTTCACAATCCACGGCGGGCTCCTTGACTCCCTGCGCCACGAGCGTGAGGGACTCTTCTTCCCAACCTTCTGGCTCTCGGTAGCAACCATGATCACGGGATTAGAGAAGTATTTTGGTGACAGCCCAGCACAATCCTTCTCGACAGCTCTCGAAGTCCTTTTCTGGATATACTGCGCATGTACATTCACCGTCGCCGTCATCCAGTATTCTTTCCTCTTTTCCGCGCACACCTACCGTCTGCAAACAATGATGCCCTCATGGGTTCTCCCGGCGTTCCCAATCATGCTGAGCGGCACAATCGCCTCCGTCATCGCCGAGCGCCAGCCTGATCGTTCTGCTATCCCAATCGTCACAGCCGGCATTACCTTCCAAGGCCTAGGCTTCTGTATCTCGTTTATGATGTATGCACACTATATCGGCCGTCTGATGGAGTCAGGTCTTCCGTGCCGCGAGCATAGACCAGGAATGTTTATCTGTGTCGGCCCGCCTGCTTTCACGGCGCTAGCCCTCGTCGGCATGGCGAAGGGTCTGCCCAACACATTCACTGTCATGGGCAGTACTGACAGCGCTGCCGACGGTCGTATGGTGGAGATGCTTGCGTTGGCAGCGGGCGCATTTCTCTGGGCCCTGAGCTTATGGTTCTTTTGCATTGCTGCTATTGCGGTCATCCGCTCGCCACCCAAGGCGTTCCACCTTGGCTGGTGGGCAATGGTGTTCCCCAATACCGGCTTTACCATTGCCACTATCACCCTTGGTAATGCCTTTGAGAGCCCGGCGATCAAGGGTGTTGGGTCTGCGATGAGCATCTGCATTGTCTGCATGTTCCTTTTTGTCTTTGTCAGTCACATTCGTGCAGTCGTCCGCCAGCAAATCATGTATCCTGGTAAGGATGAAGATGTTTCTGATTGAGATTGTCTTCCAATCATGTCCTTTTTCTTTCTTCCCACGCTATTTTTAAAAATTCCTGCCACCTCTTACATATTCTTAGCTTCATGCACAATTCTTTCCCCTTTCTTTGTTTGGTTTTTTCCCCATTGCATACTCCATGATTTCATCCTTCGACGTCTATTCTGTCTCCTGCATGATCATCCGTTTCTTATTTTTGCTGTTAACAAGCGTTCAAGCACTGTCGATCTTTGGTTGTTTTGCCGCCCATTCGAACCCCTTTGCATCTCCGGCGTCTTATGTTTTGTGGTTGCGGTCTTCCCCATGTCTGCAAGTGTCTTCTAAAGCTCTAGAACTAGAACAATTTCTTTTTTTCTCTATCCAAGTACTTTCGTGAATACCTGTGTGTAGTAGTACCTACATGTATGAACCACAACTTGATGCCTTGACCCAATCAAACCCCAGATCACGCGACCATGAAGGCAACCAAAAGATGCACCAAGAAAAAGAAAAGAGGACACGAAAAGGCTCGTCTGAGCTTCATCCCGAAGGACTAGAGCCCAGCACCACGGTGAGGTGCGAGCCAACGCTAAGGGATACGTGGCTAGTATGGTAGGCAAATGGCCGCATTACTAAATGGCGGGGAAATGGCGAGTCGATGGTTTAATAAATAAAAGAAAAGGAGTAGGTATTGGGTGATAAACAGTATATAGGCGTAAACAGCATACAGGTGATAAACATAGAGTAAAGGAAAGGTAGACAGACCGCAGACATATAGCAACCAAAAGGTAAAAGATGTCATAGATGGCAGGGCTCGTCTTGGCTTCATCCCGAAGGACTACTAGACCCCAGCACCACGGTGAGGTGCGAGCCAACGCTGGGGGGGGTAAATGGCCGAAGAAATAGCTCCAAGACAGCACAGAGCAGGCTCTGTACAGGCAAGGATGAGATGGGATGAGATGGGATGAGATAGGGTGAGATAGGGTGAGATGGGGTGAGATGGGGTGAGATGGGGTGAGATGGGGTGAGATGGGATGAGATGGGATGAGAAGAGAGATAGGGTGAGATGGGATGAGATGGGATGAGATGGGATGAGATGGGATGAGATAGGGTGAGATGGGATGAGATGGGATGAGATGGGATGAGATGGGATGAGAAGAGAGATGAAGAAGAGAAAAAGAAAACAGGTGAAAGAAGGGTATTTATGGACAAGAGGAAGGAGCCTTAGGAACTACGTACTAGCGATGTCATGATTATTCCCAGTGTTGCGTGGTCAACCTTGGAACTCAAGAATCCAAATCAGATGAAGAAGAACAATGCATTCAATACAACACTGAATTCTATGTAAGATTGTCACCTTGCTCTAGAAGCAAGTTTTGGGTATCATGATGACGGGAAAAGTGCGACACGTCTTTGGCGCACGTGGCTTTGTCGCTGGACAGAGGTTGAGCGGCAGGTCGAGTTCATGCTCGACAGTCAGAAAGCCATGAAATGTCTGTAAAAGCTTCTTGGAGCGCACTGGGCAGACGGCCAGAAGCCCGCGACGCCGACGGCATCAGATGTACTACCATGTGACCACATCTCTTGAGAAGAAATGGCCTGTCGAGTGCACTTCTGAGGTGTTTGGCAGGCACTCAGAGTGGTGGTAGACTTGGGATGAAGTGCGAAAGCTGTCAACAACAGTTTAAGCAACTTTTCTGCCAACGTTACCGATTCCACGGCCGACGACGCTGACAATCACATCGCCATCTACGTTCTCGCCAGGTGCGTCTCGGATACCCCAGCCGGGTGCACCAAACTTGGACAAGTCTCGAGCAAGTTGAACCACGTTAGGGTCAGCAATCACTTCTCGACCAACCTGCAGCCGACCAACATCCTCAGAGCCCATGGTCATGAGGGTAAACATTGTCGCTGCAGCTGCTGGAGCCACACAGCCTCCCTTGGAAACCGTCTCCAGAAGCTGGAATGCGCACTGCCTTCCAACATCCTCGGGGGCTTGACCACCCGATGGCGGAGAGGCCACATCAGCCGAGAAGAGGCAGCCTGTGGAAGACTCTGCCACCAAAGACAAACCAAACCCGAGGCCAATCTTTTTCTTCGCCTGGGGATTGGTCTTGTCCGGGGCTGGCACCAACGGTGCAGTGGCAACGTCAGAGAAGATATAAGTATCAGGGCTGAGGGGGTTGAGGATACCACGGGCAGTCTCAATCATGCGAGCGTTGTTCGAGCCAGACACACCAACCGAGTATACAACACCGCGGATGCGCTTGATACGGCCCGCATTCATCAAGTGCAGGGTCTTCGGTAGACGAAGCTGGTGGCCAAATACGAGCTGCACTTCACCACCACCTCCCCTGCCAGTGGGACCAGTGTTTGATCGTTTCAGAATGCGGAGCTCGATGTTGTTGAAGATACCGAATTGGTTGTACAAAGGAAGAATCGCTGTGCGAACGCTGTCGACGGACATATCTCCGGTCGGTGTCGACGAGGTGATGACACCAGGTCCGGTGAAGAGTACTTTCATGGGTGCTTTGGAAAAGGGAGCCAGCAGACAGAGTGGGATAAGGTAGTAACTGAGTCCGCGGTTACAGTTCGAAGGAAGTTCATAGGTGATCATGCCGCCGCTGGCTCCAGTACCAGCTGTGCTGCCGGTGATCAAACCCGGCTTGTACACAAGAACAGTTCCTGTGTACGAAATCTCCATTTGAGAGCCATTGGTAACTGCATCTAGGAGACGGAGGAAAGAGATTTCATGAGGCGCAAGACCCGGATTCGTGGGCGACGAGGAACGAATTTGCGAGATGTGGACTGTGCGACCGGTGAGGGTAGACAATACCAGGCGATATACCAAATTGTGATGGGATGTGAAGCGGAGAGGGGGTTGAGATGTTGCCATTTTGTATGGTTGGTCAAGACTCTCGCCGTTAAACTCGTTAGTCTGGCTGTTGGATTGGAGATATGAAAAAGAAAAATTGACGGTGGAAGGTTGATCCGAACCGATGCTTAACTCCGCGGTGGAGCTGATATCTCCGGCGATCAGATCGTACTGATTTCCACGTCCATCCTCCTGCGACACCTTCGGAAAAAGTTAGAGTCTGACGAGATCGCAAAATACTATAATCAAGATGCTCCCGCCAGCGCTGAACATTCCCAAATGGTAAGCTCCGAGCTTTGCGTATAGGCGTATAGGTGTATATGCGTATATGCATATATTCTTACACCTACCCCCACTATCTATCATACTATGATTCATCGCGGGACCTATGTACAATCAAGCTATCCCAACAAAAGCCAATTGCTAATGATACATACGTAGGCTTGAAGAAAATTCTCATCTTCTCCAGCCACCAGTCAACAATTATTGTGTTTATCACCCCTCAACGCCGGCCACAGCCGGCTACACAGTTATGATAGTTGGCGGGCCCAATGCCCGAACCGACTTCCATATCAACACAACCCCAGAGTTCTTCTACCAATACCGAGGATCAATGCTCCTCAAAACAGTCGACAACTCAACCACACCCCCTAGTTTTCAAGACATCCCCATCCATGAAGGATCGATCTTTCTACTTCCCGCGAACACACCGCACTGCCCCGTACGCTTCAAGGACACTATCGGGGTCGTGATGGAGCAGCCGCGGGCTAAGGGTGCAGTTGATGCTATGAGATGGTACTGCAAAAACTGCAAAGAGATCGTCTGGGAAAAGACGTTTGTGTGTGTTGACTTGGGAACGCAGGTTAAGGCTGTGGTGGAAGAATTTGCTGCTGATGAAGAAAAGCGCAAATGTAAAGCTTGCGGAGAGATTGCAGCATCAAAGTACCAAGATGGAGAGATTGTGCAACCGCCCTCTCATGCTGAATAGTAGTCAGTTAGGCATACCAGACTCGTTTAAGGCTGAGGTTGGTGCTGTGATATCTTTCAGATTGACTTTTGGTTGTGTCTGTGTAGTTATGAGCGATGAATGCAACGTTCGTTAATGCGGTCTAAATACAACCGAATCAGCATAAAGGTATGTGATATGCCCTTCAACATATCAAAACGCCATCCAATCGAGGCCAATATGGAGTATAATAGAATTATCAAGCTGGGATTGTATACACGAACGAATGACATGTTATTATGACCAAGGTACTACCTAGGTAGATACGGTAATTATTACAAACACATAGCCTCACCGAGTTGCATATTCTCTGCCATTTGGAGAGGCTTCGTACAAAACATCAATCATTCCCAGGTATTCCCCCCTAGGAAGCTCCAGTCCCCGAAAAGAGAACACCATTATTAACCGGGGTAGAACCAAACGACCCAACAATCATGTACTAGAAACCCCCCCCCCCCCCCCCTCTCTCTAAGATGCATGCAGCAGAGCTGCGAGCTTGCGTGGTGCACTGAACCCATGCCATTCGTATATATTCACAGAACATTATTCGTCAAGTGGGCAATCGATGCTCTCATGGCCGTCGCGCTCACAGAGAGCACACCACTTAGACTCATCAATGACTCCCGATGACTTACCGGCAATAGGAGCCATGGATGAACCCAGCCCACCGATGCTTTTTAGTCCCTCCATGACCGCATCACGTCCAGTTCTGAGCGCGGGAGGAATGTCGTCAGGGTTCCTCGAGGTTTTAGGCTGGAGTGGTTCTGTCTTCTCAACAGAATGATCCTCAGCCCGCTCGTCGTCAGTGTGTTCCATAGGCTTCTTCTGTTCAGTGGCGTTGTGACCAGAGCCGAACATGCTGGTGCAGTTCAAGATATCATGGCCACCCGTCTCGCAAATTTCGCACCACATAGTATCCTCATCGGAAGAGCGTTCGGATTCATGCATGGTCTCCAGTCTCGATTGGGAGGAATTGGAGACACCGCGGTGATGGCGGGGTTCGGAAGGAGCATCATGCCAATCGGTTGGAACCACTGTGCGATCGGAGAGACGGTGAGGGTTGTTGTTATTGGAAGGGTGGGAGATATTGCTGGCAGGATGCGATGGCTTTTGTTGTTTAGGTGAAAGAGTGATTGTAGAGCTGCGATCACGACCACCACCCGACTGCAGGTGCATTTCCTGAAGTTCACGCTCAAGCTCTTCGATCCGATCATCTTTGAAGTTCATAGATTCTTCGACTTCTTGGAGTCGCAGTTCCAGCTGATTAAGATGTTCGGGGTTGTGTTCATAATCCGCCGAATCGTTTTGTCCCAGATCCTCCCCGCTGGTATTTCCTCGGCTCAAAGAGTGGATAATGGCCTTGAGTCCTCGGATCTCATCATCCTTCTGGTCCAAGTCATTATTACTTCGGGGCGCGTCGGACGATGTGTGTGCACCTTTCAGCGCAGCGGCAGAGTGATCACGCTCTTTCTTTAGCTCTAGCTTGGTTCGCTCAACTTCACCGCGGAGGAATTCGACCTCGGCCCTAGCCTCAGCCTCTCCACGCCGGGCGTCCTCGAGCCCTTCCTCTAACTCTGACACCAGCTCTTCCAACTGCTTGAGCTGCTGCGCAACAATCTCAACATCCTCACCGCGGTCTTGCAGTTCCTTATTCTGCTGCATGAGCTCGTCGAGACGCTGCTCGTAAACGCGTTCGGTTTCAGAAGCTGCAATTTCCAATGTATCGAGGGTGCTTCTGAAGTCTGCACGGTGAACATCGAATTCAGATGTTAGCTGGGTGATTCGCTCGTTACGTTCACGCAGCTGTGTACGGATCGAGTGGCCTTCCGATCCCTCCAATTCCTCCAAGGTTTTTTGGAACTCATTCAAAGTTCCAGACTGCTCATCGAGCTGCCTGTCTCGGTCCAGAAGCTGCTTCTCTAAACTCTTGATCTGATCTTTCAGGTCTTGAATTTCTGATGAAAGCGGTCGATGGAAGTCCGATGGTCGTCCATATGATGAAGCATCATCATCCATACTAATTCGCGACGAAGGTCTATCAGACAGCCGAGACGGCGCCTTGACAGGGCTGCGCATACCGCCAGTGAGGCCGCTAGCCCTGGATGCTGCTGATGGTGTACGCAAACCACTCAGGCTCAGTTTGGGAGGAGGCACGCGCGGAGATTCAGGTCGAGGGAGAGAAGGTCGACGGACTCGAGGACGGGGCGTAGCAAGAGCAGTGCCGACAGATTTGCTGAAATTGATAGGTCCTCCACGTGCAGGAGTAACTGTTGTAGAAATATTCGAGGTCGATCGCCTTGTGACATATTTGTTGTTGTTCATCGGAACGAATATGCCAGAGCCCGGGATCGATGTTGTAAAGTACTTGCGGCCTTCCACATCGCCGCTGTTTTTGCCTCGTTGCGCGTGCTCGACGCTCAGTTCAACTCCTGCAAATCGTCCGGGCTTCCCCGCTACCGATCCCAAATATTTGATCGTCCCATGCATGCCACCTGGGACATTGACCACGTCACCGACCTGTACATCTTCGAGGTGCGCCATCAGGCAATGCGTAGGCGCGGATATGGATGGAATAGAGATGGCACAAGGTTGTTAAATAGTAGATCAAAATATCGATACCTAGCCCTAAGAAGGGTCAGAAGCCAAGGGTGTAGAGGGAGCGTCAGGAGAATGCAAGGATATCAAGTTGACGGCCCAACTCCCAACATGGCGATCGGGCGAAAAGAAGAGGGAAAAAAGAGGGAGAAGGAAGAGAAGGAAGAGAGAGAAGGAGACAATTGAAAAGACAGACCCAATGCAGTACAGCGAGTGGAGTAGGAGAAAAAAAGAGTGATCAAGAAGTCCCCAGAGAGCAATATAACATAACGAGAAAGGGGGACAACAAATAACAGACTCCACTCCGCCAACCATTGACACTTCGACTTCCACCATCTTCCCTCTGCATATACATCCTTACTTCTCTGCATCTCCGAGACATATATCCTCTGCCGACGATCTTGTCTATTCTTTACCAAGTCTTGCGCGCATTTACCGTGCCGGACGCCACCGGCCCCGTCCGAACTTCGAACTGTCTCCAACTCGCCAACTATCGCATTATCCACCATGGCGCAATACTTCTTCGATCTTCTGTACAATTTTACAGATTGCATGTGCTGCTTTCCTAGTTCCCCACAGCTCAAGATCAACAACCGGAGTTTCAAACTCCTGCGCTTGTTGGGCGAGGTATGAAACCCCGATAACGATAGCTGCGAGCTGGTCTGACTGACCACCTTTGAATCCAACAGGGCGGGTTCTCCTACGTCTACCTGGTTCAAGACAAGAACAGCTCCGAATTATTTGCACTGAAGAAGATCCGCTGTCCTTTCGGCCAGGAATCCGTGTCACAAGCACTGAAGGAAGTCGAAGCCTACAACCTATTCAACTCCCAATCCAATATCATCCACTCAATCGACCACTGCGTTTCAACAGAATCCGGCTCCAAATTCAGATCCGACGGCGGGGATCCAGGCTCCAAGACTGTCTATATCCTGCTCCCATACTACCAGCGCGGTAATCTCCAAGATGCCATCAACGCGAATCTGGTCAATCACACCAACTTTCCAGAGAAGCGGCTGATGGTTCTGATACTCGGTGTTGCAAATGCGCTTCGCTCGATGCATCAATATCGTGTGAAGAGTGGGGCGGCGTCTACTCGAAAAGCGAAGGCGGTTCGGAGAGAGGGTGAGGAGGCAGACGAGGAACGGACAATGCAGATGAAGCCGAAACGACGGGCTAGTCATCGCATGGCCGAGGATGACGAGGACGAGGAGAATGAACCCTTGATGGATGATGAAGTCACTCGAAGCCAAGAAGGTGTCGAAGATGGGGACCTGCGTCCCTATGCGCATCGAGATGTCAAGCCTGGTGAGTCTAAATTGCTGGCTACGGATGCATGAATCTTTAACAACGCAGCGAGCTAATTTGTCGGTACAGGCAATATCATGATCGACGACAATGGCCAATCACCCATCTTGATGGACCTGGGCTCTTTGGCGCCCAGTCCCATCGCCATCACCTCTCGCTCACTCGCCTTGGCGGTTCAGGACACCGCAGCAGAACACAGCACTATGCCGTATCGCGCACCGGAGCTCTTCGATGTTAAGACAGGGTCGATTATAGATACCAAGGTCGATATATGGTCGCTTGGATGCACTCTCTATGCCTGTCTTGTGGGCAAGAGTCCCTTCGAGGCGCGCAGCGAAGAGACTGGTGGTAGCTTGAGCATGTGCGTCCTCGGTGGCGACTGGCGATTCCCTGACGAGAAGTCCGGCGCTTCCAAGGGTAAAGCCAAATCCGGCGCGAGCGAGGATGCATCCAAGAACGATGGTCCTGCGATCAGTGCGCCTGTCAAGGATATCGTTCGCAGGTGTCTCACTGTTGAGCCCTCTGAACGGCCCGATATAGACGAGCTTATCGAGCTCATGAAGGGCGTTATTGACCAAATGCCCGAAGATGATGTTGCAGGACCATCTCACTAAGGTCCATTGACCTGGAACTTGTGTGTCTCTTATGTTGTCTTATGCGTTTTTTCTTTTGACCGGCAGGCTCCGTATGCGTGCGATTTCCTTGGCTGTACATTATAAATGCGAATTCAATTTCCCTGGTACCAGGAGTAATTCATTCTTTCTACGTCTTTTGGCTCTTGCTGTCATTAAAATTACTCGATGTAAACTATGATAGCCACCTTAAATATCACTTGCTTTCAGGCATTGCAGTGTTCGCCAGAGCGCAAATGTACAGGTAGGTATAATTCTAGATGGCTTCATGATGACGAAATTCCAAGACTCCACGTTCACAGTTCAAATTATGCAGACATGTCTCAATCATCCAACTCCAACCACAGATATTATAGTATAATGAGCAGCACCTTCAACGATCAGACACGGGGGACAGATGTGACGAAGATGTTCCCCGATCGGGTGAAACAGAAAACATGTGCCTAATCCCCCGAATTACGCAGGCATATCAAACTGACCGATTATTTTCTCCAGTCCTTATAGCAGGCCTCAAAAGAGGAGACCTAGCGGCAACAACAGCAGACGCCCTCGCACACGGCGGAGCAGGAACTATAATATACACCGGCCGCTCCCAGCCCGAAGTCCAACCCGTCATCGACCACATCAACCGGAAGCACAAAAATGTCAAGATGATTTTTGTCACAGCGGACTCCAGTAGCCTGGCTTCGTTTCGTGATGCAGCGCATGCTATTAAAAACCTGGAAGTAGGCATTGACGCGTTCATTGGGTTTCCAGAGGTCATGGCTGTACCGTGGGAGCTAACGGAGGATGGGATCGAGTCACATTTTCAGAGGAATTACCTGTGTTATTTCCTGCTGTTGAATTTGCTATGCGATGTCATGTTGCCAAGATCGAGGGTAGTGTTGGTTACGTCCAGTATGCGGACGGAGGCGCCTGCGCCTACATGGGACGACATCGGATTTTCGGTCAGTTTCCACATGCTGTTTTCAAGGGCAGATGAAGAGACAACAGGAAAGAGGCTGATTGAGACAGGATGGAGAGAACTACCACTGCCTTGATGGGTATGCGCAATCAATGCTTGCGATCATCTTGTTTGTCAAGTCCCTTGCGAAGAAGTATAGTGGTCGATCCATCACTGCGTTTTCCGCGAATCCAGGAAGTGAGTCTACCTCGAACAAATTCAGTTGGCAAGCGTGTGGTTAGGTTGCAGTTCTCATTCGATTCAGATACCAAAACCAACGTCCAGACATTCGTCGCTTGGGAAGATATCAACTCTTGGTTGCAGCGAAAGAAAGAAGGCATGTTCGACAAGTCTCGATGTCAGTACCTATGTGACCGATCTGACACAATATCTCTTGATCATCCAGCGAGCGAAGATCTCTCGGTGCTTCTACAGCAAGCGCCGAAATCCTTTGCTCAGGGCAGTGCCACGGTCTTGCGCGGATTGCTTGATCCGGAGCTCGAATGTAAGATAGACACCTCCCACTTCCATCCACCACAACCCCGGAATCGGTGAGATTCATACTGATTGGCGGATATGAGCATTCAGCCCAATCTGGAGCGTTTCTCGATCATTGCCAGACACCCAAGTTACCGCATCTTGACTTCCCGGCGGGCGAAGAAAGTGCAGAGGCTCTCTGGAGGCGAAGCCAAGAGTTAATCGAGACATTTCTTTCCTGAATGGCAAAGAGTGATTAGACCAAAATAGGAAAGCAACCTATTGTCTCTTCAATGCCGGGGTTGGGCCCACCAGCTTGCCATGTCCAATTGCCTCGCAGATAAGCATTTGGTCGGACAGTTCTCCGACTGCTTCTCCACATTCCTGACTTTGGGGGGTTTAGATGTCAATTCATTTTCCGATTGAAAGGCAAGAGGGATAGATCTGTAAGAATGAAAGAAGTAGAAGTAGACGTAGAAGAGGCTTGCGGAGAAACGGCAGTGGAGCTTATCTTCTTCCGTCTTCGCCCTCATCTCCTCGTCTCGTCGTCTCCTCGTCTCTCTGTCAAAGCGGGTCCAGTATCGCCGATCGCTGTAATAAGAGAGCTTGATCGCTTTCTAATAATGCAGCTTCCCACTTGAGCATGGATACCCTCTAATTCAAATACCCCGTGGAGCGACCGTTGTCTTTGCCTTTTTTCTCTTTCCCTAGAATTCACTTGGTCTTTCACCCCAGAGACGATACGCGGGGTACGTATGTCATATTCGAACCTGCATATACTCTCTGAAGATCAATTAGACAGCCTTCAATTCGCCATGGCACCCGTCATCGATAGTACAGTCATCCCAGGCACCGTCATGCTGGTGGATGTAAACCATGTCATGACAGCTCGGCATTTAGATCGCGGAGATCGCGATATTGTGCTGGTCCCCACGCCCTCGAATGACCCAGAAGACCCTCTCAATTGGAGCCGGAGACGAAAACTTTTGTCCACCGTCTGTGTGAGCATGTGAGTGTAGGCGAGCTACGAAGGACATCTTCGGGGGATATGGTCGAATGAGAGATTGATAATGATCATGTTCCTAGGTACACAATGTTCTCGGGGATTGCTTGCTCCGTTCTCTATTCAGTGCTCACACCGCTCCACGAAGCAACGGGGCTGCCTGTGAGTACACTCAACGAAGGAACTGGCTATATGTTTTTATTGGCGGGCTGGGGCTTGTTATTTTGGCAGCCCTTTGCTATGCAATATGGCAAACGGCCGACATATATCATATCCTTGATTGGAATTTTGGTAAGACATCCGCTAAGCCTTTTAGTGTAACTTGAGATCATGGACTAACATATTCAGGGAATGACAATGTGGGGGTAAGGATTGTGATGCTTGACCATAATAAGGAGACAACTAACCCTAGCTAGTCCATACGCAGGCACCAAGGGTCAATGGCTGGCACGAAATATTCTCCTGGGCTTTTTCACAGCGCCTGTGGAAGCACTGCCCGAGATCTCTATCACGGATGTGGTAGGTGGATTCCCGTTGCAATGGACCGTTCCATGCTCACACGCATCCCAGTACTTCACTCATCAACGAGGAACATATATGGGTCTATACGCATTCTGCCTAGCAGGAAGCAACTACCTCGCACCTGTGATTTGCGGGTTCATCGCTGAGTACCATGGCTGGCGGTGGGTGTTCTACTGGCCAAGTATCTTCCTTGGCTGTGTAATCACCTTTCTTTTCTTCTTCTGTGAAGAAACTAACTACGTTCGATCACATGTCGACGAGACTAGCACTGTTGTGTCATCAAACAGCTCCCACAGCGGTGAACATGTGGAGAAAGCAACCTTCGCTGTTGATCCCGAAGCTGCGACTGAGACTGGTGCGGTTTATATCAAGAAGTCTTATGTGAAGAAACTGGCCCTGTGGGGGCCGCATCAGAAGCATAATACGATGTTTCGTCGTTTTTGGCAGTGCTTGTACTATCTGTCATGGCCAGTTATCTTCTATGCTGGGTATGACCCCATTGCTTTCTTCTTTGTCTTGGGATGATTTTCTGACTGACAGAGCATATCAGATTTTCCTATGGATCTTACCTGGTTTTCTTTAATATTATGAATGGAACTGCATCTATCATTCTTGGTGGACCGCCATACAACTTTGCGTCAGTGATACCACCTGAACAATTGGATGACTCAAGCTTACCCATCCCAGATCTTCAATGGTCGGCCTCAGTTATCTGGCGCCAGTTCTTGGTGTAGCTATGGGGTAGGTCTTGAACTGTCGCAATGATAACACAATCAGTATTGACCAATATAGATCTCTCTTTGCCGGTCGATTCAGCGACTGGCTCACCGTCAAACTCGCCCGTCGGAACAACGGCGTCATGGAGGCGGAACATCGTCTATGGCCCTTTCTCGCTTGTCTTGTGCTTGTGCCCGGATCCCTTCTGCTGTGGGGTGTTGGCGCTGCCCATGAAGTCCACTGGTTTGGACTGCTTGTGGCGATGTGCATGATAGCCTTTACCAATACCTGTGGCATCACACTTAGTATCAACTATTTTATTGACAGCTACCGAGAGCTGAGCGGTGTCGCCATGGCGACTGTGATCCTTGTCCGGAACACCATGTCCTTTGCAATTAGCTATGGGTGGGTATCTACGCTCTGATCCTAGCAGAAACACAGGCTGACTTCCTCTAGTATCACCCCCTGGGTCCAAAACTTGGGATACCAGAACTGCTTTATCTCTGCCGCTTTTGTCGGCATGACTTGCGCCTCAGTATTCCTCTTCATCATCAAATTTGGAAAGACTTTCCGCGAGCGCTCGCGCGAGAAGTATTGGAAAATTGTTCAGGAGAACTGGGAGAAAGGAATGGGCCACTAGCTCAATGATGCCATGGCAGTCTCTTAGCTCGAATCGAGGATTTATTTATAACAATATCATCTCAAATATCGACCGATCTTCATCATAATCCTCCATTACAACGGTCTCTGTTTCTCGGCAAGATGAATCGCCCCCTCATCGTCATAAATGATCTCCCTCACTTTGACAGATCTGAGGTGGTCCACACCATTGGACAGTTCACAATCATGATAGAACAAGAACCATTTGCCCTGAAATTCAGCGATAGAATGATGTGTCGTCCATCCAAGCACAGGATCCAGGATACGTCCCCGGTACGTGAACGGGCCCCAAGGCGACGACCCAGTTGCATAAGCTAGGAAATGCGTATCACCAGTAGAGTAAGAGAAATAGTACGTTCCCTTATAGCGGTGCAACCAGGCTGCCTCAAAGAACCTCCTCTCATGGTCATCCGCGAGCAGCGGCTCCCCAGTCTCAGGAGCCAGAATCTGCACTTCACGAACCGGCGATGCCAAACTCAGCATATCCTCCGATAGCTGTGCGACGCGCGGGCAGAGCGCCGACACACCCGCACCCGACGGTTCTTGGGGTCCGGACTTGGATTCATCAAAGACGAGTCTCTTCTTTCGCCCATTTGGTCCACTCTCATCTCCGTCGACGCCTTTCCCATCGACATCCTCGCCTTCAACCCAGCATTGCAATTGCCCACCCCAGATTCCGCCCACATACAGATACGCCTCGCCGCCTGCCTGCTCGTCAACGAAGACGGCAGGGTCAATGCTGTAAGTGCCGGGGATGTAGCTCTCCTGCGGCTTGAATGGACCCTCTGGCTTGTCGGAGACGGCTACACCGATGCGGAAAATGCCCGAGTGGTCTCGTGCGGGAAAGAAGAGATAGAACTTGCCGTTCTTGGTTGCGGCGTCCGGCGCCCACAGCTGCTTCGATACCCAGGGGACTTCACTGTCACGTAAAGCTACGCCGTGATCAGTTACGGTACCGCCAATTGTATCCATCGAAAGGACGTGATAATCGGCCATGTCATATTGGTCGCCATTATCGTTGAAGGCAATTGTGGTTTCGCGATCGTGGCTAGGGTAGATGTAGAGCTTGCCGTTGAAGACATGGGCCGAGGGATCTGCTGTGTAGATGTGTGAGACGAGAGGCTTGGACATTTTGCTGTTGATATGTGGGTTCTTGATGTTGATATTGGCAGTCTAGATTTAGGGCTGTGGACCTAGTGAAAGTACAGAATGGAGCTCGGAAACCGGGGTATTCGGGTTTTAATATCGTTTTCTAATGCGATTGTTTTCATCTACGCTTTTAGCCCACTTTTAGCCCACTTTTAGCCCACTTTTAGCCCACTTTTAGCCCACTTTTAGCCCACTTTTAGCCCACTTTTAGCCCACTTTTAGCCCACTTTTAGCCCACTATTAGCCCACTATTAGCCCTGTGGCTCTAGTCCTATACACCTTTAACCGGCGGCTAAAATAGACCAAAGGAGCAAGCCACGGCATAAGGCCCGTGTCAGAGGGGTAATTCCTGGAGAATTGACCTCTTTCTTACAGAGATACCAATGAATCAAAAAGAATGAATTATGTTCAAGTTCGTAAATCACTTGAGGTTCCACCGATGTGATTCCTCGGCAGACGCCCTCTGCAGCGCCTGATGCCACTCCAACTCCATCTGTTGCAGCAATTCGGCTTCCTCTTCACTCATATTTGCCCCCTCATTGCCTTGTTCATTTTCCTGATTTCCAGAGTCTACATCCATAGCTTCCTCATTCCCCTCAGTAGGTGACTCACACCCCTGCAGACCAAAAAAGCGCCCAAGACGGCGCACCCGCGTAGGGAGATCGATAGTATGCTCCTCGGACGTCCCAATCCACGGGGTGATACGAACCGGGTAGTTGTAGCTCGCTGGGACGGGCGGCCAAACTTGATGAAAGTGGCGGGCGAGGTTGTCGACCTGCTCCGAAGTAAGCAAGTTGTAAGCTAGCATCGTTGCGGGGAAGTCTGGGTGCGTTTGGCCAGTCTCACAGTTGACCAGTGGCCAGAGCTGTGCTGAGAGGTGCCAGAGCAGGGGGATGAATTGCGGGTGGAAACTGGGGCTGTCGCGCAAGGAAAGCGCAGCGTATGTGATGGGGAGGATCGGGGGTTCGACATCCTCTGTGGATGTCACATCAAGGGGTGAGCATGTGAGGGTCATTGGGCTGCTGCAGTCTGTAGTCGAGACTGAGAGAGAACGTTCGGAGATGGTCCAGCTTGAAATGCTGGATCGGCGGGGGGAACTGGGGCTCTTTGTCTCGAAGGGATGGTCCTCCATTTTGATATCGGCAGTGCGAAGCGTTGATGAGAAGCCCTTTAGATCGTTTAAGTCAACACTTGACCATATAATACAATCTGTATGTATAGTGAACACCACACTGTCAAGGAAAGTAAGAACACTTATATATTCGAGAAGTATGCGATTGTCGAAAGCCTCAAAGAGCCATCGACAATGAGATGAAACAAGCCCAAAACAGTTTCTTTGAGTCACAAAGACATCGTTTGAGCCTCTCCAATCAAGATTCTCAAGCAGAACCCCAGATTAATCTTTGTTTCCAAGAAAAGAACAATTACATCCATGTCACATAACTATCCATTGTATACGTTTCATGTCCAACTATACCCAAGTAGGTAGTTTCCTGATTCGCCCAAATATCCAATATCAAAGAAAGTATTGTTATCACAGCGACATATTGCCGATGCTGCGTGTCAGGTCGGGTTCCTCCGACACGGCCGGTAGGCCTACGTTTTTGTTGATCCAGTTGAGCACGGTGCGGTGCCACATCAATGAGTTCTCGGGATTCAGAACCCAATGATTTTCATCAGGGAACGTCAGGAAAGCACTGTCAATGCCACGCATCTGAAGCACATTAAACGCAGCTAGACCCTCGGCAATGGTCAGACGGTAATCCAGCTCGTTGTGGATGATCAAATGAGGCGTTTTCCAGTGTTCGGTGAAGCGCGACGGGTCCCATTTTGCCCAGTTTTCGGGGACTTTCCAGATCGGGCCTTTCAGATCGTGCAGAGGGAAGTATTGCTCTTCACTAGCTAGCTGGGACGTCATGCTAAACACACCGTCATGAGTGACCAGCGCCTTGAATTTGCGCCCCAGCAAATTGCCTTGTATCCAGTTCATCATGTAACCGCCGTATGAAGCGCCCAGCGCCACCGCGCGCGTGGTGTCAACATAACTTAAATGTTGCTCGATATAGTCGAATCCCCTGACCAGGTCTTCGTAGGGCCGACCGCCCCATTGGCCTTTGATACCGTCAGTAAAGGGTTGGCCATAGCCTGTACTGCCTGTTGGATTCGGAGTAATTACGACATAACCCTGCTCGGCAAAAACAGCAGGGTTCCAGCGCGTACTCCATTGATCATTCCATGCACCCTGGGGTCCACCATGAATGAGATAAGCAAGTGGGTATTTCTCTCCAGGCTTGAAGTCGGACGGTTTCACGACCCACGCGTGGACAGGATGATTTTCAGCTCCCTTGAACCAGATTTCATCGACTTGGGATGAAGATAAGCCAAATGCACTACCATTCCTCCCATTCGAGGACACCATTTGGATGTCATCGGGGTGAGCTGGATCAATGATGGTCCACAGGCTGTTATCGACCAAGCTGCTGCTAGACACAAACAGCTTGGAGGAATTGGCACCCGCGGGAACGGCGTCATTCACATATCCCGAGCCAGTCAGTCTCTTTAGAGAGTCAGGCTTGATCTTCTGTGCATTATGCAACGGAAGCTGGTAGAGAACTCCGCGGCCAGCCTCCTCGACGTGGAGGAACAGTGAGTTGTCATCATGAGCAAAGGACACGACCGAGGGGCTGAGATCCCAGAGTCCCTCGCCGTCATCTGACTGGAAAATTTCAATCATTTCTCCGCTCCACGGGTTAGGAACATACAGAATCCGGTTCTTATCCGACTCATACCCATCTTCGCGCATTGCCAGAAGTGCAATAGAGCTGCCGTCTGAGTTAAGAACCGGAGATGACATCGCGCCTTGAAGGCCGGCGACCTTGCAAATCTTTGTATCTGGCTCACTCATGCTAGTCCATGAGACCATAGGAGCATAGTAACACGAGCATGAAGTATGAGTCGCGGGATTCAGGTTGGGATCTTTCGCAATAAACACAATCGCTGATGGGCTTATATCAAAATCCCCAGTACCACCAAAAGGTGGGATTGGCGACTCAACACCTGTCAGCCCTGTGACCGCGATCAAGTTGGTAAGTCCCGAGACGGAGTATTTCCCAGACCTTCTGCGAGCCGGTGACAGAGGCGCCTGTTCCAGCAAGCCATAAAAGATCGCATTCTTCTGGGGCTCAACATATGAATCCCAGTGTCGAACAAAGAGAGATGTGTAAAGCTTGCCGGTTGTATATGGCTTTTTCGCATCGTGGGGGTTAAATAGCGAACCATCGGTGTTGGCCTTGCCCGTCACAGCAAAGCCAACCTTTCCCGGCTCGAGAACGACCACCTTTAGGTCCGAGACGGGGCCTGGAAGGGTACCCGCGGTGTATGTATTATCAGCCTGGCGGGCATCGCCTACAATGAAGCTTGTATTGCCATTGCCTTTGGTCTTCAGCCAGACCAGTTGGTCGCTATGGTCTACCCACCGCGGGTTGCTGGCGCCAGGATCATTGGTGATGAGGGCAGACCTGCCAGATTCGATATCTATAACACGTATTTCATTGGTCTTGGAATGAGATTCAAAGGAGTAGGATGTCTGCGTGTAGACTGCTAGGGTGCCAGCCGCGTTGGGGACGGCAGAGGACCTTCTAGGCGCACCGAGCAGGACCCTGAAGGGGCAAGTGTTAGCTCAATGGCCAATGAGATTCAATAAATATTGCGGTTCCTCAATATTCAGAGTATATCGCGACTACTTACTCAGGAGTGAACTTCATCGAACGAATGGCCATATCAGATCGAGATGGCGATAAGATAGGAAGCTCGGGGGAGCTTCCAAGGGTCTAATTGAGCTTAAACGAAGGGTCCAACCGGTTAGACACAAAAATAGACTACTGCCAAGCAGGTTATTGATACGAAGGAGAGAAATAAGATCAAAGGAGAGGAGTTGAAGAAGCCAGGGGAGGTTGGGCAACGTGATCATGCGGGGGATCGGTGATCCTGATCGGGTTAAGCGCCGTGTACCTTCCTGGCAACGGGGGAGATGACCTCATTCGCATTCCTCTTTGGGGAGTGCCTGGATGCCTCGATGGCTCTATCGAAGATCATGGATGCACAGAACGGATTGTCTTATTTCTCCATCACATACCATGCAAACGACGGTGTAGATCAAGCGGTGAATCCTTGAAGCCGAGGTCTAGGTCTAGGTTGCACACGATGCTATAGGGCAGGACATAGCAAAGGGATAAAGAAGACCTTTTGTATCCTAAAGCTCCAGAAACATGACTATTATTACAAACCACAAATCACATCATCAAATTTACTCCTCCTCTTCGCTCTCATCCTCGTCCATTCCTTCAGCCGCATTTACCTTGAATGTGGGCGCCTGATCCACGCCAACATAGCTGTCGCTCATGAGGTAGAGCGTCAACTCATGATTTCCAGGAGTAGGGACCACATATTCCAGGCGCAGCTCCAGCTTACGACCGATGGTGACACGCTTGATAGCAAGCAGGCTGTTGGTCTTCTCTTCTCCAACGACCAACCACCAGTTCTCCATCTTCTGGCTGGGATAGAATGGTGCATGGACAGTCGCATCGGGCTCCTCGTCCTCTTCAATATCCCGCTCAATCTTGACTTTGAGGTATGCAGGCTCGCCCGAAGTAATGTCGTCGGCGTCCTCGACTTCAAAGTCAAGCTCAATGTTGGGATACCTCTCATTAGTAAATGCTGCAGCTTGAGCCAATTGCTTGTTGTCAAGGCCGAGACGCTTCACTAATGTAGCGTAATCCTTGTTCTCTGATGGATCCATGGCCTCCATAAAGTCAAAGATATCTTTGATACTGCAGGAAGGATTATTAGCGCATGTCTGCATAGATCTGTGTAATGATACATACTTGTATTCTCGGGCCACCTTAATCATTTCAGGGGAGAAGTGGGGAATCTGCTTCAGAGGGCTGTCGCGATCCCACATAGACTGAACCACCATTTGGGACAATTCCATTGCGTTCATTGCGTTGAGATGACCCTCGGACGAGAGAACATCAACACAAGCGCTCAGCAGGTTGAGAACCTTGCGAACAATGTCTTCTTGATCTTTGGCAAGATCAAGAGGCAGTTGCATGCGGGAGAAGTGGGCCTGAAGGAGTACGAAAGCCTTGAAATGAGGGGATTCGAAAGAAACCTCGGCCATTTTGACAGGCACACGATCATACACACGACGAAGAATGTGCTTTTCATGGCGACGCATTTGGATAGACTCGAACTCGGTCGCCGAGGTGACAATCTCCAGGATGCCCTTTAGCTTTGTCCGGGACGACAGAGACAGCAAGAAGGTCTGCATTGTGACAAACGAGATGTTGTAGTAAGCACCAATCATGGCAGCGTTCAAGGGTGAGACACTGTCATCTTCTTCGTCGAGGTCGATGATCTTTGCCTCTGATAGTTCCTTCAGTGTGTTCTCCACCAGCTCTGACAGGAACGTGCTAAGACCCTCGTGGCCCACATCGCTGCAGCCGTAGAAACTAGGGTTTGTCAAAAGACGGCGGTAGAAGTAGGTGTATGTCATCCAATCAACCGCATCCTGGGTGGAAGAAATAGTCTTTGTGCTTGCTTCAGTAACAAAGGCGTCGTGTAGGTAGACTTGTAGGTGGCTTTCAACAGGGAGGGCCTCGTTCAAGAATTTTTTGTAATAATCGCGCTTCACTGCTGGCACCATAAGGACACCACGGCCAATCTCGTCCTGGCCGGGACGAGAGGCTTTGCCGAACATCTGCAAGATCTCGCTGATGGGGTAGTCTATGTAGCGATGCTCGCGGCCATCAAAGAATTGAGTGTTCATGACGATGACCAGATGAGCCGTGATATCCAGTTCCCAACACACATCTCGCGACGCCAGCAACACCTGGATCGCACCGATGGTGAACAGGTGTTTGACAATGCGCTTGTCGGTGGCATTCAAGGCTTCGTGGTAATAGCCAATACCGTGAGAAAGTGATGTGGCAAGAGTCTGCTCGTGTATGCGCTCAAGTAGCGGAGTAAGTTCCTCAACATCGGCATTTAGGAAGCGATCTTCATCGTTATCAATAGCACACGCAGAAAGTAGATCTGCAGCGCTGGCGCGAGCCTGTTTACGGCTTGGAACGAAGACCAGAGCTGGTTTATCGGGAGAAAGCTGCAGGATGGATTGATAAGCCGGTCGAGCCATCGCGAGCATGGCAGATGGGAAGTGAGGGATGGAGAAGGATTGAAGATGAAGCTCAAGTGGTACAGGACGGGCATGTGGACTGAAGTTGTAGATCGTGTGTTTTTTAGCACCAATCCACTCTCCAATGTCGCGGGCATTAGAAAGAGGCACACTTAGGCCTACAATGCGCATTTCTTGCTCGGTCTGAAGTGCCATGTAGTGCATGCGAGATACAATCACTTCATACACATATCCACCGTAGCCGCCGAGCAGGTGGAGTTCATCAGGAATGAACAATTGCACAGACTTGATGTTCTTACGTCGCTGCCACTGGCGAGACAACACGTCCCATTGGGTAGGAGTGGCAAGAACGAGGTCAGCCTGGTCGAGAAGCTTCAAATCGGCTGTGGTTTCGCCTGTCAACTTGACAATAGTTTTGCCTCCTCCCAGACCACCAAGCCGCTTCTGCCAGTCGGCAAGCCGCTGGTCAACCAGCTCTTGGAAGGGCGCAATGTAGACTGCGCGACCGCTTTCCTTCGTTGACCAGTGACGAAGCAGGGCCAACTCAGCACATACAGTCTTTCCACTTCCGGTGGGGGCGCCAATGAAGATATTATCGTCAGTTTCGAAGATCGACTTGAAGACCTGGGATTGAATCTTGTTGAATTGCTGCCAGTCAGGATACAATGCTTGATAGTCCTCGCGCTTCAGCGCTTTGACCGGGGCGCGCTGCATGTCGAGCAAAGGCGTATGTGGAGGGAAGCGCTCGGGAAGAATCAGCTTCTGGAAAGAAACAGCAATCTTCGTCTCAGAATGCATCCATCGGTCAGACACAAGCGAGATGAAGTAATTCGGAGGCATTGGCTCGGTGACAGGAACAGTGAACTCAACAAGGTGCTCATTCATTTCGGACTTCGCAAATTCACCACGAAGCAAAAATCGATCATGGAACAAGATTTCCTCTCCATCGCAGTCTTCGACCAAAATCCAGAAATCCTGAGCATTTCCGTGCACATCGTCATCCCAAACAAAGTTCGGGGAAATGGTTAGCTCTACACGCAGCATGGACCGTGTGATGGGCTGGACTTGAGCTTGGACGTCGAGTCTAGGGAACTTGGAGACCAAGTCACACACAGTACGTCCAGCCTTGGGCATTCCAAGCAGCTCACCCATACGGGGAGGATCCAAATCGAAATAGCTACCCCAAGGCACATCGATACGTTCCGCTTTTTGCAAAACATCTCTTGGGCAGTGAGAGAATTGGCGAAGAGGAGACATCGTAGGCCACATGCGCTTCTCGGCCATTTTGCAAAGATCGAGCGCAGTCTTGGCCACGGAGGCCCAACCCTTCTTCAAGCAGATCTCGAAGATCGCGCGAATGATACGTCCAGCTGATTGCGTGACATAGACCATGTCTGCCATCAAGGCAAGCCCGTCAAGCTTGAGTCTGGAGATGTAAGCCTGCAAGAGAACATTGATCTTCGCATGGGGCTCATCAATGGTCTCCTTGACAGGGACGGGCACACGTCCCAGGAGCTTTCCAAGCTCAAGCTTCTCATCCTGGCGAACCGGAATGTATTTGAACTCGTCGCTCAAGGCGAAGATTCGGAACAATTCAATGGTCGTGATAGAGGGCTGTAGGTGTTGAGCGTAGGTCAACATCGAGTTGTGACCAATGTAGTAGTGCGAGGAGATACGTCCAAGCTCAGTCGACTGTAGGCGTCCGGTCTTCTTTTCATACTTGACGAGACCGGCTTTCTCAAGGATCACCGCAGCAGAGTGGATGAGATCAACACGCTTCTGTTCTAAGGCATCATCATTTTGGTAATCGGCGCCAACACTGTAAAGGCCAGGCGACCGGAGCATCCGAACATATAGATAGGTGTAGCCTAGCCAGTCCACGCCTTCATCGCGGGTACGAATATTGCCAAGGACAATCTCCGCATTCAGATTATCCGCCAGTTTGCTCACCAACTGTGACTCGATGGGGAGTTGTTGGTTCATGAGCGAAAGATAATATTGAATTTCAGATTGCGATGTGATTATGATACCCTCACCGAAAGTATCATATTGAGGCCGACCAGCTCGTCCCAACATTTGCAGAACGTCTTGCGGGCTCAACTCGACCCAAGCACCCTTTTCGGGAGAGTAGACCTGAGTTCCCTTGATGATAACGGTGTGGGCTGGGAGATTGACACCCCAGGCGAGTGTCGCTGTGCAAACAAGAACTTGGATACTTCCATCGGCGAAAAGTGCCTGGACAGAATCACGGTCGGCAAGACTCAGACCAGCATGATGAATACCAAGACCGTAAGGCATAAGATCCTTTAGGTTTGCATCGTCTACCGAGTCTGCTTCTTCTGAGAGAATGGCACGGCTGGCAGCGTCGCTACGCAGAATCTGACCGATTGTTTCGTTTTCAAGGGCCTTGTCCCTGATATACTTAGCTGTCTTCGCTGTTTCTTTGCGAGAGTGGACAAAGATGAGCATTTGATTTCGGTTCTGGCCGACCTGCTCCATGACCTTGGTATAGCAGATGTCGTTCATAGTTTTCAACTGCTTGATAGCCTTCTTATCAGTAACACCAATAAACTCCTGTTTGAGGGGACAAGGACGGTACGTCCCATCGAAATGGAACACGCCCTTAACAGGATCGGCGCGCAAAAAGCTTCCGACATCGCGGTAGTTGGGGAGGGTCGCACTGAGGCCCACAATGCGCACCGGCTCTCCAGTCTGCTCGGTTCGGCGGATTGTTCGGCTGACAATGCTCTCAAGAACAGGGCCACGGTCATCATGGAGAAGGTGAACCTCATCGATGACAATAAGGCGGACAAGGTTGGTGTAGCTAGTTTCAGATGCCTTCCTAGTGATGACATCGTACTTTTCAGGGGTCGTAACAATAATTTGGGTATCGGCGATTTGCTGCTTGGTGAGCTGGCGATCACCTGTAAGTTCAGACACTCGAATGCCATAAGGCTCCAGGCGCTTGCCGAGATTCCCAACTTGCTCCTGAACCAAGGCCTTCAAAGGAGAGATGTATATGATCTTGAAATCGTCGAGCATGATCTCTCCTGTCTCGGGATTGCGGTTCTTTCCAATTTCTCGAAGGATCGTGAGCATAGCAACATTCGTTTTGCCAGAACCCGTGGGAGCACAAACAAGCAAATTGCCGTCATCATGGAAAGCTGAAGGATAGCATTTTGTTTGCACACGATTAAGTTCCTTCGAGGTTCCAAACCCTACACGGGCCCACTCTGGCAGGTCAGTGGTCGGAATGTTCTTCTCTCCTGGCTCCTTTTTGGCCTTGGGTGGCGGCACGTGAATTTCTTCGTATCCCTTAAATGTTCGCTTAGTTGAGCCTTGGGGGAGCTTAACATTGGGATTGGTCATAAGATGGTTGCCTTGGTGGAAGACAAGGTTCTCCAGATTTATCGTTTTCTTGGGCTGAAGGATACCAGCCTGGCCACCTTCGGCAGGCTTTTCGTCTGGGGTTGGGCCTGATGGAACATCAACGTCCATCAAGTCGAATTTCATCTTCTTATCTGGCCGGGCTCCAAGCTCGTCGCGCGCTTCTTTGCCACGGATTTCATCAAGAATTGCACGTTGTCCGGCCTCGACCATCTCAATCTCCACAAGATTACGCGCATCCGCATCCTCTGCAACTCTTCTCCAACGGGTAACCCAGACGGCCTTGTCACGATTAGTGACTAGTTTGGCAACAAGCTCGGGATGGTCGTAATCGAATAATTCCATGAGGTCGTTTTCGACGTCACGCAGGGATCTGGGTGCGCCATCCTCATCCTTTCCGCCGAGGATTGCAAGTGCTTCGTCGGTTTTCTCATGTTGTGCATGGGCATCTGCGTATATGGCACCGATTTGTCGTTGCAACCAGTAAGCGTCGATCTCACGAGCGGAGACATTCAATCCCGCCTTGTCTGCGGCTTTATCATCTCGTCCAAGGCCTCCATCGATGACCATTTCGTCGCCATCTTCGTCTTGAGCAGCTGTGACATCGGCTTCCAATCGTTCTTGTTCGTCTGCCTCCTCCTCGTCGCTAAGCTCGTCATCGTCTCGCACTTCGTCCACCGTTCCCATGCGCTCATCTTCTTCATCTTCATCGAAGACGACAGCAACGCCTTGGCGTTCATCGAGTTCGCCACTTTCTTCATCGAGACCACCGTCTACTTCCTCCTCTTCATCCTGGGCATCGTAGTCTGTAATTTTCTTGCCTAGGTTCACAAGCTCGTTGAATTCTTTTGGGTTCATTGAGGTTCCCAGAAGGTCGTCAATCTCCTTCTTTTTATCGAAATCTTTCAGTTCCTCGTCCTTGAGTAGTTCCAGCACGGCATCGGCGGCACTTCGAACGACTTCATGGGGAACATCGCCAAGTTGGCTTCCGGTGATTGTGAGGATGAGGTCATACGTGGCTCGTGTGGCGGGTGTGCGAGGTCGATATTTCAAGCCTTCGACGAAAGCATCGGCTGCTGAAAGGATGCCCTGGCCCCTTAGTTGTGCTGGTTGTCCGCGTTGGCGCTTCTTCTGTTCACGTAAGAGCACATCTTCACCCTCACCAATTGCACCCCGCTCGAGACCTGTCAGAGCTGCCCTCTTGGATCTCGGAGCGTCATCACGCGCAACCCGTCCACCCATCTCCCGAATCCCAATCCGACCTGCGAGAGACTCCGGGTCTCCAGTGGGCTCATCATGGGTGCGACTGATGAAACGACGGTCCGCCTGGAGAACCAGGTTGGACATCGCCGAGTACTTGTACTGCGAGATATTTTGATCCGCCATTTTGGTGGTTATATGGCTGAATGGAGAAAACGATGGAAAGAAAGAGTGAGTTGCGACAAGAACCTGCCTGCGGGAGGTCAAGATTCAGGTCGCGCCGAGACACGAAATGTCGGCAATTGATCAATTTTAGATGGTCTCACAAACCTGGCTCATACTCCTGCCGCAAGTAACCTTACTTGTAAGGAAGAAATATTAGCCAAGGTTGCAGATGGATGAAGACTAGGAGCAGCTCGGGAAGATTTCGGTGGCGAAGGCGGAAAGAGGGGAGCTTGAAGGGTTCTGCCACTCCAGACATTGGGAGCGCGTCGCAACAATGCGCCCTGGTTCGTCCCTCTCTCATTTGATGCCAGTTTATTTGAGACCTCTCGCTGCTCGAGTATACTCATCTTCTGGTTGCCATATACACCGATCTATATGTCATTATGCGCGTCGAACCTCTATACACCCACGCGTATCCATCGCGGCCCCGAGAGCTTACCTACGAGGCGCAAAGACTAAAGCGACGGTGAAATTGAAAGATCTCCCCCAGGGAATTTTGAAACTCGAAGCATACGACGATCGGGTAGATGAGGCTCCTCGCTACCCGACTGTGGTGCAGGGACACCGAAACAATATGCAGACATTCAAAAACTGTGTTGTCTTGACCCGAGTCGGTGGCTTCTACGAGGTACGATAATGGGCAATGCATGCCTAGCAGACTTCAGGCTAAACTCGTATTATGTAGCTTTATTTCGAACAAGCAGAAGAACTGGCACCATTGCTTAGCCTCAAACTTGCAACCAAAAGAACCAATGGCGGACCGGTTCCGATGGCTGGTTTCCCCTTCTTCCAGCTCGATCGTTTTCTAAAGATCCTTGTCCAAGACCTCAACAAGTATGTTGCTATTAGCGAAGAATTTGCTATCAACGCAGAAGATAAAGCACGTTCTGGGGGCCTCCTATTCGATCGAAAGGTTGCTCGGATAATCACGCCTGGCACTCTGGTTGATGAGAAGTTCATTGACCCTTCAGAGCATAATTTCTTGTTGGCCATATACCTGGACATTCCGACTTTGCAAATGCAATCAAAGCAACAAGTAAGCAACGAAACCCATCAACATATACTGTCATCTGTGCCCCAAAAAGTGGGACTCTCGTGGCTTGACCTCTCAACTGGCGATTTCTTCACTCAACTCACAACGGCTCAAATGCTACCCTCTGCAATTGCACGGATTGGAGCTCGCGAAATTCTAGTAGATCAGAATTTGCAAGATCTTATTGGACATGAATTGCAAATGCTTGTTGGACACGATCATCGCCTTGTCACCTTCTTTCAATTTCCCGGAGCAATTAAACCAGTGTCTGAATGGGGTCCAATGCTCGAGTCCCCCGTCCTCGAAGCTATGCGCGCCTCATTCACATCAGAGGAAGTAGCGGCTGGGTACAGCCTGCTCGAGTACATTCGCGTGCAGTTACGAGGATCAAATCTCAAACTTCAACCCCCAATCCGAAGACATTTGAATGAATCTATGAGCATTGATCGTAACAGCTTGAGTGGTCTTGAGATTCTCGAAACAGCGAGAGACGGCTTTGGGAAAGGAAGTCTTCTCCACGCCGTGCGAAGGACGTCCACAAAAAGTGGTGCACGACTTTTGCGAGACCGACTCAGTATGCTCCACCATAATTTAAAAAACGTTTTCAACCATTGACTAATTCGCCGCACACAGCTTCCCCGTCTACGTCTTTACAAGTTATCAATGAGCGTCTAGACCTCGTCTCGGTCTTCATAGAACATGTGGAGCTGCGTGACAGCGTCGTCCAGCTTTTGAAGCGCAGTTACGATTCTCAGCGTTTAGTTCAAAAATTTGCATTTGGAAAAGGGGATCCAGATGACTTGATATGTCTCTCGCGCGCTATCGAGGCCTCTAAGGAAGTCAGACAAGTTCTCCTCAATCACAATAAGGGGCCAGTCTCGCCTAGTGCTTCTGATTCGAACCATAGTCTTGCCGGCATGGTCTCCCGACTTTTTCTTGATGGTCCTATCGCGCTGGCAGAGAAAATTTTAGCGGCTATTGATGAAGAAGGTCTGTTACAAAAGCAGCGCATTGAGGATAGTACCGCTGCGGAGGCAGCGAGTCTGGCGCAGCAGGTAACTATGAATGAGGGAACATCGAGCGAGTTCAAAGCGCTCCCGAAAAAGGTCAGAGCAAAAAAGAGCGAGAGAATTGCCAAGGTTGATATTGAGTCCGGTCCTCTGGATACTTGGATTATGAGGCGTGACGCAAGCAGCATTTTGAATGCACTCCACGCAGAGCTGGAAGAGTTGGGTGATGAAAAGATTTCACTGACTCGACATCTCCGTGATTCGGTCGATTCGTCAGCCCTGAGTCTCAAATGGACACCAGGGCTCGGCCACATCTGCCATGTTAAAGGGACTAAGATATCCCAAAAATCTCTGGAAGACTTGGGGGTCACTCGTAATGTCTCGTCTACCAAATCTACTCGGTCATTTTACCTACCAACTTGGACCGACTTAGGGTCCAGAATGGACCAGGCGAAGATTCGGATTCGCCAAGAGGAGCAATCAATCTTTGAACGTCTGCGACGTGAAGTGATCCTAAACCTTGTTAAGATCCGCCGAAACGCAGCAGTCATGGATGAGTTAGACGTGGCATGTTCATTCGCAACTTTGGCTCAGGAACAGCAAATGATACGACCGATTCTCAATGACGGCACCTGCCATAAAATTGTCGGTGGAAGACATCCCACTGTCAAACTGGGGTTGGAGGAACAAGGGCGATCATTTGTGAGCAACGATTGCTACTTGGGCGATTCTGAGCGTATATGGCTCATTACCGGGCCAAACATGGCAGGCAAAAGCACTTTCTTGCGACAAAATGCTCTGATCACAATTCTCGCACAGGTTGGATCGTTCGTACCTGCAGCTTATGCTGAGATCGGCATCGTCGATCAAATCTTCAGCCGAATAGGTGCAGCAGACGACCTCTTCCGTGACCAATCCACGTTCATGGTAGAAATGTTGGAAACCGCTACTATTCTCAAACAGGCCACTCCCAAGTCGTTTGTCATCATGGATGAAGTAGGCAGAGGCACTACTCCTGAAGATGGCACCGCTGTTGGCTTCGCCTGTCTACATCATTTACACTATCATACCCAGTCTCGGGTTCTTTTTGCCACTCATTTCCATGCCCTTGCGGACATGACAGAGGGCTTCGAAAAGCTGGCGAGATACTGCACCGATGTTAAGGACATGGCTTCGGGTGCATTCTCTTTCGTTCACCGGCTGCGCAAAGGTGTCAATCGCCAATCTCATGCGCTGAAGGTTGCCCAGCTAGCTGGTTTACCTAAAGAAACCCTCGAATTAGCTATGCGAGTACGCCAGAAGATAAGGGAACAAGGGCCATCGCCTCGGATCACCGATGAAGATTGATCTGAGGTAGCGTCTGGATATTTAAAGGCAAACTTCCGGGGTCAAAGTACTCAGTAGTACCACCTAGATATGATACTCATGTACAATGTTTCGGCTTCTCAAATTTAAGATACCATCAGAACACAGGGCTAGGCGAGCAAATTCCTTCTATTTTCATTGCCAATTGCCAGGCTTTCCAGTGCCAACCAACATACTAACGCCCGCAGGCGTTTCGTAGATATCCATTCACACATTACAACTTTGCTGACCACAACTTCGGGCCCTTCTCAACCCGGCCAAGCTGACCCTTCCGACCAAGATCAACAACGATCCCTTCCCCAAACGCAGCCTCTTGGCAATCCTCATCCGCAACCCCGTTGACAAACTGCACAACAATAAAATCAACGCGACGGGGACCCAAAACAACCATAGGCGCATGCCAGGTCCCTACGCCGTATGTGACAGCTTGACCACCACGCGCAACAAACGCCTTGACATTCTTCAGATCAGGCGGATCCTGAATCGTGATCGTCTCGCCGGCCTCATTCTTCGCCGTGGCAGTCTGACCCTTCAACGTCGGCGCAACCACTACCAAAAACAGCGGCTCTTCCTCGCCATCCCCAACTTTAGAATGAGCAGAGAGATCGACGGGGATGAAAGTCTGATTCGTAAACGGATGACGTTCAAGGATACGCACGTCGAAGACCTCGTTCTCGGGCTGACGGCCAAGACCGACAGTGCGTAATTTGCGCGGAAAGCAGCAGAACATGGTCATGCGCGCCTCGGAGGAATGTCCGCTTGGGCAAGCATTGGTGTAGCGGTCGAGGAGCGGGGAGATGGGACTGTACTTCAACGCGGAGTTTTGGTTCGCCAGGACCGGGATCGGGTCGTGTGGCGGTAAGGATGACGGTTGAGGGGCAATATTTAGCTGGCGTGGTAGCGGTGATACCACTGCGGTGCCAAATTGTGCGAATTTCTCCGGTGTAAGAGCCTCTGGGGTGAGCGTTACTGTTGGATGGGTGGTGAGGATCGGCGGCATGATGATTTTTTTTCTTTTAGGTATCAAGATGTGTGGATGTATGCTGATCAATTGCTGAGTTATCCCACCACCTTCTCTGAAGTCTACAGCTATAGAAGAAGAAAAAACCAAAAGAAAAGAATTGGATTGGATGCCATTTATGAAGCTAATGCGGAGGTGTCGGCGGCCTCCGGTGATGGTTGGGCGATAAGGTAAGCGGCCGGGGCCGAGGCATGGAAGTATAGCATCTAAGCATATTTTGTTTTTATACAAAACATCATCGGGGATAGATGTAGGTATTGGCACGATGGACTTTACTGTAAAACGGCGCAATCCCCTCCGTGAAATATGGCTTGTCCACAACGAAATGCCACCTGAGACGAAATTAAAATTGGTGCACCAGACCGGTTGGTATATATCTGGATACATGTAGCCTTGGGATCTTGGTCTGATTGGCTCTTCTGAGAAGGTCGGTCTGAGAAGCATCAGTGCATTGTACACTCATGCACTCCCTACTCTGCTGCACTTGACCCGGTTAACACAGGCGGATCTAGCGCATCTGGGGCAATCTAAAAGGACAACAAGATCTTGCCGGCTGGTTCGCATATTAAGCCACAAGGCAACCACTGCTGATCGCAATGATTCTGACAACTTGGTCGTGTTTACTCCTCAAATGAGGCTCTAAAGAACTGCGAGAAAACAAAAACATCTTGGGCAGTTACTAACACATGCTCGACGCTGGCCAATGAGTCAGTAATGCGGTCCCTCTTCGCCCGCGTGGAATCATGGCGGCAATGTCTATTGGTCTATTGGATCCATTTCCGGGCCTTGAGGCCGGATTCGCACCCTGCAATATAAAATCGGATGAAGTTTTTACACCGATTGTTCATAGTCCCAACTCGTTGGTCTTCAATACATACTTGATGCTATCTGGAATGTCGGATATAAGCCAGCTAGGATTCCCTCTTCTCTCTTAATGTTCATAGTCCTGTCAACCTAGGATCATCCTCTTCTTCCTTCATTCCAGCTTAAAGAATTGTGAATCCTCCTTAGGGCATACTTTGTGGCACGGATCACAAGGATATCAACCGCAACCATGAGCTCTCCGGAGGAATCTGCCCCACAAACTACCTTCTCATCCGCTGGGATCACCAGTGATTCTACTCCTGCCGGAGGCTCTGCCTATACTCGGCCACAGCCCTCACAAAGGTAATCTATACGCCAGTTTGCCGGCCCTATGTGACCAATAGTCGGCTAACAACATATCTGACAAGTGATACTGACAACCTCAAACGAAACATAGTCGGCGTGGGTGGCTGGGTTCCATCCAAACTCAATCTACCAGACAAGTTCTCTGTCAGTTCCGAATCACTCGCCTCATGCCCACATCAGCAATGCGGTTATCTGCTGTGCGGAGAAGTACGCGTGCAGAAAGATGGCGAGCTAGTTCATGTCCAGCGATCCACGGGGCTGCCAGACAATCCAATCATGCAGTAGACGTCCGACCACGCCCGAGATTTGATTGATGGTCCCTACGGCGCTCGTTTGAACGACCCACTCATGCAGGCGCTTAGTATGCTTGAAGTTCAGAGAGCCCAGTCGGGGTCAAGGAGGGGACTCGGATCGACCGTTTCTATGAACATACATGTTTAGCTTTTCCTCTCTCTTTTTTGGTTTAATCTCTGCTTTGGAAAGATCGATGTGATTGGGAGAGCATTGAGGGGGAGGGGAATGACCAGGATTATGCAGCCACTGTTCATTTTGCATGACGCACCAGACATTGGTATATGGCAGGATTTCCCGGGGATCCGACACCAAGAGAAGAGTGGAGACCAATACCCAATGACCTGGAGACTTAAGCCGAAAGAATGAATCCCCTCCTGAAGGTATAGTGTTGTGTACTTGGTACATGAGGCGCTATTGTTTCCCCTCTTTTTCTTATCTCCCACATCTAGCAGTGGTTGCTGTTTGATTCCAGTCTTGGATCCCAGTTGAGAGGTGCTGGTCACCAATTAAATTGATTTCGAGGGTCATTGATTTGGTTCTATATGCATGGAGATGTGACATCAAAGCGCATGCTTGACGCAGCTGTGCCCAAACTGAGAAGATGGATGTGCTCAAGCCTATGGGAGTTTAGTGTCATAATGTAGTCAAATGCAGCAGGGATACTATGAAAGGTAACGAAGTGCTGATTAACTTGCCACTTGCTCTAGTAAGGCTGAGGGGTATTGCTCTGGCATATCAAAGTCCTCGATCCGTATGAGTCGGTAAAAAACCTGGCGTACTGACAAAGAAGACGCATATGCCACTTAATTGGTATTGTTTTGTTGGGTATATGGCTCAATGTTTGGAATATAGTAGTATTTCCCGGAATTTGTCTCGCATATAGCTGGTCCCATAGGCAGATGGAGTATTTTCCCATAGGCAACCATCAGATAGACTGAACCATCTGCTTTCATTCCCACTCCTAGGGACTCTGTGTGAATGTCTTCAGGGCTTAGGTCATGATTTACCTGGCTTTTATCGAGGTGGAGAAGCAACGTCTTCATACCCTATCCATATGAGAACAATATATTTCCATAGGACTCGGACAGACTAGGCACTGGGTTGCATTGGGTATTTCTTGTATTGAAAGGGCACTAGGGACATCTAGGAATGATCTGTTGACTGCCATCGCTCTGTTCTGGGGATATTGAATGTGGGTGTGGAGAATACATCGCAAGAGCACAAAGATGCCTACTGTTGATGTTTGGGTGACTTCATCTCAAGAAATACGTAAACAATAGAAGCCAGCTGGGCGGATCAGATCTGCCTTACTTCGTGCATATCTACGGAAAGGTACAACACCAAGGCATGAATTTGGGTTTTGGAATCATTGAATTCCCTTTAATTTCCTCAAGAAGTAAATCTCGAAACAGGATTTGAGGTCCAAAGGAGACCTTCGGATGCAGATGATACATGTGGACAATAGTCACGAACGACTGTCCGCATGCAGGTAGCTTTAATCTATGATCCAATATGTAAAGTGGGAGAGATGGTGAGATGGAGTCGTAGAGTAGGGGAAATCACAAAGGCAGTATTTTATACAGGAATTTGGCTAGCGAATAGAATGTATATTAACGATTCAATAAAGATTACTGAGCGCCACATGCCGACTTCAAATATGGCACATTTCTCGAAACCAGTCCCAGGAGCTGCCAATAACAGACAGCCGTGCTGTATAACTATGACCGTTTCAAGTTTGAAAGCAAAGGGTAGCATAAATTTATACACCAGTACAGCAGTACTCTTCAAAGGGTGACATCATGTATCTGGATAACATGTTGTTGCGCTCTTTAATGGCGCGTACATCACCATGGTGTCTTCAGTGGCGCTTGGAGCCACAGCGATTGCTCGAAGGAGCTTTCATCAAAATATCATGAAGGTGTTCGGCAATTTGTCCTCAGGGCTCATAGTATGGGCGGATACTGAGCCAGAAACTATCCGGAGAGAACATTCCTGACTTCTATTAGTGGCAAGGAGGCGAGTTGCTCGGCAGCGGAGGTTGAGGGGTGCCGTGTCGGAAGTCTGACTCAAGTGGCATTCTCTCCTTTTGCATCAAAGCGTGCTTTTTTGGCTCGTCGTTTGATTTCCCGCTTAGACAAAGGCTTGTCGGGATCGTCGGCAACTGCCTCAGAGCTAATAGAAGCCTTCCGTTTGAGATTGTCAGCCCCATTTTCTGATTTCGTGGTCTCTTTAGCTTTCTGAACACCCTTCTGCTTGAATGGGGGTCCTTCGGGTTTGATTTTATCTCCGCCATGGACGATGTCCACGATTCCTCGCCAACTAGTTCGCTTCAGCTTGGCCAGCGCGGTCACTTTCCGCGATTCTTCGCAGATTGCTTCCTTTCCACGCTCCTGTGATAGACCCCAGACACAGGCAAGATTGATCACATCCCACGGGGCTCGTAGACCCAGTGCCCGTCTTGCTTCGCTGGACACAATGATGCCTCGACCGCGTGTCGCGCGAATCAAGGATGTCGCATTCCCAATGAGGTTTCTCCGGGCATCGATTCCACTCCCTGTGATCCCTGGGCCATAGCAAATCTCAATGCGAACTCCGCGTGAGATTGCCGCGGACAACATTTTGAACTTGAAGTGGTATGGAAGTCGCACCGAGAGATCCACGGAGATCACATCGCATTCCAGGTTGGTGCATGCATTTAGAAGAGACTTTTCATTTGTGGGACGGAGAGCCACGAGATCGTAAGCTTGACTCAGTGTTGCTAGGCGCTGGTTCTGCGCGGGGTCGGAGAGGGTCAGGTTCAAGCGGGTCAGCAGTTGGAGGGATTTTGGCGCGTTTGTAGGGAGAGGGGGCGGAACAAGGCTTTGAGGAAGCTTCCCATTGATTGTTTGAGATAATGCAACGGTAGTGTAACCAACTGACAGGTCAGATTAGTCGTCCAGGTGCTTCAAACTTCGGATCCTGTACCGAAGACCGCAACGAATGACTTACGTTCAGCGAGGAAATTTAGAGTGTGAGGCACCTCCTGGTCATCGGGGCTATAAGGTACATTCAAGTCATAAAACATGGTGGATTTAAAAGAAGACAAGCCCTGCCCGTGGGATAACGTTATTGTTTGACTTATCAGGGCTTTTGGTCACATCGAACTGTCCCAAAAAGGCAATCAGAAAATCTAGCGGATCAAGTAAAGATCCGGTTCTGCGCTAACCGCTTCCAGTGGGCTCCCCACAACCCTCGCGGATCCCGTGACCTTGGGCGGAACGGATCTCATTCGACTGATCATATCACGACGATATCTCACTTCGTCCATCCCATTGCTCCAAGCCTCTTGTGAGCACTGTGTTCGGGCTGAATAGTCGCTGGGTCTATTGCTACCTGTCTCTCACGACAAATCAAACCTCGGCCGGTCTTTCCACCACACGGTTACGCCCCTCGTAACCCCGCCGCACATCTCTCAATTGTGGGCGCACTCGGGTACCGCTTGTCGTCGTCAAGATGGCGCGTGTCTATGCCGATGTCAACGAGCACATGCCTCGGTCCTACTGGGATTATGACAGTGTCAACATCTCTTGGGGTGTTCTTGAAAATTACGAAATCGTTCGCAAGATAGGTGAGGGATTTATTATATCATGGTCATCTGCAGCATGTCTAAGACGATCGTCAAAAGCTATGGGTTGCGGGTGAAATCTACAATCAAATTTGCTAACAATGTCTTTTTAGGTCGGGGAAAGTACTCCGAGGTTTTCGAGGGCATCAACGTCGTCAACTACCAGAAGTGCGTTATCAAGGTTCTCAAGCCTGTCAAGAAAAAGAAGATCAAGCGTGAGATCAAGATTCTGCAGAACCTTGCGGGAGGACCCAATGTCGTAGCTTTGCTAGATGTTGTTCGCGACAACCAGAGCAAGACTCCTAGTCTGGTCTTCGAGGCTATCAATAACACCGATTTCCGCACCTTGTACCCCCCGCTTCTCCGATTACGACGTTCGCTTCTACGTTTTCGAGCTACTCAAGGCGCTGGACTTCTGCCACAGCAAGGGTATCATGCACCGCGATGTGAAGCCCCACAATGTCATGATTGACCACGAGAAGCGCAAGGTTAGTGGGCTTATCAATCCATTTGTGTGGAAAATTATGGTCCTAATATATTATAGCTTCGTCTGATCGATTGGGGTCTGGCCGAATTCTACCACAAGGGTACGGAATACAATGTCCGTGTTGCTTCACGCTATTTCAAGGGCCCAGAGCTGCTCGTTGATTTCCAAGAATACGACTATTCTTTGGACATGTGGTCGCTGGGTGCTATGTTTGCATCCATGATCTTCCGCAAGGAGCCCTTTTTCCACGGAAACAGCAACTCTGACCAGTTGGTCAAGATCGCCAAGGTCCTTGGTACCGAGGAGCTCTTTGAGTATTTGGACAAATACGACATTGAGCTGGATCCTCAGTATGACGATATTCTCTCTCGCTTCCCCCGTAAGCCATGGCACTCCTTTGTGAATGCAGAGAACCAGCGCTTCATCAGTGACGAGGCCATCGATTTCCTTGACAAACTTCTGCGATACGACCATGCTGTAGGTTTTCTTCTCCTTTGTTTTTTTTTTTCCTTCGCTATATTCATGGGTTGACCGTACTAACTTGGCTTGTAGGATCGCTTGACTGCTCAGGAGGCCATGGCGCACGCATACTTTGACCCAGTGCGGGCTGACGCAGCGGCTCTTAGCCACAACAACGTGACACTGCCTTGAATTGCTCTCGTCTAAACTCTTGATGATTATGGATCTTACCTTCTCCCTCCAATGCTTGATCCTCAAGTTTTACACATCCTGCCATGAATTTTTCCTTGGGCAACATGACAATTCCTACCTTTTGCATTTGAAGTCTGCCGATATGAACGGTACAACGATGATCGAAACATGAAACGAGCCTGGTCTTCGTACTCCCACCTGTTCCTTTTCTTTTCACTGGCCCCTAGACGGAGGGCTCCGGCAAACGATCAAATTCTGAATGAAGACGACTTTGATGACAAGACATCATGACATTTAATTTGCTAGGTCTTTTTGACCCTCTTATCGCCTAGGTCGTTTGGCGTGTCCGTGAGCATGGTAAACCAGCGTCTTAGATGGGGAAAATATTCTTCTCTTTCATCTTTTTCTATTTGTATAGCGCTGCTCATGGGTTCTCCAATTGATTTCTCCCTTGTTAGTCGAATTGGTGTTTTGGCCTTTCTACTGGGTGCGTCGTGTTTCAAGGGGGGCTTGTTTAACTAGGACAACCCATTGCATTTGTTTTCTTAACGTTTCCTTTTTTTTATTCACGAATGAAATATCGCACGAATGGAAGAAAAAAGATACTAAGATACCGCTATTAATTAAGGTAGAAAAAAGTGGTTCCTTGGAGCGATATATAAAAGCGACGATGGGGCTTAAGTACATATGTCTGCAGGTATAAACCCCAGGATATATACGTGCATAATTATATAGGTACACATAGGTGCAAGATCCTCCGATTGTAAAACCGAATTCAAATATAACCAATGCAACTAGTAATGACCCGAAAGTTCATACTGGTAGTTCAGATGTGGTCCTCGAACTCATAGATCATCCTCAGATCACCCGTTGGCTCCAGCGTATCACGTGAGGGTTATCGCAGCGCCCTTTCTGGCCGAAGAAAATAGAGAGGAATTGCAAACGCGAGAAAGAATAGAAAAAAACAACCCGATGAGACCTAATGAGTGTTGTCTGCACATAGAACGCGCATCATTGACCTGCCCGCCGACTCCACCGAACCTCCCACCAAGCCCCGCGCTCTCATTCGTTCATTCAGCGTGGGAAATTTAATTGCCCGCATTTCCCACAACCACCCCTCCTTGTCTCCCCATCTCTCAAGATACTTATCCGGCGATTCGTGGCGCAATCGGCGCCTTGGAGATTTACTCCTCAATATCGTACATTCTCCAGGATGGCTCAGAACTCTGCCTCCCAAACCCCCAGTGAGTACAGTGACTCATTCTCAAATGTCGCAGGAACTGACAGTGACCAGCGGGTGAGCCTACGGCTCCCGTGACTAGCGCACCCCCTCAGGTCGATGCCGCTGCAAAGGATCCCCAGGGTCAGCAGCAGAGCGGACAGGCCGCTCCGAAGGTGAAGACCGAGAAAGAGTGTACGTTCCCACCAAAATCTATGTTTCGGCTTTTCGTTGGAAGGCAGTGGTATACCCCAGGCGATCACTGACACTGTGGGTACGTGTATAGTGGAAAAAGAGCGCAAGAAGGCCGAAAAGAACAAAAAGTTCGAAGAGAAGCAGGCGGCGAAGGCGAAGGCTGCTGCCAACAAGGCCGCAGCTCCCAAGGCCGAGAAGAAGGCGAAGCCCGAGAAAGAGAAGACCACCGATGCTTATGATCCCATTGCTATCGAGGCTGGTCGCCTTGACTGGTGGGAGGAGCGTGGTCTCTTCAAGCCCGAGTTCGGACCTGATGGCAAGGTCAAGCCGGAAGGCTCCTTCGTCATCCCCATTCCCCCTCCCAACGTCACTGGTTCTCTTCACATGGGTCACGCCCTTACCAACGCCCTCCAAGATACCATGATCCGGTGGCAAAGAATGAAAGGCAAGACTACCTTGTGGCTTCCCGGAATGGACCACGCCGGTATCTCGACCCAGAGTGTCGTCGAGAAAATGTTGTGGAAGAAGGAGAAGAAGACCCGCCACGACATTGGCCGCGAGGCTATGGTCAACTTGATCTGGGACTGGAAGGATGAATACCACAAGAACATCAAGAACGCCCTCCGCAGAGTCGGTGGTTCGTTTGACTGGAGCCGTGAGGCCTTCACCATGGACCCCAACCTGTCTGCTGCTGTGACTGAAACCTTCGTTCGTCTCCACGAAGAGGGTATCATCTACCGCGCAAACCGCCTGGTCAACTGGTGTGTGGCCCTGAACACCTCTTTGTCTAACCTTGAGGTCGAGAACAAGGAAATTGAGGGCCGTACACTTCTTGACGTGCCTGGCTACGACAAGAAGGTCGAGTTCGGTGTCCTGACTCACTTCTGCTACGAGATCGATGGAACCACCGAGCGTATTGAGATTGCTACCACTCGTCCTGAGACCATGGTTGGTGATACTGGTATTGCCGTCCACCCCGACGACAAGCGCTACCAGCATCTGATTGGCAAGCATGCCCGCCATCCTTTCGTGGATCGTCTGCTTCCTATCGTTGCTGATCCGGAAGTTGAGCCCGAATTCGGTACTGGTGCCGTCAAGATCACTCCTGCCCACGACTTCAACGATTTCAACCGCGGTAAGGCGCACAACCTGGAGTTTATCTCTGTCATGAACGATGATGGTACCTTCAACAAGCACGCTGGTCCCTTCGCTGGTATGAAGCGCTTCGACGCCCGTTACAAGGTTATCGATGCTCTCAAGGAGAAGGGTCTGTACGTCAAGTGGGAGCACAATCCCATGAAGGTTCCTCGCTGCTCCAAGTCCAACGATATCATTGAGCCTATCCTTAAGCCTCAATGGTGGATGAAAATGGAGAGCCTGGCTGGCCCTGCCATCGCTGCCGTTGAAAACGGCGATATCATTATCCGTCCCGAGTCTGCCGAGAAGAACTACTTCCGCTGGATGCGTAACCTGAACGATTGGTGTCTCTCTCGTCAGCTATGGTGGGGACACCAGGCTCCCGCTTACTTCGTGAAGATCGAAGGCGAGGAAGGCGATGATAGTGATGGCAACCTCTGGGTCACTGGTCGTTCCGAGGAAGATGCCCAGAAGAAGGCCGAGGAGAAGTTCCCTGGCAAGAAGTTCACCCTGGTCCGGGATCCCGATGTTCTCGACACTTGGTTCTCTTCTGGCTTGTGGCCCTTCTCTACTCTGGGCTGGCCCCGCAACACTCACGACTTCGAGAATCTGTACCCCACCTCCGTTCTGGAAACCGGTTGGGATATTCTCTTCTTCTGGGTTGCCCGTATGATCATGCTGGGTATCAAGCTGACTGGCCAAATTCCTTTCCGTGAGGTTTACTGTCACTCCCTGATCAGAGATTCTGATGGCCGCAAGATGTCCAAGTCTCTGGGTAACGTTATCGACCCTCTGGATGTCATGGAGGGTATTCAACTTCAGGCTCTCCACGACAAGCTGCAGCTGGGTAACATCGCCGATAAGGAGATTGCTGCTGCCACCAGATACCAGAAGAAGGCTTTCCCCAAGGGTATCCCCGAGTGTGGTGCTGATGCTCTCCGCTTTGCCCTCGTCTCTTACACCACTGGTGGTATGTTCGATCATATACCCCTGTTTGATGCTAGTTACTGACATTATCTTGTAGGAGGTGATATTGCTTTCGATATCCAGGTCATTCATGGCTACCGTAAGTTCTGTAACAAGATTTACCAGGCCACCAAGTTCGTCCTCGGCAAGCTGGGCGATGACTTCAAGCCCCAGGCCAGTGTTAAGAAGACCGGCAATGAATCTCTTTCCGAGCGTTGGATTCTGCACAAGTTCAACACCGCTGCCAAGGAGATGAACGAGGCTCTTGAGCAGCGTGAGTTCTCCAACTCCGCTCAGATCTCCTACCAGTACTGGTACTCCCAGCTGTGCGATGTGTTCCTCGAGAACTCCAAGTACCTCCTGGCCGATGAGGCCTCGGCCGAGACCAAGGAGTCTGCTAAGCAGACCCTTTACACAGCCCTCGAGGGTGCTCTGACTCTGATCCACCCCATCATGCCGTTTGTTACCGAGCACTTGTGGCAGCGCCTGCCCCGCCGTGCGGGTGACGAGACCATCTCTATCATGAAGGCCAAGTACCCCGAATTCCTCGCCGAGTTCGACGACCCCGCCGCCTCCAAGGCCTATGAGCTCATCCTCAACACCTCCAAGGCCATCCGCTCGATTCTGGCTCAGTACGATGTCAAGACCCAGGGTGACGTCATTATCCAGACCTACGACGCTACCAGCGAAAAGACCGTCTCCGAGCAGATGACCACCATCAAGTCTCTGGGTGGTAAGACCCTCGGTGAGCTGTCCCACCTCGGCCCGGAGAACAAGAACCCTCCCTCTGGCTGTGTGGTTGCTGCCGTCGGTGCCGAGGCCGCTGTTTACTTACGTGTCTCCAAGGAAGTTGCCTTGGAGCAGGAGGAGAAGGCCAAGGCTAGCCTCAACAAGGCCCGTGAGACTGTGCGCAAGTCTCAGGGTATCATCAACGGCCCTGGCTGGAAGGAGAAAGTCAAGCCTGAGGTCCGTGAGCAGGAGGAGAAGCGTCTGCGTGATGCCGAAAGCGAGGCTGCCCGTCTCGAGGAGCAGGTCAAGGAGTTTGAGAAGCTGCGCTTGGAGTAACGTATCCATTGTTGGATAGATTAAACCAAAATATATCAATTGATTTCCATCTTCCAGATTTTCAGTCGTTGGTAGATCTGGCTGTAACAATAGCATTTCTCCCAGATTAGACAATATCCGCAAGACAATTCTCCTGGGGGATGTATACTTGGAACTATGTTATCAAACATTAGCCATCCAACTTCTTTCCTCCATCAGACATCAGATCGGAGTTTCCTCGACGCTATTTAGTTGTAGGACCGAAACAAACAAAACAAAAATATAGGCAAATATCTACCTATAGAAATAATCGGAAGGTTCAACGAACTAGCAACAGGACAAAAAAATAGTTTCCCTGGGAATCGAACCCAGAACCTTTCCGGAACATATGCCAGTGGCATTTGTTAACGGAAAATCATAACCGCTAGACCAGGAAACTTTTCAGCCATCGAGGCCAATTGATGACAGTGGAAGCCATAATTGGTAAAGTAACCCTAACTCTTTGCTTGACACAGTACTGTACTACGTCAAGGTGCATGTCTAAGAATCATTTTCACCTGCACCATAGATAGATGCACGTGAGGAAAAGGGCCGATCGCAAATCCGCGTTTGCCGAGAAGGGCGGTGAAGTTGCCGGGGTCGGGGTCAAACCGGACCTTCTGCTCCGTTAGCTCGCGATGTCCTCGTAATGTCCCCGCAGAACTTCTTGTGTCGCCGCAGGTCCCCGCAAGTCCTCGCAAAGGTTCGATGTCCTCGCAGGTCCTCGATTCTGAATGTCCCCGCACGTCTTCGCGTGTCCTCGTCTGCCCGCGAGATTTGATCCATTTCTCCCGGATATCTCCCGGATCCAGCTAAACCCGTGTGAACTATTTTTGGGGAATCTTCCGGCGTGTTCTGGGACTAACAAATTCTTTTTGAATTCTTCAGCAAGTCCTTGATGACACCACTCAACTGGAAAAGACAGACTTTTCTTCATTGGAAATGAGTCAAAGGAGCGGCCGTAAAGAAGGCGGAATGTCGCCATGGTCACCAATTGCATGTCTAGCAAGTATGAAGACAAGGCTTAGCGTACGTAGAACTTTCATCATGTCACCAGGAGTTGCAAGGATTGTGAAAGCATAGATCCAGAGCGTTATGAGGATGTGTTGCCATGAAACAGCCCCGGGTTCGTCAAGAATGACATAGATATCAGCCCCTGCCTCAGGCTAACCAGCACCCCAACGCTCCACCACGGTGACTCTTCATAGCAACAGCCTACAATACATCTATGTGAAGGTATATCGACGTAATATGAGGGTATATTTTGGTAATATTCTTGGGCCTTCCTTCCCGAGCTCCATTATAGCCACCTGAGCAGAACTGATCAGCTCAATAACCATCCGTTGTAGTACCGCCTATGATACTCCGTACTCTGACCATCTTTGTGGAGCTTCATGATGAAAACCAACTCAAGGGTCTTGATTGCAGTATTTATCCGAGGACCCTGGCCCATATTGAATGCCTTCCGCGTACATTCCTTGGCCGAACAACACCAAGGATTCTTGAGAACTTGCACTGGCGAGCAGCCCTCCCCGTTCCGCGGCTATCCCTAGTGTACCAATCACCCAACGTTGTGCCTGGAATCTGTGAGAAAAGTGAAGGTGATCTTCACGGTACCAGACCCACGGTCATTGAATGGACCTAACACTGTTGGATAATTGATATGACTCTTTTCTTATAGTGTACATAGAAGGAAAAGAGCGATGTGCACATATATGAAAAGAGACAGCAGAATTACTCGCTATGTCAACGAGGTGCGATGATGAAAATGAGAAGGCGCAAGCCGTTGTGGTGCCTTGATGTATGTGTTGAACCAACGAATGAAATTTTCGAGTGATTTCAAGAATGCTATTGGAATTGAAAAACGATTGGGGGCACATCGACCATCAATACTGTGGTTGTATGGAAAATCAAAGCCCGGTTGGACACAAGGGACCCCAGTGTGTGCCTGGAAGATACTGCTGATACCACGAAGGGCTGCCCACACAAGTCGGGCAGTAGAACAGACCCGTTGGATCGTACTTCTTCTTGATCACTGCCAGCCGAAGATAGTTGGTACCATAGAAATTGATAGCCCACAGGGGATCGTTGCGGTCGGCCTGTTGAAATGTTAATTTGAGTTCTCAATAATTCCTGTATCACATACCTCATTCAAGTAACTGCCGAGGGTTGGTGTCAGTAGGGCCATGGCTCTTCCTTTGTTGTATGTGATATCATCCTTCACAGACTGGGCAGTGGATTCGTCTGCCCAGCCCCTGGCGACAACATGCATGATATAGGTCGAGCGCCACGCAGGGTTGAGGCCAGAGTATTTATCACTGCCATCGGTGAGGACCTTGCCGCCACCAGCAAGTACCACATTATTGATCGCATATTCAGTGGTTTTACCTGCAACGACTCCGATCATGGCACGCAGGCGAGTCCGACTAGACGTCAAAGCAGTTTTCCCCATCATTCGCGAAGACAAAGCATTGTTTCCCGATGTGACAGATTGCTTGGAACCCGACATAGCCCGGTAATAGGCTGCATATGTTGGGAACTCATACCATGAGACGGACACATGAAGCGAAGTACCGTTATACTGCTGTAGAGTTTTCAAAAGCGGCTCAAAGATTTCCTGAGCATCAGCGAGCGACTTGCCCATAACCGCAGTGGCATGAACATAGCCAATGGTCTCGTTACCGAAGAGTTTCGTGGGGGCGTTGATAGCCCAGGAACCGTAACCCGAGAATCCCTGATCCATGACGCTGGGATATTGCTCGTAGACATCGGTAATAGCTTCGAGTAGTGGATCAGTATCTTCGCTCAGCGGGACAATTGTAAGGGATTGTGCCACGATGGATTTGCTGGGGTATGCCTTGACCGTCATCGAGGTAACGACACCATAGCTACCACCTCCACCGCCGCGAATGGCAAAGTAGAGATCCGAATTTTGGCAAGCATTAGCCGTAACAATAGAGCCATTGGCTAGCACAACTTGAGCTTCGAGGACTTGATCCGCAGCAAGACCGTAGTCATGGCTAGCTGGCGAGTGACCGCCTCCCTGTGTGTAACCGCCAATGCAGCCAACGGTCTTTCACGAAACACGAGATTAGAATTACACGTTCAACGGGGGACATGGCATAGGCTCTCATACCGGATCACCTCCACCAACAACGGTGAAATTTCGCTTAAAGGCCACTTCATACACGTCTTCCCACACGTATCCTCCACCAATTGTGATTGCAGAGCCTGTCCAATCGCAGCTTGCGCATTGATCGGAAGGAGTGTAAGTCTCGTGGAAGTCAATTCCTTCCTGAATATACTTGATCCAAATTTGCAGTGCTCCATAGCCCGAACTCCTGTTAATCCAGTAACAGGTTAGTAGGTAAACCAGTCATTAATGATCTCATTCCACTGACTTTCCCAACAAATCATGTCCCGTATTCCTGATGACCAGGCGAATATTGTTCTTTTGGGCAAATGCCATGCCAGCAGCTAGCTGGGCTGGCTCTGTTGCGTTGATCGTATACACTGGGGCAGGTCCCAGAATGCACGTTCCAGGTTCTTGGCCCGCGCTCAGGTCAACGGGAGGGCAGGGCACGTCCGTGGGGTAAACGTATCCGACCGGGGAAAGCTCTTGAAATAGAGAATCGGACCATTGCGAATAGACACGGGCACATTCCTCGGCGTTCTGGTAAGTACCGGGGTAGCACGAAATAGCCACTGGGAGATTGTGGATCAGTTTCCCGGATACCGTGGTGTTGAGGGCATTCCAAGCATCGACAGAAGGCCAACACGAGTCATTTGGAGTCTGCAAATCAAGTCAATATATGAACCATTCGTGGCTGTAAAATCTATAACGTACACACTTGCACGAGGCCTGAGAGGTCGCATAGCTGACACCGGCAATGGCCAGAAGGGACAACAGCCTTGAACCCATTGCAAGATACTGCCCAGGATGGAAGTCAGAAAAACGGTCTCGGGACGCCGGATTACATTTGAGGTCAACGAGCTCCAATATTTAAAGGGGGCGGCAGACGGCAGATGGAATCACTTCCGGACACCGGTATGGAGTAGACTGGAGTCAAGTACTCCATACGGAGTACTCCGTAGTCCGTACTTCATTTTGGACTAACTCATTGTTCAATTAATCAGTGTAATGAAGAGCTATTAGTTAGCGTCAAATGGGCAGTGCGGTCAGTGCGGTCAGGGGGCCCGCTACACCGATGTAAACCCATCAAACTACGGAGTACCTAGGTAACTGTCAACGGTTCTTATGTCGCTCGTTACGGAGTATTTCAGGAGAGATTGAACTGATCTGGTTGTCCCGTTCCAGTGAGTCTAGTCTAAAGACAAAATGCTAGTGCATAGTTTCAATTGGGCCTTGCTCCGTTTGCGGTGCGAACCTAATGAGCCTCTCTCCCGCGTGGTGTATTTTAACCGAACGACAGGGATTATGAAACATCTCACTAACGTTGCCCGGAATCCTTCTATTTTGCTATTTTACTATTCTACTATTTTTCTATTTGCCCTCACTGTGCGGCTGATCTAGCAGGTCCACAAACTAGCCCCCATCCTCCGCAGATGAGCCATAAGCCTATGTAATTGCAGGGGAGTTTCAATTAACTGCACTACATACGCCAAAAACTCTTTATTGTGGATTTCACAGCCAATTGGGGTGCTTTGCCGAGCTCGTATGCATATTTTTCTCAATGGCTAGCATGTAGTTGGTCATATCGGTTCCGGCGGACATTTGTCGGTTGTGGGTTGACAGAGATATATTGTCAATTCTTACTTGCATCTAGAACGTTGCAAGAGTGACTCCTACTTGCTATATATGACCACACCAAAATTACTCCGTACTCCATACTTGCTTCTCCCTTTGGTGACCCACAGACCTCAAAGACCACCTAAAACCAGTTCGTGTGTGATATCTTGCCAACGCTAATAGTTGTGTCCTCGATATCCCCTGTGGTGGCCATGAGCAGTACAGCCGCTCCTCGGGGTGTGGCAACCCAGCTCTCGTCAACTGGCCTCATAGCGGTGACTTGGGTTGGAGCATCTCTGGGTATTCTCTTCACAGTTGCTCGCATCGCAATTCGAATAAAATATATGCGATGTCTGCTGGCCGATGACTACTTCATGCTTCTTGCCTTGGCCTTCCTCATTGCCAACGCAATCCTCCAAACCTTACAAACACCCCATCTTTACTATATGATACTGCAGAGCACCGGACCTGATTTTGTTGATCATGTCGTGCGTTACACGCGTTTTGAGTTTGTCATCATTGGTGTGTTTTGGTCTGTACTCTGGAGCGTTAAAGGGTCCTTTCTGGCACTCTTCTGGATGTTGTCCGATGGATTGCCCCGGTATCGCCGGGCTTGGTGGGCCCTCACAGTCTTCGCAGTATTGGCATATATTGGCTGCTGGTTAGGTTCGGCATTGAACTGCCGTCCACCGTCCAACTACTTCAAATATGGTATAGGATCTATTCATTCTAGAGTAGTGGCTCGACCGAAGCAATCTCTGACATTTTAAAGGAAAATGTAGGACCGCAGACGATCAGAAAGGAGCCGTTATCTCTATATCGTATAGTACGGCAGTTGATATTCTCACAGACTTGTTAAGTATGGACCCCCTACCCTCGCTCTAGTCGAACAGAAGATAATTAACAGGACATGGACTAGTTATGTTTCTTCCGTTGAGTCTGATTTGGGGAACGAGAATCAACTCCCGGCAAAAGATCGGATTGGCCATCGTCTTCAGTTTCGGATTTATGATCATCGCAACCGCGATTGTCCGCGCTGTCGAGATCACCGGTAAAGCATACTCCGACCAAGCAGCCCTCGCTGTATGGAGTATTGTCGAGTCATCCATATGTAAGTGGCCTCCCACGTTGGACCCATTGAAGTATACTAACGATAGTAAAGCCATCATCGTCGGATGCCTCCCTCCATTCCGGTCCATAATCTCATCAGGAAAAAGCATTTCCCAGTACCGCTATGGTCTATCGAGCGGCGCTCCAGCTTCCAATCCTATTTCGCCAAACGACAAGCTCCGTGCCAGTACATCCAATTGGGGCGACGCTTCCTTAACTGTGCAGAATCAACGGGGATACCAAAATATGGATCTTGAAATGCGCCCACTCAATCAAGGACAGGTTACGCGGCATTCAAACTACTCGAACGATACTCCGCGCGGTCCGGATCTTAAAATTCAAATGGTTCAGGAGTTTGTGAGTTTCCCATCTTGAAGGTCTTCAGTGGTATATCCAGCGCTAATGTTCGGTTGGTAGACCGTGGTATCTTCGAAGTAATCTTTATTTGATATGACATATCTCACACATGATACTTTTTCTAGAAGGAAATATATAGAACATTCCATTTTCGCCTTCCGAACGGTAGCATAAGGACCACACTAATGTATTCACGAATATGGAGATTTCTCTGCATCAACCCGGAATGCAAGGTGGTTGGTATATTTACGGGGCTATAAAGAGAGAGAGAGAGCTACCAATGGAAGATGGTCTCGATTGCAGTCCGACATATTGGGCCCGGCAACGTAGACAAGGTCGTGGTCGAGAGTGATCCGAGTGCCGCGAATGTGTCAATCTTGACTATCTGGCCTGGTGGCTGGTGGCCGCGAACCGACAGAGGATCCTCTCAGATCCGCTGCAAATGGACAATGTCAACATGGAGTTCGATAGGTTCAGCGATTTAGAACTCACCCTCGACGACTACGACCCGCGACCCCGCCGGCCCTCGAGACCCCCTTCACCCCCACCGCTTATATGAAGGTTACGGTGGTGGAGGTACCGCATCAGATATTTCACTGGACCGGAAGCGTCTCCCTCCGGTATTTACAACAGGACTTGTCGCTTTTCACGCATCCTCGGGCCATCTGGCCAAGGTGGCCTCGGGAAAGGACATCGACAAACCTCGGGGTGCTGAATTCTACGTCGGCCTAGTGGTGATTGAGTAGTTTCGCTTAGTATTTGGAGGCAATTCTTTCTACTACCAGCTGAACTCCTATACTCACTGGGTGTCTGACCAGACCACGAACGGGGACAAGAAGCACTACTTCATGGTGCACATCGCGGAACTGGTTCAGACGGATCTGACCGATTATTTTTCAAAGTTGGAGCTGCGGTCGGAGCAGCGCATTGTCAAGGAGACGTAGAAACAGCCCAAGCCAAAGGAGGACTTGGTCCAAAGCCCGCCTATAGACCTCGGTAAATAGGTGCCGGGTAGTGAAGAGACCACGGAGTAGTGAGGTCAGAATCACTCGCCGGAAAGAGTCTAATTTCTCCATAGCTAGAGACCCATAATCGGCGTTCCTGAATGTACTCCATTGGTGTATACAAGTAGAAAGAGACTCCAGAATCTACCCCGGGGGGTAGATTTAAGAGTAGCCGGCAAAGGATGTTTTACAAGAATAGTCATTTATATCTCGAGGTTAGTTGATCTAATTAAATCTTGAGGCATCAATGCAGTCTCTCGGTATTGACGAGGTGTTTCATCAAAGTCTCTGGCCCTTTCTCGCTTTGTAGAATTCATTGAAAAAGTCATGAACGCGTTGTAGGGGGGTGTCATTGTGGAGTGATATTGCAATGACCAATCAGACGCCGTTTGATATGTTGGGCACGTGATCAGTACCTGGCTTATCGATAAGGGTGCCAAGCCATCAGCAATCCAAAACTTTTCCGTTCATTCGATATTTTTGCCCAGAGCCATTCTGCCGATCATTCATTACAAAATGTTGAGAGAAGTGTAAGTTCTTCCAGTTCATCAAGATCACCGTACTTGTCTAATATAATTCTCTCCAGGAAAGCCAAGAACCCGCGCACTGCGCGTATCCTGAAAGCTCGGGAGCCGCAACTCATCGAACCCCCCAAGAAGACCCTGATTTTCCATGGCGCAAAATGTCCCCAAGCACTGGACACCGTGTTGAAGACCTTCCACGCCTTGACGAAGCCCCACAACATTCTTTTCCACAAGAAGAACGAAAATTTGCACCCATATGAGAACTCGGAGAGTCTGGAGTTCTTGGCGAACAAGAACGAGTGTGGACTCGTAGCATTCGGAAGCCACAACAAGAAGCGACCCAACTGCGTTACATTGGCCCGTATTTTCAACTCAGAGCTGCTCGACCTCGTCGAGATAATGCTGCTCCCCCCGCGGGAGGGCGAGACCATTCCTCCCATTAACGAACTCGTCATGGACGTCGGTCTCGGCTTGCGACCTATGATGTTGTTCTCTGGTAGCTCCTGGGATGATCCTACATCGACTTCACACATCATTCTTAAAAGCACTCTTCTCGACATGTTCAAGGGCGAAGAGACCACCCAGGTCGACGTCGAGGGTCTGCAGTACGTGATGATGGTTGGTGCAGAGGAACCCCAAGATGGCCTCTCGCCTGTTATCCACATGCGCTGGTACAGAGTCGTTACCAAGCGCAGCGGTCACAAGCTGCCCCGCGTGGAGTTGCAGGAGGTTGGTCCCAAGTTCGACTTCAAGGTCGGCCGCACACGCCAGGCCGCTCCTGAGGTGCAGAAGGAGTCCATGAAGCAGGGCAAGCGCCCCAATGAGGAGGCTCGAACCAAGAAGAACATTATCACCGACTCTATGGGTGACAAGATTGGTCGTGTTCACCTCGGCAAGCAGGATCTGTCCGACATGCAGACCCGTAAGATGAAGGGTCTGAAGCGCCGGGCGGGCATGGAGTCGGACGACGAGGAGCCATCTGCGGAGATGATGGAGGTTGATGAGATCTCTTCTGATGAGGAAGAGAGTCACAAGAAGGCACGGAAGAACTAAGATCGATTGATTTGCATTATTTCTTTTGCTAAGGAGTTTGGGCCGGACGGGATTTCGTTTTCTGCGCCTGTATGAGCAGTCTTACCGGCATATGAAAAGTTATTTTAAAGACTCTATATCTAATAGAGATGTTTCCTCCATCCATCACTACATACTAGATCTAATTAATTCCGCGCACATCGTAGATCCGACGGGGCATACACAGCCACGTGACCATGACGTCGGCTGTACTCTCACATGCCGAGGCCCTTCTCAATGCGGGAACCGATTAAAGTGCCGTCCCCCTCCCCAACGGTCTCTCGTAGAAAGCTCCTGTTTTTACTTCGCTTCTTGCTTATGATCCCCCTCGCCCATCCGGTCTGTTATTACGATTTATCCTAGCTGTAGTTACCCCGTTACGAGAGTCCGATCTCTTACCGAGGCCCAGAGACGCCATGGATACGCTGCTGGTGAGTTTTGCAATGTCCCCAACCATAACACAGCCGCAATAACAGTTCCTCTGCAGTCTCAACTCGAGGCGCTCATCCTCAAACCCGAACTTGCGCCTCTACTGTCGTTGGTGAAGGGTGCACGCAATGGAATCGTTTACGGATCGAAAGTGCGCTTTCCGCATGCGCTGGTGTATGTTGGACCTCGGCCAACCGGAATACCGATTCAAAGCATAGCTGACCGATGTGGACTGTTTCTAGGATGATATTTTTGTTCAGATCTGGAACGTATGTCCCTCCTCACATCTCGCTAGCCCTCCGCGGAACGGAAACTGATCGTCTCATTATCTAGAATACGGGAAAAGACCTTACTTGTTCTAAAAGCAACGCGCCAGCATGCGCGCAATCTCGCCACATTTGCTGTAATATACAAGGCCTCGATGATTCTTCTCCGGAACATCCCTGGTGGTGCCGGGAAAGAGGGCCGCTATGATACCTTCTTCGCAGGCCTGCTGGGCGGGTATGCAGTTTTCGGACGACAGCCAGGAAGTATTAGCCAGCAGGTATGTGTTTCATTACATTCTAGTCACGGGGCTCCTCCAGGGCGTGGAGTCTCCCCTCGAGCCCGTCTTTTGAGCATGGCTGACTCGAATCTAGATCGTCATTTATATCTTTGCCCGTGTGATGCTTGCGCTCGCTAAGCTCGCCGTCCAACCCAAAATGCACCCTCTGTCCTCCCTCATCACATCCGATGCGCGCACAAAGATCACGAATAATGCCTACCCCGTCTTCGCCAGTCTGAGCTGGGCAATGGTTATGTACATTTTCCGGTGGCATCCGGAGAGCCTGGCGTCGAGTCTGCGGAGTAGTATGGTGTATATGTATGTTTTCCTTGTAACAAATATTTCCGTGGCTTGCATTTTGCATTTTGGAAAATTTTCCAGTTCCTTTTCTGGGATGCTAACCATCTTTTCAATCCAGTTACGGCGACTCGGATCATTGGGATTCTCTTCGCACTCTTCTCATACACAATAAATGAGCTCCCAGCGAGATCATTTTTCTTGAACTTTTGATTGCGTTCCGGCGTACAGAGCGGCTGTCATCTTATTGTTGGGTATTTCTGAGAGACTCGTGCACGACATGAACCATTCCCGGCCCTGCTCATCAATACCTTTTTACCCTGTATCATGAAGCACGGGATTTCTTTTGCATATTTTTTATATTACAACATAAACTTATAAAGTCTTGGATTTGTGGTATATATGTAGCTGGCGATGGACTGGACACAGAACTTGAACGTTCCTCGAACCCATGTTTCCATGTTTGCCCTATTCTTATGTCAGGAGACTATCTGATATCATGTAGCAAGGATAGAAACCCAACAAACTCATAGTACTACATCAGATTGTGGGGAAATAGATGAGATGTTGACAGTTGGGGGAATGGGACTCGAGACTCCCATCATCTGTTCCGTGGAGTCAAGGTAAACCCGGTCCACAGAAGAGACTGTTTTATATCTGATTGTTATTGCTGGCTTAGATGGCATCTACTGTACTAGGTATAGGTATTGCCATTTTGTCGTGGTGTGTGAGGCTACCTGGTGTTGCATCTTTTCTCGAGTCATCACGCAGTAAGAGTTTGAGGGTTGATGGATTGAGACTTAGTCGAGGAAAAGGAGGAGGGTTGAGAACGAGTACAGACACAAGAAATCAATATATCCCTAAGAGGGCAATGATGAACAGGAATATCATGTGATCGAAAGTAGGAAGGAGTCAAACCTCCTGGCCGACCAGAAAGGCCCAGCGAGGATAGGTCAACAATAGCATCAAAAATAAGTTTGAAAAAAAAAAAGATGGGCAAATGGTGCCGCCTCTGCAATCGGAGCACAGCTACTGATGGGGTATGGAGGGCGGTCCAAACAGCCAGTGACTTACACGCTCTGACCAGTCAGGAAAGTCCGGTCTTAACTCCAGGTGGAGGATTCGAACCCAGACAGTCGGGAAAAGCACATTCAAATCCGGAGATCTGGCGCAGTCCTTAAACGTAACCGTTGGACCATCTGGGCGAGGCTTAGAAAGTTCCTGTTTGCTATCAAACTTAAGGGAACAATTTGGAAGAATATTACCCAATTAGGTTTAGCGTACCCATTTATCACGGGACCCACTTTTTACAATTGTCGCCGCCAACGTTAAATTAACCAAGGCACAAGATTGCTTGTATGCTGTACAAGGTACTGGATGAGAACTGCTATGTTTGAGGGTATAAAAATACAAATCCAATAGACAGAAACAGGAGGGATATCCGAGGGAAGAAACAAAAAATCAAGACAATAGTACACAGAATCTCTAATGTTGCTGCTCCCCGTCATCAACCTCCACAAGAACCTTCAATTGTCCATCCATCCAGTCAACTGCATCGGCCGAAAGTACCGCAATAGTCCAATCCTTCTGGCTCTGTACTGATAGCAGTCCATCTGGTAACCAGACTTTGACTTTCCACTCAGCTGCAATGGCAGATTCACGTCCCTCATGCGCTGCAGTATTGAGAACACCTGCGACCTGAAAGGCCGGCAAGCCGGGGATTTGGCCTGGATATCGGCGAAGAATTGCCTGCTTGACAGTATCAATGTTGGGGCATTGGCCTGCTGGCAGATCAAACCGAGGAAGAATGCGCTTTCCGTTATGTAGTATGTTGACGCGAAGGGAGGTTTGGCCCTGGCTGTTGGATGGGATGGGTGCATTACCCGCTGGTTTTGGATCTGGGAGAGGGTCGAAGGGTTGGTGGAAGTGGGAGTCGGGATTTTGAGCTTGGTGGCCGTGCCGCGTGGCAAGGTTCTCGCGGATGATGCGGGAGACGTCGCGGGCGATGCTGCTTGCGCTGTTGGGGCTGTTAGTAGCTTTTCCACACGTTGGGCAGAATAAATGGCTTACAATTCATCCCTAGCGGGGATGTTGCGGGTTCCGCCAATGCGCCACTGGAGGCCTGAGGTGGTCTCCGCGTGAATGATACGGTTGATGTTCTCGTCCTCGCAAACGGGAGGACAGTCGTAGTCTCCTCCACTGTGAACGACGTGGTAATGGCTATCCACTGCTGCGACAAACCCCCGCCAATCGGGTTGCTGAAGACCCGAGAGGGACCACAAATTATCGAGTTCAAAATTTTCGTTATATGTATCGTAGCCTCGTGCAATTTCTTCCCAGTCGACTGTGTATCCGTCCAGGAAAAGTTCTGTCAAGCCGAGGTTCATGGGCTGAGGTGCTTCCATTGTTGGTTGCTGCATTGGCTGTGGAGGAGGAGGAGGCATTGACTGCGACATATCGTCGCGATGGGGGCTCTGATGTTGTATTTGCATTTGCTGGTCTGGGGAAAACCGCGGACTGTTCAAATTGGGGAACTCGTCGGTTTTGCGGCGACGGCGCTCTTCGGCGCCGCCCCCTTTGCGGGTCTCAATGGCATATTGGCGTTGCCTTTCGTTTGTGACCATCCGTCTTAGCAAAGGAATGACCAACGAAATGATCTTGTGCTGATCACGGGGCCAGATGTAGGATCTTGGCCCCATACCCTCATTAACGACATTTTCTCCGAAGAATCGTTCACCATTTCCCTCGGCTTCGAGAAATTGACGCACGCAATTCCAAAGTCGAAGCTTAACCATTTCCGTATCCCCCTTCCCACGCTGGCCAACACAATCCCGTCTCTCAGGGTGTTCATCGTTCAACATGTAATTCTTAGCAGCAGCCTGAAGATGTAAGAAGTTCTCTGGCGAAATCTCAAGAGACGAAAACATCTTAGAAATGGGAGGCCGTGTATACTTCTTATTGCTGGAAGGCTGGCGGAACAATGCCGCGGCAGAATGAATACCGACGGCGCGAGCATCTGATAGGGACTGCTGCTGCTGTTGCTGCTCGGGGCGCATTTCCATACCCTCTCCAGTGTAGCCATGCGGTGGTTGCTGTGCGGAGTGCGACTGATGCTGGGAGGCGGAGAGACCCGCCGCAGCCAAGGCGGGGTCGAGATTGTCATCATTTCTCTTGCGCTTCTTTGTCGCCGTTCGTGTAAGGCCCGTGGGCTGGGGATGATCTGTGTGACTGGGTACTCTCATGTGTCTTCCGCTACCCAAGCCAGCTCCGAAGTTCGCATCGCCGAATCCATTTTCAGAGAGATCCATATCTGTGTAGGAGTCCAGCTGGTGATGATGACCGGCCGCGCCTGCTGCTGCTGCCACTGCGGCGGCGGCAGCCCATTGCGATACATCCTGGTCTGCGGCGGCCGTAGCTGCCTCAACTAAGCCAGCAAGCTGGTTATCGTTTGGCGCGTATCCATTATTCGCCAATTGAGCGTTCGGGTCGAGGTGAGGGGCAGTCGCGGTCTGCTGGGGAGGTAGGTCGGAGGATGAGGTTGTTGGGAGATGTTGATTGTTGGTAGAAGAGCTCATGGTGACAATCAGTAGATGGCCCGGCTCGATAAGCTGATAGTGTCGGAAGGTTGTAAGAAGTGGAGGTGAAAATAGTAGTGGGGGAATTTGCTGGACGAAAGCGAGCGCAATGAAAAGACCAAATCGCGTTAAAGAGCCGCAATATATCCTCGCAAGGATATGTCTTCCGGGTTGAAGCTCTGGTCTAGTCGTTGTTAAAGAGTCTGGCGAATAGCTTCACCCATCGGCAATGTAGCTTGGGCAAAGCACGAGTATCCCGGCGCGCCACACCCAAGAGGGCGAAAAGCGCGTTACAGCGAAAATGAAGCTGAAGCGAAGAAATAAAAAAAAATATGAACAAAAAGCCCCTAAAGCTATAGCTTGATTCTGCTGATAAGAGGCGCGACGGTTGAGCTGATGTTTGCGCGGTTTGAAGGAACGACAGACAGTGCAAACTGAGAAACCCTGTGGGGTCACGTGGTCTACGGTTTCCTCTTTCGGTAGATAACAACATCCACGGATCAATGCGTAAGGTATTTTGTAGATACAAATGTGATTTGTAAAAACATTGGAACGTAATAGTGGCATTAACGATATCAAATATTGGATTCCCGTTCTAATATATCTCTATTTTACCATTCTAAGGGTGTTGTAAAAACCCCGGCTCAGCAAATGAAAATAGTCTATAAGCATATCGAAACCCCCTTATAAAGGTCGCCAAACAATCGTAGTCCGAGGAAATTCGAGAAGATCATGATAGAATACAATGTGTTGCCAATCAAAAGTGAGAAGAGATTGGCATGGGGTGGTAAAACTTCAAAAAAGAGCCTCGAATATCCGGAGTAAATGGCCATAGATGTCATATAAATAGCTTCTCGCAGGCTCCTTCAGCAACCGGTAAGAATGATATTAAGCTCGTCAAAGCATTTGATCCAGCCAGGAGAGCTTAGAACCCATCACCCTCTTTCCAAGGACGACCAGCCTCCTGTGCCCGGTACTGGGGATTCTTGCCACGGTCAAGTGCAATCTGCAGGGTAGCAATGAGCTCACGCTCCTTATCCTGGAGTTGTTCGAAAAGGTCCCCGTTCTTCCCGATCTCGGGAATATCCAACTCGGCAGTCTCATCAAGCTCGTTGGCGTTCTTCGTGAATTCAATGTCGTCAGACAACCACATCCAATTATCCAATTCCCGCTGGAGCTCCCCTCGTTGCGATTCGAGTTTTTGATAGGTCTTCCATTCCTCGTCGCCACCAAAACACAACCCGTACCCATCACACAGACATATATTCTCATCGGGGCAGAGCACAGCCTCCCCTGTGAAAATATACTGCCACAGATACTCCCAGATGCGACCGGTGATGTAATCACTCAAATCCGTTGATAGCAGCCAATCGCGGTAGAAAACAAACCGGGCCCGCGGGATGGAGTGAATGCGGTCGCGAGATAGGGCGAATTGTGCACAGCACGGTTGTGCCAGGACAGATGGGATCTGCTGGTCGGGGAACAACTCGCCCCACGCGCGGGCGAGCATGATCTCCTCTTGCTTGGACTCGTCTTCCTCGACGGCACCAGGATGCATCCAGGCTGGACAACCCGGGCCGAACCCGCAGCGAGTGTTCATGTAGCCTTCACGGATGACACGGTTCAGATTCAAGCGGCGGAGCAACTGCGCTGCATCCCCGGCGAAGAGATTATCATTGTGCCAGGCGAATTGATGCGAGTGCATAAACACCGCTATGTCTGGGAGCTGGCCATAGTGGTCGATGATGTAGGTGAGGTAGATCATGACCTCGTGGCCCTTGTTTTTGGGTGGGTGGAGCGGCGCTGTGGGGTCATCGGCGACGTAGATGGCATGATCCCAATCGGGGAGTTCCTCGGCGATCCAGCTGGTATCTTCTTCCTTGGTCCTCGTGACGACCATCACCTTGGAGTACTTGTAACCCGGTGGTTTGGGGGTACCGGGGACGAAATCCGGCGGCGGCGCAAAGAGGTCATAGTTTCTATGGCCACTGGTTGTATTCCAAGTCCGGGTTATATTAGACGAGAAAGGGACCAGATCGCCCAGACCAATTACCTGGGGTACGTCACGCCATGGTCGTGAGAGGCTCCGGGCCGTAAGGAAGAGTATGAGGGAGAAGCAGACGCCGAGGAGGATGACCGGTCGCCGTGGGAGAAGCATGGACGGAGAGTAGGGCAATCGTACTCAGGATTATAGTCTGTCACACGAGATGCTGGTTAGTCACAAATTCCACGGCGTTGCGTGCACGGGGTTAGTACTGCGACCGCGCAGTAGACAAGGTCTAATATACGCGCGTTTGCTCAGAAGCAGTTGAGAGAGAGGAATGTCTTACATAGCTCAGGATATCATCGCTCTGAGAATGTAAGGGGGAAAAGGAAGAGAACATCTAGATGCAAGTCGGAGAAAGGACCAGGGTGACCCTGCATGGCTTTCGGGGGAACAAATGAAACGCAAGTGGAGTCGAGGCTGTGCCGCAATGACGAAGCTTCTTTCGCAGGTATATGGTACATTATATATATGATGTATATGGCAGCTATATGGCATGTTCTGGTGTTCAGCGTAAAAAGAAGCAAAAAATCATAATTAAAAAATTAAAAATCAAAAGGATTGATCTCTTCAGTATTCTCCATCATGTCTAGTATCTGTCAAATCCCGGGGAACGCCTGATCAGCCACGCGGCTTAGAGCGCGTGCAGCGAGCCCTAGATACAAGACACTTAGTCAGGTTACCTCGGCATCTACATAGGTGTGTGTATGTAGGTATATATATCGCTACGTTATACTCCTATACTCTGTATTTGGGAACACAATACATGTACATATTGTCATTCAATGGGCTAAGGTAATCATTGCGAATAGGTACCATGAGATTCAACCGTGGTATAAAAATCGTGAAAAGAAATCTGGGTATGATCTTTTGCTCGCGAAGAACGCCATGCAACGCTGGTTCAAGAACTGGGGAATAATAGGCTGAGCAGGCCTTGCAGAAAAGTACATAAAGGGTGGCAAATGTGATCCGAAGACTTCGAGGTCAGGCTTCTTCATCGGCTGTTTCTTCAACCGTTGCAGCCCGACTCTTGCCTCTGGATGGAAATTCAGACCGCGTCTCTACCTGACTGGAAGCGTCCTGAGCAGATTCCCCGTTACTGCCCCACGTAGTAGGAATGGAGGCAGCAGCCGGGCCTGTCTCAAATGACCCTCTAGGGGCCACGTCGGTCCATTCTTGAGAGGGAGACTCTGCACGGTGTTCTGTTACAGGGATGGTGGGGGTGGATGTAGGCTGCAATACTGGCGGGCTAACGGCCCTATCTACGGGGCGCGTTGGAGAGATAGCAGTACCAATATCTGGGGCAACATTCCGGCTCGTTTGAGCTTGGGTAGACACTATCGGGATTTGGGAAGACGCAGCACTGCTCACGACTGGTGTCCCTGGAGATACCACCGTATTAGCTGATATGGGTTGTATGGTCGGCGCTACACCTCCCGCACCGTTCTCCATGCGCTGTAGGGGCATGAGGGTCCAACCAGGAGGTAGAGTGAGCCCCTCTGGCAGACGAGGATCTCCAGAATTCATGGTATCGGCGTTGGAGGTGGCACTGAATTGATGACGCATTGTGAAGGCTGGAGGAGCCAGGCCCGCGTTGGGCGGCGGAACTGTTTGGCTGAGAGAGTGTGCTTGATCACGCAAGCGCTCCAATTCTATCCGAAGCTGGCGTACACGATTCCATTGTTCTGTGGCAACGCGAATTGTGTTAATCTCGTGAGTGAGCCTTTGCTCGATTTGCAGTAATTGGGCACTGAGTTCGGCAGCAGAAGACAGCCCCGGAGGCGCAGTGTGTGGGGCGGGCGTGGTGGTGGGGGCCTGTGGACGGCGGCCGAATCCAAATCCAAATCCAATTTGCCCCGCCGGCGCATTTGGAGGCGGATTTGCCCCGGGCTGCGGTGCATTACCTCGTTGAGCCTGTTGCTGAAGGTTGTGGAAGAGATCTCCACGCACGGCACCGAAGCCGATTCGGAAAGGCCCAAACTGGTAAACTCGAGCACGAGGTTGCCCATCTGCATCCGGTTGGCCAGGCAGGACAACGCCGTTTTGACCATCAGGTGCGTTATGACCAGCAGCAGCAGCAGCTCCTCGAGTTCGCGTGGGCATGATAACAGGACGTCGGCAGGTGGGGCAGTTTTGTTGCCTCTCAAGCCAGCTTCGAAGGCATGCGAAATGGAGTATATGGCCACATGGAAGCTTTTTTGGACGTAGTCGATCAGGGACACGCTGTTCTCTAGGGGCGCGCTGAGGTGCAGGCTCCCCAGCAGCATCAAGCACTGGTGGCTGGGTCGGCTGAACCGGAATCATTTCCTCGCGACAGATGATACAGACATCTTCCCGGGAGATCTCTTCTGCCGTTGCATCTGGATACCTCTCGTTCATATCTCGCGTTGCATTCCGATAACGCATAAAATCCACAATACGGCGAGCAAACGAGCGGATGGTCACGACAACATCTCGCAATATGTGGATCGGAAGGCCATAGAAAGTGAGCAGAATACCAAAGAAGCTCAAATAAATCACGAGTTTCAACAGATCGGTCAGAAGATCCAGATAGAAGACCCAACGGCCCTTTTCCTCCCACCCGGGCACGTCGATTTCAAGCTCGTTCACATCATTTTCGTCAGGCAGATCGTCAGGAGGCGAAGTGGCTCCCGCGCGGGCATGCTCTCGTATTGCTTCGATACGCGCAACACGGATTTCATCCCGGCGTTCCTCTATTTTGGCTTTTACTTGCTGGCGGGTTATGGATATTTCGGTCAATGCGATAACGTATCGCAAGAGAGTCGAAGTTGAGAGAATCGCCAAAATGGCGAATTCAAATCCAAACATGACCATCATATCTGGTCGTGCCTGAGTTATCACGGTATGCACACAATACCGTAGCATGAAGGAATCGAATAGCACTGTCAGTACCAGGGATAGCGCCAGTCGAATGTGGAATAACCGGGGATTGGCCGGCGGCTGTTGCTCTAAGAACTCCACGCGACCTTCGCCAATCCAGCCCCAGACCTTGCCAACCAGCAGCGAGATAAACATGACCAGAAACCAGCCTCCAAGTTCGCCCCGGAAGATAGTCATGGCCAGACATGTCTCAGTAACGGCGAACCAGGCGCGCTCGTATAGTTGCTCCGTCTCGATCGGTCGCAACCGCCCGTAGAGAAGTCGCTGGAACCAAAATAGTACAAAGCCGGTGACGAGAAGACATAAGTTCGTGAGAATCTGGATATTAAACCATCAGTTAGGGACGAGGACAACCGAGTGCGATAACCAAACTGGACAACTCACCATCAAATTCGCACTACTTTGAGAGAGATAGACGCATGCCGAATAGAAATTGGACCTCTGATGAAGAGCCTTCAGGAATACACCAGTGGCGAGGACCACCGAAGCCTGCAAACGGGATTCCAAGGTTAGCGGATGTCTCCCCCATCAGCTGCGGTACTACTTACCCCAGCATACGCGGCTAGTCTCATGGCTATCGACTGGACCGGGCAAGCCGAAGGTCATGGACCGAAGGAAGGACAAAAAAAGCCAGCGTCCTAGGATAGCATTTGGCGAAGCAAAGAAGTGAATGCCGTATACTTGGGAAGAGCAAGTAGCTTGATCTGGACAGCTTTCCAGAACAACCCGTCGACGCCTCTCCGCATCTTACGTCAGCCACCGGCACGTGCCCGGATCCATCTATACCGGACTAACTAGTGGATAACGAGGTTAAATTCACACTATGGAGTACAAGAGTGAAATATTTGCAGGGTATGTAGAAATTGGTATTCAAATATGATCCCAGCCAGTCTACTAAATCTATCATCAACCTCAACAAGTGTGCGTTGATCTTTGGTATTTATCTGATCTCTGTCATGTGACGTCGCACATTGTGCCCGCCTTGGAAGAAGCAACCATTTGTGAGACCACTCAGGTAAGATCATTTCCGCCAATTTGCATCAGTCAAGGATTCCATTACCGCCGATTTTTCCTCTTATATTTTTGCATTGAAGGCAATGAATCATTCCTGGTGATGGCTTCGTCACCGGCATTGTTTACTGCCTCACGCAGCCAAACACTAACCTACCTCTTGGCGGTGTGCCCCTTCTCCATCGCCTTCCTAGTCTACATCAATTCATCCATCTCCTTTGTGGTTACAGACCTAATTGGGCTCCAGGACGGAGAGGGCGATGCCGTGGGAACGTTGGGGTTCGCAGATGAACTCCTTGCTCTGGTTGCCTGCCCTCTCTGGGGTGTTCTCTCTGACCGAATCGGAGTTCGCCATGTAAGCTGGCCCTCGGCCCATCCCTAGGAAGTCACATTCAATGATACTGACGTTCGATAGGTATGTACTGCAGGCTATGCTATTGTAGCTCTGGCGCTGGTCCTGTTCGTCCAGGCCACAAATATCTATCCCCAACTGCTTCTGGGAAGGTTACTCTTCAGTGTCGGTGGTTCGGCTGTGTCGACTATGGTCACAGCAGTTTTACCGACTGTTACTGGAGCAGGTTTTAATGCCCAATCATATCGTGCATCTGTGTCTTCGGAATTGACAATCACACCGGAGCGAGCTAGGAATGGCCATTCCATAGGCGTCGGTGCTTCCAGCACGTCGCCGTCTGCCCGGCTCTCTGGTTTTGTTGGGATGTGTGCTGGCTGTGGCGCACTCGTGGCGCTAGTTGTATTCCTCCCCCTTGCAGCCCGATTTGAGAAGATGGGGTTGTCGCCCTCACAGGCGATTCAACGCACCTATTATCTAGTTGCTGTTATATCCCTGGTTATCAGCGTTGTTTGCTTCATTGGACTCCGGGATCTTCCTGGAGAAGAAAGAAAAAGCTGGAGTGCACTGTGGAAATCCCCCCACGACTTGGATTGTGATGAAGACAACGAAGATGACGATGATCTATCCATTGGTGGTCGAACATTGCCATATTGGAAACAATTGACAACTGCCCTGAAATTGGGATTCCATAACCGCAGCATTGGACTGGGTTATGTCGGAGGCTTCGTAGCGCGGGCTTCCTCTGTGGGAATCTCGTTGTTCATTCCTCTTGCCGTGAATCACTATTATCGAGTATCTGGTCTATGTGACGAAAAACATGAGCCGGTGCCCGGCTCGGGACTAGGGGAGATCAAGAAAGCGTGCCCCCGAGCATATGTCGTCGCATCTATACTGACCGGTGTATCCCAACTGGTGGCATTGATTGCAGCTCCATTATTTGGGTACTTGACAGACAAATCACGACGATATAATTTCCCACTCCTATGCGCTGCATTAGTGGGAATCATCGGCTATATCACATTCGCCATGCTCCCATCCCCTCTCTTCCAAGGCCCCGATGGCAATCCCGGGGTCTTTGTCGTGATGGGTCTTCTCGGAATCAGTCAGATTGGAGCAATTGTTTGCAGTTTAGCCGTGTTGAGCAACGGCATCTTGCGAGTCAGCATCGACACTGAAACATTAAGAAAACTATACGAGGAGCGACATATCAATGGAGATGAGAACGACGCAGAGCCCAACGAGGGCCAAGCCCTTCTAGCTAGATGTGCTGATGACGACCGAAGATTGGAGCCTTTGTCACAACTGAAAGGCTCTATTGCTGGGGTCTACTCACTTTATGGCGGCGCAGGCATCCTGCTGTTGACCAAAGTGGGTGGACTGTTATTTGACATCCTGTCATCGGGCACACCATTTTATATCATGGCTGGCTTCAATGGCGTGTTGCTTGTCACTGGAATTGTGTGTGGGGCCCTCGGTCATTTCGGATCCTCGCTCGGAAAGAAGCGGTAGTCATTTTCATTTTCTGTTTCCACTTCATACAAAATTGTCATAGCAGCGCGGGATCTTGTCAGATTGAATGGGAGTCGCAGGCTGAACCATCAGTCTGGGAGGAATTCCTTGGATTAATATAAGTACTCCGTGGGCTTGCAGGTGAGGTCGAGCAACAAAGAAATTCAACTATGTGAATGAAAAGAAAAAAAATTGGTTCATAAGATTAATTAATTCCGCATCCATGGCCTCGCGCTACAATTTCAGGTGGCTCTGTCACTGGGCGCAATTTCAGTTGTGCATCAGCCCGTGGGTACTAGGCACCTTGGCAGGGTCGGTGGCTGACATGGGGAAATTACGGCGACAAGAGAGGCCAATGGCAGCCATTATGCGTAGAATACTCTGTACGAAGTAAGCAGTCTATTTTGCGCAGTATATTCCGTACTCCGTATACTCCGTGCCTATGTACTCCGTAGAAGGTATAGGATCTAGAACCCGAAGTTCTCCAATTCACACTGTTGATCTCATCTCGCTAGTTGTTGGCCTAATAAGGAGCAGCCAGTAGCCTCCCCAATCCGGTGAGTGACCCAGGGGTCAGTTCGGGCCCTAGTCCTGGATCAGCTTAGCTCCACCGGAGACTTCGACTAACGCGCCGCTAATTTGAAGGTCATATCAACACAATCCGAACAGCTCCTGGGATATCCCCCTTTTGGTCCCCGAACCCCTGGGGCCTGTTCCTGAACGTGCCTGCCCTGCTCCGCTTTGACCCAATATGGGCCAATCCCACTATGCCAAACCCCACCGTGGCACACTAACAACAGTATCCCAGTAATGTAATGGCAAGGCCCCGGTTTTGCACTAACCCCCAGGTGTCTCGCTCTGGCACTTCTTCTTCCTTTCTCACCTTCAGGCTCACGTAGTCCGTCATTCACTCTTTCGTCGTTCGACAGTCTTTCGTTAAACTCCAGTCCTTCGTTTTGAGCATTGATTCTGCTCCAAGTACTCTGTACTCTCACTTTTTTGTGCGAATCTAACACCTTGATTGCCGCCAATTTTCCGCTATAAACACCCGCCAATCACCGTCTACTTCCAACATGCGTTTCTACTCTGTCGCCCTGTTGACTGGCGCTACCGCTGCCGCTGCCAGCAACACTGCAACCCTTCTGCTGCCCGGATTTGAGGGTCAGGAACTCCAGGCTAGCATTCTCGAATCTGTATGTCTCAGTCCGATAGCGCGAACAACGCGCTTTTTGACCCTGGCACTTTTGACTGACCATCCCTAGAACGGAGATGTGACGACCTACAAGATCACTTGCCCTAAGACCGTGGCCGCCGATGATTGTGGTATCGCCGGCGAGGGTATGATTGCAATTGCCGCCCCAACCTCCATGCAGTTGCAGAACATCAATCTCCAGGGAACGTAAGTAGCAACACAGGGTTTCTTAACGTGAATTTTACACTGATAAAACAACATACAGTACTGGAACCGTGTCCTGCAACGTCGCCGGGACCACCTACGCCTCCTGCCAGGCCTCTGCCGGCACTGTTACCCCTTCGGGCACCCTGGGCCCCGATGACTTGAATTGGATGCCCGTGACCATCAGCACTACCCCGACGTCGACTCCTACCCCAACCCCAACCCCCACTAGCACTAGCACTAGCACCAGCACCAGTACCAGCACCAGCACTAGCACCAGCACCAGCACCAGCGCCAGCGCCAGCACAGTTGAGGAGACCTCCACCCCTACCCCCACCCCGACCTCCACTTTCACTTCTACCTCTTCGTCGACCATCGTGACCTCGACTCCCAAGAAGTCCTCCCCGGTTCTGGGTTCGTCTACTCCTCTCGCCACTTCCACCCCACTGGTCTCCGATCCTACCGGCGCGGCTGGAAGCGGTGCCCCTGTGGCTTCCCCCACTGCCTTTAATGCCGCCGGTCAGCTGGCAGGCAGTATCTGGGCCGTTGGAGGCGTGTTCATGGCTCTAGCCGGCGCTTTCGCCTAAATCATGACAAGCGATATATCTATGTTCTTGTCATGATTTCCTTTTGGTGGTGTGAACGATGAGCTCTGTGCTTGTCCATTTATTAATTCCGGGGTTTCTGAGGTTGCTTCTCAAGGATGTCTTCATGTATCCTCACGTATACGTGATCGTCTATTATTCTTTAATGTTTGATACCTTTCTCCACGACAGACTACGATCTAGCGTCTATTTCATATACTTGTATTTTCAGTCACTGAATTTACATTTTTCTGGCCCTTTCAGTCCTGACTCTTTGCTTTGTTGCTCGCCACGGCCCCCTGGACTAGCTCCAGTAGTCTCGTAGATCGTATCCACCATTGAAAGAAATCTTCATGCATCTCAATATATCTGATTTTTCGGTCCTTGGGTACTTGCAGTGAGGACGGCCCCTGTTCTTATAACAATCATTAAGGGTATTTGCCTGGCTGCTCCCTTAAACTTCAGATCAGCAGGCAATCACACTTCGAGCCCAAACATCATGCTGCCAATGCGCGAGTTTATCACAAATAGCGTGCATAGCGTGCAAGGGTCCAGGAACTACATGTTGTGAAGTCTTTTGGTCCGAGTCTTGGCATATGATACACCCAGATGCATTCCGGGTTAGCAGCTCTAGTTCCAATCCTCATGTGCTAGCTAAATGCCCGAGTAAAGACAGTGAGGACCTGTATAATACCTCGCTTAGTGGAGAGAACAGTGTCAAAAACGAGGTCCAATCCATACCCATCACTGCATTGTCTACCTACGAGAAGGTGGTTACATTTAGTTCTCTATTTACAAAGATCAAGGAGGCCCATCATTATTGCAATTCAGTATCAAGCAACTACGCCCACCGACGAATGTTTTATGCTAATGAGAAAAACAAAGGCACCTCCAATGAATTCAAACTCCGGGGTTCAGTCCAACCGCCGTCGCCATTCCCTAGGGCGTCTAAAAGAAAGAATCAGCGCTCACAAGAGGTCAGGCTAGAGGGAAATAATGAAAGCTATGAACTTCATAAACTACATCCCCAGATCTCATACCAGTTGTAAGAACAGTACGCAAAGGCAAATTATCTCCCTAGCTTGAGTTCTTACCCGTCTCATCACTATCCTTCCGAAAACAACGTCGTGGGATCTTGAGAGCTTGAAACACCCGTCTCTGGGTATCGGTCCTTCAGGGTGACCATCAGAGGCGGCTTGTCCCATAGAAAATAGACTTTCTGGTCGGACCAATTCATGCTTTCTGGCTGTAACGTGAGATCGAAGTGGTAGAGGAGCTTGCAGAGAATGAGGCGGATTTCACAATTTGCTAAGCTGATATGCGGAGAAGAGGAGTTAGTTTTGAACGATTATGTGAAATTTGAAGGAGATAAAAAGTGATAAAGAGCATACTGTTTTCCAAGACACACACGAGGGCCGAGACTGAAGGGTTGCAAGACATCTTTCTTGTCATTTTCAAAGGCTGGGTCAGAGCCCAGCCAGCGTTCTGGCATGAAACAATCTGGGAAGGTGAAGTTGGATTCGGAGTGGTAGGAAGCGTAGTGGTGACATGCTACAATTGTCTGGTCAACATTAGTACCGGATTATCGCAAAGTTGAGTGGTATGCATGTACGTACATCTCCAGGAACAAAATGGCCATCTATAAGCGCTCCTCCTTGTGGTACAACGCGAGAAAGACTTGTCACAAAGGGTGGATAGATACGCAGCGACTCCTGAATGACAGCAGTCATGTAGTCCAAGGTTTCCACCGCGCGGAAGGTCATATCACTGTCCTGGTTGAAAGCCGAGCGGATCTCGGCGGCGAGTTGGCTCATGGCGTGCGGTGTTGTACACAGATAGAAGATACAGCCGGACAATAAGGTGGCAGATGTTTCACTTCCTGCCACGATAAGACTAGTATTGATCAGAATCAGCACAGCCTAGGATTTTTTTCAGGGACACAAAATAAAAACATAATTCAAAGACAGAAAGTTATGGGCGAAGGTAAGAGATGCTCGTACATGAACCCATTTGAATGAATCTCAGCCCTAGTCATAATGCGCTCACTCTCGCAATACTGGCCTTTCTTTTCACTAAATCCATGCTGAAGAATAGCGGACATAAAATCTGGACGAGTCATGTTTGTCTCCAAGCGTCGATCAACCTTTTGTGCGCTCAATTCAAAATGTTCTCGGCTGACACGCTCGATTTCGCGTGGGATGAGGTGTTTTAGGAGGGCCTTGAGTGTGGGAAATTGATTCATGGCCCCAACGAATGCAATAGCCTTCATGGATTGGAAGATCAACCCAATCCACGGGTGTAATTGACTGTCTTTCAGGCAGTCGAAAGACTCGCCGAACATCAGGTCACCGGTGATGTCAAATGTGGTAAAGTTCATCCAACTTTTAAGATCAACAGTAGAGGTCCCATGTCGGACTCCAGACCGCAGCTTGATGATCATAGCATCCACATAGCCTCTGATAAGAGCCTCCTGGTCTCTCAAAGCCTTCTCTGAGAAGGCGTGGGCGAGTAGTCGTCTCTGCCGTGCATGAGTCGCATTGTCAACCGCACAAACCAGATGATCGACCCCATTCGCTGGCGGCTCATAGTGGCTTCGGTCTTTGGGGAAACAACCACCGATTCTGGCACCATAAATATCGCGAAAAGCCTGGGCGGTACTGAATGCCAACTCATTAGGTCCAATTCGCAAGATGGGACCGTACTGATTGTGCAGCGCTAGGATGTCGAGATGATTATGGCCACGAAGAACGGAGACATTGGATGGGATGCGAGAGATAGCCCATAGCTTTGGGCCAGGAAAGTAGCGTAGGGGTGACCAGAAAAATGCATCAATGATGGTGTAAGTCACCCAGAGGAGGAGCTGTTGTTTGCATAATGATTAGTGAATGATCTGCATGAATGCCTGTCAGAGGGGAAACCAGAGGCTAGTCAGATCGCAATGCCTTGGAACTGCTGTGCATCCCCAAGTGACCATCTTAGGAAGAACTGGCTCTGGCTATTGGGGTATTTTCCTGCATGTAACAAACGAGGGCTAGGAGCACGAGCAATGCAACTCACCAGGCATCCTGCAGCCACACCCCAAAAGCAAGAACCTGAGGCTGCCCAAGACATGATTGGGGACATCACAAATGTCCACAAGCTTATGCACTGCCCTAAAGCCATATTTAGTTCGGAATCATCGGTTCTTCTGGTAGAAGGGGGAACTGGTCGAAGAATGCTCCTGCTTTCCTAGGCGATATCAGATTCCGACTCGGTGATTGGACACTGAGCCAAGACTAAGAGAAGCAGGAAGCAGAGACAAACAGAGAGACCCGAGTTGCACCAGTCGAATGCGGTTAATGACAGACGCAGAGAGATGATGAGAGGATCACATCATGAGGGGGCCCACAGGCAGAAGCAGTACAACGTGAGAGACAGCATTGAATATCGCGTTACAGGCACAATCAGAGACACAATCAAGTCCATTTACATTTGGAATACTCCGAACATCCTCGGGAAGATCATAGTCAGATTGTCAATTCGACCAGCCGGCTAGTACTGAGACGGCTTCCGACCGTAGACGACATGCAGATTGCAGTACGTATGCACCGCGGGGTTTTTGAGATCCTTACGCACACCAGCCAGAAAGACCTGGGTATCGCTATTCGACCATCCCAGCACGCGAGTGAATAGCGCCAGCGAATAGGATTCAACCGCCATGAGAAGGGAGCATTGGTTATACCGACCAATCTCCTTTTGCACGGGATCCCTGGCCCACGCACTTGATGGTACCTAAGAGTCATTGAGTTAGGATGAAGGCAAACAGGAAGCAAAATCCAAGAGGGACATATTAAACAGACGACCAGGGGCTAAAGTGGGTCGCACCTTGTACATTTCATCTCGAACATCTTCAAAACCAGCCTCGATTAACCGCTGCCGGTGTCCTTCGGCGATATTCATAGGTCGATGAAAGGCCTCGCTGGCCTGGGTCAGTCGTTCAAGAAATTCGCACAACGCCGGTGCGAGATGGATTGAATCGTCGTCTGACCTGAGCATTACTTCAAACTCCTGTAATTCAATCCATCCACCGGGACGCAGATGCTCATGACTTTGTCGAATTAGCCGTGGCCAGTCGGCGATTGCACCACCCAGGTCGCGGGCGTGAATAAAGTCAAATGGTCGATCTGGGCTATACAGCCATGGAGATTCGGCGTCATCCACCACGAAGCGAAGGTTCGGCGGGACCCACGAAGGCTGGATGGGGCTCAAATCGGTGCCTGTTACCTCGGCACTAGGAAAACTATCTGCAAAATCAATCGCCCAGATTCCCGTTCCAGTGCCAATGTCAAGAGCTCGCTGGATGTTGTTGTGCAGTGGGGCTCGGAAAAGTCGCCCGTTGAGCACCAGGTTCCGGACGTGGTGGAGTAGATCCTGGCGGTCTTGTTCTGGTTCATCGTTTGGAAGAACATAATGCCCTTCGCGGTATGAATGATAGCGTCGTCCATTTTCGTAGGTGTAGTTTTTCACATCTGACAGCAATGAGGCTGTGTAGTTAGATGTGTTGTCTGATTCCCTATCGTCAAATACCGAGTCTGAATGATCGGTTATTGATGCTACAGAAGATGTATCTTCGTTATCACCAGTGTCATCTAGCAAGGTCACCGGAAGGGATTGCGTAGTTGATAGGAGGCTAGAGCTGCCATCTCCTGCTGTGACTGGTGTGGTGGAGTTCATTGGAGCTGATGGTACAGGATCCCACGTTGAAGTCGAGGATTCGAAATCAGTGAATGATATTGCAGATTCTGATCTCAGTATTTTGAGCTCCTCGGTTTCAGGATCTTCTGGGATTTCCTCAGGAATTGGAGCCAGCAGAGGCGACCTTGCTTGAATATTCTCTTCATGATGGTTAACACCAACTTCAACTTTCCAATATGGCAATGGGAGTACATGTGTCTCCAGCAAAGTAGACCCACCCATGACTGACGGTGGGCATGGCCGGCTAGATGGCGATTCCTCAGTGTACTTTAAAGGTTCTTCGATCCCATACTTCATCTGGTGAAAAGTCCGCTTTGTCGGGATACAGGATGACGAAGACCAAGGTAATGGCCCAGGCCAAGAGCCGCTCTCCATAACTGTAATGTCTGGCGTCATTGTCACCATGGGCTCCAGCATATAGTCAGATTGCACCAGAAAGCTTTCAGGAGGATCAGGATTCCTTGTCGCGACTGGATCTGGAAAGGATAGTAGATCGGTATCCAGGTCAATTCTCGTGTTGCATCGCCGATCGTCGAAACACATGGGGTAGATACAAAAGAAGTCCAGCATTTCGGAAGAGATGGCCGCGTAGGTAAATGGATTTGACAAGAATCCTTGCGATGCATCACCTACTTTGGCAAGGTATTAGGAGTACGTAGGACCAGATGGCTCTCACAAATCTCAGTGATGTGAAGCAAAGAACTCGAGTTCTCAAATAGGGCTCCTCTTTTTTCGGGGTATCACAGACATCAAAAATGGCAAAGGGTCGGAGTATATGACCGATTCTAATATCTACCGCAGGGGTTGGCGACACAGAGGCTTTGGAACTGCAAGGCTCTAACTATATCCTTAAATCGAACCAAATTACAGCATGGTTCACCTCTGATCGCCTTGAAATAATCAAATATGCTCTTTGTCCCGGCTCATTCCAATTGAGTACGATAGCCAGGCAGGTAACAAAGAAATCAAAAAGAAATAACACGATGGTCAACAGCTTTGAGATGGCACCACAACATAAGTCGTGTTATAGAGAAAGGATTTGAGAAGCATCAAGGCCTTCTGTGATCTTCTGCTTGACAGACTACCCTAGAGAACTAGTGAGACACGGCGTAGAAAAGAACATCTATGCTGTTACCTCTGCTCACATGGGGAGATTACTCGCTCATGCAGGAGGCCGAACCCTAACTCCGTTGACGTTTGAACGGTTTCTCCGAACCTTCTCCTGTCTCCAAGGAGATTCTATCAAACATTAGAATGTCTTCTACGTGTACGATAAGCATTAGGTCCAATTCACAAAGCAGAAAGCTCAAAGCATGGCGCTGGCTAGGGTGATCCCGTTGCACGACATTCACAAGAGCCGGATTGAATCGGCGGGATTGATATCCTGTCGAGGGTCGGACAAGGCGAAAATAAGATGGTTTCAGCTACTCGGTTATTTCAGAGGATGAGGTTTGTGAGGCGTTTCAAACTGAGATCGGTTATGGTGTTCACTAGGACTGGTTGAATGTTGTGGAAGGAGCCTCTACATGTACATTGCAGGAATGCTTCACTAAGACTAAAGTTGATTTCTGTGAGCTAAAGCATTTACATTGGAATTGAAAATGCGGCTAAATCATCGGGGTATTATCTCATTCGTCATCAGTCATGCGCCCGGATCGCCTGGAGTCAAGCGCTCGATCATGTCTCCATAAATCAAGGGCTATCTTGAGCCCCGACGCAGCGATCTCATTGGAACTTCCCCTTTAGTATCCCCCACCTCGAATCCTGCTTGAGTGAAACCGACAGCAAGAGTCCGCCAGTGGACTTCCTGGTTGAATTCGCGCAAGCTCTCCAGCGCGCTGCGCTGAAGTTCAGCTCGCAGATCGATTTGGTTCGACACCAGCAATCCTTTCTCGAGATCGATACGCGCGTTCAGTACACCACCTTCAATCAGACTGGCCAGTTCCTGGATAAAAGGCGATGAAATGTCCGTGGGACGTGCTTCGCCACCAACGACTTCAGGGGCAAAGATCTTTGCCATGGAATCGAGGGTAACACGGCTGAAGGGAATCATGTACTGCTGGATAGATTTGGTGCGGATGACTCTGTATAAAGTGGGGATATGACGCTGAAGATAAACGTCAAGCAGGTAATCAGGGCGATAGGCGTCCAGAATCTCAAGGCAGTGGCGGAACTTGAAGTTGCAAAAGAAGGCGATGGCGCGACGGATGTGAGGCTCAAGTTCAAGGAAAGTGCGGAATGTCTGGTTTTCAAGCACATTCTTCTGTAGCTCGTCGCGAGTCATAGATGCGAGAGCACATAGACCACCGTAAACGGCAACATCGTTAGCGGTGATGATTTCATTGTAGTTGTCTCCCAGTTCCGGCGGGATGGACAGGAAAGAGTTTGCTGCTTCAAGGTATAAGCCTTGGTGCATCTGTGACAAGGCGGAAGCGGCGGTGATTTTCGCTTGGTTTTTGGCTGCATCATCCGGCTTTGACTGAGAGTTGCGTAGTCGGTGCACGTTGGCCAGCACGGATATCCAGTCATCACGTTCAATAGAGACATTAACCATCTTGAAGAGCATGGAAGTGATATGGTTTGGAGTGGTGCAGTAGTCTCTCATGCGCGAGTAAGCTTTGGAGGCAGCAGCCAGATCTCCGGTCTCGTAATGGAGGTTGCCCAAATCCTCATGGGCCATCTGTACGTGTCAATGGAGTGGATCTTTCAGCACAATGAGATTTAAGCCTTACCCGGATGCTTTCTTTAATCAAATTGTTTTTGTACCCTCGGAGTTCATCTTCCAACCGCTCTGTCTGACTTGACACGTATCGCTGCGTTTCCTGGACCCATACGGAATCAAGCGAAGCCTCAGGGTCACCCGGAGCCACATCTGCCAACGCGCGAACTGCCCTCTCATATCTCGAAACATCCCGACCGGCTCTAGCTTCGGCGATAGCTGCCTTGAGGGCATCGGTTGAAAGCAGCGGGGAGCATGTGCCGATGAGGTAAAGACGGTCGAATCGGGTGCGTCCTGATCGCATATGAGCATGGTAGCTATCTGTGGACAGGATGTAACGCACCAGTATAGTTTGAGATGTAAGTATCGAGATCAAACTTGGGGGCCTCTGTCCGGAGAAGCATGTCAGTGTTATCCAAACCTAGCGGTATTATCACGAAGATAGCCCCACGCAGGAATAAACATACCCTCCACTATCACAATTACTCTTGCTCGAGATTTGGTATCAGCTAGAACAGCCTCTTGGGTGGCAGTATTTGTATCTGCTCGAGATGGACCCGATGCATCTGGAAGAGTGGTGTCCATCGTGCTGGACCGTCCAGATGATGCGCTCCGGGCACAAATGGCAGTATGTGCTTATTTCGAGGAACTGGAGATTTTCCAATGAATTATTCAGGGCTTCAGTGACGGGGAACAAAAATCACTAATGTTTGGACGCTAAGAACAAGATGCTGTTTAGAGAAAGAGGTGACAGTCGGTTGATCATTGTGATGAGTGATGGTTTATCCGGCAGAACCCGACCGCCCTACACGCCGCCCTTTGCAACTCTTCTGGCGAGCAGAGATGGAGATCCAGAGCACGAACAGCAATAGAGGAAGATAGTACAGGCCTATCTTTGTGAGAAGATCTATAGCTTATAACCATGTGATATTGGATATAGCTTTGAAAGAGATAAATAGGCAGACCATAGCCTACCGAACGAAGTTCGCTCAGATCACAACGCTGTGTGTATAGGGCTACTTGCCTGCTAAATGAGATTTTCTTTCGTCGAACGTATCATACTTCTGCCATATATCTAAGACCATGCACATCTGAATCTCTAAGTCCAAAGTTAAGATAAGTATCTCAAGCACTGGAGATCTTTGGTCCCCCGGTCTCCAGGGCTGCCTCGGAACTTGAGTAATCAAGAAATAAAACGTCAGACCCGGCTATATAATAGGGGCCCGGCACCCCAATATCATGATTACAATTCTTAGTATGTCGATGGAAACATAACCAGATATCTAATCATTAGAGCTCGGCTCCCAAACACAGAAATTGAAGTATATAATAAGCCCAATCTCAGACGTCAATTTTGCACCCGACTCGAAGTCATATAACCCCGCAACGAGACTCAAAAAGTTCAAAATGACCTCCTCTCAGCAAGTTGCCTTGATCATAGGTGCATCACGCGGGATAGGTCGCCAAATTGCCATCGATTTAGCGAAGAATGGCTACGCCGGTACTGTGATATATACCCCCTGAATATGGGAATCAAATTAATCAAGTCCCCAGTAATGCTTGCCGCAAAGACAACCTCAGATGCATCAAAAGTGACCCCATTCCCGCCAGATCCAAATTCATCGCTTTCCACTATTAACACTGTAGGGCGCGAGATCGAGGAGGCTGGTGGGAAAGCAGCAACCGTCGCCGTTGACGTGCGCAATGCTGCTGAAATTCAACACGCAGTCGACGAGACCGTGCGAGTATTCGGGAAACTGGATGTACTGGTGTACAACTCCGGTGCGATTTGGTGGTCTTCCGTGGAGAATACGCCGCTTAAGCGGTTTAAGCTTATGCAGCAAGTGAATCCCGAGGGACTATATGCAACCATTCAAGCTGCTCTGCCCTTCTTCAAAAAAGGAGGCTGGAAAGGGCGCATCATTGTAGTTTCGCCGCCTATCTATTCGAGGTTTTTCAGAGGGAAGACTGCATATGCAATGGGTGAGTTGGTTTCCGATTGTTGGCTTTTTTTAGTAGCCTGAGACCAGCCTCCAAGTGTGGTGTTGATATATGCTGATATGTGATGTGTTGTATGTAGGCAAAGTCGGAATGAGTGTCTTGGTCAAAGGCCTGGCCATGGACTTCGTGCGTCAAGGCCAAAATGAAATGGCGGTGACGAGTATCTGGCCTGCATCGGTATGTGCCTGGTTTTTGATTCGATCTTGCTATATCTGAGATCCATGAGGATGTTGCTGACCGCATATGCTTTTGTCCAGTCGATTGAATCAGCAGCTACAGAGCATAACAAGGCATCTGACAAATCCTACAGGCAGGATCTGAGAAAACCGGTATGTTCATCTCTACCTATTTTCCTATCATCCGGTCATTCCGTAATACCGACACATTGCAACAGACAATCTTCTCAGATGCCGTTTTGGCCATGCTTCGGGCCCCGCACAAATTAGTAAACGGGCTTCTGGATACAGACGAGGACTTTCTTCGTGAGCAATGCGGGGTATCTGACTTTTCGAAATACTCTGTAATCCCAGGGTCGACGCCACGGCGAATCATGCCGGTCAAATTCCCGGGGCTGGGGGTTGCAGAGCAGGATGATGAAGGGCAGCGAATGGATAGCACGAAGACGCAGGCGAAGATCTAGGTTCCGTGAGAGTTGTAGGCTATTACATACTACCCCTCGGCCAAGAACACATTTTCATAGATGCGCTATAATTAGTCTTTGCAAAATCGGTGAAAAATATACAAAGCTTATGAAGGCAAGTGTTAATGATCTATTGTAGACACGTGTGAGCATTACGGATGTGGGCGATATCAAAACACAGAAAAGTGAGCGACCATGTTACTCCATAGACTCATGAGCAAGCAAGAAGGAAAAATACGCTCAATGCTAATGCAGCCATAAAATGCGAACCAAAGCGAAGCACAAAAGGAGTGACAAATATTAGTAAAATCAATGACAACCGTAACTCCGAGTTTCATAAGCCAAATAGAATAATCACTCAGTGGATCTTTGAGTCAGGTTTGCTAGAGTGTGTTGACCAAGACCGAAATCGAAGCACTCTATAAGAGAGTAGCAAAACCTGCAACAAATCCACCGACCAAAACACAAAGCCCATAGACATGGTTCATGTCAACAGAGGCCAAGCGTGGAGCAGCACTATTAGCACCATTGATAAGGGTATTGACAGGAGTTTCAGTTGCAGTTGCGGTAGCAGCTTTGGTGGCGGTGGTGGTAGTGGTCACATTGACACGCTTGGGAGCCTGGGCTCCACACGGGTTTTCCACTCGGCAGTTATTTTGGCAAACCAAGTTACCGTCGCAGTCAGCGACACATTGATTGTTGGTTTCGGTGCATGTGTAGTATGGGATTGTCTGGGAGAACTCAGTGCTGTTGGGAGAAACGCCGTTGCTGCACAGACAGTTGTAGCTTAGATCGTCCTGGGATCTTTGAGTCAGTTCGAGGTTTCGTTTTATTTGCCCTAATCTCGACAGGAAGAATTGAGACGGGATAACCTACAGCTTCGCAGGTGTTTGTTGTCGGTGTGCCGGAGGCACCAGGTAGCTGTAAACAGAGAAGGGGACAGGCGGATGTTTGGGAGCCGCACCAGGCCTCTGAGGGTAGAGGGATATGTCAGTATGATGTTCTCTTTTTGTATAAAGGGGCCGACGATAGAGCATTGCCTGACCTCTTGTAGCATAAGGAACCGATTTGGGGTCAAATTGGCCGTTGACCAGTACAGCAGCCGAGGTAAGAATGAAGATGGTCTTAGACAGCATAGTGTCGGTTGAGCTTTGTGATAATTGCAGAGGTCAAAAATTGACAAGGGAGAGCGACTGGACTTTAACATTAGCTTTTTGGTCTTCAAAGACACCAGTGAAATCCTTGTGCACGTTCTAGAAACCAAAGGCAAAGCTAGTGCAAGCTACCGAGGGTAGATGGAATCAAGGGGAAACGGGTCTAATCAAGATGGAAAATGTCATGGAACATACCGAGCTCAAATGCTTAGACTCTCTCGAGGATAAGCAGCGGGATGAGAAAGCAAATGTTATTTGATGATCAAGAAGCCAATAGTAAAAGACATTTGTTTGATACTAGGTGTACGAGGCAGAGGCGTGGGAGTCTAAGTAGCTTGAGGAGAAAAAAAAGTAGCCAGCAAGGGAGAGGTGGAGAGCTCATAAAGGAAAAAGCAACGATCACAGGACTAAAATTGCCTATGTACAGAATGTACTAGCTGGTGTGCATGGTGGCACGCACTAGTCCCACTCTCGGAAATACCGCATCGTATGGTTTTCCCTGCCTAAGGGTTTTTCTCAAGTGAGTTCAGTAGTAAGACCCGTTGGAAGTGAGGTGTGGCTCTATTGAGCGCGAGGGTCCGCTATAGGGGCTTTCCGGTGAGATGTGTCGATCCGGGGATATGGAAGATCTTGGTCTTGGATCGAACTGAGACGTTTGCCCGGTGTGACAGAGCTGTCATCCGATACCCGGTCTGCAGTCTCCACTGTGAGTTAGACACGACTGTCCTCTTCGAAGTTAGGGAAGGTCGTGTCTCAGTCCGAGTCTAGAGAATTAGAGCAATGTCGATCAAGCAACGCTTACCACGTTGGGGTTAGTGTGCTTCTTAGCTCTGAACAGCGCCGACATTTTTGGATCGCCAAAACTCCGAGAGTTGGAGGTCGACTTCAAGAAACTCAAAAGCCAGCTGGTCTGGTTTGAAATCTCATCATTCATGGATACTTCGGGAAACAAGGGAAACCTGCAAGGTAGTGAATCAACGAGGGAACATCCCATTCTCAACGGTGAAGAGACGGGTGGAGTGGACCGCCGTCCCTTAGCTAAGCCACTAACGCGGCCCCGTGACCGCCTGTCTCACTTCCAATTCCATTGACTTTCCTATTATGCTATCCAACACTTTGCATTCTGACTTCTTGTCACCTTTTCTCGCGACATACTTCCCAAGGTTAGTCTGTCTCACCTCGGATTGTCCGGCCGAATACATCGCTTCAAGTCTAGTCCATCATTGCATGTATCTCACTCCAAGTCCCAAAATAGACGGAGTATTACTTCCGCCTAGCTGCACTTTATACTTGCCACCCCGCATAGGAACCTCGGGATCTTCCCCCGACTGAGCCAACCAGCGCATTGAACCGAAGACACCATAAGCTAACGCAAACGTGATTGCATACAAATCAGGACCCATCACCATCCTTTTCAGCATCTAATGGATGGAGTCAACACCTGAGGAGGCCGGACCGGCATCTGAGCCGCACCCCTCCTCCCCACATCCAGACATTCAACCCACCCCCGCACCCCGGCCTGAGACCGCTGATAGCTATGATCATCCCACCCACCCGTATAACCCGAATGACCCCGAAAGCTCCCCTTCCTCTTCTACAACGTCCCGCCCCGTTTCCAGCGTAGTGCCTCCCTACTGGCGCCGCCATGAGCGCAACATCTCGCGCGTCTCGCAGGTATCGCTCCGAGAAGCTGCTATAACATTAGAAGATCATACTGCCGATCCGGACTCGGAGACGAGTCGTGGCCTCTGGGCGAGTAGTGTTGCTATCGACGATCATGTCATTGTACGAGGTATGACGGGCGTCGGCTCGTACGTTGTCTGGAACTGTACTATTCAGACACTTGATGTGAGTTTGGGATCTTGCGGCCAGGGAAATGGAGTTGGCACGTTTGCTGATCTCTTTTGTCATGGTATAGGGCGGGCCAATTGTCATTCGGATGAGGTATCTACTCCTCACACCCTCACTTCTTTCTGTCTGTATTTGGGCAGAGATCGAGCTAATGACCTGGAACTTGCTACAGATATTCTGAATTTGATGACCTTCGCCGGCGGCTAATTTCTTCTTTCCCACATGCGAGAAATGCATTACCTGCATTACCACCGAAGAGTGTGATCTGTATGTTCCCATCCATCCATCAGCCCTTTTATGTTGCCCTTGCAAGTAACTAATGATACCATGACTATAGTCAAGTTCCGACCCAAATTTCTTGAATCAAGACGTGTGGGACTGGAGTATTTCCTAAAGTCAGTATCTCATCTCAACTGCCGTGACTACTATGCATTGTGTGGACTTATTTCTTACATATTCACAGCTGTGTACTTCTAAATCCAGAATTCTCTGGCTTACCCATTGTCAAAGAGTTCCTCTTTGGCCGTATCTGTTAGTTGAATTACCCATTTTTCATCAAGTGATGCGAGTTACATAGCTGGGCGTTTGGGAATCTCATTTTACATTGTACCGTATATCACAACTCAATTCATATCTTCCCTCGTGTACTATAGATAAATTGGGGCATCAGATGTGCAAATGGAGTAATGAGTAATGAGTAATGGGTAATGAATACCTAGGTGCCTTTTTTTTGACTATCATGGTTCACTAGATTGACGAAACGCCACGTTATCCCTGCCAATAACAAACCCTGACTGCAGCCAGCATGTCAAAGCCAACACAAGATAGGAGGATATGGCTTGACATGAGCAGAAGGTAGAGAGAAATATAGATAATAAGACGGTCCATTTTCAAGATAGGAATTTAAACAAAGAAAACACCAATACTAGAACACCAATATCCTAGCAAGAACACCGGGCTTAGCTATGGGAACAAAACGCCTTGAGTATGATGCAGTGTTCAGGATTGCTGACGTAGCAAAGAGAGAAGAGGAAAAAAATTGACCCCATATTCAGATCAGGAGAATGCAAGGCAGGGACAGAGGGGTTTATGGCACTTTCACAGTCTCAGAGGTGAGAGATTCATCAGGGAGGTTGCCGTTAGGTTTGGTCGCAACTGAAACGTCATTGACAGACTGACGGTTAGGCCATTCATTAGAGGTTTTAGCTGCAGCCTTCTGAGCAGCCGAGTTGCCATTCACAGGCTCAGAAGTGGACGACTCGTTAGTGGCCGTACCTTTGGACCTTTTTGAAAATAAAGCGCCCGTCGTACCGTGGAACGACCCACTACACCAGGCATCCACTTTCGACCTGTGAGAGATCATCCAACTTCTAACGTCTGCCCACATGATCTTCCGCAAGCTGATATTTGCCATATGTGCCATCGCCAGCAAGTGCCGCGGACCCGGGACGCCAGGCGGGAACACAAGATATAGGGCGGAGTCCTGAGTGGAATCCGGGCGGAGTTTATCATGGTAAGCCTTCTTTCCACCAATTGGTAAACGCTGAAAGGCACGACTGTACAGGTCACGGGTGAAGCGCTCGAAAGGCGACGGCATGCCGATGACATCTTCGCTGCCGAGGGCGTGTAGGGGTTCGAACCCGAACCCGAGGTAAGACACACCGGCACGATTGAGGAGTGCCATTGCGGCGATAAGGAGGAGATCGCTGATTCCCTTTGCACTGCCCGGGGCTGCAATGCACGGATCGACATGGTAGCCACCTGAGCCCAAGTGCCTGAGCGCGGCGAACCCATTGACGATTTTGTCTGCGTTGCGTGTATATATGAATGTCATGAGAGTGGGGAGGGCAAATGGATCATAAACAGTGATAAAGGCCTGCGGGCTGGCAGAGCAGTTGCGCTCGGCGCGCCAGGCATCATAGATGGCGATGAGCTCGGTTTGGAGGTGGGGATTTGTGCCGTGGATGGCTGGGGCGTATACGCCTAGGGTATTGCCACCTTTGTTTGGGTTCAGGAGTTGGCGGTTTTGAGTGATCATGCGTTTCCCACTGTTCTCGAGAAGAACGTCGTTTGTTTGAGGATTAAGGACACGCTCGATGCCGAAACGAATTGTCGTCCAGCCATTTGGGTGGGCATAGTCATGCAAGAAGGATTCACTGGCGCCCATGAATGCTATACTCCAATTGTACCGCAGTCGATACTCCCTGAATTCTTCCAACAATTCAGGAATTTCATCTGTGCTGCATAATGGGTCCCCGCCAATGACTGCGACTCCGTTCTGAACCTTGAATGACAATGCTGCTGTTCTCGATTTGTTGACGAAGAACCGGTAGCTGTGGTCGAGAATTCCCATGTGTGCTACTCGGCCATGCTGTGCAGCCAGTCGCTCGATGGTTGTCATAGTGGTGAAATCGTCAAGGCTAAACACGGCCGCCTGGTCTCGATCGACTTTCTTGGGTTCGGACTCGGTGTGTGGGTGGGAAGAATCAACCGCTGTTCGAGCTTGTGGGCGAGAGACTCCCAAGGGTTCATGGAGATCAACACTCGTTGCCGGGGTGCAAGTCGACCCGGCTAGCGTCCGTATGCTATGACTTGCTACGCTAGCGCAGGAGGAGGCCGTCACAGCTGGCGCTAAGTTGTTGCGTAAGTGATCCATGACGGAAACACACGAGGATTTGAGATCACCATTGTCATCACTCTTGGGGGTTGCATGAAGCTGCTCCATCAACTCATCTCCGATTTCATTTAGGAACCTGCTCTTCCTGGGGGTTGCAACGTTATCTTGTTTATTCCTTCTTCGCCCCTTTGATTTCTTGTCTCTTGACGACACAATTGCTTCATTGGATTCTTCCGTAGAGACCATGATTAAAGCAGCCTGGATTGTATCAGAAGAAGATTGGGGGGGCATAACGTGAAACGAGGAGAAGAAGTCCAGGGATCAAAGTTGAGTCGGAACCGGAAGTTAGACAAGCACAACGAAGTATGACACGTACCTTCCAGAGTACTGGTACATCCCGTCACTTCTTCTGTTAGGCAGATGTATTCTCACCTCTAACCACCTCGTCACCACACTCTCTACCCAGGGGCATGGACGGACTCACCAATCATTACGCATCGTTCGGTGATCTCCCGGTACAAGCCTTGGGGGCCGATCCCTCGTCCTATCACAGCCCCAGCAAGCAAACTCTAATATGGAACCCCGAACCGGATATACGTACTATATGTACCTGCATATATGTGCGCCGGCACAGAGCATCCAGGAACAGTCGATGATCGGAGGCCGTCAGAGATTGGGTTTCTGTCAGGCTAAGCAATCTCATCAAGTCCGTCTTTTCATTCTCACGTTTCCCCATTTGGCCTCACTATCCACCCAGAAATACATGTTCCGAACAAAGTCTCAGACTAGGAGATACTTATATCTGCCACCCATGATTTACACTCCACCGAGAACATATCGACCTCCATTTCAAAAGAATTTCTACATGTCTATATGGGGTGAAGATGCATCTTGGCCCGAGGAAACTGGGACGATTAGAAGATTGAGAGTGACACAGGCTCATGTTATGTGCTTTAAAAATCAGTCGATAGAAGAATGCTCAATAGTAAGACATTGTTAGTTGAAATACTGCACAAAGATAGACCTGGCACGAAAACAAAGTGTATCTTGCTCCGCATGAGCCTTCAAGGCCACTTCCAGGGAAAATGCGCCCGAACCCGAGGGAAAAATAGATCAAGAAATCCAGACGAGAAAAAAAAAAGCGGACCCTTGTGTTGCAGTATGGTATGCGTCTACTGCCCCTCTGTGGCATCCTCAACGGTGCCTTCCGTAGTGTTATCAGCCCCACGGTCGTCGCTTGCATATGTCTCATTTCTGTTCTCATCTTCAAGCTTGGTGATACTCTCAACGCTGGCGCACTCATTTGCAATCCTTCTCAAAGTTGCCAAGAGCTCGTTCTGCTGCGTCAAGACGGTGTTGACAAGGGCGTTGACTCTGTCAGTGAGCTCCACACAGGCCCGCATCTCATTAGTCGAGACTGTGATGCGCGAGCCAAGGGGAGAGTCCTATATTTCAAAATTAGAATGTAAATCCATAAATTCAGGAGTGGAACCGGTAGATAGGCTGCATGCTGGGTCAGAGTACGACGAACAATACGCGTAGCTTGGGCGCGTACATGTACAATACTGCCCTCCCTTTTGTTGCCGTCATTGGAAACTTGCTTAGAGGTCGGTTTGGTGGTCCTCACCGTGGTCTGAGCAGCCGAGGCGACAATAGTGTGGGACTGGCGAGGGTTGGAGTGTGGAGCGGGGGGCTTTCGCTTCGTCTTGTTTCCGTGTTGAGCCTGGCTATCAGCTCCATGAGCGGGAGTCTTGGGTGCCATGATAATATGGGATATGGAGTGGTAGGAGGAAATCACGAGTGACAGGGGGATGGACGAGGAAGAAGGAAGCGAGCAACAGGAACATATGGTGACCAGATCAAACAGGGAAAGTGCTGTGGAGTGACCCCTCCCCAGACCAACATCTTGGCCAATTCTTAACTTTCCTTTATCCCAACCAGAAAGAGAAGGCATCGCCATCGCTATCGCCATCGCTATCGCTATCGCAGGTTTGGTTCCAATCTTGGAAGGTTGTCTCTTTCGTCTGTGAGTTCTATACTTCTGATTGGTGGATATATGCGCACGCTAATCCTCACCCAGTTAGCGTATACATATCACGCTAGACCCGGATTGGAACATGACATCCCGCATCGATTCGACAGCCTGTCTGCCCACTTCGTGCCCACCTGAAACCTCTTCATCCAATGATGCCCTTTGCTATTTATTATCTTGTGCTATCGTATCAAAAGACAGAATGATTACCAATCGCCCAGCTACTCTGGCCGACATCCCACAAGTGCGGGATATCAACCACTGGTACATTGTTAACAGCTGTTCCACTTTTGCGACTACCCCACCACCGATATCGCACTATGAGGACATCTTGCGGGATCTCATGAGACGGAATCTCCCATTCTACGTGGTGGTATCTGACACGCGCAAGACACCAGATGGCGCAGATTTAATTCTTGGTTACGCTTACTTGTCTCCATTCCGTGGCCATTTGCTGTCCTATGCGCCCACCGTGGAGCTCTCAATCTTCATGCGCCATGACCAGCAGCAGTACGGCTATGGAACAATTGTTCTTAGAAGGCTGTTGGGATTGCTTGAGCAAGGTGTTGAGCACCACTGTGAGGAAAGAGTGGCCGATATTCCACGGATCGGACTTGGTGGCTCCATGGGTGTCATGAAGAATTGTCTCGTTCAAAATGTCATTGCAGTGGTATCCTATGATACAACTTTCCCTACTGAAGGAGAAAGATTGAGAAAATGGTACACCAAATGGGGGTTTGTCAAGAAAGGGCAACTGGAAAACGTGGGGAGAAAGATGGGTCATTGGTAAGTCGCTGTTATCATGGTAGAATGGCTCTCTTTGACTGATCATGTTTCCAGGGTTGATACTGTCTACCTTCAATGGACAGTTCCAGATCAAGTGCATAGTGATTGAATCAGCGAGAACTACATTGGTCAATGGACAAATTAAGCAATATGGACATATAGAGAAAGGTGAACATGTACACATATGCAGCAGCACGCTCGTCAAAACTTCCAGATTCCTAATTCAACAGCATAGGGCCGATAATGGTCTTCAAATCCTACTAGATCCCCTAGATCAAAACGAAATCATTCGTATGGTGCCCCTATTCATGGCATCAAGACCCTAAAAGTCCAAAAAAGAAGTCAGCAGAAGTCTAAAGATTCAGAATTGGAAGGGCACAAAAAGGGTTACCGAGCAATGTTTACTCAACTCGTGGACGGTCTCGCCACGAGCCCCTATAAACAGATTCGAGGATACCATTGGTGATCGCATTGAATTGATTGATATCCATGACGCCAGGGCTTTCACTATGGTCCCGAATCTGGTAATTGATAAAGTTGCACAAGACAGGGATCTCATCCTTGAGTTCCATAAGCATCAACTTTGTAGCAGCATACCAGCTAAGACCAAGATTGAGTTTGAAACAGGTGACAACTTGCTCGCGCCAAGCGTCGACATAGCTACCAATTGTGCTGTACTGGCTACGTCGCATCGTCCAGAGTTTCATGAGTTCCTTCGACATTTGATCCTCTCCGTTCGAGAAGTCCATTGTCGTGATTGCCGTGTAGGTTTCATCGGCAAACGCAAGATCAGGGTGGATAGCTTTGAGGGGCACAGCGAACTGATCATCGAGGTTCTTGACGAGCCATTTACCGACAAGAATGGACCATTTGTTCCAATCCTCGTAGCGAGAGTGGTCAGGGGTGGGTCGTGCCAGGGCTTTGGAGATGAGAGGACCTAGGCCGCGGCAGTCGAGGGCGACCATGATGACATTCTGCCAATATCTGAGATGGGAAATTTGCTGTAGCTTCTTGACATTTGGGATCGTAATATTCTTAAATCCAGGGAGGCTATCAGCTTGGGTCCGAGTTGAAACACTTTCGCCGAGGGACGGACTGGCCATGACAGCAGACGAAATTTGATAGAATCAGATAGGGTAGATGATAGGGTAGATGGCTAATAACTGATAGAGGGACAATGTTTAGAAAGAAAAAACAGTCAGGTAAATGAGAGACGGTGTGGTAGACTGTGTTTGTAACAAAACACGACGCGCCGGAGGAAGAAACCAAGATCACTCGCCCTTATCCATCGCTCTTGCCCTTAATAACCTCAGGCTCAGCCGTTCCTTCTTCTTTGGCGCGCTGCACTGTTTGCGAATATCGCTTTCCAGCAACACACCACCAAACAAGCTCGATAGTCAAGAACCCGCCTACAACGACGCATGTATAGTTCATGTTGGATGCTGTGTGTGGATTATCGTTAGCAGATAGTTCGGAAGAAAGACCTAGTAATTGTTATAAAAAAAAGTGCAGAACATACCCACTACAGGCACCTGATATGGGAACGAGAAAAATACGACGGCAAATATCAACCACGCCACAGAGATGATATTCACGGTCATTCCGATTGTTTGACCCATAAAGAATGGACCACGATGCATCGTCCGGCGAAGCAACAGCACATTTGTCAAAATGGGAACAAGGTATGCGAAGTTGTTAATTGTCCTATATCCAAATCAGCGTCGAACCCTCACCATGTTAACCGCTGTATAAAACGCAGAAGACATACACGGCAGAACTCATCATTGCATTGAAGGCGGTGCTAGAGCCCAAGTAAATACATCCTAAAAGCGCAACAATCACAGCAACACAGAGCTGTGCATTGAACGGTGATCCGAGCCTTGGGTTGACACAGGCCCAAATCTTTGAAAAGGGCAGGCCTTCATCACGGGAGAACGCCCAAAAGACTCGCCCGGTGCCTATCCATATCAGCATAGGTTCAGCTTTCCTGAAATAGCAAGGTTTCACTTACTCAATTGTGAACCGATGACACAGGGACCAAGAGCAATCCACACCATGAACACCAGACCGAATGCTCCACCTCTTGTAGACGTGGCTTGCCAGAAAAGCTCGGCAAGAGGAAGTCCGGTGTGTGTATCAGCCAAGGTGCCATAGTTTTGGACTGAAAACATGAGGCTTAGAAGGTATGACAGTCCAGTCACGAATGCGATCGAAAGGGTGATAGCTATGATATTGTTAGGCGGGTAATCAATATGAACAACCCCCACACCAAACGAACCTAGACCCAAGGGAGCATTCCGTCCAGGCTATCAAAGACTGATCAGTAGATAGTCGCAAGTTATAGGTTCATTTTTACTCACGTTAGGCATTTCTTCTGTGATATGCTATAACATAGTCAACAACTGGCTCCGCTTTGCCGTGAACGCAACCTACTGAGATCCCATCCAGACCTCCCAGTGAGTACATCGGATTCACCAGGCCTGTGATAAAGCAGATGACATTATTGTCCCAACCGGTATTGTTAATCCACGTGCGAAACACGAATTTAGTGTCATTATGCACAGGCGCCGAGGCGGCCACAACAACCATGGTGATAAACCATGCCAATTGTAGGTAAATCACTAATACAACGCTTATTAGTCAATGCAACTCGCAGGATCAAGAACCGACCGACATGAGAATTTGTTGATCGCTGGGATGAACCGATTGCCGAACATGATGACACTGGAAGTCAGGATATTTAAGACCTGATATGCGACAAATGTCATCCACGGTTGAACCACCAGTCCATCATGGAAAAGCGCAATCAGTGCCATGACTGTTGTGGCATAAATCAAGTTGGTCGAGGCAGTCGTGAAGATCCCTGGATTTCATCAACATCGTGCCAGAGTGATTGCTATTGGATAACCCCACATCCAAAGACAGTGCACCATCCAGTCGCAAAGCTAAGCAAGCTGTTATATCTCTTCGGGGCAATAGCTGCAATCCAATGGTACATTCCTCCCTCGGTGGGATATGCCGATACAAATTCTGCCAGGGAGGCCCCGACGAACGATTGAAGGATGAAAACGAGGATGAAGCCATAAATGACTATAAAGTGGTCAATCTTCGGTTCTTTTGTGGTCAGTATGAGAGTGTTTTCTTACGGGCGCCAGGACCACCTGCGTTGATTGCAGTGATCAATCCCAAGCCGAGACCTGCAGTTGTGTTAGACCGAACCGGGGTAGTCATATGAGGCCGACTGACCTGTCCATGAGATTGTACAATTTGCCGCAAGTCCGATCAAGCTCCAAACCGAGAAATGTCGCTGCAATTCTTGTTTATGGCCTGCAGCAGAGTCACTATCATTCTCCCCAGCAATATGGATTCCCAACCCTACCCATCTGGGCCAAACGTAGCTCATCCTCATTCTGCACCTTGATAAGGTCCGCGTCATTACTTTCTTTGAAGTCTGCGGCCTGCAGAGAGATCGAGGTAATCTCCGAAGCACTCATGATGTACACGACGTCACGAATTGCTGAACACAAACGGCGAATGTCAACGAGATAATAAGAAAGAGAGGAAGGGGGGAATTGACAGGCACATAACTACGATCATCCCCGATAAACGGTATTATCCGTCTGGGAAGCTGGAGAAATGAGCGGGCTTACCGGCGAGATAACCGGGGAGCTGAGAAAGGCAACGTATCAGCGTGAGGAATGGCTACACTAAAACTGGACGCCCCGGTGATCAGCGGATTTTGCCGGTCAATTATGTGGAGAAAACGATGCGTCGCCTGGAATTCCGGGGGTACTTAGGTCCTTATGGTTGTAATGTGTGCTTGGTGAAGTATAAGCTTATGCCAAGGGGCTTGACGTGACATCTATAGATGCTACCTATGAGCCTGCCAATAGGAGGTCTATTGCCTGACACAGAATTGGTTTCTGCCTGTACCATCGGTTCATTAGACTGCGCAAACATTAAAAAGAATTACCGCATTATTATTTTGAGGAAAAAGAGAGCCCAAATTGGAGAGCTACTCGATGCCCCATTGACTTTTGTGATGGTGGTGGCTCTCATATAGATTGGAAAGACCTTGCTTTATGAGTACATCTATTACCTATATGTAACGCAGATAGTAAATCCATATTAGATGTCAGATTTGGAGGTATACCTGCATAAGGGAGGTAACCCACCAAATAAATAAATTAAATGTACCCAGGTAGATGTACCTAAATAGGTAGCTATGTACCTGGGTATGCTGGGTACTTTCATCCGCTTTGTTTACCAGATACACAACATCAATACATATATCAAAGATACCAAATGATCTATCTAGGTCGCAAATTCATTTGTTGATGGTAAAGTAGTTGCAATGTTCTGAGGGCGAAAAGCAAATCAAGTTCCATGCCTAACCTCGCCCCAAATCATCTCATTGCAGAGGCCTATCAGTTGGCGCTATTGCAGGTGCCGTCTCGGGGTTTACGTGGAGGGGATTCAGGGTCGGAATCGTAATCTTTGACCAGCCTCTCAAGGATGGCCATAGCTTCTTTCATCTCAAATCTGTCCAGGGGCCAAGTGAAACGGAAGTGAAGCATGAAATGAGTCCAGCCGCCAAATTTCTGGATAATCTCCCATTTAGCATGATCGAGAGGGGGAACTATTCCGATTTATTTCTTAATGTCAGTATAATAACACGCGAGGGAGAGGGACATACTGAGATGATCCCATCTATGTGCCCACTCATGGAGCGGGTCGCGATCATCATAATGGACCATCTTGCGGCTGTGTCAAGGAGAGGCCTGGTGAGGCCTTCTGCTGAGTTTCTTGAAATGGGATAGACAGGTATTGCCTAGATGAAGAAATTAGAGAGCTGAACAGGATAGAGCGACAAGTTGAGTATAAATATTCAGCAAGCATGATCTTAGGAAGGTAAGCCTGGGCAGTCCATAGCAAATAACGACCATTGAACATGAATCTCCAGAAAGGAAGGCAGCGATCATGAATACATATGGTTATAGGTCGCGCAGTCTTCTGCTCCACACCTCAAGCCACCACTAGGATTCAAGATCCTTTTGGACTATCGCTCTTGGGGTGCATTGCTGAGGCATATCAAGCAAACCTTCACTCTATCTATACCTGTGGATTCTGAAGTGGCTCAGACCGAGAGACCATTTACTATATGAACAGTATGCCTATCAACGTAGCTTTAATGATTGCTGCGACCGAAAATGTACCCTTTCCTAGAATTCATCGCCTCTTTTGACTCGTAAATTTCATAAATTTCCAAGATTGTGAAAATTATGTTTCTGAATCGGATCAAGAAGGCCGAAGCTCCATATGTTTTAGGACCACGTTCTCGCTGCTCGCAAATATATCTGTGGCAGCACGAATCACGATAAGATTGAAGAGCGATTGAATGGAATCAAGTACTCCGCACAAAATATGTTTCTCCGACCTCCTTGACTCTACCTATAATGCATCACAATGGAGATATTCGAAAGCAGAATGCTTCCAAAAGCTTGGCGACAGGGTTGTGGCGTCTAGACTGAGGATGGCGGGCTTGTCAGGTATATTGCCCCACGGCGAATTCTAGTTGTTTCGGAGAAACGAATCTATTTCACATGTCCTGATTGGCAAGATCTGTGACTATTTAAAGACTACAATCATGCCTCTGCCAGTCTTACAGAAAAGAAGGACAAAGAAGAGGATAAACTATTGAAGTCGAGAGGCTCGGACATGCAGCAGTCCCACAACCGGAAACTCCAATTCTCAGCGATCCACCTATCACCGGGGCTGTTACATCATCGGGCTGCTTGACTTTGGTGATTGCAGTTCGGGGGACCTGAAGATCGACCGATCGATCCGATCGCTGGGCAGCTGGAAATTGTAAGGTTGCCGATCTTCTGTCGGCTACTGGGGGCATCCAGGCAACGCAGCTTCAAAGATGGTTTCATTCGCTCCCATCATGCCAGACCCATGGGCCGCTATTGAAAAAAAAAAAGGGCCTCGTGGGTTTGCGATCTAAACATAAATGATCTCATTCTACGGAGTACTTAAAGAGCTGAAAAGGCCGGAGAGCCGATCTTGATTCTCATCTCTCACTTGAAATAGTCCCGTCGGGCCGCAATATGGAATCGCCATCCATCCCAGACCATCGCCCCCAGAAGAGATCTCCCGCAAGATCTGGTGCTATTGTTGAATCGCACGATTTTGAAAGACATTTCAATCACTCAACTTGGACTTCCGTGCGCTCCGATTCACCCCAGCAAACATACGAGTCGCCAACATTTGGCCAGCCAGCGATTGGAAGACCACCAATGGGATTGCCACAGCCATCGATGCCTTTAAAGCCCAATGCTAATGGTCTCTCTAATGGTGTTAATAATCGCGAGCCTGTTGACAAGCCCTCCATCGATCAGGAGTCTGTAGCGGGTTCAATCGCTACCTTGGACTTGGGCTACCATTCCATAGGCCAGCCACAGTCACGCCGCGAGAAGCACTCATCGTCTTCAACAGGCCAAGTGTGCGACCAGCGATCTTTTAGCAACCTCTCCTTCGACCAGCATTCTATCGAAACCCAATCGCTTGGTCACCATTCTATAGGCGGGTCACCGGGTAGATATTTTCTGTAAGCCCAGAATCCCGCCAACGCGAAAGTAATGATCGCTAACCATGTAGATCGCCTAGTTCCTCCACCCGCGATCTGCGCTCGTCGGCTTCGAACAGGTCGCTATGGCGAAACTCCGTTATCAATGAACTACCAATACTTCAGCAAACCAATCCTAATGAGGGTTCTGAGCAATTTCACCCTATCATTGAAGAAAATGAGGAAGCGTCCTTTGACCTTGTCGCACCATATAACGGCGACAAAGTGCCACTGCATACGCTGGAGCAACAAGCAGATCTTATGTTCTGCTCGGATCATATGTTAGCAATTCTGAGCAATCCACGCTACCTTGCGCGGTTCCGCGAGTTCCTCGCCCAAGAACGGCCAGGCTCAATCTCGACTCTCACTTACTATCTCAATGCTTCCAAGTCTCTGAAGGCAATCCAGTATGCCAACGCGCTTGTGCGCTTGTCTGTTGACGTGCCTACTGCCGGCATTGAAACCGCAGAGTACCCTGTTGGTCCGACTATCAACATAGCCCTCGAACAGCGTGTACAGGCAGCGCTGGATGCTTTGACCGCCGAGGAACTGCCTGCTTTCATCACTTCGACCTGTATAAAGATTACCGGCAAGGTTGTCGAGGAGCGCATACGAGGGACTTTGCCTGCTAAGTTTCAAGGAACGTCGGATGGACTGGCGGAGGTATTCTGTCTGACAGATCCATCGCGACCGGATAATCCTATTATTTTTGCATCTGAGGGTATGGTCTTGCGTGCCTCAAGCTTTGTGCCAACTCCGACTGACTCGTTGATTCAGAATTTCATCGCACTACACAATACGGCATGGAATATGTCCTCGGACGAAACTGTCGATTTTTGCAAGGACCAAAAACAAATTCCAACAGTGTTCGGCGAATCCGAGAAGCGCTTAAAGCTAGGCGACATCATTCAGAGCTTTTTCTGAACTAGTGAGTGTCTTCAATAAGAATCTGCATACAAAATACTAAGCAGGGGAATAGCCGCCGGGATGGGTCACCGTTCATGAATCTTCTCCAAATAGCTCCTCTGTGTGACAGTCGTGGAAGAATCCGCTACTTCATCGGTGCCCAGATCGATGTCTCCGGGTTAGCAATGGAGGGCGCCCAGATGGAATCCCTTCAAAAGATGCAGACACTGAAAACCGATGCGGACGCATACAGCCAGTTAAAAAAAGAACCAAAGAGCGAATTTCAAGAACTCGGCGAACTACTCAGTCCGCGTGAATTGCAGAACGTCCGCCAACACGGAGGAAGTCTATTCCAGCCGACCATCAATGAAAATCCCCACCATCGTTTGTTCCTTCAAGATTCCGATACAGAGAGCGAAGTTCACGTCCCCTTGCAAGGGTATCCAAGTCCCGCATCCGATCCAGCATCTAATCTGTCGCTAAGCGGTGTATACAAAAATGTGTGTGATCCCCATTTCACCCTCCCCGCCCACAACGAAACTAAACATAATGCAGTACCTTCTCGTCCGCCCTTATCCTCATCTCCGAATCCTCTTTACCTCCCCCTCCCTCCAGATCCCGGGAATACTCCAATCATCATTCCTAAACCGCATTGGCGAGACAGGCGCCAAACGTGACGATATCATTAACGCTATGAAAGCTGGGCGAAGTGTCACCGCGCGAATCAGGTGGCTGACCAAGTATAATGATCATGGCCGCAACCGCTGGGTTCACTGTACGCCGTTACTGGCGAATAACGGCAAGGTCGGCGTATGGATGGTTATTGTTGTTGATGACGACGAAGAAGAGTCTGTTCGATGGCAAGGCAACTGGCCGACCATTTAGATGATTTGAGACACTGAAATCTGTTGTATACCCATGTATATATTATATTGTATAATGATCTATATCAAAATGGATCTACTCGATTGTTTCGGAGGCAGTTGGTTTGACGGGCATTATATGTAGTAACGCGCTAGCCCGCATCAGGTTTAGCGTTTACCTTAAAAGGCTAGGATGGCCTCCCAATTGAGAGCATCGAGATGTCTCCAGCTCCTCAACTCGACAGCCAGCAATCGTTGAATTCATCAGTCTCGGACATTATGACGCTTTCTGGCTTGGTTCTATTATGCCAATCCCGTACTCCCCCTGAGACTAAACTGACAGATTATCATCGCTGAAAATGATGTCAAATAAGCTTCCGGAAACTCAACCCCAGCTCCGAATAAGCCATAGACCGATATGTTGATGTCATGACCCATTCAATTGCACATACATAAATATGACCTCTGTCCTTCACCTTGCAGATTTAACATCTCGGCATGCGAGATACATAACTCATGATGATTACCTGGCGTTCGTTCGCCCGCACTTTCCAACGAGTTTGTGTTATCCACAAGAGAAGCTGCGCTGAACGACGTGCTTACCATCACACAGCACCATGGCCCCATCAGGGCTCATGTGCGACAACTGAGTCTGCTTGAACATCATTCACACAACCTTCTGAAGGATGTAAGAAATCCCTCCATGCTACCTTCTCTCAATGCTTATTCTATCCAGTTCAAACTGCCAGTTCCCATAGGATTCCTGGCGGCAACCCCAGAGGAGGCCAGGGATGCCGTCGCTAAAATTAGTGAGACCGTACCACCCCCTCGAGGAAAGTCATCAGCACGTAACTAAGATTGAAGAGATGCACCGTCAATTATCAAAGCCCAAGTGCTCGCGGGCGGGCGCGGGAAAGGGTCATTTAATAGCGATGGCAAAGGTGGAGTCCGGCTGGTTGAGTCGTAAGTGTTTTCAAGAAGCACAAGCATGTTCCGGGACTAATATTCCCACAGACCAACCGAAGCATTCAAAAACGCCACCAACATGCTCGGCTATAACCTAACAACAAAGCAGACTCCGCCCGGCGGTCTCCTGGTAAACAAGCTCTACATCTATAAAGCCGTAGCGGTGGCGCACGAGTACTATTTCGCCATTACCTTCGATCGCCAGCGGGCCTCGCCTGTGCTACTCATATCAGACGACGGCGGCGTCAATATCGAGTCTAACGTCGACAAACTGCACAAGCTGTGGTTTGGACTATCGACCGGTATCACTCCTGAAATTGATGCATATATTCAAGCAGAGCTGGGATTCTCAGATGAGCAAATGAAGAATATCCAGCGTGTTCTTGGACAGATGGTCAAGTTGTTTAAGGAGAAAGACGCGACCCTTCTCGAATTAAACCCACTTGTGCGCACCGAGGATGGAGATTTCGTTTGCCTCGATGCAAAGTTTGGGTTTGATAATGCAGCTAGGTACAGACAGAAAGAGCTATTTGAGCTGGAGGAGCGGACGCCGGAAGAAGAGGAGGAACATCAGGCTTCTCAATTGGGACTTTCTTATGTGCGACTCGAAGGGAATATTGGAAACATTGTCAATGGCGCTGGTCTAGCGATGGCAACTAATGATCTGATCAGTTTATGTGGTGGGAAGTGCGCTAATTTCTTGGATGTTAGCGGGGGCGCGACTAAGCAGACTTTGTCCAAGGCTTTCCAGATCTTGAAGAAAGATTCGCGGATTAAGGGGATTTTCATCAATATCTACGGTGGTGAGTATATGTTAAACATGAAGTAGGGAAAAGGCTGGCTAATCCGAGAATAGGAATCGTGCGATGTGATATGATTGCCGAGGCGATTGTTGCCGGTGCTGCTGAGCTGGGTGGTTTCAAATGTCCAGTTGTCGTTCGTCTGCAGGGTACTAATGCTGAAAAAGGATTGAAACTGGCAAGTGGACCTGTCACGTCAGGTTATTATTACATACTGACTTCGATTATAGATTGAAGGTTCTGGATTGGAAAATTTGGTTGTGGAGCCTGACTTTGAGAAAGCTGCCAATATGATCGTCAAACAAACACCTAGGTTTGAATAAGAATAATTTGATTCATGACTTTGTGTGTGAGGTATGCCAGTCTCAATAATCAACTTGCCTCCGACTAGTAAATAGATGTATGTACATATGTGCAGAACTATGCCGTAGACTCAATATAATGTTCGAGGCAAATACGCCTGACAGGACCCGAAGAAGATTGCAGCATCAAAGAGAGCCAAAAAAGCGAAATATGGAAAGGACAGAAAGAATGAAGCGTACAAGATCGGTCATCGCGATGACATAAATAAGTTCATTGGAAATTCGTTTCGTATGCCAGCCGACATGGGACAATTTACTGCGAAAATTCGGACTTGACTGTCACGCTAGCCCTCGCTTCCTCCTCAGTAGGCTTCCTCGCCCAGACTCGGCGACTATAAATGATCAGCAACCAGAGCCTCCTGATTTATTCAAAGAAAGAACTCACGCATATTCATAAGCGTGTGTGCGCGGGTTTTTCAACTCGGCCCGAACCTTGGTCAAATAAATCTGGACTTCATCGTTCGTCCAAGGGGTCGGGGCTCCAAACTTGGTGAGTAGCCACATAGCCCAGCCCTCCAAAGCAGCCGTCCAATGGAAGAATTGGAGTTGTCCAGCCTCTTTGAGAACGTTGTCTTTGGGCCAGGGTCCCAGGGGTACCTTGTATAGCTTTTCGTGCACGTCGACAAAGCCAGCCTTCTCAATTGCGCCTCGCATTGTTTCCTGGGTGAGCAGGGATCGACCGGCGCGCTCGGAGCAAGCAATGAAGTTATCTCCCCACGCGGCTAGATTGCTGTCTTTTTTCAGGGTGTTGTCGTCGCTGTATACCCGGACGTCTAATTCCATCTGTTCGATCCAGCCGCCTGGGGTAAGGGAGCTGGATAGGATAATATAGTTAAAAGCTGTTGATGAAAAAGGAGGGGGATCGAAGGGGTAGAGAAGGGGACTCACTCGTAGCACTGCTTGTACACTTGATTCCATCCCTCGGGTGTGAATGCTCCCAGCATTAGACGAAGATGGATGAAGTCAAATGGTTCTCTCCAAGTCCACTCACGGAGGACGTCGTCTACTTCGAACACGCAGTTGGGCGGCATCCAAGTTACGGGAGGGGGAAGAGGTCGACACCCCGGACAGTTGCTGGCAGCTTTTTAGAATGATACGTCGTGAGAGAGGTACATAGAGTACATACCGGATGGATAATGATCCGCTACATCACTGGTTGTCTGTGAGCAATATCCGATCAAGAAGGATGTGTAGGAACTTACACAGCCCATGTTCCTTTGCCAGTCCCAATGTCCAAGATGTTCTAAGTCCAACGTTCAGCAAGTGGTTAAGTATCTCAAAATCAGGGTCATTCTGACCTTGGGATCTTTGGAGATAGGAGCATGATGGAGAGGGTTCTCTTGGTGGTAGTCCAACATCAAAAACATAAGGTGGCTGTATATTACCAATCAGCTATGCTGCAAATGCGTGTGGAAATGACAGGAGAAAATGCGGATATTTACCCAATTTCGAAAGCCTCGAATTGCTTTTCATCAGAAGGGCTCCTATAGGACAGTGTTAGAGTCTGGGGTTCCAACTTCATGCATGCGACCGACCAGTAGTCATCTTCTTTCAAGTTCTGGTATCTGTTCGTCAGATGAGCAAGTTATATTTTCTGTTTCCCTGTTCAAACAAATTGACCAACCTTCTCCCATTTTCTATGCGTCCCCTTGCAATCTTTGAAACGATGGATGTCGTTTCCCTGGTTGGATAATAAGCTTAAAACGTAAACTATGGCCGTACCCCATTTTGTCACTCACGACTGAAAGTCCTCGGGATCCCAGTCATGGGTCAGAGTGTAGAAGTTGGCATCCTGGTAATCCAAGTGAGAATAGGATCACCCAACCCAAGACTGCAATAACTCACAACGGCAATCTTTTCCGCCATTTTGGGAATTTAGAGGCGTGAGAGCACTAGAGGGAACACAACGTGGCGAGTGGGAATCACAAGGTTTGGGACAGCGGGTAGGGCGGGGGCCCGGGTGCGTTCGGCTTCCGGAACTAAACCGATAGTCCAACGGTGTACTTATGTTTTCGCATGGGTGATCCTTATAGGTGGACACTGATCTCTCCTGCTCAACTCCGAGGCCCGTTGATTACCCGAGACGAGGGATTTAGCCTTGACCCAATCAAAGATATTCCAGGCCATTCCATGTGTTCCAACATTGCTAGTGTACAAATGCGTCTTTTCTGCACGTATCACTCTTCAAGAAGAGTTGCACAGCTGGTTCTCACAGTTTCATCGAAAAGCAACCCGTTGCGAGCAACGTGGAGGCCTGTTGCGCAAGTCTCCACTTTTGGTTCAGCAGCTGGGGATGTACAACAACAAATCCTGTCAAAAAGCCCGGACTGCCAATTTACACAGTCAGTACCAAGTTGAATAATCGAGGGACTGAGGCCGAATCATTGACGAATAAAGCGTTTGTATCCGGGGCTCGCAGTAGAAACCAATATAGATTCTGGAAATAAATGACACAAGGACTTGGAAGACGATGGCAACATCATGCAACCGTCCACAACAGATCGGTGAAATGGGCGGAGTGATAAAGGAAAGTGCGGTATACAGATGAAATATCAAATTAAATGGCCGAGGCTGTCAAGTAGATATTAAAGATGAGCTGATTAGTCGCAGTCGCTTCTGGGAAAGATGCTGATGAGCATGAATAAAGTAAGCCGCTGCCCAGCCAAGCTATAGTGGGCGGAATAAGGTGAGAGTAAAGATTCACACTATCGTTGCAAGGTTGCAAGAATGTTTCAAACATTGAGCAGTGGAGGTCACAGCACGATAGCTCGTATTCATATATAGGGTATGACCTTCTCACGGTGGCGCCTCGTCGCTGTTAGGCAGGCTTGGCCCTGCAGGGAGGCTCACAGGGTCATTCAGCTAGGGGTTGTCACTGCGGTCCGTTTCGCCCGTAGCCCGTCACAGTTACATATCCCCTAAATATTTTGCAGATCCTGTACGGAGTACTTAGCTCATAACACACCTGCCTGCAATTGGAAGAAGGAACGGGGTCGCTCATCTTGGACCGATTGGGTCAAATCAAAAGTTTTTACGAACTTGCAGACCAGGAGGACTCTCAAACAATAACGTGATCTGCTTTACGAGGATAGATCATGGGGTGTTCCAGCCGGATTGGCTAATTATCATTGGTCTGCTAGATGAATCTGCCGGTGGATGTCCGCGATTGGACGCATTGGAGCTGGGTGCGAGGTTATCATCATATTTCTCAGAGCCTGGGTCAGTTGTATCAAACACCCGAGACACACAAAAGATCGAATGAATGACATTAGAAACCTGCCATGTAACGACATGGCTGTTTCCTCCCGTTTCCTTGTAGAGATGAACAATTCGATTTCGTCCAGTGAGCCCAATCTTTAATGGATATCCCACTATCATCGGATTTACAACACCTTCAACAGCAGCCACAGAAGATCCCGAGGAAATTCTACAGGCTAAGGTTGTCAAAGCGCCATGATACACAAGATGGGTGCAGAGAGAAGAAGAAATCTCGGGGTGATGTTGTATAACTGCATAACGAGAGTATAATTCTTCACTGCAGCGCCCACACCTACGATTTTGAATATTGTCCTGTTCTGGCTGAAGTAACGTGGTGTATCTTTACGAAACTAGGTGAGGGACAACCCTTCCAAACGAAATGTTTTTCACCGTTGAACATGCAAATACATCGTGCCACGTGCACAATCTCTCAGGTTTCAATCTCCAAGAGGCGACTCAGCTACCCGATTGGTACCTAACCCGCTCAATAGATTATCTGGTGCCTTCGAGAAGTCTTTGCTGCTTCATGTGACAAGGCTTAGACAAGGCTCGCGCCCCAACAGCCTTGTGTCCGAAGTTTTTTGCAGTCAAAATACCCGACGATATTTCGAACGTTATAAGGCTGAGTCACCAGAAAAGGCGCCGCAGTAGGCTATCGCAAGGATCAATACGAGGCTCGGTGCCCGGAGGTAGCAGGTGGCCATCCTACGGATAACTAAGCGTAGACCCTGATTCTACAAAGACATCTGATTCGCACTAAGGTGAGACATACTTGCCCCGGGGCGATGGAACATTTTATATGCAGGCACACATTGCAGAGATCCTACGGTGTTCAAATAGGGTTGAGCTAAATTGGGATAGGCGGAAGTACGGCCGACATAGTCGACGAATGAGACCTTTTCAATTGCGACGTGGGATGATCGACTCCGTACGGAGTACGGAGTACTCCGTATACGAGGTAAATATATTTTTCTATTGCCCCAAGCCAAGACCTTGGAAGTCTCAGATGAAAAGTGGCAGAGGACAGTGGCAGAGAAACGGGCAGTTAGGGAGGGGCAGTTAGCGCGAAGGGGATTTGCCGTAACTAACCCAAAGGGGCATAGTGATTCTGGTATAGTGACACCAGCCTCTCCAATAGAACTTCCCCTCCATATGCCATATTTCCCATGTTATTTAGCATCATTTGCGAGTCAGCACTAGCGAATCACGCGACATTCCCGACAGCGAAGTCATCAGTGAAGTCACATTGAGTCACATTGAGTCGCTAACGGAGAACAGGTTTGGGCTTATCAGTGCGGCTTAGACTGATAGCGCGACCCCTGAGCGCCCAGCCACCCCGGTGGACCTGGATTAGTTCCAGACGCAAAATCGGGCAAATCAAGAGATCCAAGCAGCACAGAGGATCGTCCATTTCTGACGTTAGTCTTTGTTCATACCTTTCATTTAAAAAAAATGGGGATTCCCAGTTGATGTTTCTCCAACTTCCTCTCCACAGTCACCATGAGGCAGTCGACGCCCGTATACTGGGTTGTCCAGGCTTGTCTACTATGGCTGGCATTCGTAGCGGCGTCGCCGACAGCCATTGTTCCTAACACATTGATTCCCTCTTTGAACTCTCACAAAGATGTTTCTACGCTTCAAACCCGCGATACCAAGCCATTTTTGCTTCGGGTTCTGCCATTTGGCGCTTCCATTACCATGGGGTACAAATCACAAGATCGCAATGGATATCGAAAATGGCTTCGACAGCAACTGCGCTATGCCGGGTGGGATGTTGACATGATCGGAACACTGCAAAATGGCAACATGCATGACAATGTAAGTTTCCTGCATCTGGCCTTTCCGTTCTTTTTGCAGAATGAGTATTGACCGTTGTCCCCCAGGACCACGAGGGCCACATCGGCATGAGGATTGATCAATTAGCAAAGGTTGCCAAAGACATCATCCAACAACAACCTAACCTTATTCTTATCAAGTAAGTCTACGATTAATAGTACATACATTCCTTTTCGTACGCTCACAACTGTTCTCCAGCGCTGGTACGAACGATGCCTTACAGAAATATAAAGTAGAAACTGCAGGCAAGCGGATGGACTCCCTTTTGACAGACTTCTTCGACGGCATTCCCGGAACAACCATCATTCTGTCCACTCTCATCTATAATGGACAAGAGCCCCAACTGGTGGCAGACATCAGTGAGCAATACAAAGAACTTGCCGCAAAACGCCGAGCTCGGAATGAGAGCCTCGTGTTAGCTGATATGGGCACATTCATTCGGTGGACCGAGCTCGTGGATGATATTCATCCAACGGCGACTGGATATGAGAGCATGGCATCTGTGTGGTGGGCAGCTATTCAAGAAGCTGAGAATGAGGGCCTTCTCAAGGCACCTGCAGCCACGTCGACGAGCGCTAATGCCATTAACAATACCCTTGAAAAGACGCTCGATGATAGCACCGATAATCCGAGCCTCCCTGCATACACAGCGCCTCCCCAGCCTACAGTGAGCAGTGACTCACCCCGATCCCAGCAGTGGCATCTCTGGACAATAGGGGTCCAGGTGGTTGCTAGTAAGTCTCCAATCCTTTACTCGTAAGTTTCATCAAAACTGACCTTCCTCTAGTGTACGTTGGGATTTGTATGATATAATATGATAATGACCACAGAAACATCAAAATAACGTCCTAAAAACAATTCAAATTATTATACGGAGTACTTTCCCCCAATTACTATAGATCTCACTTAAAACCCATGCAAACAAGATTGGCACATATCTCCATCCCAACCATACCACACCCCCCAGCGCCATCCAACTAACCAACCCCTTCGGAAAATTCCCAGCCGGTACATCCTTCGCAAGATACCCACAAAGCAGCGCCCATCCATCATCCACCTTGAGTTCCAGAACCTCCTTGCCTCGCTCCCTCGCAAGGCCCCTCACTGACTCATTATACTGCCCATAAAACAAAGCCGAGAAAATATCCCCCGCACCAAAATTGTCCCTAGCCCACTCCAGTATCCTCATATCGAGGCTATACCACAGCCGATCCGTCTTCCATAGCATGCCAACTGCAAAAAGGCGAGTTGTAAAGAAGAAGCCCAAACTGAGCAAGCAGCTCTGTGCCCACGTGTCCGCATTAGGCCTACTTTTCAGAATTACCTTGGCCTCTGGATACATGTCCATCAAATCAGAGAACAGGAATATCGCCGGCACATCAAATACTGCAGCGTAGCCATCCATTAGCTCGTGGACCTACTTTTGGCGGATGACCATGTCCTTCTCGCGCGAGGCAGCGATCAGTAGTTCTTGTCGGCTTGCATGAGGAATAATCTGGACCATGTATAGACATGGATCGAAACTCATTGTTCTACTGCTGCTTGCAGAGAGGACGTTGTTGTGTGGGGCAGACCCGCGCCGATTACGAGGGATGATTTGGACGTTGGGGCTACGGGGTGTCGGTCAAGAAGCGGACCATTTTGGGAATTGGAAGGGAGGGTTTAGATGAGTTTCTTGTGCGGAAAATATTTTGAATTGCCTCTATGCGGAAAAAATACAAACAGGACCCTGGATTTTATAGATCCAGCCGTGTGCTCGTTGGGACCCAGTCTAATGTCAGCAATGTTGAAGATACAGAGGTATGATATAGCATGTAGGGTTTCAATAATGGGTTCAAATGATACTAGGAATAGGATCTCTCATGGAAGTATTGAATTGTCTGAAGATCTAGATAATATCTGCCTTTTCCTGCTATTTATGCCCCTTTGTGTGCCGAGGATCGGAGTCCTTAATTTGGCCCCCAAAGGTGGGCTTTTCGGCAGAAAAGACAAAAAGGGCGTAGCGTTGATAATCCTACGGATAAGAGAATCCTACCTTAGGCATGGTTCTTAATACGCCCCCTTAACGTGCAGCCGTTGTATATCGTAAGGTCATATTGTCAGGGACTAAGATGAATGAGGTTTCTTAGTTAAAAGGTGTAGCTTTTAGACTGTAGGAAGGTGCAAAACTAGTAGTTTTGCACTATGAAAGACGTAGAGGTTTATTCTGCCGAAAGTCTATATATTTTAGGGTCGAGGTTTAAACCTACGATAAACTCTATAAATTTAGGAGCCCCGAGGGGCTTTATTAGTCTATCTATAATGTTTTTAGTCCCTTTTATATATATAAGCTTGATTTTTCCCCTTTTAACTTACTCGCGGATCTAGTACTAGTGTACGTCGATATATTTTAAACGTCCTAAAATAGTAGGGTTCTTCGTTATCGTGATCGTAGACTAGCTATCGCTATATAAAGGGATAAGGGGGAGGTCTATACTTCCTTAGTAAAAATTAAGATCTTTTAGTAGTTTTTATAGCTAAATTACCTCTCCGCTAGTAATTAAGAGGGCTATATATTTAGCTTCGGCGCTTAATTTTACTATATTAGTCTACTTTTAAGATTTCTATAATATTAGACCCCCTACGAGGAAGAAGATATATCTAGTCCTACTTTTACTTTCTAAGGCTAATCCGTATAAGGCGTCGATATACCCCTAGAGGTCCTAATTAGGTCTAGATTAGTATATAATTACGTAATAGCTAGTACGTCCTATATAAGTAATTACTCTTTATACTAGATCCTCGTATTTAGCGTTTAGGTTTATAGTAAACTACGAAAGTATACTTACTATAAGTAAGAGATCTAGATATATAACTACACTAGTATAGTTAATCGAGCCTATATCGGATTAGTACTATTTTACTACCTTACTTATAGCGGTAAGGGTCTCTTCCTTTATTAGGATAATAGATAAAGGGATCACGGGTCTTAAAGTTACGGTTTTTAAAAACCTTTCGATATATATTTTTTACGAAATTATTATTTTTCCTACCTCTCTATCGTATACTATTTTTATCGAAAGATAGTAGGATAGCTCGCCGAGGTCTAATATAGACTATTTTATCGAAATAAGGTCCTTTATAGTTTTAATAAGATCCGCTATAGAAGCTATAATTAAAAAGTCGTTGACGTATATAAAAATATAGACGATCGTACCGGCGCCCCCTTAATTATACTACGTATAAAGATATAGGTCGGAAGTAGATCGTATAAAGCCTTTCGTTAATAAATAGTCCCCTAATATATTAAACTAGTTTACTACTAACTATTTTAGACTATAAAGACTCTTTTTTAGGAGGTAGACTTTACCTTAGATCTCTAAAAAATCGGTATTATCTTCGAAACCTTCGGGGTAGTATATTAAGAGTCTCTCCTTTAGCGTGGCGTTAAGATATATAACGTTTACGTTAATATAAGCTATAAAAAGCTTCTTTTACGTAATTATAGCGAGGAGGATCTATAGCGTAACGTAGCTACCTATACTAGTAAAGGTCTTAGTATAGTCTAGATCTTCCCGTTATTAGAAACCTCTCGCTACCTAGCGAGCCTTAAATTTTAGGGGGGTTTCTATCTACGTCGAGTTTTAGTTTATATACCTACTTACCGGTAAGGATACGTATATTCTTAGCGGGTGCGGGGGTAGGGATTATCTCCTAAGCTTTAATTAAACTAAGCTATTTAAACTCGATTTTTATAGCGCGGTACTACTAAGGCTAAAGGGGTAAGTTACGTACTTATCGGACTGATTTAGGGTCTTCTATCTATTTAGGGTCTATATTTTTTAGGGTTATTAGTAGGGGTAAGGTTAGGAGATCCTTAGATAATAGGGTTAGTCTAGCTTACGTATATAGGATAGTGGTATATTATACTAGATCCTATATACGTTTTTTATCTACCCGAGGTATAGTAGTATAGAGAACCTTATTTTAGATCTTATAATTAAGGTTAGCGAGTTCTTTAGTAGATAGTCTTAGTAGGTCTACTAATAGGACCGATTCGTTACTAGAACTCTCGTCGATAAGTCTAAGATCTCCCTCGGAGTCCGAAAAAGAGGTGCTTTCTTCGGCAGAAGAAGTTATAGGGGTCTTTTCGGCGGAAGAATTTATAAGGTTTATATTATTTATAGGGTTCTTAGGGTCTATAAGGTTCTTAGGGTCTATAAGGTCCTTAGGGTCTATAAGGTCCTTAGAGTCTAGGAATAGGAACCTAGACTATTTTACCGACCGTAGGGTTTCTAGTAGGACTAGGAGATTAGGATTATTATATAGGGTCTAGTTATCTCCTTCGTCGAAAATAACGTCTCTCCGGGTTATAATCTCTCCCCTATTTCTATCTACGTTTAGACGCTAGATACGGTATTATATACTATAGTAGCTACTATACCCGATAAGTCTACCTATCTAGGCGCGGGGCTATAAATATCTACTTATTAATATACTAACTATAGCCCTAATCTCTTCGGGGCTTCTTATAACGTAAGCCTTACTACCGGGTATCCGTAGGAATAAGATATTAGGTTTTCTACCGAATCGTATTTTATATAGTGTCTAGTTTAGGAGACTATCTCTTTTTCTACCGAAATAGATAGTAAGGTTACGGGTTATTATTACTATTTTTATTAGTTCGGGCTATAATATATCTAGGAGTCTAGTATTATCGAGAATAGCTCTAGTGCGTTCTTATACTATTCGTATTATTCTTTCGACTTTACTATTTTACTTATATACGTATAGTACTAAGAAATATAGACGGGTGTTAGTGTCCTTAGCCTATTTTTATAGGCGGAAGTTATTAAACTCTCCTCTATAATCTAATTAGAAGGCTCCGATCTCTAGTCTATTAGGCGGTAGTATTTTACTTCCTATTACTAGTAGCGGGGGGAGATCGGGGGTTATAAAGGTCTTAATTATTATCTCCCTTTCGGCGGAATATAGTTTTATTATTTTAATTATAAGGTCTAGGACGAAGTCTTTATAGGAGGTAAACTATATTTCTCCTTATCTATCGAAGTCGTCGATACTAATTATTTAGTATCGGTAGCTACCTCCCTAACCTCTAGGTATTTTACCCCCGCCTCCTAGATCGAGGTATACGAGATCTCCTATTTTACTAGATCTATATAAAACTAGGGTTCTACGGGGTACGAGCTAAGCCTTTCTAATTTAGTAATAGCTATAGGGTCTTTTAGGGGTAGGTAGGCCTATAATATTAATATCTTCTATAATTTTTACCGTTTCCTATAGGGGTTTAATCCCTATATAGTATAGTCTATAGTACTAGGTATCGATATTAACCCTATCCTTTTTAAGCTTAGTAGGTAGCTCGCTAAGGGGAGTCTCGCTAGGAGAAGTCGAGGTAGTCTCTAAGGACTATTATTTTAAGCCACTAGACGAGTTTATCCTTTATATCTTTATTACTCTATAGGTAGCGAGTATTTCTACCTTTTCTATCTAAGAAAAGGGTCCCTTTTTCGGCGGAAGAGATATTACCTTTTTTAGCGGAATAGCGCCTTTTACTAGTTAGCTAGGTGAACTTACGGCGTTTTCCTATTTTTACGTACTTAGGCCCCCTAGCTAGGGGTAGGGGTCTCTTAGGATAACCTCTATATTATTAGCCTAAGAAATTAGGTATCCGTAGGTAGTTTTTTCGGCGGAAATAGGAGTATCGGCCTAAGTTTTTAGGTATCTAACGCCCCTTACTTCCTATACCGTCGTTAAAACTAACGTTTCTAGATCTAGGGTCTAGTATCAGTATATATAGCGAACGTTTAGTATCTAATTTTTGCCCTTTCGTAGTCCTTTTATAAGAATACTATTATCTAGTTTCTAGAAAATAACCTTGTCTCCGTATATCACTATAATCCTATAGTTAGCGAGCCTAGGCTACGAGATAAGGTTACTACGGAGTTTAGGGAGATATATAGTCCTAGTAAGAATAAGATCTCTCCCTTACTTAGTCCTATCGTCGACTATAATCTTAATATCCCTAATTATACCTTAGACCGGCTAGTTTATTAGGGCTATTTTAATCATAGTAGTTAATAGTTTTATAGTATCTAGTATAAAATAGTCTAGCGAGCTAATTATATATTCGTCGTAGGCTATATCGTAGATCTAGTTATTAATTAAGATACTAGTTAAGAAGTTTTATACCTCGTGACTATATTCGACCTATATAATTAGGGTTTCCGTAGTCCGTTTAGGTACTAAATTAGGGTTTTTTAGCTAGTATTTCTTAGTAGGGTACCCCTTCTTTTTATAGAAGATATATACTAATCCTAGAGGTCCTCGTCGTATACGGGGTCCTCGTAGTTTTATAGATTTACTAGTTTCTGTAGATAAGGTCCTTATAGCTACCTTTTTACTAGCGGCGAGGTTATCTTCTTCTCTTTATAGTTCGCTATATAGGCGATTAAAGAGGTATTAGTCTAGCTAGTTAGTTAACCTACTAACTATTTTATTATAGTTAAGCTTCTACGGGTGCTATTCTAAGCTATCGAGGTACGCTATAAGTTCTATATATTTTTCGAGTTCGTCTATTTCTTATAGCTTAATTAGTAGACTCTCGATCGGGGGATATATAATAGTTTTATTAGTCTATATAGTCTTAAATACCTCGATTAGGGTTCCGACGTTATAGACGCGGGATATATATAGTACTTTTATTATAATAGCGTCTTATTTAGCGGTAAAAGTATCCTTTATATCGTATTAATTTTATAATTCCTATTAGATACGCTCGGGTTCTAGAGGGCTTAGCGGTATAATATTTTTCGCTAAGTCTAGGTATATAGTATTTAGGATAGTAAGCTAGGCTACTCCCTTCTATATATTTAGTATATAGTACTTCTCGTGCGAAGGGGGTAATAATCCTACCTTACCGTTAATAACTTATTTAAGAAGGTTTTAGTTTAGTACTTACCGTATATTAGCGGCCTAGGTACGGTAATTATTTAATCCTATAAGTTTTAGTCCTTTATATTCTTCTTTTCTTTTAAATATTTTCCCGAGGTCCTTAGTAAAACTAAGATATCGAAAGGCGTTTTCTTCCTCTTCTCGGGTATTATTCTTTAGAGTAGCGTAGCGGTTACGTAGCGAGAATATAGAGCTATCTCGATTAAATCGGTTTAGGTTATTAATCTATATTAATAGGACTTATATATTAGTCTCGATAGACTCGGAGACTTTAGCGGGGGGTCTACCCGCTATAAGCTACCTAGTTAGTCCTTAGGGCTACTAAGTATAGAGATACTCGGTCGACTCGAGTTCTCTAGCTAGTTAATCCGCGGGGTTTAGACGTTATAGGCCCTAGCCGGGGTCTATATTTCTAGTGCTAGCGGGAGCTATAGGACTATTATTTCCTCCTTCGTTATCGCTACCCTCGCCTAAGGCGCTACTATAGTTATTATCGGACCCTAATTCGTCTAGTCGGTCGGCGTCGGAGTCGGAGGGTTCGTGGGGTATATAGGGTGCACTAGGTACACTAGATACCCCCCTATCTCGCTAGGACCGTCGGGTAATAGGGGTTATAATAAAATTAATAAAAAAATAGGTAGATCTACGAGAGATCGAGAGGTATAGGTATAAAAGGTAAGGTATGAAATAAGAGGTGAGATATATATAAGAAGAAGAGAGAGATCCTAGGGTGAGGACCTATATATATAGGTCTAGGCAAAGATCAGATGAAAAGGTGTATAGGGGCAAGCAAATATTTGCTAGTAAATATAGTAAATAGACTATACTACGTAATTTAGGTATTCCGGCTATTAGAGATAGCCGGGCTCATAACCTATTGAAGATATAGAGGTATGATATAGCATATAGGGTTTCAATAATGGGTTCAAATGATACTAGGAATAGGATCTCTCATGGAAGTATTGAATTGTCTGAAGATCTAGATAATATCTGCCTTTTCCTACTATTTATACCCCTTTGTGTGCCGAGGATCGGAGTCCTCAATTTGGCCCCCAAAGGTGGGCTTTTCGGCAGAAAAGACAAAAAGGGCGTAGCGTTGATAATCCTGCGGATGAGAGAATCCTGCCTCAGGCATGGTTCTCAACAAGCAAATGCGAGTTTGCCTCATCGTGTAGGTGGTTGCAGTGTGGAAGTGCTGCGAACTTGCATACTGGATTCGAAGGTATGGGCTTTGCAGATACTCTCATCTGGTAGCTCGTCGATGAGGGCAAATAGCTTCGACAACTCGACGGCCGGAACTCCGGCATAATGACGTCACCATGTGAGCCACAGCTACGGAGTCCTAATTTATTCCGAGCGGCGGTACTTTGTTAATCTTGACTTCTTTCATACAACTTTGAGAGCCTAGACTAGATTTCTTTGCATTAGCCCGCTTAAAAAATGGCCGATTCGCTCGCTATTCTCCGCCAACAACGCTCTGACGAGCTGGCCAGGCTCGCCGATCAGCACATGCAACATGATCTTCAGTCCGAGGACCGCGATAAGCTCAAAGCTGCCGCATCTTCGGTCTCATTGTGGACAACAGTCGGGTCAGCGATCGGAGTGAGTCTTGGTCTCCTTGCCGCGATCAGACTGCGCAGTACGCGCAAAGCGTTCTTCTCAGCTATTCGCGCCCAAGAGAAGCCTACAAAGGTTATGTTCCAAGATGGTCGAACTGGTACGTTCTTAGATGCAAGGGAGAATGATAGCGCAAAGATTTTGATTGTTAATCTGTGTTTAGAATCCATTCCTGACCTCACGCCGCTGTTGAAACCTACTACACTAGGCGATGTTGCGACATACCTCTTTGCCTCGGCTGGTGGGTTACTCTTGGGTGGCGAGCTTGGTAAGAATCCTTTTCAACGTGGTAGTTGACGGCTTTTGGGAGATCATGCTGACAAGGGATTGATGTGATTAGGCTTTGCTGGTGGTGCAGCGAGTGCCACGAGGAGTATGTCGGCGGATCCTGAGAGCAGGAAGAGAATCGAAACTGCGTTTAGAAGATTCCGGGCTGATGTGCTGCGGAAAGAGGCTGATGCTTTGGACAAGGGAGAGAATGCGACCGAGTTGATTTAATGCTCTGTCCCGAATAGGGAACAGATCACAATTTACATGAGCAAATGCTCGTCATTAGACGGAATACGGATCGTTGCATGATACAAATTTCGTTCCTTTCATTTGCATATCAAGAATATATTATACACAAGTTTAGACTTCAAGTGCTTTCAAAAATGCCGGGCTCTCATAACCTTGCGCAACCTTTGAGATCGGCATAAGATACGCCTCGGAAGACTCCTGACTTTCCTGGAGCTTGCGAATGTAGAATTGGGCAACCTTGAGCCACATCGCTTTCTCGCTCGCACTAGCTCCAGAACCCTGCCAGACCCACAGCATGGTGCCGGCATCGTAAAGGAAGACATCATTGCCATCGAAATCAGATCGATTGACAGGCTGCCCATCCTTCATAAGATCAAAGGACAAGTTTCCTGAAGCATCGCTGAGTCTGAAGAGCTTGCGTGAGCGACCACTCTCATCAACACCTCTCTTGGCAAATCGTCCAGGCCTGGGCGCCTCCAACGTAGGCCGAGCGACATCTTTCCCGCCCAACAAATCGACAAATATCTTAGATCTAGCCTCAAGTTGAGAGAGAACCTCGACATCAACATGCTTGGCCAGCGTCATATCATTAACCACCTGTGCCGCCTTGGCCTTCTCCATCGGGCTGCACTTCTTACCCTGCCAGACCCAGATCTTGTTGCCCTTATCCAAAACAAAGACATCATTCTCATCAAGGCTCTCCCACGTAGGCTCGACCTCATGCACGATGAGCGAATCAAGACGAGCAATACCGGGATGCTTGAAAACACGCAGTAAAGTGAGCACCTCCTCACGCGCCTCAGGCTCCACATGTGTAAACCCAGACCGCACACCTCCAGACCGGACAGCGTAGTGGCGGAACAGGGCGAGGAACTCATCCGAAGGATGGTCCTGGACCTCTCGATGTTGAGTCGCCGCACCGTGCAGAAACTCATCTAACTCGACGGTTTTATATGCGGCGGTTCCGGCTTCATCCTGCGTGGTCTTGCTGCCTAGCCAGAAGAAGATATCATGGCCGAGCTTATCATCGCCGACTTTGTACGTGTGCAGGACGATGAAGCTATCGCCGTCGTAGAACTGGCCGGTCTTTTCCTTCGGCCAGGGGATGACTTGGAAATTCTCGATGCGCCAGATGAATAGGCCGGGTTCTTGGCCGATCTTGCCGTTGTTCCAGGCTGGTTCTGCGGCGGCGGAGTTGTACTTGACGCGGTGGTCGATATCGGTGCCGATCAGTTCCACGTTGCTATCTTTGATGTCGTACTCCTTTGGGTGTACTAGTCCTTCGTGGGGAGCCATATTTGTGAGCTGGTATATTCCAAAGATGTGTAGGACTGGGGGTGTTAACAAGGTGAGAGACAGTTTGGCGGTGGGTCCTGAGCCGCGGGGCATCGGATTTTGGAAGCAATTGGCCAATGACGTCGGTAATATCCAAGTTCCTATTTTTAGTTAGTGCTACAAATCCTGATTATGTAGCTGTTGATATGAGGCTGAAGCTTATCAGAAACGCGGAGGGTTTCTCTGTTGAACGTACGCTTCTGGACTAGAAAGGTGGCGCGGCAAACGCCACATTTTGGGTTATGGCTTCATTGGTCGAAAAGAACTAGTCGCTTCAGAATTGGATAAATTGCAAGGGAGATTCAAAGTAGGGCTAGGAGTATGCACCTAGGTAGCTAGTTAGATGAACAATGCAATCAAACGAAAGCTTGCCTACATTATGCCCTGACGAAAATTTCAACGCACAATTTTGGGCGACACAGAATATCAAATTTTAGTCCTCGATTCTGTTTGAATTTTGTCGAGACTATACGGTCTATGATATGTAAGAGTACATACGGTACGTTGTAGGAATGGGCCACCAATCGCTTGTGAAGTGCCATCCATAAGGGAAAAAATTGAGTTACGAAGATCAAAATGGGTAGGTAAATCAGTGCACGAGATGATCGGCCCTGAGATAAAATTCCAAATGTCCTTGAGGTATATGAAACACCGAGGGAATATACTATCTACTCCTGGAGTACTGTAGTAACTGCCTGTGACTGATTTCTCAGAGGCGCACAAAGCACCCGTCACCAACGCTAAGCGTCAAGATATCACGTTTTTCTCGCTCCCCACATAACCGTCGCGCACTTTTTTGGTCGTTAAATACATTTACCAGCGGCCACCACCGGCGCCACCGGCACCACCGAAACCACCACCGTTGGAGGGGCGGGCGTTGGCGAGGTTGACACGGATGCGGCGACCATCGAGACTAAAGGAGAGTTGTTAGCAAAAAAAAAGGCTCGGCGATAAGGGTGAAGAGATCAAACACGTACTCTTGCTCGTTAAGGCCGTTGATGGCAGCCTCGGCCTCCTCAGCGGAAGAGTAGGTGACGAAGCCGAAGCCACGGGAGCGACCAGTCTCACGGTCAACCATGACGATCTAGGACAAAGATTAGTATTTTCAGGGTCAAAGGGGGTGGAATTTTCACGTACAGAGTCGACAATGTTGCCGAACTCACCGAAGGCCGCGCGCAGCGACTCGTCGCTGGTGTGCCATGAAAGGTTTCTAAGATTCAGGTCAGCATGAGCAACAGAATAAGACAAAAATCGACATACCCGACGTAGATCTTGGACATTTTGAAAGAAATTGGGAGTCACGAGGTGTTGATGAAGAGACTTACAAGATGCGGGGCATCTGAAGGAGATATAGGGCCTTCGTGGCGGTGAGAGGCAAATCTCATTTCGCCCCGCATAAATCTCGAGCACGTCTTTCAGAGGCAACTCATCCACAAAGAACACACGCTTGGGTTCGGGATTCCATCTTTGGGATTCTTCGAATTCTCAGGGAATTTTCAAGTTACTACTCGCCTGGTAATGCTCCACAGGGATGGTTTCTCCAATGTCTCGACTTATGCACCCCCCAATGGCAGAATTTCTTAAGCGATGAACGATAGGCTGACAGGATCTGCCATGCCATCGAGTAAAATATGACATTGGCTGTTGTGTGCATAACAGATGAACAGGATCTACACTGGACTATCGAATAGGAGGGACAAAGGATGCGTAATTCCGTGAGAACGCCACCACCCAGGAGGCACAGAAGTGGATATGGGCGAGTTCATTCTTGCATACAACTTAAATTTTATACATATGTGCAGGTCGAAAATACATTCCAGAGCGATGATATGACTCTGGCAATCAGCAAAAAAAGCAAAAAAACATACAACAGTGAGGATTCGCTGGTGGTCACCCACCCAACTACTAACTCACCGGCGTGTGGCTTGAGTACGGCTGAGCGGACGGGAAGCCCTATTTTCCACACCCTATGGTCGTATGTACCGATCGTCGCCAGGGTTAGACATATGTATGCAGTGTATTATCTCAAATAGAGTGCTGTTAGGAGGTGCAATGGTGGAGATTAAAGCCATATCACCTGTTATTGGAGGAGAATCTGTTTCCCGCCACAAGCAAAGACAAGATGTGGATGAGCGTATCTCGAAAAGTAAATTCTTCCCGATTCTTTAGCCCACTGCTTGCCAATCCAAGCCCCCTTCCATAGCCAATAGTCCCAGCCTTGCACCTACACCCTTGCTCTTGCCAACTGGCACGAGCTGGGTTGCCCGAAGATGCTCCGTGAACACACGATCAGTACCGACAGCACTCTCCCCACCCTTCCAGTCGCAACGAGAAAATCCCGTGTAATATTCGCAAATAGAGTGGCAATCATATTCAAAATTTTGTGTACTGATGGACGCGCATGCGATGCCACATCTCCAACCACATAGACTCGTGGACCAGTATCCTCCACACGCAGGGTAGAGGCATTGGTCTCTACCCGGCCATTGGCTGTCAATAAGGACCCGTGGACGAAGCTGGTATTAGGCACTGCGCCAGTAGCAGGTATACAAAGGCCTGCTTCAATTGTTTTGCCGTCTTCCCAAGTTACCGTCGGTTTGGCCTGGGCACCAATGCGTGGTGACAAACACGTGGGCACACAACTACAAAGGTATATAGCGCTCAGGGGTCGGTTCCAATTAAAGTCGAATTGGTTGCCTAAATATGTCTGGCTTGGACCGCTCTTGACACCACTCATTACTGTATTGTAAATCATAGTCTCTAATTGAAGTTATTCATACCGTATATGTCTTGGGAGGAGAAGAAGATATCTGTAACAAAAATACTAAAAAGACTACTAAAAAGACAATCAAAATATCCCCTTCGAATTTTGGTGTAGGGGGTTTGTGGATTGAATTTTCGCTCGAAATGGCTGATGGGGTTGTTAAGTCAGATAAATATGAGAGAGAGATCTTACCTCCATGTAGTTATATTATTCATCGGACCACCAAGGTTGGCACACCTCATGCTATTACGTCAAGATCTTTTAGGTGAATGCCTGTCATATCCGAAATGTAGGTTTGCTAGTTGCCGCAATCCCTTTAGGACTTCGATTCGCATACTCATTTTGGTATTATGGCTACCGAGACTATGTGCTCCATTCCTCAAAAGAAACCCAGTGAGTGTCTTATAATATAAACGTTCAATTCAGGAGCGGTATATGCCGTGTTGCTTCCAGGAAACGCGGCTCAATCGAAAAAAGAAGCTCTTTATCTGTAGGTAAAATTTAAGACTTCCACTGTTAGAACTTAACAAGCAGGAGTTTGTCCTATTTACATGCCCAGTTGATATTACGCCTTGTCTAGGTAAATTCACCCTAAAGGCCCAAAAGAACACACATAAATAAGGGTCAAAGCTAGTGGCATGATTGAATCGAGCAGAAGTACTTTTATAGCGCTTGGTAACGCTGGTTCAGTTTTCAAAGCAAGTATGAACCAACTCTTTCTTGATCTGGGGCTGATTCAAGTGAGATGGATGTGAGATATAGAGAGAGGAGGTTAAATTATTGAGAAGTCAAGGTGTTGAAAACAGGGATTCGCTTGGTATCAAGAGGTCATGACGAAACAGGAGGGGAGAAAGAGACCCTTAGAAATAGTTCATTCAAGCACAATATGAAATAACTATATCCATTCTCAGACATCTGATCTTGTTCTTTGCTGGGTCAATGTTGCGGGCTAATTTAGTCGATGATGACAGGAATAATATAAAAGTGGCCCATTTATCAGTTGTGATTCCTAACCACACATGATTCTATGTCAAACAACCTCAAATTTACATCCTTTCAATTACACTTGTCGATATTACCTAGTTAGCATAGAAGAAGGGGCCATCGAAGTAATAGCTGTAAGTTGAAACCATGGCGCTGAGGTGTCGACACTAGCCTTAGGCAGCGAGGTCTTCGGAAGTCATGTTTGCTTCTTCGGAAATAGTCATGTATCCTCCGTTTTTGATCTCTGTCCTTTTTTCTTTTGCAATAATAACCCTTGGTGTTCGCCTTCAACCCCATTCGCGGTTGTGACCGTCTAAAATGGCAAATTGGCCGTCAAGCCAGCGTCGGAGTATTAACGGAAGTATCTTCAGACGTCAAAAACGTGCGGGGTTGTGAAGCTTCCAAAGGGCTCGCGGGGTCTCGATTTCCAATTCAAGCCCATTCAAGAAAAGCAACCAGAGGCTTTAGGCTATATCTCAAAATGCTCGGTGTATTTACCCACATTCCGTCTGTTGTGTGCCAATAAAGGGAGGTTCCCCCGTGTTCCGCGGACACCATCAGTGACCTAACCCTACTTGGGTATTCATCTGCATGTTGCAGTGTGACAATGCGACCATCCATGTGTCATTGTACATGGGGCAGCTCATTTTCTGCTTCCTTGGCAAAGGAGATACCGCTTCAAGGTGATCATGGGTTGCAAATCCACCACTGGCGCCCCGGCCAAGATCGGGAACTAAGGGGAGAGAGTTATGGCTTAGGAATTTAAGCCAAAATATCCTCTGGGGGGTTTATAAAGCGCACACCTGCACCCCCGACCAGAGGAGATATTTTCTTGAGCGACCACTCATGGTGAAGGACAATATGCATAGTCTTCTTTTCTCTGCTTTGGTATTCAGTCTCGCGGCTGATGCTTATGGCTCAGGGTCTGCCGGCTGGGATGTCGCTTACTCAAAGGCCAAAGTGGCGCTCCAAAAGCTGAACCAAACTGAAAAGGTTGGGATTGCCACTGGAGTGACCTGGTCGGGAGGGCCTTGTGTGGGCAACACCTACGCACCTAGCTCAATTGACTATCCCTCTCTGTGTTTGCAAGACTCTCCACTAGGACTCCGCTTTGCCAACCCTGTCACAGCCTTTCCCGCGGGTATAAATGCTGGAGCAACGTGGGATCGCAGTCTCTTGTACGCACGTGGCCAGGCAATGGGAGAAGAGGCTAAGGGTCTTGGTGTCCATGTGCAGCTAGGCCCGGCGGCTGGTCCTCTAGGCAAAAACCCCGATGGCGGTAGGAACTGGGAAGGCTTTTCGGTGGACCCGTATCTGAGTGGGGTTGCTATGGAGGAGACAATTCAGGGTATGCAAGATGCAGGTGTGCAGGCCTGCGCAAAGGTATCTTGATATCCATTCCATTGGTATTTTGTTCCTGTTGTGACCGTAACATAGCACTGGCTTGGGAACGAGCAAGAACACAACCGGGAAACAATGAGCTCAAACATTGGCGACCGCGCAACGCATGAGCTATACGCATGGCCATTCATGAACGCAGTCAAGGCGAATGTGGCTTCTGTCATGTGCTCCTATAACAAGTTGAATCAGACTTGGGCCTGCGAAAGTGATGACCTTTTGAACAAGCTCTTGAAGGACGAGCTCGGCTTCCCTGGCTATATTATGAGCGACTGGAATGCACAGCACACTAATGCCAACAGCGCTTTGGCTGGACTTGATATGACAATGCCTGGAAGCGACTTTAATACCCCACCTGGCAGTATCTTCTGGGGGACTAACCTAGTTGATGCCGTGGCCAATGGCTCCGTCCCGCAGTCTCGTTTGGATGACATGGCAACCCGCATCCTGGCGGCCTGGTATCTTCTTGATCAAGATCAAGGTTACCCAGAGGTGACATTCAGTTCTTGGAATGGCGGCAAGGCCAGCATCGACGTCACAGCTGATCATGCCAGTGTCGCCCGCGTAGTTGCCCGTGACTCCATTGTGCTATTAAAAAATCAGAGACATGCTTTACCTCTCCGACGACCCAAGAGCCTAGCGATCATTGGACAAGATGCTATCGCCAACCTCAACGGCCCCAATGCGTGTGTGGACCGTGGCTGCAATAATGGCACCCTTGCAATGGGATGGGGTAGTGGCACATCCGAGTTCCCTGTAAGCGAGTCAATAGCAAACGATCAACGCTCAATCGGAAAACTGACAACAAATATCTAGTATCTCATTGCTCCGTTCGATGCAATCCAAACTCGAGCCAAGAAGGATGGTACAAAAATCATACAGAGTACTACCGACGACACAACTGCTGCTGCCTCCGCAGCGGCAGCGGCCGAAACTGCCGTAGTATTTATTAACGCAGACTCAGGCGAGGGGTGAGTTATGTTATATGTCTCCCTGAAACTTCAAACTCGGTGCGATTCCCGGTTACTAACGCCCCACATAGCTATATCACAGTGGAAGGCCATGCTGGCGACAGAAACCATCTTGATCCATGGCATAACGGCAACGAGCTTGTCAAGTCCGTCGCAGCAGCGAACAAAAATGTCATCGTAGTCGTGCACAGTGTGGGGCCGATTATCTTGGAGACAATTCTCGCGCAGCCCTCCGTCAAAGCCATTGTCTGGGCAGGACTACCAGGCCAAGAAAGTGGTAATGCCCTGGTTGATGTGCTGTACGGTAGCACCTCTCCCAGTGGTAAGTTGCCCTACACTATTGCCAGAGAGGTTGCAGACTATGGGGCTAGGTGGACCAATGCCCTGGATGACAATTTCGTTGAAGACCTGTTCATTGACTACCGCCACTTCGACCAGAACGGCATTAGTCCTCGCTACGAGTTTGGCTATGGTCTATCATATACGAGCTTCCAGTATAACAGGCTGTCGGTTGATGTCGTTGCCACAGCCGGACCATCAAAGGGACGCATTGTTCCTGGAGGAGCAGAGGATCTTTTTGAGTCGGTCGGCACTATCTCTGTCATCGTTCGAAACGTTGGTAGAGTGGCCGGAGCCGAGGTTGCTCAGCTCTATATTGGTCTTCCGAAATCTGCTCCCAGTACTCCTCCAAAGCAACTTCGAGGATTCCAGAAGTTGAATCTTCGGCCAGGACAGCCAGGCATGGCTACCTTTGAGCTCACTCGCCGTGATATAAGCTACTGGGATGTACAGACACAGAAATGGGTTGTGCCTCGAGGAAGATTCACTGTGTATGTTGGAAGCTCTAGTCGTGAAATTCGTCAGCACGGGAGATTTACTGTTTGAGCTGTATATGCTCTTTGAAAGCAGACTATACCCTTTGTTATGTACATAGGTATTTGATGATGGAAGCCGACTTGTGTCAACGGGAGATTTTGGATTTGAGACCCTTTCGGTCACACTCGCTATTGAATGAATTTCTCGGCAATCCCTGAATCGGACTCGTTCCTTTGTCTCATATCTGGGGGCCATTGTCCCGTAGGAAGTTGGAACTGGCGCCGTCGGGTTGTCTTCACTCGGCACGAAAGCCTTGGACCATACAAAAGGACACAAAGAAGGGGCTTTGTAACGATTCATGATTTCTTTATCATTTGGAATCCTGAGATCCCGTCCTCTGCATCACAATATGCATTGGTTTGGCTTTTTGATGGGTATAAATACCGCCAGTTCATCCGCCCGAAGTATCAGTCTATCATCAGCCTGACTTCCATTTGCTCAGCTTCATCGACTATTCTATCCAACACATTCATATCCACACCCCACTTACCTAGGAAACCCCGTGCTAAGTATTTCACAATGGATTTTTGCAGCAGCCTTTCGCCTGACTGGGTCGAAAATCTCATTCCGACCTACAACCAAGAGTTCTCTTCGATCCGAAGAAAGCTAGAGAGACAGATTGCAAGCTTGACCAATCATCCAGGAGATCGGCAAATAGTGAGCGAAAGGCTAGAACAGCTCGTTAAGTTAATGCCTAAGATCAAGCGGCTGCAGGCCAACATCTCCGAGCACTTCCCGGACCATTCTTTTAACGTTTCCGAGACTTCCGGCGGCTCTGATGATGCTGTTTCCCCAGAATGGGATTCAATGGAGAATATCTTGCTCGAGCTCAGTGAAAGACTTATGATTTGTTCGGGAACCGAGGACTGGGTCGCCGATCGGCTTCGAGACATTCTGAAACGTCTTTAGATGCCTGATTTCTCAATTGATTAGAATAATGTTATTTCTCTAGCGAATTTCCAAGACTTGCATCAGTCCATCCTTTATTCAGAGTCCTTTAGTAGTTTAGTCTCAATCGAGGAAATGATCCGTTTACAATACTCGTAAGTGGAGGGCCTCTCAGTGCTCAGCGGAATGAAATATAGTCTCACCCATAGTCCCCTAAATAGTGACCTGGGCAAACAATGTTGTCGATCTCTTTATAGAAATTCTACAAAGCTTTTCGCGTTATGGCTGAGGGGTTGTGCGCCTGAACTATGTACAAGCAGGTCGGGAGTGGCTGGGTTACTACCAGCCCTGCAGAAATATGTGACCTCGAACTGCATTAAAGGCATTGATTAAGTTCATTTCCTTGCATATCGATTCCGTTATCACCGTTATCACCGTTATCATCATTATAACGAGAAACTTGGAAGAATTTGCATAGCACTTCAGAATATGATCTATATCGGTGGGGAATATAAAACCCAATGATACGGCGAAAGAAGCAGCGTCAATAAATCCCAGCACAGCTAATGCAATAAGAGTACGGAGTACGGATACAACAAATTTACTGGTCTTTACGGAGTACGGAGTATGCACTTACTCATTACAGCAATACCAAAGGTCACTAGTTGTAAAATTCGCCGATCTTCACCAAGGCGTCCTGCAACGGTTTGATTCAGGCATGCCGTTCATAAAAATCTGAACCGCTTATAATTTCTCACCAATACTAACAGAGATAAGCCCTATGAGCCAGGTAAATTATACGGGATACGAGCTTCAGAGCAAACAATCTTGCTCTCGTACCAGGACTAATCCTCGAAATTTAGGGGACAGGGATGATCCCAGATAGAGAACCTGGGAGCAACGAATACGAGCATATGATGTGCCTATCTGCGCCCTCCATGCATATATGAAAATGCAACTGGCATGTATATCGTAGCGCCCAAAAGAAGCCCCGCACAGCTCAGTCCTGGGAGCCAGGGGGCCTAGTGTGTCAAAAGCACTTCTTCCAGGTACAAAAATGCCCAGGTTATCCCCTACACCCATCCAGAGACCCTGTTCAGGTTCACGCCAGGCGAATTGTGAGCGCTGTACTCCATACAGATAGAATCATGCATTCGATCTTGCCTCAGCACCGTTTCTTTGCATTTATATTTGTTTGTTTATTTGCTTGTGTCTCCTCCAGCAAAAATGCCTTACGCGAGAATTCATCCCCAACTTTCACATTTGACGAACTCTGGAAGTTGGAGAACAGCTTCTGGGAATCCTTTCTCTACCCTGCAAATTTGAAACAGACTCAAGGCGATACAACCACGGTCTTTGCGCCGGATGTAAGTTGATCTTGGTCTTCATTGGTATCTAGGGATCGGACCAGTCTGACTTGATACAGGTGCAAGGCCGTGTTGACATCACACGCACGTTTGACGGCGATGAGCTGAATCGGGAATATATCTTTGGCTTGTTTTCAGATGCAGAGCAGCTTAGCCTGGTCGGTGTTCCGATCGCATATAATATCACCCAGTTCGCTGCCAACGACAACATCGCTTCCGCGACAACGGTCGTGAACTTCAACGCAACCAGTTTCGGCGTCCTCGTCCCAGTGACAATCGACACATGGATCGAGTTCAATACCGATGGCAAGATTGTACAGTACGATGCGACGTTCCGTTGGTTCGAGTACCTGCTGGACTTCCTGCTCGAAGGGTTGGCAACCAAAACCAACGCGACTTCACCCGACCAGGCTGTCGCCTACCTTTCAGACCTGCTTGCCACGAAAGTCTGTGATATACATGAACAACATTGTACAGGCTCCAACCAGCAATACACCGATACTGCTGCTTGTTACAACCACTTGACCACCGCTGTGCGGTTTGGCAAATCCTACGAGCTGGGTCGTAACACATTGCTGTGTCGCGAAGTCCACAAGCATATGGTGCAGTACCGACCGGAAGTGCATTGCTCGCATATCGGTCCTTCTGGCGGTGGATATTGCACCGATGACATGAGCTATCTGGAAACTGTGCTGGAAAAATATTACAAGAACTCGTGGATTCCCTATGGCTATGGTGCAGGCCAGAATCCATGGCTTGCTAACTGATAGGGTACGATCTGCGATTCTGGTTGTTCCTTTTCAGTGTCTTTTCTGAACGTTCATGGTCTTTTCCTATTCTCTACGTGGGGTTGTTCTGTCCCGTCTTCATGATTATGCTCTTGAAGAGTAGCAATCTGATAGCACAACTAGGCACTCACATTCCTTATTATATTGATTCAACTCAAAGTGCGCTCTTGATTCTAGTTCTATGATCGGCATCTTTGTTATCTTTCTGTAACTTGAAAGATCCTAGCTCTTCTATCACATGGCAATTGAAGTCACATATTTCGGAAGCATCCAAGTCCACGATATCTCGATCTTGTACGGAGTAGGTCATCCGGAATCCTTGCCCAGGCGTGCCCGTGTATCTTCTCTCACAACCCCTTCGAAGTGTGACCATAGAGGCCCTGAGCGATATAGAATTTCCACGAAGTATCGACAAATCCTGCTGTTCTGATCATTTGACATACCTTTATCTCTACCGTCGTACACGCTACGCCGCATTAGAAACGAGATGATTGGCGGATTCATAGCCCCTTGATTGCTACATCCAAGCCTCCTAGCTCGTTTTCTAGCGTGGGACTCCGTATGTACATGGGGATTTTCCGAGCAAGGGGCAGTGATGTGCAGCTCGGAGCTTTCCTCGTGATCTAATAGGGCACGGCTTATCGGTTGAGTTCTCCGATGCCTCCAGCCTCATCTGGCAATGATCATACTCTACATTCCAATCCCTTCACGAGTCCGTTCCTAACCGTTATTCGTGATGTTCCACTTAACAATCCTCCGTTGGAGGCCGAGGAAGCTGTCTATTCCCCACGCAAAGCACGTCACTGTCGGCGTTTTAAAAACTTTTTTTTCTCGAAGCTCGAAACAAGGGGTTTGATATCTGGCACTCTCAACACGCCATATCAAGCACATAGCAAAGCCGGTCGTATCTGGTTACATGTATGCTGGAATAGAATCATCACATTTCAGGTTTTCATTGCAAACTCATCCAGAGGGGTTACTCTTGAGTCACCTACAGTGTTTGAGCTACCTGAGTAGATACCCCAGTGTATATACTACCTCAATATCCCCGCTCGGCCTTTGAGAGTCGCATGCCAGCCTTACAATAGTCTACATATGGAAATTCCTACTGTCACCTGGCTGACGTTGACCAAGGCTTTTTTTGCCATCCCTTTCAACCTGGGACCTCCTTGACAATGATCAAACAATGTGACTAAAATAACTTACGGCTAGGTTAGACTCAGTTAAAATGAATCCAATGACCGTTGGAACTAACCCTTTTCTCTAATGTTACTGTCAAATTGGACCGAACGCCACTAAAATGAAAAACAGACACTCTACTTGCAGCGATTCAGCACCCGAAAGTGAAACCGAGATACGGTTATGCCCTGAGAAGGATGAGATATCGAGCGACGAACAGAAGTTACCACCCGTTGACGGAGGATTCCAGGCATGGATGTTTCTAGGAGCTTGTGTAATGATTGAGGCTTTGATATGGGGTAAGCCAGCTTTGGAGTCCGTGCAAAGTGACAATTTCATTCTAACCAAGATATCGCAGGATTTGCATTCGCCTTTGGAGTCTTCCAGAAGTACTATCACGACCATGAATTCTTCCAGGGCTCTAATATGGTAGCGGTGATTGGAACATGTGCTACAGTGAGAACACTGCATCCACGTACAACTATACATCTCTAACACAATTCACAGGGAATATCATATTTGAGTTGCCCACTGGTCATTATTGGCATGATCCTTCTTCCTCAATGGGGTCGTTGGTTCTCATCTTTCGGACTGGTTTTAATGTGCCTGTCTCTTGCTTTGGGTTCCTTTTCTTCCAACGTTACTCACCTCGTCCTCTCCCAAGGAGTTGGCTTTGGAATCGGCGGTTGTATAGCCTACAGTCCCTCCATCTTGTATATGGATGAGTGGTTCGTCCACCGCAGAGGACTCGCATTCGGTATCACCTGGGCTGGATCTGGTGTCTCCGGACTGATTTTCCCCATTGGATTGGAAAAGCTATTGACTCGATTCGGATTCGAAACTACTCTCCGAATTATCGCAATTATTATTTTCGTCCTTGCTGCGCCCTTCTTATACTTCCACAAACCCCGACTACCGGTTAGCAAGACCGTCAACTACCAGCGCTTGAATTTCCGATTCCTCACCACCAAGATCTTCTGCATCTATCAGCTGGGTAACATACTAGAGGCGCTGAGCTTCTTTCTGCCGGGCATCTATCTTCCGACCTACGCGCGCAGCATCGGTGCTACGGATTTTCTTTCATCGCTAACCATCACACTCCTGAATCTGGCGTCGGTTTTCGGAAGCGTCATTATGGGCCATTTGACAGATCGATACCACGCAATCACCTGCATTACCATCTCAACTGTCGGCAGCACTCTATCTGTGTTTTTCCTCTGGGGTTTCTCGTCAAATATGGCGACTTTGTTAGTCTTTTCCGTCGCATATGGATTATTTGCGGGCTGTTACTCGGCAACTTGGTCCGGAATAACGCACGAGGTCCGGAAAGTCGATCCGACTGCCGATGCGACGATCATCTTCTCGATTATTGCCTTTGGGCGCGGAATCGGAAATGTCGTCAGCGGTCCCTTCAGTGAGGCTTTGCTTGACATAGACAGCTGGAAGGGTTCCGCTGTTGGGGGCTATGGTAGTGGGTATGGTCTCATCATTTTGTGTACAGGGATCAGTGTCTTGTTGAGTGGAGTATGTATAGTTGCGCATCATATGAAGATTATATAGGCAGTTTGGTTGTAAATCTATGCTGATGATTGATGTCTGCATTACCGGTTAGTTGAATGGAAAAATAATAAAGAGATTTGTTTCTCAAGCTACTGGTTTTTCTTTTCTGTCGTGTCGTGTCTTTTCTTTTCTGCTTTTTGTCAGTTTTATCAAAGCCACAAGGATCCGCAATCGACCAATTATTTCTTTCTATACAGTCTTTAGAAGAGTATTATTCTATTTTAGCTAGCGTGTAGATCAATACCTAACTAATATATCGTGACTTATAACGAGAAATTGGTTTCTGGCAGCGACTATCAAAATGTGGGAGGCTTTGCCGGCAGCATCCGGGAGGATGAAAATGTGTTCTGTCCTGTTCTTGTCACGACGCCAACATTTCTCACACATCTAGAGATAATATGGAATGACTATGAAACATAAGTCATCATCTGAAACCAAGAATTCGCAGAATCATCTATTTTATGCAACGTTTTAAGTTTTCGTACGGAGTAGTCCACGACGCCATGATCCGAGCCGGGCCGAGTATAGCGACGATGGCGACGGTGGCGGCGATGCCGAAAACATGAGTTCTTACCGAATCTTGGATCGAAACTATATTTCTGACAGTTTATATCAAATGAGCATCCTTCGATGTTGGAGTGATAAAGTGGTCGACGTCATCAGAGGAGATGATAATGTGGATCCCCAGACACGGAGCCCTAGATGGTGGTCCATGACGCTAATGTAGAGAGAACTACCGGTTATTGGGCAAATTTACTTGGTAATTCACTCGGCATTTGCCGCATGCGTGGGTTGAAGCGATGATGATCCAAGATGACTTCCAGGATTGTGTGTTTAAGTGGTTCTATAAGGTGTTTTACCTACCCAGCAACATAACCTCTTCTTCTTCTCATCACAACATTTCGATCAACCACACTCTACGATAAGTCTTCAGAGACCACTCCAAGAAAGATGCGTTTCTTCAACCTCGTCGGCCTTCTCCTGGCCGGAGCCACTGCCACCTCCGCCGCGAACTCAACTTGCGCGCCTACATCCTCAGACGCAAAGGTTCTCCAATTCGCCTGGGGTCTATCTGACTTCATCGGAGGCTACTACAACTCGACCGTGAACTCAACCTTCTCCAGCTCGTCCAACGCCACCATCTTGGCCTATAAGAAGATCCTCTACGGAGTCGAGAAGGAGAACACCCTCGGCAGCAAAGCCATCGAGAAAGTCGGCGCCAAGGCCGACGGTTTCTCGCAGCCCGAGTGCGAATTCAAGTACCCCAAGGCCACCACTCCTCAGGCTTGGGCACAATGGGCCTACCACCTTGAGTCCACTGTGACTGGTGCCTTTATCGGTCTCGCCGGCTACACCCAGTCGCCCGAGGTGTCCTTCCTTCTGGCTCGTTTGGCCGCTTCGCACAGCGCCCACGCCGCTCTTATCGGCAGCCGAGTGAACTCCACTTTGTTCGCTCAGAATGCTACTTCTCTCGTGTCTGCCTATGGACCGGCTCAGGTGCTGTCCACTCGCAACCAGACTGGTAGCCTCGGCCAGTACCTCGGAGACTGTCTCTCTGTTCCTTCCAGCCCTTGCGGTTCTTTGAACATTGGACCTTTGGCTGCCACCCCCTCCTCTTCCGGTGTCGCCCACTCCACTTCGGCTACTGTGAGCAGCACTACTTCTTCCCAGACGCAGTAAAAGGGACAATTTTGGAATGAAGGCACATCATGTTGGTTCAAGGTACCAGTTTGATGGAATGTACCAGAATGTACGATTTTGTATTAATTTTGAATCACTTGGTTAACCCACGGGGAGGAAAATGACCGTTAAATAGAGCAGCACTGGACTATATCAGAGTCTTAGTATTAATGGATTGAAGATATCGCCGGAATCACTTCGCTTCCCAGTGTCCACATTGAGAGGAAAATAGGACCAAATCATAGTGACCCAGCCTAGGTTTAGATTGGAATTCACGGCCCTGAAATAGGTACTATCTCAACCCCGCGTTGATTTATACTCCGCACACCGAGCGACAGCTCGTGCACCACGCGCCCGGGCGAGCTTGTCCCATACTTGGGCTGGGATGTGGCCTTTCAGGCTTGATAGATTTTCTCGTGGCCTGTTCCGCAATTAGATACCTGTACACACGGGGAAAGGAATTTGAAAGCACTCGCATGATATTGCTGGACTGGCCCTTCGCGTTCGCCATCATTTTCACAACGTAGTAGCCGTGAGGCGCGATAGCGAGGCCATAAGCAGCGATAATGGAATGGATAGAGTAGTTGTTGGTAGACATGGTGAACACTCGAGGAAGATTTCGAACTTGGTGACTCTTGAAGTGTGAAATCCAGTTGTGTGAGCGAGGAATTTGACTTCCAGGATGCATGTCTTTATATGGGGTCTTCATCGCAGAACATAACGTTATGGCGTTGTTCAGCTATACGAACATAACATTATGCCAAGAAAGTTCCCCAACGTTACTATACGTGAATGCCACAAAAAGAGTACTCGATCTGATTGGCTTGAACTCATGCAATTTTGAAAGCCGTAGTAACTAATTGTAGCTACCAAGAAGGAATGTCTGACACGGTTCACAGAGTCGTAAAAGATCCTCCCTGTTGCAGGTTCTTAATCCTCCCCAGCAAGAACTCCAACTGTCTATAAGCCGCACCAGGGACGTACTGTGGGATCTCATGACCAGCGGCATAGACCGTGCTGAACGTGAGACCTCGTTCGTGATGAGCAGTTCCCAGAATACCACCACCGGCATCAGCAGTCCAAGGCCGACTCGAAGCGTGGTTTGCAATGGCGTTCAAAGCATCTGTATAGGGTACGAAAAGTTCGTTCGAGGGTGATTCAATAGGCGTTTTGTTGAAGCCCTGTCCTCCGTTCCAGGTCATATTTTGGATAGTAGCGAGAGAGCCATTGATGAAGAGTAAGTAATCCAACCACCCATGAGCGATGATAACATTGTTTGTGCGCTCGATCACTCTGGGTAGCGGGCCAAAAGCACTGGGGACTGATCCATCGCCGTTTGGGAAGATCTGGCCATTGCAGACGGCATAGTTGGTGGGCGGAATATGGAGGGCTTCCTGGACAGCGGACTCATTGAAGTAGTTGTGGGGTCCGCCGGCTAGCGAGGGGAAGCCCATTTGGTTCCATAGGAATGGACAAAAGTCTGTTAAGTGATACACGTTGAAGCACGGGTTAACGTAAGTTGCTGCTTTCACAATTTGATTCCATACATCGCAACCGGGCTTATAAGGGTCTGGTGCTACCGGGAATGGCTGTGGCGGTGGGTAAGTGAGAGCTCTCTCCAAGAATTTTGTATAGCCGCATTGGTCGGCGCGTTGGTTAATTTCTGACATGAAAGTGTCGTTCAGTGCAAAGATGGCAGAGTAATGGTTCAGTGCTGCTACTGCTGGGGCTGTAAGCATAGTTAGTAAGAAGGTTTAGTCTCCAAGATTTGATAGATAGAGCTAATACCGACCATATATCATAACATCTTCGTCGTTGATCAAAGGGTCAATCAGTTGGATACCCTTGAGGTTGAAATGGGTGGTATCTTCGCGGTTTAACATCGCGTCCGCCAGATACGGAATGTATTGCCCAGCATAGCTCTCTCCAGTAATGTAAATCTTGTAGCCCTGCATACTGAAGGTTTGAATAAAGCGCTGCCAGAAGTCATTGAATTGGTTTGAAACATCGATCTCATCCTGAACGGTGGCCGGACCTGGAGAAAGGCCAGTGCCAGCAGGCTGATCAATGTAGACAATGTTTGTCAAGTTGGTCCATGAGTAGGGGTTTCGTACCGGCTCATAGACTCCCGGCTGCCATAGGAAAGGGCCGTTTTCTTGCAACAGGCCATCAAGCGAACTGCACCCGGGACCTCCATTGAGCCAGATGGTAAGCTTAGGATGATTAGATCATATACGGTGATTTATTAAACAACAACGTACCTCCTTGTTCGCCGCTGGGTTGGTAGAGGGGAAGAACCAGAAGAACAAGCTCGAATTCCCATGAGGCGCGTTGGACAAAAGACCAGAATAGCTTTCACCGATGTCGAAAGGAACTCGAGGGAAATGACTACCATTCACAAGGAATTCTATACCAAGTAAGTGCAAGTAGATGGGTTGAAAGACTCAGCAACAAAGTTTCTCACTTACTTTCTGTGTTCTCATTGAGATACTGATATTCAGGCCGACCGAGGCAAGCTTCTTGCTCGTGCAAAGCCTTCGGACGTTTAAAAGATGCAGCCTTAAGATGTGGGTTTTGCAGTGCAGCGACCGCGGCCACAAATGAGGTAAAACGACCCAAAAGCAACATTCTGATATAATCTAGGTGGAGCTTGACGAGCACGCTTTGAAGCCTCAGAAACACCCGGCTGTGCAGCTATAAACCCACTGTGTTTCAGTGACGGAGTGATACGCTGACTGGGAGCATTTGTGTCATGCGTGGGGATAAACACAATCAAGCTTTGTCAATGAAGATATCCCACCGATGATGCCTCCTGTGAGACCATTCATCGCGAGTAAGCGGAATACCCCCCGAGCAGGGTTTGTCCTTCCGCTCTTGAATTCAACTTTCCATCGCGTAAGCGATATGGACAAGGGCTCGATTGATTGATTGTGGAAGTAATTGGGGATCTTTAGGCCTCGACCCGGAGAAACAAGAAGTGGTAAATTGGATTGAATGAGGGAACCATACGGAGTACGTTCGCTCTACTTGTACACACGGGTATGCCTTATATACGCCAGTTGTTTGAGGCAGCACAAGGCGAATTTGTAAAATGCACCCAGAAATGTGTCCATTCATTCGATAGACTGAACATTCTTTATGGCGCAGAATTTAATCCTGCACATCATATAAAATCAAAGTCACTAGTACACGCTAGCATAGGAGGACTGGGTGGTCCACACGAGCTTCAGGCCAAGGACCATTTTTCGCCTGATGTACCTGATACCTACAAATCAGGCCTCCTGCTGTGCTATGGGCATAGCCTAGTATATATACTCGTCAAAATATTCCAACCAATAAATTCGTGCGGATGGGCCTCACTTCCCAGTCGAGTTTGAAATTGGGCAGCTAAGGCTTCGAGGGACCTCGGGGAGCAACTAGGATCTCCTGAATGCAGGATCATTCAATTTATGTACCTTCCGTGGGCTATAGCACTTTGCTTCTTCCTTCGCACCTGGCTGCATTTATGATGCATTCGATGTCTCCATCTGGTAGACCCCCTAAGGTCCTTTGCAAGCGATTAACTTGCGACGAGGAGTTGATCTTTTGCCCGTATATATAGAATTAGGTACTCCATAGTAGGTTGGGAATTTGTTATTTGTGGAAAGATTTTTCAAACATTGGTTCCTGTTGATATTGAGTCCTCTGAGATGTATTCCACCTAACTACGAACTCCACCGAGGAATCGGAGGTGTCATTTTGGACAGAGTCTGGGGAAGGCGAAAGGCGTGACCTGCAGCTCTGCGAGGGGGATCAAGGCGTGAGGCCGATCGGCACGATGTAACAGCTGACATTCCCCGATCGGCGGTTGGGGTCAGGCACCTTGATGTTGAGGTTTGGGATAAAAATACATCTGCATTCACTGTACTCCGTACGGAGGATTAGGTTGACAGAAGACGGAGTACAGATAGATATGTCACATAACAAGACCTATGTAAGGTGCCAACGAGAAACCCCATACGGAGTACTATTTCTCGTGATATTGGGCAGCTTCGGGCTTACCGGTCACATTGAACACGAACACGAGATGAAAAGCTTGAACCGGGTCTGATTCATTTGCCGAGGAAGACATGACATATCGATATACACAAGATTAATTATAGACCCGTATTATAAAACTTCCAAACTAAAGGGTGACCTCTGGAATCATATCACCAAGAAACTCGAGAACCAAAGAATAACACATGGCCAAATCCCAAAACAAATCAAAATCAAAGCCGGAACCCCGAGTTTTCCCAAGTGCGTACAGGCATTATCCAGGCATTAAAGTGCGTAAGAATCATCAGGTGGCAAGTCATGAGTTCGTGAAGTTGTCGAGTGCGAGGAGACAGATTTAATCAGTCTTGCGGCGTTTCTTGAGGCGCATACTGATTTTCCTCCGGAGCTGAGCGAATGGATTCACCAGAGGACGGTTGTAGAATGGATCATTCTTGAAGTCTTCATCCGTGAATTTCTAGAACAGAGTTAGGGGATTGTGACATCAGAGAGAATAGAAAGAAAAACGTACCGTGCCAGGAAGACGCATGAAATTACCAGCAAAATCGTTCATCATGTTTGAACCCTCTTCGTAAGAGTATTCTTGACCATTTCGATCCGTGGTTCCAGGGGGATAGAAGGCAACGCCATCCAATGGACGGTGGCTGTTCAAAGCGTCGGCAATCTTGTGGTGTGGAGTGGCCCGGAGGGCTTCGGCATTGGACTCCTTGACGGCTTCTAGAGGACTGGACTGACTGAATCGGTTTCTTTCCGGGCAGGCAGCGTCATACGGGCCCTCGTGGTGATAGGAGAAAGTCGTGACATTGTCCAGCTGGTCGATGACATCGGGTTGCACAAGTTGCGAATGTCGGGAGTACTTGGTTGTGTGGCGACGATGAGGAGTAGAGTGATCCCGTCTACGTCTCGGCTCCACCGGGTAATGTTCGGGTGTCCCGGAATACCAGATGGAAGGGACGGAACTCACACTTCCAATGCGCGACCGTCGAGAATAGTTCGACGGCGCCGGTGACATGTAACGGGCATATGGGTTGTTGCTGCCGATGTTGAACCCCGCGCTTGGGTGTCGATCACAACTACTTTGATTGAAGGAGTGATGGGAGTAGTGAGGATGATGGCGCGAGGCCATGGAAATGCAGTCAACTGCCATTCCGGGATTATATAGAGCGGTCTTTTCGGGAAAAAAAGGAAAAAGGGGAACCAGGGCAGAAGGCGATGCCAGGCCCTTGCGGAGGATCACGCGGCCTTATAAGTAGAAGTACCAAATTTAGTATAGGTCAGGCTGAGGAGCGATGCAGGGTAGCTCGTACAGCGGCTGAGAATGTTGGAAAAGGATGGAAAGATGAAGGAAGATATGGAGATGGATGTAAGAAAAGAAAATCTGTGACTCAAGAGAGCTCCGTATACTAAAGGAAACTACGGACGTGACGTGACGACTTGCGCATACTCCGTAGTGATCCTAAACATGGTTCGATAGTCTCCAATGTGGCTTAGTTCTTCGAGGGTTTCGAGATTTTCCAACGTTATGTACCAATTATCGCCTAGACACGTCAAAGGCCCCAGATCAGGTGGGTCGTCTCAGCAGAAATAGGCCGTTAATCTCCTTCTACTCCGTCGTCTCCGTCTACCAATCGGTACGATGTTATACATCCTATGATTACTTTCTACCTCGTATCTAGGGTTGTCTAGATCTAAGCACGGAGGATTCGTACTCCAGTGTTCATCTGCAATTACATAAAAATAACCCCGTGGTTAGACTAAACACATGTACGCAAGGCCCATGTTGCATCGGCATCCGAGACTTCCACGTACCGATCGGCCATGACGCTATCCTTACAGTCCAAGCATCACCTCCACTTTTTTTCTGGTTCTGTTTTGTATGAAGCGTCATCTTTCATGGTAAAAAGTCAATCTACTTGGAGAAAAAAAGGAACAGAAAAAAAAAAAAAAAAAAAAAAGGGTCAGAGGGAATGTTCCCGATGACTCGTTCATGGATTAAGCTTATCGCTAGCTTCCTCACCATCCCACGCTAGAGTGACTAGCAGGGTGTCATCCCCTGAGGTCTAGACCCCGTCGTGCTCCTTGCTTGTTTCTTCTTTCACCGCTGCTCCCTTTGGAGGTCCAAGCTCGACTATCATCTAGCCTCAACTTGGTTATTTTAAGCCATTGGACATTCGGTTTTCGGGGAATAAATCTCCGTTCTATCCAGTCAACACTACAACTGTATTCCGCACAATCGAAAGCCACATAATTGGATGGGGTTGATTTACATCTTAAAGAACAATATGATAACAAGAAGAATGATATCCGATAGATCTACGGAGTACTCTGTACCCCGTACCTCAGTGCCCTTGTTTCCGTGTGTGATACTTGGTATGATATTATTTCCCCTTCATAGAATGGAGAGGAATAATCCATATTCTTGTTGTGGGAGAGCTAAATAAAGCCACAAAGTAGTGAATGAACATAGTCTGATACACTCCCTGCTCCGTATAGAGGATATCAGCCATTCCAAATTAAACAGAACCACGAAAATATAATCTAAATAGCAAGGCGGCTAGTGTCGATCTCAATATCACGTTTATATGAGCAATCGATATTGACCCATAGCCGCACCGTCTTTACAGCTCACACGCTAGACTAGATGATATGCCTATATCCACAAGGGGTTCGCATGTTATAAGCCCAATAAACAACTTTTTTGTTAAGTTAAGATCACCTCCACTTCTGAGGCCAAGAATAGGAGTATATTTGTGGCGGTGAGAGCCGCGCTCGAGGATGCAGCAACCGATCTCATTGCATTCTTTCTGCCAAGTTGAAGTACGATTCTATGTCGGTGGATGGATGGGTTTCCCCAAATTATTTGGTCAACAACATGATTCGCCTTACTCCGTACAGTGTGTGTGAGAATATCTCTGCTCTCCACCTTTAGGGTGCTTGCAGGTCCAGGGATCTCTTGGGAATACTAGGAATAGATACTCAGCGAGAGATGGACCTATCTACAAAAAGTAAAATATGTCTACTAGGGAGTGGAACAGCTGAACAAGAATGTGGACAATAAGACATATAATCAAGAACGTAGCCATCCAGATGACTCCTAAGAACCAGCCCGCCTACAAACATCAAGCATAAATGATCCATGATGATCTTGATGAGTACTAACAGCTTTGGTTTCTCCTCTTCATTTTGCCCTGTACTCCGTAGTGAGGGGAATTAGGCTTACGAAGGCCTAGATATTAACATATGTTGATCCCGATTAAATATCAATTTCGATGTAGTTGGTTTTTGGTGGATAAGCAGGCATTCATTTCATATTCACCCCCCTTTCTTGAATTTTTTTCTCAAAGATAGATCTACAGACACAACAGTTTCCTCCAGAGGTTTACATGGTAATTTTGCTTAATGTGTATATTAGCCAAATAGTCGCACGCATCAATCATGTTTGCAGTTTGATGGGCTGTCCAACCGTTAGCATCAGAATCCGACCGGGTTTAACTCATTATCGATGGTTAGTCAATGTCTAGTGGCTTTCTCTTGGAACTCGTCACACATGTGGAGAGCGGTGATGAGCTGGACTCACTGAGGCCATTTCTGGCAACAACGCTGCACAAACTTTACAACACGATGTGGGTGTGCTGGGCGACTACTGGTCTGTGCTACAATTCTCAGCCTTAATGAAGCTCAGCCAAGGACCAGGCTACGTAGTCAAAGCCAGGAATCGATAGGCGTAGGATTCCGAGGCATCATAACTGACACAGAAGAGAGTGCCAACACCCAAATTTATAGATCAAATCGAGACCGGTGATTGGCCCTTGGGTTTAGAGTATTCTCCACATCCGAGAAACCAGACCTCCAAAACACAAACACCTCCCAACACTGACGAGATGCCTCTAGTACATTACTCTGACTCGGAATCCGACTCGGAGCTGAGAATCTCTCCCCCCGTGGCCAAGAAACCTCGACTCAATCCACCAGGGCCATCGCTACCCCCGCTACCTCCAGCGTTCCACAACCTTTATGCCTCGAGCACACGTGTAAGCGTGCAAGATGACCCTAATCTCCATGCAGGCCGAGTACGTGTAATTCCTCATGTGGAAGGGAACTGGCCAACACACCTGTACCTTGAATGTTAGTGTCTGGCCCTGGCGTTTTTCCGTACCAGCCGCTGACTTTGACAGGGTATCCGACGAAGGATGAGCTTTCAGTCCTCAAAGATATCATCGCCCAATCTGAGAATTCATCAGACAAAGCTGCACCTATCGTACACAGCCTTTTGCATAGCGATCTTGGTGCCCAGCTACCATTGCATATCAGCTTATCTAGGCCGGTGGTTCTTCGCACCGAGCAGCGCGCTGCATTTACCGAGTCGCTGCAAGAGGCTATCCAGGATTCGCATGTTCAGTCGTACGTTGTTCACTTACAGATACCCAAGCAAGAAGAAAATTGTCTAACATCTCGATTAGATTTGACGTCCGACCTAATAGACTATATTGGTCGTCAAACTATGAGAAGACCCGGTGGTTTCTTGTCTTGGGCGTGCAAAAGCCGAGTCATGATGGTCTGAACCGTCTTCTGAAGCTGTCGAATGACACGCTTGCCCGCTTTGGTCAACCGCCTCTCTATTCAAAGCCCCAGGTTCAAGGGCAACAGACCAGCGCGTCGCTCCATAGAGAGAGCATTGACCGGAACAGTAGTCTGCCTGTTGAGGATTTTTCGGGCTGCTTTCATATTTCACTTGGCTGGAGTCTGATGGGACCCAGTCCAAAGGAATGTGAACGGATTGCCGGTATAGATTTACGCGCTTTGGAAGGCCTCCATGTGAAATTCGACAGCGTCAAGGCGAAAATTGGGAACCATGTTGCTAGTATACCATTGGCGAAGACCTTATGATATGGGGTGTATCCAGGCAAGAAGTGGAGATGACCTGGTTTTGTACTTCTATGCAATTATGAAAGGAACAAATACCTATCGGATTAGCAAGTGATATTTCTGCTTTTTTTTTAAACTTTTTGATAATTTTATCTGCTGGTGTACACATGCTGCGCTGCGAAAAACAGCGAAGATGGGGATATGCTCATGCTGCATTCCCAGAAATTTCATAATACAAAGCGCAATGCTATTTTCTGAATTGACGCCGAGATCACCCACGGACTCCTCAAATATCGCGCAAGAAAAGAAAAGAAAATTACATTCACAATGCAGCGAAGGCTTCAAGCCAATCACTACTAAAGGCGTCTCAGGGGTGCAGACACAAATATCTCGAAAGGTTGGAGCCAGGGAACTTGGTTCACGGAACAAAATCGTAGAAAGACACGGCATATTGAGATTAAATCTCAATATCGATGTCCATATCGAGAGCTGCGATGTTCTCATCATCCGTGTTGCGATAACTGATCATGAATCCATTCTTGGGCTTCTTCGGAGTGGCGCGAGAGATGGAAGGTGCCGCTGATGCGGAATTGCCGTTCGACTTGGGGGTATCTTTGGGGGTTTCGACGGTGGAGGGCTTGGGTGCTCCGCTAACATCGTGATGGGTTTTGGCGACTGTTCGCACACGCATGAAGGGATTTGGGGCAGCCTCTCCGCGGGCAACAGCCTCAGCAGCCTTCTTAGCAGCCTTTCTTTCCTCGAGCTGAGCACGACGACCGTTCTCAATGTTAAGCTTTTGGTTGCGAAGGTTAATCTTGTGGACTCGCTCAGCCTCCGAAGGACCCCTATCGACCTCCTTCTTATCGAGTGTGGTTCCCCAGGAAAGGTTAGGGTGGAGCAGTTTGTGCAGCTCCTGTTCGATCCTCTCAGCATCATCCGTGTTTCCGTTCACTCTGGCGAATTCCAGGTTTCTTTCGAGTTCGAGACGATTGAGCACATTCTTCTTCTGGTCGAAAGCTCCCTGGCGACGTAGCTTCTCGTTCAGCTCTTCGCGCGTGAATGTATGGTTGATAAGGCGGTTGATGTCCATGACCTTGGATTCAACCTTGCCCCTGGTAGCCAACTTGCAATCCTCAACGGCGAGGGTCTGGACATAACGACGGTACTCAGCCTAATTGACTATTAGTTGGATTCCAAAATATTGGGGAAAGGAACAAACCTCAGTGAGTGGGGAATTCGAAAAGGTGACAAAGGGGAAGTCCCTGACGGCCTTTCCATGTGCCAACTTGACATACTGATCAGTGATAAATGAGCGACCGTTCTCACCCTCCAAGGCATATGGCTTGCCCTGAGTAATACCTAATAAAAATGAGCATGGAGCAATAAGGCTTGAAGCATAGTAAATCTTACCAGTGATAAGTCCCAGGCGATATTCATTCTGGCCAGTCTCTGGGTGCGGACCAATGCTCAAACGAGCGTAGCAGCCAACCATAGCATCATCGAATCCAGGGTAGAAGCAAACTTTGGCGAAGTTGTTGCGTCCAATCTGAGCACGTCGGATTTCCCGAAGTTCAGCGGGGGGGGTCATCCTTGGGAACAGAGGCAGGGCGGCCGACACGGTCATCCAATTCAAGATCACTCTCAGCATCAGCATCTTCATCCGAAACATCAGATCCCACAGAGCGCGAGCGACGACGAGATTTTGTAGGGTCTCGGCGACGAAGTTCATCACGCTTGCCCTTTTGCTCACGCTGGCGCTTGTAGGCCTCGATAGCTCCGGAAGTTTCTCCAACCTTGCGGCCACCCAGAGTGGTCTTCTGGCGCGAGCTCTTGCGCTGGTTTTCATCCAGGCCAGCGGATCCTGCCTTTCGCTTGGCTTTCTTAGCAGCTCGAGCTTCCTCGCGCGATCGAGAGGCTAGCAGACGGCGAAGAGCCAGGTCCTGGTTGTGGCGATCGACTTGTTGAGCACGCTCAGATAAAGTTTCCTCGCGCTGAATTTCAGGCATAGCCATAATATCCTTCTTATCCTGGGCGGAGTAGTACAGCTTCTCATATGGGAAGATGGGGCGGTCCTCGTCATCGTCGCCGGAGTTATCTGCCTCTGATTCAGACTCAGACATGGAGGCAGACTGAAGAGAGTGATGGGAGCCGTCGTCGGACCTATATGTATTGACACGTCAACAAGGGTCTTTGTTATCAAAATGAGGGGTGCCACTCACACCTCTCCCTCCGATTCATCTTTCAAGTGCTTGCGTGATCGGCGGCCCGCCGATTTGGCAGTTCCTTTGCGACCCATGCCTCCAGGTGAAGTATCTCGGTCTTGGGTGTGTGAAGAAGTAGAGTGCGCTGGGGATTTGGGGGGTGGTGAGTTTTCCTCCTCAGAGTCACCCGCCAAAGCGAGCAGCTCGGCGTCCAAATCGTCTGCCATTGTGAATGTCTCAATAGACTTATACTCCCAATATAATCTGGATGAACAATTGCCCTATATATCAATAGGCATTCAATAACTCTAGAACAATAGTCAATACCCCTAGAACAACCGGACTATCCCTGTTCCTATTGAGCAATCGGTTTGTTTCCAGGAGTCGTTCCAAAGATCAAAAAAGTAGGCCAGCTTCCAGAAGTGACCGAAGTTGCCCGTCTTGGATAAAGTGATGTCCCAAATTCAACAAACACTTTGTACACGGGACCAAAGGAGGACGTAATGAATGAAATCGTGAGAAGCGCGTAGATGGTCGTCGCAAGTTGGCCTTTGCCGTCGGCTTCATGACGTTAAATGCCAAGCCGATAATAAGCGCGCGGCAGCGCCAAGGCGGTATAAGCGGCCTATCCGCGACCTACGAACTTCATGCTCCTCAGGGCTTGAATCTGCTCCATCTATATCCCACTCCAATTGACCGATGGCCTCTTTACCTATTTTCCGCAGGTGTGCGCTGTCGCATTGCCGCTCTTCCGCACGGGCAGCATCTCCCATTTACCTGGATTTCCTCGCCCCGTCAACATTGAAACACAGCCAATGTCGGCAGGCTTCGACTACCGCCAGCACCTCTGACGATTCCAAGCCTCTATATGTTCTCAGCAAACAGCAACGAGAGTTTATGGACAGTGCCTTGCGAGTGAATCAAGCTGGTGAACTCGCTGCGACGCTTATATATACTGCACAAACTCCTCAAATCGTACGATCCTACCCACACCTCCGGCCTCTGATGAAACACATGTACGACCAAGAAGCAGGCCATCTTCAGACCTTTAATCAACTTGTCGCAAAGCACCAGGTCCGTCCAACCGCCATGTATCCAGCATGGGAGCTAGCGGCCACATTCTTGGGTTGGTCCACTGCAGCATTGGGTCGCGAAGCCGCGATGGCGTGTACCGAAGCGGTAGAGACTGAGATTGGATCACACTACAACGATCAAGTGAGAGAGATTCTCTCATGGGAGGCAGATGCCGAAAAACGTGGTGAACGGTTGGATGATGAACTCAAGGAAATGTTGGCCACATTCCGCAGAATTCGCGACGAGGAACTAGAACATCTCGATCACGCCGTGGCCAATGACTCAAAGGAAGCGAAGCCCTATGATCCGCTTGTCGATGTCATTCGCCTTGGTTGCAGGACTGCTATCAAGATCAGCGAGAAAATCTGATGTTCCACCCTGCTGAAATGCCTGTGCGGTTTGCGCTGTCATTCATATATTCTGTTGCCGTTCAGCACTTCATGTACCATATTGATTCCTTATCTCGATGTTGCTGGTTATGTTTCAACATTATACATTCTAATTTCAAGCGCTATGTCCGATTTGCTATGTCAATCGCTCGCTGCAGGGTATCACTAGCGTAGGCACCGCACCGTCTTGAGTCTCATGGTTCTGACTTTTATCCTCGTGCTGCATTTGTCATCACGATTCACTCGGAGACAATGGGGTTCTGCTCCAAGTAATCCATGAAGTTCTGGGAGAATCTCACAGCCTGTTGATAGACCTCCTCGAATCCATTGGCGCCCCCATAATAAGGATCCTTCACCACCTCACCACCGCCGACGCGTTCGTGTAACTTTCCACCCTTGCCGAAATCACCAAACAGCCGTACTTCCGCAACCTTCGCGTCGGCCGCGTACGCACCGATGGCAGCATCTACATGCGACCGCGAACTCTTCGACTTGGCCTTGGTATCGGTCTTTCTCTGCAGTGTCGCAATGACCGACTCGCGCACATCCAGCAAGTCGCTCAGATTGGCCTTATCCATAGCGAGGAGGTAATCGAAGGTAAGGAAGTCTTCTCGAGTCACTTTGCGGGCGGCATGTTCATAGTTGGCGATCTTATGGTGGCGCAGAGTAGACATGGTGCGGGAGTCAGGCGGCTCGAGGCTGTGATATGCGGCCGTACCAGCAGAGTCGATCTCACCGATAGAGGGGTGCGTGGCGGCGAGGTTGCGGAACACTCCTTCGGCCATTGGCGAACGACCTAGACCGGGTTAGCATGGCACAATGGCGGGGAATAACATGTGATAACGGACAGATATTTCCCAGACAGACAAATAGGACGCTTACAGGGCGTCCATTGGAGTTGGAAGCCATGTGTAACAGGGTAATAGAGTTGAAGACTCTTGGTTTTACTGGAAATATGAAAAATACAGCTGTGAAGACTTCGAGTTTGAGAGGCGGGGGGGGATGTTATCGATAGGCCCCAAGTCCCCACCGGGATGCCTTCACTTGCATTACGTCGATGCGCTACACTGGTATGTATGTGTTGCACATGGCCAGGAACCAGGCAGGAACTGGAAAATTTGCAGCCAGAAAGCCAACATGGGAAGTGAGAATCGAAGCTACCTAGGTACTAAAGGTCCAAAGATGTAATACTGCGAACAGGCTGTGTTGGCACCCAAAAAATACTCGTATCATCCTCGCCACAGCCCACGGTGACCATGGATGACCTCAGATGCTATAAAAAGAATCAAATGACTGGCGCCTGGCATGATACTTACCACTGTCACTCTCATTAAGGCCAACCATCAACCTTGGAAAGACCAGCAAGGACCACCAGGGACCACTAAAGACCACTTCCATTGACCACTAAGCGTCAGTTGTGCCTGGGGCAGAGAACCGAGCCACAGAGCCAAGCCTGGATGTGGCTGAGCGCCGGTCAGTTGGCCCAGTAACAAAACAACACCCTTCCAAGTGGAGCGGCTCCCTTCTTCAACAACCCGTGGCTCGAATGTTTCAGACCTGTCTTTTGGTTTGAATACTGCAATATCATTGGGGGTTTTGTTCCGAAGATCCTGCTCTTTTTTGAATGATCACGCCCTTCATCTCTATACGAGGGACCTGCTCAGTGTGTCAAGATACATCCACCAGGCAGTGGGGAGCCCTGCACAGACACCTCTGATTCGCCCCCATCTCCACCCTCATCGTTGCCGGGATCGACTCCAGGTGTCGTAAACACCAAACAGAGGGGACAGCCCGGATTGATCCCACATTTTTAAAAAAAATTGTTCTTCTTTACCTACTTTGCAGTCGTGCGACAAACCATATACCCCCAAATTTACCTTGTGATCCAACCTCATATCTGAAACGACGCCGAGAGTCCTGATCTGTCCATCGGGGTAGTGATCACTCCCGCTGACGCTTAGTATCCCACTCGGCGCTCCTGGCGCAATCTCGAATAACCCCCTACTACGAACTTGGGGCGGGACAATTTCGCTAAACTCAATTCCGAGGCTCGCCCAACATGGCCTATAATCGTGTCGGCGCAGGTTAGTGCCTCTCCATTATTATTGTTATTAGATCCTCTCTCTCTCTTTCCATGTTGCCTGCGCATTCTCTATCTTTTTGAAAGGGACAACCCGAATCGGTGCTGGTCGTTGATCCGATGATATCTGTACGAGTTGTGCAGTCAAGCTATTGCCATTCAAGCTTTCATTGGGGGTTTCTTCACTTCTTGTAACTGACAATGCCACGGACAGACCCGTTCGGGGACGATCATACCTCGCCCATGCTGAACCCATCCCACCTTACTGGTTACAGCAATCGCACACCTTCCCCAGGGCGGCCACTCGAGCCTGGCTACCAGCTCTCAGACAATCCATATGGCTCTCAGGCGCATCTTCCCATGCCTTCGAGCGATCGCCTAGCTGAACAACCTACTGTGAGTACTAACAAGATCCGAGTGAGATGCATTAGGTAAAGCTTCGTACTGACAATATTTCCTGGAAACAGTATTCGGTCGAACATGTTCACAACTCTTATGGCCACAATGACGCATACGACGCACATCGTCCCTACCCTGGTTATGAATATTCGGTCAACCCTGAAGCGCACCACGACGCTTATTACACCCAACCCTACGAACCTACACACGCACCGCATGATGATTATGACTTGGGGCATTACCCGGAGGGAGGACAGACTTCCTTCGAACCCGATCAGCCTATTCTGCAGACGGGCGAAGACCCCTTCGTGCCCGAGCCGTATACTGAGTTCCAGGATGAACCGCGCCCGACGCCCAGTCCTGCGCCCATTCGTCGATGGAAGACAGTCAAGGAAGTCCAACTTTTCAACGGCAATCTCGTCCTGGATTGCCCCATTGCTCCGAGATTACTCAGTCAAGTACCTCATGCAGAGCCACCGGGTCGTGATGAATTCACGCATATGCGATACTCGGCGGCGACATGTGACCCTGCTGATTTCTTCGAAGAACGGTTCACCCTGCGTCAGAAGCTTTTCGCAAAGCCTCGGCACACCGAACTCTTCATCGTTGTGACTATGTATAACGAAGATGACTTTTTATTTGCGCGCACTATGTCCGGTGTTTTCAAGAACATTGATCACATGTGCTCACGCACAAGCAGCAAAACTTGGGGCAAGGATGCGTGGAAGAAGATTGTTGTTTGTGTCATCAGCGATGGTCGTGCTAAGATCAACCCTCGAACCCGCGCGGTACTGGCAGGTCTCGGTGTGTACCAGGATGGGATTGCAAAGCAGCAGGTTAATGGCAAAGATGTCACCGCACATATCTACGAGTACACAACCCAAGTTGGGTTGGAAGTAAAGGGCACTCAAGTACATCTCAAGCCACGGACTGGCCCTCCTGTGCAACTGATATTTTGTTTGAAGGAAAAGAACCAGAAAAAAATCAATTCTCATAGGTGGTTCTTCCAAGCCTTCGGTCGTGTCTTGGATCCCAACATCTGTGTTCTTTTGGATGCAGGTACCAAGCCCGGCAAGGACTCGATTTACCACCTCTGGAAGGCCTTCGATGTCGAGCCCATGTGCGGTGGTGCATGTGGCGAGATCAAGGTCATGTTGTCCCACGGCAAGAAACTCCTGAACCCATTGGTGGCTGGTCAAAACTTCGAGTACAAGCTGAGCAACATTCTTGATAAACCGCTTGAGTCTGCGTTTGGTTTCATTTCCGTGCTGCCTGGTGCATTCTCTGCCTACCGATATGTCGCGCTTCAAAACGACAAAAACGGTCAAGGCCCGCTGGAACGGTACTTCCTGGGCGAGAAGATGCATGGTGCCAATGCAGGTATCTTCACGGCCAATATGTATCTGGCCGAGGATCGAATCCTGTGCTTCGAGATTGTCTCCAAACGAAAATGCAGATGGCTACTTCAATACGTCAAATCATCGACTGGAGAGACCGATGTGCCTGATCAGATGGCAGAGTTCATTCTTCAGCGTCGTCGTTGGTTGAATGGCAGTTTTTTCGCTGCTGTTTATGCCATTACCCACTTCTACCAAATTTTCCGCAGTGACCACAGCTTCATTCGCAAGTTCATGCTAATGATTGAGTTCGTTTATCAAACAATTGCGATGATCTTCGCTTGGTTTGGAATAGTATGATTCTTCTCTCAGATACACCATCCTCATTTACGCTAATGCTTTGCTCCCAGGGTAATTTCTTCTTGGTCTTCCACATCTTGACAACATATCTGGGATCACATGAACTACTAGGTACTGTTGGCAAGGTTCTTGGAATTGTTTTCGAATGGCTCTACCTGGCCACTCTCGTCACATGCTTTGTTTTAGCTCTTGGCAATCGACCTGGTGGATCCAACAAGTTCTATATGACGATGGTCTACTTTTGGATCGTGATCATGATATATCTTTCATTCGCTGCGATCTTTGTCACGGTGAAATCGATTCAAAAAGAAGTGGCCGATGACAAATTTACGGTCGACAAACTGTTCAAGGATCCGACGTTCTTCTCCATTATCGTCTCCCTGGGGTCGACCTATGTCATGTGGTTCGTTGCATCGTTTATCTTCTTAGACCCATGGCACATGTTCACCAGTGTAAGTCATCCTTTATATGAAAGCATTCTGGATTTTCTAACGTTCTTCAGTTCTTCCAATACATCCTGCTCACGCCTACCTACATCAACGTTCTCAACATCTACGCCTTCTGCAATACCCATGATATCACATGGGGTACCAAAGGCGATGATAAAGCAGAGAAACTGCCTTCTGCGCATCTGAAGCCCGGCGGTAAGGTCGACGTCAATATCCCGCAGGATGACGGCGATCTGAATGACCAGTATGACGCTGAGCTCTATAAGTTCTCCATGAAACCACCCAAGGAAGTCCCAGTTATTTCTGAAGAAGACAAGCAAGCCGACTACTACAAGGGGTTCCGCAGCGCCGTCGTACTCGCCTGGGTATTCTGTAACTTCGCTCTTGGTGCCGTTGTCCTGAGCGCTGCAGGTTTGGATAATTTCAACGACAAATCGAAGACCAGTTCCGAAGATGAGGAGACCAAACGCTCCATGATCTACATGAAGGTCGTTCTTTGGAGTGTTGCTGGCTTATCCATGTTCAAGTTTGTGGGTGCAATGTGGTATCTAGTTGTTCGTATGGTGAGTTCATCCCCTCGTGACACTTATTGTATGTCCACATACTAACCTCCGAATTCCAGTTCCGCGGTGTTTGATTCAATTAATCTTTCAGCGTGACGATTTTGTTTCCTTGCGCCAGCGATGTTTCCACATATCCTCTCACTTTACCCGGATTACAATTCGGTTACAATACCACGGCTGGCCCGGTCTGGTACGCAAATGGAAATGAAAATGGGACAATGCAATACGTGTGATGACTTCCCCGCCATATGCCTTTTGTCCGTTGAGATGCGGAATGACATGATGCCGTGTTTTATCAGGTTCTTTTCTGATTTCTTGTCAATTCTACGACTTGCTTATTCCTCTGCATGTGCTTATATTCGCACATGTATATTTGGGTTCATGTTTTTGGGTTTATTATTTGGGGCAATTTGTGTATCTTATCTGTAGATATGGGGACGTGTTTGAGTATTCTGGCAACTTGGCGTCAATTGAATAGGACAGGCGTTGAACCTCGGATATAACAAGAACAGTATATTCAAAATGTATGTATCTTAAGATCCAAGTAATCCAAAGACGATATACATTGGCTAAGGGCGCTTCGGTGAGTGTCTGTTCACCCTGTACCAAATACATTCGCGCCACATAGGATCAGGAACGATTCTGCGATCCAAAGATAAAAATAATTCAAGAAGCCTGGTTTTTGGAATGCACACACAATGCAATCCCTCCAAGTACCAATCCCATTCCCAACCATGTCTCCTTCGCAATCACCTTGCGTTCGACATACCACTCCCCAAGAACGGTAAACAAGAACGCACTCGAGTTCGCAAGCGGAACGGTCAGAGAAAGCTCTATATAGCAGACCATTAGTACATGCCCAAAGTAAAACCACCGCATCGGAAGCCACTCAAGCCGTGGAATACCACCTACCATGTTTCCCAACAAGCAAAAAGAACCAAATACTGCCTGTGAGATTGATCACCAGCGGAATTGCATAGGCAGGAGTACGTAGCAGATTAATCACAGTCCAAAAAACAGAAACAATCTTCGTTCGCAGCCAGGACTGCTTCACAGGAGCACCACGTCTCCACGCCGGCATGGGTAGATTATCCTCATCCCCATCTATGCCGCCTTCCGCGGTATCAAGCCCACTCGGACTAGAACCACCTTCCTCTAAGCCTGCAGATGCACTTGTGTTCTGCGCTTTCCGGTTCGGAGCACTGCTGCTCGTACTCCGTCTCCGCACGCCCTCGGGGTCGCTGTCCTCCTCCCGCGAGAGCAATTCCTGCTCCTCCCCGGCATCCGTGAACCCGGTTTCCGGGGAATCTTGCGATCGTGCTCTTCCGCGCTCTGGGGCCAAGTTCCTAGCTTGTTTCTCTTGTCGGGCGTTGAAGTCTGCTGCTGCGCGGCGGATAAAGGGGGTGTGAAGCCCCATGCTACGCCGACGAGGAGGAAGGAGAGCACGTAGCTGAAGACGGAGGGGGCGGGTTCGGTGGGGATGCTGGCATCTGGATCCATTGTTTGTGGTTTGTAGCCTGGGAGGCTATCGGACGATGGAGTTTGTTCCCTTCGCGTGCTGGTTGCGGCACTGACGTTGGTGGTGATGGGGTCTGTGCATGGCCGATAAGATAAGGTTGTGTGGATCTTTGGATCTATACGACGGACCCAAGGGTTGGATGGCTTTATTTTGTGGACTCGGGCATGAGCTACACGACGATTTTCATACTGAGCATAGTAGATAAAAGACTCCTCTTTGCTGCTGACTGGGCTATAGTCCAGCATTGCTGGAGGACCGGCGTATGTAGCTTTCGTACATGATTTTTGATATAACACACTGACTGTACCTAGACGACTGCATCATTGAAGAGATAGCACCACCTTGGAAACGCATGTATTATACTCACCGATTATGATATCATTCCATAGAGTCTGTGCTCACTACCAACTGCAATGGGACAATTAGATCGACCCCGCAGTGATTTCCCCACAGCCCATAACCCACAACTCACAAGATCCACAGAGAATCAAGTTGAAATGCTCTCAGTAGGTCAACTGCGAGCCTCCGATCAAGCTTGCCCGGCCGTCACAGAGGGTATCGCCACGTCCGATGGATGTAAGACATCATCAAGACCGATTCATGACTGAGCAAAGGAACCCACCACCCGCCTGCTTCCCTCGAACCCACTTCACCAGAGTCCACAGCACCAGAAGATCAGATCCCTTTTGTCTGTTGCTTAAGCGAACGCCGAGGCTTGAGAAGACGAACGCCCACTGTGTCTGAGAAAAGACTCCTGGTGGTGTTTCATATCTCTGGTGTGCTCAAACGGTCGCCCGTGCAGCATCCCCCTACTTCTCTCACCAGCGAGTTTCCTCCTCTTGGTTTCTTCTGTGAGGGAATGGGAAGAGGAAGGAGGGAGAAGTAAGAGGAGAGGATTTATATGTTGAGGGGAATGATAAAATTGCCTAATGTGGAAGGCACGTTCAAGCCTACTTCCCCGATATTGTGCTGTTGCGACAGGTTTCGGAGAGTCTAGTGGTGAGAGAGGGTTTCTCCCTATTCTCGATAGTGAACCTGGCCTCACTAGTGATACTCAACATGAGATTCGGTTTCAGAGTGAATCAGAGGTAGTGATTAATACTTCGTTATTAGGTAGTGGACTCAAATGTGGTATTATGAAATGGTATTCAGAGATATATAGGTATTCTATGGGTATTGTTTATTAAACAATAGTGTGTGTTTGTGTAGCTCATCGCCATCAAAGCAAAAGAAAAAATATGCAATGAAATAGCGGAGTAGATGATCAAATCACAATGGGTTTGGAGAAAGTAAGAAGGAAGTATCAAAAGAATGGAAAGGTAAGAAAAAAGTTCAAAAGAATAGAAAAGTGAAGTATGGACAAAGAATGAAGAATATGAGCAAGAAGGCAGTGATAACCTTTAGTTATCACCCTTCTATTTCTTGCCAGGGATGAGTTTCTGGAATGAGGCCTTCATATCCGCACTGCTCCACCGCTTCACGCGAACAAGGTAGTACATAACGGTCGCCATGAAGACGTTGAAAACAATGAAAGCCCACATGATACCAAAGTTGCGCCATCTTTCAGAGTAGAAGATATTGACAGAGCCCAGGAACTGATCAGCAACTTGGAGAGAGCAATATTCGCAGCCACTTGTAGCATCACCATTGAGCAGCTGACCACCTGCGGCGGTGACGTATTTCTCCAGGTACTGGAAGCAGGTTTGACCAGAGGGCGGGTCGAAGATAGCAAGTTCGGCGGTAGAGCATATCACCGGGCGGTTGTGGAGTTGTGCGCTGGCCATGCCGCCAACCCAGTATGTGAAGGGCGAGACGCGGTACATGAAGATCCAGAAGCCGGGGAGCTCGTCGGGAGGTTGCATTACACCACAGAAAGTGAGAGACATTGCGAAGAGAAGAACAACTACTGCACTGGCGGTTTGTTCGTCTGGGAGACCGGCAATGACCATGTGGGTGAAGGTGCTGGCATAGATGAAGAAGACAATGCAGAAGACGAGCACTGTTCCTTGGGTTGTTGAATCGGGGATTCCAACGACGGCGTAGAAGTAGCTGCCATAGGTCACCACACCCATAACGATCATGTAAGGGATTTCCACGATGATGTTTGCCATGAGGAAAGCTTTCCAGGAGTAAGATTTGCTGGGACGTTCACGTCCTTCGTAGAGAGAACGTTGGCTCACGAATACGGGCATAATCTGGTAAGGTTAGTTACATATTCATTCGGGTGGATGGTTAGTTGAACATACCTGTTGTGCCAAGGATGAGAAGATGGTACAGATCATGAAAAGAGAGTAGACGATGGTCTGCATGCCCTGAAGAGACGTTTTGGCGTCGTAGAAAGAGAAACCGATGAAGAGACCGGAGGCAATTCCAAGTCCCCATTTCGCCAGAACGTAGGAGGGCATACGCCAGTATTGCTGGAACACACGGTATGTGACCTGGAGGAGCTGGAACCAGAAAGGCATGGCAAACTCGGAGAGACTTTGGGTGGAATCGTCAGTGGCGGGTGCTTGGCTTTCCTTTTCCTTGTGGATTCGGTCGAGCTCGACCTGGACCTCTTTGCTGTTGTTGCTTTGCTTCCAGACATCAAACCAGTCCTCTCCTTTGTTGTTCTTGCCAGCGTTGACAATACCTAGCATGTATTCGGCAGGATTCTCGCTATCCGCACACTTGGGCGCGCCATTGGATTCGAAATACTCGAGCATTGTGCTAGAGTTCTCTCCGACCGGACCAAAGTACACCGTCTTACCGCCACGTGCGAGGAAGAGTAGCTGATCGAATTGTTGGAAGAGCATGGCGCTGGGTTGATGAATTGTGCAAAGAACAGCTTGGCCGTGCTCGGCAAGCTTGCGAAGGAATGAACAAATAGCCCAGGAACTCTGGGAGTCGAGGCCACTATAACACAGTTAGTATATGAAAGCAAAAAGAAAACCTTTGGCGGAGTACTTGCCTGGTAGGCTCATCCAGGAAGAGCAAGAGCTTGGGTTTGGCAGCCAATTCAACACCGATTGTCAACAGCTTGCGTTGCTCGACGTTCAGACCCTCGCCAGGGACACCGACAATGGCCTCGGCAAACTCCTCCATCTTCAACATTTTGATAACATCTTCAACATAATCGTGCTTCTCCTGGACCGAGACGGAGGCTGGCTGACGCAACATAGCACTGAATCGCAGGGCCTCACGCACAGTAGAGGTATCCAGGTGGAGATCCTGCTGCTGAACATAACCTGTCTTCCGCTGGAAACTCTGGTCCAGTCCACGACCGTTGACAAACATATCACCAGTGATAACACCCATCGACGTACGGTGGGCCAACACATCAAGCAAGGTCGTCTTACCAGCACCACTGACACCCATAAGTGCAGTCAGAGTTCCAGGCTTGACCCATCCAGAAACATTATCCAAGAGACGACGAGGCTCACCCTTGATCTCAATATCGTAACACACATTACGCCAGGTGAAGGTATCGGTCTGAGCCTGCATAGCGCCCATTCCCTTGTCATCGCTGCCAGCTGCGGGCTGGGCTTTGGCGCGCTCGGTGCTTTCAACATCAGCTGAGCCCTGGCGGAAACTAGCAGGCTCGCAGCCACGACGGAAGACCAGGGCCTCGGCGGTGCTTGTGGTAGATGAGTTCAACTCGCATGCGATGAAGTAGATGGCCATGAACGCGATCAAGAAGCCCATCAGGATGCCGAAGTTACGCCAGACGTGGCTGTAGCTGTAGGTGTAGTTTGCTGCCATATACCGGTCACCGTTGACTGTTGTAGAGCCTGCAACCGAACCTGCCGCAGAACAACTGAATGCACTGCCCGACAAGTCGGCATAGGCAGGAATAAAGGACGAACAAGGGAACTCGCGAGCATGGAACTCATTAGCAATCAGAATCTCAAAGGCGTAGTAGATCGGGTTGAGATAATGAATCCACTCGAACCATGGATGCATGGACGGGACAGGTAGGACGAAACCAGTATAGACAATAAGGGCCAAGATCATGACACCCGCCAAACCCATTGCTTGCGAGATGGTTTTGGTGACAGCGGCCAACGTGCGGAAGATTGCACTCATAACGAACGTGATGACGAATGTGATAAGGAAGTAAATGAAGAAGTTTGAAGCCTCTCGTTTCAGACCAGCCAGGAAATACAGGATGATATTGAACACAACAGATAACGCAAACTTCACTGGTACATCACTGAGCACACCAGCAACGGCTTCTGTGGCGGGATGATAAAAGGCAAAAGATGCATGTTTTTCGACAATTGGGCGTTGTGAGTAGAGATTGTTGATTTCAGCCATTGCTGTGAGGGCATTGAGAAGAACAGCGAAGAACAGAGTTGCGCCTTTTGACTGGAACCCAGAAGTTGCATCAGCGGTCCCGTAAAACACAGATCCAATAATGAGAGCCATGATAATATTGGTGACAACCACAGAGATGGTTGAAGCGGCATCGTTCCACAACCGTTGATAGGCGCGGACAGTATTGAGTTTGATTTGCATGGGAACACTGATGATATATGGAGACTTGGGTCGGGTGTGTTTGGCCTGGGCCTCACGCTTTCGTTCCTGGAATGCAGCGAGAGCCTGTGTATCATCGCTCAGTGGGTTTTGCCTTTCATAGGCAGCAATTTCATTCTGCAACTGTTTGAATTCAGGCGAGTTCAACCATGCAGCCTCGAATTCCTCAGGTGTGCGAGGAACGCGGTTTTCCATGCCGGGTTTGGCTTGCCGCTCCTGGACGTTGGTGATCGAAGTGAGGAAATCTCCAGTGGTCTGTCGGGCTGGACAGTCCCAACCTTGATTCTCAAAGTAGGCCTTGGCTCTGGAAGCAGGTCCGTAGAAGATCTGGTGACCTTCGTAGAGAACGATCACCTTGTCAAAAATATCATAGATGCTTTGACTAGCCTGGTAAATAGCGACCGCATGGCAGGAGCCAGTGATATCAGAGGACAGTCGCAACGATTGGACAAATTTGAACGCCGTAGCGGAGTCCAGTCCTCGGGTAGCATTGTCCCAGGCAGCGATTGGAGCACGAGCCAATGCCATCTCTGCAATACTGACACGCTTTCGCTCACCACCCGAAACACCACGGACAAAATCATCACCAACCCGTGTGTTATACGTGTGGCTCAATCCAAAGACAGCCATCATGATCTGGGCCATGTACTTGGCATACTCCGCGCGCGACATGCCCTGGAAGCGATGGGCGGGGGTTCTGGTTGCAGCTGCAAACTCCAGAGTCTGGCCAACGGTCAAATGGGGAAAGTGTCTATCAACCTATCCAATTTTCGAATTAGTATATCTTTTTCGCGGTTGAGGTGGGAAAATGTACCTCTTGGTTGTACACTAGTTCACCCTTGAATTCCTTCATCATGCGAGATTGAGGAATACCTAATGGCTGTTAGCGTAGTTCTAAAATCATGAAACTCCAAGGCTTACCGTTATAGTGGATGACACTCTCTTCGCCCTTTTGCAACCCGTGAAGCTCTCCGGTCATGGACTTCAGCAGTGTACTACAGCCGGCACCTGGCCGACCAAGCACAAGCAACAGCTCGCCACTCTTCAAAAGACCAGTGAAGTCCTTCAAGATTCTTCTTGAGGGAGCTTTGGATTCACGAATGATTTGAGGCAGCCGGAAGGGGGCAGTCAGGGTTGATGTGACTGTATCTTGGAATTGCAGAGCAGCGCCCGATCCATATACATTGAGATCCTTGAAAACCACGTCCGATGAATGCCCCGGGCGGCCATCACGGCTGATATCGTTGATCGCCGCTTTAAGCCATTTTTGCAGGTCGAACTTTCCCGATTGGGGATCGAGAGATGGATCAGCTTGAGCGAGGATTGCTAGAGTATCTGTGGTTCCGGGGGTTGAGTGGCGACGCGACCGTTGAGTGGCGATTTTGGTGAGAGTCTCTACATCAACTTCATTGATAAGACTCATGGGAGACTCGCCGATGGTCGATGCATCTCCGGTTGGGGGTGGGGTTAGGTCATCCTTTCCTCTTTCCATCAGCTCGAACGAGCTTCTTTCCGACGCCATCGTGCCGGTATAAAACAGGCGACGATCCGGATATTTGCGAGAGAGACTGAAGGCTGGATTCTGTTCGACTAAAAAACAAACCGTTCCAAGGGGGGGGGATCGATCAAATATTTAAAGTCTGGGCTTCATTGTGGGCCACTCCATGGCCGCTTTTGGATGACATTTTCCAGTGTAATGAAACAGTGGGTCATTCGGAGTCGGCGCAATTCAAATCGTAGGATATTTTAAGTGGAGCGTGTTTTGATGTAGCTCGATCTGATGCTCCAATGATTTGAGCAACAAATAAACCAATGTCGGCAAGTCGCAACCCTCGCCGTACGCCTTCGGCGCAGAGTTAGTTGCAGTTAGGTGCGCATCCCTGCAATCCCGACGTGATCGGCAAAGCCTCAAAGCCAAAATCCCTGAGCCTCGTTGCCAATTTCGGGAAGTCCTGGCCCCGTGATCCTCTGCTGAGTCATCTGGGACGGACCTTGGCGATCCCGAGGTCCCGAGGTCCCGTGCACAGTTATGTTATACAGCATAAGCTTACGTGAGGCCTCTAATGCACGGGATCCCAGAGCCCGAAATTTCACTAGTCCACTTTAAAGCTCTTCTTGGAGATTTCTGGAAGCTCGACAATCCACTTTTCCACTCTTAGTCTCTGGACGGAGTACGAAGTAAGCCGTGGGTAGAAAGCTCCCTCAGCACTACGAAGGCTCACCACTTCTACCCATGTGACCAAGGTTTCCCGACGATTGTTATACCTTATATCAAAGGTATATCTACTCCGTACATGTAGGTGCTTCAGTGGAGTCGGCCCAAAATTCGGTCGAACTCTCTCGGCTCGGGAGCCCATCGGGTCCATTCTATTAATACTGCAGTACTTTGTTGTGTTTCACGGGCCAAACGAGATTCCGATGTTTTGTATGATCCGAGTGCCGTATCCCTTGCTATGCCGAGCCTGCAACTGTATCAGCCCGTGCTTATCTTCTCTGTGATCTACTTACTCCGTACTCCGTCCCGAACGCACACAATCTCCTTCCCATGTGGGGGCATAGCCACTTTCTGGGTTTGCTGCCTGGATTCACTCCTACTTTCCCCTATCAGACCGTTATGCATGTGATTACGGAGTACCGAGTACAGAGAATTGTGCACATCTTCACACTATCGAAGGACCTTGGTGGCCGTACGGAGTATGATTATGCAGGATACGGTGAAGCAATAGGTAGCGGAGCACTCCGTAATTAGACTCCAATCCCCAGGCTGAAACGCTGCCAGAAAACATGGGCTTCGGGTTCCGACGTACATCTACTTTATGTTGTCTCCCAGAAGGTTGTGTTATGAAGGGGCACCCTCGATGGTGCCACTGTGGATGCCAACTGAACTGATTACTCCGCACAGCCTGGACTTATATTTGGTTTCCGAAACCTCGCTAACCTGGTCCGCTTTTCCTCAAGCTACACATCGTCACTTTACATTTCTCATGATCTCTCTACCCGGGGACCCCTGCGAAGGTGTATAGCGGCCAGTGTTCAGTTTCAATTAAAATATGCATTGCTGCCTGAGGATGCCTGAATAATGCCTGAATAATGCCTGAATAATGCCTGATTTCAGACCGCTTTCGCTACCGCTCTATACGGTATATTGTAAATGAGCTATGATATCATCTTAACTAGCCCCTTTAACCTGAAATTGAAGGTATTCACACCATATAAATTTTTAATTTATCTTTTCCTTAGGCGTTAAAGCCGTTCCGACCTAACAATAGGGAATCTAGCGAATCTAAATCCGTTGGAATTTCACGCCCTCCCTAGTCTATTTCCTCCGAAGAGTAGCTTTCGCTGAGGTACGAGTGTATTTGATTTAAAATTAATTGATTAATGATGATAAAGAAATAGATTTTCCTTCGAAGTTCTAAGGTTGAATTCCGAGGGATAGGCGGTATCGATTCTGCTAAGGGAAATATTACTACCCCTTTTCTTCGGCGACCGGTCCCATTCTCTTCCCTTTACGGGATTAGACTCGGTGATCGAGCTTTACCTCGATAGGAGTATAAAGTAGAGCCGATAAAAGATTTATAGTAGTGATAAAGGCGAATAAGGGAGGGTATATAAAGGTAAGAAGAAGAATAAGAGGGCACCTATATTGATGCCTACCTAGAATACCTAGCTAGGTACTCTGTAATGGTAATTCAGGTATGTTAATTTTCTGCTGGACTTAAAAATCAGGCACTAAGGCAGGAACCAGGCCGAAACTCAGATTTTAATTGAAACTGAACACTGGCCGCTATACACCTTCGCAGACCCCACATCGCAGTCTAGACTGTTAAGAGCCGAATAGTTCCCGTCGCACCAAAAGCCACTTTTCCTCATATTCAATTTATGTATATTTTATACAAGTGTGGGTTCTTGGCGTTGGGTCGCCTGCGCCATGAATTTGTTTCGCGTGGAATTGCACGTTTGCCACAAAAAGGAGCGTGAATGCAGGTTTACGAGGGTGTCGATTACCGATGCTCGTGGAATTAGGGATGTGACACGAGTCAGGGTAAAGAAGGCTGAGAGGAGAGATCATCATCTCTCCAACCATCAAAAAGCAAAACTTGGCAAGTCTGTTACACGATCATTCCATTTGATGTGCAATGAGATGGCATCCGCATGAGATGATGTATGCGACCGTCACAGGGTCCCTGTTCACCAGGTATAGATGACCTTGGAAAGGAACAGTCCACGGAGATCAAAACAAGAATCCTCGCGAGACGACATCAGTGGCTGCGGGGCAGATCGGGCGAGCTAGATCGGGCGAGCTCCGAGTTGGATAAAGACAGGCTTCCCCCAACATCCCTTCTCCACTTCGTCTGAGCCCGGAGTTATCATCCCATCATGGCTATCCAGTCACTGCGCGAGATCAACGCTTATAATCTGCGCACCTTCAAGCGCCACTATGTCGCGGAGATCTCAGGCTCGCTTGGCGATCTGGGCACCTTCCTGCCGATCGCGATCGCGCTGGCTGTGAACGGCACCGTATCCCTCGCCAGCACACTGATCTTCTCGGGGATCTTCAACATCCTAACGGGCGTGTTTTTTGGTATCCCCTTGCCAGTCCAGCCGATGAAGGCTATTGCCGCCGTAGCCATTGCGCGCAGTTTCTCAAACGGCACGATCGCTGCGGCGGGGATCTTCGTCGGTGCTTGTATTCTGATCTTCAGCTTGTCAGGGATCTTGCGCTGGTTTTCCAGCGTCATCCCTATCCCAGTTGTCAAGGGTATCCAAGTCGGAGCGGGATTATCCTTGATCATCGCCGCCAGTACCAGCATGCTCCAACCCCTGGGCTGGATCAGCCCATCTTGGGCCGATAACCGTATCTGGGGAATCGCTGCCTTTGTGGCGCTTCTGCTTACAAACATTTATCGCCGACTACCTTATGCGCTCGCCGTGTTGGTTCTGGGTATTGTGTTTGCTAGTATTCGCACTGCACTCACGGGCCACATGCCTGGGTTTGAAGTGTGGCATCCCTTCTCTCTGATCCCAAGTCCACATGAATGGCGCGTCGGAGCTATTGACGCTGGTGTTGGTCAAATTCCCCTTACTACCCTCAACTCTATTGTGGCGGTTGTCCATCTCGCGCATGATCTGCTGCCGAACGTGCGCACCCCGTCCATTACCCATGTTGGGTTGAGTGTGGCAGGCATGAACTTAATTGGCTGTTGGTTTGGTGCTATGCCTGTTTGCCATGGCTCCGGTGGTCTTGCAGCGCAATATCGGTTCGGAGCGCGCTCAGGCGCAAGTGTCATCTTCCTCGGCATGTTGAAGCTTCTTATTGGCGTCCTCTTCGGTGAGACATTAGTTGATCTCCTGAAACGATTCCCTGCTGCTTTCCTCGGTGTGATGGTCATTGCAGCGGGTGCGGAACTGCTCAGCGTTGGTGAGAGCCTCAACACTACTGGGGCTCGGGACTTGAACCAGGCTGGTGCTGGTCTTTTGGCAAATTCGGGACAACATCTGGGCCCTGTTCTCACGGATGAAGAACGCAGCCGTCGCTGGACCGTCATGATGGTCACCGTGGGGTTGTTGGTAGGTTTCAAGAATGACGCCATCGGATTCATTGCCGGCATGCTTTGTCACTGGTCATATGAGATCCCAGAATGGTGGGAGAAGGGTCGTAGCCGTTGGTCAGAGGGTAGGTTGCGTCTAGGTGACTAGGAACGATACTCTTTCTACATACGCATGAAGAGCATGAAGCACACATAGGTTTCACTTTCGATTTGTATATATATATGTTATAGTAAGAGGTGTAAACACTTACCTATTTACTCAGCGCCGCGCGCCTAAGCCAGATCCGACATATTCACATCACTCTCTCTCCGTAGCCTAGCTCCCGTATTAGGATCTTCATACTCACGCGACTCCCTCGCCGAGGAGCTAAGACCATCCGCAGCGAAATCCACATCCCGTCTAGCCCGTCGGCCACCAGGATCTCTCGACTCCAGATGACGTCTGGTAACTCCGCCGACATCATACTCGGATTGTTCCTCATAAGCGCCACTCACCGGGTCATAAACCCTAGTCCCCAGCGGCGCAGAAACCATACTAAACGTACTGTCTTCGCCGTCCCCATCCAAGAGCTGAGCTGCCGGACCACCGACATTAGCCAAGATACTGGGCGGGGAAGTTGAAACATCCTCCTCTATATCGGTGATGCGTCGTACTCCGCCTGCAGAGGTTCCACCCGCGGAGTCAGGCAATCCCAGCTGTTCCTGGCCTGTGTTGTCGTAGCGCCGTTCTTCAACGACTGCTGGTTGGCCTAGCTCTTGCTGAGCGGTGCGCACGATGGTCGTACCGTCGGGCTCGGTCTGTGAGGTTGTCGAATACCTGTGTCCGGTTGTAGTCCTGCCTTCGTTGCCGTTGGTTGTGGAGCTGTAGTAATACGAGGAGCTTGTGAAGGAGTCGGACATCGTGGTGTACGGTGGCGCTCGGTGGGATGTGCGAGAGGAAGAGGTAGATCTGGTCCACTAGGGGTGGTTTGGATATGTGCTCTGTTTAGCTGGCTATACGGGAAATTTGATATCAAACCTTGGAAGGTTTTAATGTTCGATTGTCGATAAATTGGAAGACTTTGCATGAAAGGCTGCCATCCGTACTGTATAGTACATTGATTGCTTTTGATGTTCTGTCTACTCAAATTCGAGTTTTCTCGATCTTTATATATTTCATGTCGTCTTCTCGTGGCAAGCTTCCTCTTTGCCGCTTGCATCATTGCCTCAGGCGGCAATAGGCTTCTATGGCAGAGGCAATGACCCATCGATATCGCCGAAAGGTCTGGAGATACCCCACACAGCGCGATCCAGGGGAAAAGGAGCACATTGACTGTGCGGGCGTTGTCCATAGATGCCGCGTGCACGGATGAAGCTCCAGATAAGCCGACGGCGGGCGTATCAACATCGCTCATCCCCTCTCCCCGCTTTTCAACATTGTAACCACTCATCTTCAACTCCGGATCGCGAAAGATAGAACACATGGCCGGACTGACCGAAGCTCAAGTCGCCTCCTTCAAGGAGAACGGGTACCTCGTCCTCCCAGACTACCTCAGCCCAACCGAGGTTACCTCCCTCCTTACAGAGACAAACAAACTCCTCGACGAATTCTCCCTAGAGTCGCACCCACTCACACAATTCACTACGGGCGACGAATCCGCTGAGCATGTAGGCGATGACTACTTTCTAAACTCCGGCGACAAGATCCGATTCTTCTTCGAGCCTGACGCGTTCAGCACGGAGCCCGATCCACTAACCGGGCGACCCGCTTTGATGAAGCCCAAGAACCGCGCTGTCAACAAGATCGGCCACTCCCTGCACACTCTGTCACCGCCATTCAAGGCCATCTCGCTGAACGAGCGTAACGCGGCTGTTGCGCGCGACTTGGGCTTCGTTGATCCCCGCGTGCTGCAGAGTATGGTTATCTGCAAACAGCCCTCGATCGGTGGGGCTGTACCTTCCCATCGCGATTCGGAGTTCTTGTATACCGATCCGCCATCGGCTGTTGGCTGGTGGTACGCGCTGCAGGATGCCAGCCCACAGAATGGCACGCTGGGCATGTACAAAGGATCGCAGACGGGGAGGAAGGGTGGGCATATTACTAGGAGGTTTGTGAGAAAGCAGAATGGGGCAGGCACAGAATTTATTGAGAATCAGGGGCCTGCGCTGCCGAAGGGTATGGACGAGGAGAAAAGTTCCGAGGCTACAGATGAGGATCTGGAGATACTTGATATCAAGGCTGGATCGCTTGTGCTCATTCACGGGAATGTTTTGCACAAGAGTGAGAAGAATACCAGCTTGAACAGTCGGTATGCGTATACCTTCCATGTTATTGAAGGCGCGGAGGGATGGGAGTATGATGCCCGGAACTGGCTGCAGCCTCCTGCTGGTGGGTTCTCGAAGTTGAGTGCTTGATTTACAGCTAGACTACGAATGAATGATGTGACGGTCGATGATAAATAGTAGTTCGACTTTTATTCTTTATGCAAATCCTGTACAAAAGATGGCCCGCCATATACACCAAGTGTGCGAATCCCAGACACCCCGAACTCCAAGTTGCGATTCAAGTCGGAACGATCAGGTTGCCTTCAACATATCAAGCATTCCCTTCGTCTGCCATGCTTGTTGGGCCATGTCCACCTCCTCGCGCACCCGGCGGTGCAGGCGCTCCACCATCTTGTCGACCTGTGCGGATTGGCCTAGGTTTCCAGAGTAGATATCGAGGACATTCATGGCAACCTCGACGCTGAGGTCAACCAGGCGGGGTTCACGGATATTCTTCTGAACCCACTGCAGAACAGGCTGGAGGGTGGCCTCGTCGCGATCCTTGAGAGAGGCGCGGAGCGCGGAGCGGTGGCGCAAGGCCGTGAGCAATGTGAGTTGAGAGGTCTTGTCACCAGAAGAGAGGACCTGGTCCAATGCGACGGAGTAGCGTGCCTTGCGGAGATCGTTCTCCCAAGGTTGTTCTCTCTTCCGCTTTTTGCGGTCCTGGCCCTCAATGACAATCTCCGCACCTTCTCCGATGAAATCACGTCCACGAAGACGCTTCTCCCATCCAGACCCACGGGTCTTCTTCTTCTTAGCAACTTCCTTGTCGTGCTCTTCCAATTTACCCTCCAACAGGGCTGTCATTTCCTTTCGGCGTTCCCGCTCCTTCATCTTTTGTTGGCCAGACAAACGGGTCTTGATAGACAAAAGTCCTGACTGCATACCAACAGCAATATGCTTGTCCTCGTATCCGCTTCCGGAAGTAATTACCTGCAGGGAGAGGATAGGGGACGGGTATTTAGAGCCAGATACAGGGTTCCATCCTGTAGTCTCGAAGACCTTCATGTGTCCATCCAGCGCACCACTGAGCAATCGCTCGCCATTAGAGGCCAGCGCAAGCGAAGTGACAGTCTTTTGGTGGCTCTGAATCATATGCAAAGGCTTACCAGCCACAATATCGAGAACTGCAATTTTGTTGTCGGCTGCGGCCAAAAGAGTAGTTCCTGCAGGCATGGGTAGAACAGTCTCGATCGGCGCACCCATCTTGAAGGTCATTGCGGCACGGTTGCCGACTCGGGGATCCCATAAGCGAACAGTACGATCATAAGAACCCGAAACAACAAGACCAGATGAAGCCATCGAGCCAGGCATGAATGCACCGCTGCGCACATAATCGGTGTGACCGACAAAAGTGCGCGAACTGGTTTGCGATGGCAAGTCCCACAACCGCACTGTACGGTCATCACTTGCTGTGAGAACCGATGTAGGATCGCTGGGCGAGAATTTGGTCACCCACACGGGCTGCTTGTGATCCTTCCATGTCTTGAGAATGGCGCGTGACTTGACATCGAAAACTTGCACGGAACCGGTGTCATCACCAGTCACCAAAACACGGCCGTCTGGACGGACGTCAGTACCGCGCACGGTATCGTCAAATCGTGTGATCGTTCGCAAAAGTTTCCGCGTGCGAATAGAATAGATCTGGACTCGTGCGCCTGTTGTCACGGTGAAGACATCGGGCGGTTGTGTAAGAGAAGGGAATGCGGCAGCAGAGGAGGGGACGGAGGGCTGAGTGACGAGATTGACCGGTCCATTGGCCGGTGATGGGATCAAGAGCGGGTTCTTAAAGGTCCTCCAGTATTGTTGCTCGGGTGTTAACTGCGTCGAGGGTAACGAGGCAAGCTTGACCTGCTGGAGAGGCAGGACGGGCGCCGCCATAATTGCGGTGGTGGATATACAATAAACTTTCGGGGAGTATTAATTGAGTATGCGACCCGAAATGCGCAATGAGTGGTAGAGTTGAGCCGACTAAATTGCTATCGTGAAGTTCATGAAGACCATCTTTTTTTCTGCCGATCAAAAAAGTTCGTCTCGCCCAATCGGGAATGGTGGCGGTAGCTGTTGCTGCCTGGGGCATTAAGTCCCATATTCATGCCTCAGGCCACAAGGCATCAACTCTACATCTCACCCAACCTCCCGAAGCTTCATTATTGACGGTGTGTCTGATGAATGTTGTCGGTACTCCGTACTCCATACTTGGGCTGACAATGGCGTGAGCCTAGACCAAGCCCACATGTGACCACTCTTGACTCTCAATCAAATGTACCCGATGCGTCTGAGGCATTATTTTCCAAATTTTACCCATTTCTTTACCCCGTTTTCGTCCATAGTGGTTCTGATCTCTATTGACCTGCACTCATTTCTGACGCCATTTGGCATTCCTTCCATTCCTTCGCGGGGATTTTTCCGGAGGATAGCACAAAGAATGCACACTTATTCTTGGCAAGTGACAGATCCTGTTCTTGGCAACCTATCCTACAATGGTGTACTCCGTACTCCGTAGTTATACCTCATATGATGCCACCATGGTCTGTTGACCTTGAGATCCGAGGGAAATATCCCGTAAAGCAAGTCAATGGTTCTGCCCAGGTGCCGCACGTATTTCTGTGAATTATCCCACTCGCAGTGATACTGACACTTGATGGATATCCGAAGGACTGTGCCTTTTGTAGTAGGCTTCCACATTTTGCCTATTTCATGTTAATAATAGTAGCTCTGGCAGGGATCAGCGAACCCACCGAGGCAGTGAGACAGACAGGCAACATCGTTAACAACATCTTCTGGAGTAGCAGGGACGATGAGCGGTCAAACGAGGCAATGTCACCAATATACGGAGTCGTCCCCCGTATACGTTGTATAAGATGCAGTAGGTGAACAACGTGCAGATGAAATCCTCCGTGTAGTAGTTGTACAACGCCAAATGGACGCGTCCAGGACTGTGAGTGGTCGCTAGGACAATCCAGTGGGGAGACGGAGATCCATGCAGCTGCCTAACCGTAAAGGTGGGGGAGCCGCGACCGGCTAGTTTGAAGCCTCAATGCAGCTGAAACCGGATTCACGAACAAAGACTCCGTATAGAGATGATGATCGTGTCTGGGCCACTCGCCAATAGTCGGCATTTTACGCCCTGTCCCACCGAGAATGTGTAAGTCTCTAGACCGGTGGCTGGGAAGTCCGATCGAGCTGACGCCGCTGATCCACTGTATGTGGAATGCCCGATTGGGGTTGGGCAAACAGGTCTTCCTCATAGCATCATGCAATATAGTGCAATATATCGGATTCAGGAACTGTAGACCAGAGATCGTAAACCGATCACGGCCACTGGCACTCTATAGTACGAGGTTTGGATGATGCAAGGTCTTGGGAACTCACCCAGACACCGCCGCCAGGGGTACCAGCCAATCAACGCGTGGGATCTGATACTTCCCCAGCCACCCCCAATACATTCAGGCATTCCACTCGCGAGCCCTTATCTTTTCTCTTTCCCCTCTTCGTTTTTGGTCTCTGCGTATATCTGATATATCGGAGCAACCATGTCGAAGATATCCAAGGTCAACCATGCGGCCGGCATCTTCGCTGACATCTCCGTCGATGGCCCAATTATCGGTACCTTGGTCTGTATCATTGACCGAGCCAAAAACCTCCCCAATCGTAAGACGATGGGAAAGCAGAATCCCTATGCTGCAGCACGATTGGGCAAAGAAGCAAAAAAGACACAGACAGATTTACGAGGAGGACAGACTCCCCGATGGTAAGTAGCTGATTACATGCGAGGATGACTTGAAGCTGACTTGCCCAGGGACTCTGAACTTCGATTTACTGTACATGAATCTCCAGATTATTTCAAGCTCAAGGTTTCTGTTTTCAATGATGATAAGAAGACCGATCTGATCGGTGAGACCTGGGTTGACTTGCAGAACTTGATCATTCCGGGTGGAAGCCAGAATGATCACTGGCATCCGCTCCAGTACCGCGGCAAGTACGCAGGAGACATCCGAATTGAGATGACATACTACGATACTCGAGAACAAGACGAGGTCGTGATTGAACGCCGACAGGAAGCCGCTGACAGAGTCCAAGGCAAACCCCCAAGTACTCCTAGCAGTACGGGTTTGTCCGGTCCTCGACAATTGAAAGATGTCAAGCGACGACCTTTGCCAAGTGGGCCTTCAGTAGCCCCGGCAAGGCCGGCTCCTCTGGAACAAGTTCAATCTGCTCCGCTTCACCACCCAGTCCCGTCAAGACCCGCCATTCCCGAGCATTCCAACACCCTCCCTAGTGCTCCTGACGCCGCCACCTATGTCCCGAGACATTCGGAACCTATCTATGAGGCTCCGTCTTATCGTGCACCTTCGCCTGTGGCGGGTCCCTCTCGTGGTGGGTACAATAGTACCGAAAACTACCCTCAGAAATGGGATACACCTGTTGTTGCTCCTCTTCGCCGACAAAATCCACAGGAGATGTCTTATACCTCCAATGAAGTTATCGAACCATCGTACGACGCGCGTATGCAACAACAGCAGCAACAGCAATATGAGCAGCAACAGAAATACGAGCAACAACAGCAATACGAGCAGCAGCAAAAGCAAAAGCAACAGATGCAACAGCAACAGATCAAGCAGCAACAAATACAACAGCAGCAGATCCAGCAGCAACAGATTCAACAGCAAATGCGGAGTCGTTCAGATTATGATCAACCACCTTCAAGAGACTATCGGCTAGCCAGGCAAGACCAGTACGACAATGTCCGTGAAGTAGTGCAATACCAATCCATACAATCAGATCCATACGCTCAGATAGAGCAGCCGCGATATAATCTAGATCCCATGTCCTATGGCGGCGCACATGCACATGGGCCGGCAACTCCATATTTTGCGTCCTCCTCTTCAGCACTAGTGGATGATCAGATATACCACCAGCATAGGGTTCGCCCTCTTCAAATAACCGCCCATGGTCATGAATATCACCCAGAGTATGCGGGAATGCAGCCACGGGTAGAAGATGAGGATGAAGATGGACTGCCGCCACCTCCACCAGCACACCGATCACAAAGGGCGCATCCTCCGTTACCCACGCCAAAGGCCTCCCCCCAACCATATACACCCTACACACCTCCGTCAGCTTCTCGGTCCTCGGCCACTCACCCTCCGCCGATCATGTCCACTCCATCCCGCCAGGATCGCTATCAAGAGTCTCCTCCGATGGGGGGCTCTCCAGCCATGCCTGCAAGCCTCGTCGCAGGTTACGAACTAGAAGACTCTTCTGAAAGAGCCGCTCTCGAAAGATCAGCCCGCAGATGCAGCACACACTGGGATGACGAGATGATGCTTTCTGAACCACCTGCACCGCCTCCCGTCTCAGCATCCGTTCACTACGATACCCCTGCCCCTGTCTATCCTTTACGCACATCTCCACGACCTATTGATCAAAGACCTACTTCTAGCAGAGGTGGTTCTGTCAGCCCTGACATGCGAGCTGTGACTCGGAAATCAGTCAGTCCACGGCCCTCTTCATCTGATGTTTGTGGTGGATCATCAATACCCTTCTCGCCTGACTCCTACATATCTCTCAATCCGAATGCCTCTCGCACACCAAGTAGAGATCCTTCGCCCGCATTCGACTCGCCTTTGCAAGTCAGAGATGCTGCGGTGCGTGCCAAGGCCGAATCCTCTCGAAACATGGATCAGCCAATCATTGGTGATGATGGTCGTGAAATTGACCCCTCTGATCATCTACCTACCGACACCTGGGCACCCGAACCAGAGAGGAAGAACCGTAAGCCTGAAGTCATTATCCGCTTCAAGCACTCGTCTCGACCGACCTCGAGGGGAAACGATGCCCCCTCTTCCCGCAGTTCAGGTCCGCCTCGGGTTGGATTTAGGACAGAAACAACTTCCTATCCTCCGGATCGTCCCGTTAAATACTCACCTACCCACGTGCAAGCAAGCCCAGGGGCAATGGTTCGCACTCCACCTCGGCCGGACTACAGCCGTGAACGATCTGATAGTTATGCGCAAAGTCGGGCTTACAGCACACCCACTTCTGTTGACCGACCCCGCTCCTCCCGCAGTTCTGTCTCTCCATCACCAGCATCCCGGAGCCCCCTATATGACTACAACTCCGGTCCCCCAATTCCGAACAAGGTTCCAATCACTGGAGGAAGCCCGGGCTACCCTGTTATGTCTGGCAATCACGCTGGTAATGTCCGCATGGATGCTTTGAGTCGAGAGCTGAGCACGATTGACATCGGCTCTGCGGTGTGCAGTCCTAATCGGGGGGCTGTTCGCAAGTACGTACCCAGGCCATCGGCATCGATAGGTTACGCTAGCTAAGATGGCTTTTTTCTTCTTTTTTCCCTACGGCCAATGATTTATGTACCGTTATGCTTTTTTTCCGGGCTCTTGGTGCACATTATTCACGCGCATGGTTTTTCATTTTTGGTTTCCAAATTGCATTGATCTTTTCTGATATCCGGCAAAGATGGCGTTGAGGGTTTCTTAGGGAATTATTATACATTTTGGTCATGTACACATCACAAAAATAACCAATGATACCTTTTTTCCAACGTGGCACTTTTCATTCTTAATCGTAAGTCTGGCAAACTGTTCATTTAATTAGTCGATGACCTGACAGAAGTTTCTGCTGTCAATGTAGTAACTGCGATAGCCCTGATAGCCCGCTTGCGCTAGCCAGAGACACTCAGCCTTGTGACGCTCTAGAGCTTGACTGTATTTGATATGTCTCCCACCTATACGCAGGAGTGTATATAGCTTTCATAGCATCAGGCAGTTGCCGAGATTCCGACTTCAATCACAAGGATCAAGTTTAATAGGCGAACGTATGTTGTTGCAATACTAAATAACGGCCAAAATTCATGGCTTATGACCAAATTTGGGAAATATAACAAAAGCACGCCCAATCAGGAAGTCTGGAGACTACAGACACGCATGTTCAACCAAACTCGTCGCAAGTCATATCAAGCACAAACATTGGAGGAGATTTCCTACAGCTTATAAAATGCCATCCTATCCTGGTGCATCTTCTTCTTCTCTATCCTATCCCCGCGTCTCTGCATTCCCATCCTTTTCATCAAACTTTCCATCGTCAACACCATCGTGTGGCTAGTAAGTGGACTCGCAACGAGACTCTTAGGATTCCACATCAGGCATCCCCTAGAGCATATCAACCATCTCTGACTTGCTCGTCACCTAGCTCGCACCTTGTCGTCACCTCACTCGCACTTGACGCCCACTTGCCTCAAACCTTGTCGTTTACCATGGAAGGGGACGATCCTCATCTGCATGACCCTCGAGGTCAGAACGCCAACGAGGATGCAGCCAGGTATGTGCAGCAAAATATACCATCTTGTCCCTCCCCGCCAACTATCTATGGACAAATGGGACACCCTAGATGTTTGCCTGCTCAGCCTGGGTTGTGTTATCTTTCGGCTGTCTCATGTTTTGAACCCTCCTATAGGCCTAATATGTGCTAACCTCTGATATCTATCTAGATCCCGTGGTCCTGTCTACGCCAACGAACCTATTGCGACGTAAGTATATGACGATTCTCCTTTATCACATGTTTGCTCTTCTACATTTATTATCCAAATGGGACTTCGAGCCAGTTTTCGAGCCAGTATTCAGGCTTGTATTCAGGCTAGAATCTGGGATGCTTTGGAGTGTGAAATTTATTCCATTGCCTGCTCCCTCTTTCTTCGCCGGTTTTTGACTGTTTCCTGTTGCTACTGCTTGATATCTCATCATGCCTGTTAGGATTCAGACAGTTGACCATGTGGATTATCTTATACGATGAAAAATGCTTACTTATGAACTAGGCCGAGTAGCCCTGGTGAATCGATTCGCCAGAGAAACCTTCCTCTTTCGTTACTTCTCTCGCCTCCGTCTACTTCACCATTGTTTCCTTTGAATGGAAATAATTCAAGCCCTCAACAGTATTTGCATCGGCAATACAATGGATCCCGTCTACCACTGCATGCCACAGGGCTCCAGGATACTACCTACTCCCACACCAATGGGTCTCAGCCCCTTCATGACTCCAACACGGGCGCGCGGTTCAGGAGTGAGGCTGACCTGGAGAATCCATTCAGAGAAAGACGAGAAAGGTCCCAGCCCATCTATGACTCCAACCGGGGAACGCAGCTCAGACGTGAGGCCGAGCTGGCAAATCCATTCAGAGAACGACGGGAAAGACCCAACTCCACGTACGAGCAAGGGCGAGCTCGCAGCAGAAGCCCTCGCCGCATGATTCAACATGTTGATACCGGTGGATACCGAGAACGACCAAGAGATCCATGGATGGGACTACCAGCGCCGAAAAATTTTCCTCGTGAGACATATGTTCCTCCAGGACCAAATGACATGCTGCCACAGCGTCTACCTAGCTCTTCCTCGACACTATCCCCAGATTGTACCCCTCGCGGTCGTGATCATCGTCCGAGCCATCCAGAAGATTCATTCAGAGAGCTGTATCCTACCAAAGATCACAACCCGTATGGCCACCGCCGAAACCAGCGGCCGAAGCGTGTTCCTGAAACATCAGGCGAGCGACACCCAGCCACTGAAACAAAAAAGGATATCAACAACGCTGATGAAGACCATTTGTGTGAGTTCGCTGCTCCATGCCGAATGAATCCCTCGCCTGATGGAATGCACTATCGAAAAGTCGTGTCCCACGTGTTTGGTAGGAACAAGGCTGTGACCAAGCTCTTTCCAGTCGGCGTCTGGGTCCATTATTGCCGAAAGCACTATCAGCGAGCTCGTTACCGTGCAGACCAATGGCCATTCACGCAGTGTGATCTCCTCTTAGAGTCACTGCGACGAATGGAGATCTGGAACGGAGTGGAGAGTTTCGAACTCATCCTCCGTCGTCGTGAGCAGGTGCGTGTCAGGCGTGAATCCGAGGTAGGAACCGCCTCAAATGAATCCAAGAACACTACCTCCACCAACCAGTCCCAAGTTCAAGGCAGCAAGACCCAGCTCGTCGTCGTCCGACCACCAGGTCGCAAACATCCCACTGCCATCACCGCTCCCGTCCCGGACTGGCTTCGCCAATACGTCGGCCACGGCAAGACATTTGCAGACATTCGTGAAATCATCGAAAGGGTACGCAGCTACATGACCAGGCTACGGAATTCGGAGGTCGCGCAACAGCTCAAGAACGCTCCCCAGCCCCCTGATACCTTGGAACCCCCTCGACGTGCTGCCGCTTCGAACTGCAAGAAAGGACGCCCTGCCAAACCTGCCAATCGGGACCCCATCAATATAAGAGGTAGCAAGGTTCGATTCCCCGATATTGAGATCCTTCCTCGTTTCAAACCATGGGTCAAAGAGGCGGCCCTCCGCCAACGATCTGCCGCTGCATCCTCCCTGCAAGAAAATAACCAAAGAGACTCGGGGAAGTCTCTGTCTAGGGCACATACCATGAGAGAAACTTGGGATTTTCGTACCGTCTCTGCTCGGGCTTTCTCCCGCCCCTCAATCAATGAGGGCCATGCTGATAATGAACTTACGTTGTACCCCCAAGACCGGCACTCCGAGCTTAGTTCCACCAGTGATACTCCTGTGGCTACTGGGTCAGAGATCCAGGCTCACATTGGCAGGGCTGGCACCAACCGTGGCCAGTCTGAGAGCCAGCGACGACGAAGTGAACGGGTCTATATGAAGGCCCTAGACCGTGTCTCTCGCCAGGGGTCTGTCAAGAAACCTGGCGATGAAAGTGAAACATAGACCTCAGAGATTACAAGAATGCTTCAGAGATTGGAGAATTATCAAGATTTACTGAATCGAAAGCGAAGGATTGAGGAGACAAATGAGCTACGAATGATTTTGCGGCCCGAGGGCCATGTTCTTCTTGTCGTGGATGAGATCAATCATGAATGAAACTTTCACAGATCACTACCAAGGAGGACTTTTCAAAAAAAGTGAATACCACCGTAGTCCTACAGCGTTTCGTCTTTCCTGACATTACACCAACGGTAGTGACGGGGAAACCTGCGACGAAATGACTGGGCTATGAAAGAAATGTTCAAAATGAGGGAATCGGTGTTTTGATATTGATAGACCTCGATAATAAAAAAGAAAATTGTCGGATTACCTCTTTCTTATTAAATCACTCTATTGACTCTAGGTACATTTAGTATTCCTCTCACTTACCTCCTACCTAGGTAGGTAAGTCCTATGTGTAAATAAGCTTACGATGGTATTCACTTGTGTCTCAGTGCCTGGCTCAGATTGCTATTAGATTTGATGAGATTTGATATTAGACCTTGTATAATTCGATGGGTTTGGGCCCCGGTCTAGTTTAAAGACACTTCTTTTAAAAGCATTCATCTACTAGGGCTTCTCATTCATTGGGCTGGGATTTCTTCGCCAGTGCAATGGTCTTTCAGGCGTAAACATTCTATAGCCTATTTCTAACCAATATACTTGCAGGCATTTCCTCTCCGGACTATAAAGTGTTATAATGCGACTACCAATAAAGGTCAAGTTGACAAACCAAGCACAGAATGGTGGAAGTCGAATATCTTCATATGAGAAAAAAAAAATTAAACATGTACTCCATACAATGTAGAGCCCGCAACAGTACGACACGCTTGCTGGAAAGACACCCAAATGCAGCAGAAAATGAAAAGCTCTCATGCAACCACCCGAGCAAACGATATTAACAAAAAAAGAAATTAATGTAAGATGAATAATATGGTCGTGTTTGTATAGTCGCCAGGGTCTCGAGTCTCAAATGAACAGGGAAACTGGTTTAACTTGCCACAGCCAGCTGGGCGACGAGATCAGACGCCACATCAAGGAAGGGGTAAGGGCTCGTCACCTCCTTCTCCTTGTTCTTCAGGCGCTTGCTGATGGGGTGCCATTCACCATCGGCGCCGGCGCGAATGACGTTTTGGTAACCATCACATTTGAAATCGACCATGTAATTATTTTCTTCAAGTTGGTAGAGCTGGATGTCGAGGAACACCCAGACACCGTGGGTAATGTGCGAGAGTGCGCTTGATCCGTTAGCGGAAGAGGCTCCACTTGCGAGACCATGCTCAGGTACGGAAGACTGGAGGTCTCTGCTCTTGTCTTCTGTGGGGGCAGAAATGCCTGAGATGTTGAAGCGTCGGCGCAGTTCTTCCAGATCGCTGCGGCTATTATAAGCACTTGTAGAAGCTCCGGGAGCTTTGATACCTTCCTTCAGCAGGCGTGCACGAATAAACCATGGGTCCTTTGGGATGTAGTAGTCGGATGGGAGGTCCGGGTATTTATTCTGCAAAGGCTTGGCCTTGTCAGAAGAGGGAATTGCATCGGGGCCGATGTTGGTGCCTATAGGGTGTCAGAATATGCTCAGTATAGGGCTTGTTTGCAAACATACCTGATTCAACAGGCTGGATATCCCACAATCCACCCTGGGCAGCAATGGCCCGGTACAGATACAGCATGGCCTCGTATGGTTGATTACGGGATCGAATACCGAACTGCCATTTGCGGCTCCGCTTTGGTTGTTTTTCGAGAGGTTGACCTGTTGGTGGTTCAAATCGCAGCTTATCCAAGTCGACGACACTGCGTGCATGGGGCTTCAATGCACGTGTCGTGGCAGCCTGTTCTTCGGGAGACATGTCCCGGTAAGCAGATCCACGTCCTTCTGGATCAAGATGGGCGGCTTCTTGGCGACGCTGCTCAAGCATCTGATTGCGAGCTCTCTGTTCCCGATCACGTTGCTCCATAAGCTGTTCATGGACATATGGCAAGCTGGTAGGAAGAATCCGAACGTGGCTAAGGCGAGGCTCTTCCTCGGATTCTGATTGCTGTGGATCCTCTGAAGCCCTCCGGTGCGATACACTAGTGGTCCTATTCCTGTTCACGGCGGGGGCAGATGGTGCTTGGTGGCGAGAAGCCGGGTTCCTATCTACAGACGAAGGTGCAGCTCCTGTCTGAACATTTTGAGCCAAAAGGTTATCTTCTGTGGGGGCTGTTGCTGTTAGCTAAGATAGGATAAATAAGTAGTCGATGACTCACAATTGGTTTGCATCATCTCATTCTCAACGACGATAGAGAAGGCATCTTTGATTGCGCTGGGTTCCGGGTGCCTTAGAGCTTCTTCGATATCTTCTCGGCCATATCCCATGCTTCGTTCAAGCTTGGACACTGCAATTCGATGGATCTTGTGTTGAACTGGTGCCGGCTTTGCCAGATCAAGCTTTCCAGAATCTATCTTCTTCGGGTCCACCCCCGGCGCGATGAACTCCTCTGGTGGCGGTTCTAAATACTGGGGGAGGTTCTTGGTAAACCATGGGTCCATTCTGATCTCGGGGATTGTGATGCGGTGGACGGGGTGAACTTGGAGCATTGCCCGGATCAAACGGGCTGCCCCAGATGAAATATATCCCGGAATGTGGAAGGTGCCAGCGGCAATCTTTTTGAACAGAGCTGGGATGTAGTCATCATCAAAAGGCAAGCGGCCCACCAGCAACACATACAAGATCACGCCGCAGCTCCAGACATCCACCTCGGGGCCGGCATAGAGCTTCCCGGAGATGACCTCCGGGGCAGCGTAATTCGGGCTACCGCAACTGGTCTTGAGGAAGTTTCCATCCGTCATGATGTTACTCAATCCGAAATCCGCAATCTTCACGTTCTTCTGGTTGTCGATAAGCAGGTTCTCGGGCTTCAGGTCACGATGTACGATCTTGTGTCGATGGCAATATTCCACAGCACAGATGATTTGTTGGAAAAATTTGCGAGCTTCGTCGTCACCGCATCTTCCTTTTCTCACGAGATAATCGAACAATTCTCGCTCGGCGTACTCCAGCACCATCACAATATCAGTCTTGGTCGCAATCACCGTATACCTAAAACGGGGTCAGTTAGTCAACTGGTTTCTCAGTATCTCGGGGCGCAACTGTACAATTTGATGATATGAGGGTGCCGTAGCAATTGGAGGTACTGAATCTCTCGCTCCACACGACCCACCATATCTCTCGAGAGTAGCTTGCGTCGTGATATGATCTTTAGGGCCACTTGGCGTCCACTGGGCTGATGAATAGCAAGCTTCACCTTGCCAAAGGACCCCTCGCCCAAAACCTTGATAGTTTGGTACTGATCGAGGCGTTGCATATCCCGGGTGGTCGATGGTGACTGCAATGGGTCCTCGACCTTGCCGGTCGGCCTGGGCGGAGGCATTGCCATGGCGGAGGGGTTGGAGGCAGGAGCCCTACGTTCACGCGGACGATCACGGTCGGAGGGGAGGGGAATAGCGAGGTCTTCCTCGTCGAAAGCGGCGGCCATGGTCGGGAAGAATGACAACGTGACGTGATTGATTTTCCAGACGGTTCAGCGGTCCGATGGGTCTGCTGACTGTGCAGACCGTACTCGTCCACGGGGGTTTTTTTTCTATTTTTTCTCTCGAAACATTGCCAGGCGCCAATCAGTTGATCAGTCTCGACCCTCCCCACAACAGAACCGAGGGTGGAGCTAGACAGCTGTTGTCGGCGGGGATGGAGGGGTAAATGACTTGTCAGGGGCAAGAAACCGAAACTGATGTAGTTGGGAGTACGGTGTTTCAAGAAGATCTACAAACGAGAAAGCCAAGAATCCATCAACGACCTGAGGTTTGGAGAGGAGTTCTGGACCTTACTAAGCTGATCCTTCGACCTGCACCTGCTCGGGGCGAGAACGTGGACCTCACGATCACCACTTGGCCCGTTCTGTGGGCCTCCAAATCGGCACCTCACCAAGGATTCCCCTACGCAGAGGGTCTATTTTCTCATAATCATGATAACTGATATATCAGTGTGTTCGGCTACTTGATGTTCTTCAGATTGTTTATCAGCCAAGGTTTGTTGGCGACAATGGCGGATTCCAAATATCTTTTTTTATACCAACCCTAATGCATGGATACACCTTAGTCGGACATCAAATGTCTGTGTTTCTGGCGAGAGCCCAGAGAATTAGATTAAAATAAAACCAAATCAAATCCTGATTGATCTTAGTCAAAGAATTTCCACTTTCCACTGACCTCGGGTCCAGAGGCTGCGAGAAAACCTGTGTCAAACGCAGTGGGTCAAGACCCTTAGAGACTGTGGCTGAAAGTCAAGCGATCTTGGATTTTACCTAGATACGAAGTATATATTACTCGATAACCCACAGTCTTATGGGTGCAATTTAGCTCACTTTCTTAGGTTTTATTGGGGTTACAGACCTCCAGGGCTAACTTGCCGGCTATATAAGCCTCGTCACAGTCCCGGGTACTGCAAAGGCTAGACAACACAGCCTCCTGGGGCCTAACCCTTGCCTATTGAATTGATATCTAGATGGTCTTTGCAAGAATCATATGGGGGAGAGTGCAAAGTTGTACATCATACCAGGAGTGATACTACAAAACAGTCTCAAAAGGGAATTTGAATGGTTAGGTACTTCGAGGGTACCCGTGATCCCATAGTACATAATATGACTGTGCAAGTACCCCCAGAGTATGGGTGTTGAGTCATATTGCGGCTTAGCCCTGGAGAGCGATCAAGCGGGGTGTCGGGGTCCCAAAGGGGATTAGCGTCAAGTCGGGGAGCTCGAAAAGGAAAGGCGGATTGTGAGACCCAGCGCATACATAGCATCAACGGTTGCCTCAGGTCTTGGGTTCTTCACCTTCTCCGGAAGCCATCATTTCCTGATCTTCTTTACCGACCTCCTCCATATCTCAGTGTCCTACTGCCTCAGGACCTACTGCCTTTGGCCTGACCAAACGGGCCGTCCCTCTTTGACTCTACCTCAACTCCTTAATTCTTGAAAATAGATACCCAAGTGATACCCCTTACGAGTTCTTTTCTAGTCATGGCTTTTGTTACGGATCAGTTCTTCCCTCAGATGGATGAGACAAATTCCAACGAGTGGGTTGACTTTGATCAATTCCTCGATCTTCCTCAGGGCTACGATGACCAGTCAACTGCCACTACAGTCTCCCCTCAAGACTTGGCTCTACATTATGAGACCAATGAGATCTTGAACTCTCCATTCGATGCGATGTACTCCTCCTTTGATATGATCAACTATGATCTTCCACAAGAGGACTTCGTGGGCATGGATGGAAGTTTCATGCAGGTCTCCTCTGCTCCCTTGTTCGACGATGCTGCGTTCTTCGGGTACAACCCGTACGACAGCAGCAACACATTCAGGAATCTGGTCGAGGCGCAGGCCGCCGCTGACCCGCGCGTTGCTTCTCTCAAGGAGAAGCGCCGCGAAGCATCGATCGCGTTGCACTTGCAGCGCCTTTGCGAAGCCACTGCCCTTGACTTGGATATGTCCTCAGACTCCAATACCAGCTTTTCTTCCCCAGAATGGTCTGGATACGTTCGTGAGAGCACCTCACCGCGTCCCAGCCCAGAAAGCACATCTCTCCCCGAGGCACCCCTCCAGGAGGCATGCAAATGGTTCTCGATTTGAACATGAATGCTGCCGTGAATGTACCCAAAAAGCAGAAGCCTCGTTCTCAGGCACAGAAGGAGAACTACATCAAGGCTCGAAAGTATGGTGCTTGTGAAAAGCACAAGAAGCAGCACAAGCGAGTAAGTTTTTCACCCACTTCGGACATTTGAGCAGGCTAACGTTGGGACTAGTGCAACTGCCTGGAGAAGGCTGCTGCTCGTACCGTTTCCGGAGATGTTCCAATGGACGCTGCACTTCAAGAAAGGCCGAGGCAGCAACAGATGCTCCAAGTGCCGATCCTCCCGGTGGCACGTTACTCGAGCTCGCCGGGTCACGACCCGTCAATCGACTCACCACAAGCGCTTCCAGCCACCAAGGCGATCAGGAAGCCAGCGAACAGGTCATCTGGACCCAATCCGTCAATGGAAACCCCAGCGGGACTGCCTCTTGCGGTACCAATCCCCGGGGATATTATCAAGACACAAGTTCAAAAGAGCACACCACCAGGTCACCACACAGTTTTCTCAACAGGCAAGACCCCAAAAAACGTACCAGGCGAACAGCCCCACGACCCATGCCTCTCGACCGCACTCCAATCAGTTCGGACAAGTCGGAAGCCAGTTGGAAGCGCAAGCTTGCGCTGGCGCATTTCAACATCCTCGTCGCTCAGTTTCGTTCCTTCGGAAGGGACAGACCTTATACCAAAATGTTCGACGAACCATCCTATCACTGGCGTGGGTTGTACTTCAGGTCTGGATGTACGCTGGACGAGATCAACTCGCACGGTGGACAACTCTGTTCTTCCTGGCACTGTTGCCGGAAACCTTGGAATCTGTTATTCCAGAACGGCTACACGCAACTCCACGGCCCCAGCCCCTGGACAAGACCACAAGAAAAATTCAGGACTTTCTGGGCAGCTTGCAATGCTTTCTGGCCAGGAATTCGTACAAAAGCATCTATTGGTATCCCCCTCTCGGCGTGGATCGCCAACTTTCTCTGGAACCGAATCATCAGTTACCAGGGCTCAGTCCACCGCTGTCCTTGTTCAGTCAGTTGCTGAAAGTGTCGGAGGCCTGGTCTCCAGAACTGCCTCGGCGGTCGTTAATGTTTGGCAATCGTCGCTCGCTTTGACCTCTGGATCCGAGGACGTGATCTCCAAATGTCTCTCTTTGTTAGGCCGAAACTTGATGTCTGCAAAGAAAGGCTTGTATCTTGGCGGACTACGGGCTGGTCACTCTGGACGAGTGTGAAGCTTGCACTAGGAACGCTGAAGGAGCCCGAGTGCCATTGATCACATTTACATAGATCAGCCTCCCTTGTCTGAGCTGGCTCTGAACAAGAATTCTACATAGAGAAGATAGATAGTGCTTCATTGTATGGCTATATTCTCCTGATGTTCAAATCCTGAATTTTAATCCATTGCCTGTTTACTGCTAGCTCCTATACATTGAAGGAAAGATGTTTGAATGTTGTAATACCAGCAACCACCAAACTTCGTGCGCTTTTGGAAAACTCGTATACAACAACGTCAAGCATATCAGGAGCCAGGTCGATCTACAAGAGAAAGAGTGCTGAGAACGATAAAACCAAAGATGGGGAAAAGAGAGAGAGAGAGAGATCTGCAGATAAGGAAGGCCTTATACATAGCCCCAGATGCGAATCAATCAAACTTCAAACTTACACGTCTCAACTAGGGTTGATAATATGAAGAATAGCAAACAAACTAGCAAACAGGCAATCTGGGAGGTGGAGCAACAATCTGTCAGAAGGCAAACTAAACCGGTGACAGTTGATCGTCACAAAGCATTTAAATAGAGATTACATGGCTCTTTAGCCTTGAATTGAGACCCCTGGCCGTTTCATTCTCGCTCCTTATTGCTTGAGTAAGTTCTAAATGTCTTGCATCAATGTAATTTTAGGCATATCTTCCCTTTATGTGAAGTATACATACCTAGTAACAACAGCTATTCGTTTATTTCAAAATCACATAGTTACTATGGTTATAAGCTCAAAACTAGTAACATAGAAGTCCTCACAACCAGGGAGCTACTTAAAAATATCTGTTATAGACACAGGTTGGGTTCATCGCGCCATCCCCACTATCTCAGCCCTAAATCTGCCAAATCCCACGCCAATCCCTGCTTGCTTGTAATGCTCTTTACGATCCTAGCCACCACTTCTCCTTTGACCTCACCGCCAAACAATGACCTCTCCACCCAAATTCCGCTTCTCTACGGTGACGGGGTATTTCAGCCAGGATGACCCCGCCACCGACCCCGACACGTTTGACTACGTAAAAACCCCGACATCCCTGCTAAGCATAGTAGACCCCTATCTAACGATCTGATCAGGTCAAATCAAATTTCGGACTCATTCACCGAAACTATGATCAGCACGATGGAAATGACCAGATTGGCAGCCAATGGCAGCGCTTTGATGCCCACATCCGGCGCCTGAACGCCATCAGCGAGACCAAAAAGCTGAAACTCCTCTTCCTCGGACGCCACGGCGAGGGTGTCCACAATGTCGCTGAGCGCAAGTATGGCACTAAAAAATGGGACGTAAGTTGGTGAGACTTCACTCCCGTGAACTAGACGCTAATCAGACTTTCAGGATTACTGGTCTCTCCAAGATGGAGACGAGGACGGTAGCTGGGTCGATGCGCGTCTTACTGAACAAGGTAGATGCCAGGCGCGGACTGCAAATGGTGCCTGGGAGCAGCAGATTAAGACTGGCATTCCGGCGCCCGAATCCTACTACGTTAGCCCCCTGAACAGATGCCTTGAAACAGCCCAGATTACGTTCAAGGAACTTGAAATGATTGGTACGGATCCGTTCAAGCCAATTATCAAAGAGGTATGTTTAACTTGGAGTATAACATGTGCAATATCTAACCCGACTAGCTTCTCCGTGAGACGATGGGCCAGCATACTTGTGACCGCCGCTCGTTGGCTACGAAGATCGCAGAAGAATACCCGGAGTACCGCTTCGAGAACTTCTTCTCCGAGGAAGACCTCTTGTGGGATCCTGAGGTCCGTGAGTCAAATGATGAGCGCAACGATCGGCTTCGTTCTCTCTTGAATGACATCTTTGCTCGTGATCAGAGTACATACATCTCGTTGACTGCTCATTCTGGCGCCATTACTAGCATTTTGGAGGTTGTGGGCCATCGCCATTTTGCCCTGGCCACGGGTGCAGTGATTCCTGTTCTTGTTTCGGTGGAGAAGGAACATACCCCATCACAGTCGTTGTAAAGTGTGCGACTTGCAAATCAGATATCGAGGATTTTGTCAATATTGTACATTGCAGCTTCTATGGCTGCGGGGTTGAGGCACAGATTCAGAAGCGAACAGGTTCGTCTCAATGGTTTGATATCCAAGAAATTGATTCAGTATTGTACATGGGTCGCTCTGACTTAAGAAAGATGAGAGCGACTTCTCACAAATGCAATTGTCGCCTCCAATCGGCTAATGAAAAACCACTGTCCACGCGGGAAATCTAAAGATAAATAATACAAACGCCAAAGCATCGATCACCAGCTGTAGTACTGGTTCTGCGTAGGGATCTTGCGATCCGGCAGTTGGGTCCAGAGTTGGGACACACGCTCCCGCTGGGCCTTAGCCTCCCGGTCCTCCCACTCACGGATGCGAGTCTTCTCCTCCTTCAACAGGACTGAGAGACTTGTGGTGGGGGGACGCATGCGGTTGATCTGACCACGAGCGCGGTGATCCATCTCATATCCGTAGGGACCACGGTTGACCCAAGCCTCCTGAATGTAGATATCGGTGGGGTTGGTGATCTTCTTGCGCTCGCCAGACTTGAGTGTGACGGTGATGGGTTTCACGGGTTTGGCATCGTGGGAAAGGCCCATGCCGGCACGGACCACAGCGACGTTCTTTGCGTGTTCCAGGTGTTCCAGCACATCCTTGGCGGCCTTCTTGTTGCTGAAGCGCATCTGGAGGATGGCCTCGTCGATGTTCTTGCCGGCGATCTGGCGGGCCAGAGGACCCAGCTTCTTCAGCGAGGTCTTGAACCAGTGGGATTTAGCAAGCGATTCGCGCTCTGTGCGTTTGATTTGGACCTTGGTCGGTAGTCGGCCTCGTTTCCGGATCTCGCGGACAGCCATTTTTCTCTCCCACCGCAGCTGGGCCCTGGGGTCAGGACTCAAGCCCACTTGCAGGCGGCTCAATTCACGATTCTCTAGTCTTCCGACCTTGGTCTCTTCTCCCTGTTGTTGCTTCTGTTGCTGCTGGCCTTGCCGGGATGGCATGGGACCAGATGATGGTGTAGTGATGCCTGTTCCGAAGATAGAGTTCCCTAAACCACCTTCTTCCTTCTTAGGGGCTGATGGTCGGTGGGCTACTTTCGGTTTTTGGCTGTCTTTTCCAAGGAACATGTTCTTCATGGAAGCAAACAGGCCAGTCGATTTGCTTTCGCCATTGTTGGAAGCGCAACGAATGACTGTCGAGGTCAATGTTCGGCGAGGGACGAAGGTGACGCCGGTCCGGGCAGCTAAACGTGGAAATTAAGTCAGTAGGAAGGTTAGGGATGAAGAAGAAAGACTGGATTACCTGTCCGGACCAATTGCCCTGCGGGATAGACCATTGTGGCTGTTTGGATGTTGTTGTCAGAAGTTCACGTCGGGAAAAAAGGTGGAAAGTTCCCTGCACTTGTGGTCTGTGCGGGATACCGGAGCCTGAGGCACCTTGAGGTTGATCGATCAGAATAGCGTCAAAGAAGTTGCGACTCGCGACTTGGCGACTTTGGAGAAGAAGAACAGGAATATTCAACGAGGCAGAGGAACGGTACCTTTAATGGTCAAGGTATTCGCGTCTCATTCTCGCGACATCACTGTTTCTTCTTCCCAACCATCTCCACAGTATCCACTAGCCCTCATCTTTCCCTCTTTCAGTTCTTCTCTCTCTTTTTCGTCTTCCTTCATCCCTCCCTTCCCTTCCCAGGCCCTCAGCCTGTGGTTTCTATCGTGCTTGACCACTCGAGTTCTCAGAGTTTTCAGCTTGCCTCCTCGACTAAAGGGCTCTCGTTCCTTTCAGACCTTCGATTGCATTCTCGGTCTCCATCAGAAAGCAGCTGCGCAAGTGTAATCTACGTCATCTCCAGGAATAACGAGGGGGATTCTGGACATAATCTGTGACCGATGCAGGAATGGAAGTGTTGATGTTCTTCAAATTTGTCGTATGATCTGGATCTTTGCTTGAAAAGCACTATCCGTAGGTTACGACAACGGTATCCCATCGCTATTCCCGAGCAACGACTGTATCCAAAGATGGATATAAATTCACTTCTCTCGCCGGATTCGAATTCCAAGTCTGGAAATTCGACACCCGTGCCCGGTCCTACCTCGAACAACGCACCAGCCACCTCTACAGGGCCATCCCCCCACAAAGCTCTTCAGAGAACTCGGTCAGGCTCAAGACGGAAAGGAAAAACCTCCTCGCCTCTTGCACAACAGGTCTACGTTCCTAGCGGAGAACCTTCGCCAGGACCTAGTGGAGGGAATGGGACTTCCCCGACCGAAGCGCCGTCAAGACAACCCTCTACGCCAGGCATGGACACTCTAGCAGATCTCGCCTCAATGCAGCACCACCAACCCCAACGTCCAACTCCGACAAGCATGCTCCGCAGTACTGAGTCCTACGAGCACCAGCTATCCCCATCTACTATTCACCCACATGTCAACTCCGTCAACCACAACACTCCTACCTCACGTATTTCCTTCGAGATTGCCATGTCGGATGGGCGCGAGGGCCCTGCGCAGCGAACCTACGCTGCGACTTCGCTCGACCCGGATGCGCAGCGGATGGCGACCGAACTTTTCCATCAGATTTCACTCAATCCCCACACACACGACGCGCACGTTCAATTTATCGGATTGTTGCATGCTGGATTCGTCAACCATGTCTACCCACCGAATAACCCAGATGTTCACGGTGACCCGCGACGCTATGATCTGCTCAATGATCTGAAAACGGCGCGTGAAGAGATGGACAAGCTTTTCGCCATGGGCGAAGACCTTTGGGCGGAATGGATCCAGGATGAGAGTATGTTAGCTCAGGATGTCGACGGACGCATTGCTGTTCTGGAACTTTGCCAGCGATCTGTCGAGGAGGAGTTCGGCAGCACAAAGTTGTGGAACATATACGGTGAATGGGTGCTTTATCTCTACAATTCCGCCCATGGCGTAGCTGGTTCCCTTCAATGGACTGAAGAGGATCGCATGGTCGGGCGCGAGGTGTTCACGTGGGAGTCGGTCATAGAGGTGTGGCAGCGCGGCGCCGATGCTACCAAATGGAGAATCAACAACAGCCACATGGTGTGGGATCGCCTTTTGGATCTCTATGCCCAAGACATTGCTCGCGCTCCTTCCCAAGAGAAAATTAACCATCTCCACGGACTTTACGGCCATCGCTTGCAAACTCCCCATGCTACTTGGGACCAGACCTTCCAGAACTTTTCAGGCTTCATTTCGACCTATTGCAACAGCAAGTATGAGGAAATAATGTCTGAAACTGTTGTCCGCGCTTCCGAGCCCAAGGCTCTTTACACCGCGCGAGAGGAATTTGAACACCGATTGGCTAAGGCTCAAGAGTCTGGCGATCGCAGGATTGAATGGTCAGCATACTCTGAGTACATCGATTGGGAACTGACGCGCAATCGTCGGAAACGAGGAGACTTCAGCTTTGACTTAGTGAATGCCATCTATCAGCGCGCCGTTCTTCACTTCCCCACCGATGTTTCGCTTTGGGAGGACTATGTGATGTTCTTGATCGGCGAATCTCTCCATCGTCGCGCCTCGACGACGACAATCTCCACTTTAGATCGCGCGACGCGTCATTGTCCATGGTCCGGAAATTTGTGGTCACAGTATCTGCTGAGCTCAGAAAGAGAGAACCAATCTTTCAATAAGATCTCGAGTATCAAGCACAAGGCGACTAGCACTGGGCTGCTTGATGCTGGTGGCTTGGAGGAGGTTTTGAAGGTTCACGTCACGTGGTGCAGCTATCTCCGCCGACGCGCCTTTTTGTCCGACTCAACCGACGAAGACCTCGATGTCGCAGAAGTTGGAATCCGTTCAGCTATTGAAAGTGTGCAAGAGCTGGGCGAAAAGAAGTATGGCCCAGCGTATCAAGGCGATCCTCTCTTCCGCCTGGAGCGGATTTACATCCGCTTCCTCAGCGAAAGTGGTAGCTGGGACAGTGCACGAGAAACTTTCAAGGGGCTAGTGGCTCGCCGTGGCAACAGCTACGAGTTCTGGCTCACCTACTATGGATGGGAGTTGATTTGCTGGAGCAAATTTGTTCAAGGCGAGGCGACAGTCGACGCAGCACGCCGAACCCCCAATCCTAGCTATGCTACTGCTGTGCTGAAACAAGCCATCAAGAGAACAGATCTTGACTGGCCGGAAAAAATTGTCCAGACATACGTTACCCATTGCGAGGACTATGAGGACTCTGATGAGCTGCAGCTGGCTGTCATTGAAACCCGGAAAGCAATGCGAGCTGTTACTTCCCGAAGAGATAGGGAAGCACAAGAGGCAGCCGCAGCCGCAGCAGCACAGCAGCAACAACAGCAGCAGCAACAGCAACAGCAACAGCAGTGGGAGGCTGCGGTAGAGGCAGTTCCTTCGCCCGAAAAGAGAAAACGCGAAGACGAAAAGGATGAGATGCCGGAAACCAAAAAGGTCTGCAACGAACAGGTAGCCGGGGAGGTTCCCGGTCTCGCACGGGATCGGGAGAATGCGACCGTAATCGTCAAGAACTTGCCTAAAGGCACCACCGAGCACTCCGTTCGGCAATTCTTCCGTCATGTGAGTGCCGCATCCCTATCATGACATGAATTTAGCTGACCAAGCAGATCGGTACTATTAACAGCGTCAAAATGCTCCAGCGAGAAGAGAAAAACTCCGAGGTTGCGGTCATCGAGTTCGAAACCAAGGAAGAGGCTCTCGCGGCTCTCACTCGTGACCAAAAACACTTCAACGACAGCGAGAACGTCATCGATGTACAAATTGGCTCGGAGACGACGGTTTGGATCACGAACTACCCGCCCACTGCAGATGAAGATTATATCCGCGATCTCTTTGCTAAAGTAAGTACCACACTCTCCCAGCTTTGTGGCATCGCTGACTTGAAGTAGTATGGCGAAGTACTCGAAATTAGAATGCCGTCCCTCAAGTTTGACACTGCTAGACGCTTCTGCTATTTGCAGTTTGATACCGCGAGCGCCGCTCACCACGCAACCGAGCTCCACGGAATGCGATTCGACAATGACACGAGACTCAGTGTAAAGATATCCAATCCCGGAGAAAAAACCGCTCGCACCGGCCCTAGATACGAAGGACGAGAAATCTATGTTTCGAACATTGCCTGGAACGCCAATGAAAGGGATTTGAAACAGCTGTTCTCCAAATTCGGCAAAGTCGAAAAGCTCGTAATCGAGCGAAAGGCTGACGGCGGCAGTAAAGGCTATGGTTTTGTCACCTTTTCTACCAAGGAAGCCGCCGACGACGCTGTCTCAATGAACGAACAACCGTTCAAATCACGTCCTCTTCTTGTCGAAATTGCTTCCACCGATGTTGCTCGACGTGGCACTCGGACCATCATCTCACGGGTTGCGGCGCACCCATCGACCTACGGTGTGAATGGATTTGAAGTGCCGGTTGGTGAACATGCGCAGCGCACACTTGCTCTGATGAATGTTCCGGACACCGTCAACCAAGCTCGCATCCGGGCGCTTGCTGAACCATTCGGCCACTTGGTTTCGATTACTCTGCGCCCAGACCATCAGGGTGCTATCGTGGAATATGTCAACATTCAGGATGCGGGCAAAGCCACTTTGGCGCTCGAAGGGAAGGAGATCGCTCCTGGGCGCCCCCTTCATATCGGCACAGTTCGCGAGATGATGGAATTGGAGCCAGAGGTTAAAACAAGCCGGGTCACGTCCGTCAAGCACGAAGACAAGACGAAGAAGACGACTCTCCAGCCCACGGGACCAATTCGACGCCCACAGCAGCCTGGTGCTCGAAAGGGTGGTAAGGGTGGTCTTGGATTCAAACGACAGACTGCACCTCACGGTCCGACTAAAAGTGCCCCATCCGGCGAAGACGGCGACAAAATGGACACGACGACCGACGGCGCAAGCAAACTGAAAAAGAGCAATGATGATTTCCGCGCTATGCTCCAACAAAAGCGCCCGGAATAAAGTGCGAGTGCAACGACGGTCAACCCTCTTGGCGCAATTCTTTTTTTTTTGTGTCTTTCTTTCTTTGGATGGCATGCCGGCTGGCGTTTTTCTGTTTTTCTGGGGGTTATCTTGATGCCTTTAGATCCGCATGCACTCATCCGGGTCGGCTTTTTGCGCCATGATTTCTTTTGTTTGTATGGCACATGTCGTCGTGTACATTATGACTGTATCTTGCTCCTAGTTCTAATGATGATGTCTGTTCCGAAGGGCTGTCTCCGAGACATTGCCCCCAATGACCCGAACCTTCCTGGCTAGAATATGATTATATGATATATATGTGGTTATCTGTATTTGGTGCATTGTGCATTGTGCATTGCCTTAGATCTGTAGATATCCACAATCGATCTCATTGGCCTAAAGCGTCTGAGTCGAGGTGCATTGACGTCAACTGCCTTGCGCGGGGGCAAGGCCAAGGGGTTGCACATGAAGCGCCATTTATTGCGACCACTGGCCATCGACGAGACACACTTCTAACTCCTGCATCCTCCCTTCTCCCTTCTCCCCGTGAGCCTCTAAATGTCCGCCTGATCCCCTCTTATCGACCCTGCACATCTGATTAGCGGACTCTCACCGTCTACAAGTACCAAGCTCCATCCCTTGCCTTTCTTCTTTTTTCTTGGCCTATCGAGTCTATTAAGACCTCTCTATCTACTGGTTTATATTTGATGCGCAGGTCAAACTGCGCACCTCAAGCATCGTGAACATCGTTAGGCAGCGATGGATTTCCGCCTTGTGCCTCGTGGTACCGACCGCAACTACACAGGATTCCTCACAAAAACCATAGTCTACATCGCAACGCTGGTGATATTCCTCGCCTGTAAGCCTTCCCCGAACACCAGCCAGACAGTCCGCACTACTGACCACCCCCGGCCAGCATTTGGATTGACAATATCCTCGATCGTCATTCCAAAATGGGTCAGCTACCATAGCGTAAAGGTGCGTTGTTTCCTCCACTGCCAACAATGCCCCCACTAATCATATAAATCTATATAGCCTGCCAATCACTACTCTTACGGCCTTCACCGCCGCTGCTCCTCCCTCACCGATACCTGTGAGAGCTTCCCCCAAAACGAAGACTGCCATGGCGAGGACCGATACTTCTGCTCTATGTGGCGCTCCGTCGGGTTCCTGATGTCCCTTGCCGTCGTCGTGCAAGCCATGAGCGTGGTAACTTATCTAGTTATCCTGAGCGGCGGGAAGCGGCTCCGCGAAAATGGGTGGGGGATTCTAAGTCTGATGGTCGGTTTGTCTGCCATTGTGCAGGCGGCCGGCATGTCGATAGTAGTGAGCTGGTCTTAATACATCTTGCACATAAGAGGATCTATACTGATCTAAACCTCCAGGCATATCTATTCGACAACGAGGATCGGTTCTTCGTCGGCTGGAAACTTGACCAGTCTTGGGTCTTTTGCCTTATCAGCTGGTGTTTCAGTCTCTTCTGCGCGGGGGCAGTGATTGTGGCTGGCAAGGTCCTACCCTCGGAGGGTGGATATGAATTGATTCCTGGTCACGATGTGCTCTAGGTTACTTGATGGTGGGTCTGTGCAGCTTGTACGAATCATGCGTTACGCACAACAGACGAATATGGTATGTTCTCAGTTTTTATCTTGGTATTATCATCTCTTGACGATATTCTTCTCATGATTCTGCCAATTTCTGTGGTTACACGTTGCGATTTTATATGATTTGGCCTTGTGCCTCGGCGTTGGGGCTGTATACACATCTTTTACGATTGCAGGCTATGGGAACACGACTAATAGGAATAACCAGGTGGTTGAAATCACTTCTTCTATGATATTTGTATCTAGGCCATGTTTGGTTTATCATAGATCAAATTATATCTTAGTAAATCGTGTTGGTAGCCTTACAAAAGATCAGAAAAGGTAGAAAATGGAAGAAAATGCACCACTGCTCAGATAAAGACTTCATTTATATAATATATGATTCCCTCCGATAGGCCGAACTAACCTACCAGACAATTTCCTTCCCATTCAATCCCTCAATAGCCGGTATCTGCGGCCGCAGCGCCTGACCATAATCACCCCCATTCGGCGTGCGAAGCAAAGTATGGATATGGAACTTCTTTGGCTCCTCATTATTCAAAAACACCCCAGAATGATGATCGAACTCAACAAGAATTACCGGGCTCTGAATCCGATAATAGAAAGGATCCTCATCCCCATATCCTCCAATCCAACAGAAGTACGTCTCCGCCTCATGAGCACGCACCTGATCGATCTTCATCGCCCGCGACTTCGCCGGCAAATAAAGCAAATACTGCTCAAGAATCCCATACAAGAGCTCTTTCTGCACAGCGTCAAATGTCGACACAAGGACCCCTTCGTACGGCACTTCCCGGTTATCCCGATACGCACCACAAAGATGGCGCTGATCATCCTTGTTCCAGCGGCCGGGCGGCATGGCGGGATCGTTCATTTGGGCGAAGACGCGGGCTTGGGTCTGTAGTTCCGAGGAGAGAGACTGCATCAACTGTAACCCGAATTTCTCTTCGAGTTGCATGATGCGCGTGCCGGCGTATGGGCCGGCGTCGATCTCGTTTGGTTCGGCGCCCGTGAACCACGGCGAGGCAATGATCTGGCCCTTGTACAGGAAGATATTTAGACATAGATGGTGGCCGTAGAAGGACCAGCCCCAGGGACGGGTGGTTGATGGACGGCCGAAGAGGACGAAGTTGTAGGAGAATTCGTTCATCACGGCTGGGGATTTGACTAGCTCGCCGAGGAAGTGGTTGATGCGCATTGCGCTGATGGCTTTGGAGTACCCTTCTGGCGAGAGGGTTTGTTGCAGAACGTTCATCACTGCGTCGCGGGTTTCGGGGTTGATCTCGTCTAGTCGAATGCCCTTGTTTGCGAGTAGGAACTCGGGGTTGGACCAGGTGCGCCATTGGGGGGAGTCGATGTGGTAGTTGATGGCTTCTTTTTGGTTGTTATCGAGCAAGGCTGTTAGGGATTCTGTTGCCTCTACTATTTGTTGGATTGGGACTTCTTCGTCTTGTAATGTGAATAGACCCGGGCGGACGTTTCCTGTAGATGTTAGGGGGTGGTCTGATTTCATGTTGCTTTCGTGCGTACCGTCGGTCGTTACGCCCTTGAATGGCTCTTGTAATAGATCTAACCAATGCATGTATAGTGCATGCAGCCATGGTGGCTGATGTCCGGTCTTGAAGTCTTGTGCATACTCGTGCGCATCTTGTTGGCACATCACCTGGAAGCGCTTGAGGCTTAGGTCGGGGAGGTACTGGCGATATTCGCCTGTCGACTTTTCCAATGCATCGGTAGTCGTCATGATGATACAGAATCAATTGGATGTCGAGGAAATGAATTGGAGAAAAGAAGAAGAAACACGCCATAAGCTGTTTATAGCGGAAACCCCACATCGGTTTCCCCACGTTCGTGGGGATGGCAAAGTGCTTATCCGCCGTGGCAGGATCAGTTCACTTCCACCGAAAGGAACTCATCAATAGTTCTTTGTCAGTATGGGAGATCTGGAGATGCTTCTCGGGAGTTCTCCAGTGCTACATGTTGCAAATTTGAGGTTTGCGATCGTCCTATCGGCCCCTGGGGTGGCATGTGTGATCTATACTCTATGGAAGCGATGCATTAAGCACGAATCAACAAAAGAAACGAGTTCTATGCCCAAATATAAATCAACAAAAGAACCTTATGCTAAGAAATAACTCGGCTGATTAACAGAAAGAAGTTCAACATGTCAATTTGGTAAATGCGCCTCGTCCTGAGTCTCTTCAGCTTCAAGCCCGGAGACACGCAACTCCATGGCTCTCAAATATATAGATAGATTCCACTGTTAAACATTACCTTTTCCTAGTGACTCATAGTAATACCAATCAACTCACACTGGAGACGATATGAATACTTTCGGCGGATGTATTGGGTGATTGCTTCATTGTGTTCACAAAATATAGGAACAGCGCGCTGAATTACCTAACTATTTTCTTGGAGGCGAGTATTCCATACAGAGAGGTCCAGACCTAGACTATAAGCTGAGTATCAGGGGGTATGGCCTTTATCACGCGCAATCCATAGGTCGTGGGTTCACGCCTAGATCCATATAAGCACATGTATGTATTTCTGTGTATCTTTTCAGTTTATCTACGTGGATAGGTCTCCAAAGGGCCAACACCACCTCGGGTATTTTCTGACAAGGTTGGCTGGAGAGATATTGTGGTGTTAACAATGCGTACATCGACATGATGGGTAACTCTGATGTCTTTTAAATTGCCATAAATGTTGTCTCCGTTTATGTAGCAATTTTTCCACCGTTCTTTCATCAAATGGGCTTGTGGTTTAGTGGTATAATACTCCCTTAGCATGGGAGTGGTCCGGGGTTCGATTCCCCGCGAGTCCATGTCTTTTTGTCCCCAACCCTTCCGATTGTGGAGTTGATTGGGCCTCTCGTTGCCTTCTCCTTTTTGGTTCTAAAATCTACGGAAACCCAAGTCCTGTCGACTTGGAACATACGGTCTGATCCGGGTGCTGTACTCGATATCGGTACGGGCTCGCGGTCTGTATCCTTTTTTAAAATAATAATGTTCATACCTAGCTTTACTTGATATTCCATAATTCAGAGGTAAACAATATTCAAAGGAATGAAAAATCACAGTTTGATTGGTTCTCTGTCGCTTCCTTGGTATTGTGCTCGCGTGGCGAATGATCGTTGTTGCTGGCAATATGAGTTTAATAGTCGCCATTGTTTTTTAGCCCTGATTCTTCCGTTCCTGATCTACTAGCTCATTGATGTCAAATGAATTGCTGGATTCACAGCATTACGTTCTTCCTGCTGCGGGAGCAGCCATTGACACGGCTAGCTCGGAAACCTGTCCCAACTGTCGTCCTCGTATTCCTCTTGGATTTCCTGCTGGATATGGATGTTTGAGGCACGTGGGACCAGTGCGGAGCTCAAGACCTTTTCTAGGTATTCCTTGGGGTGTTTGGTAGTGCGGCCGTGAGACATATAGATGATGCTCAATATATATTATCATTTATGGACCTGGCAACGCAGTATTGGTGACATAAAAAGAATATTAAGACTTCACACCACGGGGTGAGAATGGCTGGCCGGAGGTGAGGCCAGTGCGTTTCTCCATTAGAACTCAGCCTGTACTACAAGAGTATGATCATGACCCTTCTCCTGATCTCGTTATAGAAAAAGATATATTCACATCCGCTGCTCCTACTCTAATATCTACCGCTTCATCCTTGCGGATAAGAATGTATTTATTACATTGCCTGTGGGTTCCACGTATAATAGGCTCTGGTCGAAATAGACAAGGGCCGTTGCCCACACCTACTGGTTCAATTGAATGCTCTCCAAACATCCCAGCGCTTCAACCACGGCTGTTCACTCGGTCCATATGAATAGCCCCACTGTATCTGTGTCTTCATTGGCCAAATAAAAAAAAAGAAAGGTCCTACCCGGGTTCGAACCGGGGTTTGTGGTAGATTAACTATCCAATTGGATAACTTCAAAAACCACAGTGATAACCACTACACTATAGAACCTGTATTGGTGATGCCAGCCCAGTTCGATGGATCGCGATGGATCGCTACCATATTCACACTCTTGGGTTACATTGGTACATGACAATGTATACGGAGTAGACCACGAGCAATTTCGTACTGCCATGGAAAGGATCCCCATTTTATTATGTGAAAGGAAGGAGAGAGATATAGAAAAACACGATGGAGTGCCTCATGGCGCCTCTTCACCTCCGCAGGTATGCAACCTATCACAACCCCTCCGAGTTTTCCGCCTGGAGAATCCTTCTTTCCAGCAGGAAAATCAAAGTCTCGTATTTCGAGCGCATAACCTTGCACCCGAGATATAGTTCAGCACCTTCATCAATGGTGCATATCTCTTTTCGAACGCAGGACTCCTGACAGCCGAGCGCATGGCTGTCATGTTGCCCAAGATATAAAGACCCTCCTTGGCTCGGCTCAATGCAACATTCAGGCGGGTTTCATCATCAAGGAACCCGAGATTTGTGGTCACAGTCAGATCAAAGATCACAATTGGACTCTCGCCACCCTGGAAGGAGTCGATTTTCTTCACTGATACATCGCGAAGGCCGAGAGAGCGCGACTTCTGATGTTGCTCTGTGAGAAGCTTTAGAGTTGTCTGATACTGAGCCTCGTAAGGAACCAGGATCACTATATCCTTTGGTGCGAATCTATCCATTTCGAGGAGTTCCTTGCATATGGCAATGGCAGCCATGGCATGTCGCACATTTTTCTTCGAGTAGCCCTCCATTTCCGTTCGACTGAGAGAGAAATCCAGGAAGAGGAGGTTTGATTCTATCCCGAATCGAACCCTGTTGAACCCTCGCAGAAAATAGGCTCGCGCAGTTCTCGTGCTGTCATGGTCTATCAACTTATCTTTGTAGAATGTCTGGCTCACAAGGGTGGAGATATCTGGATGCACGCGGTGTTGCACTTGCAGCATTATCGACTTGTTTGCACCCTCTATAAGACGTTCGAACAATGAAAAGCGTAGCTGAAGATAGAATGGATTTGATCTCCAGTCTGATTTCACCGTCGGACCAAGCTGGCAGTGATCGCCTGCCATCAGGATCGGGGCTGGGTAGTAATGCGCGAGAATCGGCCACATCTCTGGCTCGGACCATTTGGCAGCTTCATCAACGGCAACAACAGCGGGTTTGATTGCGTCCACGATTGTCGGGTGTCCAGCGGCGGAGGGCGTGCAAACAATCACATCAGCCATTTCAAGTACGGCGCGAAGAAGTCTGTTCGTGCCCTGACACAGATATGAGATCCTTCGGTTATTTCCTTCCTTACCACCAATTTTGAGCAATTTTCGCTGTCTGAACATGTCGAAGCATTCGCGGAATATGGTGTAGGATCTGTCCGGTTCGCCTTCGCCATCTGAAATGATTCCCGAAAGACGCAACATCCAATAGACATAGGTGAGTTCCGTACTGGAGTCTGCCCGGCGAGAAGGGGAACGGCTCTGGTTAGTTGTGGTAAATTGAGAATTCAGGATTGCTTGTGTGGATGCCATGCTGTTGAGGATTTCCAGAGCATCTTGCGTCGAATATGAGCTCATCGGGCTACTCCCCGGAAGATGCTGCACGCGGACGACAACAATCATCTTAGATCCCATTCGAGGCTTAAGCATGTCGATGCAGATATTGTTCATCTCCTTCGCTGTTCGAAAAACACTTTCATTAGTCGGTGTTGCAATCAAGACCTGGCGCTTTGTGTTGGACTTGCTATTCTCGTTGAGAAACGGTAGCAAACACCACAGCAACCAATACGTCTTGCCTGTTCCTGGCGGGCCTTGAATCAGCGCAAAAGGGCCAGAGAGTGCTTTGAGATGATTAAATGCCTCCATTTGTCGACTGTTGAATTCTGATTTCAGGAGTCGGCCTTCGATATCTTGAAACAAATCCTGGCGTAATGTTCCATAAAGATTCACAGGAGGAAAATGCTCGAAGCTTGCAGAAAGTAGCATCTTGTATAAGTCCCTGAGGGAATTCCGATTGTTCCACATTTTGTAGATCGCGTTGATCTGTTGTTCAAATGGTCTCGGACTCAGATGCCGCCTCAAAAAAACATCCTGCGACGGAAATCGTTCGATATCATCCTTACTCATGTCCTGGGTCAACACCAGGTAACCGTGTCGCGCAGGAATGAGCTCACGATGTCCCGTACCCCATGGGTGGGAGAGTCGAGCAGTGGCCCACCCATTCGGGCAAAGGATATGGTTCTCGATGATCACCAACCGAGCTTCGCAAAGAGACAGCAACTCAGCATTTGCTAGTCTCAAGTTGACCGGCCGAACATCGAAATTGTCATCTTCATTGAAAGCTAAGTTGTCGGGGATCTTAACATAGACAAACGGGAAGCAATCGTCCCAATGAAGAGCGAACATCTTCATCGAGGTCTGAATATCTCTGGACTTATCTCTCCGCAAGTCCGTGGAATTGTTTGGGTCCCTCGGATTCTTCGGGACGTTTGAGTCCTCCATCAAGCCCACGTATTCCTGGGTGGCATATTCATGCTCAAACACCAGCGAAAACCCGACATGCACAGTGTACTCCGCCAAGGAGGCGAATTTCACTTGGTTCCTTTGTGTGCCAATCTTTGGTCGATTTTTCGTAGCGCAAATCGCACCAAGTCTCAAGTAGGGCTCTCGGAGGGGAAACCAGGTCAAATACCAAGCCTCAGAGGAAGCCATGGCGGAAGACTGTATCGGAAAAGTTGGTGGTAGGATAGTAAAGGAGAGTACGTATGAAAAGAAGAAAGACGGGGTGGCAATCAAATTATATCCCAGTCGGCTGGTTTCAAGCGCGAGAAGGGCATGTGTGAAAGTGGGAACAAATTGAGAACAAAATGAAGTAAATCTCACTCGAGGCACGAGAAGAATACGTGCTAAAGTGAGAAGAAAGATTTAGCAGTTAAAGTAGATCTTAGTAGGCTCATTCGAAGCACGAGGAGGGTATAGGTGAAAGAGTGAGAATAATTACGTAGTAATTGAAGTGGATATAAGGAGGCTCATTCAGAATATAAGAGAGGCACATGTTGGAGTGAGACGATGGGAAAGACGCAGTAGTTAAAGTAGATCTCAGTTGGCTTATTTAAAGGATAAGAAGGGTATATTGTATATATAAAAATGAGAATAAAGATGTAGTAATGGAAGTATATATAAGGAGACTCATTCGAAATATGAGAGGGGCACATGCTGAAGTGAGAAGAAGGAGGTGGCAGTTGAAGTAGCTCTGAGGCTCATTCGAAACATGAGAGATATATCATGCCCAGCATGTGACAGACCTCTATTACCAGGGGGCAGAGGGAGGGGGGAGGAAGGAGGGAGGTGGGTATATCAACCTTTTGATATAGCCCTGGAGAAGCGTTTTAGCTAACTTCGGAAATATGACTTCCTCATTAGGCAGTCTTGCAGAGGCCCAGAAGATCTCGATTCTTTCTCACAAGGCTAATTGCACGCCGATATTGAGCATATAATAGAAGTCCTCTGTATTGATGCACGCTATCTCAGTCACAGGGCCCCCATAAACTGCTAAATCGTACTTAGCATTATGTAGCGATCGCCTATGATTATACGCAGATGTACTTAAATTGAAGAATGGATACTTTTCGTGTATAACATAAAACGTGTGATGTTCACCCAAGGAAATAAACAATATATACATGGTAATGGTAGCATCCAGTGCATATGCCACAAGAGAAAGTTAAGGTATACGGAATCAGCCCTCGAAGATCGTCCAGGGACCAAAAACGAGAAACCAAAAAAGAAAAAAGAAAAGAAAACCAAAGAGAAGAAAACCCCGAAGAAAAGGCCACGATCAAGGTGGCAGTCCTATCACATATAGCAAAAGGCCCGTGACATTCATCCAATCCAGAACTCCTTCCAATTCAATTTATTTAGGGAAATCCCACCACTCGATCAAGCTTGAATCAGCTCATAGCTCAGACCACGCAGTGTGAGATTGCACCGGGCTTGGGAGGTATCAAACGATGAAATCAGACATCTGCAAACCCCATCTGTGTTGGGTCTTGAAACACCCATGGTATATATGACCAGCTCATGGGTTTCGCGATCTATTGATGTTGGTATCAATCCGTCCACAACTGTTACTATCACGATCAGACCCATACGAGCGAGCGGCATTTGGATCAGTATGCGAAGGATAAGAAGTAGATGAGCTGCGGCTTAGCGAGCCTGGAGAGGAGAGTGTCGAGGAGCCGGCAGTTGGTACAGCTACAACTGTGAGGTTTGCCGCTTCTCTGGCGGCGGCGACTGCAGCTGCGGGGTTGCAGTGTGCGCAGATGAAGATATTGAAGCCGCGGCCTTTGCAGCTAGCGCAGATTGCTCCTCTATGCACATCTTGTTAGTGTTGATTTACAAAAAATGATGAATGGGCGATTTTCGAACTGATATATACCTTGGAGCATTTCCTGCGCAACTCTTGCAAGTGATCACCGTCCGACCTCCGATGCATGAGATATGCTCGGGGTCGAGGTTGAACAAAAGGTTGGTCGTGGTGGCCATTGTATCGGATTCAGAATTGGAGACGAAAGAGATATTGGGAGATGTGAAGATAGACGTGAAGAATAAGATTGAGCTGCTATAAAGTGCGGGTGGCTTTGTGGAATTATTCCTGTTGGTTCTTCTTTTTGTCTTAGGGCCAAGCTGACAACAAAGAGCAGGTATATGGCGAACCTTGAAATACCAGGCTGGGAACAAAGGAATAGAGAATAGTCGGATTAGGCTATCAGACCAAGACAGAATCCGTATAGACCGAAGTATGGAGCCAGGAACGGTAGACGGAGGTTCTTATAAGAAAGGGAGCAGTGGCACAAGCCTACGAGGTTCCCGAGGGCTTCCAAGTGTCACATCTGCGATATGCAACACAAAAGAGCGTAGAATCAGTGACAGGAATCAGAATCGAGTCCACGGGTTGATCAGCAGGACAGAGCAGACAGAGCAACCAACAGAGACGGCGATGATGATAGGACAGTGGAAACAGGTACATGATGTACGAGGAGATTTCATTTACATGCATATGGGGGCCATTCGGTTCAATAAAATCCTTCGGTCATATGCGAGTCAGGCTATATATTTCCAGAAGCCAAGTCACCAATAGAAGGAAGTGTTGAGAGAAATAGATCTGGCATGGAAGAGGGGGGACGGCACAGAAACCGTTCTGGGCTTAGCTGAGTTGTCAAACCCCGCTGCTGGTGCCTGTCGAGCTAAGGTACCCTGCGGAAATGCAGGGTTTATGAAACAGGAGCTGGTGGGGGACTCTGGTGCTCGAAAAATCCACACGACCGGGCCTAAGTCGTTCAACCTTACGTTTGGAAAGGGCCCATTCGCTGATTTCAGTAGGGATGTCCAAAGAAGACGACAGTTGTGGAACGGAGTGCCATCGAATTGGCAAATCAAACTTGACCTAGGACCGGTCGTGTGCTTGTGGCGGAAGAGATGTCCTAGTAGCATGGCCGCCACCCTCGTGACACGATCCATTCAGACGTGCATGTTGACCGCACACAGACTTGTATACCGCCATTGTCATCAAGGGCAAGGGCTCTTTCCCGGCATGGCCGTAAGTAAAGAGGGTGGAATGCCAACCACGGATAGCTGCATCGGACCATGCTACCATGATCTGATCTCCGAAATGATGTATAGATGATACAGGCCAGGCTTACTGCGTGACTTTCAGATGATATTCCCGTGGTGGGTTGCTCTCGTCAGCCCTCGTCGTATTTCCCTTTGGGTGAGATGATATTTCCATACCAACCGAAGAAAGCAAAGTACCGTGCATCCAAGTTGAAATTGATAGTCAGATGGTGATCAGCCCAGTTCGCTTAGCAAATACCCGATTAGGAACATGATATACGGTGTAATCCCAGGACTAACTCGAAAGACGCACCCGTCTGCCATGAGCCAACGGTGTAAAAAGTAATGCCCAGTGCCGATCTATGACAGGGGTCGATTCAATGCAATGATCGTCATTAACCGGCCGCATTACATTGATAATAATCCGTCGTAAGCACAATTTCCGGATAAGCACCGCCGGAATCAGCGGATGCGCAGTCATGACAAGCGCGTGTGGTACCGATATGGCACCGGGAAAAAAATGAAAATGAGGACTGCAGCTGCGATGTGAAGTGAAAAGAAAGCCCTGTGAGAGGTGTGAGCTACCAATAAGCTGAAAGACGGAGAAACCGAAATTTGGACTCGGAGCCAATCGCAGGCCTGAATGAATACATGACCGGAAGCCCGAAGCGCCGTGGATGTGACATAGTGTCAAGCAGGTAACCGTGGGAGACGCCGCTGCAAGGACAGGGGCACCAAGGCCTCGAAAAATACCCCTCCTCCTTTAGTGTTCGAAGCTCAGTGGACATGACAAGGATTCCTTGCAACCGTTTGACATTCCTTCGAGTCTATTGTATTATCTCACTCGAAGCGCTTCTGCAGATTCGTCACATGCGGACTGAATCCTGTGGAAATGACATGCGTCCATGGACACACTGCTCAAATTCACTCATCTCGGCCTTTGCATGGTTGATGAGGTCTGCCATCGCTGATACCGATGAAAACAAATGGGCCCAATTTAGATAGAAGCGACGGGTATGCGCGTCATTGCGCGGGGCTGTAGATTTGTATACTGACCATATCAGCCTCTGGGGCATAAATATAGAGGGAAAAAAGGGAAGAGAGCGAGACAACTCAGCTGCTCCAAACTCCCAATTCCAAGGTGCATAGAGGGGCTCGTTCAACCAGTTCGCTGTTGGAGACAAGTTGACCTGCAGCCAGCCACTTCCAATCACGCGCTAGCTCGGGATTTGAAGCCAGACTGACGTCGAGGCTTCGCATTGGTGGTCTAATGAGTGAATCATGATAGCAGAGAAGTTTCTATCAATGTCTCGAAAGGGTTAATTGAGACTCCCGAGGATTGTCCCGGAACTAGAACATTTGCAAATCTCTCCTTTGCAACTGGTGTCACGATTGAAGCCCGAGAACGCCGAAGAGAAAAAGAAAAGAAAACGTCAAGGTTGCACGTAAATGGTAAAGGAGCGACTCGGTTGCAGGTCAGCTGATATGAACCTATGGGATACCTGCAGCCCAGTTTTCATTGTCGCAAGAGAGCCGAGCCTGGCTCCTTTCTTCGGTGGAGATGCTCCTGTCAGTTTTCACAACATCATCTAGGCAAGTCCATGATATCTATCTTGTTTTGTGAGCAATATAACTCACATGGGTAGGATATATGCAGATGTAGGGAAGCCGTCGAGTGTCAGCTACTGTTCGCGTTTCGGCGGTTCCAAACCACCTGAGAGCATAAAATGAACTCGCACGTCTGTAAAATGTTCACCGACAGCGGGATGATATCACAGTGCATTTTCAAATGAGACCATCCAAAGTTGGTACCTGGCAGGGTGATAGTGTAGAATGAGAGATAGACTCCAAAGTGATTCGTAGGAAGGACCAAGAAAAAGAATAAAAATTGTCATTCTCCATTACCTGCATAGCTATCACATGGAAAAAGGATAAAGACCCTACGTGGCATGCCATCTTGAGACCTCCAGGGCTCCAGGGCTCCGTATTTCACCTAGCTAATATTCGAGTGTGTACTCCGTAGCCACGGAGCGAAAGGGGTGAAGCGAAGAAAAAAAAAACAAACGAATCATCCAACCCTTCCGAACGCCAAGGCGCGACGACCGCAATGACCACACTGCAGTGACTGGGTGAGTGTTGGGTGTGCCCATGGGGCCACGAAGAAAGACCAGCAGCGACGGTGGGAAAAGCAAAAAAAAACCCTCAATACATCCTTCCACCCAAGCCAGAACGCCTAGGGAATCTCGAGATCATCAAAACGTAGGAACCACGCCGAAAATCAATGTGTCGATGTCGACGTTAAAGAGTCGTAAATGAAAAATAAAGGAGCAAGAAGCGAAAGGAACCGAAACCGAAACCTGAGTCCATATAAATTCAATCATTGAAAGTATTCATTGGGCAAAGCGGCAAGCATAGCAATGGTTCCTAGACCACCCAGTAGAGCACTCACCACAGCCGTGGTGGCGTGGCTTGCCAAGCTCTTTGAGCTTGAATGATTGGGTTTGACTCGCTTTGCTGGACGCTCATTCTCAGTGGTCGCAGCAACATTCTCAGCAAGTGCAGAGGCAATTGCCTCCATGGCTTCAGAGGAAATGGTGTGAAGATCTGGCTGGCTGGCGGGCTCTATCGCGACCTGTTGGGCATCCTGAGAGAAATCGGACTCGAGGGACGATGACTCCATCTCTGTGGCTGTACGTTTCAAGGGAGATTTACAAGTCGTTGCCATGTATGGCGGTAAAACATCTCCTGCGAGAGCATTGCTAGAGAATGGTCCATCATGATAACCAGTTTCATACGCATGGGAAAAGGACGGCACCCCGACAGTGTTCTCAATCCTGCGTTGCATGAGAGGAAATTTGTTCTCACATGCCTCCGGCAGTTCACCAGAAACATTATATGTGGGGAATCGAGCACCTGGCTTCATCATGGGGGGAAGATTCTGTGCAATTGCCGGTTTGTTCTCTTTTCGTGTAGGGTCCAGAGACTGATCTACATGTTCCTCCTGGAAGAGTGGCTTCGGATCAGTTTCCTGAGGTGAATGTTTGGATACTTCGACGGCATCGGTGTGAATGGGATGCTCAAAGGAAATGTGGATGTGAGACTTCTGCGGGTCGCGGTGCTCCAGATGCGCATCCTCTGAGGAGTATTCAGAGTCGCTTTCGGATTCATCCGAGTTTTCATCATATTCCTCTGCATTTTCATCCTCTTCGCAGTCTTCCTCTTCGTCGTGCCCATGGAGGTATTGTTCGGATGCTCCACCATCGACTCCGTAGAGAGACTCGCTGTCAAATGCCCCATGCGAATATTCACCGTGATATTCATCGTAGTAGTCTGAGGCCGAATCCATGAGACTGCCCGACTCGGAGATGCATTCCTCGCTGCTCAGGCCTTCTTCGCCCGAATCAACTGAATCGTCATCGTAAAGCAAGTTCTGGTCGAAATTTGTATCCCAGTAAGGAGCCGCATCGCACCATTGACCACAAACCATCTGGGGCTTCCAGGCTCTCACGATCCAGTATTTGTGACAGTCATCAATCTCGGTTTCAGTCTCGAGCTGGCGCTTCAGTTCCTCACTGAGAAGCTCCAGTGGCTTCTCAACGATCCACCACCAGTTATTCAGCTTCTGGGTATCTTCGTCCTCATAGATGATCCAGTATCTGCGCTTATCGACGGACCAGTACCTAAGGAGGCTACCCGGCATACGATGGAACGATGTGTCTGATTCTTCAGAGTCCAGTTCCCAATAGACTTCGGTCCCAACGCAAGGTTTGAAGCCAGGGCAGTCATCAACCCAGTAATCATCTGTGTCAAGGGAACAACGGCGTGCAGAGTGGATGACTCGCCTCTCACGGTCGATATCGGGAATAGTGTTGGATTCACCCCAAGCCATATCTGCCAAGCGCATGAACATGGGTCTCATCATGGTCCAGTTGTTGTAATGGATCTCGGGAATCTGTTGGTAGCAGATTTCAGGGACACTATCTTCCGTAAATGGCTGAACCAATGAGAATTCAAAAGAGGTCGGTTTAGCGCAAGACTCTTTACCATCTGAGACTGGTTTGGCGTCGGCTATCGGGTTTGTATCAGACATGGGAGTAGGGAGGTCGGGATCTATTGCAGTGGCTGTGGCCTGGACGCAGACTTTACTCAGAGATTCAATGGGAGACAGATTTTCCGAATGGAGGTTCGGCAGGTTCTCCTGAGGTTCTTCCTGGGACTTTGGAGGTTCGCCCTCGTTCTTGGAATATTTATCATGCTGGACACCCAAATCGAGAGAGACGGGAGATATATCCTCAGGCTGCAGAACAGTATCTTCCCAAGATCGAGCAACAGGCTCTTTAGAAGAGTCGCTGCACAAGAGCTCGACGGACTCGCTATCGCTATCTTCAGGGACAGAGAAACTGTTTCTTGATGAACTGGGATCCAGTTTGATAACTTTCTCCTCATCATCTGGGATGACCACAAACTGGGGTTTAGGCCACTGAATCTTGCAGCGGACTTCGATGGCCTCAAATACCTCTGAATGCAGTTAGCTTCAATGCCGTTAATACAGGGATATTGACATACCATGACCACGGTCAACATCGACACCGAACCGGATTACGTCCCCGCTGAATAGCGGATGATCCTCGTTTGTCGATAGTTTGATATCGTTCATGTATGTCCCGTGTGTTGAGCCACAGTCTGATATGAAAACCATCTGCCCAAAATGTCAGCGAAGGTCTCAGACGAGGTTTGGAGGTTTGAGCTGACATTTTGATCCGGCGATATCTTCAGGAAGGCATGATCACGAGACATGACTCGAGATTCAAACCAAGCGTTTTCTGTTGCGGGATTACGTTTTCGGGTTTCACGCTTCGAGGCCCGTCCGATGGCTACGGGCATATCATGTCTGGTGAAGGTGAGGGTACGTAGAGGGTGTGTGTCTTCAAAGAGGGGGACGAGCGTCACGGTGACTGTGGATTCAAAATATCAGCTGTGAACAACACGAGTCTCAAGTCTTTCAAATACTCACCTCGTGGGTCCAACATGGTGGAAGATGTGTCGGATAAGAAGCTGTCTGGTTCTAGGCGATGGTAAGCATGAGAATGAGATCTCTCTATGTGACAGAAATGTCCATAGCAACCCAGTCAAATGAGAAATTAAGCTTGCGGATATGAAGGAGAGGTAGGGGGTCAGCTAGCTGGAGACAAAGACGGCTTACCGGGATGTGTCCAGGCTGCAACGCGAGCTCTTGGACTAGTTGAGACAGCCGGGAGATAGCAGATTTGACAAGAAACAAAGGTGGATTTCAAGCAGCAATATTAGAGTAGTCAAAGATAACGGAGTTGTCAGAGGGCAAAAGATGTAGAAGGAGAGGGAAACGAAGAGGGGTAGGCTGATGAATCGGGTCGAAGTTAGGTTCACCGCTGGCAACAAGGGCGGTCGTTGGAGCACTGCCTTGAACTGTAGGGCAACTTAATCCTCTACCAATAGATCCACTCAAGAGCAAAGTATCAAGATTCAAGGTGAACTGAAGAAAGCCAGGATCCGGAAGCTCAGGAACAATGAGGTATGTATGAGAGGTGATAGGGTCAGATAAGCAAATGACGCCGTTGGGCTGATTTGGATGCACATATACCCTGGGCTCACCGGGAGTCCCCGACTGGATAGACACTACTCCGTACATATAGATCATATCTACACGTAGCTACATGTCGGTTACTAGTCTACTTGTCCTGGAAGCAGCGTCTCAGTCTTCATCTAAAAACAAAATCCGGAGATGCCGATAAGGGTGGGGTCAGCTGATGTGGGGTCCCACGTCATCGTCATCCGCACACGAGCCCCGAGACAATAGCCTGGTATCTAGGTACCTACCTACATATAGGTATGTATGTAGGTATATCCAACTCGCTAATCGACTGTCGTTCCACCTGCCAGAGGGGTCTTGTTCATACATAATATTCCCTCCTACAATGGCTGAATGTCACTGGAGGTGCTGCTGGAATGCCGATATCTTGTCCGTACACCATAGGTTATCGTTCCACACGCAAGTACAAGGCAACAAACACTCATAATATTAGTTGAGCCCTTTCTTTCGATATGCGATTGGGGTCTATATTGTTGTCCCCATAAATGGCAGAGAATACACAGCAGATCCCGGTGGAGAGTAGCACAGCCAGTGTATAGAGTCTCGAAATAGTTGAATGGATGCTCTCATCTTCCTCTATGGTACACAAATTACTACATGGTCATCCAAGCCCTAATGCACCTGCCCGGGCTCATTTTGCCGTCCATCGGCCCATCCCATCCCGGATCTGCTCTCAGACAAACCCAGTACCAAAACAGAAAGAAAGAAAATAAGGCGGCCGGGGAATATGTCAACCGATACTAAATACACGCAGAGAGAATAGTGACCGGGGATCCGAAGATACCAAATCCGGAAGAGAAATGAGCTTAGACGGGAATACCGAAATCAGAAAGAAAACAGAAGCGAAGAAGCAAAGGGCGAAGATGGTCCGTTGATTCGCTTACATGCCAGGGGCACCACCGCCCATGGCACCCATGGTGTTCAGGCGAGCAGCCAGCTGGGGGTACTTCTCCTGGACCTCCAACTGGGTGCGGGTGGCCTCGGCATAGGAGATGGCGTTGATGATCTCAGCTTCGGTGCGAGCCAGCTCAGCAGCGCGCTCGAAGTACTTCAGGGCCTGGGAGACCTTACCCTGCTGAAGAAGAAGCTGGGCCATGGTTCCGACGGCAATGTCGCACTCGGGATCAATGATGAGAGCCTTCTGGCAGAGGTTCTCGGCCTCCTGGAAGTCGTGCTTCCACTGGAACAGAGCAAGAGCCTTGTTGATCAAGGGCAAAACGTTGATGCCCATGGGCTTGCTCTGCTTCTCCATCTCAACCGCCTTGTCGAACTTCTCAATAGCCTCGGAGTAGTTCTGCTGGTCAAGCAGAAGCTCGCCATAGTAATTGTACACATCGGGGACCTCCTCGAAGTTCTTCACTGTGCGGCGGAAAGTGGCCATCGCCGAGGCGACGGAGCCCATCTTGTATTGTGTCACACCAAGCTGGATGTGGGAGTAGATGAACGACCCGTCGAGGTCAATCGACTTCTGGTAGTCCTTGGCGGCCTCAGCAAGCTCGGTCATAATGAAGTGCAGCTGGGCGCGGTGGTAGTAAATATCGGGGTCATCCTTGTTGTGAGTGATAGCAAGCTCAAAGTCGTCCGCGGCAGCGTCCTTGTTACCAAGCTCCAGGTGCAAGCTGGCGCGCTTAATGTAGCTCTGAACAAGGGAGGGTGAAAGCTCGACACTCTTATTCAGGTCCTCCAAAGCACCAGTGGCGTTACCCCCGAGGTAGGTGAAGGTGGCTCGCATGTTGAGGGCCAATCCTTCGAATTCTCCGAGCTCTCCGAGCTCAAGCGCCTTCTCGAAAGCGGTGGCAGCCTCTTCATAGCCGTCAGCGGTCTTCTTGGCCATGGCGACGAGACCCTTGCGCAGCTGGCCCTTGCTGGAGTCTTCGCTCAACTCAACAGACTCCTCCAATCCCTCGGGCAGATCCAAGGGGCGGAAGCTCTGGAGGTAGTTGGAAACGAAGGTGGCACTGGGCAGCTTCTTAGTGCGTGCCTCCAGAATAGTCTGGCTCTTCTTCTCGGCAACCTTCTTCAACAAACGTTCGAGCGAGTTACGGCTCACATCGTTGGAGAAGGCATCGATGATACAGCTGGCAGTGAAGTCAAGGAGAGCCTCGCTGTACTTCTCGAGGTGCTCATACGCAATGGCTCTGCGGTTGAGCGCCTTGACGTATTCGCTGTCCATGGCGAGTGCGGCGCTGGTGTCCTCAACGACCTTCTCCCAGTTGGACTGGACATTGTAGCATGCGGCACGGTTGGAGTAGAAGACGGGGTCGGGCTTGCAGAGAATTGCCTTGCTATACAAGTCAATGGCGCTGGGGTAGTCCTTGAGTCCGTAGGCCTTGTTACCGGCAGCCTTAAGCTTAGCCGCATAGGCGTTTCGGGTCTTGACAGTCAGCGAAAGTCTGGGCGGGGGAACATGACTTGATATACCTCTTCGGAAAGCTCTCCAACGGTTGCCTCGGTGACTTCGGGAAGCTCATCGGCAGGCTGCTCTGCCTTTTTGGGAGCCTCTGGAACGTTGTAAGCCATACGACCGCTGTACTTAGGGGGAAAAAAACACCTACCCTCCTGGACTGCTGCAGCCTTTTCCTCCTCAGCCTTCTTCTTTTCTTTCCGGCGCTGGTTCTTGCTCTTCTTGGGTGCGGGAGGAGTGGATTTGCTGGAATCATTCAGGTAGTAGACAACACCCGCGCCGGTCACGACAACGGCAACACCGGCAATGGTGTAGACAACGGCCTTGTTTTCTGAGACCCAGTTGGTGATGCGATCCCAAACCGATGCTGTTGATGCCTCAGTGAGCTTCGATGTATCAAGCACCACATTCTGGGCGGGCGTAAGTAACGGCGATTCGTTCGACATGATGTGTAATGGAACCAGACAAAGCGACCGACGCGGCTAGTTCGTTTGACTATGTGTTGATTGGATCAGTATTTGGCAAATCACGCGCAACTCGGCTAAGATGGAAGGTACTGGGGGTACTAACCAGACCTCGACAGAAGGGGTTAGAGACAGGGAGTCGGGAATGATGAAGCTCAGAGGAAAAGTCGAGAATCCCGTTGGTCGGACTAACCAATCATGCGCCTTGCGCCGGTAACGCTGGAGTTCTCCACCAAACATTTCCCGAATTGAACCGCAAGGGTTGGCTAATCAGACCATTTGTATTGAGTTGTGTGGCTTTTCTTGGAGATTTGTCCAAACATTGTACAGATGTGTCTGTCAATGAGCGCAACTAACTACATGTAAAGACTTCAGCAACGACAAATCATCGACAAAACAATATGGCCGAGAACACTTCAACCCCTTCTCAATCTTTCGAGATTATTTCCTCCCTTCGATATGACCCAGGTCTTCCAGATGCAGCCTGTCGCCATGCGTCAAATTATCCCGATCCTCAGAACTCTCCCTATTATCTCCTTGCCTATCATCGTGACCGGCTGATAGCTACCGCGAGACATTTCCGATGGAACGAGGCTTTGGATTGGCTGGAACAAGATCCACAAAGACTCGAGGAATTCCTCGACGCGTCCATACCAGATCGGAGCAAGGCGTGGCGGCTTCGCATTGTAGTGAACAGCAAAGGAAAAGCGAGAGTTGAGGCGAATCCAACTGCGAGCGTTGATATGATGACTCTGTTCATTCCCTCACTGCATCCAAACTCAAGTCTACCAGTATGGCGCGTCTATGTCGATACCCAGTCAACAACTCCTTCCGGCTTCACTACACATAAAACTACCGCGCGCGATGAATACACGTCTGCTCGTCTGAGAGCGGGAATCATCTCGCCGGCGGAATCAGCGGAGGTACTGGTTGTGAATCCGGATGGCGAAGTCATGGAGGGTAGCATCACCACGCCGTACTTCTTACGGGGCAATATGTGGATCACGCCTCCACTGAGTAGCGGCGGCAATGCAGGTACAACTCGGAGATATGCGTTGTCACAAGGTTTCTGTCTTGAACAGACTATATCACGCGATGAGCTCGTGGATGGCGAATTTTGTTGGTTGAGCAACGGCGTAAGAGGGTTCATGCGAGGCCAGATCGTGGCCAAGTAATAACTTCAATGTTCCCGAACTATCTGCGTCGGTAGGTACATATCTTGAAGGGTATTGGTAAATTCGTGAAACGGCTATGAAATCATATGTATTTTTAAACTTGAATGCATCGATGAATGCTTCATCATATGCTTATTTCTTAGCCTTCTCAACAACCACTGGGTTGGGATTTCCCTTCCACTCCAAAGAACGAGGACGCATGAACTCAGCCATGATTTCATCCGTGACCTGTGCCCTGCGCTCCTGGAATCCTTGAACATAAGTCTGAAGCTCAGCAATACACTTCTGCTTGATCTCGCCGGTCATCATCTTTCCGCTCTCGTAATCGGTACGAATGCGCTCCAATTCCTCGTCATCCTCAAGGAAGAATGTCAGGTACTGGAACGGAATATCGTTCTTGGTGTTACCACCCAGTTCGCGCTGCAGTTCAGCGGTGTCCTGACCACCAGAGAAAGCGTGCTTGTTGATCTTGTTCTTGATCTTGTTCGGAGTATCACTCATGAAAATGGCGGAGCTGTCGATACTGGCGGACATCTTAGACCCAGGACCCTGGAGGGCGGGAAGGAAGATGGAGTGGATGAGAGAGGGCTTCTTGAACTTCATCTTCTCTGCGTGTTCGCGGCATTGGCGGAAGTAGGGATCCTGATCAATGGCGCAGGGAATCAGGCAGGGAATCGAGGCAACCTTCTTGGTCTCGGTACCGAAAATGTGGGGGAAACTGGTGGAAAAGGCCGCAGCAGACTGAGTGGCACAGAAGTGGAATTCACCAATGTTGTTGCTGTCGTTGAAACCGAATGTGCCCTTGACCTGGTTGATTGTGATTCTCTTTGCCATGCGGCACATGTTCTCGTAGAAAGCACCTCCAATGAACTCGAAGTCACTGAAAATGAAGGTCTTCTTCATATCGAATCCAACAGCGATAATATCCTTGGCGTTCGCCTTTGTGTATCTCTTAGAGTCCTCAATCTCGATCTTCTGGGAGTGCATGAACTTCTCGTCGTCGGTCATCATGATCACAAGAGGAACATCGAAAACGTCCTGGAGCCATCTACATTTACGTCAGTTCCTGGTGGCTACCTGCGTGGTGATAAAAACGAAACATACTTGGTGAACTCGAACGGCACAGTGTGCCCGACGTGCATGCTGTCACTACTCGGACCACGGCCGGTATACAGGAAAAATGGCTCGCCCTTCTCATGCTTATCCAGAATCTTTGACAAATCACGGTGACTGAACACAATGCTCCGGCGCATGAAACGGTGTGGCCGGTGGCCCGTCACTTTCTCAAAGCGCTCCAGCAGAGCTGCGTTGATAGGAGTGGCACCAAACTCCCTCGTGAGCTTCTCATAATCAACGGGCAGCAGCTTTCCAGACTCGTCAACTCCACCGGACACATCAAAGGGCGTGACGATCTGGCCAACGGCCTTGCTCTCTGGGGTTTTCTCCTCGAGGCTCAACGAGTTGAGCGCCGGAGGCTGGCTTGTTTCGTTGGACATGATTGCTGATTAGCCTAGCAGAATTTTTGTCAATTCTAATCCCCAAGTCGCAGGATCAAAGGGCCAGTTCTCACCTGATTTTATGGTTGGGGGAATGATTTTCTTTCTGTTGCCCCTCCCCAATATCGGAGGATGAGTCAGATTTTCTGCTATCAATGGGCCTTCTGATTGGCTCAATCCATACTTTATCAGGTGATGTGTTATAACCCCGCGAAGGTCAAAGGTTCTTTGTTCTTCTTCCTGTTCTCTTATTCAATTGAAACAGAGTCGACGAATATATTCCATATATGTCTTTCCCTAAGATGAACTAGACAAAGATAATGTCCTCTATCTGCGCTCAAGTTTTATATCCGCAACAAACGGCGCATTCAGACCCCGATGGAGCTAGGTATATATCCAACCTTAAAGTCTTGATTGCCTACACACCATGATAGAAGCCGAATAAAACAATGTCAACAAGCAATAAGTTCGTTGCTTATCTTACATTACTGTCGTCTAAGTTCTTTTTGGGCGAACTTTACTCCGTACGCAGGGTGTCTTTGCCTTACATACGTGTATAACCCTCTCTGGCACTTCGGCGAACTCAGGAAGAGTGCTATGCCTAGGTCGCTTTGTAGAAAGTAAGCGAACAACCAGTCAGAGAATATCCCACCAGCTTTGACACTTATACATAGGTTCTCCAGGGATATAAAAGGTTTGGTTTCAACACTCAAGAATTCTCTCGCGCGCCGTGCATCATATACCTAGGTACCCCGTAGTTCAAGTCGGCATCATAGCCACTGAGTATCTTGCTTTATCATAAAATCTGATGATAGATACTCAGGTACACTATCTAGGTGTAGTGTATCAGTACACTTCTCTCATGTGGTATGGGAGCACTGTCTATAATGGAGGTATTTTGGATGCGGGTTTACGACCTCAGACTACAAAGATGCACCTTGATCCGGAAAAGTATGTATACGCTGGGGCGCAGGTAGTACATAACTTATCTATGGATGTATACTCCATGGGTAGCTTGTGGGTTCAACTTACTTTTTCTTTGCTAGTTATTCCTGGACACTCAATGGCTCATGCCAGTTATCCACGATTTCAAGATATAATTATAACTATGGTTGAAACTCATCATAGCTCGTGTCATAAGTACAAACATCCGAATAGCTTCGTCTATGGCCGTGAGATCGACTTCTCAAGATTTGCCTCTTGGGGATCAGAAATTAACCAAATGGGCATCATGCTGCGTTGTACCAATGGATACCTACCTGAACCAACCCCACATCTAGGCTCTAATGCAGCAGCTGCCGGTCTTAATGGCAGCCCTCGCATCTTCTGTTACAGACAAGATAGGCAATTGGTAGTTCCCCGCGTTAGCCGGCATGGCCTAGGCGTTCTTTCTTTCTCCATTACTCCGTATTGACTTGGTTAACTGAGAATGGTGTTCACCCTCGAAGACAAACAAAAAAAATAGAGAGCCTAGAGCCAGCGAATGACTCAACGATTGCTCTTTCTTTCATTCTTTCCGGTGGGGAGGGCTGGCTCTACCAGGCCATCCCGACTACCCGCTTGCCGTCAGCCCAATCATCCCAGTCCAGGTGCGATCCAGATGCGCTGTTTATCATCCCTACTCTTCCAGCTCCCCCTAAGCACTTAAAACAATCCGCCTTCCCCCGGCCATCCGCACCGGGTATTACCCAATTCCTACCTCAGAATCCCCCCTACCCGAGACTTCATGCATCATCCCGCCGCTAGCACGCCTTATCTGACAGACACGCTGCTATTTACATCCCCTTACGCCGGGATATCGAGGACATGTCCGGTATGCGGCATGTGAGATGACCGTCTAGCTGGAGACATGTGTTGGCTGGTACCCGATTAGGACAACAAAGTATTAGATTTCTACTCCATACGGGTGTGGAGTATGTGAGTTGCTGATGCAGTCACGTTTGATATGTCTTTTAGCTTATATTTTGGCTCGTCTTTTGGGTCTGTTGCAGATGCAGGTCGCAATATTTGCAAAAACACGCTATCAATGGATTTCGATGGCGGAAGATGTTGGTTTGATATCGACTTCTAGAATTGTGGACACTCGGGAGGGGCATGGTGGACACGTAGCTGTGTCGTGTTGGTCAATGCCGTTGAGAAATATACATAATCACTCGCTTTGTTTGCTGGCTGTGGATTCCCCTTTTTGGGCCAGTGGCGTGAGGATTTCTTTGATATAGCAATATACACCGAGTGGTATGGTTTCACTGCGTTGTCAGACAATTTCCGTGGTGGGGAAGAAGTCGTGGTTATCGTCAAGTTTGTTTTCTTGTTTTTTTCCCCCTCCGTATACTTAAAATCAAATTTCGATTTGGGCTGTAGACTCCTCGCTAGTAGGTTTCATCCTTTTTTGGCCTTGTGTAGTACAGCAGAAAGGTCCGAGGTGCAGAACTCACGGTATGCAGGGGCAGAGAGAGTTACCGAAACTTGCAGTCTCGATTTACTTTCCAGTGATAGCTCAATCATTGTGCCATTCGCCACTTGCAAGTCTCATGAGTCTTTGATTTGAAATAATGTAATCCGTACTCCGTACGGAGTACGGAGCACCCATGTCCTAGGAGTGAAGAAGATCGGCTCTAGGCACCTAGGGTATGCACCCGGGCAGTACACACGGATATAGGTGCATGATGATGATGAAACCAGAAGCAGCCCGCCATGCAGCTAACCCAAATGAGACTAATGGATATATTGCTCGAAAGTGCTATGCCTTTTGATACTTTGGCCCGTGACGTTATTGCTCACTGTATCGTTCAGATGTCACTCGACGAAGTACTCCGTAGACGGAGATTAGTCACCCTAAACATGCTACCTACATAGCAAAATCAACATCTCGTTTGAATATGGAGTTCTGGGTTCTAAAGATATTCAATTCTGCAACCTGGCAAGTAGGCACGTCATTTTTCCGGCAAAAGAGTAGCTCGTGGGATACATTAGGAGCTTGGACAGGAATCCGAGACATGTACGCACCCCAGACCATCATGAGGGCGTGGATAAAGCCGCCAGAATACCGTGAGGGAAGTTCAGCCCAGCGCGTCAGCCAGTCAGCGTTGACGGCTCTCTCCCTCCACGAGTGGTGATAGGTGTCGGGTGATGCCAGGCAACGTGAATGGTGGTTGGCCGGGTAGAATCAGCCATCTATTCTGGGGATAGACCACCGAAAAAGAAAAAAACAGTCGTAGACGGATGACATGAGCTGATACTCAGAGCGTCACTGTATTGAGTCAAGACGCGTGCGAATCAGAAATGACCAGCTCGACGCATGACACAGTCGATCCACCGCGACTGGTCGGGGATCTTCACCCATTTTCACCCTGAGGGTTGGCCCGCTCTCACTAAATGGAAATCATCTCAATTGTGATATGAAGCACTAGTCATTCCGTTTGAGATTGTGCCTTGGAAGGAGCTTGTTACGAGGGTCACCGGGTGGCTGCGCGTGGAGCGTGTCTGCAATCTCGATGGTTTCACAGGTGCCTGGCTGGTGTCGGAACTTTTAAAGACGTCTTGTTTCCCTCCTTTCCAACTTTCGAAATTTGCAGGAGATCTAGAAGGGCTCCACTGGAAGTGGATTTGAAACGGCCACCTTCGTCATCCCGTCGAGTGGGAAGTCGGGACTCTCATTTTACTGAATGTGCATCAGGGCATTGGAGCCGGCTTCTTCGGAGTCCAACGGTACGAAACATGAATTTTTTTTATGGGTTTTTTTTATTCTTCCGGTTTCTTAGACTTGCGCTATTTATTTTGATTTGTTTCGTTTCTGGCCTTCTCTTTCCCTATACTGGTGGAGTCCCCCGCAAGTGCTTAATGCACACTAACGGGAAATCCAACAAAGCAGATGCGAAAACATTCGCCAGACTCCCCCTTTTCCTTTTCGTCTTCGTCTTCTTCCTCTTCCTTCTATCCCTCGTCACGTAGCAGCTCATTTTCCCCAAGTAAGTTGCTCGTCCGTCGAGGGGGTGTATTTTCCCCCGTTCTGCCATTGGCCTACCCCTGTGTTCGATTGGATGTATACCCTCAGACGCTCCTGATGACATATTTTGTCGGCTATCGCGATCCATTGACATACTTTCTTAAACACGTGTGGCATTCTCATTCCTATGCTGATCAAGCTTTAGACCTATCACCGGTCTCACATCGTCGCTCAGCATTCCAGCCGAGAGATCACCTTGAAAGTCTGATCACCAAGCACGGCTACCCCACACCCGTCTCCCTCTCTTCCCTGAGAGATCTGACTGCCACTTCGTCTACTTATACTCCCCCTTCGCCGCGTCGGTCTCATTACTCGGATACCATTCCGGTTGACGCCTTGGAGTCGCTTACCTTATCCTCGTCCACGAGACCTATTCCAATCCCCAAACGCTCGGGCCCAATATACGAGGATCTCCCCGTCACACCCCTCACCGGTAGATTGGACCACAGTTATTTTGAAGATTGGGAACGCACCTCTCAACTGGCAAGATCTCGACAAAACCCTTCGCAAATTCGGCCAACTCGTGGTCGGTACTCATCTCGACTCCCCCCATCCTCAACAACGATGCGGTCGGACAATTCACCCTACTATTCCCCGGTTGCATCGCCTATTATGTCTCCACGACGGTCAAATTCCCCCCAACCAACCCGCTCCCGGGCGCAGAACTCAACCAAGGTCAAGCAGACTCAAAACTTCCATCTCGGAAGCCTACCCCGGTTCCATCCCGCCGTGTATCAGTCGAGCAGTGCTTCTCATTCCACCGCCCAACCTTCATCGCCCCGTCAGCCCCGGCAGCCCACCTATCGTACTGTAGCCGCGTCACGCGATATGATGTGGCAGTACCGCGAGTTCATCGAAGGGGCCCACCAAGGTCCCTCGGCGCCCCGTTTGGACCCCCTGGTCAGCCCGGGTCCCGTCACCCCCTGGCGCTAGAGGCGGGTGACTACCTTGCCCATGGCTCGCTCAACACATCTGAGCGGACTCCGCGAGATGTCCCAAAGAACTCCGGTCCTCCCCCTGAACTCGTGGAGAAGCTCATCGCATATGAAGAGAAAGCGCGACAGCTGGCTCGAAAATCCGCCAAGGGACGCTAGTGGATCTCCATCTCCTCCACTCCCGCATTAAAAGATTATTTCGATTCATCACCCCATTAGAGAAGTGGAATTGCCTTGGGACCCTTCTTTCATGCCTGTTCATTTTATATTTGCTTTCTTTCTTTCTTTTTTCCCTTTTCGGTGTTCTGAGAACAAAATGAGCTCGTTCCACAAGACTCATCCAGTATGCATGGGGCATTTTCATTTCTTTCCCTTTTGGTTCTCCTGTTGCATTCTCACTGGTCTCGCTCTCCATAGTCAAACATCCTCGGCTTCGGTCGACTACTGCGTTTGATCTTACCCCACGACATCATGTGTTTAAATCATATACCCATCTCCAGTCCCTATCTTTTGTCCATATATTCCGGTGAAATCCAGATCTCAATATTCATTACGAAAAGCCATGTAGTCTTTCTTCTTGATTTGATCACATGCGGTGACAGCTACTATTCTCTTCTGTAAAACCGAGACTGGGATACACGGATCTTTAGAGACCGCTAGCTGTCGTGGTCTGTTAGACATGGTGGACCAGCTGGTCGAACGGTTTGACATTTGGATATCAACTGGGTTTGGCGTCCCTCGTATTTTTCGTACTAGTTGGGGTTGCCAATCTGATTTTGGGGTAATCCAAGTATATCACAGCTTTCCTATTTCAAGTCTTCATCGTTCCCTACAGCGACCCGTGGACTGCCGCCGTTGGGCCTACTGCTAAGACCTGCCCTCTTCGACAGAATCAACCCCTTGCTACATATCCCCATTAGGTAGACTACAGGGATTGAATCAGAGATGACGTGCAGGCAATCTTCCGAACTCTCAAAGGTAATCTGGACCTACTACTCCCTATAGGGCTAGCTAGAAAGCCACCTCCAAATTCTGCCTCAGGCGGGATTATCGATTCGGAGGAGCACCCGCCCTCCCCGAGAGGAATCTGCGGGGGCCAGCAGATGATTAAAACAGCTCTCCCTTTCGTTATTCCCCTCAATTACTCCATTGCATTCATATATTTACCCCAGCTACCCCAGAAAACACGCCAGATTGTCTCAAACCGCGCCTTGGCAGCCCAGCAACCCCCGGATCACTCGCCGTATCCTTATCGGCATCCGTCGCCACAATTTCTATTTGATCGCGGATCGCGCCCGAGCACACCACATTCTACGCGAACCGTTCATTTCCGTGACGCATTGATCCCGCAATCCAGAATTGCAGATTAGAGGAAACCACGTGTGGTTCTTAGAGGATGTCACCGGCGCAGGCGCCTTTACCTGTTTCTGCACCTGATCTGATGGGCCCGCAAAAAGCGGAAAGCGCGCTTGAGCAGTCGGGGACGTCGAAGTCGAATTACAAGGGTTTTGTTGCGGGTGTGTTCTCGGGTATTGCGAAGCTGAGTGGTAGGTCGTGTCTTATTGCGTGATTCTTGTGGCTTGTCTTGGATTAGAAGCTAATATTGTTTTCCTACAGTTGGGCACCCGTACGCACAAGCTTTTCCCTACGTCGAGCTGAGCTCTTAATTGACAAAACCGTACAGATTTGATACCGTCAAGGTTCGTCTACAAACTAGCAAAGATGTACAGTTCCGCGGACCGATGGACTGCACGCTGCAGACTTTGCGAAAGGAAGGTGTACGCGGGTTTTACAAGGGAGCTACACCGCCGCTGGTCGGATGGATGGTGATGGACTCTGTGTGAGTTTTGGAACTTGAGGAGCCGAAGGGGATATCGCTGACCTGCTGCAGCATGTTGGGTTCTTTGACTCTCTACCGTCGATTACTACTTGAAAACGTCTTCTCGAAACCTCACATCCGCCCTTACCTCCCTTTCACACGCTGGCAGCCAGACCTAGCAACCCTCCCTAGTTTCGGGCATGGAATTGCCGGTATTATGGCTGGTACGACAGTCAGCTTCATCGCAGCCCCAGTCGAGCACGTTAAGGCTCGCCTGCAGGTGCAGTACGCCGCGGACAAATCGAAGCGTATGTACAGCGGACCGATCGACTGTCTCCGCAAGATGGTGAGTCTCGATGACTACAATGACTTGTACACCAGACTGATATAGATAGATGCGCACGCACGGTATTCGTGGCTTGTACCGCGGACTTTGGGCAACAGTCTTCTTCCGCTCATTTTTCTTCTTTTGGTGGGGCTCTTACGACATCCTTACTCGCTACTTCAAAAATAACACCACGATGTCTGCGCCTGCCATCAATTTCTGGGCTGGCGGTATCTCTGCCCAGTGCTTCTGGATGTTTTCCTACCCGTCCGATGTTGTCAAGCAGCGTCTTATGACCGACCCCATGGGCGGCGCGCTGAATGACGGCAAACGACAGTTCCGCGGCTGGAAGGATGCTGCGGTCGCCGTGTGGCGTGAACGTGGGTGGAGAGGGTACTGGCGGGGCTTTATGCCGTGTTTCCTCAGGGCGTTCCCGGCGAATGCAATGGCCCTGGTTGCATTCGAGGGTGTAATGCGTACCTTGCCCTAACTCCATCATATTGGTCTTCATGAACTCCAATGATTAAAGATACCGACCTTCCCCCTTGTTAGACAAAAGAATTAGACGAACATACCCAATTTGACGTGTTTTCTTTATTGAAGAAATGTGATTCCGAGTTAGGATTGCCCACGATCAGGAATGTGATGACAGGCCGCATTCGGCGATGACGTCCTCCGGGCTCTCTTCCAAGTGTTGCGATAACACCGGGTAAATTCAAAGACCGAGCAAATGGCGATTCGCAATTGGGTCATGGAATTGGTGATCTCGACCTTTGTGGTCAGGTACTCGATAGTGGAGAGTGACAGTGGGTTGTCTTGGATTGTCTCTTTCCGGACAAAGCAAAGAATAAAAGTAATCCACCAGAGCTCTCTTCGCCTTTCTCAGATCCTTCCACGTCAGTCTTCCTTTTCCATAGTAGTTGTTCGGGGAGGAATTATCGGCAAACTCGAGGCTGAATACTGGATGCCTTTTTGCCTGAGGCATTCCCGCAATCTAAACGTTAAACGGGTTTCACTGGAAAGCAACACGTCTCAACCTCCAATTCAACGCTGATCGGCCATGGCCGTTGCACGCTCCATGCGCCGCACGAGCCCAGTCAGCCTCCTGTTGGCAGCGCTGCTGGCATTTGGCTTCATATGCTTCATGCTCTCACCCTCGACACCCGCATCCTCCGCATCCGCAGCCGTAAGCTCCCAGCAACGCCAGGAAAATGCCGCCGAGCACCCTCTCTCCTCCCCCACAAAGCCATTCTTCAAATCGCAACCAATCCGGAGCGATGGCTATAAGGCGGCTCCTCCAGTCGTCCAATACGACCTCAACAACCTAACCAGCAGCGCGGACTCAGTCGCCAACGGCGAGCGGGTCCTCATCCTCACCCCGCTCGCGCGCTTCTACCAGGAATACTGGGACAACATCGTCAAACTGAGCTATCCCCACGAGTTGATCTCGCTCGGATTCATCGCACCGAAAACAAGTGACGGCAACGCGGCAGTTGCGGCTCTAGAGAAAGCTATTGCCAAGACGCAATCGGGGCCAATCGACAACCGCTTTGCGAGCATTAGCATCCTCCGCCAAGACTTCGATCCACCATTGAAATCCCAAGATGAGAAGGCCCGACATGCAATGTCCGCGCAGAAGGAGCGTCGCGAGTCCATGAGCCGGGCTCGGAACAGTCTCGTCTTCACAACGCTCGGGCCCTCCACTTCCTGGGTTCTCTGGCTGGATAGTGACGTTGTCGAGACGCCGGCGTCGCTCATTCAGGACCTAACATCGTTCGATCAGCCGGTGATTGTGCCGAACTGTTTCCAGCGCTTCTACGATGCTGCGAAGAAGAAGTGGGATATCAGGCCCTATGACTTCAACTCTTGGGTTGATAGCCAGATAGCGCAGAACCTCGCCGCAAACATGGGCCCTGATGAGATTCTGCTCGAGGGATATGCGGAGATGCCTACTTATCGCACTCTCATGGCGTACCTGCCAGATATGACAAACCTTGATCCGAAGAAGATGCTTGCTCTCGACGGTGTTGGTGGTACTGCTTTGTTAGTCAAGGCCGATGTACACCGTGACGGAGCTATGTTCCCGGCCTTCCCATTCTACCATTTGGTAGAGACAGAGGGCTTTGCGAAGATGGCTCGGCGATTGGGGTACGAGGTCATCGGACTTCCGGATTACTTCGTGAGTTTCTTTCGCGCTTATCGCCTTCCGGCTGCAGAAAAAGCAATTACTTACCGTACATTCTTTAGGTCTACCATTATAACGAGTAACAGGCTTCCAGAGCCACATTTGACATCTATTTTTCACTTGCATACATTGCGCTGTGCGCATCTTCAATGACTTTCTCATCTCTTGCTGCTATACGAGAGATTCATTATCAACATTCACCTCGGCGTCCTTTCAGTGGAGATCTTATTTCATACGTACCTGGGTGATTTCCATCCCAAATCTCAAAATTGGCTTTGCATTCTTTATGTCTATTATCTATGAATACCAGTGGGTGTTCGTTTTTATGTTGGAGGAGTTAGTTCTATGGGCGTTGCTGGCTTGATGATTCTTGTGAATTTATGTTGGCTCTAACATGGTGATTTTCATATCGAATAAACGGTTACTTAAGGATCGTGCAAGATGAAACCAAACTATCATATTTAAGCATCGTATGTCATGTAGTTGAAAGGTGTAGTGATCTACCTAATTATCTCTGACTGGGGCATCCTTTTTGAGCAAGCCACAGGCAAGAACATTTATTGCATCAAGACTCTATGCAGTGCTGGGCACTGTTCAATATTTCAAGGTCATAGCACCGGCGAGCAACTAGGAAATTAATCCCAGGAGATACTATGGTATATGTCAGCGAGAATTCAATCAAAACCTTAGAAACAGAACAGATACTTACGCAAGCATAATACCTGCACCAAGAGCGACAGCCAAAAACTGTGTGATGGTCTTGCGCACTTCGACACCCTTGTCCTTACCTGTCTCCAGCAACTCCGGAATCACAGCCACGGTACCAACGTACAAGAATGTACCCGCGGTGAACGGAAGGAGCATATCCCCCCAGGTAAGGCTAGTTCCCATAAGACCAACAGGCTCGACATCATCCAACATAGTCCCATTGCCACCGAGCTCCTGAACCGCAATTCCAATCAGCGTACCCAAGAACGCACCAATAGCAGTAACAAACTGCGCTCCCATCGCCTTGCGCTTCGAGAAACCGGATTGGATAAGCAGAGCAAAGTCACCGACTTCATGGGGGATTTCGTGGAAGAACACGGCCACAGTGGTCGTCGCGCCGATTGTAGGTGAAGCATAGAAGGAAGACGACAACGCAAGACCGTCGGTGATGTTATGCGTGAAGTCGGCGATGAGGTTGAGATATCCGCCGAGCTTGACACTGGGGTTGATTTCCTTCTCTGGGGCGGGGGTGGATTCTTTGGCGGCGGATTTACGCTGCTTGAGCTCGCCGTTGGACTTCTTCTCGGCGCCGGTAGCTGCGGCGGTGGGCTCTGTGGGCGCGTGGCTGTGGGAGTGGTCGTGGCCGCCCTCGCCGCCAGTCGCGATCCGGAGGGTCTTGTCCATTGCGACGAAGGTGAAGAATCCGACCATGATACCCAAGCCGAGGAGCAAGTTCTTGTTTGGCTCGACCATTACGAAGCTCACATGGTCTGGGGAAGCTTCGCCGACAAAGATCTCGGGGAGTAGGTGGAAGAGGGTGTCACCGAGCAAGCCGCCGACGGCGAATGCGACCATCACTGACAGTGAGGAGGGGTCGATATTGGGTGGGCATAGTGCCAGGAGGAAATCTGGAGCGTGGTTAGGAGATGCATGTTGTAAGTAGCGGGTGTTATGGCTTACTGGGGGGACCGGAGATATACAAAGTTGCCAGTAGGGCGTTCACAGCGGGGGTGCTTGGGAAGAGGACTGCGAAGATTTTCGCAGTCAGGCTAGTGGTCTCTGGGCGGGTAGCCCGCTTATGCTCGTTCAGAGATTCGACTAGTGGGCAGTTCTGTGGCAGGTTAGTTGATGTAGACAGTACAGGTCATTGTACAGCGTACCTGCAATTGCTCCTCGATCTGACCCACAGAGAGCTCTCCGGGGCCAACATTGGCTGCCGCCAAGGCTGAAAACAAAAGACATCCTGCAGCCAGGGCAAGGCCCGTTCTGCGCGAAGGAAAGAAGCGCGAAACCATTGTGAATGAAATGGTCTCTGGTCTTGTGTCGAGGCGATAGGGGATACACCTAGCTCGAGCTGAGCCGCTATCGCGGTCAGACCACTTGTTTATCGCGGGACCCTGAACAAACATGCCAAGACCTGCAAACTCAAGAAAAAAAGTTTCGATAACGGGCTTTTTATTATCGCCGACTACAGTGAACAAGAGTCCATTTAACCTCGCAATCACTCCACATCCACAATGGGTAAACTTTTGCAGAAGAAGAAGGAGCGCTCCGGGCGCTCCAAGGCCCGCGCCAAGGACAATCGTCTCAAGACCGGCCACAAGAAGATCAATGTGCTGGGCAATCAGATCATCGCCGACAACTGGTATGCACATTCTGCTCACCTCGAAGAATTAAACCACTGACGATTTCCAGGGATCGCTCATTGACCCTCACACAAAACTACCAGCGCCTTGGTTTGATGCACAAGCTTAATGCACCCTCTGGCGGCCGCGAACGTATGCCCGCAAAGGACGAGGAATTCCCTGAGAACCAGAACTCCCTGCACATCCGTGGCAGCGCCAAGGCAGCTGCAGCCAAGCTTGATCTCGGCGAGACACGAGTTGAGCGCGATCCCGAGACCGGCGCAATTCTGCGTGTTATCCACGATGACGACGACAGCGTGGAAGTGGCCGGCCGCCAGCGCTCGCGCAAGAACCCACTCAACGACCCTCTGAACGACCTCGAAATCGAGAGCAACCCTCTTGCGGACTCCGAGATTGTGAAACAGCTCGAGCGCCAGGCTGATCAGGAGGGCAAGACTGTGCGTGCCAAGAAGCCGCGGTTCCAGAGCTCGCGTGAGGGCGAGTGGGCTCAGCGCTTGATTGACAAGCACGGCGATAACTTCGCTGCTATGATGCGTGATCGCAAGTTGAATCCTATGCAGCAGAGCGAGGGTGATTTGCGGAGGAGAATTAACAAGTGGAAGAAGAGTCAGGAGTAATGCCTTGTTCATTTGTTCTGAGCATCTGGTTAGGGCGAGTCTGGCGTTTGTCTTTTTCTGTTTCTTAAAAAGTGTCTACGTGTATGCATGTGTCCCGAAGTAAATATTATTGAACGGCAAATGAGCCGCTTGGATTCGTGATCTCGTGCTGTGGTTTCCCTTAGCTGTTAAGTGTTGAGTAGGTAACAACCCCCGCCGGCGGAAGGCTGATTCGTTGCACTACTCGTACCCATCGTCGACGTCTCCATTCTCCCACTCCGAAGGATGCATTGCCTTCCTCCCAATCCTGAGATTTGACGTTCTCGTTTTCTTTGCTCTTCCCCTTGGTCTTTTTGGGGGAAACCGACTCAGGCAAATCTCCATAGGCCAAGATCAAATCCTCATCTGGTTCTTGCCGAGTACAAGGCAAGTCCCAGACCCAACCACCAATTTCTCCGACAATGGCGTTGCCTTCGGCGGTCACGCCAGGCACCTCAAACCCAACACTAGTGATCATGCGCTCCACCACCCATTCCCGGCAATCCAAATCCAGTTCCCACTTCTTGCTCTTCCAAGCCCAGCCAGACGGAGCTCGCACATCCTCAAAAAATCGGCATCCACGAGGCCTATCGCCGGCGATGCGAGATGGTGATAGTGGGTCATATGGCGCGTGACTGAAGACAAAACTTTCCCAGCCAGACTCTGACGTTCCTGCAGCACGGTGCTGCAGTTCAAAAATTTCCACCTCCCGTTCTTCTGGGTATGTGTCCAAGGAGATGTCTGCAATCTTTTCTAGTGATGACATCGCTGCAGTTGGGTCCGCAGGGACTGATGCGGCGAATCCATCATGCTCATCCAAGACCGCGTCAATGGAATCTCCACCCATCTCATGGATGAGATCGAACAAGAATTTGCCTATCGTTGGATGGATGGAGAGTACCGCTGCATTCCCAGCAACAAGAAAGACGAGGTTCAAGGGCAAGAGATGGGCGCTGACAAACATTAACACTGTGGATATGGCGCCGAACAGGAAAACAGTTGAAGAGCGCTGCTCGTTGGAGAAATCCGTCAATGGGGCAAAGACCGAGATAGCGGCATCGTGGGCATCTGAGAAATCAGCCATGCAGTTTTGCAGATCTCGCATGTTCCGGAGGAAGTCTTTAGAGGTCTCTGGCGCTGGTTTAATAGTTCTGGCTGGCGCCAGCGCTGGTCCATCATACGAATAGTAAGGCATAGTGCTGGACGTGGAGGTGTTCGGCGGTGGTGGATGACGGGTCACAAATGCCGGGACCATGATAAAGAGCAAGAACACCACCAAGGGCAACACCAACAGTAGATGAGGTTGTAGGCAGATAAAAGAGTAAACAAAAAGAAAAGAGGTGGTATGGGTTGGTGAATCCCAACTGAATACTTGCTCCACACGACTCTGGAGCAAAAAGACCACTCCGATTCTATGGCGGTTTTAGTTTGGATGTCAAGTTGGATGAAGATGTTTCATCAATACCTTGCATTAAAACGACGGAAATTATTGGCCATTACGGGCAAGCTGAAAGCCGGTTTCTGAGGAGAGGCCAAGGCCTTGTCTCCCGATGCATCAGTTTCATCTTCATCGTCAGTTGGTATGACTTGTTGGAGTAGTCTGTGGCCGTTAGCTATTGAGGGTTCCCATGGCCTGGATTTTATCCCAGCAGACCACAACATACTTTGTAAATAGGCGGTCTTGCAATGAGTTCTTGGATAGAGAGGATGATCGTGAGTGCGAACTGCTCAGCGAACTAGGACTGGTTCGTTTCGGTTTCTGTCCGTGAGACTCACTCAAGGCCTCTGTAAGCCCATCCATGATGAATCAACAATGCCACGAACACGACGACCAGAGGAGAAGGTAAATCGGCATTCCCACGCGAACAAGCACATGCTGTGCCGATCAGGAAGGCATCCCGCCGACGGTGGCTGACCTAAGCCAACAGTTTGCATCAGGGGAACGCTACCTCGAATTCGATAGTTCACATACACAAACTTGGTCTTTTGGTATTTTTGATCCCTTTTGTTTCGTTTATTATTTTCGGTTCGGGAATCCTCAGCTTCGATCTCATAGATCTCCTCTTTGTTTCCCCGGTTACTTATAACCCCCCCATTACCCTCTTTTTCCCTTTAGTTACCGCCTTTAAGTGGACTGCCCCAACAACCTTGCTTTCTCAAATTCATTATCAAAGAGAACTTGCACTTGCTCTTTGAACAGCTCGCAATGGAACGGTAGTTGCTGTCACGAGTCGCGCGACGGTGCTCATCTCTATCTTGTTTGAGTCCTCGTTCTTCTCCTGGCTACAATTGCAATCGCATCCCTGGGTCTCCTTTTCTGTTACGACCTCAGAAAAAAAACACACACGGAATAAACAATGCCACCGATGCCCCAAACACCGGGGAGGGGTCAAACGCGGACCGAATACGCGCAAGCATATGCTGCCTCCAACGACGATTCGGGCTCGGGAGGTGAGTTGAGATTATTCGGGAAGGTGCATTTAGATACTGACCGTAAACAGCAGAGGCTCCGGTCCGCCGACGCTTGCAAAAGTCGGCCTCGACCAATTTCCCCTCGAATTACACCAATTATGACTCTTCGAATGGGGTGACTGGGCCGCGCACAGGTGGAATGAATAGGAGACGAATGTCGATTCGAGATCAAAAGGTTCCTCAGGGCCCGCGACCGCAAGAGACTTCGCGTTGGAGGTATATACGGTTCTGCTCTCGCTATGATTGAATTCAAACTAATTCAATATCTAGCAAACCCGGCCCGTATATTCACTCCGGGAATTCGTCTGTTGATTCCACCCTCGATTCGACCAAAAGCTTTAACCTCCGATCGACGAGCGTGGGAAACCTAGCAAAGGCTAATCCCGATCCTGACAATTCAGAGAACGCAGACTTTCTCGCACCGGTCAATTTTGATGATTTCCAGAATAGCATCTTGGGCGAACCTACCTTAAACCACTTTCCCATGCCCGGGAGCACCAGTTCGGGGGAGAATCGTGAAACGGGTCCAACCCATCCCTGGGAATCTCAAAATTATGCAAACAATGTATCGGAACGCACACGAGGTCCTTCTGTTCGCCGAAAGAGTGAGGTGCAACGTCCAAACGGTCAGACTGTCTCTACAGGGCTCACAGCATCCTCCGCCAATACTCGCGCTCGCCGACAGAGCTTAGCTCAGCCATCCGCTGGAACGACTTCGAGAGCTCCACGCAAATCGATTAGCTCTGGGGCCTTTGCGCCTACAAATGCTTCTGCCAGGCGTGCCAGTCTCAGTGCCCGCAAAATCAACAATGACACCGCCGCGAGCAATAATCTTCTCCGTCCTCGACTTCCAGATTCTGATGTCAAGGTCTCTTCCGTTGTTCGAAATCTCAAGGCCAAATCATTCCAGCCTAGCCCGCGGGAGCCTCGTGGTCCTTTCTTGACTACATCTGGTATCGTTGATCACACACGATCAAACTCCACCAATGCTGTGCGGAGTCCTGTTAGAAATAATTCTGGTGCCGTGGCAGCTCCCTCCTCGACTTCTAAGCGGGCTTCTCTGATGCCTCCCCATGCCACAGGACTTGGAGCTCGAACAATCAGTCCCACTGATGCGCGTCGAGCGAAACGAATGTCAATTGCCCCTCCAGCCCCTCCGATGCCACACACACCTCCCACACAGACAGAATCACTTCCCATCCGCCCTCTATCCTCAAATCAATCCCCCTCTCAAATTCCGAGGAAAAGCGTCACACCTTCCTCGAACCGCACCACGCCTGATCCAACCCGCAAATCATACAGCTCCGGATTGTCAGTTTCCTCAAGCACCAGCTATAACTCGGCGCGGAACTCTGGAAGCACTCTACAAACTCGTCTATCCCAAAATCTTTCTTCGTCGCGACTTCCCACGCCAAAACCGCGTACAGAACAAGGGAACTCCAACGGAGAGGAGGTTCCACCGGTTCCAGCAATCCCAAAGGCCTACGAATCACCTAAAGGTGAACTGGACGCGCCTGTTTTCCCTGCACCCAGAAAATCGAGCATTCCTGTGGATTTAAGCCTTCTGAATATCAAAGATACCGACTCTGATGCGCACTCGACCGTCCAAGTTGGCACCAGGGACCCTGTCACAAAAACCCCTGAACCGCGAACGCGAAATTCGACGGTCCTGGCTGGACGAAAGGGTCTACAGCCATTAAAACTGCCCCCCTGAATCTCTTACCTCTGGGTACACCAATGACGGCCAAAATTGAAGCCCTGAAGGACAGAGACGATGAACGCAAAGCGCATACCCCCTCCCACCAAATGATGGCAAAGACTCCTAGTACTCCAATGACAGCATCAAAAGCGAACTTTTGGTATCGCGACGAAGAGGATCAGATGCCCCTTACTCAAGCGCGAAGCAGCACCTCTCATTTCGCGGTGAGTACATCAACTGCTGCGTTGCGAGCCTCTAGTAGTACCAGCGCTTTTGAGTCGTTCGACACACCAAATGCAAATCGCAACATTTCCCCCTATGCTTCATACACTTTGCCCAAGAGCGGTGCCGAGCTCAACCATCTCCGCCAACAGGTCAGTGCCGAATACTCGAACCGGACGCAAGCACAGAAGTTGAATGGTACCCGGCCTCAGACACAAAATGCTATATTCACCCCCGCCCCAGAGCGCCTCAGTCAGATCTCGACACCTTCAGAGCCTGAGAGTGCCGCTACATCCACCACCTCCCTTCGAGATCGGCTCAAGGTGGCGCGACTTCGCAGCAACTCAAAGACACAAAAAGCAGAGGCCGATAGTGATCCAGCGAAGCATACTCCTATGCTGCCGCCTAAACTCCCAGCCTCTGCGACATGGAGCAATCTGTCTACGGCCGCTTCAACAAGCCCAAGTCTCAAGCCCTTGTATCTCAATCCTCGCCGACAGTCTTCTATTTCAAGTACAACAAACTCCACGACTCGCAAGCCCAGTGTCAGTAGCGACAAAAGCCTCACTCTGGAACCTACCCCTTCCAATGAGTCCGTTGAAAGTGATCGCTCTAGACGCGCGCAGAGCACGTACATCTCCCCGGTTCACAAAATCATCAACAGTGCCAGGTCTAGTGTTGCGGCTGCTCCGCGATCTAACGAGAACACCATTGATCCAGATGTGGTGATTGCAGACGAAGAGATGAAGCGACTTGGTGCCAAACGCAAAGACTTTGAAAAGGCAGCGCGTGTGCTGGACGACTTGCGTCGCAAGGCTGGACCAAAGGATCGTGTCAGTCCGGCTCAGGCCTTGAAGATGGCAACTCTTAATATCTTTGAACGTGGCGAGATCATCGATTATCGGGACATTTTCTTCTGCGGCACCCAGACTGCTAAGAAACACGTTGGAGACCTCCACTCCAGTGCGGCCAACTTTGGTTACGACGACGAGCGTGGAGATTATAACATTGTTATCGGTGACCACCTGGCTTACCGGTACGAAGTCGTTGATGTTCTGGGCAAGGGCAGTTTCGGTCAGGTCGTGCGATGCGTAGACCACAAGACCGGGGCTCTGGTTGCGATTAAGATTATTCGCAATAAGAAGCGATTCCACCAGCAAGCCCTGATTGAGGTCAACCTTCTACAGAAATTAAAGGAGTGGGATCCTCACGGCAAGCATAGTGTGGTTAACTTTACCCAGAGCTTCTACTTCCGTGGTCATCTGTGTATTTCAACCGAACTCCTTGGCATGAATCTTTATGAATTCATCAAGGCTCATGAATTCCGAGGGTTCTCGTTGAAGCTAATTCGTGTTTTCACCAAGCAGATGCTGAGCAGTCTTGTGCTATTGCATGCGAAGAAGGTCATTCACTGTGACTTGAAGCCCGAGAACATTCTTCTTGTTCACCCCCTGAACTCTGAAATCCGAGTCATTGATTTTGGTTCCAGTTGCTTTGAGAATGAAAAGGTCTACACCTACATCCAAAGTCGCTTCTATCGTTCGCCTGAGGTTATCCTTGGAATGTCGTACGGTATGCCGATAGACATGTGGAGTTTGGGTTGTATTTTGGCTGAGCTTTTCACTGGCTATCCCATCTTCCCCGGAGAGAATGAACAAGAACAGCTTGCTTGTATCATGGAGGTCTTTGGTCCTCCGGAAAAGCATTTGATTGAGAAGAGTTCACGCAAGAAGTTATTCTTCGATTCTCTCGGCAAACCACGTTTGACTGTTTCCTCTAAGGGACGCCGCCGTCGTCCAAGCTCTAAGGAACTCCGGCAGACGCTCAAGTGCGATGATGAAGCTTTCCTTGACTTCATCACTCGCTGTCTCCGCTGGGATCCTGCTCGACGACTTTCGCCCCACGATGCATTGAAGCATGAATTCCTCACGGGTATCAAGGCTCCTCGGTCTAGGATGTACTCAACAAGTTCACCCTCCAAGCGGGTTGTCACGTCGGCCGCTCGTCCTCTTCCCGAGCCTCCGGGATCTACGCTGAAGAGCGGGTTCATCCGCTCTCGCGATGTCTCGGGTACTTCCCCAGTCAAGAGTAGCGGTAAACGCCACTCGACCATCAACGGTCCACCATCCAGCCCCGGCAAGCGAGGCTCCAATAATTCTACTGTCGGATCCGCCCTTCCTCGCGTTTCGGCGCGGAGTATCAGTGGGAAACCAGACCTCGCTACTGCGGCGGCTGCGACAAGTCTGGTGAGTTAGATCAACGGCATCAAGCGGAGCCAGAGAACAGGATGCTGACCGGCCGATAGAGGAAATGATGTTGCATGTCTCTTTTCTTTTCTTTTTTTAATTTTCCCTTTGCTGAACGTCCTGTAATACCAACCCTCGTGTTTAACTTCTGTTTCTCATCCATTGCATCGGGTGGTTGTCATGTCAGCATTTTGTTACTTGAGATGCATTCATGTTATACCCCCTTGTTCCTGCATTTGCATTGCGCCCATGATGACAGTATGGCTTATACCTTATCCTTTGCTCTTGCTCATGCATTGCCCTTCGTTTGCTTTCTTATACTTGATGACCTTTCTCTTCTGAGCCCTATGTGGGTATCTGTTGTACATTGTTATCTCTCATTGCATTTCTTCGAAGAGTTTACGATGTATTGCTCACGTGTAGAGCGATTTTACGGTGTCTATTGGCTTTTGTTATTCTGAATTAATGATTATCCGATTGTAAAACGTCTTGATCCAAATAGATGAAAGCGAGTAAAGCGAGTAAAGCGAGTACAGAAAGGCCCGGCATGCAGGTACCGGGGCAATCGGGCTACTTGGCCTCATCTTATCTTTATTTACTCCACTTCTCCGACAACACCTCCAGCCTTCATGGACAATTGATTCGCAATGAATGGCTATGAACGCAAGCTTGACGATGATGCCTTTGGCGAAAAGTCCACTCTAGCTGGTCTCAAGACCTTCGATGCCTTCCGTAAATAAACCCCATCTCCAAAAACCCCATCCATACTGACCAACCCCAGCCAAAACCAAACCCTCCTACACAACCCCAACCCGCAGCGGCGGCCAATGGACCCTCCTAATCCTCCTCATATGCACCTTCTTCAGCTACTCCGAGCTAAAAACCTGGTGGCGCGGCACGGAAAACTACCACTTCACCGTTGAAAAGGGCGTCTCGCACGAACTCCAACTCAACCTCGACATAGTCGTGCACATGTCCTGCGACAAACTCCGCGTCAACATCCAAGACGCAGTAGGCGACCGCATCCTCGCCGGCGAACTCCTCAAACGCGACGACACAAACTGGGCCCTGTGGATGCAGAAACGCAACTACGAATCCGCCGGCGTCCACGAATACCAAACCCTCTCCCACGAGGACTCCGACCGTCTCGCCGAGCAAGAAGCCGACGCTCACGTCCGCCATGTCCTAGGCGAAGTGCGCCATAATCCGCGCCGCAAGTTCCCCAAGGGCCCTCGCATGCGCCGCGGGGATGCCGTCGACGCGTGTCGCATTTACGGCAGTCTGGAGGGGAACAAGGTCCAGGGTGATTTCCAGATTACGGCGCGTGGACATGGGTATCGGGAGAATGCGCCGCATCTGGATCACGCTTGTATGTTATAGATTTGCCAGCGTGTGGGTGGTGCTTGCTAACGGATATCTCTAGCCTTTAACTTCTCGCACATGATCACGGAACTATCTTTCGGTCCTCACTACCCGACTCTGCAGAATCCGCTTGATAAGACCATTGCCGAGATCGAGGAGCACTTTTACAAATTCCAGTATTTCCTATCCGTCGTGCCGACGCTGTATAGTCGCGGCAAGGGTGCGTTGGACGCGTACACGCACTCGTCCGATGCCATGCAGCACGGGGGTGATACGGTGTTTACGAACCAGTATGCGGCGACGAGCCAGTCTGCGGCGATTCCGGAGTCGCCGATGGTTGTGCCGGGGATTTTCTTCAAGTATAATATTGAGCCGATTCTGTTGCTGGTCAGCGAGGAGAGGGCGGGATTCTTGGCGCTCTTGATTCGGGTGATTAATACCATTTCGGGTGTGTTGGTTACTGGTGGGTGGCTTTATCAGATTACTTCATGGCTTGGGGAGATTTGGGGGAAGAGGAAGAATAGGTCGTCGGAGGGATATCTGACCGGGAAGACTTCTATGGATTGAGGGGATTTCGGGTTGATTTTTTTTGTGGTGTATTGTCGGTGTTCATCAGATCTATATCTATATCATATTGCATTGAGGAGTTTGTTTGCATCAAGGTTCATTGGTCTCAACTCCCAGTAAAAGTTCGACCGAGTGGTATATTTATAAAGATCATGCATCCTGCATATGGCCATGTAATACGTAAAAAGATATATAAAGAAACTAAACCTCGAAGATCTCGCCCATGCCTACGCCGGCACCTTCGGCACCAGCACGGCTATCAACTAGATCCAGACGCCAGCCGTTCCAGTCACGCAGCTTGCTCTTAATATCGCGCATCCATTCAACGCGCTTGCGACCTTCTTCTTCGGCCTGCGCACGCGCGAATGCATCCTCGTCGAACTCATCGTCGAAGTTTTCTTCGGAGACAAGCTCGAGACTACCACGGGTACCGGGCGGGTGAGGCGCATTGGACGATGAAGCACGGGCACGGTTGCCAGCGGCACCCGTAAAGGCAGCAAAGCCGCTAGACAGCACCGTGGAGAAAGACGAGTGCTGCTGTTGCTGACCCATGCTGCGACGACGGGCATGGTCAGGCCGTCCACCGACAAGATCGACGTCATCGAATGCGTTTGCTGCATCGCCGGAGGCAGGGGTGGTTCCATCCTCGGGATAGTGTTCCATTTCCTGGCGCCTCTCTTGCCAGACGCCGCGGCGCAGATCGAAGACCTCGCCTTCCAGCTCGCGGATTCGGCGCTCAAGACGCTGCCGTTCTTCATCCTCAAGCTCGTCCAAGGCGTCGTCGTCAGCGCCTCCGCCGGCTTGGCGAGTGCGGATCCGATCACTCTCCTCGCGCAGACGGAGGTTCTCGTTTTCAATGCTGGCGATCTTCTTCCGCATCACGGCGATTTCCTTTTCGGATTTCTCGCTCTCGCGCAATCGTGTTTGGTGTCGGGCTTCGGTTTCTTTGTGAAGATTACCGATTGCTTGGAGTTTCTTGTCGAGCGTCTCGATTTTCTTTTCCGACTCGCTCTTTTCGTTCTTATGCTCCTCAATCTCACGCTGGAGATTCCTAATCAGCGTTTCTGTGGATGTCTTATCGACGCCTTCCTTGACTGCTTTCTCGGATGCCCGTGTCAACGCCTGCTTCGTATCTGCCAGTTCTTGTTGGGATTTCTCCAGTGCTGACTGGGCTTTTGAAACCTTTTCCTCGAGCGCTGCAACCTGTGACTCGTGTGCATCGTTAGAGGAAGTTTGTGAGGTAACCTGGGCGCGCAGGTTTGAGATCTCCAGTTCCATAGACTCAATAGTGGCAGACTTGGACTCGAGCTGACGAACGAGATCAGCTGGCGGCGACTCTGTTGTCGTTGTGTTTCGATGTGAGCGTGTTTGAAGCTGTGCGTTCTGTCGGTGGAGGGAGGCAATTTCTTCTTTCTATTCAGCAAGTTAGCCAAAATTCCAAGTCCTTGGAAATAGTGCTCCATACCAATGACTCGATACTTGCAACCTTCTCCTCCGCCTTCTTCAATTGCTCCCTCAACTCCGCACCATCAACACTTGCCTCCCGCAAATCCTCCACTTGCTCCTCCGTCTTGCGCCAGCGAGTGGTTGCATCTGATAGATCTTTCTCCAATCGCTTGTTCTCCCTCTCAAGTTCTTCAATCTTAGTAGATTGTTTACGGAACACCTCGTGAACCGAATCCCCATCGCCTGTCAAAGGCGGTAATGATTGTGCGGGGGACTTGAGCGTTGTGGATGGAGAAGGCGAGACGCTTCCTTGTGAAACAGATGTCTTGCGGAATGAAGACGATCGCATCTTTGACTGAATCGATAGCGAGGGTTGTCGGCCATGGGTGGGGCGGGACGCCTCGAGCCGGACGGGCAGCGGATCAGCCTCCGGACCGGGAGATGTGGGTGCTGGAGGCATCGGTTCGGTGTCAGATTCGACTTGCGAATCTAGGCGGACTGGTAGGGTGTCGACCTCCGCAGGAGATGTGGAAGCCTCGACTTGCGCCTCGAGCTGGACTGGCAATGCATCGGGTTCTGGCCCAGGGGATGTAGGAGCTTCGACTTGTGTATCAAGATTGACCGGCAGCGTGTCAGCCTCCGGCACAGAAGATGTGGGAGACTCGACCTGCGCGTCGAGTTTCACTGGTAGTGTATCGGCCTCTGGACCAGGAGATATGGGCGCTGGAGGCATCGGTTCGGTAGGGGACTCAGCATTCGCATCGGCCTCCGGGGTTGGTAGCGATTCTTCTACATCTGCTGGCTTGGTGGTAGTAGCCTGTTCTGCCGACTCATCCTGCCTGTCTGGCTTCTCGTCTGCGGGGGCGTCTGCCGCTGGAGTTTCTGGAGACGGGACATCTGGCGTGGGTTCCTTTTCTTTTGGTGATTGTGGCTCTTTGGGTGTTTCTGTTCCAGCAGTGGAAGCCTTCTTAGCCTTCTTTTTCTTCTGGAGTTGGGCAACCTGCAAACAACGCTTATGTTAGCCACCGAAAACAACGCCATCGGGTCACTTCGTGGGGGCTTGCCCTTTTCTTGGCCGCGGCTAGCTTCTCGGCTTTAATGCGCTCCGCATCGTCGGCCATGATGTATTTTTGGAATTGCAGGAATATGATTAAATGGGGGGTTGTGATGAAGAGGGAGGGAGAGATTGGACAGCTTGCCCCGATGCACGGACCACGTGGCTAATCTATGCGTTTGATCAACGCAACAGATGGCTTGATCACTATTTGAGGTCTTCTACGGGTTATAACTATACCTATTAAGTGGCTATCCCATTCGCCAACAAGATTAAGTTTCATCAACTCAGTGTTGCGATTTTGACACTCGGGCCAGAGTAAAGAACTCCGAGGTGGCTCTGACACTCATAAGCAAGACATATAGAAGATTACTCGGCAGATGTATCAGATCCAGTGACGGAATAAAAGCCCCATTTACCAACTACATGGGTACAATCCCACACTCATCCAAGAAACAGACCTGGGTAATATTAGGCAGTAAGTCACAAAACTAAAGCCGAGGGGCATATAATATCAATCTTGTGCGTTCATCAACGCCCCTCGAGGACCAAAAACCATGCAAGTTGATTGCGCCAGTCAAAAAGGAAATACAACCCAACACCTCCGGCTAGAAACATTATACCCGATCAACGGGAGCTCCACAGAATAAATGACAAACAAGAAGAGAAGACCAAAAAAAGCAAAAGAATCAAATGTGAGTTCTGTTAGACTTCCATTGAGTCGGCGATTTCCTCACTCATAGCCCTGACACCACGTCGGTTGGGTGGCAGGTTTTCGTCATCGTCACTGATGACATAAGTGTCATATTCGTCCGCGGAACTCCGGTTCGGCTTCGAGGGACGATCCATCTCGTCATCGCTGTAACTGCCGATAAAACTCGACATGGCGCGTTCGCCAAACCAAAATTTGGCACGCTTGCTCGAGCTGAGATCCGGGGTGAGATATCCATCGTCGTAGGTGCGCTTCCCGGTAGGTGTGGTTGCCAATTCGTCCGGCGTATGACTGAGTATGGGGATTGCGCGTAGGAAAATATAACAGACGCGCTTGCGAATCGGGTTGAAGAAAAAGAAGTGGAGACTCCAAATAGCTCCGTCATCGGCATCGGATGGATCCTCCTCCGGGGAATATGAGTAAATTGAACACTCCTTCAGCGACATGTGTTCATCAATTGTCTTCCACACACGTGGGCCCCATGCAGAAGATGACCCTGCGGTGTACGATCCCGAAAGTGTTGCAGGGGATGCGGGAGACAAAGTGATGTTCTCGCGCGGTCGCAGGTTGAGCAACGTTGAGTCGACTGTGTTCATGACACGTTTTAAATTCCGTTCGCGTCGGAAATCAGTAGGCCGCAGTACCTGGGAGAAGTCGTAATCCGGGTGGCTCGCATTCAGAGTGGCGATTAGGTAGGCAAAGGTCCGTCGACTCGAGTGCTCGCTCAGGGGTCCAAACGGGCTAGACCGCGAGAGGTTGAGGGTCTCAGCGGCATCGTGGGCGTTTGGAGGAGAAAGCGAAGCCGAAAATCGAAGCACCGATTCGTATTGAGCTTCCAGCGATTGTTCGATATGGTTGTAGAGTTTCCGATCGGAGCGTGCGGCCTTCGTGGTGTAGATGTCACAGCCGCCAACAATGTGACAGTCCGTTGTATCGAAATTGAGAGAACTGGTCACGTCTTCAAACTCTGGAAGTGGAAGAAACTAGGCCACGGAGAGAATCAGTAAAGGGACCCAAAGTCACGTTTTGGGTTGTAAACACCAAGTTTACCTTCATATTGGGGGTAAACCGGGGTAGTGGAGAACCCAAGATAAGCCGATAAGCCGCCTGAGATGACGTGTCACGGTCTGCGATTCAGATAGACTGAATTGAATGCCTCCTCTGGAATAGAGATAGACAGAAGCGAGGACGAAGTGATAGCACGACGGGCAATTGGGCCGGAAGTGGAGATGCGATGATGTCGATCGGTGATAACCGCGAACAAGGACTGGGGGCAAGGGGGCAACACAAACTACACAAGACCGAACGCAGGTCTTATATCCAGTGGATATCAACGATATCCAAATGAAAGGAGGTATACAAAGAGATGGAAATGAAGCAAGAAGGGATTGTCCGATGTCCTTCCAAGTCGGTCTGGGGAGGGGAGGATTCCGGAAACAGTCACGTGTGGAAGGCGTGGTCCAGTGAGAAGCCGCACTGACCTCACGAGCAGCCAAACCCATGGAAAGGGCCCATTCACAGCCCGACTCGCTCCAGATTGCGTGTTATCTCTTCCGTGTCCTGAGTGAACCAGTTGTATTGATTAGTATGAAGAACTCCTATGTATATTGTACGCCGGACAAAAACAGAGCAAGAATCCTGCTTGCTTGGGTTACATGATCTTGGTGACCACATCTTCCTCAACCTGGAGGAATAATTAGCCCGGCTGAAACTTGGCCATGGCTTGGGGGTGGGGAAAGGGGAAGAATGAGCCCAAATATAGCCATGGAGCACTTCTTTGGGAAGAGCATTGTCTCGCAAGTATTCTCTCTTTGACCAGGAATATTGCAACACAATCCCCATAGAGTGCAAACAGGGAAGTCTCCAAACTTACCTCCATATCTTCCAAACTGTCCTGCTGGCTGATACAGCGAAGGACATTCTTCTTGCTCGTCTCCTGCATTTCCCCTGCAATCATTAACTCGTCGAGGATAAAGTATGCTTTCTGGAAGTTGAAAATGATGTCGAGCTCGCAGACATTGCCGTAGTACTTGTCCATCTGCTCGACGTATCGGTGCACCACCTCGAGGGTGATCAATTCGTTGTCGTCGGAGGCACAGCCAGCGATGAAGAAGAGGGAGGCATAGCGACGGTAGACGACTTTTGAGTCTGATGGTAACAGTGCGTGTCAGTCCAAAAGTCCAGCTCGTCAGCGAAAAAAAGGGGGTCGTGCGGGGAGAGAGGGTAGAAAGCCACCTTTGTATTCCAGGAAATTGCACATCCGCGTCCGGCGGGATAGCACCAGTTGAGTCACATCCTTGATAATTTTGGCCTTCTCCTTGGGGGAGAGAGTGGTGAACCACTTGGCAAGACGCTAGGAGAAAGGTGGTCAGTTGGGGGCACCTTCAGCCAAATGGTAGTAAGGTGGGTGACGACACATACCACTTTGCCCTGCCGGGAAAGCAGAATCAAGTAGCTGGTGGGAATTAGTCTCTGGTCATAATTGGACAGCTGCAGGAGGATCTCACTGGATAGGCATTATGGATGGAGATGTGAAATGGAGAGATGGGGAAAGGTGTCAGGGCGGAAGCTCTGGAGAAATTCTTTGGGTGGAGCGGAGGGGAGTTTTGCCCCGCTAACGTGGATTCCATATTTAAGCATCTACACTATAGTTTTTGTCTTTGCGTTGTTATAAGATATCTAGGTAACATTCAAATTGGATTCGGCACAACGGTTTGAGTTGCAATACAGCGCAGCACCATCGTGTTGCGCCCGTTCAACAGACCACTGAAGGCCCCAACTATGGGCGAAATACAAGGGACGAATTTCAAATTACAACTCACGCAGCGCGAGTCAAAATCCTTCGGACAGCTCGAGTCCTTCCAAGGTTGGCTTTCAACCGACTGAATCGAGGAAAAATTGCTGTCAGAGCTGTTGCAATCCCACTGAAATTGTAAAAGAAGGCGCGGCGTCGCGTCAGCTCTCCATACACTTTGGCCTTACTTGTCCCCAGGTACTGGTGCCCAAGTCTAGGTGTGTCAGTCAACTCAAATCCGTAGTAAGCGGCAAATACCTGGGTATTGCATATCATAAAGACGGTTGGAGATGTTAATTTGGCTAGGGATAGCTGAGTAGAACAATGCGTTCCATTCTGCCATCCATTTCCGCCTGTACTTGGGTTAGACCTCCAGTGACTGGGCAAAAGCTTTGGCATCTCCTCTGCTACCGCCTTCCCAACTAGCCATACCGCTTACTCGATGTATTATGCCGCCTATCCCTAATGCTTAATTGGTGGGGATTTGCCAAGCAGAATAAGGCATGTTAACACTTTGGTGGACTGATGCATAGTTCTGCAGTGCGGTACCTAACACAGTTAAATCCTTAAGTAGCAGGTAATATCTTTCTTACAAAGAAAATATATTAATTGTTTTTTGAAAAAAAAGATATGTATAATTGAGCAGTACACGTTACATCCCAAGTAGCAGGAAACTACCTACGTAAATAGTCATGATGAACCCGCATTACGGCCATCTTGTCCACCCTCTCTTTAAAGCATCTCACCACGGTTCCGTGGTGACACTACAGCGCTGCAGATTCAAAATCAGGTGCGTCTCCTGCACCATAGACCCCTTCACAGTAGGATCAGGCACAGGCGAGTCCCGGTCAAGCGGGGACCATTGAAGCCGGGTAGCAAGTTGGGCCTCCGGGTGCTTCTCACCGGTCCTCATGATCTAGTTATAGATACTTAATACTCAACAACAGGCCGAACCCCAAGAAAACGAAATTAAAGAAACCAAATAGTATTAATGAAATTAAATAATAGCACAATTATCCAAACAATCCCACTCATATCGAGCCGAGAGATATAAAGGCAGTGATCCCGAATCGTTACAGGCATGAGACTCACATATCCAAAACCCAAAGCCCAACTTCCTAGATCGTACACATCCATACACACCTCATATACCGACATTCACACCGCCTCAGCGCCATTAACCAACTCTAAAACCACCCCCCAAAAAATCCAGTGAGTATCCCAAATTACCAAGTAGTAAATATAACCACGGAGCAGGAAGCCAAGCCACAAGGCTCAGTCCGCTCCGATAACAGACAGACAATTAGACCTGGGACATGTTGGGGGCGGCACCGCCCCGACGGCTACCAGAAGAGCGGCCGCGCATGTTGACAGTAGCCGAGCGGGACATGAAGATGGAGACCACGACGGAGGCCAAGTAGCCTGCCCAGGCGAACCAGAGGAACGCAACGGAGGCCTGAGCCTCGCGGCAGCGCTTGGACATATTGTGGGAGCCGTTGGTGATTTCGTTGTTGCGGAGGTATCCCTGGAGAGTGGGGTTAGTGTGGGTTCAAAAGGCGGGCTGGTAGATTGATCTGTACGTACCTGGTTGCTGCAGGAGTGGCATTCGAGCTTGGCGGCGAGGGCGATACCTGCGCAGAAGAAGAAAATGCAGTTCAGAGCATCAATGACGATCATGATGATGGGGTGCAGGGCCCAGTCGAGGTTGATCGATGCTGGGATGAGGTAGAATAGCGTGAACATTGAAAAGACCGATGTATAGATGGAATAGTTCACTGTCGCGGGGTTTCCGGCGAAGGACTCGGCGATCATGTTACCGACCAGGGCCATCACGAGCAGGGTCCATACGAACTGGATGTGTTTTTCGTTAGTATGTGAAGATAGCTAGGGCGACTGCTACTTACCTCCCAGACTCTGAGGCCCAACTGCACGCCTCGGAGACCCATTTTGGAATATGTAGTTTTGGGGGTAGTTAGATGTCGCGTCGCTAGTTTTCTGTAGAACTATCGTTCGATCAAGGTCCTCTGGCCGATTTAATGTCCCAGCAGCTGGGGAGACGAGGTTATAAATCGGAAGCTCCGGAGGTCGGTGATGACATGGGAAAGCAAAAAGCTCCAAAGCTAAAAGGCGGGGCTACGTCATGCATCCGGGAGCCAGCGGGCGCGATTGGACTGTCGTGGGCTGTCGTGGGCTGTCGTACTCGCTTCTCTTGGACATGAAATCATAAAGGTTGCACTCCTGGTCAATGATGAGTTCTTGACTGGACTAGTCTTGGAATGGCTCCACTGCCTTTTTTTTTCTTTGATCTTTTCCTGATTTTTTTCCTTCTCGACATTCCCGATTCTACTTTGTATTCTGAGCGGAATCTTTGGACATTCCCTTGCCCACGTATATCCATCATGATGGGGTTCCCCTCACGGATGATCGACGGCCCCGGGATTACCCACAATTTGCCCTTCGACCAGGAACAGCGGACAACCTTGGAGGTTATACAACATCTGGGCTGACGGCATAACCAACCTTCAAATAGGTAACAGAGACGAAAAAGAAATATATATATATATATATTCACACAAATATGAATATCAAGAAAAGAAAAAAAAAAAAAAAAAAAAAAATACCTCTCAACTTCGGCGTTATTAGCACCACACGCTAACCGAGTTACGGAACCCGCTTTTAATGCTTGATCTCCCTAAACTACCTCGGAGCCTTGCAAGTTAGGTATATACTGATCAATTTGCACGAAATGTTGTCTTCGATTGGGACATTGTCAACTAAGCTGCATATGAATAAGACCCCGTATCGGGCTCGACCAGGCACGGTTTCCACACCGCCCACTACTTCCCCTCAAACGCCCTTTGCACGGATCCATATCTAGGAATATTAGCACCGATATATCTCCCTGAGTGTTACATCAAATTGGCATGGAACTCACCCTGGGGGACATTGACTACCCAATGCCACACTGCCACTGCGCATATAGCAGACCTTAGCCTCCTGACACTGAGCAGTATTGCAATCGGGACTCTTGACACTCCGCTTTCCCTGGTAAGTGTTATGCAATCTGACAAGCTCCGGATCCCTCTCCATTGCCTCGGTAACCCGGTGCCAGAACGTCGCGTTCAAAGGCGCATCCTCGTCCCATCCAGCTGCAGGTCCATATGCGTCGCGAGTGGAGTACTCAATCTCAAACGTCGGACCCGAATGCTCGAGGGCCGGGTAGTCTGACACGTTGCTATAGAACGTGTATGCTTCGTAGATGTTGAAATCGCCCGTGTCGACTTCGTACAGACGGAAGCCACTATTGAGGTTCGTTAGAGGTGTGACACTCGGAGTGATCCATCCGGTAGTGAGCGCAGTATCTGCATCCTGTAAAGTCCCGTTATTGGCATAGTACACCATGAATTGGTCCTCGTGAGTATGTCCGAAGAAGATGTTGGCTATAACGTGAGGCGAGTAGCGATCCACGATCTGGTAGAATAGATCGGTCGGGTTAGGGAGTGGGTTGGTTCCGTCCCAGCCACTGAGGACATGGCCGATTATCCAGGCACGCTCATTGGCATCCTCGGCTGCCTGCAGCTCATCGATCATCCAGGAAAATATGCCAGAGTTATCGGGGTCAGTCGTGTTGATGAAGTTCAGGAAGTTATCCCGGTACCATAAGTCTGCCAGAGTGAGCACACAAACCCATCAAGTCATGTAGCAATGACGTACCGGTGTTAAATGAAATGATCCGCAGTCCATAATGTGTCTTGATGGAGTATCCACCATAGTGTGTTCTGGCTTCATCAGCGGTCTCACGACCGATCCACCCTTCATGCTGCCACAGTCCAGCCAGATGCTCATAGTTCCAGCTCTGCTGCTCTCCCAGACGACCAGGCAGGTTGTGCGGGGAATCAATGTTCGCAGGACTCGTGTCATGATTCCCAAGCGTCGCAAAGACAGGGCCAGACAGGAAACTCTTGAACATGCCAAATATACTAGTCTCTGTGTACTGAACCAATTCCCTAGAGATCTGAGGAGCAGGGTCATGCGATACAAGATCGCCCGTATAAAGCGTCCACGCGAGATGCTCGTCGTCCTTTCCCTTTCCAGTTCCACTCAGAGGGCCGACAGCCTGCAAAGCGGCCAAGCCCAAATCATATGGGGTATCACACAGGAAAGATCCATATGCCGAGGCCGATAGCAGCGGCTCATCCTCGGAAAGATCATTGAAGTTGTCACTCCGACAGCAGAGGTTGGATGTGCAGTTCGCTTCAGAGCCGACGGCATATCGCGCATCGAGATGGAAGTCCGACAGATGCAATACTTTGATTCGCTCACCGCTAGCCTCGGGAGCCTGCGCATCCACGGGCTTAGGCTTGGGGAAAAGATTGTTCGTATCGAGTGGGCTAGTTCTCGGTGCACCGCAATAGCTCCTGCCGAGAAAATGGCATATATATTCACCATCCAGTCCTTCGACATCAGCGTGTGCCAACACCTGCGTCCAGATTGCACCAAATGTGTTAGTTGCAAAGTATTGCGCACAGGTCTCATTGTTGTGATAATTGAACGATTTGCAGAGGTCGACCATGGCATCTGGAACGAGCGATGGGGCATGCAGTGCGGCAGGCTTGGCCACGGCCAAAGCCCTCTTGCACCTGGTGCAATTATTGTCTGAGCCCGAATCTTCCGACTTGAGTATGTAGGTTATATTGGCCACGACTTCCTGGACTAGTTTATACCTCTTCTTCGCAGGCATATGAGTTGGCGGCACAGGAAAATAGACCTCATCATGATTATCCGGAATTTCATCCGGGTCGGTTAGTTCATGAGGGAATGTGAGATTGAGCGCTGGGTCATGAATGATCGGCTGAGGTTCTTTGGTTGGCAGGGCAGGGGAAACATAGTAGGATCTGTCCTTCAGATTAGCAAATACAGGCATCCTGGCATGTCAACAGTGGCCATACGAGAACGCAGAGGTTGGAAATCCTGCAGCAGCCACATATGACGAGTCGCCGGGGAGGGAAGACCCGAAAGCAATATTGAATGCTAGAATTGCAGCTCCTAGACAGGCTAGAAGAGGTGGCATCTTGAATAGACTTGAATGGCCCCTTGATGCAGGCAAAACACAGCCTTAAGCCCGAGGAGAATTGCTAACAGCGAACAGAGTGAAAAGAAAAGAACGAGGCAAAGGGTTGAGTCCACATTGTGTGTCAAAATAGACGGTGGGTATTTACTTGGGGCAGGTACGGCGCACGTGGGCACGAGGTATACCTGACGGGAAGGCGACGTTGACGTCGGGACTAGCTAATTAGGTGGCAACGATCATAACTTGAACTTCAATGTGGCTTGCTATTTAGCATATATTTATCGAATGATGAGTCTCTCCAAGACCATTCCAAGTTGTTCTGATACATCAAAAAATTGGTATCCAAATCCTAGATTGTACCGACTGCCTATTTAGGCAATGTTCAACTCTCAAGGTCGAACTGGGCCACCACTTATCCACCATGTGACCCAAGATGCCACACGGCAGACTAGGTAAATGGCGGTATGAAGTCTGGTGTGAGAACAAAGACCGAAGCAACTTTGTTATGCACGGCGGGTCGATGGTAGGGCTGGCCAATATTCAGGGGGAGTGGAGCGTTCGTGTACCCAAAATAGGAGAGTCAAAGCGGTGAAACTTGAGATGGATTGACGGGGATATGTTCACTCGCATACATCGTCCCGCGCAATATCACTACCCTAGTTATTTTGTAATGCCGGGGACTCCACCACACGGCGTGCCATTGAAGGAGCAGGCTGATGGCTCCGGGGATTGTTGATCTCCAGATATCCGAAGCCTGTTGGTGTAGACTCGCCGACTATCTTTGACTGTCGGAGGTGTCGAATCATCTGCAGCGGCGACTTGAGGGTTTTGGTGGATTACATGAAGCGAAAGACATGTATCCAAGTTATTGCAATGTCGCTGGAAATATTGAACTGCCTAGCTGATCTTCATAGGCATTTGTTATTGTAATTGTTTCAACTGAAACTTCCCAAGCTTTCAAAATGACCAGTATGGTACTGTGGGTCGAGAATTAATCGGGACATTGATGTATTGTCATTCCAAGTCAGAGATGAAATGAATTTGTACCAAATGAAATTGATCGACTGCAATGTTGCCCAGGATCGTGGCTCCCGATGAAATGTCGGTATGGCTTGACACGCAAGACCCAAATTTGCGAGTGAAGTGCCGAGGATCGGCAGTAGTCAGGGGAAATGCTGTGCTGGATCGACCATGCAGAAAGAGAGAGGAAAAAGAGAAAGAAAAAGACTCGAGGACGGTCCAAAGACCGACCTCTACAGTCTAGACTAGTCTTGAGAGACACTAGAAGATCCACTGGAGGGAGCCTGGACACAGACAAGCTCAACCATGATATCATCTGGGCCATCCGGCGGTATGCTATTATAAGAAGGGGAACGACTGATGATACCAACCGCCACCTGGGAAGCTTGTTTGTGGGCATTCATGTGATCAAGGTACCAGACCTGCCACGGCCAAGCACCTGAGCCAGGTGGCATGATGGTGACATTCCGATCGGGGACTCGTTCTCTGGCGAAATCTGGAAACAGTCAGACAATGATATCCGTAGGGGAAGAACTATTGAAACATCGACATACCTTGCACTGGAATCGAGGCAACATCAAAGACAAAAGGCGAGCATCCAGGGAGAGGCGGCTTCTTCACGAGCATCTTGTTGAGAGTGACTTCAAGGGGCTTGGAATAGTATTCGCCCGACACCGCGAGATGATAGATGCCATTTCGTAGAGCACTCTTGAGATCCCGAGAACAATCCTCGCCCCAAATTCCATCGCATCCATTGTTCGCCCCGGAAGGGGTACCGGTCAAGTTTCCAACCCTGAGACCGATCTCCGACGTGCGATTGGAATCGACTGCATCGATATTGACATTTTTGTTTTGGAAACCCAGCCAGAATGCCGTCTTGGTCATCGGCCCATCGCCCTTGCCGGAGGTGCTAGCATCGAAGCCGTAGTAGAGCGTGACGGGGTCCGGGAAGAGAGGTTTGAGGTCAAAGCGAATTGCCGTCTGAGCGAGGGAGTCGATGCATCCATTATTCCAGAACGAACAGAACTGAGCCGATACCGTGTGTAGCAATACCAGCAACAGGCCCAGAGACCGTAGACTCATGTTGAAAGCCATCGGCGACGGAAGGATACGTGGTCCAACGAGTGACCCCGGAGGCCCTCAAAGTCAGGATAATCGAGAGTAGAGCAAGTGTTGCAAGCTCATCATCTGACGAGGGAAAAGGAGGCGTAATAAACGAGTTGTGTAATGCGTGATAAAACGTTGTCAACCTCACGGAAGCCAGGGAAACGGGTCCCCGCAATACCTAGTCCCTTCGAGAAAACGACACTAGTCTCGGTGAAAAGCGAAAAAAAAAAAGGGTTTTCAAGTGCCCCTAAAAAAACCAAAACAAATAAATAATTGTCCCCAACCCAAAGCCAGATAAGTGCCGAATTGCCAAGGAACAGGGAGAGAAGAGAGAGAGAGAGAGGAGAGTTGCAACTGTTTCTCCGGTGCATTCCCATTACCCGGGTACCTGAGTACCTGTGAGGTACCTGCTGCAGGGTAGTGGAGACCGGCAAAAGGAAAGTCCCTTCCAGGTACCCCCTTTTCATTGGAATGGGTTTGGCTACGCGCTAAACCAAAGCCCCCGCATTGCCCTCGCTCAACGAGGAAACTATTGACGGGGATCGCACATTCGACAGGGCAGAAGCAGGGTCCAACCACTCAGCTGCGAGGCACGCGGCCCATTTAATTTGGAGTTCTCAATGGGGATCGGAGTCCATGATTTTGGGTGTTTTGAGTGGTTTGTATGGAGTAGAGTATCACGGTATTGCTCGATCTCGCACTCCATACCTCAGATCCTTTCTTTTTTCAGAACCGTTTAAGGCCGATCTCCCATTATGTACGGAGTACTTCGCATGGATTTGCATGACCTCATTTTCATTCCAGACGTTTCAGGTGAAGGAATTCGCATCGGCGAACAACAAATAATCCAGACGCGATAGGCAAGATACCTCCCCGATCACCTGCATCTCCTACACTTAGGTACGGAGGACTCCGTATTCCGATCGTAATCGGGGGTCCTTACTCCGTACAGGTGTGATCGCTCCAATAGGTATTCTGATGCAAGAATAATTGGAACATTCCTGAAATTCCATCTGCGTCATTTTGGGTCTGAGACACACGCTCCTTGGGTATTTCCTGCCACGGACCCTTGGCGGACTCCCCGTTAGCGCGCAATTTGGTGTATCGCGAAGAGCATCCACTTTGGCAAACCCCCGGGGCTTCCCAAGGTTGTCGGCCTTTTGGGTTAATGCTCCGGGCAATGGCTGGAAATCAGAAAAAAAAATCTTTGGAACACAATCCTGGGTCCGGGATTGGCTACTTGGCCACTGCTGTCCTATATTGATGAAATTCCACTTTCTGCTTTTCTGCCATTTGGTGATCTTTTTGAGCGGACAACGTCCGAAACCGTAACGAAGCATACAGAGTGCATAAAGACAGCACGCCTTACTAGTCCCAATTGAGAGAAAACAAGAACGAAACACTAGAACTTCAGACGACAAATGGACAAGAAAGCAATCGCGACCCGGTTTTAGCTAAAATCGCACTAGGGTTATCATTAGTCTTGTTGGAATTCATACCCAAGCGGCTTCACAGCAGTGACGCTGCGGAGACTTGTCTCTCTCAAGCGCAGTGTTTCAATTTCAGCTAGTTGCGCCTCGTGTAACTTGGCAAGGGGCTTGGTGCCTCTACAAGTGCATCTCACGAGAAAGCTTTCTGTCAATCGTGTCAGCCATGCGATTACCCACAGGTACCGGCGAGGCCATCTTGTTTGCTATCAACGATGTCCATGGAATTGGCAAACTGCTCTGCCATGGAGGAATGGTGCTTTTAACTGAAAATCAACGATGGGGCGGGGGATGGCTGGAATTGCCCATGATTGAAACCGCGTAAGCTCAATGGGACTCATTCGCTCTTTTGGCAAAGCTCTCCAGGTCGTGCCTGCGGGGAATCGGCTCAGGCCAGATGCTCATCCCGGGTAGGCTGCTATTGGCACCACTTTCCGCGATGGGCCACATTTTCTGGGCGGTCTCGGGGGCATCGCCCATAGGGCTGACAGCACCGGTGAGCCGGGCCACACCAGCTGGCTGAATGGTGGCGTTGAAATATCCGGTTCGTCTTCAATGTTTCATATCGAAAATGACATGATGGTCAAGTATAGGCAGGATATTGCGAGCGTAATAGTGATCTTTCATTAGAGGTGAGGAAGCCAGCCAACCCGAGGAAACAGATAAAAATTCAACGCATAATGTACAATGATCCTTCGAATGAGCGTTAAACATGCTCCATAAAATACATGCACACAACATAGACGCTTCGCCGCATGCAAACAGATAGACATTTACAGTTTCAAAAATCAACAGCCAGAAAAGATTGGGGGAGAGTGTCGACGATATCCCCACGCCAGAACTCCACGCTGAATAAAAATGCAATCATGGGTAAACCACCCAGAATAAAGCAAAGACACAGAAAGACAGAGAGTAATGTCAATCATGACTTGTCGTTTTCAATGGGACGGTCCTTGCCCTGCAGCCAAACACGCTTCCACGGGCCGTCAGGACCGAAAGCTGCCTCTCGATCTTGGCGCATGCCTTCCAGAACACCAACAACACCACCACTGCGCAAACGCTCGAGGACAATGTTCATGCCCTGCTTGCTCTTCAGCACAGCTTCCTTGGTGCGGCTCACACCGATAAGCTCAATGGTTCGTTGGATGCCAGCGGTGGAAAGAGAGGAAAAGAATCCTTTGCGGGGCTCTTCATCTTCATGATCACCGGTATCAATCTTCTTCCTTCCGAGCAGCTTGCCCTGCCCGAGTCGGGAGCGGAAAGTAACGGTAGTCTTGACACTGGTCTGCTCGGAAACCTTATCGACGGCTAGGCCATCAAGGGCGAGGCGGTCCTCTTCGGATTGGAGGCGCTGGTAGACTTGCTTCTCAACGACGCTCAGGATACCCGTCCACTCCATGTTGCGGGACTCGGTCTCCATCCAGCCCTCTTTGGCATCAACAATGGTCTTCTCAAGGATATAGCTCTGGCCGGAGTTGTCTGAGCCTCCAATGCCTTTCGGCAGGAGTTTCAGAATTCCCGATGGAACCTTGGACTTTTTGAGGTGTAACCGAATGGTGTGCAGACGTTGAGTCTTAGGATCAACATATCTGTCGATGACATCGGTCGTAAGGACATGGCGGGAATACGGATTGGGATAGCGGAGAAAGTAGGCGAGGGACACAGCAGGAAAGGAGTAGTCGTAGGTGAATGTGTTTTCGAAGAACTTCATGATGGCATTCAGTGATTCATGTAGATAGATTGATTGAGAGGTAGAAAGGGCAAGGAGTCGTCTGACCCAGTACTTTTTGCGAAGGCGTGCCAAAGCTGGAAGTGGGGCCTACGCCGGATCAATAATACTCCGGGTCAAATCCGATGCCGATTATCACATGTATCTCACGTGGTCCGGGGATGAGGCCTATCATCGGCCCGCAATTAGGTCGGTCGTCGCGATTATATACATTCCCATGCATTTGCGTTTCCTGAAGTTAGGTGGTCCAATTGAACTACCTGAGAAAGTCGACATATACTCAATGGTTTTTTCAATGTAGATTTTGAATATGGATCCCTTAATCTGCGATGTAAGAGCGCTAATGCCTGCTTGGATATGCTTCTACGGTTTAAACGAGCGACGAACATCCCTACAATATCTCAAGCCTGCTGCTTATCAGGTTTGACGCGAACGAGTTAATTTATAGAGCTTGACTTACTCAAGCTTCATAATATTGTGGCAGGAACCCGAGCACATCCAAAGCAGCCGTATTTCCTGTTTGGGTAAGTAGATGAAGCCTTAAGTCTGCAAACAAATACAACACGTGCACCTTTGCTAAACAAGCTGACCAGATTCAGAGCCCCAGTCCCTCCAAGCCTTACCGGCTTCTGCAAAGCAGACAGCTCTTTACCTTTCACACCCGTCTGGGTATCCATTCCATCAACCCTCTTCCACCCTTTCCACGTCTCTATCAAAGACAATGTCGCTCCCATCTGGCTGTGGGGTCTGCGGCCAGCAAGATGGAGTTCTCCGCTGCAGTGGCTGCAAAGTGATGCCCTACTGCGGAGTCGACCACCAGAAAGCTCATCGCCAAGAGCACAAATCTGCTTGCAGCGCGATTAGAAGATCCCGCGTTGCCATGGAGAAAGCAGAAAAGGATCTACGGGAACGCTCAGCTACAGTCTTTACCAACGACATCGGACAATTCTGGGACCTTGTCGAGACACGCCCCTACATGCTCGCCCGCGCTGCCCTGACGGACAACTTGAATCGTGTGCACAACGTCGAAGCAGTTCAGGCACAGCTTGATCATCTGATGGAAAACTTGCGACTCTGTCGCAGTGACAACATGGGCTCGCGACATGTCATTCCTAGTTTGATGATCCGTCTTCAAAAGGAACAGGAGTGCTACGACTTTCTGAAGTGGTGGGCTACGACCGGCCAGGATGACAACTATGATTGGGGCGATACCACCAAGCCGTACCTTGACATCAAGAACGCCAATCCCCTTGAGCCAGTCGACATTTTCTGTGACAATCTCATAGATCTTCCATTTCTCACTTCGCTTACACTACTCAAGATCAAGGTCCTGTACTTGTTTTACCTCCCACTTATTGAGTCTGGCCGCGCCGCTGCTTTCGAAGGCGCCGAGCAGTCGATGAGATTCAAAGACTCGTCCATCGCCCATAACCCTCATATTGTGAACTGTGCCAACAGGTTTTCGGAGATTGAGAAGCTCAGGGCCCAGATTTGTACCTTGTACAAGGCTGTCCATTCAATGAACCCGCACTTCTGGCCGGCTCTGTTGAACCCGGCCGAACATGTGCGAGCTCATCCGATGACGTTTTCACCTGGCAGTGCGGAACAGATGCAGGTAGCCTTGAATCTGACCTATGATTCTTGGTTCGAAAACCTGGAGGCCACTGCGGCGATTAGGTTGGCCATGGCGGACGACCTTTGATATGTGTATCCAGTCCACACCAGTCTACAAGGAACCTTCTGAGGTTTGAATCGATATTGAAATGTGATAGTAGTTTTAGTCAATCACACAGCTCAAGTCTTGAATTCATGTGATTTCCTTTTTTTCCTGTCTTTTTTTCTCTAAAAACACTTTACATCAAACACCTAAGATGCGTATATTCATTTAACAACCCCAAATCGGGAGGGACTTTCTATAACCAAAGGCGGCAATTTCGCAGTAAATACTAGTAACATCCAAATCGAACGAGAAGAAGATAGACTTTGCGAAATTCAAAATCCTCGGTAGGACACGCTCAACTGTAATAAGCACCTTGATCAAGGGGAGGTGGCGTCTGATCGGGCCATAATTTCAGAATACCGGTCTTTGCCGCCGCAACTTGGGATTCGCTGGTTTATACCGTGTTCCTGTCGATGCGGTACATTGATGGCTTTCTGAGCGTGTAGAACTAGGATTTCGGCTTGGCGACGTGCCGGTTCAAAGTAGTTTACACCAAAACTTGACATCACCAGGTTAACTTTATATATATATCATGTCAGTGTCTTCATGGCCCGACACAGTGAGGCAAGACCGATCTTCAGCATCTTGATATTCTATCAATTGACTCTGAAACTATGGTAGACCTCCGCAATGGGCCTGGTTGGGCCCGGACCTCAGGCCCATAGCCCAACCAGCAGTGGGCTATGGGCCCTACCTTCGAAGCCCAACCAAGCCCATGGCCCATTATGGGGGCCCATGAGGCCCCCATTAAAGCCCATTTGTATGCATAAAGACAGTCTTGGCGCTCATAAACCTGCTGATTAATGCCTGTTTTTTACGCATGTTCGAGTCTGTATGCTTACCGCGGAAGATCTCGGCGCCGGCCCTGATCTAGCCTAATACGGGGGTTCAACAGTTGACAGAGAATCAATGTGCAAATATATATATTTCGTGTGTACAGAAGTAGGTCCATCTTTCTATTGATCTGGGGAGTCAATACGGGTTGAACTTGGGAAGCTTCAAATGCCAGTTTTAGGTTGTCATGTGAATACCACGTCTGCCTCCCTCTCTCCCTCTCTCCCTCGCTCTCTCTCTCTCTCTCTCTCTCTCTCTCTCTCTCTCCCTCTCTCTTACACCTTACTATCACCGCGAGAGCATTCTTTATCCTACTACCAAGGTAACCGCTATATCCCTATGTCTCTGTTGCTGAATCTGACTATATCGCTGTTGGTAGCACTGAACTGCCCCGTTTTTCTTTTTGAAACCGCTGAACCTAGACGAAACCCTTGTCACGGTGGTGGTAAGTGAACCTCTCTGTTCCTTGCACTATACGCTGGTATGCTAATCATCCTGTAGCCGAGGTTCGCGATCCCTGCTGTGCTGTCTGCGGCGCTGTTCCCTGCGCTGTTCGTTACGCTTTCTACTGCGCTGTTCGGTGCGCTTTTTACCCCGCTGCCTGCTCCGATGTCTGCCGCGATGGCCGCTATGAAGTCCGTTTCTGTGGTGGATATCCTCGCCTTCCTTTCCTCCGTTAAGGGCATTCTACTGGGAGTGTTAGAAGTTGTTATTACCGCGAAGGAGGTCTTGAGGGAAACAAAAGACGTGCTGGCGGTTACTAAAGAGGTCATTACTAGCCTGGGAGAGCTAGTAACTACTGTGAAAGGCCTCTTCCAATGGGCGCAATGGGCGCTCCAGTGGGCGTCTCTATGGGCGTCTCTATGGGCGTTCCAGTGGCTTCAATGGCTTCAATTCACTCAGAATTTGACGCGCCAATGGGGTAATCAACCATCTCTTACTGATCTCCCTTCTCCTCAATGGAGACTTGTAATCAAGCTTAAATCACCCGAATCTACTATCTTTATAAATCAGCCTCTACTTCCCTTTTAGGCCTAGGCTATAGGCTACTGGGTGAAATATTTTCAACAAAATATTGGTAAATGGGCGGGGAATGGGCTATTCTTGGGCTATTCTTGGGCTCTAGATGGGCTAGATCCACTTAATATGCAAGATATAGCCAATGATAAATATATAGGACCACGATTTTCATCTTTTGTTTGCTATATCCGCCCATTTTTCAATCAGTTCCTCTCTCATGAAAAGTATTAGGAGGAAGGTAATATCAAATTTACCCTTTACACTCATCTATCCCTCTAAAACCTTCCTACTATCCATATAAGAACTCATTGACTGACTATGTCCCAAAGCCAGCAAACCGAGATTGGATCATCTCAGTTGAGCCTATACGACTCTAAGCAGTAGGTTGAGCTCGATCAACTACCGTTTTTTACCTCGTCCAATGACCTCGCTACCCCCACGATCTCCCGCTAGGCGTTGAGTACTTTCAATTCATCATTTATCCAGCCTTCCATAGCTTCCTCGGTCGCTCCGGATCCCATTGAACCCTTCCAACGAGTCGGTCTTGGTAGGAAAGGCCAGTACTTTCTCTACAACGGCATAAATCATCGCGACTGGGTCGACTGGTGGTTATAGACTGACTACGGATCTCATAACACGATCTCTTGGGAGTCACCGCATGGTTCTGCCTCGGAGACTTGGAAGTATTTTGAGCAAGCGGCGTATACAGACACTGGGAAACCGAAGGTTATATGTAAGAATTGTGATATAATTCTCGAGCACCCTTCTAGTGGTAGGAAGGATGCTAGTGGGAAGGTTAGTCGTTATGGCACAACGACTATTACCCGTCATCTTCAGACTATAGCCTATCAAAAGGCCGTAGGAATACGGCGACAAAAGGGGCAACTGAAAGAGTTTCTTCAAACGGTATGTAAAACGCTATCATTCTCTTACAGTACTAACTAGTATATCTATTTAAATAGGGTTATCTAGTCGATCAATCGTTCTCGCAAGATGCCTAGGAGGATCAGCTCTTACAGTTCGTCACTACTAACCGGCTTCCGTTCCAAATTGTTGAGAATCAGGCCTTCCGTCGTCTTATTACACAAGCGTAGTTAGCTCCAAAACCTCTAACAATACCATCTGCTGATACAATCCGGCGTTAGCTATCTACGTGTGTCAAAAAGCGGTAACGGGATTCACTGAGGTTGCTACCAGAGTATACTAAGATCTCGGTTGCATTGGACTGCTGGACTTCTCCCTTCGGGCAGGCGTTTATGGCTATCACTGGCTATTTCATTAACGCTGATTGGGTCTACCGCGAAGTGCTGCTCGGTTTTAAACCCCTACATAGAACGCATTCAGGTATAAACCTAAGTGCTATTCTTATAGATACTCTTATTGAGTATAAGATTGAGCACCGAATCTTTGGGTTAACAACTGATAATGCGTCAAATAACAAGACTCTAGTTGATACACTTCAACAGAGTCTATCCGCGGATATCAATGTTATCCGTATCCCCTGCCTTGCACATATGATCCAATTAAGCCTGAACCAGCTACTTCACCGGCTTAAAGCAGGCCCAGAGAATAAGCAAACAGAGACTCGATGGACAGAGAGTCAAATGAGCCGTGTAAAGACAAATGCAGAATCCAAGAAACAGGATATCTCGCATACCTTGAACAGAATACGGTGTCTTGCAGTCTTTATCCGTGCCAGTCCTCAGCGCCGGGATTCATTCCTCAGTCTTCAGCTAGGGCAGGGGGCTAAGCTTATACCTGTTCAAGATGTTAAGACTCGCTAGAATTCGACGTTTCTTATGCTCCGCCGGGCGAAAAGACTTCGTACCTTTATCGCGCAGTTCTGTGAACAGTTTGACTGTAAAGACTTCGCACTTAATAATAATCAATAGCGCCAGATTGACTATCTTCTTTACCTCACAAAGCTATTCTTTGATTATACCGTTGCCCTTTCAAAGACTCGAGATGTGACATCGCATCGTGTCCTCCAGATCTATAACTTGCTCTTTGAGCATCTTGAACGATCGAAGATATAGCTACAACGAAAACGTGTTATATGGAAACAGCAAATGCTTGCCTCCCTAGAAGCTAGCTATTCAAAACTACGCGAATACTATAGTGAGACTGATAGAATACGAGGGTATATCTATGCAGTTTGTACTATGCTATCACCGGATAGTAGATTCCAGTTCTTTCTTTCTGATGACTGGTCTGACGCCAAAGAACTCCGTAATCAGTATCGAGTAGCATTCCAAGACGCACTCACTCCGATCCAGGAACGTCTTACCACTACTCAGGACCCGCAAGAGTCCTCTTCTAGATCAACAGCAAGATCAGTTCTTGATGACTTAGTTCGAAGCCAAAAGTCCAAAGCTATGCCGGGCCCGGTTATAGATAAGTTAACACAGTATCTTGACGGTAGTATGTGAAACCCTTTCATCTCTTTATCTAATACTAATCTGATATAGATATAACTGATTCCGAGCCGCTCTCCTTCTGGAGAGAGAATCAATTCCGTTTTCCAGCTATTGCTACACTTACACGGGATATGCTCGCAATTCCAGCAACAGGCGCTGGGGTAGAACGACTATTCAATACTGCGCGTGATATCTACCATTATCGGCGTGGCTCTTTGAAGTCGCGCACCATTGAAGAGCTGATGCTATATCTCTGTACATCAAGGTTTGACCTTAATGTACAGAATGCAAAGGAATTCGAGTATTTCTTCGGGTCTGATAAGACCCAGATCCTGATAGAAGAGAAGGATGAGCAGCTGGATGATATTAAAGTTAAAGAGATCAGTGATACTGAAGAATATAATGATATAACTGGTTCTGAGGATCTGATAGATATTGGCCATGATGATGATAATACTACTATCACTGCTGGACCATCTCAAGTGCGTACATCAGGGAGGAAGAGGAAACATGTTAATGATAAACTATATGAGTATCATTAGTAGATAGTGAAACCTGACTAGATCTCTCATTAATCAATCTTTTAATCTTATCAAGTTTCATTGATCTCATCCATAGTCAATTCATTCAATTGACTTAATTCCCATGAGGACTTGGTCAATTTCAATTTGGGGCTTTGACAGTAATCCGAATACTCAAAAATACCAGAAAAATCTGCATTATTTATGTATCTGCCAAGAATAGGCATGTTTGTATTGTTTGAGGCCCATTGGGCCCCCATAAAAGCCCAGTGGGCTTCTACCCTAGGCCCATAGCCGTCGATGGGCCTAGAGACCGGGCCCAAAGCCCAGCCCATTTGCGGGTTGGGCCGGGTTGGGCTTTGGGCTTTGCGGGCTGGTGCGGAGGTCTAAACTATGGCGATATTTGCAAAATCTCAATAGCACAAGAAAAAATGATCTTTGTATTTAGTATTTACAAGCATCGAGAGGAGTATCATTTTGACCAGATACCTAAGGCGTAGGTTCAAGCCGTATCATATTTCAGGGATCGTCACCACAGACTCTACATAAGTGTAGGTAGTAGGAACTCATGTGCATAGCTAGAATGGAAGACCCTCATACCATGTGGTAATAGCTTGGCTACTCTAGTAGCTGGGTGAGGGTGTATTACAGGGTTGTTGTAAGGAATGTCTATATCATGACAGGGCTACGTGTTCATAACCCTCTCATTGGATAATTGCCTCGCCGTCTTCCCGCTATCATCACCGCCTTTTCGAAGCCTATACGGTTTCAATTTCTCTTTCGTTGCTATACCCATATACTCCATAATGGTGCGACCAACCATTGATCTTGAAGCGCATAAAGATGAGATCATCTCTCTTTTTCAAAGCGGCGCATCTCCAAATGCTATATGTGTCAATCTACGCGATACATATGGCCTCACTGTTGCATCCCTTACAATAAGGAGACGTCTTGATACATGGGGAATCGAGAGGGCCGTTAAACCATACACCACTACAGATCTTACTTTACATGAAAGACTGAAGACGCTTATCTCCGAAGTTGGTCTTTCCGATAAACAAATTGCGACTATTCTTCAGACGGAAGGCTCCAATATTAGCCCTCGCACGTTACAAAGGCTCCGGCTCCGGCTTGGTATCGAACGTCACAGCCGATATAGCAAAAAGCGCGAACGGCAGCCTAAGGACGGTTAGTACACATAGCGACACGCCGTATAAGGAGACCCACTTACCATCAGATAAGCTCGGGTTCCGCAAAACCAGGCATTTGACACTCGGACGACTAAAATGCCTGGCAATATTACCCAATCAAAGAGTTATGAACAGGTGGCACACTTAGGCGTCCATACAGGGCGCGGATCCCCGCATCGCTCTCGGCTCTCCCCCTCACTGAACTCGAACCGCGCATCCCTAACAAATCGCCGTCTCCACCCAGTCAACATGGGTATGAAAGCCCGCTGCCAATGTGGCAAGATCCAATTCACAACACCGACAGACAAACCCTTGAAACTCTGGATCTGTCACTGTACAGAATGCCAGCACCAAAGCTCGTCCGCGTTCGGTATCACCGCAACATTTCCGTACTTTGAGCTTCCCGAGTCAACCTCCGGTTTAGTCGGCAGCTATACTCGTGTCACTACCAAGGGACGCGATATGGAGTGTCTCTTCTGCAAAAGCTGTGGCGCGCGGCTTCTCCATCGCTTCCGGGATGCCGTACCCGCACCTGGCGAACAGCCATCGTTCTCGGCTATCACCAATGTGAAAGGCGGTTGCTTGGAAGATATGAACAAAGAGATGCTGCGAAACGCAGTTCATATTTGGTGCCAGGAGGCAATCATTGACATTCCCGAGGGCGTGGAGAAATGGGATGAGGGGCCGCCTCAGCCAAATCCTTTGGTTACTTAGATATTCTGTCTTTTGACAAGAGAACGAGATATGCAAATCGATTCGGTTCATCCACAAGCGATCTATATCACCGGCGGGATCTAGCTTAGCTTCCGCTCTAGGTGGGTCTCTGTCAGGTCTAATCTCGGAATCAAGAGCGCCCACAACGAAAGCCTATGGAACCCACTTAGGATATACTGGCGAAACTATGTTCATTTGTCCAACTGTGTTACCAAGCTAAGCTAATGCGTCTGTGGAAGAGGCTTGAAATCCGCATTCCTGGCCACCTCCCATTGTGGCAAGTGGTATCCCGGAGGTGAAGGGCCAAGTCGGAAATCCGTTCGTGTCTCGCTCATCTTGAGCGGAGTGGCAACCACTTCCAAAGGTCCCAGACCCCATGGATAGCCATCAATTGCCTGAAAGAATTCCTTCTTCATACATGCCTCCTCTGATCGATCGGCCATGAACGCAGCGTTGGTGTATCGCTTCTTCGCTTGAGAAAGAATTTCATCGTAATGTCGGATCTGGCCCATAGTCTTCGGGTTTCTCTTTTTCAGGGCATCAAGTTGTTCTTTAGAATACTCACCATAGCTGAGAAGCTGCAAATTGGATACCACCAAGGAGCATTGGACAACGTATGAGCCACCGAGCTCGTTCCTCTGAATCAGAGCATGCAAGATGCCGAGTACCCCTGCGTGGCCGGTGCTGTTTACGGGATAATGATTAGAGAATCATCCCTCAGATGGCGGGGATAGTGCAATACTCACAGATAATCAGAATTTGGACCAGGGAAGATCTGTGCCTCGTCATAGCCATGGAATCGTCCAATTTCAATCGCAACGCCGGAGACCTAAAGGAAATGGGGTCAGTTATCTGGGTTTCTAGGCCCAGTTCCACTTAGTATGGAGACTACGCACCGAATCGGCAATCTGCGCCCAGCCAGGTCGAGTACTCCAAGGACCCTGCCACCCATAGCAATTCTCCTGGACATATACCAGCCCCCGGTCTCGTTGAGCACAGAGCCCGAGGACAGCATCTCGTCCGAAACCAAGATGCTCCAAGGTTGCAGGACGGTAGCCATCGATGAAGACATCCGCGTCTTCAATCAGCTCCATGAGCTTCTTTCGACCTTCGAATGTTTTCAGATTGATATCGACACAGATCTTTCCCGTGCATCCGTCAAGAAGCGTCATAGGAAGTTCGGAAAGCGTTTCGCATCCGACTCGGATGACGGTTGCTCCCAGGGATGCACGGAATTTGCCCATTGTTGGCGCTGCAATTGCTCGTGACAGATCCAAGATCCTAATCCCAGACAAGGGTCTTGGGTCGCTGGAGTCGGTACTGGGCCACGCTGCTGGGGGCTGGGTGTAGTATACCGGCGAGCTGATGTTGTACAATGCATCGTCTTTGATCGCTTTGCCCTGCGCCATTTGGTCAGTTGTATTTCTTTCATAATCCCAAGTGTCGCAATGTTACCTGGGGTAACTCCAAAAATTCCTCCTTCTCGTAGCATATGGTACCGGGAGTTCTGTAGACATTATTGCTGTAATGCTGCAGGGTCTCCGAGTCGTATTTCTGTATCACATTCTTGTAGAATTCGATAATCTCCGGAAGATCTCGGTCCTCCTCGTCATGTTGTGGCAGGCTTAACATGTTGAGCAATGGCGTCGGATCCATGCTTCCATGTGACTGGAACCAACGACCGTCTTTCGTTTGATAGATGTTCGTGGCCAACTGCCGATACATTTCCCTTGTCTTGCCATGGTCCCAACGCTCGACAGCTGCATAATGGGCCTTACTGCTTGCCATCAATTGGCCATCTTGGCGGCAAAAACAGGCAGCAAGCCCAGCTAACATGGCGTGGTCACTTCAAGATGTTCAGGGTCAGTAGGGGGCGCCTTCACTGATCTACTTTGTGATCATGGAGGCTTACACGTCCACTTGGACCTCTTGTTCGATCCCATAGCGCATTTTGCCAATGGAATTGGCGAACAGGCCCACCGCACCAATAATGCTGGCCTGAGCCTCTGTGCACTTGAACGGAACTGGAACGAATGGCTGAGTTTCATCTCCAACAAACTTGACGGTATGTGCTAGATCTTTGACTTTGTCAGGTATATGCAGGCGTTTGTCTTCGACGATTTGGTTGAAAATTCGCAGTGACTCGCTTTGGAGTGTATACTCCGTATCGTTGGGCTGTGACATTTCTGGTGAGTAGAAGGAAGCAGACAAAAGAAAGACTGAGTTTCAGATCAAGATATGTTTCGGACTTTGGTTATAGATGTTGATATTTATACATTTGAACACTTAGGCAGGCTGGGGTATCTACTACCCTTTGCGGGGTGTCCCCGCAAAGGGCAGACCTGGTCCGGCCATTGATGATATTCCCAATTTCAGGGCACCAGCCAATCAATTGCTGATGAGAACCAAATCAATCAGTATTAAACATCGATTGTAATAACAGAGGCTGGACCCGGAATCCCGATGTGGAGGCGGAACTCCGTGCGGCTAACGGGGGGTCAGTGGTCACTCGAACGACAATTCCAAACTAATGATCTGCCAATGATCTGCTAATCTCGAGACTGGGGAGATTGCGGGGTTCAAGCTCAGTCATTGGCCGGCCTCTCAGATATATGGATACATGTACGGAGTACTCCATCCCTGCAAGGTGCACTGTGTGTCTCTTGAAAGTGATGAAGCCTTGAGGTTTCAGAATCACCGCTTCGGAGATCCGCAACGGAACTCCGTCATCCCAGTCACTTCGGGGGAGATCTGACCATCTACCATCAAAGGCCATGAAGCTTTTGCTCGTTGAGATACTTAAAATGAAAAAAGGGCGTGGCTTTTGCTGATTTATCTTGCAATCTGGACCCATCTACTCCATACGGAGTACGGAGTAAACAACAAGGGATCCTTTGCTTTATGTATACGTCACACCTTATATCTATCTCTGACAGCAACAGAGAGTGAGAACAATCACGGGGTTTGACGGAGTGATTAACATAATTGAGGCCTCGTGTCTACATGAATCACATATTTATGCACTTTTGCTTGAACTAATGAATCTCTGACATATGCATACCCTCTCCCAATCCCGAGCCCACAAGACTGGAGAAGCAAGCCCGGTCTCTTAGGTTATTGGCAGAGGAAGTTGGCCAATCTCCAAGTCGTACGCAGCGGAGGCCGTTGATTTCGGAATTCCGTTGTGGACGGACAACTCGCCGATGAGCCTCGGGGTATGCGAACCTTAGCCTGAAAGAGTCGAATAAATCAGAGACATCAAACTCCTATCTTGCTCATTGTGATCCTCTCGTGTCCTCATCTTGAACTGGTATTCTCTGCTCTAATATCCCCGAGCTTAACGATGCCCACCATTGCAGACTGTTGTACCAAGGGGAAGCAGGTAGATGGTGCTTAGCCCTACTAATATAACCCTGTGAATCAGCAGCTGAAGTACCTGTTTCTAGATAAGTATGTCCCAAATGGGAAGACTATCAGGATAGGTAGACTAGATGTCTACGAAAGCAACCCACCCGGGATCACTGAAGGCGATGAAGAGCAATCTGCATCTGAGAGAGTGCTTCTGCTGCTCCCGGACGGATTTGGTCTGGCGAAACATAATTACCTTCTTGCGGATCAATTCGCGGCGCGAGGATGGAGGGTGTTGATCCCCGATTACTATGAAGGTATCTGATAGCCCCCCTGTTCCGAACGCTCTACACCATACATTGTCTCGATGGTCACTGCTGACTTCTTTCCTGCTCTCCAAAGGAACCCCAGTACCTATTCAACTGCTACGCCTCAATGACCCTACTCTCTCCGAAGAAGACAGAAAGCTCATTCCAACTTTCGATTTAAGCCTGTGGTCACAGAGCCATCCTCCTGATCATGTTGAGGGCCTTCTTCGAGAGCTGACAGCGGCTCTGAAAACCGCTGGAAAGGGAGATCGGAAAAATATCTTGAATGTTGCGGGATATTGCTTTGGAGGGAAGTTTGCTTTGCGAATGGCAGGTTGGGACTCTGTCTCTTCCGTGGCTTCATTTCATCCGGTGAGCAACTGATTTCCGCCCTATCGATCATGTTCAAGTCTCACTATTTTTGCATGAATAGTTCAATGTTTTTTCCGAGGATGTACAGAGCCTTCGGTGCCCGACGTATGTTGGTCTTGCCGAGTTTGACAACATGGTCCCACCCACCCTGAAGGAGGACTTGGAGCGTTGGGCAACAATATCAGGGGAGCCAGACGAAAGGAGGCGTTTTGAGCCTGTCGTGTCGGTTTATCCAGGGGTTGACCATGGCTTTGCTGCCCGCCCGGATACAAATGATCCTGTGGTTGCGGCACAATATGCAAAAGCTTTGGATGACGCTTCCAATTTCTTTCTCTTATAGGGATTTTCGGGCTGTATAGGGCAGTCCTGGTCTTGGTGTAATACCGAGGAAACCATCCCTATCTCAACAAGACTGGATTCTTTACTTCGATTGAGGACCGGGGAGGATTTGTACTGAGAGGGCCGAATGGTGGTATTCAATCGGCCATTTCTCATGTGAACATTGCAGCTATTGTCATCTTTTTTGAATCGCACGATAGTGACTACGGTGAAGATTAAGATTCTTACTCGGGATATTGAGCAGCCACATGCTCAGCCATATCTCTAGTCTCTCTCCGTAGCCGATCTATCTCCCCCAGGTTTCCAGTAGACTGTTATCAAATCTTGGAATGAGGCTCGTATGTCACTAAAAACCTGCATCCAGTCGGAATTCGCATGGCTACAGAAGAAAATATGCACTACCGTTCCGTTAGGAGGTACCCCAAATTATATACTAACGTGCTCATCTTCACCTGGTAAAAAAGCGGCAAGAGCCGAATGCCCAACCGGAAAGGAAAAGGCATCTAATGCCCGGGATAGGCTTATATGTACATTCATACAACTGAGAATCGCTACCGAAATCTTGTAGCTTAACCGACAATGGAAGTCCATCCATTGTCAATAGCAATAGTTGCACCATTGATCTGGCTGGCGCCCTTTCCATATGTCATGCTCACACAGAAGCCAGCGACCTCGTCGATATCAACGTGGGGAGCTTTGACCGCCTCGAGAATAGCCTGCACCTTCCCCATACCCTCCGGGTGAATGCCCGTGCTAAAGGCATCAACAATGTTGGTCGCCATGCCGCCCAACATCAATGCATTGCACTTGATGCCCTTGTTGCCATAGAATGACGCAGTATTCTTAGTCAATCCGACCAGACCGTGCTTACTGGCGGTGTACGCAGCGCCTAGGAAACGATTAATCTCAGATCCCACAGCCCACCCTCACAGAAAGAACTCACCACTGGCCCAGCCGGCCTTTCCGGCAGCAGAAACAATATTAATAATGCGCCCATCAGGCTTCGGCTGCTGCAGCATGTTGCGAACAGCCAATTGGCTCAACAAAGCCGGTGCAGTGAGATTAATTGCAATAACACGGTTCCAGAGATTCATATCCAGATCGCCGATCGGGTCGAAGCGGTCCATGATACCGGCGTTGTTGACGAGGACATCGATCTTGCCATATTCGCCAATGATCGTTTCAAACAGGCTCTCCACTTCGCTGGTATTGGTGATGTCGGTCTTGATGGCCTTCAGGGGACCCTTGGATGACAGCTCAGCAGAGGAGGCTTGCAGACGCTCGTCGTTCACATCGCAGATCACGACGTTGGCACCGGCTTCAAGGAACTGGGTTGCAATTGCTTTGCCTAGGCCGCCGGCACCGCCGGTAACGAGACAGGTCTTTCCTGCGAGGATTTGGTCGGACATCGTGAGTGGTGATGATTGGATTCCTGGGGATTATAACAAAGTGATAATTGATCTGAGAGGAATCCGGCAAAGCATTACTTATATACCTATGAACCTGCCCCCTTTTAAAATTCACTACTTAGGTGGCCGGATGCTTCCTATCCACCTTCCGTTCATCTTGGACGCCGTGGCATCCACTTGGGGATTGATACTGCCGGTTGGGGTGCCACCTGTTCTTGAGTACGGCCAGCTTTGAAGGCGTCGTACCACTCATAGCCATCGGCGCCTGGGCGGCGCCGAGGGGTATTGATGAATACGACGGAATACGATGCGCCATGTGGGCTTAAAGCGGGGAGATGTCATAGCGGCTGCGCTTAGGATGTTGATCACTTAAAGAGACACAATGTCAAGCAGTCTCGGACGACTGAGAAAGAGATAAAGATTGGGTTCAAAGTAAATATAAGCTTCTTTCTGCAGGGCTGCATCGACCTATAAAATGACGGGCAATATGCATCAATTGACTCCGGTTTGGAACCCGTGGACGCCGGGCCCGGGCTGATATACTTGTTAGTCAGCAATATCACGTGCACCAACCGGGAGTTTGCCTATCCGAGAGCCCTCAGCCCTACTTTCCTATTTTGTACATATCTCTACCTTGCTCTACGGAGTATATTATTGGCAATCGCCCATATCTGCTGGAGCCTACTGTAAAGATTCTGTTATATTGTATCTATTATTATGTTATAGTGTGCTAATAAATAATTAATAGAACAAAATACGATCATTCGAGGCTTTTCCAATTGTCCAGGTGTACGGAGTACGCTAGACATCAATAGAGTGATACGCAGGGAAAATGAGGATATGAGAAGCAAATCAAAGATATATTAGCCGAGCATTAAGTGCAAGGGGGAAGGATGGCTGATAAACCAGTTGGAAAGAGAAACTGAAAAGGGTAATAATGTCCTGAATCTAAGAATGAGTCCAATATAGAGAGCTGTGCTCAATCCGGAAGCGATATAAAAAGACGTTCCTTATTGCCAAACCTTGCTAAGCGCTATATTAGATATTCAGCACCGCAAGGAATATAAAAATCCGTTTCCGTAGACTGGGGGCAGGTTAGAAATAATAAAATCTTACTTCGGTCTGACTGGTGGATTTTATATCGCCTTGATCCTCTCGAGTGGATTGTTTGAGATCAAAAAAAGGTCGGCGCTAAGGCTGGTTGTGGAAATGATCAGTTTCATCAGAGACTAGTAGCCAAGTTGAAACAATGTTTCACGGGTGATGTGCCCAGTTTGTTCGGATCTACTATAAACCATACAGAGGCAGTAAGCCACCCACTGTGAAGCCTCCGGATATACTCCACCTGTCACCTGGATGACACGATTATTGTCTCAATCAGAGTCTTTCAGAGTTTGGCGAGGCAGTCCATTTACCTGTTTTTAAAGGGCGCAGATTCCCCACAAACAGAAAATCCAGTGTGAAGACAGAAACACCGACTATACCTCAACATGCGTGGGACCTTCGTTCTTTTGCTTTCTGCGGCGCTGGGCGCCGGCGCTTCACTCACCGAGTCCAATCTGAAATCTCATGTCGATGTGCTGGCACTCGACTATGCTTTCAACCCTGTCAAGGCTTCCTACTGGACTGGATACCCACATCATCGCCGGACTCCGTTTGCGGTGTCGCCCGATGGGAAATCAGCCTATATTGCGTACCTTGATTCTAGTGCTACAGATGTCCATATACAGCAGTTGGACCCTACTACTTTTTCTGCTACTGGAACCACTGTTACCATCACCGGTGGAAAGGAAGGTACGTTGGCGCCATTTTGCTTTCCCACTATAAGAAATTGAATTAATGTTTCAATGCAGCTGGAGGCCTTGTCGCCCACGATGACGGGTTCGCACTGTTGACCAACGAAGCCATGCCCTCAGGTACTGCCAACGCACCACCAAACGACACACCCGTCCCGGTACTGTATCGCTACACTTCAGGCAAACAAGCATGGAAGACCTGGCTTGGAGGACCTGGAGTGCACGAATCTGAAGGCCTGTCCGCCTCTCCCGACCTAAACGGCGACCTGGTCTACTCCGAAAGCGCTGGCCTTTACGGTGCGTACTTCGTCGTCACCGATTACTCCGGCGATGCATCGGGTCACTTTGGCGATAGCGTGGAGTATGTATCTAAAAGCGGAACTCTTGAAACCATCGCCGGCGCATCGAGCGCCTGGGGATGTAGTCACAACACCGGAATCGCGTTTGAAGCAGCCGATGACGCTCCGTTCGCCAGTATCTGCGCCGAGGATCAAGGCGCTATCTGGTTGAATACCAAGACGCAAGGTATGACTACCGACGGTGTCAAGATCTCGAATGAGAATACGACCAATGGTGCCTCTGGCGAGCCTATGGGTGGCATGTCTGGTAGTTACAGCGTACTCTCTCGCTTTGCTGAGACTAGCAAGTACATCTTCGCTTGGGTGTCTCGGGGCGCAATGGATGTGACAGAGAACAGCTGGATGGGGAGTGGATACACGAATGTGCAGAACCGTACGAATGCTCGCAATGTTGCCATCTCGCTGTTCTCTGATAAGTATACTAAAGTTGGGGCTCAAGCTACGTCTGAAGTTGGGGCTGAGGATGGAGATGGTCAGATTACCTGGGTCACCTCTGGATCGAATGACTGCTCCAATGCTCATGCTGCAACCTTTGGGAGTAGCAATGCGCTCATCACCTGGGAAGAAATCTCGAATCCAACTTGTGATTTCATCGCTATGGGATGTCGGGGTCAGTTTGCCGGTACTCAGTTCCAACAGGTCGACTCGACAGGTAGCAAGATTGGTGATTCTTTCAGCAGCAGCGATGTCTATGTTGCTGGTGATATGGTTCCCATGGAAGATGGACGCATATGTTGGCCATATGTCAGCATGACTTGGGATCTATCGCATGCGATTGATGAAACTTCGTCTGCAAGTGTCAAGAAGCTGAGCATTGCGTGTATGGGTCTCGAGGGTGATACTAGCGAAACCAAAAGTACCTCTTCTAGCAAGACGACTAGTGCCGCCACAAGTATCACTGTGAGTGAGGCCGCGAGTGCAGTTACAAAAGCGGCTGCGAGCCAGACCATTTCCAATGCCCCGAGCGCGACTAGCCAAGACACAGTCGGGGCCGTGGCTGCAATACCGGGTGGAGGTGACAGCGATGCATCGAGCGATCCTGTGATCGGGACTTCAAGCACGACTTCCAGTGAGATCCCAACTCCCACTGTAAGCGCCTCTTCGACTGGCACTGCGGGTAATATTGTGGGCGGAAACGACGGCGATACCCTAAGCAACACTTCGGCCGAGATTCCCCGCAAGACCCCGACCACAGTTGGCAGTGATACTTCAAGCGATGATCACATCAACCCCTGGGGCATGTTCCCAAGCGGTGTGTTTGATGCACCTCCTAGCGGACTCCCGAGTGGCTTTCCGAAAGGACACGGGAAGGGCCATGGACGAGGACACGGAAGAGGTCATGGCAGGTACCATGAGAGGTGGCCTGAGATGGCATAGACCAGTCTCCTTAAGTTAAAGCTATACCTAGATTTAGATGACTTACTATTCTTTATCGCTGACACAGCCTTGAAATACTGCGGGTTCTTGGGATTCACTGTACCGTATGTCCTTACTGGCTTGCATGTGTCTTTCTTGAAAGGGAATGGAGCTCCAGGTCGGAAGGACTCAGGATTCCTTCGGAGGGACTCCCCTGCAGATGCATTCCATTATGTCAGCAGTCGATTCAGCCCTGGAGGTGCTGAGTGCCTCCGAGCTGTGTGCCCGGAACGAAGTCAGTCAATCCATGCATGTAGACCTAATAGACCTTGCTCATCCCTGTGTATCTCGTCCAATGGCTCAATTCCTTCAATCTCCTTTTCATCTTGCTTTCTATTGTCTTATGATGGCTGCCAACGGAGAGAAGAATATTCAGGAGCATGCGCACTGTAGGCACAGACCTCTTTCACATCATTTTACAGATGCGAATGGCTTGCGTACTGTTCTAAATTGGTCAAACACTCCTAACTTGCTCGCATATCGTGTAACCCAGACCCATTCATCTGCAAAGAGAATGGCTCCTAACTCAATCACACTGGTTAGTTTGCCCCTACATTGGTGCCCATTTCCTCAACAGCCCAAGTCCATGCAAGAGAATAACTCTAACCTGCCCGCCGAATAGCAATCGCACAACCCAACGCATAATGACGCTCACCGGATTCTTAAATGAACAATCACATGTAGGTAATCAATAACTGAATCGCCTCTGCGGAGAACAGGCGGTCTGAACCTGTGATCCCCACACGAGAGTCCGTCAAATTAGCACCGACGGCCAACTCCACTGGCCACGCTAGATCGGCGCTAGATCTCGTTTTCGCATTGGAGTTTGGGAAGGGGGGACGGTATGGTCTAAGAGCCACCCAATCACACTGGCTTGAGGAGGTCGATTCGCGGTCTCTTCCGCAGAAGCGTCGTAAGATGTTGATCCGATCGCTATATCCCGAGAATAGAGTATGTGCGACTTGCACTAGCTGCGGTGCGATCAGGCCATGAGGAGTTCGAGCCCGCAGGACTTTATGCGGCGTAACATGCGGTATAGACTTAGCCAATGGGGTCTTGCTGTGGAGAGACAAAGTAGCGGGGAAAAGAATTGGACATCAGAATTGCTTCAGAGATTTCATTGTCGTCAATTGCTTATATTAGACTGTCTATGGGCCTAGGCTTTATCTTATAGGAAAGTGGGGTGTGCTTCTTTTCTTCCTTCAACTTCAACTTCACTATCACCAACCTGAGAGACACATGAATCATGTTCGCCAGTTTCTTGCTAGGAAGTGCTGTGGCCTATAACCTGGTCATGGCCATCTATCGACTTCATTTTCATAAGCTCAGTAAGTATCCGGGACCTCCTCTCGCGGCCGCAACGGGGCTATACGAGGTTTACTTTTCGGTTTGGGGGCCGGATATTTTTCAACAGGAGATCGATGAGATGCACCGGAAATATGGTAGGCCATTTGTGGATATTTATAGGATATGGAATCTAACACCGATCCCCCAGGCCCCGTTGTTCGGATTACCCCCGACGAGGTACACATTCAAGAATTATTCGGGACTTCCAGCCACGCCGATGGCTGGATCAAGGGTACCCGGGAACTGGAATCTGGATATTTCCAGCCAGGACGCAGTGGGCAGAATTCCCAGGCTAACAGACCATCGATCTCTCGGGTGCGCTCTCTCATCCGAAAGGAGGTCCACGAGATCATCGTTGGCTTGATCGAGAAGCACCAGGTGCATAAAGTGATTGGCTCCAGCCTTCGACCATTCGCTGCGGAGGACAATGTTCAGCCAATCGGAGAGAACGAGATCGACGATGCGGATGCAGAACATTCTTCGCAATCGAAGGTTCCTTCAAGCCTTTGAGGTTTGTACAAGCCTCCGACATCTCATCCGGGGTTTCTAGCCTCGGGGCGGAGTCTATATCCACTCAATTCGAAGGTCATGACCAGACAGAGTTCATCCCCGCGTTGGCGAGAAAGAGCCAGGGGACTCTGAACTTGGTACACGGTTCAATCCACGCGCGGAGTCTGACGTTGGCGTGGAGCCGATGGCTAAGAGGCTGCAATCTCCAACGTTGGCATTTTAACGTCTAAAGGACCCAATGCAGGGCCCTGATTGTCTTGACAGTAAGGAATTACCTCAGAAACAAAGAAAAGAGCATCCACTGTGGGTTCCCAAAAAACAAAAACAAAAACAAAAAGAGCCAGCGCAAAGTCAAGAACGCTGCTCAAGATTCGAGGCGGTCGGGATGCTTTTTCTGAACGCCCCGCTTCTCCAACAACTTTTCTTTGAATTTTTTTGAATTCTTTTTGTTATATTCAAGTCAGCACGATCGCGTCATCAATTGCCCCGATTCTCCCCTGTCAATCTCACCTTTTTGCGCAAATCCCACATCCATTGAACCACCATGGTAGGTTCGCGCGTGTTTACTGCGATTTCCCCAATTCCCTCCTATCGCAACGCCGCATGAACAAGAGCTAACCCAATCATCAACAGCCTCACGCCGACTCCTCCTACTTCATGCCAGGCTCCTCCAAGGCCGAAATCTATGAGCAGCTTCTAATGTCCACACAAGGTCTCCTGGACGGCCAGCGCAATTGGATTAGGTGAGTAATCGCCAGACACAATCTCCCCGCTTCAAACGAACAATAAGCTCACGATTCCAAGCAATCTCTCCAACGTCGCCTCCCTCCTCTGGCACGCCTACGCCGCCCTCCCAGAACCTTCTGCCTCAGTGAACTGGGCCGGCTTTTACATTCGCGACGACAAATTCCCCGCTCTCGCCTCGCCTGTCACCTCGCCGCCCCTGTCCGGCGCATCTAACTCTGGTGTGATTATCTCGACCACATACTCCTCCTCGGAGAACCAGCTTCTCCTCCTGGGCCCCTTCCAGGGAAAGCCTGCGTGCCAGGAGATTCGCTTCGGTAAGGGTGTTTGCGGTACCGCGGCGGCGAAGGCGGAGACAGTCATTGTTCCGGATGTTCTGACCTTCCCTGGGCACATTGCATGTGACGCGGAGAGTCGTAGTGAGATTGTTGTGCCTATTTTGGTGAACGGAGAGGCTAGTACTTGCCACGGAATGTATTGCTTGGAACATACGCTAACCGTCTACATTCATAGACTGTTGCTATTATTGACATTGACTGCACCGAGCCCTCTGGATTTGACGAGGAGGATAAAAAGTACCTTGAGCAATTGGCGACTTTCTTGGCTGAGAACTGTGATTGGTAAAAAAGCGCTCTATTTTTATTCTTGTTTTAATAATGGTTACGAGATATACGGTCTTGGGTAAATGAAATTGTTTGGTATACCATCTCTCACCTTGGTAGTTGCTTTTAGCCCTGTAACCCCCAAAGGACGGATAATGTTTCCACGCGAGAAGGCTCTTAGATAGCCCCGTACATACCGGCTCTGACCTCAGGTCTCAAAAAGAGATCACTAAGTAGGTTGTGTTCCCGGGGTTCGGAGGTCTTTTGCTTGAATTAATGACCTATGCCATAGCTCGTCAATGGCTCAATAGTGCTAGCCAACAAGTTCATCAGCACTTCACATCAATGTGTGTTTTCGGGCATTTCAAACTCAACACGTTTGATCCAATGCTAGTCTGGATAGCTATTGAGATAGTCGCAAGGGTTACGCTTCTACTCGGAGTGTCGACTTGGTTTCCAGAGATAGATCCTTCCATATTCAAAACCACATCACTGGCTCTCCGCCATCTGCGCATCTCATCAATAGCTTACCTCCATTCAACCGAGCTGGGCTTTTCCACAAGGACAAATACCCAATATGCTCGGGGTCACGCCACATCTGTCACCTGCTGAGTTTCCCGAGCATGGACTGATCGATTTCGATATGAACACATTAGGGACCTAGCTCCGGACTTCATTTATATATAAATAGCCTCGGAAATACGGGCTCGTTAGCCCCTGAGTCTTGCCTTCTGAGAAGTATCCGTGGCAAGTCGACGTCTACACAGCCGTACAAAACTAGCGAGAAACTCAAAGATCCCGTGTTGAAGTCAGTAGGGAGGGACATTGTAGTCATATCGCTTGACTTTTATTACAGCCCCTTATTGGGGTTCGATATAAAATTCGACAACCAAGACGCCACCAGTATGGGGCCGTAGAGAGGCGGGATAATAATTAATATCAGGGGGTGAAGTAGGTGAAGTACCAGGTTATGCAACCCGGCAATACAACCAAGCAACGTGGTATGGGGTACACAGTAGCGCTGACACTTCTTGCCCAGGACTCAGTTCTTCCACATTGGGCCTTTTTTTGACGATGTGGATCGGTGGCTTACGGATGGATCCATCTGGCGTGCGGGGTTTGAGTGTTGATTTTGTCAGAGATTCTCTCTCGGGCTTATTTGGGTGACACCTGGGTGGATTGACACGAGAGAAGATAGACGCTCATGCAGTTCATCTTCTTGGCGTTGATGTATGATTCGAATACTCCGTGACTGAATATGCAGTTGGATCGATACAGACGATCTCGGGATAGAGACGATATCACTATATTGTACACCATAGGGAGGATAGTGGCTGACGCCACGCCCGTCACCTATAATTGGGCGGGGGCACTAGCATTAGATTGTAAACGGTGCACACAATTTATTGCGGAGTGAGCTGAAAGACGAGAGCGAAAGAGACATGGAAGAAGAATGGAGTTGACAGGGGCCAGGATGGCAGAAACGGGCGGTAGCATCCATTGTGTTTGATATTCAACGTCCTCTTCGGTTCTCTATGACAACTGAATATCGAGTACTCCGTATACTTTACCTCCTTGGCCCAAATGGCCTTGGCAAATGCTTTTCTCTATCACATTTCGAGCTGGCAGCTTCCAAGGTTCTGCACGCGATCACGCCTCTTGCGGCTATAACCACTTTATCGTCGACGGTATGGGGCATGATCTGCAGTATCTTCTGAATACCTCTCAACTTGTATATTAAGGGGATTTGTGATACATTCCTCCCCTCCCCCTGGCGAGATTCTAACGCGTGTCGGTCCCGAGTACTCCATAGATTGGTACGAACCACAAGCTTTCCAAAGGAGAATCCGATCCCTCCTGTTGTACTGTACCCCTGAGTCCTGACATGATTGACCCACCTCGCGGGGGCTTTCACCAAGCCAAATACAGCCACCCGTCCCCGGTGGATGGTGCAAATTGTGAAGATCCGTGGACTGTTCATCCGTCGTGTTGGGTCACATTATTACTATAGTACGAAGAGGATTCGGGGATAACTCGCTATGCATGATTCGTTGGGGGCGGAATCGATGTTGCATCGACGAATGTTGCATCTGGGGAGCAGAACAAGTAAAAACGAGGCATAGGTAAAGGGAAGGATTCGTTGGCAATGCAAGATGAAGTTACAAACAAATGGAATATCTTTTGTTGACTCTAAGCAGCCCGACTGTTACATCGATGTACATCGCAATGTCGGATCTCAGCGAGAACTGTGGTTCAAGTGATAATGCCGTACCCACAAGCGCAGATCCTCCATCTATACTGGACATCTCAACGTTTCATCTTGATGAAGCATCCAGACCAAGCGTTGATCAGGAAGAAACTCGAAAACTATAAAGGACAGCCAGTGGCTCACGAAATCGTGGCTTCTCATTCTCAACCAATCCTCCTAATCCTCCCATTCCCCAAAAAGAACAGCCAAAATGAAGTTCTCCCAGAGCCTCCCTCTCGCCCTCGCTCTCCTCGAGCCCGCCTCTGCCCTCGTCGGTGTCGGCTGGAGCGTGGAAAACGTGCCCGAGGAGGGCATGAAGGAAATTACCTTCCCCATGAACATCGCCAACACCACCCACGTGGAAGGCTTCTACTTCGCCAACCAGTTCGCATTCGTGAACCAGGACAATGTGGGCTACACTGGTCTGCAGCCCCAAGCCGACAAGGACGGCAAGTCCATCGTCCACGCTGTCTTCTCCAGCTTCAACGAAGGCACCACCACCTCTCACGAGAACTGCCATGATGGCGCCGACGGCGGCGCTGGTGTCAGCTGTTATGTTAACATCGAAGGCACCTACGACCACACTTATTTGCTGAACATCAAGAACACCGCCGACACCACCTGGGTCGGCACTCTTGTTGATTCCGTCACCGGAGCCAAGAACGAGATTGGCTCTTGGACCCTTTCTTCCGGCGCTCAGGGTATCCAGAGCTCCCAACTCGGCTTCATCGAGTACTTCGTCGGTGGTGTCGACGAGTGCGGTGACTTGCCCAAGACCCAGATCTTCTTCGGTAACCCTAGTTCTCCTGGCCTTAGCGGAAGCATGGGAGAGGCCTATGAGTACGGTGACTGCGTTGGCAAGTCTGGCTTTGAGACCCACCTCACCGAGGATGGTGTTGAGTCCCAGTGTGGATTCGAAGGCAAATAAACAGTTCTTGGCTGGACCTACTTTCTGATTTGCTTTGAATGGTGGAATAATTTCTGGTTAGGGACTTCTTTTTTGGTGGGACTGTCTGTGGAGGAAGGATGGATTGTTGTTGAATCAATTAAGGGAATTCGTACTATATTGAAAACTGTGTTGATAGTCTACTAGTTCTTGATGGGCTTATAATCTGACAATGTCTTCGCATAAATCTTGTGCCACTATCTAGACATCTAGACTAAATTCTATATCCGCAATCCTCTCGAATATGTTGCTATTTTGTCCTGAAACTTCCATTGAGGAGAGAGAACATCGATATTTACCATTTGCAACTCCATATTGAGTAAGAGGCTAAAATTTGTTGTATCCCCCGACCTCTCTCAGTGATATATTTTGGAATCCGTTTACCACTATATCAAATTTTAAAGCATCTCTTTTCGGCGATTGCAGAGTCCATGAGAGGCCTACATGAGAGTTTTTTTTTCTATTCAGGTATTTATCTGCAAAGAGTGTTCCGGCATATGATTATCCAACAATAGAGTGTCAAAGCTTCTGTCGAAATCAGTAAACTGACTTCCCATAGGACGATGTTTCTCTCACAAGACTTGAAGAAATGTCCGAAGCGGCATCTGTAACTTGCTTTATTCCAGACATGATGAAAAGGCACCCATTGAAAGCAATGATTGTCCGCTTCGGGACTGGCGACCAGATAATCGGACTTGATACAGATCACTTTCAAATGCTCAAAATAGTTGAACCTTCTTACCCCCGGTATGAGATAAAAGTTTATAGATGTCTCAAATCCGAACTAGTGGTTTTATTAGTAGGTGAAAGACTAGTGAGAGAGAAAGTGGAAGAGACAGGTTAGAAAAAGGGAGGGTGATACAGAGAGTTATTCCTATAGCTTGAGTGATATACCTAAGCACTCCTCTGGTGCTGTTAATATTAGACCTCTGCAAAGCCCATAAATGGGCCCAAATCTCAATCCCAAAGCCCAACCAGCAGTGGGCTATGGGCTTATTTATGTGTCTAGATGAAGTACGCAGAGCCGGAGAATAAGCTCGCACCATATGAATTTGAGTTTCAGGCCACGGTTGAGCAAGGTTAAGCAGCCAACTGCCACGTGTGAGGCTCGAATGCACAACATATACTTCCGGGGCCGTCATACTTCGTACTCAGATGCAGTTTAGATTGAATTCCAACTGCCGCAGGAACCGGAAGATGGAAATTTTAGGACTCAACTGGGTTGGGACGTCATAAGCCACATGTCGCATCCCAGTGGGGATTTTTTTGGCACATTGACAGAGGCAACTAGGCTCAAGGAAGGTTGCTACATCTAAAAATGTGGTTTTCTATTTCCGGCTGTGATATCGAGTGATGAAGGTGCATTGATCATTCCTACGAAATAGCCATTCGATATCATTGGACTGGAGCAGATGTGCCAAGACGCTAAAACCTCCGATGGCGCGGTATAATACATACGTACGGAGAACGCACGCTTGGATGTACTTTTGAAAATAAATATCATGCGATGGTCACTCCGTACGGAGTACTCCGTACTTACTTGGCCCCCGATTTTCGATAGGCCGGACTCCGCTCAAGGGGCTGGGAACATTGGGGCCCACGAGATGAACACGGAGTGCTCCGTATGGACCAGATATATCTTGCTTGCTGTCGAGTCTCTTGGTTGCACTTTAAACTTCTGATGTAAGAAACTACAAATCAGGAACATTGTTTAAGTTGGCAGCTGCAGGGTAAGAATCTTGGGCTTTGAAGAGCGTACGGAGTACCATATACGGCGTCCTCGGGTTAACCCAGGTAAGCGCTCTTGGTGAACTTCAAAACAGGCGATCTTTCAGCCACCATGTCTTATGCCAATCACAATCTCGGTAGCCTCAAATCCCCTGGCTCTCGGACCAGGTCGCTAGTGCCAAGGGTTCGACGCACGCTACGGAGCACTGTCGGGTTAAAGCTGTGGTCTGTGGAGGGTTCCTCGCCGTGCACCCAATACATAAATGGATGAATTGAGACTCGTTTGGATTGCATACACGCCAATCTATTTTCCCACGCAGGTTCATTTCACGCTCAAGCCCCAGGCGCTACGGGAGATTCTAAAAATTCAATACTAGCCGAGATCGGCTTTTTGCCCTTAGTAAGAAGTACTCCATAGGTGGCCACATGGTCCATAGATATGAGCCAGAAGGCTATGTACCTACTCCGTACAATCCCTTCTGTGGAATCGAGACCGTCGATCGCGCTCCGTACGCAGATGCCCATACGGCCCGGCACGAAGACGTTATTTTGTGCCAATCACGCTGCCCAGGTGTATCTTGGACTCCACAGTAGATAGTATTGTACATACCTCTTTTGAGAAATTGATACGGTAATCGTATTACAAAGAAAACTTCTAGTATATTACATGTACCATTCAATTGACCAGGGTATGGTCATATATTGGGCGCTTCGTGGGGCTAGATCTCCGAGGCATTGTTATTGATGTCTCGCTGATTAGAGTGTGTATTCATGTGCTGAACTGTCCAAGTTGTCTGTAACTTCAATTTTATATACAAGCGAAGATATAAATAACAACCGCTCTGCAGATCCTATACTCCATAGTGTAATACCTAATGTTCGACCAGGATACAAATAAAAATCTTCAAACCATATACATTTAGATCACTTGGTATCAATGATATAGACTTGCTTCTCCTGTTATACAGTAAGATCGCAGACATCCTGTCTTCGTTAGCTGTTATTCCAAATGGCGCCGGGGGAAATTCTGTACCTTTCGTCGCTTGGCAAAATCTGCATAAATCCCTAACCAATAGTCGCGGTTCCGACAGTCATCTAATTGACCGCTAGTTGCGTTCTTCTGACAACTAGGCTTCTTTTCATCCATGATGTGAGAAGGGGGATTAATCCAAGGCTATTGTCTGCTTATTAGCAACATCTTCCAATCCTGCGAATAATGGAGTGCGCAGAACGTACCTTTGGCACTGGCCAGTCAGAGAAATGTAAGAACTTGGTGGCTTTGAATACGTCATCAGGGTTCCATGTCTCATTCTTATTCCCTAGGTATGCCGAATGATCATCGTTGCGGAATTCTCCAGTCAGCAAAGTCCATGGACGATGCGGTATGATGAGCGCGTTATCTCTGTAGAGATCATTCACGATCTCCATATCATAATCGGAACGATCGGCCGTATTGATAGCTGTCATAATACGATCGAATTCAAACTTAGAAGGCTGAATGAGCATTAATTGGGAGCTCATCACACGCTCGTCGGGGTTAAGCCAGTAGGCTCGAGGGAAGGCCAATGGACACGAAGGTAACAAGAATAGTTCATCCAGATGCTGAATATCGTTAGTATCGTGTCCTCATAGGTCTTATCTCTCAGATACGCACTTGCAGTATAGTTGCGTCCGAGTCTAGGCTCAGAACGCGATCATATTGGGTTTGGTTGAAGGCAAGAAGCTTGGTAAAACTCTCCGCCCAAGTCGCTAAACGGCTATTAATGCTCTTGTTTTGGGTGATGACAAAACCTTGAAGAGAAGGGAATACATACCATCGCCGCTTGCCCGACTTTGTATTTCAATGGGTACTAGCTTGACTTTGTATTCATCTCGAGCCTTGCGGAGGAGTCGGCTCTCCGTCCCGTTGTCATTTTCGTCCAGCGAAAATTTCATCGGATACATCATGATACGATCGGCTTTGCTTTGCAAGCGGTTTAAAGTCTCAAAAAGCATGACTGAATTGCACAAATAGGGCGTGTTGGTGACATATTGCACGTAGGCAAAGCGGGACCAATCTAGGGCATTGGTAGGTGCCGGTGGGGGGCTGTGGTTGAAATTGTAGAAATGGGCGTCTGAAGGCGCATTTGACAAGAGAAGCAATGTCTCGATTATAAAAAACAGGACAATGATAGCAATTATGATGCGCAACGACCTAGACAAGTTTGACAGCATGGTGAACCCCATGGGGGCTAGTTGTAGGGGAGATGCTGATAGAGGCAAGAGTTGATTACAACTCTGCCATGGAGAGATGCGATTCTAATATAGACTTAAAGATAGAAACCACAACGAGGGAGTGTTGAAGAAGCAAGAAGCAATGTGGTTGCTGACATCCAAAATAGCCGCTCAATTGCCAACGCTAACGCCCAGCTAGGTATGCCTAGTAACAATAAACAGAAAGAGACCAATCTCCGTCCTCCGTACGGAGAACATATTAAACGTACTCCATACACGAGGGCGACAGGCTTGAAGCGCCCTGTCTCCGCTTATTCTCCACTCACCTGGCCCATCGGGGATGCGATTGGCTAGTGAAATGTGCCATTTTGTTTACAGAATTGCTTTTGCATACGGAATAGTTTACTAGTAGGCCTGGTTTTTTCAGGCTAGTACAATATGTATTATTAGATCACCAACAACACAGCGCTTCGTACGGAGTGACGAAGCAGGGATGTAAACCCTGCAATTTCTGAAAATATCGTTTCTTGTTTAGCCGCTGGATCTAAAGTATGGAGTATACCATACAGAGCACTTTGTACACAACCCCTGTTTCTCTCTCGTCCTGATTTTAAATAAAAATGTCGTTGGGTAGCGTCTTAAGTAGGCCTATGAGCCTCGGAGCGTTGCCCTATTTCCCTGAGATCACCTTGCGTTGTGTGTTTTGCTTTTATACCCTCTTTTACAAACTTCTTTCGTGCTACTTGTATATATTCTTTGTTTACATGGGAGAGGTTTGGCCAAAATGACAGTGTCACTCCGACAAGTTCGAATCTGTCGAACAAGCATCGTCTTTTCACTCCTGGCAATACTGGGACTCACTTCTGCACAGCGACCATGGGGCATGAGATGGTCTAACCAGAGCTACGGGCCCGATGGCCCTTGGAACGCAGTATCGGTAAAGTTGGGTGCTAGTCAACAGGAGATTGCACTGTACGCTGGAGGCTGGTGGGAGTCCTGGATCCTCCTTGAAAACTACTGCTCAAACACCACGACTTCACTCAACTGCTACGCCGAGAAAGCCGGTCTCTTCGATCCTGAAACCTCCCACACCTGGGACAACACCAGCATCCAATATGCGCCAAATGGGGTTCGTTGGGAGGATCTGGGCTTTTCGCCAACCAAGGCAGTCCCCGTCTATGGCAAAGCCAGACGTGCCCGAGAGACGATTGAGATGTTTGGTGCAACTGCACCAAGCGTCGACATAGTTAGTGTCAGCCAAGCATATCAGACCTATCCCGGTGGTCAAACCTATCCCCTATCGGTTGGGACTCTGTCGTTGGGTGCCCAGGATATAAATCAGACATTCGATACCATCGGAGCCACCATGGTCACCAGCTGGCTGTGGAACACGTCCGCAATAACATCTTACTCATACGGGATGCATATCGGGTCTGCTCCGCTAGGGATCCAAGGAAGTCTGTATCTGGGTGGATATGATAAAAGTCGGGCTTTGGGGGAAGTTTCCGCCCAACCCCATACAGGAAACTCGGCCAATATTCATCTACTCGATGTCAGCTTGGGAGTAGCAGATGGAGGCTCGCCATGGAAGTACCCTAGCAAAGAAGGCTTGCTGGCAAAAGCAAACTCCTCTCTTGAGTCTGGCATCGGCGTCGCTGCAAACCTTGTGGACCCCTACATCTACCTACCCCAAAGCTCCTGCGATGCTATTGCTGCCGAACTACCAGTCACTCACAACCCGGATCTCGGCCTTTACTTCTGGAATACCGATGACCCGCAGTACAAGAAGATCGTCACTTCTCCTAGCTATCTGGCTTTCACTTTCGTCAAGGATAATACAAATACCTACAACATCACCATCAAGGTGCCATTCGCACTCCTTAATCTTACCTTGGAGGCACCTCTCGTCAAAGAACCCACTCCTTACTTCCCTTGTTTCGGAACGGAAGGAAATTATGCCCTCGGACGAGCGTTCTTCCAAGCAGCCTTCATCGGCATCAACTACGGGGCTGGAATCGTCGGGATAGGAAACTGGTTCTTGGCTCAAGCGCCAGGTCCCGGGTTTTCTCAAACGAGCGTTGTTGCCATTGAAGAGAGCGCCTCTGAGTTGACAGGATCGGGCGATAGCTGGGAAGCAACCTGGGCCTCCCATTGGTCTCCCCTGACGGAGTCGAATAGAACGTCTAGTAGAAACTCCAGTAGCCACTCGACTGAAGCCGCTGTCGACAACTCGTCTGACAATGCGTCTAACAATTCGTCAGACAATTTGTCCGACAGTGAAGGTCTGTCCACGGGTGCTAAGGCGGGCATCGGAGCTGGAATCGGCGTTGCTGCTCTCGTGGTTATTGGCCTGCTCGCATGGTGGTTTATGCGTCGCAGTCGGAAACAGAACAAAGCGTCTGATCTAGACAGCAATGCGTACCAAAGCCCCATGGCTTCCACAACCTATTCTCAGTACTCGGGTCAGTCTGAACGTAATGACTGGGGGAAACCAGTTTTCATGTCGGAGCTGGACAATAACCGACCATATTCAGGACCACATGAGCTGGGATCTGGGCGATATTGAGTGGCTGGGAAGCGAGGGTACAAATGTGCTTTATATGATAATATGTCTTTCTTTCATGCTTATATTTGGATTATTCCTTTTTTGTTACTTGAGCCAGTCTGTATATTAGAACCGTTGTTGATACAGCTTTAATGTTTCACACGATATGATGGCAGTGAAGGTATTAGCTCTGCCCTTGCAGAACGATGTCGCGCTCTATAGAGTGCAATATCCAGTCTCCGATGCAGCAAAGTGTAACCGTCTTCGAATTGAGACCCGTGCCTCCTCTCTGACGCCAAATCTATACAACTCATGATATAGATGTAATTGTATTTGCTTCAACTGCCACAGGGACTCAGAAAGATTTGTCCACTGATATCTGATATAGAAATATCTTTTGTATGGTGATGCAATACAAGACTGACATAATTTCTAAGATTTTGCTTTAGGGGGAAGTGATGAGTCTGGGCTTAAAGACAGCTAGGTAGTTTTTGAGAGGAATTGTGAGAATGGAACAGTACTAAGTAGACCAAACGATAGTATGAGGTAAGAGGAAGTCGTTAAACAAAAATCACAATCGACCCGCCGAGGGCTTTCTATTCAAGCCGGGGCAACATGCCACGATCTATTGACCAAAATGTTCAAGAACAACAATGCAGATGAATCCCATGGTCTCTGCCCGAAATATGTCGTAACCGAATAGATAGAAATGTAAGCCAAACGCCAAGCAAACCATATCACGCTGGGTTGGGACATGACCAAGCTAAAAAAATCAAATATAACACCGAGAACCCGCGGTTAAAAAGGTATAGAGCACAAAAGAAAATCAGAAATCGCTAACATGCACAAGAGAGATCACATATTGAGCAAGCTCATTTGTCGTCGCATGGGATTGGGAGACAGAGAGTCCCCGTCTTCACTGGGACCGATGCCGCTGTCAGTACCGGCGAGTCCGGCATCTGTATCAATGTCCCATTGTTCGTCTTCGTTGGGATCATCGTTCAAATGCGTGTCGACATCACGGCCGTCCCAGCTCTTCTGGATCGCGCCGCGTGTGTTCCACCGCAGAGCACGCTGAACGCTGGTGAACCATTCATTGTTGTTAGATACAACTGTTGGGAATGGGTACTGGCTTGCTTCTACGGTGACATAGTCACCTTGGCGGAGTTCCACGCGGCCTTTACCATCAAAGGAGCAGTAGGCAGTGGAGCGGGAAGTGTTGGGAACGGCGATGCGGAGGAGATGGGAGTCCGAGAGGACCATTGGGCGGAAGGAGAGGGTATGGGGGCATATTGGGGTGAGGAGGATTCCCGGGATGGATGGATGCATGAGAGAGCCGCCGGCGGACAGGGAGTATGCCGTGGAACCAGTTGGCGTGGAGAAGATACAGCCGTCCGCTTGGACGACAGTCAGGAGCTCATCATCGGCATAGAGCTCTAGATTCGACACATAGGGGGATGGGCCGCGGTCGATGACGAGCTCGTTCAATACTTCAAATTGTTCACCCTCTTCGACCGCACCTGCCTCTGCGCCCTTACTCCGATCCTTGCGGTACACGGTGCATGTGAAGCGCATGCGCAAATTAACGCGCATGCCCACCTCTCCCATGACGGCATTGAGCTGTGCTTTGTGGTCGGCAAACTCGAAATTTGTGAGGAAGCCGAGACTGCCCAGCGAGAAGCAAAGTACGGGCGGAACCACGCGCTGGAAAAGCCATGATGTGAAGAGAACAGTCCCATCCCCACCAAGCGTCAACACCAAGTCAAATTTATCCGGTGATGTCCAACACAGATCCGGTGTCCAGAAATGTAACATCTGTGCAAACATGGGGTCTTTTTGCAAGAGCCCTGGAGCATCGAATCGTTTCGATTTCCGGAGCTTCGCGTCCACATACACATTCACTCCCAATGTATTTCCATATCTTGGGGTCGAAAGCAGCCACTCGGCGACTTCCCGAGTCAAGTGCACCAGGCTGTTATCGCGCGCTTTGGTCACAATCATGACATTTCGCACGGCCCGTTTGATGGGCCGTCGCTGTAGCTGCTTCGACACCTCACGCACTCCAGTCGCAGTCTGAACCAGTCGCGAATGCGACAGCCACTCATCGTCGGCAATTTCCTCGAGCACCTTCTTTATATTGACGGCATCATCGAAGCGTTGGTGGAAATAACAAGGCGACTGCAGTACTAGACGTGCTGTCGCCGGTGACCGATCGAGATAGCCACTCAATTGCAGATTGGATAGTGCGGCAGAGAGATTTTGAGAGGAAGCGCTACTCCCGCGCCGGTGCCGATTGTCGGAAGGCGGGGAAGCCTGGGTGGATTTGTTCGCGAGCATACTCGACAAGGAACTCGCCGAAATATTGGTGGTATTGGTTAGGATGGATGCTCGCGATGCTAAGGCTTTCAGAATTGTCTGCCGCGGGATACAGTCGGTCGACAGCGCTTTCTTGGATCGCCGATTGATCGAATTCTGGCGAAATGGCCGTAGCGAGGTGGGAGACCGCGACCAACCTGGCTCCTCTTGAGCCGATTCGGAGGATTGGACAGGCTGGATGCTTTCTGGGGACTCTCGGCGATTTTCGTGGGTGGGGGATGGTTCTATGTGGAGGGCATAATCGCGGAGGAGCACCGCAGTTGTCGACGGGGGCGGGGCTTTAGCGGATGGAGACGAAGGGGGGTGAGACGGGGTTGCTGTCGAGGTTGTGTCCGACCGAAGTTGTTCACGGTTGGAAGCCATCGGCTTAGGCGGCACGTAAATAGCGAATAATCAAGAAACGGATGTAACGGGGATTGCGGATCCGAGGCCTTGAGATCGCAGCTACCCCCGTGGCCCAGTTGGAGATGTGTGATTCTAGCGTATTCCACATGTACGGAGGACGGAGGACGGAGAAGAGTCTTTGGGAGGGGATTAATTCGGGGTCCAAGACCAGTTGGGGCGAGAATTCTAAAAAAAATAGGGGATTCCAACGATAAACCACGGACCCCAAGGATTCAGGAATAGAATATCGTATTTCCGACGTTGGCGAGGTTCCCCAGAATTATTCCTCTAGACCAACCAGGACGACTCGTCGCCAAATGCGTACACGCGCGCATGGCAGTGCGCTCGGATAGATGACGTCTACACCATTCACGGCATAATTCTCTACTTAAAATACATCTAGGGGCTTGTTGGATTTTGCATGGTGCATTTTGCATTTATGATATTCCGCTCCCGGTGTAGCTACGTGTGGTGATTCCCAAATGTTCACCCCGGTATCCCTTTGGACTCGCAGTGAGCGATCATGCTGGCTCCTTGCGTCTGTGTCTCCTCAATATCCACCGCTAAACTGAGCACTGGGAGGGTTCGACCACCGGACATATGTCACAGCCGCCAAGGCACCGGAACTCCACAGCTGGGGAACCCGAAACAAGCCTTATCTGCAGCAGGGCTGTCGCTTGTGGCAGTGAAACGAGGCCTCGCGTACATGCTGCAGCAGTCAGGTGATGGTGCCTTGACCGGATGTGGTACTGGAGGAGCTATCTGTGGCACCGTCGCATTCCCCCAGAACAGAGGGGCGAGGGGTAATCATATGCTGAGGGGATCAAAGTGCGACCAGGCACAACGGCCTAGAAGACAGAGCGATCGACTTGTCCCATCTGATCAAGTCTCACCCGTTCTCCGCAATTTTGTACGAAACGGGTCCCTCTCAGATAGAGTCAAGCTTGTAGGCGTAATCGCTGTAGACCTGATCCTCCACAGTCTCCCGGATGAAACCATTCAAACTGGCGTTGGTCGTTCCTTCGCCCATGGTAACGTCGCCCTCAGGGCTGGTGGTCGTACCTTGACAAATGGCAAGTGCGCGCTCACGGACCAGTTCCCAAGTATCAAAATCAAATCGACCCTCGCTTTCATTGAGCAAAAGGTGATTCTTCGAGGAGATAGCAAAAACATGGAGTGACACAGCATCTTTCGCAGCAGCGGGAGAGGGGTCCCGCACAATGTCACCAGACTTGGTTACACCGAGGAGGGTCGCGGAGAGTGTCATCGATAGGGGAACGGAGGCGGATGCCATAGCCAGCAAGGCAGTGTGTAGGAGGGCCGGGAGCAGAGTAAGGTACTAGATGGGTCAGTGTGATGGCCAAGGTAGCTGGTAGCAGGTGGAATATCGAAGACACTTACAGAGTCGCCACGTTCCACGTTCTCCCCACCAACAATAGCTAACGTGAGGACGACGCCGCGACGAGGGAAGCCCTTCTCCCGCCCGAGGACCACCTTCCCCAGCACAGACCGCAGAACTCCTTCGATGTATCTCTCGCCGACGCCGGCAGTAGTCGTACCAGGTTTGACAAAGACCTCAACAGTGGCTTCTTCGGGCTTCAATGCGTCGCGGCGTGCTGGGAGCTCAATGGGCGCGTTGACAGCACCCAGAATGCTGTAGCCGGTAGCCGGGCATTTGTATGACGCCGAACCATCGGAACGGTTCAATTGTGAGAGGGATGCTGTTGGACCGACCATATTGACGGGGGTAGAAACAAGGAACTAGACAATCGGAGAGCTTCTAGAGTGGTGTTTCAGCAAAAGTTGTCGGCAGCGATTTTTCATCGACAATGCGGGCCGCTGTCTGATTGGCCGCCTTGGAAGTCGGGTGGTCCCTGTACTCAGTACTTTGCTTGTGACCTATCCACCATATACTTCTGCCGTACCAACTACAATGTGTTCGCCTTGTCTGTTTGTGGTGACTGGCCTCATTTCCTTTTGGCGTTGTGCATCTAGCAATATACTCTCTACGGATACATGACGACAGGTTCACAAGTCCCAAGGCCTTCCGCCACAATGTTGATCAACAGCTGGCAAATGAACCTTGATTCCGAGATCTGACTCTGTCGATATTATCCCCGATCTGCTACCGATTCCTATAGGCTCATGCGTGAGTGGACGTGTCAGTCCCAAGATGCCGAGCGCTTGGGATGCGGACCATCCAGTAAGCCGAAGGATTGGCAAGGCGGCTGTGCGCATCCAACAAGATGCGGTCATGGCTTCCTCGGAACACAAAGGATCAAATTGAATATCCCTGCTCGTCGGAATTTGGCTTGCTATCTTTGACTCAAATACGCAGTACGGAGTACGGAGTAGGGATATCAGGAACAAAAGTACGGGAGGTCAGCCGTACTCCGTACCGAGTTCCTGATAAGCCAGCAGCCTCTACGGACCAGACCAACTAAGTCCAAGAATAGTATGCCACGACTGCCTGGAAGCCTATGAATTGTGGCTACGATCCCGGGTTGGCACACCACCCAATCCGCACGCAAGGATCTTATGGCCCCGGGACGTGACTGGATTTCAGGCCAGGATCTTCGAAAACTTCCGCCGTGGCCCAGAGGAGCCAAGAATTCCCAACAAGGAGTCGCCCCCAATGACATCGTGGCTTCACTATGTGACCGGGGCTGCCCCTCACATCTTGGATGATCCCCTCTTTTGGTCCGAAGCAAGCGAGCATGTGCCCATGTCCGATGTACATACATGGCTCCTCGCATACGGAGTACAAATTCCATTTCTAGGTCATTCCCTCTTACATCTTGCTACTTCCACCCTCCTTCGTTACAGACCTTCATTTGCCCTACTTTTAAGGTTGCCGGGTACCGATTCGACAGGGGATCACAAAGCCGTCTAGCTTATTCCCGCATCTTCCTTTCTCCTAATCTTATTGAATGGGCGTAGAGATAATCCCCGATGTCGAGGAATCGACAGAACCTCCTATATGTCCTTTTACGGAAATCAGCCAAACCAATGTGACGAACCACTTAGATCCTAAACCCGGTTCTATCAACGAAAAGTCTATCTCGTATACAGCCGATCATGCTGCGCCCTTGGACCCCGAGCTAAACAAAGAACGGCCCGACCAGAACGCTCATCTTATCGAACCATCCGAGCTAGCAACCCTTCTCCAAACAAATCTTCGGTCAGTAACTAGAATGTTGGAACATCATTAGGGCCCGTTATTGACGCACCTATTAGAGATGGACTCTCAGGCCCCGAAGCGGCCGGCCGTCTCCAGCGCGATGGTCCGAATACCGTGCGTGAAATGGAGGGTGTCTCCGTCTGGGGGATACTGTTAAGGCAGGTGTCGAACAGCCTGACACTAGTATGTTCAATGCGAAAGAACCATATGATAAGCTCCAAGGTGACATCGTTAACTTTCGAAGGTTCTCCTCATCACCATGGCCCTATCTTTTGGAATCGATGATTACATCGAAGGTGGTGTTATCACCGCAGTGATTGTGTTGAACATAGTGGTTGGGTCAGTACTTTGATATCAACGTTCGTCGATAATCTAGGCTAAAGTTGGATGTCTAGATTTGTGCAAGACTACCGCGCCGAAAAGACAATTCTTTCACTGCAACGTCTTTCCGCTCCAGTATGCAAGGTCATCCGAGATGGCCGAGTCGTCTCGGTTAAAGCGGAGTCGCTAGTTGTTGGAGATATTGTCCAGCTCGCTGTTGGGGACATCGTCCCTGCCGACCTGCGTCTGTTCGATGGCATGAATGCTTCAATGGATGAAGCACTTCTGACAGGCGAATCACTACCCGTTCTCAAGACCCCTCATGTAACCCTGTTGGTGCCTGATATTCCCATCGGCGATCGAACCAACATGGCTTATTCGGGGTGCAGCACTACGCAAGGTCGTGCGATGGGAATCGTCACTGCAACAGGAATGAATACAGAAGTCGGGAAGATCGCACAGCTATTACAGACACAGCCCAATCTTGGTGATTCGGGTCCCCTTTTGAAGATGGGCAAACAGGTGAAAGCATTCTTCATGAATGTGCTGGGCCTGGTAGGTACACCGTTGCAAGTGAAGCTGAGCAAATTTGCACTCTTACTCTTCGGACTGGCGATCCTACTTGCGATCATTGTCTTTTCAGCCAGCAAATGGCACGTCGAGGGCGAGGTCCTCATCTACGGCATCTGTGTTGCCGTTGCTGTCATCCCCGAATCCCTGATCGCTGTGCTCACTATCACAATAGCTGTGGGCACAAAAGCAATGGCCAGGGGAAATGTCATTGTCCGGAAACTCCAATGTCTTGAAGCAGTTGGTGGTGTCACGAACATCTGTTCTGACAAGACAGGAACGTTAACCCAGGGAAAAATGATAGCTCGCTCTGCATGGATCCCGGGTGCTGGCACTTTGACTGTGAGCCAGACTACAGATCCATTCGACCCGACGAGTGGACTAGTCCAGCTTGACGAGATTGACTGGAGCTCCAACCAGCCCATTGAGGATAACCCTACTTTGCACACCTTCCTGCGAGGGCTTGCTCTCTGCAATCTCTCGAGCATCCACCATGAAAACCAAATATGGAGTGCCGTTGGTGAACCAACGGAGATCGCTCTCCATGTTCTGGCTTTACGCTTTGACTTTGGAAAGCCCGATGTAATGAAAAGACGTCAACTTCAGTTGCATACAGAGTATCCATTCGATTCTGCTATCAAGAAGATGACTGTCGTCTACGACAACTCACGAGATCAATTGAAAGAGGTGTACACCAAGGGTGCACCAGAGACAATCATTCCTCATCTCAACATCAACGAAATGGAAAGGCAAGTCATACGAGATACTGCCGATCGCATGGCAGGCGAAGGACTTCGTGTGCTTTGCATCGCTTATAAAACATCTCCTGCGGACGACGAATCCCAAGTCTCCCCACGCAGTTCTGCCGAATCAAACCTACGCTTTGGTGGCCTCGTGGGGTTATATGATCCCCCTCGAGTCGAGACTGCTGCTGCTGTGCGTAAATGCCAAATGGCAGGGATTACGGTGCATATGCTCACCGGTGACCACATCAAAACCGCGACGGCTATTGCGTCTGAAGTTGGCATCCTTGACCGTGTTGCGAGTGTTCTCAAATCTGGAAGAGTAGTAATGGCTGCAGATGAATTCGACAAATTGACCGATGAAGAAATCGACGCTATTGAGGAATTGCCTCTTGTCATTGCACGCTGCAGTCCTGCCACCAAAGTTCGGATGGTGGATGCAATGCATCGACGCCAGGCATTCTGCGTCATGACAGGAGACGGAGTCAATGATTCGCCTGCTCTCAAAAGGGCCGACGTTGGCATTGCTATGGGCAAAAATGGTAGTGATGTTGCCAAGGAGGCTGCCGATATGGTTTTGACGGATGACAATTTCTCGTCTATCGTCAAGGCTGTTGAAGAAGGCAGACGACTTTTTGATAACATTCAGAAAGTGAGTGTCGCGCTGTGATATGTCTCGGTTTGATCCCACTGACATCATATTTAGTTTCTCCTGCATCTGCTCATCTCGAATATTGCACAAGTCATTCTCCTACTAATCGCTCTTGCTTTCAAAGATAAAGGAGGTGATTCGGTCTTTCCTCTATCGCCACTAGAGATTCTATGGGCGAATCTTGTCACGTCCTCCTTCTTAGCCGTCGGGCTTGGTCTCGAAGAGGCCCAGCCAGACATCATGTACAGACCACCACACGATCTACGCATAGGTGTTTTCACGCGGGAGCTTATCGTGGATAAAATGATCTACGGCACTTTTATGGGCACACTCTGTCTCGTCTCGTTTGTCATTGTGATCTATGCAGTAGGAACTGGGACATCGTCACTCGGTGACGGATGCAACGAGGGATACAACCCAAGCTGCGATGTAGTGTTCCGTGCTCGCGCCACAACATATGCGACCCTCACTTTCCTCCTCCTCGTTACTGCGTGGGAAGTCAAACACTTTTCTCGATCCCTGTTCAACATGGACCCAATTCGGAACCCCAACCCCTTCTCGGTATTTTCTACGCTCTGGAACAACCGGTTCCTTTTCTGGGCGGTCGTTGCTGGTTTTGTCATTGCATTTCCGGTCATTTACATACCAGTTGTCAACCAACTGGTCTTCAAACACCATGCTATCACCTGGGAATGGGGGGTTGTCTTTGGTTGCACGTGTGTCTACCTGTTGTGTGTTGAGAGCTGGAAGGCCGTGAAACGGGCATTTGCTATCGGGAGTGGAAAGAATGCCACGCTCACTCTGGAAGATGCTGAGATGCGGGCGGGACTGGCTATTCCCACGCCACTGTCCATGAGTGCCAACACGAGCGTGGAACTGAAGTGATTTGGAAGTTCGGTTTGACTGGTTCAACATCACGTCGGCCATGAACTTGCTGAGTCTTGGGGTGTTCAACACACTACTTTTTCTTTGGTTTTCTTATTGATCTGTTTGTTCCCAGAATGAAATCATTTGAGTTATTTTCACCCAATGTGCACACTTAGACCGCAGATCGATCCGAGGTGAGTACTGCATCGGGACCCTCGCATCAAGCAACCATATCACGCTTTGGAAACATCACACCTGTGAGACAAGCCCGAGGATATATCGGCAAGCTAGCGCACTCCATTTTCCGAGCTTTGACGAAATTAATTAGGTCATGTGACCATGTATCCATCTTGATGTTATTTTTGTTGAAGCCCCTTTATCTTCAACCTGTCGAAAATGTCTTTATTCTCTCTTCCAACCGAATGTCTTCTTAATGTGATCTCCTTGTTGGATCATGCATCCGATCTCAATGCTGTGACAAAAACCTGCAAGTTTCTCCGTGCTCTCGCCAACCAAGATCTTTATACGCGATTCTCCGGAAAATGTAGTTCAGAAACCTTGGACAGATTACTCCGCAATGGCGAAGCATTGGCTTTACGTCGGTTGCTTGAGCATGGAGTAGACTTCACAAAATCCCTGCCTCACAGTACTATCAACATGATCCTGGATGCAATCGGAAAAGGAAATCTCGAAATCATTCGCCTCGTGCTTGACATAGATCCCGCCTGTGTGAACCAGACAGGGAGTGTTCTGGGACTGGCGCCAAGCAGGATGTTCCTTCCTGCTCATTTGCCGCTTCTGATGGCCCTGATAAATGGTCAAATGGATATTGCAGAGTTCCTGATTTCACGAGGAGCTCGAGCAGACCCTAGCCCCGAGTTGGAAAAGCGCGGGGCACTATGTAGCGCAGCTTGGTGTGGCAAACTGGTCGCAGTCGACTTTCTTGTCAAAAGATTGCAATACGACGTCAATTTCTCCTATAACGAATACTCGCCCTTTTATCAGGCTGTCGAGAAGAGTCACTGGCATGTGGCATCTTATCTTCTTGAAGCTGGAGCGGATCCATTGGCCGACTGGGCTGGACAGAGTTCATCGAATTTGCTGAGTAGAAAAGATCAAAAGAAGCTGCGCCGAGCTTTTGCCTCACTCTTGTTGCAACTTCAGGCAGATCCTACACAATCCAAATCCAAGGATGGCTGGAACAGAGTGGTAAAAGTTGATAAGATTACGGCTTTTGTTAAGAAAATGGTTGAAGCGTTCGATGCTCTTGGTGAGAATAATGACGTGTGATTGGGTTAGAAATGAGACAGTCCTTTGGCTGTCGCTGCTGCTGGTAGCATTGAGAGGTTCTTGTACAATACGGAATTCAGTACATTTTTAGGGGCAGATGATGAGCGAAGAATATGAGCCTACTTCTTGAAACATTTACTCAGCTACACATATCCACACGTACGTCAACGTATGTATTGTTTTTGAGCAGGAAATTCACGACTGGGATACTGAGAATCATCGAACTCAGAGGGCAGATACCATATGAGGAAACAACGCAGTGGCATTAAGAAGTTAGAGAGTATCGAATAGATCGAAAGCAGTGTCTTGCTCAGGGGGTCTCGGAAACATTGTAAACCAGCTTCTCACCACTGACCTTATCCTCCTTGAGCAGCTTTAAGCCATCAATCACGCCTTTCAACCCATCCTGGCCTACCTTAGGGGGATGGATTTTGATCTTCCCCTGAGCGAGCAGCTCCTCCGCAATGCGATTAAACTTCTCGGCATGAGCTTTATCTTCTGGCTTTGCGGGGAACTTAAGATCGCCTATGGGGAACTCCTCGCCGATTATACTGTAAGCCAGGGTAGAGCGATCATTGACGTTCTCACGACTAATCGGATTGTTCAACAGGGCGCTATATTCGCCGCCATCGGTGGAGAGAGCATTGTCACAGAACACCGCGCTAGATTCGAGTGCGATACAATCGAACACGAGCTTCAGCTTATTTTCAGTGGTCTTGCGGATTTCAGCTGGAACCTGAGGGTCTTTGTAGTCGTAAACCTCGTCGGCGCCATAGCCACGGACCAAGTCAAAGTTGTGCGGGGAACAGGTGGTCAACACTTTATAGCCAGATAACTTGGCGAACTGGATGGCTAGAGTGCCGGTCGCAGTCGAGCCACCGTAAATCAGGATTGGAGTCGCATCTCTGATGGGCTCCGTCGGTAATGCGAGTCCCAAACTTTGATACAACGCCTGGCCCACGGTGCTAATGCCCACTCCCAGTGTGGCGGCTTCTTGGAAGCTCATACCATCGGGGATCTTCATTTGTACGTCACCCTTGGCGACGATATACTCTGCAAAAGAGCCATTCTCCGGTTGCATGGCATTTGATCCGTGAGAGAATCCAAACACTCGGTCTCCTTTCTTGAAATACTTTTTGACGTCCTTGCCAACCGCCTCAACGGTTCCTGCGTAGTCGCATCCGACAAGGGCACCGGGAGGGGCAAAGTAGGCAATATGCTTCCAGTCTGTAGGATTCAAAGCCACGCTGACGGTCTTCACAAGAATATAGTCATCGCGAAGGTGAGGGATGGGTCGATCGGTGACCAGGCCCTCGGTCTTGGGTTCGATGATGACGATTGCCTTCATTGTCGTTATGGTCGATACTGATACCTAGGTAGTTTCAAGAAGACACGGAACTAGAAGCTAGGGATTCCCTTTAAATAGCTAGTGACCTCATCTCCTGATTACAAATGAACCTGGGCAACGTTGCTCCACTTGCATAAGGCTGGCATCCAGGATACGAGGTCCCCCGTCGTATGGAATCCTTGTCTGGACCCCGCCTCCTAAGTATTCGCCTCGGATCCTCTTTCCCTGGGGCTTCCTGGCGTTATTCCCGCTTTGTTCCGATTGGGGGTATGGGGAAGACTACTATGAACTTCCAACGGCCATCAATACTCAATACACTCGTTGCTCTTGATAGATAGAGCCGACGAGCAAACCCCGAACACATAGATTCCGCAAGGCTTTGCAATGCGGTCTTCAATTGCTTTATTTCTCTTCTGTACACAAAAGATGTCTCAGGATCCCAACTGTTCCGGGTAAATGAGGCCCCTCTCATCGCCAGCGCAAGGGGTATTGGCGCGGCTATGGCAAACCCAGACTCAGCGCACTTTGAGAATCGGTGTCCTTTTGTTCTTCAAGAGCGAATTTGATTTCTCCTGACCTCTGAGCATTTTCCTTTCGTGTTTTTGTCTCTTTCGTCCGGGGAGTCCAAAGAGTCCGAATCGTGGAAGGTGTCATCGTATCCATATCGCGGGGTCAGTGCTTATCGACGCAGCCCCTCTTGAATTCCTCCTCCTCCAGTTTGACTCCCATCGTATTCCCACAATGAAGGTGCTTTGTCTTCACGGAAAGGGGACCAGCGGCTTCATCTTCCGCTCCCAGATTGGTGAGCTTCCCCGTTTCTCTGGAAAAAACCCCTAAATACTCACACCCACCCAGCCTCATTCCGCGCCAAACTCCCTAATGATGTCCAGTTTGATTTTGTCGATGGCCCATTTAGTAGCGACCCCGCTGCAGGAGTAGATCTCTTCTACAGTCCGCCATACTACCAATTCTGGGAAAATGACAGCGTCGATGCCGTCCGAGCCACCCATAACTGGCTCAATGAACACATCGCCAAAAATGGCCCATACGATATCGCACTCATGTTCTCACAAGGCTGCGTGCTAGGATCCAGTATTCTCCTATTCCACCAAGAAGAAACACCGCATCTCCCGCTCCCATTCAAAGCCGCCATCTTTATCTGCGGTGGGGCGTCGTTAAACGTTCTCGAGGAGATGGGCTTCCATGTTTCCGCCGAGGCGCGCGAACGCGATCTCGCATCGCGGTCTGCACTGGCACTCCAAGCTGGCTCAAATGCGCTCTTGACTCAGGGCGCAGATCGCTGGACAGGGCTCAAGTCTCTGAGCGGCGGTCTCTCGGAGGCCGAAATCCGAAATGAGATTACTAGCCCCTTCCGTATCAATGTCCCCACGGTACATATTTATGGCTCGAAAGATCCTCGGTGGGCAGCTGGTGTTCACCTTTCTGGGATTTGCGAGCCAGAGAAACGTCGCACTTACGATCATGGCGGCGGGCATGAGATTCCTAGGACTGCTGTTGTGAGCAACTCGATCGCGGAACTTTTCCAGTGGGCGGCTGCGCAGGCTGCTGCTTAAACTTAAGAATGGTGCTTACCAGCTTTATGGGGGTGTCATATCTGTTGAACTGTCTCTTTGTCCCTGATTGTCCAGTCTCTATTGATAGATTGTTTGCTTGTTAGATGATGGGTATATAATGCCCCTTTTCCAGTGATAGAGAATTAGATTACTTCTTCTCTCTCCTTCTGGCTATAAGCTTCCTTGTCTCCTCAGATATGTGATTATCAACCACAAGAAGAAGCTTCCTGTGATTTGTCAAATTTATGCATTTCCAACGGCAATCTCCATCATTAACAAGTGTTCCCTATTTCCAGGCACCTAGGCAGGACGCCTCCGCGTCAGTAGCCAGAGGCAGATAGCCGAATATGATCATCTCCATCTTCCCCTAGCTTTTTAGCGCTACATCTGGTAGCACGTCTCTGGTTGTTGATCCAGAACCATACGCTGAAGGGCGTGGGCATAAACTAAGGCTTGTTAAGCCTCCTTATTACGGGTCTCTACCTAACTGAGCTCAGTGTTCATCACCGAGGCCAGCCTTCACTTAGCCCTCGTTTCTATCAATCATTCTTCGTTCTTCATCACCTTTCAGTCTCCATCACCTTTCTCTATCCTTCACCTTTCTCTCTCCATACTATCATAATGATGATCATGTCTGACTGAGAAGAGATACCCGCAATTGGTATCCTCATCCTGATCCCAGTTGCGACCGCGGTCAACGCGGAGGTCTGACCTGCCCTGCTATATATCGCCAAGTCAGAGGCGATACCATCATCAACCATGTTCTCGGGATGTTCAGGTCCTGGAACGTAACATGTCCGATTTTTGTCATCCACCATTCCCATGACATGTCTCTTCTCAAAGCCTCCATCGATTATGGCCCCAACACTCATACCGCTGATGGAGGAGTCGATCCTAAAGCAGATATACTGCAAGGCCTGCAGTCTCTATCTGTCTCCTGAGACCGCCTCCGCATATTTCAGTCAAGAAGCGAACACCCTGCATCAGTTGCTCGACAGCATTCTGTCTGGGGTATTTAATTGATCATCCTATCAAGATAACTTGTCTTTGTACGAGAAAGAGTAGCTTCCCATCCGCTACATCCTCGGTGACCCACGAAACATCGACTTACGATACACTCGGGATCTCGAAAGCGCAGACTGGGAGCTGGAGGCAAACATCCCAGTGGAGAACATTGCCGGGTTGTTAAAGAGAGGCCTTACTCCTTTTATGCGAAGCTGAAATAGGTTGTGTATGGCAAAGCCAACACGCGAAAATCATAGCAGATTACAAGATAGGTCCACTTTTGATAATCCTTAGCTTAACGAGGCGTATCTACAGCAGACAGAGAAGAATCTTCATATAGTGATTATATCTTATTTGACTATACTACATACAACTTGTAGTGTGATAGCAATCATAACCCCCGGATATAACTCTTTGTCTCTGATTGCCCAATCTTGATTGATGGATTGATTGTCTGCTTGTTAGATGATGGACATACAATGTCCCTGCTTTTCCAGTGATAGACAATTAGATCACTTCATCTCTTTCCTTCGGCTATGAGGTCCCTTGTTTTCTCAGAGACATTATTATCAACCACCAAGATGAGAACATATTTGATCTTTGGTCGTCTCTATTTTAGGAATCCCGATATATTTCCATCATCAGCCATGGATACACCTGGTTCCATAAGCTAAGGGCTCATGAAGCCTCGCTATCTTCCAATCTTGAAAGGTTCCATAGCTAAGCTAAGTACTTATCACCGAGGCTAGTCTTCACTTAGCCCTTTTTTATTAAGCATTGGTCTCTCTCCCTCCTTCCTATTCTCGACACCCATATATATGCCTTCCTGCTTCGTTGTTTTGGCTTCGCCTCCGGATATTGGTATAGCTATATAAACAACAGCGCTAAAATGCACACGGTTATATCCAGCGAATTGGTGGTTTACTATAGACAAGGCAGTCATTTACTGGTAAACATCCAAGAATCTCTGTCTACGCTTCTGCCTCGAGGTGAAAGTTCTCTTACTCAACCCGTGTCTTTGATCACTTCATCATCAGCTGTGGTCGGTCTCTTTCCCTAAACCTGCTCTGTGCACCCGACAACTATCTTCCTTCCTTCCCATCACAACCACAATCAGGTCTGACCGAGAAGAGATTCCCACAATCGGTGTCCTTATCCTGATCCCATTTGCTGACCGCGCTCAACGCGAAGGTCGGAGCTGTCCTCTTGCATATCGCCAAGTCAGAGGCGATACCGTCATCAACCATGTTCTCAGGATGTTCAGGTCCTGGAACGCAACATGTCCGATTGTTCTCATTCATCATTCCCATGACACGTCTCTTCTTAAAGCCTCCATCGATTATGACCCCAATACACACACCGTTGACGGAGGAGTTCCACAAACAGGCGTCCTACAAGGCTTGCGGCATCTATCCAGCCTTTCCAAACCGCCGGAACAGGTTTTTATTCACGAAGCGATGCGTCCGCTCAACTTGCATCAGTTCCTCGACAGCATTTTGGGGTATTTGATTGAAAATCCTTCCAGTGCCGGGATTCCCGTAATGACACACCCGAAGGAAGAGACTGTTCCCCAAAGTGACATCAACGACCCTACTATGGCGACTGAACCCGATATAGTTTATCACGCCCAGACTCCACGAGTATACAGATTGGGAGTGATACATAATGTACATGAAAGGGCTGCTACCATTGGTTTATCCCATGAAGATGATTTGTCTCTGTATGAGAAAGAACAACTTCCCATCCGCTACATCCTCGGTGACCCACGAAACATCGACTTACGACACAGTGGGGATCTCCAAAACGAAGAACAGCTACTAAAGCCCCACGTCTCAGTCCATACTCCTGTATCCGGTGTGCGGATTGGCCACGCCTACGAAATCCATACTCTTGCGCCGGGTGATGCATTCACACTCTGTGGCGTGGGAATCCTACACAGGTCGAATCTCTTTGGTCGCCCTGAGATGGATATTGGTCTATGCGCCCTGGCGAAAGCGCTCTTAGACACCATCTCGGCAGATAATATGGACAGAACCCTCACATTGACAAATCCTCGATGGACAAATGCCGCACCGGACAAGCTTCTACGACATGTGCTCACCCTTATTCTTCAAGCTGGTGGTGCCGTCAAGGAGTGTGATGTGAGCTTGGTTTGTGAAGTCTCGCGAGTCAATGTTCACCGGGAAGCCATGATCAATTTCATTTCTGGCATAGTTGGCTTAGAGAGCTGTCAAGTTTCCGTCAAGGCACAGACCAATGAGCAAAACGAGCTGAGGGGTCGGGAGATGGTAATGATTGCTTTTGCTACTACTTGAGTGGAATTCAATAGTCCCCGGTATTGATCATACCGGACTACCTCAATTATGTGATTTTTAATATGAATTGTCATTCTCGTCGGAATGTCACTATATAATCTCCCACAACCCTAAAGTATTAGTAATAGAGTACTATTCCCGTCGACTGGAGCCCCGGGAGCTTGGATCAGGGGCGCCAGAGCGGCAGGGGCCGACATTCCGATCCACTGCCATTTCCAACCTCGACTGGTGTAGGTAGTTACATAGCGTATATGACACTGTCATTATTGCTTCTAGCGGTGATCGGATCTGCCAAGCTCCCATCCATTAATCAATTATTTATCAATTATTGAACAGATCGACAACTGTAACAATCCCTCATCGGCATCCTACACGGCACGACATCGGCAACTCGGGAAACTCTATATAACGCGACTAACCGTGAACGCTGAGAAATTATTCCGCTCCACCGGACCGAAAATTTCCAAATCCGTCAAACATCTGCCATGTGGGATGAAACGTTGAAGCTCACGCGGGTCGAGGAATCCGCAGAATTCGATTTATTCAAAGCGCTCGTCCATAGGGACGTTACAGTCGAAGATGTCGTGCAGTGGGTCACAACCAGCACCATGGACCGGCTGGAGAGTTACAGCGGAGGAACTATTGAGAAGGCCGATTCGATTACTTTCATTGCTCTGATCGAGCTGGCTATGCGAATCGATCCAGTGCAGTATCCCCCGCTGATTGAGTTCTTGGGGGAATTGAAACTGTATAATGCCGTTGATTCGGCGACGGAGTTGGTTCTCAAAATGCAGGATGGGAGTCGGGTTTGGTCTCATTTGCCTTCTTTGACGGTCTGGGCTTGGACATTGTGGACGGAGTATGAGTCCGATGCTAGAAAGACATGTAAGGAATTGACATATCGACTGATTTATTTATTTGGAGTACTGATTAAGTATCAGATCTATGTGACGCAGCGATGGAGCTCGAGCAGCAGACTAGATGGGCGAGGCTTAATATCTTTCTGGCGCAGGTCACACAAGCTGCTGATGTGGAATATGCTTCTCTGGTGCAGGTGTGGATTAGCGATGCGATGGATGAATCCCTTTTGGGGCTCTGTGGACTGCGGAATGTGTTTGAAGAGAGCGTTCCTTGTGAGCAACTTGTTTCCACGGCTGGTCTGTTGGGTGTGTGTTACTGGTTCGTGTGTGCGGGTGATAGACTGTGGGAAAATGTCCTTAATGGCCGAAAGTATAATAAGTATGATGGGCGACCGGGCGAGAAGTATGCAAATCGGAGTTGGAGAGGGTTTGAGCGTGAGAGATGGGATGTATGGGTGCAGGGTCTCCGAGATGTGAAGGCTTGCTGTGCAGCCGGGCAAGACCCTGAAGATTTGCTCAACCATGCTTTGTCCAAAATTGAGCATGTAATGGATAATACAAGATGATCTGCTTGAGGCTTTGTAAATTTTGTGGTCGACCAAGCGATATAACCCCCGAAGTAAAGCAAAAAGGAATTCAAGAATTCAAGAATTGAAAGCCTCCCAGAGGATATGATTCATAGTTCAAATATTATCAACGAATATATATCTAAATTCAACACCAAGCCTTGAACAAATATTATATTTATAAACACCATCGAGGCTACCATGAAAATGCCTCTTCAAATAAATCCACCGTCTTCTCCCCTTGTACACCTCGGACTGCTTCCCGAACATTATCGCCTAGGCCACCAGGACCGCAGACGCTTACCGCCATCGCACCGATTTGCTCGGACTTTTCTTTCTCTAACACGGACTGGAGACATGGCTTGCCGTGGTGAATGTGGATAGGCACACTGGATGGAGCGCATCGCATCCATGGCGTGTCTGGTTGTGGAATATATTCCTCGACTGTCTCTTTGTGAGCTGTGACATAAAGGCTGATAGAGAGATCGAGTCGTGGGAATTGGAAATATGTATGGCCGTTCGTGGCTTGTGGACTTGTGAGCGAGTCGTGGCCGAGGATCTCAGTCATGAATGATTGAATCCAGGTAAGATGATCTATAAATCCATTAGCAAGCAAGCTGCAAGGAAGTGATGGTGTGAAGGTACCTAGACTGCGCACGATCCACACCAGATGGACCTTGCGCGTAGCTGTTTTCTCTTGGGAGAACGTGGTGATAACCTCGTTCAGGTAGGATGTTGGGTGGGTGATACCAATGCCACCAGCGATTAATAATAAGGTACCATATGAGGCAAGAGAATGAATACCACCTGGGAGATGTTAGTCAAAGCGTTCTGAGATATCAAGTGTCAAATATCAGAATCATACCAAATGGCCCCTCTGCCAAGGCAATAGCCTTCATCCGTCCCTCGGAAGAGTCCTCTGCCTTTTGGATCAACTTTTTCGTGAATCCGTCTTGGCCCTTGATCAGGATGGACATCGTGGTAGTCTGCGAACCTCCAGTGAGAGCTTTCAGAGACTCGCTCGAGCCACGCTTTTCATCCAGACCCAACGAGTCTGATGTAGACGTCCACGCGACAGAGAAGGGATGCGATGTCCACAACCCCATAGAAGGGATGTAAAGATACATATGCTGACCAGGACGGAAGCGCCATGCCCGAGCCACTGCCACATCAACACGAGCAACGGAGCCAGGAAGAACCTCGATGGTGGCAGTTGTGGGCCTGCTGCTGAGGTTTCTCCAGAGCAGAATTCCAAGTCTACAGGCGCGATCGAGGCCCCACAGGATCAAAGTGCCTAAAAGCACCTGCTGTTGCAACAGGTTTTTCAAATGATACCAGAGGGCCACGAAAGACATCACGGCAAGGGCTATGTGCAGGTGGAGAAAGAGTTCGTAGAATGCATGTCGGGCCGGCGACAGAGATTGAACGACAATGAAAAGGAATCCAAGGATAGCCTGTAGACTTGCGTTAGATGGTTCATCTCATTTTGGAGAGGGAATTGAACCGCCTACCACAAGACCGCTGATATAAAGCCTTTGCTGCCAGAGAGTGTAGAGGATGTATTCCGTACCGCCTAAAGTCGAGATTAGTGCATGCTTCAACCATCCATCTTCCAGAGCTACCCACGTTCATAAGCCTGACCAGCCAATACGGCGCTCATATGAATGACTGCGTTAGCTGCAATCACTCGCCCCACCCACCGATGCATAAAGTTGAACGCATCGAACGAAATCCCCAACAGCTGGACTAAGGGATTATTTCGGCCTGCAGCCATGACCAGGCCTGGTGTATTCATGACCGCCAAATGGCCTGCAGAGTATTTGAGCTGGAACATCTTCTTGGGGTAATCATCGATCCACCAATCAACTGTCACAATAATGAAAATTAAGTTCAAACTGAGATAGATAAAGAGACAGATCATTTCCAACCGCAGTGGCAGAGATCCCATATGAAGCCTGAGGAAGCGGAATTCGCGACTGTGTCGCTTGCCCCATAGCGGAGCATATAGAAAGTATTTCTTGAGGGTCGCATTGATCCGACTTGTTCGGGACAGCTGCGTCTGATCAGCTCCCTGTCGTGACTTTTTTAGTCGTTGAAGATCTCCGATGCGAATGGCGGTTCTCCATGCGAACAAGATTGCAACTAGTCCACCAACGACGAACAGAGGCACTGCAATCGTTGGGTTCATAGGCGGCTCTCCGGGTCCATTTCCTTTCAGTTGGACACCCATTGTGCCATACAAAGAGGCAAGAGGAAGTTGAGTTGCTGATCCACTGGGGGACGGAGACCGTAGTCAACCACGCTGGAGGTGGATTATCCGGCGACTCCTGAAAGGGTCATGACCAAGGAAGAGCGGGAACACACGAGGTTTTGACGGGATGATGTTATAAAAGGGGTCAGATCGCGTGGGGGAGGGAAGTTAGTCCAGAATCGTCATTGTGGTCTTATATTTCCTATCTGGTCATACATAGATGCCGTCATTGACCCCTGCAGGGTCCGCAAGTATACTTTCGCAGAAAGAAAAGCCAATTGAAAGCATGCTACCACGTTGGTCATAGCATACACACACAATCAAGTCTAACATAGTGGATCCCACGCCGAATTGGGAGCTTGGAGGTTGTGGGGGGGTTAAGGTTAACTTGAGGGGATGCACACGGTAAGTGGCCAGAGATGATGGCCCTCTGAGAATTGTCCTGGACCAGTGACGAGGACGTGGATCAAATGCCAAATCTTTTGACAGTTGCGGACATCTGAGGTTCTAGAAAGGAGGGGGAGATCGGCCTGGATGTGGGTTCGGCAACCCGAAAACGGAATGTTGACGGCCGCCTCCGGCATTCTTGATCTTCCCCTTTCAGTCAAGTGATAACATGCAGGGTTTTAAATACCATCGTCATGTTTCCAGTCGCGGCACTGCTAAATTGCTGCATCATATCGATCAATAACCTGATATTCGGGGGCTGGGTTGTTCGAACCCTCGATATCAAAACGTCATCCTCGAGTCCTTGGCGGCTCGACCCCCGGATCTCCGGTGGGATGGGACGCAACTGTAACATTGAAGACAATGGATAAGTTAACGAAGAATGCAGTGTCGCAACTATGACGCCATGGCAGAATGCCCCTCATGTTAGGACTCCCTGACTTGGTAAGGCCGTGGGAATTCCGCGGAGGCCCGGAGTGCTAGTGTATAGATTGACGTTTGACCCATTGCCCACAATTACTCAACGACTTGTCTTGGCTCTCGCAGTCCAGACAACTCCATTTGACCGAGGTTAGTGTTTTTGTCGCTGGCTGCTCCGCTTCACACGTTACCCAAAACAGAATGAACGTCGTAGCGCGACTGACACCCTGCATCATATGGATGATAAGAAGAGGTCTAGACAAGTCCACATCTCGCACCAGGGATACAAGCTATGTCATGAGCCCTAAAAAAGGAAGGCGAATAGGCTCATGGTAACCCCAAAATGATCCCCTCACGACGAAAGATTTCGGTTCAAATCCCGTCGAGCACCTGTTGTTAAGGTGTGAAGCTCTCCACTCTACATGTGAAGGCTTTAATGGGATTACTCCCCATGAAAGCATGATAGAGCACTCATCGCCAATATGAGCTGCACAATTAGGGACGAGACAAGATCAGAAAGTAGGGTCAACAGTGAACCAGGAGATACATGGCATTTTAGAATGACTATTGCCATTATCAATTGAAAGAGTGCATCAAGCGATCTTAATATGAAAGGCGTCCAGCAAAAGCAAGAGCGATATGAACATCGTAGCCACAACTGACTCCCAACTGCCAGATCAGATACCGAGGAGACTACCTAGGTAAACAACGGCAAGGAATCAAGCATCAAGCGAAGAGCCAAACAATTCACTTTAGCAGGAAATGATACACCATTGGTATGAGCGGAAGCAGTAGAACCCAGAGTTTTGAAACAATGTTTGTTCGGCCTTCCGGTTCCACTTCAAGTTGGCGGCGAATAGGCACAGTGCCTCGGCGGGAAGGAAGGGGCAGATGCTGAAGAGGTATGCCGGAAGTAAAAGCCTCAATCAACTGATTGGCGATCATTTTAACAGATACAAACCTTATGAGTTTCAATTGAATGAATCTGAGAAGTGGCGTCTCCAGAGCTTCCATCTGTTGCATGACGTGCGCTCCCTTGACCAGTTGCCTGGTGACGATCTCCCGGGCCTGTCGATAACGCGCAAAGGTTTCTTCGATGCTGGCTTTATTGGGCTTGTCGTTGCGATCGAGAAGATTCTTCAATTCATCTGCCAGACAGGCTGCGCCGGAGATTGCGGTGTTACCTCCTTGACCAGTGAGAGGATTTATCTATTGACAGCCTGTTAGTTCAGCTATCGACTGAAAGGCAGATGGAAGTGTCAACCTTGTGCCACGAATCACCAACCAGCACAATCCTTTTGTGATAACATGAGAGCACCCCTTCCTCTAGAGACACAAGAGAAGTGGCTATTGCCTTCTGATACAATTCACCAAATGTAGCCCCTGGCTTGATAATGTCGTCGGCATATCGGGCAGCTAGTTCATGGCGGTCTCTGGCCGTGTATCGAGGGATCGAGTTTCCTCTCGTTTTCTCGTCATTTTTGAACATGGCGATCCAGTAAATCAACCCATCAAGGCCAGGGGAGCACATATAGCTGCGACCGCTTCTGTGGCCCTTGAATGCCTCCTCTTGAACCAAGCCTTCAGGCGCCACGGATGTACCAAAAATGGCACGATAGTTGCATACGAAGCCTAACATAACAGTAAGCCCATGATACACCAGATCCAGCATTTCTTGTTTAAAAAGAAATACTCACTGTTCTCTTGGCCCAAACTCCCACTGGCTTCTCTCAGACGATCCATCTCATGGCGGACATAACTGTGAACACCATCTGCACCAACAACAATATCACCTTCATAGACACGTCCATCTGTCTCAACTCTAACCCCGTCATCTGTCGAGTGAATACTCGAAATAGCGCAAGAAGTATGAACCTTCGACTTATCACCTAGATTATCGTAAAGTGCCTTCACAACCTGATACCTCTCTAGGAACCGCATCTTGTACCCAAGCCTAATAAACAAATTAGGACCAGACACTGCAGAGTTGTCACCCATGACAGCGACTAGCCATCACGAGCAAAGGAAAAATCAAAGAAACAGTTTAACGACTGACGTTTTCTCCATCCACTCCCCATATCCCGGCAAATTCGCACAGCGAATTCCATGCTCATCATAGCCAGATACTGTGTTGATCGGTGTGCTGAGCTTCTCCAGCACATTGTAGCAGCCCAGTTGGTCGAGAATCCGCGAACCATGCGGGAGCAATGAGTATCCAGCACCAAGCCGGGGTGCGATCGTGTCGTGTTTCTCTAAAAGCTCATAGTCTATCCCGTACCGTTCGAGCATGTTGGCTAGTACTAGGCCGGCGATGCTACCGCCGACGATGATCACTTTGAACGCGGCCATGGGGACTGTCTTGCAAGGAAGATGACTTGAATTGTCAAATTAGGACGGAACTTTGTTGCGATATTGTTTGGCATGATATCCACTTGCTAACTCTCCGTGTCTCTTCTGTTGGCCCCCACATGTGTGATCGACTGGTTGGGGCTGAGTGGTTCGTGTTGAGTGGTTGGGGACCGAGGCTTACTTATCCTGTGAGACTCATAGAATTGTGTGTTATGGAATATACAGAGAAGTATACAACTTCGATACGCGAAGAAGATCCGTAAGTTGCATGTGCTGTGCGTCGCGGTCTTGTTATGGTGGATCCCAACCACGGGGGCTACGGAACTAAATAGGGCCACGGCGGACTTTTGTCAGCTCGATCAATCTTATCTTACCGCTTTTGCCTCCGCCTATTGTTTGCCGAAGTACTCCGTATGCTCTTGCTCAATAATGTAGGGGTGTTTCTTTTTTTTGGACTAATATTCTTTCCTTTTCATCTGTAGATTAGAAGGCGATCAATAGGATCAGGGATGTAGTTATCGGAGAGCAATGATTGACCAAATGTTGGTCGGCCACATATAAAGTACCTAGGTAGGTTGACAGTTGACTAATTGGATCATGGTCTATTCCGTACATGGGTAGTAGTCGGCCCGCTTTACAGAACTCTCATCTGAGATATCGAGTAAGCTCTTTGGATTGGACCCGTCTTCAAGCTGGGTAGGGTAGGTACTATCACCAACGTTTCTTCAACCGTCTGTTCTATTTTCTTTCCAACAGATGTACCGGCCTCCGACCTCATCTGGGCAGTCGGTGAGTCGATGACAAATGTTCTGCCGACAATATCAGCAAACGTGATCAGAGTCCATGGTGGCCGCTAATCCGCTCCATAGAAACCACAGGTGTACCAATCCCCGGCTCGACGTTGCCTCGCGGCCGACTTAGAGGCTGAGAATCTATCTCGTATACATCGTGGATTTTGAGCGGTATGAGTTGTAATAGTTATGACACTATTCTATTCGGCACTAAAGCCTATACAAACCTGGAGATACGCCTTCGTTAATACCATTTCGATTTCCCCCTCTTTTTGTCAAGGATGATCGAGAAGTCCTTGATCGTAACAAAATAGAAATACAAAGAACCAAGAACGCCAGAGTCATTAGGGGAATTGCATACACGTGATCCGTGTTGGGATCATGAAAGAGCTCAAGCAGGTACCTGCTGCACATTGAGAGGGACATGGGGAACTGGTTGTCCATCCTCCTCAAGAGAAAGACTGCCATAGCCGGTGTCATTACTGGCCGATCGCTCCCGACGGAGGAATGGCCTTTGGACAGGATTTTCAATTAAGTCCTGATCAGCATCACTTTGAGAGGACTGGGATTCTCCCCTATGCCGGCGTGCCCGAGGTTTCTTAGATAGAGTCCGTTCGGATGCAGCGTGCATGTAGTCCTGAACATTGATACCTGCGTCCTCACAGATTGTTGTGCAAGACTTGATGATTACTTCAACGAGTTTAGAGGAGAATCCGTAAAAGGCCGGAGTGTAAGCATTCCGGGCCCAATAGATTAGTTCAGCGGATACCCGCCCGACATTCGGGATATCGCGGGGACAGATGAAAAATTTGTGCTTTGGGCGAGTCTTTTCTTCGGCTTCGTCATCGGCGGAGGAGGTAGCTTCAGAAGTGGCAGTTGAAGGAGAAGATGAATCGGACGAGGCAATGTAATCTACATCCGACACCAGAAGGTGAAGCAGATGGTAAACAGATGAGAATCCAATAAGAGAAAGGTCCACTGGATCGATCGGGAGCTGGTTAAACCACGTAATGGCTTTTTGGAGAGTGAAAGACTCGGGCAGTGACGAAGCATCACCCGTGGATCTTTCAGTAACAATGGCGGCAATCATAGCGCAGCGCACGGCGATGGAGATCTCATCCCGCACAGAAACAGGTAGAGAGGAATCAAGGAAGTTGGACGAGTGCATTTGGCTTCCCTTCCTTTTCTCCTTTGGGAGCGCGGCGAGGACTGCTCCCACATTCTCAAGGCGATTTTGGTCAAAAAGCACAGCTTTCATCACGAGCGCACGAGTATATGCAGCGGACAACTGTGGTGCGACATCAAGGGACATCCGAATCTTCGCTTTAAATGCATCACGGCTTGTTTTGGACACCGGACCCTTGCCACTTGCTTCGAAGTAATCGAGAAGAGCAGTTTGCAAAAGGTGACTAGACCACCAAGCCGCAAGTGCATCCTGGGAACATTGGATAGCTGGGTCCTCGTCCACAACATCGAGTAGCACTTGATCATCGCCAGTACCTTCCTGGGTTGGTCGGTTCCAGGTCAGATTCACAGCACGCTGGATGATGGTGTCGATCATGACATCATCGCAATCCTGGTTGACAAGCGCAGCGAGATGAGGAGGAAGCCGGTCGGGATGGCCTTCAGGCAAAGCGTCGTTGACCTCTCGAGCCACGCCCCACTGGAATCTAGCAAGAGCTCGAGCGATGTCATTGGATACTTGGAACGACCAAGAGCCTGGCTCCCCAACATTCCACAGGAGAATGCGGACATGCAAGGCCTTGATGATCATTCTCGTAGGAGAACAGGGGAGCGTGCCAGCAGCGAAGATAGTGAGCACAAGACGGCTCTTGCTAATCTCAGCATCCCCACCGGTGAGTTGAGCATCAATTGCAATATCCCAAGTCTTGACTCGTCCCTTCTCATCCTCCTCGGTGATTCCAGTAGCCCATGAGTAGACTTTCCATCCCATCAAGCATCGCAGCACATATTCGAAGCATCTAGAAGTAACAACGTACCACTCACGGAAGAATCTGTGGCGTGGGACACCAACCCGTTGCATACTAGTCAGCCAAGCCTGGCGACGGAAATCGCTAGACGTCAGAGGCGCAGGCGGGCCCTCAGCATCCGTTTTGGATGGGCCACGGTGTGTGACAGGTTGGGCATTGAACAAGTACACGAAAACGACAAAGGCACTGACAACGACCAGCGTTGCCAGAATGAGGAAATGAGAGAATGCGCGCGCCTGCCACGAGTACCAGGACTGCTTGAAGTAGAATTCCCAATGTGCCATCGTAGGTGTCTGCAAACGGCTGAAGAGTCTCATGGGTAGTGCAAAGAGGCCCTTTGATTCGGTCTCGGAATCTCCAGAACCCATGCCTTCGAGGACCATGAGACCCGCGAGTGCCCCCAGCATATATTTGTTGGGCATTCTTGAACGCCGGCCCGATGTGTCTTCTCTTGCATACTGCGGTTGGTGGGATGACGACGAAGGATATTTAATGTAAGACTCAGCAAAGACCCCTTGCTGCGCAGTCTCAGCTCGCATGCGTTTCCACGCGTCAGGAACTGGCAGAAGACCTTCTGGGGGATTTTGAGAGGTGGGCGAGCCCTCGCTGGAGGGCTCTTCCGCCTGAGAAAAGACACTAGGCGATGTACCAGAGCCTGAATCTGTCGAAGCATAGTTGCTGGGCGAAGACACCGAAGCAGAGGAAGTGACAGCCTGGTCCGCTGCCTTATCAGCCTGTCGGAGACGGTTTTTGAGAGCAGTGTTTTCGTCTTCCAACCGCTTGTTGCGAATCTCTAGATGCTTGATGTACTCCGTTGCCTTCGACAAAATGGATGCTTTGTTAAGCTTGCTTGCACCGTTGCCTCCCTCCGTTTCATCATCCTCGTCAGGTGAGCCTCCAGTGCGGTTCTTGATTTGTCGAAGGCTGGGGACACTGTCACGAAGTTCTGCTATCTTATCGTTCAGGTTGGCGCGATATCGCTTCTCGATGACGTTGTGAGCTCGCTTTTTGGCGGGCATCTTCTTGCCCGGCTGCACTGGTCCAGTAACTGTGGTGCCGTCATCATCGCTGCCAGTCTTTCGCTTCCGGCTGGTCCCAATACTTGAAATTGGAGATACTAAGCCGATCTGTTGTTGCTGGGTCGTGCGCCAATTCGGTCCTGGCGTGCTGTGTTGGTATCCCAGGTTGTTCCCGATGTTAGAGTCGGATGGAAGTTCCATCAAGCCAAGTGGAAGATTAGGTGAGAAGTCCGTGTAGTTCAAATGAGTCGGGGAGCTCATGTCGGTATGAGGAGAGATAGATGGGAGGTCGATAGATGAGTTCATTGGCTTCTGTTCTCCTTCCAAGAACATTGGATCATCCCATCGCATCCATTGAGTCCAGTCCTGGCTCGTATTGTCTCCAGGTGACTGCGTGAGCCTGTTGTCATTTCCTTGCGGCTCATCCCCACTGGAGTTACGCGGAGAGAAGAGCTGGAAGTCATTCTCCATGTTGGGGGCGGACATCTTGGCTAGTATCCCGGGATTGGATGCTCGTCCAATACCCGTGCCGATCTAGGTCCGAATAATGGGATAAGCACTCCAGGTATATATCACTGATGAACATGTCAGTTTCGATAAAAAAAAAAGAGGCTAATGTGTTTTAAAAGGAACAGAACTGAGCTGCCTGCATAGCTGGCATTGAGGCGAAGCAGACAGCTAGGCCCATACAGGCTAGCGGCGATCCCTAACAGCGGCAGAAGATAGATGATACTCACTGGATCCAATGTGAACTATGACGCTCAAGCTTGAATAGATAATGCTTGCAATGTAGATGTACTTCTTCGAGTTGAGATGTAAAGACTGAGTTGCCAGGAGGGGGAGTGTCAAGAGTCACAATCACGGGCGAGGGTACGCGATTGGAGGAGAACAAAGGGAGTATACCCACCTCGGACTAACTTAGCGCGAGTAGTTGGGTCCAAGGAATGGGGTGGATTCTAAGAATCCGCTCTTCGTTCAATAATAGTGATCGTGTCTGGGCGTTGAAGCAGGGTGGATCAACCAGCCCTAGAAAATATGCGCAAGAAACAATGGAGTAACGAGAATGGACTGGGACAAAGGTATCGGCGTGCTAACAGTTTAAGCTGACATGGGGCATCCAGTGTCCACGCATGAAGATCAGGGGAGGTTGTATGGACTAGAACCTCCAGCCAGGCAGCCAAATAGGGAATGGCAGTTTCGTCGTATGATCACGGCTGGGGGCACTTCCGGCTCGCCGGCTGACCATCCCTGACGGTATCCCGAGTGTTAATTACGCTGAGTCATCGTTGCCGATGGCTGTAATATGGTAATAGTGTTTCACCGCAGTAAAGAAAGGAGAATTCTCATTGGACATTGGTCTCCACTTTGTTTTGATGATTCAGCTGTTCCCTGGCCATGTGATTTCCACTCTCTCCACTACGCTGATGTGCATTGTATCTCTCTCTCTCGACTTTATCCTAGCGTCCAAATATTCGAAGTATACCTACTAGGTTGTTCAAAGAACAGCTATGGGTTGAACTCAGCCAAGTCATTCTCGTTTCTTCTCAATTTGATCCTCTGGACACGTCATTGTGTGGTCTCTTGGCGCCCCGCAGAGAGGCGAGACAGGAAATGAAAGGGCGCGTTATGATCTTATCTGATCGTGTTAGTCTCCACTCTTCCCTCGCCAGCGCTACTGGAATCCACAAGAACGGCGCAAGAGACGAATAAGGTCAATGGGGCAAACTAACGAACCATGTGGATCTTGGACCTTCTCGGTCTGCTATTTAAATTGAAGAAATCGGCCCTCGCAACCACTTTCAGAGGGGCGTCCCAAATGTCTTTTGCTTATTGTCATGTTTGGGCCAGCCTCCACTGTGCGTCATAGAGCTCTGTCGTAGCTCGTAAAAGATCCATTCCACCCCAATCGGCCTCCTTTCGGCTGGGACTCGGCTGTTTGATTTCAACGTTCATAAGACAGTCCACTATTTGGGTGTAGACATCATGGTTGTCCTTTCTGACCCAAGATATATATTGACATACAGCATACTGACCACCTCCACTAACGTCATCCTCGCCGATTCCTTCATTGCCTAGGTACGTCACTAGTTTTCTCGTATGGGCTATTGCATATGTATATGTTGAGAGCCTAGAGCCTCTCTCGCGCATTCTCCACCCCGAAACGGCGAAAAATGACGTCTTTAGTCGAAGCAAAGCTCGTCTTTACAAAGCTGTGCTGTCCAATCTGAGAGACAGCTACATTTCCACCGCATTGTTTTGTCCCGCGTGTACAATTCAGCTCCTGCAGGAACGAAGGGATCCGCAGAAGTAGCGAAACTGATGGCCGGTGCAGATGTTGCTGCTGGCTGAGTATTATTCCCCGGCGAGCCGCATCCTAGCTTGGCCCCATTTTTCTTCGAGACATGCCCGGGGATGGTATCCGCTGAACCTTGTGACGTTTCCCAAACTGATGCCCACGCGATTAGCCACTATGGTGCATTCTGGATTGATGACTTCACCAGCTGTTTTGATCAGTTGGGCGTGCTCTTCGCGGACCAAGGGAAGTTTTCAGGCGCACAATCTTTAGCCCGTAAGAATGGTACCCCTCTATCTTCTGTATATGTTAAGGTTAAGTGTGCTGTTACTTGGGTGTCTCGCTGAAGGTGATTCATACCGCATGAACTTTAGCAATACAGGATAAGCCTGATATACCAGAGTGAATCTTGTGATCTCAAAACAAAAAGAGGAGGGTGTTTGATCTCCACCAGAAGTTTAGCTTACGACGTATGTCCAGATTGAGCAATGGTCGAAATTCAAGTCACTCTTCAATGTCAGAGTGTAGTCGCCTGTAGCATTAGGATATTTCTATTCCCCCTCTCAACCCATACATCCTGTTCCATAGAAAGGGAGGAAAGGCACAATGAAAACATGGATACTCCAACAATCTCGGTTGTACAAAGTACTCCGTAGTGAGTTAGTCTTTGGCTATTCCCTACTGCTGGCTTTATATGACGCCCGGACGACGAGATAGTACTTGTTGGTTGTGTCAAACAATATCGTTTATCAATTTATGTCTTTATCTGTGGAAAAACCGTGCAACATGAGCCCACGACAAAGCTTCTAATAAAGAAAGATGTGTAGCTACACATCACATCGAATAAATAACCAGCGAGCTACCAGAATCAAAGTGATAAGCCCGACTTTTGATATCGATAATAAAAGGGTTAAACCGAGATTTAGTGCTATAAGATTGTCAGCGATGGAGTTCCGTGTATCATGCCGGAGATTAGGTATTCTTGTCAACTTACAGCAATGTCCTCCCATTTCTCCCAACCGCGTCCACGGACCTGGGATAATTCTTGGTCCGAGAGCTGCTTACCGGTAGTGAAGTATCCTGATTGAATCTTGGCATCGATCTCGACCCTAGAGTCACTAGGGATCATCTCGTCGGGGATAGGGATACGCTCGAGAATCTTGATGCCGGAGTCTACGATAGCGTCATGCTTCATGTTCGACATTGATAGCATGCGATCGATCTTAGTGATGCCGAGCCAGTGGAGGATATCGGGCATGAGAGCTTGGAATCGCATCTGTTAGAGAAAGTAAGTAGGTGCAACTATGAGAACGATGGGAATGCTTACATCTCGAACACCGGCAATGTTCTCAGTGCGGGTAAAGTATTTATCGGCAGTGTCACCGCCACGCTTACGAGCATTGTACACCAGATACTTCACCACCTCTCCAAGGGCTCTGCCTTCCTTGCGGAAGTAGATAACCACACCACTGCCGCCATTCTGTGCCTCTCTAATTGCTTCGCGGATTCCGAACGCCAGGTATGGTCGGCAAGTACAGATATCCGACTGGAAGACATCACTGCCATTGCACTCATCGTGAACACGAAGGGCCAGCTTGACTTTCTCATCGGAGATGCGCTCTGGCGGTCCGAAGATGTATACGGTAAGACCGCCGATGGGCGGCAGGAAAGTCTTCAGATCGGGTCGGGTGATAAGCTCTGGGTAGCTGCCACCGGTGTGCTCAAACAGAGTTCGACGAAGAGTGCCCTCATCAACTCCGAATCGTTCTGCTACTCCAGGAAGATACCAAACAGGCTCAACTGCTACCTTGGTCACACGAACTTCGCCGGTAGAATCAACGAGAATATTTCCATCAACCTCGAGCAGGCCATTCTTCACATCGTCAGCGATCTCAGCGAGCTTCATATTAGCCCGAGTGACCGCCATAGTCGGACGGATATCCCATCCAGCCTCTAGCTCTGCTTTGAACTGGTTCACAATGTCATGGCCGTAAGGATCCATCGAGACAATCTTAGTCTTGTCCGCCCAGGCAGCTTGCCAGGGGAAATTGAAAGTTGGCTCGGAGTTGCGGAAGTCCGGTCGGAAATCTGCATCCAAATCACCAGCAGCGATTGCGAGGGCATTGTAAATGCTGTAGCTGCCACCGTGGGCACCGATAGCATTGCGGCGCTTGACGAGGTTTCCACTCCGCGAGACCACCACGGGGCCCCGGGACTTGGCATCGGGAGCGCCCCACTCAAGAGGGACAGGCTCAATACCACTCTGGCCTGGATACGTGGTCAACTAACCCATGTTATTAGCATTGTATTCAAGGATCTACCATGGTCTTTTGATTCCTTACAATAATGTGCTTGCTGAACTTGGGGTTGGGGGAGGTGGGGGATGTTGTTGGAGAAGATTCGGTCTGCACCGGTAGAACGGTGGTGATGGGTTCTGTTTTCAACATGATTTCTGATGAGACACGTAACGTTGGCAAGAAAGAATAGAAAGACTCCTGAGGAGGGAATTTATAGGAAAGGAAACAGAAGAACTAAAAGAAGAACTAAAAGAGGAGGGAAAGAGAGGGGTGTACATCATCGCCATGTGACTTATCTCCTCCGCACGTTATCTGAGGGGCTTATCTCCACGGCCACCGGAGAGGAGGCACTTGTGTTTTAGTTCTTGGCTGGTTGGCTATCAGGTAGTATCCTTTACAAATCTATTGCACAAGTAGCGGTCACTGAACTCCTTCCTCAGATTACTCCGGTCATTGCCCTATCGTTATATACTCATTTACCTTTTGGCCGATCCGTCCCCACCGGTTTCCACCGGAGTTCTTCGGCGTTCAATCTGACTGGCCGGAGTAGCGAACACCGAACTTCCTTGTTTCATGCATCCTCAGGGACTTGTTATACGGAGGGGACACCGCATTGCATAAGGCCCTCCCTGTGTTCTCTATGAGGTGACTGATTTCCGATCAATTTGAATGACATCCGCTAATCTCCCACAGTACCTCGCGCCGTCGCAATGGCAAACCTGCCTCCTGCGAGCCATGTCGCCGAGACAAAGTCCGCTGTGATCATGGGGTACCCGTATGTACTCGCTGTAAAGACCGTGGAATCTCTGCGCGATGCTTCTATCATCCTGCTCCCTTGACGCGAGCCAAAGGACGCCGGGTCTTGCCATTGTCAGAAGGGGTACCGTTTGATCGAGCCTCGTCAACCAGGTGCGTTGATTTTAGATGCTCTATCCATCTTGATGTCATTTGAGATTGGTGTGTGCATGTGTATGTCGATCGTTGCGTGCCCAATGGTTGAATCAGTCGCTCCCCCGCCCAATACCCTCCGGTAGTCATATCCACCAACATATCAACTTCTTACAATTTCTATTTCACAGGAACCCATCATTCGACTTTTGTGTGCCCAACGCAGGACAAGTGAACTCTCGTGAACGCACCTCAACCCGTACCAAGCCACTTCTTTCTGGGTACTTCGGCCCAACAAGTTTCGTGTCGCCCCTAACCGAAGATGTCGACTTGGGCGCAGATAGTCAGGGTCTGGGCCTGGAAATCGAATCTTCCCAAAGAATTCTACCACCGTATTGGGTCCACAAAATCTCCGAGGTCTTATTGACTCTTAGCGATTTTGCCACAGCTGAGACATTAATCCGCGAATTCTATGCGCTAAGCCAAAGCGCGATTATACCAGCACCATTTGTACTCAACAGCATTGATCCGGTCAAATCTATGTGCAAAGAGAGCATATCTGACCATACTTTGGACGATTTTACATCTTCACTGACGGTTCAGATAATCCAAAACACAGCTGAAATTTTCGAGGTCCCCTCTACGACAAAAGGGCGAGACTTCCATACGTTATTTACGGGACCAGCCATTCGTCTTGAGATAATTGGGCTTCTTTGCGCTCTTGCAGGCCGGGCGAGATATCTAGGGCTTGCTGGCGACAGGTCCGATGACGAGCGAACGTCAAAAGCTCAATATGCGCGCAAGATGCTTGCGGCCAGCGATGCTGCGCTGTACATTTGCAGAATTCTTACGCCACTTAATGATCTCACAATATGGCTAGTGTATGAGAATCTCCTGTTATCTGATCTAGTGAATGGCGACTCAAGTCAGTGCATCCCGACCCATCTATCTGCGTCTTTTTCTCACCTGACACTCTCCAGGCCCTTCGTGGTGGAACAGATTGGGCGAATTGTCCACCGACATTTTTGCCCTTGGTCTCCACCGTGATTCAAAATCCTCAAGCGATTTGCCCAAATTCCTGTTAGAATCACGTAGACGGCAGTTCGCTGCGGCGTATCAGCTTGACAAAAGCATCGCCACATTCTTAGGTCGACCGCCAAGGATACCATTGAGGTACACCGATTGTCGCATGCCACTTGATATTAGCGACGAGGCGCTTGCTACAGATGACGCTGTCTTGAACCGCCCTCATGACTATGTTGATGAGAATGGCTGGAGTATCCACGGGGTAGTCCAACGATCATCGTGGATACGTCTGCGATTTATCATCAGTACATTTCGTGATGAGGTTCTCGAACTCTCTTTACTGAAGATGACGCCAGCAATAGAACATATGCTTGAGTAAGTAAAACAGCGTCGTTCCGTTCCGTTCCATGTTACAACAACTCACACCATCCAGAGATATTTCCCAGCGATGCCATCAAGCATGGGATTCGCTACCATCTTGTTTGCGCTACAGCCCTCAATGCTGGAGTGAAAATCTGCCCGTAGGAGTGCGTGTTATGATGGTCATCTCATATCTGGCATACCTCTACAACGACTTCCTGACTCAACGACTCATAGCGGGAAAGAACAAACCGCACGGAAATCCAGCGCTGCTGTCCGTGAGCGCTAATATCCTATCAACGGTCCTGACGTTAGGCACACAACGTGAACAATTGGTCGATCTCCGGCCTGATTTCACCTGGACGGTATCTACACCAACACTCCTCATTTATACACATCCAGTCATTAACACATCATCGCCGATCACAGGTCCTACTTTACGGATTCCCTAGCGCCGGTTTGCTTATCAAAGCCCTACAGCATCAAAAGCGTACAGGCGAGCCATTCCTCTACGAGGGGCCGAGATCGGCCCTCATTCGGAACTTAAGCGTCTTTATCTCGCATCTCGATTCGATTGTTCGGCCGGATAATTCGCACTATGCTTTGTTTCAGCGTGCTAATCAGGTATTCTCGAAGATTATTGATGAGATTCTCGAACCACAGTCCATTCTTCCGAACTCGGATCTCGGGGATACTGAGCTGGTCGATTTTGATACGATGATTGATGTTGATGGCTTGGATTTGATCAACAATTTGGATTTCGGGGTTGCGTTTAATCAATGGTTATTCTGAGGGGATCTATGTAGGATTATGTACCGGAGTTGAGGTCGCCATCGCGATTTTCCCGATCGAGATGCCACCGCTGGATGGGGACGCCCAGAACCCTGCTCGCTGAGTGTTTCACGGCTGAGTATCTGGGTAGTAGAAGGTGATTATACAGTGAGGCTCATCGCACTCAGCACGCAGTTAGAGGATGAAAAGTTGGATGATAGATAGTTAGATGATGGATGCTTAGCGTGTAGTCCTCTATACCAGTCCTAGGGTACGCTCAGCAATGATCAAAGAACTCTCACGATAACCTTTCCAATGCTTTCCTAACTGGTGATACGATCTCCAAGTATACCCTATTCTTCATGGTACAGTTCCTGCTTCAGTAGCAGCTCTCACCCAACTCTCCCTCTCTTGCAATTCCTTAAACCACCTGTCCACATTCGGGTACTTTTCAAATACCTCCTTCCATTTACCTGCCTTCAAAGCTGCTCCATTGGGCAAGTGAAAAAAATCAGCTAAAGTAAATTGGTCTCCAACAAGATACCTCTGTCCGGCCAAGATCTCGTCATAAACCGAAAGAACGGCATCAAGGTCGTGTTCAGCTTGTGCGACCCGTGCTTCGTCGGGAGGACCGAGTCCTTTCATTCTTCATAACCGCCTTGTTAATTCGCACGTGAAGAGAATAGAAAGAAACATACGTACGGCTTGATAATAAGCTCGGTTCCGATGGTTTCAGCAGCGGCTGCGAAATAGCTCTGTTCGACAGAACAAGCTTGTTCGAAGCGGCCATAGGCCTCGTCATCTTCTGGCATAAGCCTCTTTCCAGAAGCGTACTTTCTAACCCGGACATATCAGTAAACTTCCCCTTCCTATATCCACTAGGTATGTATGCAGTTACAATATTTGCTCCGTGGGGCCTTCCGCGTACGCACGACCCCGACGAAAGACTTACTTGTCAAGATACTTGCAAATAGCCCTACTTTCAAACAACACAAGCCCGTCGTCGTCTACGACAGGCACTTTGCCAAAAGGTTGTAGCCTTTTGTACTCCTCGCCCTTCTGTTCTCCCTTTGCGAGATCGACGAGGATAAATTCGTATGGCAATTCCTTCTCCAGTAGAGTGACCAGGACACGGGATGTGGCTATAGCAGAGCCATAGAGCTTGAGGACCATTTTGGACATCAAAAAGCTGGAGACAGTGTTGATCAATCGGAATATCTTTTGAGAAGGGCGGGCTGGAGGACATTGGATGCTGAAATACCAAAGGGCGGGCTGTTCTTTTTTTCAACTGTTTTTCGTGCTACTGAGAACTGGGACTAATCCAGTGAGTACTACTTTGTAATCTAGAAAGGTTAGAAAAGAGTATCCCCGGCGTAAGCAGAAAGGAGGGGCTGGATGCCATGGACAGGGGCCGGTGCACTTGCTACATAGTGATCACGCTCCTGTAGTTTAAACTATAAGTACTAGCTGATATAGTCGATCTTGTCGAGCACAGGCTCGGCATCAAGGTTGGTTGATGAAGTATGAAGAATCCCTGGGGAGGAGAAAGCCTCAAGCTATAGCTTTGTTTTGGGCTTGGTCTTGATCAAGCATTCAATGCCATGGATATGGCTAGAACTGAACTGTAACAGATATGTACCGTATATCGTAAATAACTCCGTAATGAATGTCATCCAATTATCATCTCCTTTACGCCTCGCTGACATCCCCTGTTTTCGGTTGGGTTGCTTGTGACTGGGGGTATCCATACGGAGGATAAGATGCCGTAGGCGGTCCCCCCACAGCGCCTTGGGATGAATATTAAGCAACAGGGGCACCACGACCAAGCGCGATGACGGCAGGGTCCTTGCGTCGGAAGAGATACTTCAGCCACATCGCAACCTTTGCGCCACCTGACATATCTTTCCACTTCCCAACAAGGACGGCCTGCTCCTGTGCTGACTTCGCGGGGTATTTCTTGACTGTAAAAAGGAATACACAAGATAAGGCCGGACACAGAAAGGCGAAGCCGTAAGGTAGACCACGACGAGCTTCCCGTCCTAGCATAGCCCGCCGAAACGTGACCCAACTCTCGATCAAGCCGATGATGATGAACAGTCCAAACCATGAGAAAAAGACTGCAAGACCTAGGCCCGGAGGTGAGATTCCCCATGTGTAATGACATCCATCTGAGCAACAGTATCCACCCGAGAATGCAGATGCGTTGATGTACCAAGTGAACTTTTTGCAGCCTGAATAACGACCATCACTGCTGTCACCATGGGAGGTACCGCGGTCGGAGCTGTAATAGCTGTTGCAAGTGCTATACTTTGCTGGCATGTATAAAGAACTCGCGGAGGAGAAGGCACTGATGGGGATTTCGGACGGTTGCAGCATCGCCCAGGTGCGTGTGTAGCTGGACTCGATGCCATCGAATTTGATGGTAGCTGTGATGACACTGGGGCGAACAAGATCTCTTGCAGCGCTCGGGACTGCGATTGGGATTACTGTTATCAGAGTCTGGCTTGTTGTATAGGAACAGGACGATGGTGCGGTATAGGTGACCGTGGCATAATGGGCAAGTAGATCGTCTTCTGTTTTCCGGATGCCGGCAGTAGGGTCGATGAAAAGCTCGATTGCTGTGACGTCGCCGTAGTTTGTCTTCACATTGGTGACGGTGCTGAGAACTGGGGGGTTTGTTACAGTCGGGGTGATGACATCGGTGCGGGTTCTGACTATAGGATCATCTGTATAGTAGCTCGTGGTGAATCCTGGCACTATGGTTGACTCAAATAGCGCAAGGTATTTCGTGCCAAACCATGGCGAAGCTAGCGCACATCCGAAGAGGGACTGTCCCAGGATCATAAAAGGCACGGCGAGCTTCATTTTTGCTTTTCCGGGCCGTGCGCTGGAGTTGAAACCATGGATGACCAAAGGCCACGATCTGAACCGTCTTTATATCTGACTTCCAATGAAGGGCGAGTCAACATTTGGCAGAAGCCTCGTGAGGCTCCCCCACCTTCCGATGCCCAGGGCAGCCTCATCCGACGAAGTGAAAGAGGGCTTGCCGTAAGTAGTAAAGTCCAGCATGGATATCGTATTAGCTGGAGGCTAGTACTTCTCAAAAAGAAAGGATTCGGTCCACTCGCAGACATTTCATTGGGTGGCACGGCGTAAGTACGAGGAAAGTTTCATTGCTAGTGCTCGTATTCAATGGCGCTGTCAACAGGTGGTGGCCCCGAGCGCAAGTAAATACGAACAGCCAGGCCCTTGATCAGACAGAATCATTTGGTGGCGCGCAAATTCCCGCTTCCTGGGGATATGGGATAATGTATACTTCAATTTCACATTGGTTGTCCCTTGTCTAACATTCACACCCAGAGTCTGCATAGAATGGCTAGTTATCGCATGGCAGACCGGGGTCTGGAAACATGTTCACCAAGAGGTTCCATGTGTATCGAATAGGCGTCAAGTCAAGCAGGGATACAAAAGGATCAATGAAAGAGAAAACTCTACAAGGTGACCAGAACAAGAGCAGATGATCTTATGTGAATGTCAATTGATTTTTTGCTTAAGTTGAAGCCGGCCACTTCTTCTGGCACTGGAGAATGCAGGCCAGAACCGAGAACTGAAAGAGCTGCCAGAGCAGCCATGCGCGCAAATAGGTATCTAATTCCCCTCAGAACCCCGTTGGCCAGCAAAAGAAAAAGAAGAGATTTCGTCACTCTTCAAACCGTGAAACGTGAAATGATTGGTTCAGGCCCGAGTCTTGGGGTGGAAGCAAGAGCGCCAATGTATGTATGGCATCGACGCCAACTCTTCACACGATCAGTTGGTTCGAACAAAGTCTGCCTGGGCACGGGTGTTCTTGATGGTTTTCTTAATCATTTCTTCCACTTCATCCCAATCGCTGGTATCGATGCGGTCAATGATACACTGGAAGTGCTCTTGAATCTTGCGCAGCATCTCCCATTCATCACGGTTGGAAACGAACGAGATAGCCACACCAATGCGACCAAAGCGGCCGGTACGACCGATACGGTGAAGATATGTCTGGAAGTCGGGTGTGTGGGTGCGTTGACCGCCGTTGTACTCTTCGGGGATATCCTGGAGGCCAAATAGTTAGTTTTGAACGTGGGACAGGTAAGCAAGTCGACTCACGTAGTTAACGACCAAAGAAACTGTAGAGACATCGATTCCTCGAGCAAGAACGTTGGTCGTGATGAGAACCTTAGCTTCACCACTACGGAAGGCATCGATGACAGCATCACGCTGGGATCCCTCCACACCACCAGTCAGCGAGGCGACAGTGTGACCCTCGGCAACCATGCGCTTTTCGATCTCAACGGCAGAGGCACGAGTCTATAGAACAATCAGCAACATTCAAGTCTCGGACTGAAACGATACTTACCCGAACGAAAATGATGGAAGACCCGACAGTAAGCAGTCCATAGAGCTGAACCAAATTCTGGTATTTTTCCTCCTCACTACCGCAATCCATGTAGAGCTGTTTGATACCCTCAACCGTCAACTCGTCATGCTGGAGAGTAATCTCGTTGGCAGAAGGAGCGAATTTGGTAGCATAGCGGTAAACGTGAGTGGGGAAAGTAGCCGAGAACAGAACAATTTGGACATCGCGGGGAATCATCCTTTCCAAAGCACCGGGGGGAACTATTAGCTGAAACCTTTGCGGCGGGGGTCTTTCGAATTACTTACGCCTTGGCCCGAATGCACTGGTCTCCCAAACCTTGCTGATCAAGCATGTTATCTGCCTCATCTAGAACAAGTACCTTCAAACGGCTCGGATTCAGAATACGCTTCTTAATCATATCTTGAACAGTGCCAGGTGTGCCAACCACCACCGAGCAATCCATCTTCGAGGGGCGCGCATTCGAATCGGCAGGAACAGCAGTACCAATGACGAGACCGTCAAGGAACTGTCCCATGATCTGAATTACACCGACAATCTGACGAGCCAATTCACGAGTGGGAGCGAGGATCAAAGCTTGGGGCGACAACTGGAGCTCTTCGGTCGAGAGATCGAGACGACTGAGGACGTTGAGGACAAAGGCAGCGGTTTTTCCAGTACCGGACTGCGACTGGCCAACCAAGTTCTTAGGGGGATTACTCATAAGCAGAGGCAGGGCGCGTTCCTGGACCTTGGATGGCTTGCGGAAGCTCATAGTCGAGAGACCCTTGAGGATGCGCGCATCTCTTATTGTGTCAATTAGCTCAGGCTGCACGAACACTCATATGAAGATAGAAAGCAGGACTTACAGGCCTAGATCTTCGAAGCTCTTGACTGAGAACAAGGGATTGTTAGGGTCGGCCTGCAGGTCGCTCAGCTTGACAGCGACAGTGTAGTCGGGCTCTTCGAGATTCGCCGAGCCTTGCGCGGGGGCAGAGGCCCCATCTTCCTTGGAGGTAACGGGAACATCGGAGACATCTGTAGAATTATGAAAGAAAAAAAATTAGCTATCAGCCGGGGTAACACAGGTGTTCCGGGCGTGGTGGACAGGAGGAATCAGCGACGGTGGCGTGGTTTCGATTCGTACCGGTGGGCTTCGACTCGTCAGGCTTGGTGATGCGGTCAGCCAAGGAGCCCGCAGCAGGAGCGGCCTCGGTGTTCTCGGCCATTGTGCAAAATAGTGATGCGTGCCTCGGAGAAACAGGAAGTCTTGGAGAAGGAGGGAACGGTGGAGGGGTGTCGTGGGGTAAAGAAAAGTTCAAAAAGTGATTAGATTGCGTCGAGCGCGAAGGTTGTGAATTAACGCCAACCGAGACAACCTTCAATCAGGCCTCAGGAGAAGATAAAGATTCCGGGATCAAAGCAGGATCCAAAGAGAGAAGCGCAAGATCCAAAGCGAAGCTGTAGCTGCGAAGAGCAGAAACAGAATGACGCCGAACGAGATGCGCTAGTCCAGATTGGGTCAAAGTGAAATATATGAAATGGTACTGTAACACCAGGCTGTAACAGGTAGTAAAAGCGGACAACGTGTATGTTCGGTATTGTCACAGGGACCGGCGTTCTCCCCGCCTTGGCCATTGAGATCATTCCTCCTGGTTGAATGGCCTCAATAGCTCATTGTACACTGTCTCATTAGAGAGAATAGCTCTTTTGGTTGATACAAGGCCCACTGGCCCACTGCCCAGGCAACTTATAGCGTTGGTACCAGGCAGTCCCGTCTCATTGTTCGGCCTCCATTTCCGCGCTCTCCCATGCGCATCTGCCTAGGGACCTCTATCCAGCAATGGCGGCCGCAGATGTTGCTCCGCAATTCGGTGCGGAGTTGAAGGTATGGATCCCAGATAATATTAGTCGCGGGCGCATAACTAATCCAATGAACAATTAGGATTCTTTCAAACCAGTCAACAATTGGGTATGATCTCGATATCGTTTCCCCGCAACCCGACCTGTCAGACCACTTGGTACGTTTGGAGTGGAGCTAATGCAAACACGTTGCACAGGTTTCGAATGGTATATCATGGGTAGAGGAGATAAATCAATTCTACCGCGAGCGCAGTGTCATCGAGAAGGAATACGCAGCCAAATTGACGGCCCTGTGCAAGAAATACTATGACCGCAAGTCAAAGAAGATCAGCCCCTTGAGTGTCGGCGATAACCCTACCTTAACCCCTGGCTCCCTCGAAAGTGCATCACTCACTACGTGGACGACACAATTGAATGCCGTGGAAGCGCACGCCGCCGAACGAGACAGGTTTGGATCGGATTTGATCACACAGGTGGCGGATCCCTTGAAACACGCCGCCACACAATATGAAGACATTCGCAAATGTCACGTCGATTATCATGGGAAGCTAGAGAAGGAACGTGAGGCAGCGTATGGTGATCTCAAAAAGGCAAAGGGGAAATACGATGGCGCATGCCAGGAGGTTGAGTCCCGCCGAAAGAAGATGGAGTCAGCGTTCGATCACGGCAAGAGCAAAGCGCAAACGGCGTATCAGCAACAAATATTGGAGATGAACAACTACAAGGCATGACTCCTTGATTCCTACTGGACCGATTCGTCTCACGCTAACCTACAGCCAGAATCTCTATCTCATCAGCATCAATGTGACGAATAAGCTCAAAGAGAAATTCTACCATGAATATGTCCCCGAGGTCATTGATGTAAGAGATTCAGTGGCTCCGCATGATTTGAGATAACATCGGTACTGATATTCCCGGACAGGGTTTACAAAATCTCAATGAAACACGGGTTGCAAAAATGAACTCGATGTGGAGTCTCGCCGCCCAGCTTGAGAAGTCGTCTCTCTCAAATAGTACGCAACATATGGCGAATCTTCTCGTTGAGATTCCTCGCAATAATCCGCGCTTGGACTCTTTGATGTTCCTGCAGCACAATGTGACTCAGTCGCAGGAACCGGGAAACCTAGTGTTTGAACCGAGTCCAGTATGGCACGACGATGCTGCGATCGTCGTCGACGAGGCGGCCAAGGTCTTCCTCCGCAACCTCCTAGGTAAAAGCAAGGCTCAGATCCGCGAACTACGAGTCGAGTCAGACCAGAAGAAACGAGAGGTTGAAGGAAGCAAGAAAGTGCGGCAACTTATCCAGCAAGGCAAGGATAATCGAAACGAGCTAGATGTCGTGCGGTCTACGTTCTATATCCAGGAGGCTTTACACGAAGTTGACCGCAAATGGGTAACAGCAGAGGTAGAAACAGCGACTATCATGGTAGCCGCTGGAGATTTGTCTCTTGGAGCCCAGAATCACAACTTCCGCTCGCAAACGTTCAAAATTCCCACAAACTGCGATCTCTGCGGCGAGCGAATTTGGGGTTTGTCCGCTAAGGGCTTTGATTGTCGGGACTGCGGTTACACCTGTCATAGCAAATGTCAAATGAAGGTGCCTCCAGAGTGCCCGGGCGAGCAGACCAAGGAAGACAAGAAGAAACTCAAGGCCATACGACAGGAACAAGCTGGTTCCATGCCCGCTGTTGATTTTGATTCTCCCGCAGCCTCCAATGCCGCCCCGTCCCTGACCAGACAAAACACGATGACTTCTCTCAGTTCGGGATATGCGGCCAGTTCGGCTCGGTCAATATCAAACATTGCCATTCAGCCAACACCAGAAACTGCGGCAGAGGAGCCCCCGGCGCCAGCTCCAGCCCCAGTCGCGCAAACAAGGCCAGCTACCGCTGGCGCAAAGAGGCATCGGGTACTAGCACCTCCTCCCACAGCATATGTGACCGCACCTCCACCAAGCGATTCAGGCATGGGCTCCGGATCCAAAGAGCCACGGGGTAAGATGCTATATGCATATCAAGCCACCGGCCCAGATGAGGTCACCGTAGAGGACGGGGATGACGTGGTGATCGTCCAACCAGATGGTACGTGCGCCTTTTTACTTTCGAGTATCCACTCCACTGCATAAGTTACTAACAGCTGTACAGATGGTTCTGGATGGATGCGTGTGCGCGCAGGAGCCCATGAAGGACTTGTCCCAGCCACATATGTCGAAGCTGCCCCAACGCCATCTCCCATGCCGTCCGCTAGTCCTGGGATTCCTGAACGACCCGGGTCAACATACTCTAATTCATCCGCATCATTGGCAGGAAGTGCCGCAGCGAAGCGCGTCGGGCCAGCTGTGGCGCCCAGACGAGGAGCCAAGAAGGTGCAATATGTTGAGGCCTTGTACGAGTACGAAGCCCGTAGCGATATGGAGTGGAATATGGCCGAGGGTGACCGTTTTGTTTTGATCACCCGCGATAGCGGTGATGGCTGGGCCGATGTCGAACGGGGTGGTATCACAAAGAGCGTCCCAGCAAACTACATCCAGGAGGTGTAGGCTGTGATGTCCGAGCTGTATACACACTGGTCATCATACCATTTTTCACAGCAGTCAATCTCCCATCTGCTGGAGGCCTCGCATTATTTTGGCCTGGTGATTCTTGTTCATTTTTATTTACCTTGTATAGTCGGCGTTATTAGTGCCGTTCTCGTTTTTGCATCAGCAAGGAGCATTGGGGGCATTCGTGCTTATTTTCCATTCGCGAGTTTCGGATAGAGCATCGGACATGTTTCCGTGAATATTCCCAAATGAAAGCTTCGTTGTCCATTTTATGTGCTTTGTCTACACTCTTGACAAGAACCCGAACCAATTCATAATCATCAATCATCAATCATCATGCGAGTAACGGCCAGTGGGCTCGCAATCCCACCCTCCTCATGTTATTGCGATACAGGAGGATATCCCGTATCCAAATGCTCAAACCCAGTCTCCACAGACCACATATACCTAGACCAATCCTCGACATGAAACATCTCCTCCACAGGTAACTCCAAATCCAAATTCAGGTCCACATCATCCAAATACCCCAAACCCGCATCCAGATCCAGCGAAGTATCCAGCGGGAATTCAAACGGATTCCCACCTTCCAGCGGACTGACCATCGGCAAAGTCTGCGCCATCTGCTCCGAACTCGACGGAAGAAGCGAGTAAGCCGGATCGAACAACGCCGCCGCTGCAGCCGCCGCATCAGCCTCCGACACAACAGGATACTCATACAGCGATTCCGGTGCGGATCTCGAATCCGAATCCCGCACCACACTCAACGTCTGATTCGACGCCCGTCTCGCCGTGAGAGAAGCCGACTCCTCCGACCCCGACCACTCCCCCCGGCATCAGGGTAAGGCGTCTTCCCCGAGGAAGCGGACGAGATCGACCGCGACGGTCTCGGCGACGCAGTCGAGTGTCCGGACTTCGACGCGGAGCCAGACTTGGCCTTCGCGGCCCCACTGGGCCCGGACACCGACGAGCTCGGTGTGGGACGGGGTGCTATGGGCAGGAAACCGTTTGGGTTATGATGACGTGGATAGAGTCTTCCGTGGCTCGATTTCTAGAACAAGAGACCAAAAAAGCAATCAGCACCATGGCTTTTGCAGGTATTCATGTTTTCTTCCCTGTGGTGCCGATATGGCCGTGATTGCGTGTTTGCGTTACTTTTGGACATTTGAGCTCTGCTTCGCGCTTTGCGCGTGCGTGCTCGATTGGAGCAGTGCAGGGCGTTGCATTGCACATTGTGCATAGTGCGAAAGGGCGGCCTTTGCGCTTGATTTGGATCAATGGTCGATCTGGCGGGGGGCTTTGGTTAGTATTGATTCGGGAGTATCGGGGGATTGGGGGTGACAGGAACAAGAAAGGACACGAGGATAGAGATATTCTGTTACTCACCATGGTGTTTGCAGCTGGTCACACGGTGGCCTCGTATACAAGCTTCACAAGCCCACTTTTGGCCGTCGATGAGCATTCCTCAAGATGAGAGCACATCCTGAGTTACGGATGGGGTCAGGCTTTATACGTAGCAGAGAGGGGGGCCGTTGAGACCTCGGGAAGAGCAGGACATACATGACACAGGATCTAGTTCTTTTTTTCTCTCTTTCTCTTGCTTATTCCGTGGTTATTGTCGTGCGAAACCAATCCCCCGTATGATTCGACTCACAGCCACAGGATCGACCTGGTGCTTTCGGAAAGTTTCGTACTTTGGATTTGATTTATTTCTTTCCGTTGATTCTCGTCTCCGTGACTGCGTGGATCGTGGTTACATGTGGCTAGTATAGGTACTTTTGGCGTGTGGGGTTGAGGTCGCAACAGAAGACATTCATCGGAAGTGTCTGATCGTGCATCTGGCAAGTCGCTAGTCCCGAGAGGGGAGAATGGCGTCTATGAGGGATTTTTGTCCGTTCAGATTTCTCCCTTCGCTTTTCAGAAATCCAGGGAAAATACTACTTCGGCATCGGGGATCTTGACAAATGCCTCATACATTGTCGACTTTTCCTGAGCTTCCATACAAGATGGCCCCCCTGGGTACTGGCCCGGAACAAGCACACCAGAGCCGAGACGCCTATCACTCGGCAATGGAAGCTCGTTCCACCATGAGGCTGGTAAATACGTGCACGGCTCATATCGCAGGCGCCAAGACGATGCAGCAATGACAGCATCTGGAGGTGGCTGTGCAAGAGCTTCGCTTAGATGTCTCACCGTATGTTGCACTCCCTTCTCGCTATGTCATATACCTAGATACCTAGATACCTAGATACTGAGGACGGAGTACAGAGTATAGAGATCATTTCAACGTTTATACTTATCAGTTTTTCTCCGACATCCCTCGGACCAAAAGTGAAGCATTAAACAAATTGAAGCTCCCCCAACCCCGGCCTCATTGCCTCCTAGTAATTGGCTAAAAGTAAGCGTGGAAACCCCGAGGCAATAGCGGGATCGCAGTATGCGCTATTTATATAAACCTGAGGCATTTTTCCTTCCCAATTATCTTCTCTTCAAAGGATTCATGAGGATTCGATCCGGTCACACGGGATGAAGCGCTCAAATCTGGTTTCTCGTCTTCGTCCCTGCAAGCATCGTCCATTCTATTGTCTTTTTGTGAGGATTTGATTATTCTTCGTCTTTATTGGGCCTCTCGGATTCGTGCGTCGAAAGATAAGACGTCCCGGGTTCTCGTCAATTGCAGGACGATCGAAGAATTTGGATGCGCTGTTGAGTAAGAATTACTCTCCTCTTCTTCCAATCCAAGGACCAATTGAATATCCCCATATCCCACCGCTGATAGTGCGTTCGGGCGACGAGATCCCATTTCAAGAGAGAAGCTCAAACGTCCCAACTAAGTCAGCGTGGTTCGGATGCTGTCGTCCTCGCCCGTATAGTATTTAATATTCGAAATCCACCTCCCTGCATGTCGAAGATATCAACCCAACCATCATCCGGGAACTAGGCTGTCGAGAGAAAAAAAAGAAGTCCAGAGATCGAGGTGCGGCCACGACTATTTATACCCTTATCCCAGCACACTGAAACAAGCAAATCTCTGGACGTCTAGATGTCCAGGAGGAATTAAAATCCACGGACAGCAAGGGCATCCCGTTCGCTGAGTTATATAGCTCATGCTACTATCCGATCTGAGATTGGATGTGACGAATGGGAATTCCCTCAGGTCTTTTTGTTTCACAGCATATTTACGAGGACGTGATTGCACGAGAAGTAAGTCAGCATTCGGATTCGTGCTGAGTGTGATTGGTGAGTGTATATTTCATGTGAAATTGAGATTGCAGTGTCCTGCGTCTCACGGTTACAAGGAGTGGGAACAGCATCGAGTCTGTCAAGGTTGAGTATTACCTTCCATGTCCCGAAGGATCTTGGTCATAGGCGTTGACAGATGAGAGGCAAGGGACAGGTCAGAAGCAAGAGCTCGACCTCTCTTGGGGAGGGGAGTATGGAAACCTGGAGAGGAATGAAACACCGGGCATTGTTGACCTGTCCAAAAGAGAAAATTGGCTCCTCTATAGGAGGCCTGAAAGAGGTCTGAATGCGCATACTTTGAGTGGACCTTGAGAGTCATGGACCCAGGAGATACTCGAGGATCCCTGCGTGGCCTTAGGGTGGATCAAATGTAATACTTTCCGACTCCCGAGGTCCTGTATTGATTATGCGAGTCCTGATCCGAGGGGTTGGCGGTCCTGATGTGACTGGTTCGTGGATTTGCACCTATTTTCTTCTTCTTTGTAGTACTATAGCCCAATGCGTGCCGAGTACCTAGATAGTTCATGCGAGGGATTTCCTACAGAGAGCTCATTGGTTTTAGAGAATGTGACACCTAGCTGTGCCAAGATGTGTCTTAATTCCGCTAAGCTTCGACTAAAAAGTGCTTCGATTCTATCGTCACACTGCCAATGTACACTTTGAACTGATCTTCTCATTCAAACCTCCAAGCGCCATAAACAAAATGCTCCCAATGCCACTTATGCTGATACAGGAGACTGGACCCACTGTCTCGTCTCAGGGTCCAGACAGTCCCTCTGAGCCTCTTCCCACTCCTTCGTCACCAGATCCGCCCGTGCCTGCGATCGCGGCGTAATCTTCGCCGGGAACTCTTCAGGCATACACACGAAGCCCTGTGTCAAGCGGTCCGCATCCGGCAGAATCGGACGGCCGTTGGCATCGCTCTCCGGTGTGATATCAAATGCCCACAGAATGCGAGACATACCCAGGAACAGACTGCGCTCGGCAACGTGGATACCGGGACAAATACGACGACCCGCGCCGAAAGTAAAGACATCACGCTGTGAGGCATCGGGGTTGGCCGCCGCATCGCCGAAGCTCTGGCGGTCGTTCTGGTACCGATCGGGGTTGAAGGTTCGGGGGTTGGGGTGGCGAGCGGGGTCCATGTGGATTGCCCAGACGTTGTTCATAACACCAGCGCCCTTGGGAATGAGGTAGCCCTTGTACTCGTCGTCTTGGGTGACGGCGTGGGGGACGGCGCCGAGGATGGTGGTCGGCATCCAGCGGGCACTTTCCTTCATGCAGGAGCGAATGTATTGCAGATCGGCCAGATCTTCCATGACGGGGAGACGGTTGGGTCCGACGACCCGTTCAATTTCTTCTTGGGCTTTGCGTTGGACGTCGGGGTAGAGGAGCATGGCTTGGACGAAGGCGTAGAGGGTGCTTGAGGTGGTGTCGGAGCCGGCTTCGAGTAGAGTACCGGAGATGTAGGCGGCTTGGTCGTCGCTGAAGCCTTCCAGCTTTTGGGCTTTATACATTCCAGCGCTGAAGCAGGGCGTGATTCTGTTTTCGCGGGTCTCTTCCTTGGCGCGGAGCCAGTGGCTGAGGTAGAGTGCTTTTTCCTTCTTGTGGAGCTCTTTGGCCTTTTTCTGTGCGGGGAGGAGGAAGTCGGGGAGGTTTCGGAGCCATGGGAAGAAATCGATGATTGCCGCTGTGCCGGCTTGGTTGAGGTCTGCGAATTCAGAGAAGCCGTCGAATAATTGCATCATCTTTTCGTCTTCGTATGTGGGTGTGCGCCAGCCAAAGACCATAGTGGTTGTGAGGGCGTTGGAGTATCGGCGGATGTGCTTCAAGAACCCTTCTGGCTCAGTCAGGAACTGATGCAGCATCTGCCGGTTCTCCAGCATCTGGTAGGGGATGTATTTCTTGGACGTGGTCACGTTGAGCAAGCCATGCACCATTTTGCGGAACTAAAATCATGTTAGTACAGATCTTGCAGTAAACCATGAGATATACTTACTCCGCGCCATGTTGGTCCGTAGCCCTAAAGATGAACGTGTTAGCAGTGGGACACCTCTCATCATCTTTTTTCTTTTAGTGTGAATGGCTTACCATCATCAGCATTCTGAGGTCACCACTGCACAAAGTCTGGCCAATGTACAATTCGGGCCGGTGCGAGTAGATACCACTTCGCTTATCGAGAAGCTCCTTGACAGCCTCATCACTGGACAGTACAATCATACACTTGGTGCCCAGCATCAAACTGTAGACTGGACCGTACTCACGAGCCCATTTCTCGAACTGAAGATGGGCATCTTGAGCGGGCATCTATCGAAGATCCGTTAGTCCGTATACTTCTTTATTTAGGGCCATCCTCTTCACATACCTGATGAAGATTTCCCAAGATGGGTAACGTTGGAGGTCCAGGGGGATAATTCTTCGGCCTACGCCCAATCCGCAGGACACGCGAAAGAACCAGGACAGCAATAGCTGCCCCTAAGATCGCTGTAATCGGCAACATGTTGAAAGGACTCGGCGCCTCGATTTAAGTTCAATTGAACAATTCCAGCTCCCACAAAAAGACCGGGAGAGGCTTGAATCTGCAATCCCTGTAATCTCCGGGGCAGTCCCCCGGATATAAATACTCCGAGTCCGTCACCGTACTTCTGTATCGCGTACCTCAACCCCAGAATCCTTGTTGATCGCGGAGGTCGGAGTGGGATGGGTATAGTTCACGGATGCGGAGGTGGGCGCCGGAGCTGATGTGGGGGAATTTCCTCGCCCAATGCTTGGTCTTCGCCGTTTTTTCGGCAGATGGAGCAGCGGTTCCCTATCTACACAATAATTGTGAATCGAATTCGTCTTCCGAAAGGAATTCGGCAGAAACTGCAACGGATGTTCGGACCAATTCCCCACTATGGAGGGCGGTACGGGGTGCCCATGGGGCCTATCCGCGGACAGCCATTGCCAATTGTCCTGGAGAGAGGATATCGTCGGGTGTGGCAGGGTGTAGCGAGATTTCCCATTTCGGACGCCATGTGACAGGCTCGGCACGTGGATTGGCGCTGCACGGTGCCTGCAGGAACGTGGCTGGCCAATAGGAGTGGCTCGGGCCAGAGGATCACTGCAGAACGCCTTGGGGAAATCTCGGCCGATTGCCACATCTACAAAACATCCACGGTAACACTTTCCGAGTAACTCTAGATCCATAGATCCTTCTAGTGCAGGAGGAATTGTTCGCCACGATCTCATCTCTGGGCCCAACTCAAAAGTTCAACGATCCCTGATCTATAATCAAGTGGCCAAAAGCACGCTTATAAATTCCGTCGGACCGATATATACGGGCGCCGAAGTGTGCCGCCTGTGCAGAACCCTCTGATTGGATCATCTTGCCAGGCAGTACTTTAGTCATCCAAGGTCAAATGGATGCCTCATTTTGCATGGTTTATGCCTAAATATGCCTGAAGATGCCTGAAGATGCCTGAAGATGCCTGAATTTCGACTCGCATAAACCAAGATACCTGAATCACCATGACAGAGGGCTCAATAAGCAAAGTATCCAAGTTCAAAAAGATGAAGCTATTCCCAGTATACAAATGCCCGCATATACCTATTTCCTAGCGATAAAGCCTTTTCACTACGTAATCGTCCCCCACTCTTCTCCTCTATCTTCTCCTCTCCTCCTATAAGGTCGTGACACAAGGCGTCTCCTTATTGTGAGGGATTCAACAATGAGGCTATACGTAACGCGTAGACTACTTAGTATATATAACATTTAGAGACGCGCCACTTTGGAAAAGAGAGATAATCTTATCTTTATAGGCTTTGAGATTAATGCTCAGTCGCACCATTATAGTGCGTGTTGGTATATAAATGTAAGAGAGATTCAAACTGTATAGGCTTCGAAAAAGCAGTGAAAGAGATTATGAACAGGCAGCACACTTCGTCGCCCGTAGTCTAAGCCAGTCATGCGACAGAACCTAACAGACCCTCGCAATGACACTGAAAATAGAGACGCAATATGTCAAGGGGTACAGAAGGTACAGAATAGCTGTTTCTCGCGGAGTTTAGCAACACGAGTACCCTAAGCCCGAGAATCGAGATACCCAATAGCTGCATATTTAAAATTCCGAGCACGATCTAAAGGCAATTGGACACAAGGAACTAGTCCACGCGCATCCGCGATAGATCCCTTTCACCCCCTGATCCACATATATCAATCTAAACAATCCTATCGCCTCCCAAACGAGCCTGACAGGGATGCTAGATGTGTAGAATGAATCGTTAGTGTCGAGGAACGGCCAGCTCCGTTCAGCAATGGCAACTAGGTACGTAATCGCCCAGGAGAGCGTGTCCAACTCGATATACCTGAAGCTAAAGTCCATCTACCTACTATGTTGTAGGAGCACAAAACCGGAAGTGTAACAGACCACTTCCCCTTCCCGGATAGGAGCACAAGCTATTCATGGACGCGTCTACAACTGACTCCTCTCATTATATCTGGCATTTAACCATAATTCTCTCAAGCAAGCCTGGGCATAGACACCATAAACGAATCAGAACATCTCAAATCGAACTCCCATGCCCTAAATTGCTCGCCAAGATCGCTTCGCCACAGTCCACGTTATCCTCCGACAAGCGCCAAGAGGTCCTCCGCAGCGCTGTATCTATCGCCAGATCTACGAGCAATACAAGCTATAGCGAGTCAGGAAACACGCTCACGTTTAGAGCAAACTGAAAAATGACATATATAATGCCATAAGCGCGTGGTTTATTTCCGTATATTCAAAGGACATTGCTTACAGTACACGCTTGCGGATTGCAAGACTGGGCAATCTCCGAAGCATAGATCCTCGCACGGAATTCAGAATGCCCTTTCGATCGATATGGACGGCGTTTGTTGTTCTTCTCTTCGCCATTCAGACGATGTGTGCGGTTATCGAAATTCGAGCAGTGGAAAACACCATCGAAGCTACGGCGATGACGATGACACAATCACCACCGATTCACGATGCAGCATTAGCTCCTGATCCCCCAGGACTCGAACACGAAGGTCGTGCGATATATGACCTTCGCGGCTCAACCATCGACTGGAGAGAAGATGGGATCCACAGACAAGAATCAGGACGCGAGGCAGGATTTCTTCCAGAATCCTATGATGAGTGAGTGAACCATTCATCCATCCTCAATCATCCATTAACAATGTCCCAGTGTCTACCCCTCAAGTCCCTGGACGTTAATCCGAATCTGTATCATTTCCTCAATAGCGATATGCATCCTCAAGATAGCCCACGAGCTGAGGAAATAAATACCCGATATATCCGATGTCCATCCAAGACCATTTTGTATTTGATAGAGTGCTGTTTCAAATCTGGAATGCCTGGAATCCCATAATCAGGTCATTAACCTGTTGCATACTGGTCTGATCATACTGATCCAAGATCGGATCCAGTGCACCCTCGCCCAGCGGCTCGATATGACTTTCTGGCTGCGACGCGCCGAGTCCCGTCAGTCGATCGGCCATCAAGTTTGCGAGAAGCCAGTACTCGGGCGCGAAGCGGGAGAATCCCATCCTTCGCCACAGATCCTCGGGGTGGACGAGCGAGTCGTCGATTGTGATGTGCGGCATTACTCCTTGGGGGGCTGCTGAGGAGTAGCATTGCCAGGTCTCGCGCCAGTGGGAGAGGGCGTTGCGGATTGGGGCACGGAGTTGGAAACCGCCTACTACGCTGCGGAATTGGAAGATTTGGCAATGGAGTGCTGTTGAAGTTAGTCGGGGCATTGATCATGCGGGATTGGTTGGTTGCTTGCCGGATGTTAATGAGAAGAGGTTGAGGGGGCCGAGGGTAGCGAGGAGTTGGCGTATGTTGATGTCGAGTTCGTCTTTGCATAGTGATTCGAATGATCCTCGGAAGGAGGTCGTCCAGTAAAGGCTTCTTGGGGGGAGGAAGAGTTGGAGTTGCTGGTGGCATTGGTCTGCTGTTGTTGCTTGGAAGCAGGCTTCTGGTGTGGCCATGTGCATCCTCATTTCTTTGATGACCATTCGTGGAGGGAGATTGTTGAAAATGACAAATGCCGAGTCGAGGAGGAAGATCCAGGTAAACAAACTGTATGATGCATTAGTTTTCATTCCTCGGGCGCGGCAATGGGACTCACCGGATCAGCTCCTCCCTGGCTGCATATTCCTTCCATTCAAACTCGTGTCGGCCTTGTTCGCTATAATGCAAATGTCTGGCCGCAGTGATGCCAATATCACGAGCGGTCTGTCGCAGGTTAATAAATTGCCGAAAAACAGGTTGGAAGCGTGTACTTACAGATACTAAGGTGGCGAAACGATAGCGTCGCATACGGCTCTTGCTCGCATCGGAACCCTCCCAGTTTTGATAGAGACAGACTATGTAGGCAGCCTGCACAGCCTGAATCTTGCGTCGCTGAATCGCCATACTGCCGGAAGACCGGTAGGTTAAATCGCTGTTGAAATCGTCGTCTATGTAGACCATCTCCTCCACGCAGTTGAACCAGGTGCGTGCATCTTCGTTGTCGGGCATATCAGGAGAAAGACAGGCACCTTCCAAGAGATTAGCATCACTTCCACCAACAATTGTAGTAGATATGACTCACCAATCAACGCCATGGCAGCTAGGAGTGTTGGTTTCGCCGCCAGCATGTCGAATGTCGGTCGATGTACAAAGTTGACATTGGGATGCCATAATGCCCAATATAACCCCAGAAATCTTCTAATATTTGTAGGGGAGAAAAATTGCAAACATGCATCTCTGAGTGGGGGTGACCAGTCCAGAGTGACCGAACTGTTGCGCGGTTTGATGGTGACCACCTCTTCAATCAAGAGAAGAATTTCATGTGTTTTTAATGAAAGTGGGTCATTGAACCAATCCAGGGGGAACTCGCTGACTGAACTCGTATCACTCATACTCTCCAACAACAGAGGAGGTGAGATCTCCATGGTTGGAACTGGAACCGCCGTAAGACTTTGTGATAGAGCTGCGATTTGCCGGTCTATGCTGGCAGCCACACGTTCCCTTTGCTCATGGGTACCGCAATCAAAGCTCGACACTAATCCCGTATTGCTGGTGAATTTACCCAGAAAATTGAGCGATTTCCGGGAGCCTTCTGTGGGAACCGGCGTTTCGAAGTTCGCCGGTGTCTCTGCAGCCAATGGCGAGAAATCAGGCCAGCCTGGAACGGGATATTGAATAAAAGCCGGGTCGAAGAAGGTATCCACCGGACTGCTGCTGAAATTCTGCAAGTCCTCCATAGTGAACCCCCATGGCATCATCGGTACGGGTGTTGGACCCGTGAGTTGAGTACCCGGTTCTTGTTCTTTTGGGATCGCCTTGGCCAAGCCCTGGGTCGATCGTGAAGACCCCATCTCTGCGGAATACCAACATTGCGCTCCTTTCTTGGCACAACTGTTGCAGGGTTGATGCGAGCTGCAGGCCTTTTTCTGACGGACACAGCGATCGCAGGCCCGTCTTCGGGTGCTCGCTCTTGAGATGCCGCCATCACAAGTACGTAGGTGTCGCTTCAGGACATCCGCCCGCTGGAAGGCCCCATCGCACGAGGTGCATTGAAAAGGCCGTTGTGAGGTGTGGGAACTGATGTGGCGGAACAGGTGTTCTCGTCGCTTGTATCGCTTAGAACATAATGAACATTCATATTTGGAGGATTCTGACGTCTCAGAACCATCTGTCGGCAAGGAGTCGGTCATTTTGACTGGGGAAAATATATTCGGGTCCAAGTCCGGGGGCGTTGAAAGATTTGCGGGGAGTGGTGGAGCCACTCAGAGTTCGGACGCGGGTGTCGTGTCGGTAAATGCGCTTTGGCTCTGATGGCTCATTTTACTTGTTTCGGATTCTGCTATATTTGGCGATTTCTACTCCGGACCCCTTCCGGAATACGAGGAACTCCATATTGAAGAACCCGTTTCCGTGTCTGGCTCATTGACCTGGGTTGTGTGTGGAAATCTGGATTTATGGACGTCCCCGTTGCAAATGAGCTGTCAACTTCAACGTGCACCTGTGCGGCATCAATAAAATCGGATTCTGCATGTGCATGAAACATCATTCGAGTTGCAGACGAGGTCAACAAGCAGGAATACGATTCTGCGCTATGCTCTGATCTCGTGGCAATCACCCGAGGCTGGCCAGCCAATGACACGTCCTGATCCCCTGCATCCAACCCGTCGACTAGACCCTGCATGGCAATAACGGTGATCGTGATATGTCACCCCTGGCCTATAGCAGTTGGGAATTGACTAATTCCCCTCAGCCTATTACAGGAATTCTCTTCAATCTCTTTCTGTAATTCTCTCGGTGCGGAGGACTCGGGATGGAGAAAAAAGGAAAAAAAAAAAAAAAAAAAAAAAAAAGCAAACCCACACAAAAAGACACGAAAACCAAGACAAGGCTCGGAAGACTAGAGTAAAGACCCTCTAGCGTCGAGATATGTATCAGGCAACCAAAAAGCAATACGACTATCTAAAACATACCTAATACCTAGGTACACGACATCATGCCCAAACTCCATAGATTGGAAGATCAGGAATCAATACTCCGTCCCAAAGCCCGCGTTGCATATTTCAAATAGCCGCGGAACAACGGGATCTTCACGGGTCGGCCCTCTGGCGATGCACGAAAGTCGTAGATTTCCTAACGTGGGCAATAGGCTCTCTAGCAGGGTGCCTCTATACAGACCCCCCCTCTCCCTCAATCCACCCCCCTTTACACCACTTCCACCCCCCTTATCTCAACACGGTTAGCAGATTACCATAAGAGGAATCTCATCATTTGTATACAGATAAAGCTTAGCGCCAGGGCTATATTATTGACGCTAGTATTTCTTGGCGTATGAGTGTAGTATCATATGGTATAGTGCACACCAATCAGCTGAATATCTTCCTATGTGGTTATGTGACCTCAAGATAGATGCTGATTTTCAAAGACACCGGTAATAGACTATTTGGCTCCCATCTCGCTACCCTAATATCTGTCGATCTTATATATCAAAACCCTCATTTTTCAATTAAATATATTAGAATCTCTACGTAGAGGTAAACCCACCTAGAATACCGTAGTACAGCTGATTGGTGTGCACTATACCATATGATACTACACTTATACGCCAAGAAATACTAGCGTCAATAATATAGCCCTGGCGCTAAGCTTTATCTGTATACAAATGATGAGATTCCTCTTATGGTAATCTGCTAACCGTATTGAGATAAGGGGGGTGGAAGTGGTGTAAAGGGGGGTGGATCGAGGGAGAGGGGGGGTCTGTATAGAGCCAGCCCTCTAGCAAACAAGGTTCAAATCCCGGCCGTGCGACCTTGGAGTCAACTAGACAAGGTTGTATCACCCCTGAAAGTCTGTATCACATAGTGCTGCAGCCATCTCGTGCCTGGATTTCGACGGCCATTGATATGATATTGTCTGTGCATACGCATCCTGTCATTCATGCTATCAATTACCCAACCGATATCAACGGAAGGGGAATAAATGCCGTAATTAGGCGCGTGAAGTGCCGTCGATCGTTGCTTCACCGGGAGTGGGATGGTGTAGACTCTTGAGGGGATCGGCGATGCCAGGGCTAAATGCAAGTGATGGGGTTGGACGTGTTGGCGCCCTAGGCGGTACAAGACAAATTGGTGATCCCTGACCCCTTCCCCTGGGTCGACAACGGGGACCAGGATCTGCTACCGTAGGATTGGGACATGAGGCTATCGTTCGAGAAAAAGCAAATATACTAATGTCGTCATTGAGTGAAACATCTCGATCATCTGGTGACTTTCTCCTGTGGATAAGGAGTTTGCGGTGATTTGCTGTTCACTGCTGAAGAGTGGAGATTGTGGTGCTTGGAACGACGAAGAATTTGATTTGGCGGGAAAAGTCCTGACCGCTTCGGGGCTCGGGCTTCTCGGGATTCTCGGGGAAGAGGAAGGTACAACTAAAAGGTGGACAGTAATGAGTCCTTTATTTTTTTCTGTTTTTCGATGTAGACAAGTCTGTCTCTATACACATCATAGACATAGAAGATTGGTGAAGTGATAAAACATGAATGGAAATAATGTACCCCCAGAAATCCGGCCGGGGTGCCGTGTGCCAAAGAACTCCTCGCTGCAAAGACGCTTGTTCGAGATCCCAAAAATATACATATGGTCAAAAAAGAAAAATGAAGATCAAGATCAAGATCCGACAAAAGAAATGAAACTAGAGGAGTATTCCAGCTTTGTGGAGCCTTGAGGGCGAAGATCCAAAGAATTGAAAGAATAGCCTTGAGGAAGGTAATAAGAAATGAGAAGTGAATCGCTGAGTGGTATGCGTATGCTGTTGAAAGAGAAAAATGAAAGGTGCTGTTCAAGCAGTGGCTCGAGATCCTCGACGAGACTTTAAATCGTCTCGGCTGAGGAGTCGGCGAAGTTTAGAAACGAATCGGCATGACCGGGCATCTGTTGCAATGTCAGTATGCGACCAGATCACCAGAAAACGAGGTTGAGCTTACCACTGGTCCGTCGTGTAGATGCTAATGGAGTCTCGCGAGGCTGTGTAGTGTAGGCCGCAGCCCAATATCCCGTGTCTCGGTAGCCGGTGAAGGTGCAGCTGCTCGGGTCGTACTGTGGCTGTAGGGCCGCGACATGCGGGTAGAGCGTTGCCAACGGCGAAAGAAGTTCATCGGGCAGTGGTGACCGTCTGCTGTCAATGCTTCCTCGAGACTATCAGATGAGTTAGAATCATGAGCCGGAAGTCGAGGAGATGGTTACTCACGTAGAGTTCATAGTTGGTCTTGTAACTCATGATGACGTGTGGGGGGGGTTGGAGCGTAAGTTTAGGTTATCACACTGATACTTGGGCAGTGGTCGATGCAAGGTGGCGAGGGTTGGATCAAGAAGCTTTAGGAAAGTATGCAGTTGAGTGTTTGCGATGCAGATTAAACGAGAAGCCCGGCTGGATTTAAATGAATCCACGAAATGAGTACCCCTCAGCCGCAGCAATTTGGAAGCGGGGAGATCAGACGTCAAATTGATCCTCCAGTAGTCTAAGTCGCTTGTTTTCATCGACAGGTTTGATCTTGATGCACCCAGCTAGTTGGATATGATCGTGGGGCGCTCGTCATTGGGGGGAAAAGTGCCTGAGCGCCAGGGCCGATCCAGGCGATCGGAGCACCCGATGTGGGCAAGACTCTAAATACGAGGATCAAATAGATTAACTTTGGGCTTGGGGAGTCTTGTCTCTTGTCTGTATGTTTTTTGGAAATGCGCGCTGCAGGATCCCTGCAGACACCCACGAATCCTGCCATCTCGTTCTACTCCCCCCTTGCATCCTGGTACAACCACGTTTTTATTTTATTTTATTTTTATTTTATTTTTATATTGCTTTTTATTGCTTTTTTATTTCTTTTTTATTTCTTTTTGTTTTCCTTGGACCGTCCCATGTACTCCCTAGGTACCTCCTCCATCCTGCGTACTCCATCCCCCGTCCTCCGTACAGCAGAGAAGAAACAGCGCAGATCCCTCCCAGACTATGATGTGATACGAGATCCACCGCCGAACACATCCGGGATCCCAGACAGTCTACGTAACCCGGCCAAGAACTATCGAGATGTTAAATCATTATCGGGACCGCGGTGGAGTTTCAAGTGTCAAACAATCTTGCACGGGTTATGACTAGCGATCTCATAAGCGAGTCGAAGGAGGATCCGCTAATAAACATAGGAAAAGCCCAGATCTCTTCTGATCTCCCGCTAGCCAAAAGAAAAAGGCTTCCAAATCATTTCGAGGTCATCTACTCTGTAGGGCGAGAGACTCCGTAGTAAGCGAGACTAGACCCGAACTATTGAACTATTGATACACTAAACCGCCTCGATCGACCCTGGAGACTGCTTCTTTGAGCCTAGTGGACACTGGCATGCTCACAGCCACACACCCCTTGCTATTTGAGGATAAGCGCACGAGCCACAACCTCGGTCTTACCGTGGCTCACCGTGGCTAGTACAGCATCTGTGGCTCAAGCTTGATTTTCGTTCGATAGCTTCTCAGATCCACCCTGTCTGAACCTCCGAAGACCGAACTAGTCCGTCCCTTGATCTTCATTGATTTACAAATGAATTTTGGGAAAGGCCCTCGATGGCTCGGTCTTCCCCGTCCGCGCTGGAGGGTCGCGGAGCTATAAGGCATTCGCCTCCCCCGGAATCACAGGCCATTCCAACTCAGCTCTAAATCTACTCCAAGCTTGTCTAGTTTGGGACTATCTTTACTTTGGATTCCTATCAACTACGTATGTCGACTGTCGACCATGTCACTCAGCATGCAGGGTTCCGGAGGAGAGTACTGGGAAAACTCTCAGCGTATGGAAGTGCGCGATCCGTGTTCTCGCGAGCATTCCGCTCAAAGTAAGTTACTTCTTCCCTCTTTGTTCCGGCCTTATAGTACCGGTTGCACAATGGGCATTATTCTGAGACCTTTTGTTTTCGTTTCAGCATCCGTCGAACGAGGCGCTGAACGCATCTCGGATAGGCGCGAACGTTCTTATCAGGGAACCACCTGCCCGGATGTCCAGTCGATATTAAGTGATGTTGAGTTTGGTCGTGTGGATCCCACGGGCTGGTTCCCACATTATAAGAATTGTGTCCAGCACTTTGTCGACTACAGCCAGCACACACCCCAAGTGCAGTCCATTGCTGCGTTCATCAATATCCGACTACCCTGCCAGAAACCCGAGCTCGGCGCACATATCTCTGGTCCGACAGCATCCGATTTTGTTTCGCTTCGGCCTTATATCCGACGCCTCATCGTTACGGCACAGGATTCCCCAGCTGTGATGCATAGCTTTTTCGGTGGGAGCTGGGAGGCTGGCGTGGGCTGTATCTACAAGCAAGAAAGATTTAACTATCTGTTCACGGCTAAGAGCAGTGGATGGAGGGACACCAAGGCTGCCTACGACATGGCCACCGACGAACAGACTCCCTTCCTGAGGCCGCTGCGGGATCCTTCCGAGGAGGAAATTCGAATCGCCGAGGGGCGATGGAGTGAATGGCTGGCGATGGAGGATTGGATGATTGGAGCGCGCAGTCCCTGGTAGGACGCCGCAGTGATGAGACACGATTTTTATTTCTCTTTTGTTCTCTTTGTCATTTGCGAAAAATAGTATTTAGTGGTATTGAAGTGGAGTGTTTAATGTCAAGACGTTCGCTTATTGGTCTTTTTGCCCATGTGCCCTAGGAAATTATTTCCCGAACTAAGCTCGCAAGAGCCAAAGAAATTCAAGGAACAAAGGATTTGACAAAGTTGACGGAGATCGACGGGCCCATCCAAATCGATAGTCTTGCACCGCCACACGCACAGACCAGGCCCTAACCTACCCCGAGTGCATGGTATTGTAAGTATTGTATTTAATTCCAGTCCATACAATGGGATTGTGAGACCCGGAGCCCCCAATGCACTTAAGCTGTACTGGGATTACACCCGCTAATGCACTCAAGCGGACCCAAATCTCATCGGAGCATGCGGGTACAGTTCCCTAAGGTACAGTGACAAATACTTGGGCGAGATGCTTCAAAATTGTCATTTCCATATAGTGCCGATGAAGCAATGGAACCCCCTGACCCCAACACCTAACTTGTTTGAGCTAAGCACGAGTTCTCCGGGACATGTTGAAACTTCCAAGGCGGGGTATGTGCATGGATTATGAATCTCTGAGTCACAGTTCGTGTTAACCTGTCGATTTCAAGAACAAATTGCCGCTCAATAGTCTCATTCACAGGATTGTGACCAGTTTGCTTCGTCCGAAATACAAATCTTCGCACAGTGGTACCCTAAGATCAACGCCCGCCAAACCAGGTACCCGGGACCCGAACAAATCCACGATCACGATGGCATCGGAGATATGCATCTACGAGCACGATCCAGACACTATTCTCCCGACCCTCGTATCTGAACTGCCCTATTCCACAAGTCTCCTCCGACGAATCCAGCACGGCATCGCCTATCCATTCAAGACCGCCCGCATCCTATCAACTTTCCCGCCCGGCTTAACCCCTGACTCTCGACAGCCATGGCTGGCTGCACGGGTGGATCTGTTTCGTGGCCGTGAAACACAGATCTTTCTGTACTCCAGCCTCGAAGCGGAGCACACGTCAAACCAGCCGATCGCCCCTGTCAGTGATAGTCTCGGGGCTAACCCGGGGTCGCAGACATTAGTGGACACAACATCCAATAATAACACCAATGACAGCCAGCATCCCACTATCTCCTTAATTTGTACCCTGGTCGCCAGCCAACCCGTCCAGGACCTGGCCCGCGCGCAACTATTGGCTCTCCTGTCTTATGTCAAAATCAACTTGCTGCCACCCTACCTGTCATCCTTGGCGAAACTGCCTGAAGCCACATCTATAGCTGGAAATAGGTTACTACCGTCTATTCCCGGCAAAAGGGATGTCCCCCTGATCCCTGCCCCAGACCCACAGGCTTTTCTCATCGGCAGCCTTCATACAGGTCTATTTTCGCTCCTTCAGCGATCGGGCGCTTACACTGCATCGGACCCGGTACCCAATATTCGGGTCCATCGCTTCGACGATCCGCCTTATCTCAAGTACTTTTTTCGCAGATCGCACTTCAGCCCCGAGGAAGAGTCTGGAAAGTTCGTAGATCACCCATCAGTCGATCTATCGCTCCCGCCTGGATACAGGTTCCATGACCGGGCCGGGAGAGAGGGCGTTCTAGACGAGCATCTGGATCTTGTGCAAAGTCGGACCCACATCCCTAGATCGAGATCGCAGTTGTCCATGATGCCGGGTATGGCAGTCTACGTGAATGATCCGGGAGATTCCGATGAAATGCCTATTGCCTGGGGATTTTTGGGATTGGACGGGGCGCTGGCGACGTTGCATGTAGAGCCGGAGCATCGGGGTCGGGGGCTAGCGGTTCCCTTATCTAAGGCTATTATGCGTCGTGGGATGGCAGTGGATGGTGTTTTTGGAGCTGGCAGCGTCAATGTCGAGGACAGTCAGGCCCGAGAGCGTGTGGGCAATTGGGCTCATACTGATGTTGCTAATTATAATAAAGCGAGCCGGAGGGTGATGGAGAAGATTGGGGGTCAGGTTTTGACAACTGTTACATGGGCTGTTCTAGAGCTGTTGGATTGAGAGCTCCTTCCCCATCACCGTGGAATAGCCATACTCGATATTCCCTTACATGGCACATGAAGATGTATATCGACTTTTCAAATGTAGCATGATGTCATTGATTAGAAAAGGAGAAGCTTCAGTGAACTAAATTAACTTTTAAATTTATGATCTATATATATATAAAACCGGTCCCCCCTTGCTATTATGTAGAGAGCTGCAGAACCGGTGTTCATGCAGCTTCGAGAACCCCAGCAGACATGATAATATGGGACATTGCATCATCGGACCCGTTGAAAATCATGTGTATCATGACCTTCTCTCACCATTCGGGTGACTGTACGCCAAGGGCGGTCACCTTTTAAACCTTCGGAATTGCATCTTCCTCGAAGTCAGTCGAGCCTTGGGCGCTCACATCGGCCAATCCCTTGGTCTTTCGTAGATGCTGTTCTGCGAGTGCAGCGTACTTGCAACGCGCTCTGATCTTTGCACCGTATAGATAGAACAAAACGGGGAATGGAAGACAGGCAAGCGCGATAAATCCAGGAACGGCAACACCCCAGTGAATTCCGATATCCTGCACTCCTGTTAGTAGATGCCAAGCACCAAAAAGACCAAAGACTTTGCACATACATTAAACATGTAGGTAGTGAATAGAGGGAAGACACAAGCAAAGACGGATCGCATCACGGAGTTGGACGCCAGGACCGAGGCGGCGTAAATCACGTATGCATCAATCCTAATAAAGTCAGCGAGTTGCCAGGAACAAATAGTAAGAGGTATTTACAAGTAATTGGCGCAGCAGATGAACACCAACACGAATCCTGCACCAAAGGGTGCGCCAGCCATGATTGGAACTATCCAGTGGATGTTAGGGGCGTCCGTGGCAGCGAACCATGCCAGTCCGACAACGATAGATATTCCGCCCCCAATGACTGCTGGGAGGCGACATTCCGGTGGAGCAAACCCGTCAGTTGCGCGGTAGATGCGCACGTAACGCTTGTTGTCCCAGCAGATGATGAGAATTCCAAGAATGAGGCCCACCAAGACACCTGTGAATCCGAGGCCTCCCACGCCGGCATTCCAACCACGGTTTGTCTGGAAAACAATTGGGAACGCAGCAAAGCACAGGTAAAGAGTACCGTAGATAGCTGACATGTAAAGCTTATAGGATGTTAGTGGTGCTTAGAGGGTTGAATAGAAAGAAAGTTACTGACCGTCAGACTGAAGACGATAGGCTCACGGAATAGCAAAACCCAAGGTCGAAGCAGCGCATGCTTGACCAATTCCTTGAAAACAATGGGGTTCTCTGCATCTTCGGCAGTCAAATAGACCTTCGAGGTGGCTTTTGACAAGCGCGCAGCGCGCAGTCTCAATAATGCCGGGGCATATGTCTCGGGCATGAAGATGAACGCCATAAGCGTCAGCACTCCTGAGAATATAGCCAACAACCCCATAACCCAACGCCAACCGGCTGCATCACCGAGGAATCCACCGATGATGGGACCGAGAGCGGGTCCGATGAAAGGTGCAAGACAAAAGACGCCAATCCCGAGGCCTCGGAGCTCCGGCTTGAACATATCCGCGATTTGACCTCCGGGAATACAGAGGGCGCTGGATCCAAAGATACCAGTGAAGAACCGGAGGATAATGAGAGTCCAAACGTTTTGTGCGCCGCAGCAGCCAGCAGTGAAACATGTGTATCCGGCATATGAAAGCAAGAAGATATTGCGACGACCAACAGACTCGGAGATCGGAGCCCACAGTAAAGGTCCGATAGCATATCCGAGAACCATAAGGGACAGACCCAAGATGATCACCTCTTGACTGCATTTGAATTCAGCAAGTAGTTTGCCAACAGTTCCTGAGTATGCAGACGAGGCTAGGGCGACGCAAAGTGTCATGGTTGCGATCAATGCCGTGACACTCCATCGTAGGGTTTCGCTGTAGTTCTTGGGGTTCTCGAGGTCGTTCTCTAGCCACTCCACAATGTATGGGTCATCTTCTGTGCCACTTCCCTGATAGGGATACTCTAGGATTCTTTCAAAATCCGTCACATTGAGTCTCCATGGTCGTTTTGCCAAATGATATTGTTGACAGTTTATCGCACTGTGGGGCGGGTTGGCTGGGGCACTCATGCTGAGGAGTGTAAAATATATTGCGCTTGACCATTTGACTGGAAAGGATCAAACCCATTTAAATAGGGGAGCATGATGTGCTTTGCACATCGAAAACTTTGACCTGATATCGGTCATTTTGATGTTAATTCACTTGTTCTCCGAGAGAAGGATTGGGTTCACCCTCCCCAGACCCCGGGATTCGCAGCGAAAATAGACTTCGGGGATTAAACTGTCGCCGAGGCCGAGAAAGAGTGGGACTACACGTGACCTAAGCATCGGGTGCGGAGCTGAAGAGTCTGCGCCGCCGAGTATCTTTCCCGAGGTCTGGCGGTCTGGACCGAGTTACATCTTTTATAAAACAAAGTCTATCGGGGTCTATTTGCCCTAAGATTTCTTATGGAGAAGTCGCCTGCAACACGCCGTGCCTGTGCTGAGTGCAAGGCCAAAAAGCTCCGTTGTGTTGCCAGTCGTGAGGTGCCTGGTGTCTGCCATAGGTTCGGCTCTTCCGATCTTATATTACCTTTGTAGAGGCGATGGTCTATACTGACCTGGGTTAAAAGATGTTACCAACATGAGAAGGAATGTACTATTCCGGAAATACGCCCTCGAAAGCGACAAAGTCGATGTATGTGGACGTTTGCCACAGACTATCATAACCACTAAGCTCATTGTTTCCCAGTGCATAATCGGATGTCGCAATTAGAAGAGATGATGGGTAATTTGGTAGACCGCTTGCCAGAGTCATCGCAACATCGGACTACACCAGCTAGTACACCTGCGGCATTCACCGTATCACCAGTGTTTAATGAACCAACCTCAACAAACCATGATCCTTTAACATGTGGCCTCGTCACTTTTCCTGAAGCGGAAGATTTGTGTCAAACTTATCGACGGATGTCACACCAGCACTTTCCTTGTGTGATTGTTCCTGGTAGGTTTGGAGTGTTGAAGCTGCAGCAGGAGCGACCGATGCTGTTGCAGGCCATGCTAGTTGTAGCCTCATGGCAGCATAAGCCTCGCCAGATCGCCCTGGAGAGATTCTATGTGAAAGAACTCGGGTTGAGATTCTTCAATGGCGAGCGCAACCTGGATATACTCCAGGGACTATTGGTGTATCTCGCATGGTACGTGTGGTGTACTTGCTGAGTCTGCATAACTGAACTAACACTAGCAACCCAGGTATCATTTCAACGTGACTGAGTCTGGGCAATATCATGCTTATCGGCTGGCTTCATTATGTGTGACGATGATTTATGATCTGGGGTTAAACAAGAAACCCCCACAAGGAACGACACAGCATGATCTGATTCTAAATTCTCAACCAGTAGCGGAGCATATGACACCCCATACCCTTACATTTTGGAGCCATGAGGCGAGACGGGCGCTTATCGGGGCCTATATTCAGTCCACACTGTATGCATCATATGGCTGCAACTGGCGTTACCTCTGCTAACATAAAATCAGATGTGCATTGATGTGCCGGAAACAAGCGCCAATTGCATATTCCACGTACATGGAACAATGCGCTCTCTCGTTGCAAGAGGATAGCGAGTTTCCCACTGACAAGACTTTGGTATATTTCATCAAACTGTTGCGAATTGTGAATGAAGTCTACAGCGTCTTTGAATATGGCGATCCTGACCATAGTCTTTCTATGGGCGATGACAAAGTTCAAATGGTTGTGAAAGCCCTGGAAACCCAACTTTACTCGTGGCGGGAAAGCCTTCCGCCCGAGCTATCTCAACATGGTGGGTCTTTCGTATCTTTGCAGTTGAAATCCGAGATACTGACACATATAAGCACAACTTAACACGTGGGGTGACTTGGTAGGGGCGTACGCCCATGAAATTGGGCTTCACGGCAATCTTCGAAACCGCCCCTTCTCTGCGACCCGGGTCAGCATTATGTTCGATTGCCTGACACACGTCGAGGACTATCTAAAGCGTGCCCTGGCAATTTCCGTCACTGAAATGCAGACATGGACTGCCTTTGACTGGCGGCAGCTAACCTATACGATCATGTTGGCAAGCAAAATCTCGGTGTCTATTGATGCGATTACCTCAGATAAAGAATCCACAGCCCGCATTGCTCGTTTGGACTCCTATCTTGGGGTGGTGTATACACGAACCCAGGAGCTTTTCACCATGACCAACACCCCACAAGGGCAAACTCATTACTTCCATAGCTTATTGAATCAGTGGAAAGGAATTCGGAGTTGGTACCAGACAGTACTTCAAAAAAGGACTGCAGCCCATCTCAACGAGCAATCTAGTCGGTCCGTCGGCGATACGTCGCTACAGGCTCCGAACGATACTTCCAGCCAGCTCCAAGATACTGCTTTCCGACCTCCGCAGACTTTGGATTCTTGGCCTGATGATAACTTTGGAATCTTACCGATGTCGACTGCTGACTTCATGATGCTCGAGTCTCTCGAATACCCCTGAGACTTCAATCGGACAAAAACTATCTCATGAGGGATCCAACATGGATTGGTTATTACAAGGAAGGAAAAAAAAAGGCTAGGGTGGCATCCCTTAGTTAGGGCAATCGCCTGATAATTTCTAATGACTAATACTAAAGCCATCATTCTCATTATACTCCGTACCTCTACTCCTTATATATATCCTTGATCCGGGGCTAGGGATTGATTCAGAAAAATAAATTATAATACCATCTCCCAAGATTCAAATGGCCAATGGCTTTCGTGTGAAGCCCCCTGAAGAACGCTGGACAATGAAGCTCGTAGCCTTGGCACAGTTGAGTCACGCGTTGACCCCAGGTAATGCCTAATGGGGTTTAGCGTCGTTGGTTGCCGGCGATTCCTCGAGATGCAGGGGCACCACTTCACTTCCAATTTCTCTATTTTCTCTAATTCCCAAGCCATTGATTTAATCGCATATTCAAAATGAGCAACCCTAAAGGTGTCGCCGAGAACATGCTCTGGGGAGGTCGTTTCACCCGTGAGTAACATAACCCCTCCATCCCACCAAAAAAACCCACTGACTCATACAAAAAAAAAGAGGGCCTTGACCCCCTCATGGTGCAGTACAACACTTCCCTGCCCTATGATCGTGTGTTCTGGAAGCAGGACATCGCCGGCTCAATTGCCTTCGCCCGCGCCAACACCAAGTCCGGCATCCTCACCCCACAAGAATTCGCCGAGATCGAGCGGGGTTTCAAGCAGATCGCCCAAGAATGGCAAACAAACACCTTCGTCGCCAAGGAGAACGACGAGGACATTCACACTGCCAACGAGCGCCGTCTTGGTGAGATCATTGGCAAGGATATCGGTGGAAAGCTGCACACCGGCCGCTCGCGCAATGAGCAGATCGCCACGGATATGCGCCTGTGGCTCCGCGATGAGCTCCGTCTGATCGACAACCACCTCTCTGATTTGATCAAGGTCTCTATCGCCCGCGCTGAGAACGATATCGCCTACCTCATGCCCGGCTACACCCACTTGCAGAAGGCCCAGCCCGTCCGCTGGTCCCACTGGATCCTGTCTCACGCCACTGCTTTCGCCAGTGAGCTGGAGCGTCTCCGCGAGGTTATCCGTCGCGTCAACAAGAGCCCCCTCGGTACCGGTGCCCTTGCTGGTAACTGCTTCAACATCGACCGTGAAGCTATGGCCAAGGAGCTTGGTTTCGATGGCTTGCTGTACAACTCTATGAACGCTGTCGCAGACCGTGACTTCGCTATGGAGACCATGCAGTGGGGCAGCTCTTTCATGCTTAAGATCTCTCGCTGGGCTGAGGATCTTATCATCTACAGCAGTCTGGAGTTCGGCTTTGTCCGTCTGTCAGATGCTTACTCCACTGGATCTTCCCTCATGCCCCAGAAGAAGAACGCAGGTTAGTTTCACTTCTTTTTTTCTTAAAACACCATTCTAATCAAAACACAGACAGCTTGGAGCTGCTCCGCGGCAAGGCTGGCCGTGCCTTCGGCCAGATGGCTGGCCTGATGTGCACAATTAAGGGTCTCCCCACCACCTACAACAAGGATTTGCAGGAGAGTGTTGAGCCCATGCTTGACCACATCAAGACCGTCAGTGACAGCATCCAGATCGCCACTGGTGTGCTCTCCACCCTCACCGTCATCCCCGAGAAGATGATCGCTGCCTTGGCCCCCGAGATGCTGGCTACCGAAATTGCCGACTACCTCGTCCGCAAGGGCGTTCCCTTCCGCGAGGGACACCACATCTCTGGCCGTGTCGTTGCTCTGGCCGAGAACACCAATGTCCCCATGGACACCCTTTCCCTGAAGCAGCTCCAGGAGGTTGACTCCCGCTTCGGCGCTGACGTCCAGGCTTGCCTTGACTACGAGCGTGCTGTCGAGCTTAAGGATGCCGTTGGTGGAACCAGCAAGCGTGCAGTCTTGGAGCAGACCGCTGTGCTTAAGAAGCTGCTGTAAATTTCTTTTGGGTACGATATATGACAGAAAACAAGTATTAGGATCTCGGTTAGACAAAAATGAATATATGAATTGAATTGTTAGGGTTTTGAACCCGTAAAAAGAAACAGAGATAAAGAAAAGCGACAGACTATGGTGCCACCTACCTGTACGCAACAAAGGAGGGAATATCATACAGCATACCAAATCGTCAGATCAAAACTACTCAGCGCAGAACCCCAACCAAACAAGGACCAGCCCTAATTTCCAAAACCTTCAACCATTTCTCGTGCTCATCTCCATCCGCCCAGACGGAGACTTGAGGTCATGTGCAGGAGAGCTGTCTTGCGCCTCATATGCAGGCGGAACATCGGCTTCACTCTCCACGGCCACAATTTCCTCCACAAATCTACTTTCCGCAGGTCTAGGTATCGGCTCAGCCGTACTGTCTTCATGGACAGCGGTATGTGGAGGTTGATCACTGTTTGCAATCCCAAGCCCGCGCTCTGTACCTCGTGTCTCAGACCCCTCGCCATACTGCATAAAGCTCATAACATGATTCTCATCGCCAGACTCAGTCGGCCTCTCCCTCTGACCTTGGGCCTGGGACTCTCCAATCTCCCGGCCATTGGAGTATCGATCTAGATTTGCGGCTAGCACAACGCCCTCGGCAGTGATCACTTGTCCAACTGGATCTGGCTCCGGGGTCCCGCCGTTGAGTTGGCCACTGCTACTGTCGATTCCCCTGCTCGAGCTGGCGGATTGTCTTGTGGCTTGATTGACTGAAGGTGACAGAGCAGACAATTCACCGCCCTGTGGACTATCTCTGACTCTGTAAACATTCTGCTGGCGTCGTCGTTGCTCGAGGGATTGGTTGATCAGCTCGCTTTGAGAGTGAGTTGCTAGTTCAGAATGAAGAGGGCAGAAAGCTGTGTCTGGTAGCTCTGAGGTGAAGCCAAGGCGTGGTGTGACCGAGATGAAGAGTTCGTTTGGATCCCGAGCGGTTGGTCCTCTCAAAAGGATTCGGCTGGAAGGGTAGGAGATTAGGTCTGTTGTGGATGAGTGCAAGGATTGCTCCGGGGGGAATACTGTGCTCTGCGTGTTATTCGATTGAGAGACGGTGCTCAATGACCCTATGGTTAAGTATCAGTGATCTGTGTCGGTTGTTTTAGTTGGCAGTCTTTGGTGCGTTTGCTCACTATTTGCCTCGGCGTCTGATGGGGACCAGGGCGCCGTCATCTCAGATGCAGCTCCTCGCTTTTTCCGACCAAATTTATATGGATACCATGCGGCAAATGCTTTGCGTTTCCCGTATTGTCGCTTGCCGTATTCCCTCTTGTGGCGGCAACAGCAGAAGAATATTAGCACGGCACATATCACCAAAAGCGCAACTCCTCCCAGTACACCGCCGATTATTGCCCCCAGATTCGAGGATGCAGCTCTCGGAGTGTTGGATGGGGTACTGGAAGGAGAGGCAGTGACTTTGGTGACTTTGCCAGCAGGCAGAACTGAGGAAACCCCAGTGGCACGAGTGGTTTCTGTGGTTAAGGATATGTCAGAAACTATAGAAACTTGTGAAGTCGTGGCTACAGCTGGGGATGTGGATTGTCTCCGAACCTGATAATGTTACTGAAAAAGTGAATGGATCCGTTGTAGATACGGTAGTCGACTGGGGCAGAGTGGCCCCAGATGTAGTGGTGGTCCTCGGCGTTACGCTCGGCAGCATGGCAATAACCTGAGTCGTTGTTATCGACATGTCAGACTGGTCCGTCAAGGTGCCCGAGTCGTCATCGTTTTTAGCGTCGTCATCCAGACAAATGCCCGTGGTGCACGGGTCATTTGAGCAGCATCCCCTAAACTGGCCTGCCGTGCAGACATACCACAACTTGCCCCCAGTGCAAGTGTTAAGGGCTCGAGGGAAGATGAGAGGTTCCATGTCGGACGCCATTCTCGCAGTCATTCACGATAATCTGGAGCTGACACAGCAGTGATGCTGGATAGCACAAACTCAGACGGCTTTCTTGCAGCAGTCACTCGAGACGTGAGTATCTGCCAGCAGAAGTGACAACAGAGGCCAAATGGAAGAGCAAACCATGACCTCGATAGACCGTCTTGCAGGTCGCATTCATACTCTCTCGGGAGGGGGAGCACGAGCTCGTTTCTGAAAGAAGCCGAGGGAATTCTTTGTTTACCGTGTCTGATGTCGGTGCAGAGTGGCAATGAAATGCCAATTATAGAACTGCCACCAGTAGATTCGATGATGGAGACTTCTTTGCATTGGCTCTTTGACAGCATATTGGGCCTTAGTCCGATCGATGTTGCAGAAATAGTCGTAATAGCAACACCAAGACCAAATTGCATCGATTGAACCAAGACTGGAGTGATACTCGAAAGGGGCTAGTATTCTTTCTTTGTTGACTTGAGCCTCTCGAGTCCAGAGGCCAATGACAAGGAAGCTGATTGGATGTTGCATCCTCTATATCAGGGAAGAGACTACACAGGAGAGAGAACGGAGAAAAGATTAAGAAAAAAAAATAATAAATCCAATCATATGAGACAAACTGAGGGAAAAAGCACTCAGTACACCAACTCTTCGCCTGTTAAGATAAAGGAAAAAAATATGGCTATACAGGATGGTAAGTAACACAGTCAATAAAAAAATGGTCTTTTTCATAGATGGCGCCCCTTGAAACGGGGTCCTTACGACGCCACAAGCCCTAGTTCCGCCTCAAAACTAACTGAGGCTGGGAGAGCGGCGTCGATATGAGTCCATCTGAAACAACTCCGTGGTATCCTCCGTATTCTTTCTGCGGGTCGATTCCAAAATGAGCGAGCTTAGTAGACACGCTTGAAGGGAGGGACGGGCTTGCACTCCTCGGCATCCAAGGTGTTAGCCTCGACAGCACGGTAGCCGAGCTTGACCTCGCCGTGGGGGTTCTTCTGCCAAGAGAGAGTGTGCTTCATCCAGTTCTCGTCATCACGGTCGGGGTAATCCTCGCGAGCGTGAGCACCACGGGACTCCTTACGGGCGGCAGCAGAGGCAGCGGTTTGAGTACTGTGAGAAACATGTTAGCAAAATCATCTTAGATAGGCGAAGCGAATAATACGTACGCGCAAGTCAGCAAGTTGCGGAGCTCGAGAGTCTCAACCAAATCGGAGTTCCAGATCATGCTACGATCCTTAGTGCCGACCTGGTCGTACAGCTGGTCGACCTTGGTGATCTTCTCGACACCCTCGTCCAAGCTCTCCTGAGTACGGAAAACACTGACGTCAGTCTGCATAGTCCTCTGCATAGCATTGCGGATCTCGAAGGTGGACTTGGGGCCATCGGCAGTGCGGGCGTGGTCAAGGTCCTTGATGGACTGGGCACCAGCATCGGAAGCAAGCTCCTTGTGGGGCTTGCCAGGGGTGTCCTTGTCACGGACAGTGTGAGACACAGCACGACCGAAGACAATCAGATCGAGCAGGGAGTTGGCACCGAGACGGTTGGCACCGTGGACAGACACACAGGCGGCCTCACCGCAGGCGTACAGACCAGGAACGATCTTCTCCTGGCCGTTCTCGTCAACGTTCAGGACTTCACCAGTGTACTTGGTGGGGATACCACCCATGTTGTAGTGAACGGTGGGCAGGACGGGGATGGGCTGCTTGGTGACGTCGACACCGGCGAAAATGGAAGCAGTCTCGGAAATACCGGGCAGGCGCTCGTGCAGGAGCTCAGCGGGCAAGTGGCTGAGCTGGAGGTAGATGTGGTCCTTCTCGGGACCGACACCACGGCCCTCACGGATCTCCAGAGTCATGGAGCGGGAGACAACGTCACGGGAGGCGAGATCCTTGGCGGTAGGAGCGTAACGCTCCATGAAACGCTCACCCTGGGAGTTGAGCAGGTAACCACCCTCACCACGGGAGCCTTCGGTGATCAAACAACCAGCACCGTAGATACCAGTGGGGTGGAACTGAACGAATTCCAAATCCTGGTTAGGCAGACCAGCACGAGAGACCATAGCCATACCGTCACCAGTGCAAGTGTGGGCGGAGGTGCAAGAGAAGAAGGCACGTCCGTAACCACCGGTGGCAAGGACAGTGTGGTGGGCCTTGAAGCGGTGCAAGGTACCATCTTCCTGGTTGTAAGCAATGATACCACGGCACTCACCATCCTCCATCAGCAAGTCAAGGGCGAAGTATTCGATGAAGTAGTTGGTGTTGTGGCGGAGGGACTGTCCGTATAGAGTGTGCAGAAGAGCGTGACCAGTACGATCGGCAGCGGCGGCGCAGCGGTAAGCCTGGCCACCCTTTCCGAAGTCCTTGGACTGACCACCGAAAGCACGCTGGTAGATACGTCCATCCTCGGTACGCGAGAAGGGGCATCCGTAACCCTCGAGCTCGCGAACACTGGCCGGAGCCTCACGGGTCATGTAGTGAATGGCGTCCTGGTCACCGAGCCAATCGGAACCCTTCACAGTATCGTACATGTGCCATCTCCAGTCGTCCTCGTGCATGCTAAAATCCAGTTAGACGTTGTTCACTGCATGTCAGAGGGATAAGAACCTACTTTCCAAGGGCAGCGTTGATACCACCCTGGGCAGCGACAGTGTGACTTCTTGTGGGGAACAGCTTGGAAACACAAGCAGTCTTGAATCCAGCCTCGGCAAGACCGAAGGCAGCGCGCAGACCGGCACCACCGGCACCGACAACGACGGCATCGTACTCGTGATCCTGAGTGTGTTAGATCCATTTATCCCTCTTTGGCATCCAGGGAGCAATCTCGTCTTACAATGATGGGGTACTTGTCAGTCAGATAGCCATTGGACTCCTTGGCGCGCAGAGGCTGGTTGGTCCAAATCCGGGCTGTCGCAATGGGTGGTTAGTGCTGAGTTCGGGAGTTCACAATTCAAGGATTTCAATGCGTACCGGCGGGCCGTGACGAAGAGAAAAGACGTCTCTGGTCCCTCAAAACACGAGAGACCTAGTGAGATGGAACAATTAGTATGTTGCGGGTGTTGCGGACGAGCCGAAAATCGTTGCAGGCTACTCACCTTGGATGCAGGAGCTAGGCTCCGCAGGGTCATGGAGCTCATGATGGCGGGTCAAAAGAGAATTGGATTTCCCTATCGAACCGAAAGAATAGCAAGACACCGAGGGTCGGTGACGGGCGTAGCAAAGAGGGGAGATTGTGGAATAGCGAACTCCTTCCAGGGTAGCACTTCTGGAATCGGATTGCAGTTGGCAGTTTCACGCTGACATAATCATTCTCCCAGTTGCCGACGGGGAGGACCGGGGCCGAACTGGCCAATCAGCGGCTGCGCAATGAAAATCAACCTCGGGCAGCCGGCTGTCCGTGATTGGCTAGAGAGCATGTGCCCGCCATTTATTTTGCCGACCAGCGCTGGCTACCGGAAGGATACGGTAACAGCGTCAACGAGGTCGAGGAAAGCCGCTAGGATGAAATCTGGGGTCTCGAAGCTGAGCCCAAATAGTCTTTCGGATTCGAGTCCCACTATTCGCTAGTCTCAATCAAACAATTCCTATTTCCCTTCGGTGTGCTCCGTACTGTAGATCAAGGGGGTCACGTGTGGTCACATGACATCATGCACACCAATCAGGAAACTACGGGGGCTATGATGTATGTACTCAATTGATGGACAGAGTACTCCGTATGTACCTACAGGTTGTAGGTGCGGACAGGAGAGTACAGAGTTGGTTGAGATTATAATGCATTGACTGGGAATAAACTCCCTCATAACAAGACAATAGTGATCGTACATCCCATCCATAATGCAACTAAGTCGGGATCTCTAATTGTACTGCATGTAGGTCGCCGTCGAGTTGAACTTGAGGTTACCCTTAATCACCTTCTCCACAGAGGCCAGGAAGTCCTTCTCAGTGGCCACCTTGCGGCGAGCCCGAATAGCGAACATACCTGCCTCAGTTGCAACACTGCGCAGCTCGGCACCTGTAGCGTTGGGGCACAATCGTGAAATCAGCTCCCATCGAATGTCTCGCTCGACGGACATGCTCTTGGCGTGGATTCGGAGGATGTTGGCACGGCCCTCGACGTCCGGCAGCGAGAACTCGATCTTACGATCGATACGACCGGGACGCATCAGGGCTGGGTCGAGTGTGGACGGACGGTTGGTAGCGAACATAACCTTGATGTTACCCCGAGAGTCGAAACCATCCAACTGCGTGATCAGTTCCAGCATAGTACGCTGCACCTCGTTATCGCCACCAGCTCCATCGTCGAAACGTGCACCACCAACGGCATCAATTTCATCGAAGAAAATGATACATGCCTTCTTGGTCCGGGCCATCTCGAAAAGCTCACGAACCATCCGTGCGCCCTCGCCAACATACTTCTGCACCAGTTCACTACCGATGACACGAATGAAGGTAGCATCCGTTCGGTTGGCAACGGCACGAGCACAAAGGGTCTTTCCAGTGCCGGGGGTCCGTAGAGCAGAGCACCCTTAGGCGGATCAATACCGAGATTCACGAAACGTTCGGGCGATAGCAAAGGCATCTCAACGACTTCTCGTAGCTTCTCGATTTGTTCTTTGCATCCACCAACATCGCCGTATGTCACATCAGGCTTATCCTCAACCGTCATCATGGTCACGCTGGGGTCGATCTTTGGCGGCAAAGGCAACATGATCTGGTACTTATTGCGGTCGACACTGCGGAGCTGAGTCAATAAAAGAAATGATACGCAATCCGCCATGCAACTTACCCAACTCTCATGCCTTCCTCGATATCTGTGGGACTCACGCGCTCTCCTAGGTTGACGACGAACTTGGCAATTTGCTTGACGTTGATCACATATTTGCTCTTGTCTGAGTCCTTCTCATCCTGGATAATCTTTGTGCACCTTGCTACCTGTAGTGGCTGTTCCTCTGCCATGCGTTGTCGATCGGCAGCAACATCCCAAAGATGTGGAGGTGCAAGACCGGTGTCGGATTCCTGGTAAAGGCGTAAGCTCTATGTTCCAAGGGGCCGAAAGAGCTGGACAAGTGATTACCTTAACACCGATCTTTTCGTTGACGCTGTTTTGTTTGTCCTTGATATCCTTCTCGAGCTTCTTCAGCGCATTCGCGTAGGGTGCGGCACCGTAGGTCTTGAGTACTGCAATGTCACTATGATGGACCGTCAGTCAATCGTCGCCATCGCGCGCTTTGCGTGAATTGAACCGGAAACCAAAAAAAAGACTTACTCATCTGTGAGAGGTGTGATCTTCTTCTCTGGTTCCTCATCGTCTGCGTAGTTCTTCTGGTACTTCTCCCAGTTCTGACCCGTGGCGCTAGGCATGATGAAAGGTATTGACAGCCCAAGGCCGAGCTACAGAAGGGTCCAAGAAAAGAATGAGCTTTATGAAATGCAATAAAAAAAGAATTCGACGTGCTTTTCAGGCAGTGACAATTTGAAAGAGGATAGATAGGTTGGGTATTGAAGGACGGTGATGTAGCAGAGCTGCGGTTGTCGAGCTAGCCTCACTAATCAGGTGCCAAGCTTCATCACCGCCCCAGAACCTCGCAGAATTTCCTGTGTGTCCTCCACCACAACAACGCAGCTACCTCCTTTCACTCATTTTTAAGGTTAATTTTGAATATAGATTTTCAAAATGGCCGCCGCAGTTGCACAGGGAGCCGCCGGCAACAACTCCTTCAAGGTGCGAGGCCTCAAAACGATGTGTGTGGGCCATTGATTTCTGATTGCATGCAGGACAAGGAGAAGCCGATGGCCGTGCGGGCCTCCAACATTCTCGCTGCTCGGGGTATGTGTCTTCTCGTGGTACTAGAAGCGCTCTTGCTGACGATCTTCTAGCTGTTTCCGATGCCATTCGAACCGTACGCTCGCCACATCCATCTGCAAATACACTTAGGATGAGGGGCTAACAGAAATATAGTCGTTGGGACCCAGGGGTATGGATAAGATGGTGAGTACATTCTCAAGTTCTGCTTTTCATCAAGATACTAATGTGCTCTTCAGATCCAAACACCTAAGGGTCAAACCATCATCGTACGCAGCCCATTTTCATGATATATCCGGAGCCCGAACTGACGACCCCCGCAGACCAATGATGGAAACACCATGTTGAGAGATATGAGCGTGATGCACCCCGCTGCCCGTATGCTCGTTGATCTGAGTGCCGCCCAGGATGTCGAAGCCGGTGATGGAACGACATCAGTAGTTGTCATTGCTGGCAGTCTGCTCGGCGCTGCCGAAAAGTTGCTGTCCAAGGGCATTCACCCCACCGTCATCTCCGAATCCTTCCAGAGAGCTGCCGGTGCTGCTGTCGAGATCCTCCACAATATGTCTCGTCCTATCAACCTCTCCGATCGTGCCACCCTCCTCCAAGCCGCTTCTACTTCGCTCTCCTCCAAGATCGTGTCCCAGCACTCCGGACTTCTGGGCCCGATGGCAGTTGATTCTGTCCTGAAGGTCTGCGACCCGAAAACAGCAGAGAATGTGGATTTGCGGGATATCCGCATTGTGAAGAAGGTCGGCGGCACAATTGAGGATAGCGAGATGGTTGACGGCGTGGTTCTCAACCAGCCCGTGATCAAGAGCAGCGGTGGCCCCACAAGAATCGAGAAGGCGCGGATAGGTCTCATCCAGTTCCAACTGAGCCCGCCCAAGCCAGATGTGAGTTGCTATCTGAAAACACCGAACTGTTGGTTGGAACACAACTGATGATATATTAGATGGAGAACCAAATCGTGGTCAACGACTACCGTCAGATGGACAAGATCCTGAAGGAGGAGCGCCAATACATGCTCAACATGGTCAAGAAGATTCAGAAGACCAAGTGTAATGTCCTTTTGATTCAAAAGTCCATCCTCCGTGATGCCGTGAACGAACTTTCCCTGCACTTCCTTTCCCGACTCAAGATTCTCGCCATCAAGGATATCGAGCGTGACGAGGTCGAGTTCCTGTGCAAGAGTCTCGGCTGCAAGCCCGTGGCCAACGTCGACTCCTTCACTGAGGACAAGCTCGGTACCGCCGACCTCGTTGAGGAAGTCCAGGCCTCTGGTGCCCGTTACGTTAAGATCACCGGTATCAAGGCTCCTCTTACTGCTTACAACCAGACCGTCTCTATTGTTGCCCGTGGTGCCAACAGCCTGATTCTGGATGAGGCTGAGCGCTCTTTGCACGACGCCCTGTGTGTCATTCGCTGCCTCGTCAAGAAGCGCGCTATGATTGCCGGTGGTGGTGCTCCCGAAATTCAAGTCGCCCATGCGCTTGCCATGCGTGCTCGTGAGCTCACTGGCACTGAGGCTATCTGCTTCAAGGCCTTTGCTGCCGCCATGGAGGTCATCCCTACTACTCTCGCCGAGAACGCTGGTCTCAACTCCATCAAGGTTGTGACTGAGCTGCGTCACCGTCACGCTCAGGGCCAGCACAACGCTGGTGTCAGCATTCGCAGCGGTGGTGTAAAGGATGATATCACAGAGGAGAACATTCTCCAGCCCCTGTTGGTCAGCACCAGTGCGATTGAGTTGGCCGCGGAGACTGTGAAGATGATCATGAGAATTGATGACATTGCTCTGTCGCGGTAAACGCCTTCCAGCGGTCGCTAGCGTGAGCTGTATGATGGAAAGCGATTTGATCGCGACGAGTAATTAAAAAATATATCCCGTTCCTGCATAGAATCACTCTCAAGTATACTTTTCTTGTACAACATATTGTAAATCGAGCTCTGTGGTACTATCTAGATACTCTTATTTCGTAGGGGAAAGTTAACTATTGGTGTATCTTTAGGGCTTCTGCGGTTGGGCTATTTCCCATTGGGTGGTGACCATGGCGTTTGCACTCTAATGATCCCTGTGGATAAACCCTGTGAATAGCTTTCTTCTTTGTATCGACTTTACCCACTCGACCAGCATACAGGTAGTTCCTAATATGTATATTTCTCAAGCATCTCAGGTCTAAGAAAATAGTAATGAAGTATAAGTATAAGTATAAGGCACCTCTGCCGAACCCTTCTTATACACATGCAAGCTCTCGGGAGTCAATCTATGTAAATAGCTATTGCTAGAAAATCTATGGTTACTCCAGAATAATAGGCCCAATCAGTCACAAACTCGATGTCGATTGTGTTGTGAAATAATGTGTCTTGCGGCATTCCCTCTAGAAATATATAGTTGGTACCTCTTGAACATTAGATTTTAAGACTCAATAGCACCAATAAATTGCCAATTATATTATGATCGCTATGGCCCAATTAATGAGATAAATATACCCTTTACGTAAAAAACAGATCATTTCCAACAGGATGGCAATGCAAAAGGGAAGTGAATAAGACAAGCTCAACATGTGAACAGCCTTCGTTCGCGCCAAGAGACGGCCTCGGCCCGCGAGGTTAATAAGATCTGCCCCAGCATTCGGCAGCCCTGGAGTCATCTCTCACAAGTAAGCAACCGGTTGGTCTTGGCTTTCCTGTATATTGCACCAAATTGTCATCTATATACTGTCATTGGGACATTGGGACAGTGAGTGCTGGCGCCTACCTGCCTCGAATTGCTCGCGATAAGCGATAACGCGTGGCGATCGGGGACGAGAGCTTCGCCCGTGAACATTGAACAACCACCATGGGGAAGTTCGAAGATGAAGGGAACTTAGGGTCCATACCGCCAACTCGGAAGCGATCAGACTCTCTCACTTCACAAACATCCACCGATTCGGGCCTATCGATCGCCTCCGCAGCGTTCATGGAGAAATACAACGGAGGCAACACGATAACGGGGGACGGGAACGGGGAGAGATACCGAGATATAGAAGATGGAGGGGATACTGGGTTGGATGATCCTCTGATACCCGATAAAAAGACAGGATCATCAAATCGCCTGCGCAAGATCATCTGGTCACTGGTGGTGCTCTGCGTCGGTGGCTGGGTCCTTGCCTTCGTGTTGTTCCTTACGCAGAAGCGGCCTGATGCTGCGACGCTCTCGCACGTTTCAGCGGTGGATATTCACGAACCTACCCATGAACCCGGCTTCTCCACTGGGAACAAGACTTACGGAAACCCTGTCACTCTTGAGCAAGTCCTGACTGGTGCCTGGTATGCGAAGTCCCACGAGATCTCTTGGATTGCTGGCCCCAACGGCGAGGATGGTCTTCTCGTCGAGCGCGGCGAGAAGCAAGGTGCTTTCCTGCGAGTGAAGGACATCCGTAGCCGTAAAGACGGCGTCGAGGACCATAACAGCCGAGTATTGATGAAGCAGGGGTACATGTGGTTTGATGGCGCAGCCATGGTTCCAGTCAAGACATGGCCAAGTCCTGACTTGACCAAGGTCTTGGTTATGACTGACAGCCAGTCCAACTGGAGACACTCGTTCTTTGGGAAATATTGGATCTTTGATGTGGCGACACAAAAGGCCGAGCCTTTGGATCCTGGGAATCTGAGTGGGCGTGTGCAGCTTGCGACTTGGTCGCCCACCTCCGATGCGGTTGTATTTGTTCGTGAGAACAACATGTATTTGCGTAATCTGACCTCTTTGGAGGCTACCTCCATCACCAAGGATGGCGGTCAGAACCTCTTCTATGGTGTTCCAGACTGGGTGTACGAGGAAGAAGTCTTTGCAGGCAACACTGGCACCTGGTGGTCAGGTGATGGCAAGTTCGTCGCGTTCCTTCGAACGAACGAGTCAGCAGTTCCTGAATATCCTATCCAGTACTTCCTTTCACGGCCATCCGGCAAAGAGCCTCCGCCTGGACTGGAGAAGTACCCCGAAGTCAGGCAGATCAAGTATCCCAAACCCGGTAGCCCGAACCCAATTGTCAACTTGCAATTCTACGATGTCGAGAAAAATGAGGTTTTCTCATTCGACATGCCGGAAGACTTTGTTGACGATGAAAGGATCATTATTGAAATTGTGTGGGCATCCGAGGGTCAGGTTCTTGTTCGCGAGACCAACCGCGAGAGCGATGTTGTGAAAATCTTTGTGATGGACGCAAAAGCCAGAACAGGCAAATTGGTGCGATCAGACGATATTGCAGCCCTCGACGGCGGTTGGGTCGAGCCTTCACAGTCGACTCGGGTTGTTCCTGCTGATCCCAAAAATGGCCGACCACACGATGGCTATATTGACACCGTTATTCATGAAGGCTATGACCATCTGGCTTATTTCACACCCTTTGACAACCCGGAGCCTGTTATTCTGACCAAGGGCGACTGGGAAGTTGTCCAAGCACCTTCTGCTGTGGACCTGAAGAAAGGTTTGGTATACTTCGTTGCCACGAAGGAGGCCCCGACTCAGCGTCACGTATACTCGGTCAATCTGAACGGATCCAATCTCCGACCACTGACGGATACGTCTGCACCGGGCTTCTTCGACATTTCATTCTCTGATGGCGCCGGCTATGGGTTACTTAGCTATAAAGGCCCAGAAGTCCCCTGGCAGGCCGTGATCAATACCCAAGGCGACGAAATCGAGGTTATCGATCTCATCGAGGAGAACCACAGACTCGTCAAAATGGTCGAAGAATTTGCTCTCCCAACAGAGGTATATACCAATGTAACCATTGATGGTTACACGCTTCCAGTTTTGGAGCGCCGTCCTCCAAACTTCGATCCCGCAAAGAAGTATCCGGTGCTCTTTTACTTGTATGCTGGGCCCGGATCGCAAACTGTCGACCGCAAGTTCAAAATTGACTTCCAAACCTATGTCGCCTCGAGCCTGGGTTATATTGTCGTGACTGTGGATGGTCGAGGAACTGGTTTCATCGGGAGAAAAGCCCGGTGCATTGTCCGTGGTAATCTCGGCCATTACGAGGCTTCAGATCAGATCGAAGCGGCTAAGATTTGGGCTAGCAAGAGCTACGTGGATGAGACTCGTATGGCAGTCTGGGGCTGGAGTTATGGCGGCTACATGACCTTGAAGGTCCTCGAACAAGACGCAGGCGAGACATTCCAGTACGGCATGGCTGTGGCACCGGTCACTGACTGGAGGTTCTATGGTAAGCCCATCTAGATTGCTACTATCCCTATCCTTGTTCACATACTAACATGCTGCTTGATAGATTCTATCTACACAGAACGCTATATGCACACACCCGAGCACAACCCTATTGGTTATGAAAATTCGTCAATTAGCGATGTTAAGGCCTTGAGTCAGAATGTTCGGTTCTTGATCATGCACGGCGTTGCCGATGACAATGTTCATCTCCAAAACACCCTCGTCTTGATTGACAAGCTGGATTTGGCGAATGTCGACAACTACGACATGCAGGTCTTCCCTGACTCAGATCACGGTATACAGTTCCACAACGCAAATACGGTTGTTTATGAACGTAGGTTGACTTGTCCCGCTTTTGTGATTCGAAAATGGACCTAACTAATCGTGATTCAAGGTCTCTCGAGCTGGCTCATCAATGCGTTCAATGGTGAATGGCATCGCATCGCGAGCCCGACACCACAGGGGCTGTCGACATGATACATGATGCCATGACCTCGCGTTTTTGGTTTTTCTTTTGGTTTGGTTTTTCGGGGTTAAATACATTTGCTTGCAGTCACTCTACATCACGTTGATGGGTATATTATAACCCACTACGTATACATAGTTGCTAAGGAAGAGTAGATGCATATCATAATTAATTGCATTTCCATGATTAGGTAGTAATCTTAGAGGACACAAGAGTCGCTGAAGTATGGCACGATTTCAACGTAAAACAACGCAGACTGGTATAAAAAGGACAGAAAAAAAAACAGATATAAACAAAGGGCTTTTCGCAAATATTTCCTTCAGCCCCTTTTCGGAGCCGAATTTGACACCGGATGATGCAATTATTAACAAAAATGCTGAGAGAGAAAGTATACACGAGTGCAGTATGTGCAAGTAGGGGTAGGTTATGAGGAGGGTGGGTGTATGAAACCCAGAATCAAGATGCGGAGAATGTTCAACCACTAGGAAGTGTTCCAATAGACCGCATGAAATCATCTCTGTTGGCGACACTGATGTCCGAATTGCGGTAAGGGAGGAAGTCCTCGCGGTGCAAGCCACGGATTTGTTCCCGACCGGCAGTGGATACAGAGCGCGCGTAGGAACTAGCACGCGTGTGGGATTGAGGTCGGGCACTCAGCACAGACAGCCGCTGGTTAGAAGTCCACATGGGTGACCGATTACCGGGAGAGCCACCGCCATTCGACAACATGGAAGGTCTCGGCGCAAACACAGGTAGACGGGCGAAGGACTCGTTATCTGTGGACGCGTTGCTCATGCTCATAGCCGAGAGATCAGACAGCGGACGGTGGAAGCCGTTACGACCGGGTAAGTTTGACGTAGAGCTGTAGACAGTGGAGATACCGGATTGCGCAGACGAGCGCCAAGAGTGCACTGCGCCGCGGGGGATCGTGATGATCTCCTCGTCGACGGCGGTCTCGATGGCCGCTGCCACGTCGGCTGGCTCCATGGGGTCGCCCGCTGCGCGACTGGCCATCATCTTGGCTGACTTGCCGATCCAGAGCATTTGCTCGTGCTCGCGGAGGTATCGGTCGCCGCTGAAGGACTTTTGAACGATCGCCCGGGTCATCATGCCGAGTTTGCGGCGGTGCTCGCTCTTCTCGTACATGCGGCGGGTGATGGCTGCTACGTCCTCTGGGGTTGGGGAGGAGGTTAGGACTGGTGCGGGTGAGGTGTCGTCGCTGTGTTTGCTCCATTCGCCGAGCATGGCAAGCATGCCGATTTGGGCCTTTGCGAGGGCGAGCGCATCGTTGGGTGCGACGACGGCACTGAAGCGGGAGAAGTCGTCTGGGTCGCTGAGTACTCGGAGGGAAGCGCCGACGTCTGTGCAGACGACGGGCGCTCCGGTGAGAGCGGCCTCTCCTAGAGCGAGAGGAAGTCCCTCGGATAGAGATGAGTTCAGGAAGAGCCATGTGTTCTCGAGGACCTTCATAGGATCGGCAGTTCCGCAGAGTGTGACTTTGCCGCGGAGACCCTTGGAAGCGATGATTTCTTGACACTCGGTAGAATAGGTCGGGGCTTTGTCAATGGCGCCATAGATGTCCAGATGGTACTCGTCGAACTTCCACTGGTTGATGATGATGTCTGCAGCGAGAAGGGCGGTCTTGATGTCTTTGGCATACCAAACGTGAGACAACATGGTCACAGTTGGACGCTCGGATTTGATTTCTTTGACCGGAGAAAACTTCTGCATGTCAGTGATACCGTTGACAACAGGATCAATCTTTCGGCGGAATGTGTTTCGGTGCTCAATTGTGCCTTGGCAGGTACCGATCTCAACTTCCCAGCCCGGGTTGAAGAAATCTGCACAGGGAAGGATGATATCGGCATGATGCAGAGTCAAGACTGAGGTGATTCGCATCAATCCAAGAAGCGCGTTCCGAACAAATGGCGAGAGCTTGCAAAGTGCAGATGACAGGCACAGATTGGTCTCACGCCAAGCGATGGCGTGGTCCCAAATCTGCAAGGTACAGTTGCGCTTGATCTTGCACACAACGCCATAAGAAGCACTAACACTGTGGTGCGAGGCTTGGAAAGTCGAGGGGATCTTCTCGGGAACTGGGATCGAGAAGATGAAGAGATAGCGGTACCAGAGCTCCATGGCGACATCAAGTGATGCCAAGGTAGGAAGCTCAGTGTCGAACCAGTCCGATGACGGGATAGTGTTTGGCATTTCTTGAGTCAGCCACAGCTCGCGCCAACTCTGCTTCACCATATCAGTGTTCCACACCTGCGTCCAATGACGAGACTCCTGGAAGTATGTATTCAGATTTACAAGTGCTCGAGTAGCCTGGTGGATATCAGCCTTCGAGAGATGGACTGCACGGGCGCCCTTGACCAAAGCTGTCAGAATCGGAATGAAGTTCATCTTGATGTCGAACTCGCTAGCAGACGTAACGTTATCGACCTCGGCATCTAGTTTGTTGTGGAACAACCCGTGGGTCGGAGTGAGGAAGTCCATACCCCAGAGTGGGATGAGCTTGAGAGACTGGATGTTCTGCTCGGTTTGGTGCTTGGGAACACCGAAATCGTTTGCAGACTCGCAAATCATGTGCCACTTGATAGTTCGCAGGGAGTTGATCATGTCTCGTCGACAGGCAGAGACACCACCACCTTCGTTGGGCCAGGTACCGTTGTCCGCGGCCATGACGTGGAGGGTCTTGTCAGTATCGGTGCCAAAGTTCTTAGAGCGGGTGTTCACAACAGCATCACCTCCAGGGCCGAAGTTGAGCAGATCAGTGATCTTAACAGCGAGTGGAGTCCAGCTGGAAATGTTGTCGTCCAGATCGGCACTGGCCATGATAGCATCGGCGCGAAGATCCATATACTTCTTTGCAGATACAAGGTTGCCCCAATCACGGCTGCGCCAGTAAGGTGTAAGAACCCTGTCTCTGCGCAGAATACGGTCATCCATCCAGCGAACAATGATGGCATCAAAGTCAACACGATCCTTCCAGGCCTTCCACATCAAGGAGCGAGCCCGAGAAGTGGACACCACGAAGCGCTTCTTCGTGAGTCCCAGCGTCCGTGTAAGAAGATTTGACTGGAGACTGTCACAATAGCAGAAGGGGTTATCATGCACAAAACTGGTGTATTTCGGCTTGGACAGGACGCCTAGAAAATCGTGCTCAATCATAGGCGGAGTCTGGACCTTCTGCCCGTTGATAGTGGTGAAGATAGTGGGATGGAACTTGTGATCATACAACCATCGACTTTCATAGACGTCGGCGCCCTGAACAAAGCTGGCCTCGGTAACCTTGGAATGAGGAATCCAGCGTTCAACCTTCTCAGGGTGGCGACGTGGAGGCGCACACCAAGACACGGTACAGCTGATGTGGGATAAGACGAACTCGGCTCGCAGCAATTCATCACCGAAACGGGGGTTCTTGCGATAATGGTACTTGAAGCGGATAAGATTGCCATCTTTCATATATGAGCCCGACTCGATGAGACCTTTGCGATTGTATTGAACGCTTTGAAGATGGTTTGCTCCTGACACGCAACGTCTTCCGAGAGGAATACGAGACGAGGATTTGCTGAGTTTGAAGCCTTTCTTCACCGGGGATCGGTAGTCGTAGTGGTATTCGTTGCTAACCTTGCCATCCTTGAACTCCTGCTTGACCAGAAGCAACATCTCACTTGAATAGGTGCTGACGTATTTCAAGGATTTGACCTCCCTGGGCTCGGTCTTGTGTTCACCAGCGTAGTGGTAGATCTTGAAGCCACCATCGATTTCGTGGTGTCTGAAAGCTGTGAAGGTGCCTTCTAGACTCTGGACAATAACCCGGCTCTTCTTGATATGGATTGTCATGCCTTTAGTCTCTTCCCACAATCGCTTAACATTCTTGCGGCCATGGAACAGGAAGAAGGACAAGCCCAAATCTTGAACGATTTTAGAATAAACCCAGACCATGTTCAAGAAGAAGACGACTGGCACGCGGATAATAGTCGGAAGGTCCTGAGTGACATGGTTGAACTCTCTCTGGAATTCTGGATCTGCGACCAAAGCTACCACAAAGAACTTAACCATTGTTCCCAGCTTGTGGTAGATGTAGCTGAGTGGTGACTGCACCATCGACAATGCAAGTGGAAGCTTCCGGGGGAGGTAGGAGATGTACTTGGAAGTCTCAGGCTCTTTAGGAAGAGCGGCTTCTCCAGTTCCCCAGTGAGCGTAATCGAGAACGCTGATAGCAGTGGCTGCTCCAAGATTGCAACGTGCAACATGAATATCAAGGTTATCAGTGTCAAACTTGCAAAGACTCTTCTGGAGCCATTGGCGTTGGCTATCGGAGAGGCTGCATTGTTGACCCAGGCAACGCTTCAGTAGCACATCGCGAACTTCGGTGGGCAGCTTGTCCCAATGAATATCGGCCTCAAAGCCAAGGCAAAGCTGTCGAAGTAGTTCCTTCTTAGCCCAACGCACGACTGTAGTTGTGTTGGCCTCCTCTCGGAGCTGTCGAGCCATTGTGTTAGTTACTCCACCAGAAACAATTGATCCTGCCAATGACGCATATTCGTGGGGAACACCAATCACAAGTTCTGTGACAGCATGAAGCAATGTTTCAGCAATGATGTGACAGTTTTCACTGATGTCGAGACGTTCATCCAGAAGACCTCCAACGGTGATGGCTAGCTTCAACTGGTTTCCAGTACTACAACTGAGAGCACGGATACCGGGACCGAGAGAGCCAGGGGAAACAAGCTCAATGATAATGTTCCCCTTCTCCCAAGAGGAGATGGCAGTGTCGACAATTTTCTTAGAGGCAGGGAATGCCTCTTCAATTCTAAGTTCTTCTCTGCGGGATAACATAGCAGTCTTGATTTCGACACCGGGATGAACCCCAGGGTTGAGTCTGAATCGGGAGTCTGAAGGAAGCATCGCGTAACCTTCAAAGAAAGTCTGAAGCTCCTGCTGAGACCATTCAGGGTCATCCCAGGGTGTGGTGAACGCATGGAAGGTCCGGCCAAGTTCCACAGGAGAGTCGACTTTGTTGGGCATACCCATTTTGGCATTTCGGAGCGCGAGGATGGCGACAGTCCAGGTCGCAGATCCAAGTCCAATAATCTGCGAGTACGCGAAGTCAGGCAGACAGACCTTGAGCGCGATACCTACTGGCAATCCAATGCAGATACCAATGAGGAGAGGTTTCAGTGCATGGGGGCCCGTGAAGATCTTCGTGTATTGATACCAGATCAAGCCAGTGTAGGCGAGAACGTAGGAGAAGAAGACAATCATGCCTTCAAGCGAATCTTGGAAACTCCAGATGAGAGCGGTGGAAAGTGCAAGACTCCAGACGTGCCACAGGAGGAATCTCAAAAGAACTCGCCAGTAAACCTTTCGCCGAAGCTGCACTTCTTTCTTCTGGGCAATCCGAATCTCCTTGGCTGATCTGACAGAGATGGGGGCATTGCTACCAAGGGCGTCATGGAGCTCTACGGCTTTGGTATCAATGAGTACCGCACCAATCAAATAGTATGCAAGGGCAAAGCCAACAGCCATTCGATTGGCGTCATCCAACGCGCCTCCGAGACTGAGGATGCGATTGCCACTCAGCAACTGAGCCCATTTGTCGAGAAGAGCAATCACAAAGTAGAGAACGCCACATCCAATTTCCTTGCTCGATTGACGCCAGTGTACAAAGGCATTGTGCAGACGAAGACCTTTCTGGGAGTTGCGCAAAACGTCAAGTGCAACCTTGGTCTGGATGTTCCAGCCAGAACTGAACGGGATTGGTCTCGGCACATCTGCATGGCGACAGTACCAGTCAAGAAGGAAGTTGGTAGATTCCCAATCCCGAGCAAGTTCGACGACCATCTGATCTTTGGATGCTTTCGAGAAGATGCCGCGCTTCGTCTCAGCCAATACATCCTTTGACAGGGCTTCTCTGGCCACCTTGAGGGCAGCCGGGTCGCTCAGGTTTGCGAACACCTTCTCATCATTATGTCCATATGCAGCGATATACCACTTGCGGATCTCAGTATCATCAGTACGTCGCACGGACTGGTACCATGTGACCCATTTGGAAGTGACTGAACGAAGGCAGAGCAAAAGCACCCCAATGAAGATATAGATGACGGCAAGATAGACAGCTGAGTCGTGGCCAGTCCAGGCAGTGATGATCGGCGACAAGAACAGGATCGGAATGCACATGATGATTGGTTTCCGACCGGACAAAAATGTCGATCCTGGGTAGCTGAAGCTTGCAAGCGAGGCAAATGTTGAGAAGTAGATTGTCAGGGCGATCAGGTAGAGATAGAAGATTATACCAGCGCGAGGGCCTCGAACGGCGGAAAGGCAAACAAAACCGATCAAACCTCCGGCCACGGTAAAGGCAATACCGGCAATCAGACGAATGAGGACAAACATGTTTGCTGCTGCGAAGGCCATAGAAATGAGATAGTAGGGGCCACCACATGCGATCCAGGTACCAATTGCACCAGAAAGCAGGAGAGAGATCATCAGCGCCATAGTAGCACTGTCTTGTTCCTCGTAAGTCATGGCAGCAGAGAGATAGAGTCCGCGACCAATCATGGTAAGCAGAATAATATCAATCAAAGCCGGAATGGCGAAGACACTCAAGAAAGTGAATCGCTGGTATCCAGGCATAACCTTGGTTTTGTCATCGGGATTGACATCAATCTGCGCTCCAGCATAGGAAGTGGCGAGTTCTGGAGCACCGTTCACCCAGTTCGGTGGCTGATGGTCTCCGTAGTAGGCCCTGAACCGGTCGGACAGCAGCTTTCCAAAAACACTAGGCGATACATCGAAATATGCCTCACATCGCGATCCAAGAGCGAAAGACTCTGCGAAGGCGGCGGCTTGATCGGAATGGTTGTTAAACAGGGGGTTTCGATCAGTAACCTCACCGTAGATCTCATCAAAAGCACCCTTTCTTGCGGCACAGAACAAGGCAAGAGCCATCATGTCCACATACGCGTCAACGGAGCCACCTTGAAGAAGTGCGCAAAGACCACTGGTAATGGCAGCGAGTTCATCCTCACGGCGATATCTCAAGACATCAGAGAGAACGCTGTCGACTTGATGGAAGAGATCGAGACAGACGTTGAGAGAGGGGTAGGTACATCCTTGGTCTAGGTACCAGTTGATGCGAGACCTGATGAGATCTTCGGCAGATGTCGAGCTTTCAAGATACCCGACCGTATTTAGCGCCTTCAGCTGAGCAAAAGAAGGAGCATCTACCAGTTGCTTGCGGATATATGCGCAGACAGCGGCAGACAGCTCGCTGTGGACATCAGTCAGAGACAAATGTTGCAGGAGAAGAAGACGCTCTTCAGGACTGAGAACATCAATATCTTGAATCAGTCGACGGGGAAGGCCGGTATCGAGGGAAGTATCCTTCGACCATGCCGCAAAAGTTGCCTCTGCATCGAAGCAAACATGGCGAGGAAATCCCTTTGCCGAGAGAAAAGTGTGAAGAATAGTACCAGCGAGACCTTGCGCATTTTTGGATACGAAAATCTCAATACTTTCACTATCCAGGTCGAAAACGGCCCAGAAGCGGCAATCGGGGCTCTTGCGCAGACCAGAATCGAGTGCCAGATTTACATGCAACTGATCGTTGGATGCCCAGTTGGCTAGTTCTTTTATAGATCCAGCCAATTGATGGTCGTCCTCAAAGAGATCCAGGGAGTCGTGGAATTGACGCAGAAGGTGTCCAATGCTCTGGATCTTGGTCACCGGGACAGGGTGAAGAAGGTTGAGAGACTTGAGCCGTTGCTGCGATTGAAGAATTTCTGCAAAGGCCAAAGGGGTCGCATCTGAACCGAGTGGGAAACAACCAAGAGAGTTATAGGCCATCCCTGACATAGAGATAGAGAGAGGGCTGCCCTGTGATTTGACCTGTGCAACCCATTCTGGAGGATCACGCAGTCGACCAGTCGGGCTTTCCGGACCTTTGGAGTAGTATTCCATTGAATCGAGTAACGATTCAACAGCAGGGAACTGAGGCTTGAGAATATCCCAGCCCTTCTTGTTACTTGGGGTAGGCAGGACGTTCAAATTTGCACGCCAAATATCATGTGCCTTCATTATCTCTGCTTCCTTCAACCAACCAAAAGCCGGGAGGGGCTCAAGAGTCGTTACATTCAAGTCCGCATCGTGGAGAGCTGCTTCGGATCCGATCCAGGTAATCGCACTGTAAAAACCGCACCATTGGATAGATCTGCGGACAATGGCATTGGAAACGGTGACATTATCGTCGACGGTTTCCCACGCCATTACCACAAAGTCTCTCATGCAAGACTCGGAAACGAATGCCTTGATTGTTGCTTGTAGTTCGATCATTTGGAAGTAATCCCGCTTCTCCCCGGAAGACAAGATACTAGCATTTCGAATGATTAAGCCTGCAACGGCATCGGTTTGCACAGCCTTTCGATCCTTCAAGAAGTGTGGTGGCTCCGACTCGAGATAGACCGCTAACCCGAGACTGGCGATGGTTTCGAACAGTATTCTCCGAGCGGTGGGACGGAGTACATCTTCCCAATTTGCGAGAAGAACACCGGAAAACGCAGTATCGTTGAAACTGCTCGCGAGAACTTCCTCGACCTTTTCGATGACAGTTAAGGGCGATGCCTTGGGAGAGAGGATCTTGCCGAAATCAATCCGACCCAAAACTTGGCTGCGCTCGTGCCTGGAAATAGCTCTGGCAACTCCTGACTGGAAGGGATCGACAACCAAGACATCCCATTCTTGTAGAAGTCTCTCTTGCGAGGCAGTAGGTGGGTTCTCGAAGCTTCCCAAGTAAACTCCGAAGCTTGTGGGCTTTCCCTGGTGCGGGCGAGTGTTGATTAAGTCGAGTTCTCGGTTGGCTAGCTTTTCGAGACGTTTGGAGACATTCGAAGGTACAATGTCCGGTAAGGGTCTCGACTAAAGAAAGACTAGGAGTTAATATCCGAACTAGTCGGGAAGATGTGGGCGACGGATATATCATACCTTGTAGTATTTGATGAGCCTTCTGACGCCAGAAAATACAATAGAGCATGTACCGATGGTGACCGTTAACAATAATACGCCAATGAAGATCTAGATCAATGATTAGCATGTCATCGAGCTTCATGGACACAACAAGAGCGCCAAACGTCAAGTTGTAAAGATGACTAGAGTCGACATACAAATTGCCACCAGAACTCTTTCATGAACTGCCATCCCAGGGGATGTGGCTTCACTGGGAGGTGATCTACGTTCGTCATTATGTCGAGATGTCGAGTCTCTCGACTCGATGGGTCTTTGAGGCAATGTCAGAGGCAAGAGGAAAGAATATCTTGCCAAGTATAGAGCTAAGAGGTTCTCAAACACAAATGCCTATAGTGACATGCTTAAACGAGTGACTGGTGGGAAGCCAAGAACGCAGATGTCGAAGAAAAAAAAAGGAAATTGGATAGCTCGAGGTAGCTCAAGCGTTCACAAGGTGATAAGGTAAAAGAGTAGTGGGGGAGGGCTCAAGTGAATATCCACTTCCCCAAGCCCGCATAAGTAAAGTAGACAATTTTGCCTCCTGGGGTTCCCCTTGTCATTTGCCAGGGGGACAGGGGAAAAAAGAATTATAATAGCTTCGCCTCTTTTAGACTGATTGGGACAAAGGGTGTGTGTGATAGCCCGGTAGCAGTCTAGGCGTCTAATTGAAGCTGACATCCCAGAGCCAGGCAAAAATAGCACGCTAAAAGGCTCTGTTAGTTGCAGGGCTAAAAGAAGCCACTAACAGACCAGGGCTGACCGATGAGACAGGCCCAGTTGGTGGAGCCAAGCGTAGGTACGGTTTCCCCCATATGCTGCCATGTGTATGGCAAAGCCATGCGATATCGTGGCATGGATACCAGAGTGCAACATGTTGGGTCCTAACGATTCATTCAGATCTCACTGAACACATCTAATTGCCCATATCGGCCACCTGTTTTACGGCGATGTATCTATTTTGTCGGGTTTCGCCTAGCCCGTAAGCGATGCCGTTAGACACGGGCTAGAAGGATCATGACATTCTGCGCTGGCCAGGACCCGGAATAGTGAAGTCTTGGCTGGATTAAAAAAAAAGAAAAGAAAGACAAATAATAAATCATATCATAAATTATAAATCACAAAATCATAAGCAATATAATCCAAATACCAAAGGCCATATGAAACCAGTGGGATGATCGAAGATGGGGGATCTCGGCAATTGAAACAAAGGGAACGAGGAATTGAAAATTACCCGGATGGTCCAGGTATCACGTATAACGGGTAACCATCGCCCTGTCTTCCGCAATACCTGCAAATACCAAATACCCCGTACTGGTATCTGGTATCTTGTACGAGACATGTTCTCCACGCCAAGGTCTGGACCTGACAACCTACATACCTAGGTAGGTAGGTAGGTAGGTAGTGTGTATTGCGTTGTATGGACGAGGTGGTCTCCGATGAAGTGGACTCTCATAAGAGCCCCAAAGGCCGCAGAGTCCACTCCGAGTTAAGGCCTTTGCATTCCTAATGCAATGCGTTGTCCTCGGAGCTTTTCGTCCTGTCATGGCGTTCATTCCATGTCTTAGGTGGATTGCCTTGACTTTGCTTTTTTCCTTGCTTTTTTTTCCTTCGATTCTCATGGTTATTTTTAACCCAAAGGCAAAAAGGAAAAAGGACAAAGGACAAAAAAAGAAAACATTCAGCATGACACGCTGCAGACTTTTCCCCTGGCCCTGCCAAGCTCAATGGTTGACCAATAATATACCCTGGCAATAGGAGGCCACACTCCATGTACCTGCGATAGGTATGGCGCCTTCGGACGTCTTCACCTTTCCAAGTACGGAGTAGTCGGATCCCAAGACCAGATGAAGTGGAATTTGCCCTAATCTAGTGAAGACACGCCACATGGAGCCTCGTATGGGCCAAAGTGAGAATTTAGATCCGTGCGAGATACTCTCGGTATTAATTTAACACTGAAAAAGCCACTAGACACAAAAGGCGATAGGCCTTGGAGCCCTGGCTAGCTCCGAAGGGGGTTTGATCCGCTATAAAGACGATGATCAATGCACTTGTGGGTAAACACTACGCAGGCTAATTCCGTTCGTTCTGGTATACCCGTATCGCATTCCCTAGCTGTCAGTCGTTAGTCCTGCAGACGTGCATATTGTGTGACCCTCCCCATCAAAGTACCTGGGCAAGATCAAGATGGTTGCCGTCCCAGTGTGGGCCTTGAAGGTCGGCTGTTTCTGGGGCTTTATAACTTGCGACACTGCCCCTGGTGTTTGGCCTGATCACAAACCGACTGTCATTGCCTACCATCCCCCGACCTCGACTCCAACCTCAACTGCTACTAGTTCTGCTAGTACCACTGTTGGTGTGAGCTCGACGACGATCGTTACTTCGGCACCTTCGTCGACCCCCTCTGTCTCGGTTACTTTGTCTGTGTCTGACTCTACCTCTATTGGTAGTGGTTCAAGTACGGTCACTGCATCGAGCACCACCTTCGTTACTGTTACCTCATCCAGCTCCGGCTCCTCGGGCTCTTCTTCGGCTTCTACTTCCGGTTCTTCTACGGGCTCAGTGACTGTCACTGTTCCTACCGGTTCTTCAAGCACCCCTGTCCAGAGTGGGTCTTCTTCCGTCTCATCGGGCTCTTCATCCAGCTCTGTGACTTCATCTTCCGGTACTTCGACCAGCTCGTCTACCCCACCAACCTCTAGCAGCGTGACATCGACGCCTAGTACAAGTTCTACTTCGTCGTCGGTCATCTCCTCTTCGACTTCCTCGTCGTCAACTGTCTCTCCTTCTTCTTCTTCTTCTTCTTCTTCTTCTTCTTCTTCTTTTTCTTCTTCAGTTGTCTCATCTACGCCTAGTTCCTCGAGTGCTACTGTGACTACTACCACCATGTCGTCCAGTATCTCGGTCTCACCTACTGCCTCTGCCACCCCTATCATTAACGCCGCCGTTGCAGCCAACATCCTGGTCATTGCCAGAGATGATGCTGCTGCAAGCGTGGCCAGCTCTGGCCTCAATGGATACGGCATTCCATTCACCACTCTGATTGTCCCCTCTGGTGGTGCCACTCTTCCCGATCTCAATGGCACCGCTGGAGGAAACTTCGGTGGTATTGTTGTTGCCGCCGAAGTCAGCTATGACTACGGTGACGCAGGCTTCCAAAGTGCTTTGACCACCGATCAGTGGAACCAGCTCTATGCTTATCAGATCGAGTATGGTGTCCGTATGGTGCAATATGATGTCTTCCCCGGTCCCAAATACGGTGCTTCTTCCATCGGTGGATGCTGCAATGACGGCATTGAACAGCTTATCTCCTTCACCGATACCAGTGATTTCCCTACAGCTGGCCTCAAGACTGGCGCTGGTGTCAGCACCAGTGGTCTGTGGCATTACCCTGCGACTATCAGTAACACTACCTCAACCAAGAAGATTGCTGGCTTTGGCATTGCCACAGGCTTCCCTACCGACAGTGTTGCTGCCGTCATCAATGATTTCGATGGACGTCAGCAGATGGCATTCTTCATCGGCTTTGACACTGTTTGGAGTTCCACCTCTAGCTACCTGCAGCACGCATGGATTACCTGGATTACTCGCGGTCTGCACGCTGGATACCGCCGTGTCAACCTCAATACCCAGATCGATGACATGTTCCTAGCGACCGAAATTTACTTCCCCGGCGGGCAAGAGTTCCGTGTTCGTGCCTCGGATATGGTTAACATTGCCTCATGGACTGACGAAATCAATGCCAAAATGCCCGCTGGCAGTTCTTACTTCGTTGAAATTGGCCACAACGGTAACGGAAACATCGAGAACTCTTCCGATAGCTCAGACGCTGGCTGGAGCGCTTGCGGAGGTGCTATTGACTACGACTCACCCCCTGATACCGAGCTTGAGTGGATGAAGCCTATCGGAACTGGCACTAATCTCTGGCCCGATGTTCCCACTACTTATGACTGGACTGCTACTTGCACTGCTATGGATGAGCTCCTTGCCTGGTGGACTACCGAGAGCAACCTTAACAAGTTTGGCCACATCTCCCACACATTCACTCACCAGGAGCAGAACAATGCTACCTACAGCGATGTCTTCAAAGAGATTAGCTTCAACCAGGCTTGGCTCAAGGCTGTCGGTATTGACCGGGCTACCAAGTTCACTTCCAACGGTATCATTCCTCCTGCCATCACTGGTCTGCACAACGGTGACGCTCTTCGTGCTTGGTGGGAGAACGGCATCACCAACTGTGTTGGTGACAACACTCGCCCTGCCCTCATGAATGCCGCCAACAACATGTGGCCTCTCTTCACCACTGTCGCCGCCAACGGTTTCGATGGTCTGCAGATCAACCCTCGCTGGGCTACTCGGATTTACTACAACTGTGACACTCCTGACTGCACTACTGAGGAATGGATTAACACCTCAGCTGGCGCCGGTACATTCCAGGATCTCCTCGAAGTTGAGAAGGGCGACACCATGCGCCACCTCTTCGGTCTCTTCCACGACGGTTACATGTTCCACCAGGCAAATCTCCGAAACATTGATCTTGACCCAATCACCATCAACGGTGTCACCAAGAAGTACTCTATCATGCAAGCTTGGGTTGAGACCCAGGTTCAGGAATTCGTCCGCCTGGCTAACTGGCCCATCATCACTCTCACCCACCAGGAGGTAAGATCAATTACTTTCAGCCTCTTCATACTCTCTCGATCATTTGCTAACCCTCTTCATAGATGTCCGCTTCCTTCCTTGCCCGTTTCAACCGCGACAAGTGCGGCTACTCTCTGAGATACGCCACCAACAACAATAAGATCACTGCCGTCACTGTGTCTGCCACCGGTAACACCTGCGCTGAACCTATCCCTGTGACCTTCCCCGTTGCTCCTACCAGCACCCAGGGCTTCGCTACCGAGCAGCTCGGTGCTGATCCTCTGACCGTCTGGGTCAAGCTCTCTGGCTCTCCCGTCACCTTCACTCTCTCTACCCCCATCTCGTTGTAAGAGCCTCTGAAAATGATTGCTCTATCCTCATCTGGCAAGTTCATATACTTTTCGGGTCTTGTTGATCACCCATCAATTTCATTTTATCTTGTGGATATCTTTTCTAGGTGTCAATAATGGCTTTTATATATGAAGCAAAATATGTGAACGAAAGAACTTCTTGCATTTTCTGTTGATACGAAGAATGAATACTATACTTGTTAATGCCTGATGTCAACTACAATGATAGGAGAATATGTAATTTGATTTTCATTTCTTGAGATAAATCCACATACCCTCTATCGTGGTCGACAACGCAGCCGGCAAGGATCATTCAGTGCTATGCCGTAACCTTCCTAAAGAAGAATGAGGCCATCACCCTCAACACCACGCTTTGATATTCTGTCTGGCAATCTGACCTCAGCGCGGGGCACTGCCATCCATGCCGTGCTGCAGGTCCGAGGTAACGTCCACGATGCTGTATGAGCCACCAGACGGCACACAAGTGTGCGCTCATTATTCGATTCCGCCCACTCAGTGCAGTGTGGAAAATATATCCCCTGCATTGCGCAGAACCCGAAGAGAAACAACTCTCCGACGCCAAGCCATCAAAAGTCAATCTTGGCAAAAGGAAATCACCTCATAGATCGCATCTAGACCCAAGTCCGAAAGCAATATAGTCCATCTAGGGCCTGCCATCGCAGGCCGTGTCTTGATGACCGCACTCTACCACCCTACCATGCCACGCTACTATCCCGGCCTAACCAAGGACCGCGAGGCTCGCGATTGATGCCGCGCCAAGGGCTTCGGAGAAATTCGATCGTGTCTCGGAAGTCGGAAACCAGTGGATGTACTCCAACTGCTAGACTGGATCGGGCAATGTCTGAGATGTTTGCATGTACATAATCCTCCGTACTCCCTACCTGTCCAGTCGATACCATGCAGGCTGCATAGTGGAATCGTATACCAGCCCAACGCCACGGTTGCCTATAGCGGGAGCTATACGATGCTCGCCTATGCACCAACGACCTCGTTCACTCAATTAGGCCTCGAAAGGAGGCTGCTTTCCTCAATTGGGATACTCAGCCGCAGAATGGCACCATGTCGGGGATATCCGCTAGTGCCTTTTCTGAGCACTTTAGCCATTCGGCCTCGGATTTAACGGGCCCAACCTGGTCAGCATGTCCTATATACCTAACCCCTTGTACTTACGATGTATATCATGTATGAAATACTCCGTACCCTGGCTGGGGGTTGACTCGGCATTGAGCACGTCACTGCCGCCCGATACTTTTCTTTTTATACTTCCGAAGGCGTTTTTCTCGTACTTGTATATTTGCACTAACCCGGGTCAGGCAACAATGACCAGACCGTGGAAAGAATACGAGAACCATCTACCTAGCGTGCATTGTCGGTGACGTTCTGAATCAGAACGTCATGAAATAGGTCAAGCGCGAAAGTGGTGATGAGGTGTCCAACGGTCAAGTTTAGGAACCCGTTAAGCGCGAACTTGGTGAGAGGCTCGAGCTCTTGGATTCCACAATTCAGGGCCGAAAGCGAAATTAATGATCTCGTATAGAGTCAGGATCGTAATTGCCCAGTCCCGCGATCCCGTCTCAGTAAGCGGGTGTGGCGTCCAGCACCGGCCCGGGAAGGGGAGAATCAGGCGATTGGGTTGTCAGAGACGATGTATATTGTAGATCCACACGCCGATCGGGCTTAGTTTGCTTGTTGCTTCTCGGTTTCTTTCCTAGCGACATCGGCTCTTTTGACATCAAGCGTTATACGGAGTACGTACCAGGGTGAAGCTGGAAACGAAGTGGTACAATTTCAATACAATATAAGCCAATGATTGAAATGGTACTCCGTACGGAGTCACATTCTGTAGTGACATTTAGCGTGTCGATTTTAAATCCGAATGTCGACATTGAACTCTTGCTGCACATAAGCATCATTCAAGCGAAGTTTTCAAAACATCAGATGACAGATATCCCTGTCTTCGACCAGGGGCGGACAACTCAGCAGTGATAATCCTCTCACCCGAACAGCCGGTGATTCGCACGGACTGATTTTTAAATCGACTGATCATCAAGAACTCGACCTGATTCAGCCTTCGGAGGCCCAATTAGTTAGGGCTAGCGCAATACCGCGCCGTCTTTGCGAGGTTTCTCGGGTTGTTTGCAAAAACAGGACCTTTCTCGGGTTACGGTAATATTACCAGATATATCCATGTAAAATACACCCCGTACCCATGGTTGTGACGGCTAAATCGGACTCGATTTTGCGATTCTAGACACCTAAGGCTAAGACGCTTGCCAGCGCATGCATCTTTCCCTCGGATTATTGGCAATGTTCCAGATCAGAAAATTCGCTTCGTTATGGTATCCTGACATTGTCATGAATTTCTCTTCGGGGGGTTACTGTTGGGTCACGATGGACGCCAGATGACCATTCAAAAGCTTCATAGTAGTTTGTTCGCCCTAAGCTCACGGTATGTCGGCCGTTCGCGGTAGCCAAGCCCGAACATGGTATAGTCATCCGTTGAGCGAAAGGAGATTTGCCGGAGCCTTGTGTCTATTTTGGGCGACAAAGTAGCCTACGGTGGCTCTACTGCATACTAGGAACCGCCGTCGCATGTTTTGTTGGCCATATTGTCCCTGGCGATTTGAAATCCGACTGGCCCCCTGAGCTGTTGTGGCTGCCCCATGTCACGCGATTTCTTTCATTTGCACTTTGTACGGAGTAGCCATTGCCTACCCAACAGCATCGGTATTGGGAACGGATATAACATCGGATTGCGAATATCGAGATCGGCTCCGATCACATTCCAACAGGATCAACAGTGGTTCCACCACCTTATTTTCGCCTAATGGCAGTGGCCCCGAAATTGTAGTCCCAAGTGGCTGTGCTTGGCATCCAGGCTTCCTCATTTTCCCCTGCGACTTTGGTCTATGTTCCACCTTGCTCTTTCAAGTCTACTCGGGACATAGACAAGGCGTTTTCTAGCTGAACTTTGCTTTTCCTAGGGTGACATCCAGTTCTGCTGTACGGAGTACCCGAGGGGATCCCCACGCCCCAGCCCCGTCTGGCGCTCAATCTGGACCCTGTCGGTTTGAGCTTAAAGATGCCAATCTCCCGATCTAGTGCCTGCTGATCTTTACGTCTCTCGTTTTTCGTTTTTCTTTTCTCTTTCGTGCCCATACCCCCCCTTAGAAGCAAAATATCCCACAGAGACTACGCTTGATCTCACCACTATATTACAAACAAGCCACTAAACTCTTCCCCCGCTATTGTCTCTCTCTCCAATCTACCCCCATGAGCGCAAAATCTGGCTGGTGGGCCTGGTCCACTAAGAAGAAGGTCCTTGTCTTGGGAACTATCGCTCTGGTGGTCATTGGATTAGGTGTCGGTCTAGGTGCCGGACTGGGAATCGGCCTCAAAGGCAGCGGAGACGATGATAATGACAACGAAACCGGAAGTGGCGGTACAAACACAACCACTCCAACCACTCCAACCACCCCCACCAACACAACCGTGAAATGGCAGCCTGCCGTTGGCACTAAATGGCAGATCGTCCTGAAGACCGATAAAGTCATCACCTCGGTAGACGCGCCAGTCTACGACATCGATCTCTTCGACAACACTAAAGCCTTCATCGCCGACCTTCAAGCCGAGGGTCGCAAAGTCATCTGCTACTTCTCCGCTGGCTCGTACGAGGACTGGCGCGACGACGCCGACGACTTCGACAAAGCCGATCTCGGCAAGGACCTCGAAGGATGGGCCGGCGAGAAATGGCTGAATGTCAAGTCTAGCAACGTGCGCAAGATCATGCAGGAGCGTCTTGATGTCGCGGTGGAAAAGGGCTGCGACGGTGTCGATCCTGATAACACCGATGGATATGATAATGAGAATGGACTCGGTCTCACTGAGGATGATGCTACTGACTACGTCAACTGGCTGGCTCGGCAGGCTCACAAGCGAGGTCTCTCGGTTGGATTGAAGAACAGCGCTGCTATTATTTCCTCTGTTATTGATAACATGCAGTGGTGTGTCAATGAGCAGTGTGCTCAGTATGATGAGTGTGATACATACGAGCCTTTCATCGATGCCGACAAGCCTGTCTTCCAGATCGAGTACCCCAAGGGTGATAATACCAACGACAACAAGTCTGTGTCGACCAAGCAGGCGAACTCAGCTTGCACTGCTTACAAGTCCGGGAACTTCTCGACGGTCATCAAAAACATGGATTTGGACAATTGGGTCCAATATTGCCCTTGATGTTTTGAAATTTGTGCTTAGAACGAGCGCGACCCTGTCTAATTGGAAATTTGCACTGCATGTATAAATAATGAGATTTACTTTTGGTCCATCCTTCAAGGCTTCTTCCCTCTCCGAAGTATCAGCGCTAATTGAGCAGGTACGAGTTGATCGAACAAGTGGGAGCCGATTGAACAAGTAAATGGGCAAGTCGCTACGAAGTGCATGACGCTTAGATATCCCATGACCCCTGAAATGCAGCTGCACTCTGTCATCGTCAACACTTGACACCTTTGCACACAAGCAACTTCCCTCCGCGTCCCATTCATCCACGTCGTCAAAAATGTCCCATTCGGCTACCATTGCCTTCAATTGATGAGACAATAACAAGAGAACCACGGAACAAGCAACCCCAAGTCCAACGAAGGGGAGACTAAAAGCGCCTTGCTTGGAAACACCAGCACGCCCATCACATCATCGCCATTTTCTGCCTGGATTGAACAAGGTTAGGCTTTCAAGTCAGCCAGCATCTTTGGGTCCCAGGGTTTACAGTAAACTCAACACCTAAGCAGTCATAGACTCCATACTATTAGCCTTGGTGCTGGCACTATTGCCAGCCTAAATGATGAACACATTCACAAAAGAGCCATCAAACCGCGCCATCGTCGGCTCAAAGTTCTCGTGTTTCTAGCGCCTTCTCATCACCACTGCTTATTGAGCACGGTGGCTGTAACCTGCCACTAGTGCTTGGTCCAATTCTCCGAAATTTCCGCGTGTCCGGAATATTTTCTCGCAAGGCTGGGGAGACTGGAAAATGGGTGTGCGGCCACTGCTCCGTATCCGGAGTAAATGCGTATCAAGTCTCGGGTTTTGCGCCGATTCAGGCATCCGGCAATAGCTCTTTTGTTTTCCCGCTCCTGGTATTTTTATTCCAAATATCTTTCTAAAGTTGAACCCCATGTGGCTAGTCGCTTTGTAGGGCTGGCAGGGGCTGAGGTTTGTTTACCTAGGTACCACCAGCCAAACCGGACATTATCCTTGCCGATTGCTATGTTGCCACCCAAGAATGAGAAAATTTCCTTCTTTGCCATAAAACAGAGCATTTACCACGACGATCTCGACGGCATGAGCCGCATTTCTAGTGCGTTGAGCGGGGATGAGAGACAGAGGAAAATCTGTTACATATAGAACAGTGTCCGTCCGTCTTGGCCCATCTTGGCAGATGCATTGGCCTCTAGATCGAAGCTTTGCTGGTTCCTGATTGGGCAAGTTCGAGAGGTTCGAATCTTGTTTGAACCCGTAATTTTCGATTCGCCATGTGTTTGGCGGGTAGACCTTCCATGGTTCCCTGTAATTTTCAGCCTTGTTTCAATTCCATTTCCAGGTACCGGGGCAAGAGACGGGTATTGAATTTGTAATTTTCAGCTCTCTGTCAGGTATCCGGGTATGTACCTGTATATATGTAATCTCAGAGTGTATTTTCCGCCATTGACCTGTTGAGAATGGAGTTGACATGTCAGAAATCCTAATATTGGGGGTATGTATTCGGTTCCCCCATCGCCCTTACAGAAATGCCGGGCTGAATTCTGAAATCGCACGCAGTGAGCCAAGATAAGTCTGCGACACCGGTCTATTCTTACCGAGAACTCAATGGGCCAGAGTCTAGAGGCTGATTTGGTTTAGTCTCAACCCCAATTCGACACAGTAGCGTTGCATGAAAAGAAGTACAATGTCTCGCAGCCGATCTGAATACAATGACCGGTGAGGATGGGAAATTCTAGGTCGACGATAACTCCGGAGTGGCTGGTAGCATGGTCTTCTGCAGTCTCTTCGCTTTTTCTTTTTTTTTGCCCCTGCTTTTGGATCCCCGTCCTCAAAGTTTGCTATACCCACTTTCCCCAAACAAGCTATGCTGCCCGGGTCACAAAAAAAAAGCAACCAAGGGGAATGGGGCACTAAGATCGGCTGCCCGAGTGGTTCTCCCGGGCGGATCTACCCTCGTTTCCCCTCGCGAACCTATGGGTTGTGTGGCAACGGATCCTCGGGTAGAAGTGCCATCCACTGGGTTTGCCTGGAGTACTAGTCTCTAGACATAAATCTCTGAACGGAGTACGGAGTACTCAGAGAGAAGGGAAACTAGCCCCCGAAGCTAGAAAAATGAGGTGTTTTCACGAGGAAATAGTCAACTCTTGGCACCGGCCATCCTAAGCGAGCATTTCTCCGCCGTCTCCCATTTCAAGGTTCCGTGGTTGACTGCAGGGAAAGTCAACACCCTCGATTCGATTATCCGAGTTGGGACGGTGGCTTTGCAAAAAACTGCAGGGCGAAGCGAACATGCGAACTCATCGAACTTGAATGCACGCGAGGCGAAACCCGTTCGCCGAAAATTCAGATCTCGACGTGTCCACCCCTGCAGGTTCCGAAGTGCAGCCATTCCCTCGCGAGTGCCTTTGTTATTTCTCACAATGCCGATCTCTGGGCTTTTGTGCAAATAGCGCCTTCATAATTGTACTTTGCACTATTGATCGACTAGCTCGTCGTCTGGAAGTAGTTATGATCGTCTAGTTTAAGCTCGATAGAGTAAAGCCATGTCCGAGTAAGATAATATTGACGGATAGTTCCAATTTATGGGCTTACAGCATACAACTAGTTCATTGCAGCTACCCAATACTAACCTGTATCTAAGAGATAGATCGACAATCCTTTCAGCCATGCATACGGAGTACTCCGTGGTCGCTGTCCTGTTTGTCCCGAACTACCCGGCCATGCCACGAGGTAGTGGCTTCCGCCACCGGCGGTCAACATCAGGGGTGCGATCTAAGTGATAGATAGTACCTTCAAGGTTGAAGAACAAGGATTGGAGATGTAGGATACTTCTACAACATGCATGTTGCATCAAACTGCCAAGGATCAGCCTGGTCTTTTTTCCTCAGCGGCATATCATGCATGCTATCTCATCTCCGGACAAAAGACCAATATTGCCCGCGACAGTAGTCATCAGGATCGCTCGCATTACGCCAGGGGCTGGAAGGTGGGAAATGGTGAAAGCTTCGAATTCGCTAGCTGTGCGTCATGTCTTGGTGCAACAACGTCCGACCTCGGCCTGGTTCCTGAAATATGACCGCGGTTGGAATAGGACAGGTCGAGTTCGTAACTTGCTAGCTTCAGTTAGACCACGTTGGACATGCATCCATTGTTCCTGTTCCAATGCAGCGTTGTATCATAGGCATCTGGGTTCGGATGGTGGACGTACCGATGACCTGCGCCAATGCTGAGTGCTAACATCCGAAATCTGTTGTTCATGTGTCATGTCCCACATTGCTGTTTCATTAGTTGTTCATTTTCTACTTTCTCCGACGTACAATATACTTTATCTACGCTTGCAGCCAAGTATCACATCCCCCACTTCTGTCTCAAGATGTTCCAGTTGAGGACTCCGCACCATGCCCAATCTCAAATTCAAGGATGAAGCCCACCGTGTACCGAAACAGTGGCTGAGGATATGCCTCGCCAAGACTGCCCAGTGCCAGACTTGCAGGGTTATTTCGGGATACCTGCCAGCTCTGCGACGACATTGGCTGTATGCGTACAGGGCGCTATCTGCATGTTTCATGGAATCGATCGGAGGACCGCTAACTCAGAGACATCCCAAAGAATGCTGGCTCAGGTCGCGATCCAGGAAAGGAAGGTCTGATCTTGGAAAGAAATGGCATTTTGATACCGTCTCAACGCTTGGGCTAAAAAAAGACCACTTGGAAGTCATGTCAACACTAGGTCTGGTCGCGCCACGTTTAGTGTATGCCTCGTATCCAGTGCATGTCCCACGACAAACCCGCTCGTTCTAGTCCTAGAAATAGACCACGCTCTGCGAGCCATTCGATTTCCCCTCGCCACACGTTCCAATTGACAGGTTCTCTGTGAGTGGTGGGTATAGTTGCACCTTGAGTTCTTAGTGCCATTCCGCCGTATGTATCGGCGTATCGACTTCTTGGCATTGGAGAAGACGAAAAGCAAAAGTACAAAACCCAGAAACAGTTGCAAATTACCGCAATACGAGTCTTTCCTCTCCACTCCACCTAAGAAGTATAGCTCATCTTACGGAGTAGTGAAAGACCGGTTGCGTTGAGACGACAGGGATGTGAGAGAGATTTTTTTTTCTTTCCAGAGCCTTGCCACAGATCGTAAAAATCAAGTGAAAGTAAAAAATGTACGAGAAAATTAGCAATTCGTTGACTCATTAAAAACCAAAAGACCCAAAACTTGCTAGCTTTGCTAAAAGCAAGATGTGCATACTTGACCCCATTGCCTCACTGGAGCGTATCAACCCGAAAACAAGTATTTTGTAATCCAAAAATCCAAAAGAGAAAAAATATTCAAGATCAGGCTGCCATCAAATCAACAAACTCAGTCCATTTAGACCCGAAGGAGGCATAATAGTCTGTGTCGAGATGGGTGATGTACACCTCATCAGCAACCTTGCGCACCTCCTTGACGAGGCTGCGGAGCGATTTGCCCTCGATAGCTTCAGGCACGGAGTGAACAATAGCGCAAAGTTGGCTGCGATCACTATCGGCAATACTTGTAAACAACTTGGCGCCCTGCCGTTCCTGGAAAGTGGTGTAGGCAGCTTCGAACACAACGGTGGAATCAGCCGTTGCCAAGTACCGAGAATCCGGGACAGCGCCCGGGTTATGGACAACCTGATAGTGCTTCGTTAGTACCATGGACTTCGCCTATATATCCCAGAAGGGGAAACGGATATATGAAGTGCAGGCTGACCGGGGGAGGATGGGGAGGAGGGAACGGAATCAATAAAGGCATAGTGTAGTTCTGAAAACGGATGGGGGATGAATGGACCAGGGGAACCAAAAACGCAAAAGAGGACCAAACATAATAAAGAACCATAATTATGCCTCGACGAACGAAGATGTGAGACAGGGGTGTGGTATGGGCAGTGAATGGTAAAGTAACCAAACCGAGTGTCAGAGGAAATTCTCACTCACAAATGGATCAGGACCAAGGCCTTCAAGATCTTTGACAAAGTCTGTCAGTCCTTCCAAATACGTGAAGGTTTGAGCCTCATATTGCTGGGGGGTTTCATCGAAGAAGATTCCGCGAACTGCTAGGTTGGGGTTGGAGGAATTGGTGGGCCAGTCGGCATAGGTTTGGATATCCTTTCGCACAGCAGAGACATCCCGTTTGCCGTATGAGGTATACACATACCCCAGGAGACGCACATTTTCGTAAGCTGTGAGCTTAGGGATGGCCATGGTGTAATTGGCATCCGGGAGGGCGTCAGGCCCAGGACCATTTCCTGGATTGATTACGACGGTAAAATTGACCTCAGGGTGGGCAGATATCCTGTGGCGTTTAGCAGCTGTTCAAGATCATTTTACTTTTTATTGAATTATTTATTTTTCATAAAAAAAAACAAATAAAAATTGTGATGTGATGGTCTGGCGCCTGAACGGCGCGACACAACTGTGAGCGTGGCGGGCTATCGGCCGGGGGAGAATGAAATTGGGAAGCAGGACTGGGGAGAGGAGATGAAAAGGGTTAGACATACACTTCTTCCAGCGGCGTCCAAGCCTCAGGAGCAGGGTACACATAAAGTGGAACGAAGACTTTCGCTTTCGGACCCATGCTGTTCTTTTTGCGCGTGGTGACGACAACGGAGGGAACAACGGCAGCAATAATGACAATGAGAACAACAATGGCCAAGATGAAACGAGAGCGCTTCGACTTAAGACACCCGCGCTTGCTCACGTGTTTTTCGGTTTCGGACATGTTGGGCTCCAGGGGAAAGAGAACAGTTGAAGGGAATAGAAAGTGGATTCGACGACACTACCATTACATATGGCCATCTGGACAACAGTGGCAAGCTAATACATAACCAATGGATCGGAACGAGTTGCACCAGTGCAAAGTCTTAGTCTGAGGAGGGGCCTCGGCCCTATGCAGAAAGGGTCTTGGATGAGACGTAGAAAACCCAGAAAAAATAATAATTCGATTATTCCATTAGCTCCAGCTGAGGCTTTGGAGTACCGCTGAGGTGGATGCACTGAGGGCATCTGGAGGTACAGAGTCATATCCCAAGGTCCAGCCGCATGTCTGGCCCACCAAGGGGCATCCTGCCCGATGCTTCTGTTCCGGTTCGGCGTGCCTTCGCCCCCTTATTACGCTCGCTTTGTTCTTTTTTTATTCCGCTTATGCTTGTTCCTTTTGTTTCTTTTTTTCCATTTTTGCCGGTGCTGATGCCTCATTCGCCAAGCAGGGATGGCATAATGGAGGAACTCAAACGGAGAATCCGAGTGAGGCAACGCAGGTACCTCGCTTGTTTTGTATAAAACCTTGGTAAAAGGCCCACTGGTGGCTCAGGATGTCCCAGTCTGGCTCATATAATAAAATCATTCTCTGTTGTTCATTGTCTGCAGTCGTATACCTGACCTGGCATTCATTGTTGACTTCTTTACCATGATTGAACTCACATCGAGGTCCTCTTCAAGGTCCGACAGCCCTCAAAGGTCTGATACAAATAGTCCCGTCGAGTCTCCTCTGGCCTTGGATACCCCCGCAACAGAGGCTGGAGACCCATTCGACAACCTGCATGAGCTGCTGGACAGACTCCCTTCAAACAGTCACATTCTTGTCACTGGCGGCCTCGGTTTTATTGGAAGCCACACCACGCTTGAGCTGCTCAAGGCAGACTATAACGTTATTGTGATCGACAATCTCAGCAATGCATTTGAAAACGTTTTCGAGCGTATCAGCTTCTTGGCCAAAAAACATCACGAAGAGAATGGCACCAAGATGCCATCACTGCGATTGCATGCTCACGATTATCGCGACACCAAAGCTCTTGAACCCCTTCTCGACGAGTACCGGCTGCCATCATTGTGGGGAGCTCCCAAGTCAAGAATCGCTGGTGTCATCCATTTTGCAGCTTTTAAGGCCGTCGAGGAGAGCATCCGCAAGCCATTGAAATATTATTCCAACAACGTGAGCGGCCTGGTCGATTTTGCCACAACGCTTGGCGACTTCGGCATCAAGACATTCATCTTCTCGTCTTCGGCCACCGTATACGGAACCCTCGCAACTTCAGGTCTTCCATTGAAGGAGGAACTCTGCGTTCACAAGGAAGAGATGTACACAGACCACGCAGGCTCGGAGCAATCCATGCAGCCGGGATGTACTGGAATCACCAACCCATACGGACGCACAAAATGGATGTGTGAGACCATCTTGGCCGACTTGGCCGCATCGGACCCTGAATGGACCATTGTTGCTCTCCGCTATTTCAACCCCGTCGGCTGCGACTCCTCCGGTCTGTTGGGCGAAGACCCAAGGCAGGCGCCGACAAACTTGCTCCCCGTCGTTGTCAAGGTCATGACCGGCCAGTATTCGGAGCTTTCGATGTTCGGTACAGATTGGGAGACCGAGGATGGTACTGCTGTCCGTGACTTCATCCACGTTAGCGATCTGGCTCGCGGGCATATCGCTGCGCTGAGTTCGGCAAACGAGGGCAGGCTGACAGACAACTTCCGCACATTCAATCTCGGAACCGGGAAGGGCAATTCAGTGATGGATGTGGTCAGCACCATGGAGTCAGTCATTGAGAGGCCCATTCCTCGACGGGCTGCGCCCCGGCGTGAGGGTGACGTTGGAGCTTGCGTTGCAGTGGTCGATCGGTCGACGGAAGAGCTTCAATGGAAGACAGAGAAGAGCTTGAAGGATGCATGCCAGGATATCTGCAATTTCTTGGAAGTCAGTGGTCTGTCCTCATAGCACTGTAATGCTGGTCAATTTTGTCAGTTGTTTTGTTATTCTTGTTCGCCGGCTCTTGATACCTCCCCACCGGACCAGGGACGCTTCAAAAGCGTGTGTTTCGGTATAATGTTTGTCTGTTTCTGTTTGTCTGTTTGCATTAGCATATTGGGTAGAGTTGCATCACTTGTGATTATGTTGCGCTAGCTCTTGTCATGTCCTGCATTGGGTGTACAAAGTGTTTTCTCCACTGCACGCTTTTCTTTGAGTTTGAATTGATAAAAAGTTTTCATTGTACCATTTGTACTTGTAAACGATAAATAATGACACTTGAGAAGCAATCCATAAGGTGGATGTGATGTGGGGATAGGACGATAAACAAGCCACTTGAGGCAGCGAATCGATGGGTGAAGGATCACGTGATATCCGAATATAATGAGTCCTTGGATGGGATGCTACCATGAGAGAGATCGGAGGGTTTGGGCTGCTCTATGAATCAATGAGCAGAATGCCGAGTGTCTCAGCCATGAAGAACCCAGGGTTTCTTGTGACGGGGAGTTGGAAGAAACTGCCCAACGCCATACTTGATGGTGGATCACGTGATTGGTCTCCGCCTTGGCATCGAATATGGCCGCAGTTTTCTGCGACAGCTCTATCCACGCGATTGTCTTATTGCATCGTCCACGCGATTGGGGTCTATTCTCGTTCAGGGTCCTCTATCCAAAATTTCTGTCTCGTCTCATAACACCTTCCGCCATCCCTCATTGATCCCTTCATAATGATTTGCAAAAGCTGCCGCACGACGATGTTGACCCGGCTCAACCAGCAGCCTGTGATCAGGACGGCCTCCGCATGCGCGCGCCAGCTGCCTCTCGTTCGCAGCCAATTCCGTTCCTACAGCAGCGGTGGCAACCCCCCTGTGGCTGCCGCTCCTTCTCCATCCTCTCCCCGCCAGCCCACTGTTGGCGATCTCACAACCCCGTCCGCCATCTCCTCCGCTACCCCCGGCGTTTCTCAGCCTTTGAGCACTCCCGAAGGCGTCCACACCGATGTCAACCCCGGTGCTTCCACAAAACCCACTGCCGTCCGCCCACCAAGCAGCTGCCCCGCCGGTACCAAATTGAACGGACTCAACTACTTCAAGAACAAGCCGGATGTCTTCGCCAAGGAAGACTCCGAGTACCCAGAATGGCTATGGAATCTCTTGGGAGATGCCACCAAGGATGCAAAGACTCAACAAGGCGGCGTTGACCCCAGCAGTAAGATATCTCGTTTCCCGGTTGTTAACCCATTGCTGACCCTGCCGCAGCCTTGAACAAGAAGCAACGAAAGCGTTATGAGAAGAAGCTGGCTGCTCGTACCGGTCCCCTCGCCGCTCAGGTCCCGGCCCACCACCACTCCCACGATATCACCCCTGCTTCCTACAACCGCGACGGAACTCCAACAGATGTTATGGCCGATGCCGCCTCTGGGTTCGAGCAGCGCGAGGAAGTTGTCAGGAGTGCACGCAACGCCAGACGAAAGGCCATTAAGGAGTCCAACTTCTTGCGTGGTCTGTAAACTCGTGCCATATCAATTCGAGTGGAACACGTGTGGAAGCGATTGTACTTTTCTGATTGGGCCTGGTTTGGATGCGCACAGAAGCACAGCATTGAGCTGAATATTGGATAGATCGGGCTCCCCTCGGGGCATCCGGGATGTATTATTACCTTTTGATTTGATTTTTTTTTCGATTGTGCTATATATCAAATGATACTTGTCTCAGATCAACGCCTACCGCACACATATCCAGAATATCGGTAGCCACCAGCATCTCTTATCGACCACAAAGTGGGATATACGATACAACTTATTGGGGAATGGGCCACTCCTTCTCCTCCCCCTGCCCTTCAAGCCACGGCAAACAAGCCTCATAAAACCTCTTGAACTCCCCATCCCCAAGACCAAGGATCTTCTCAAAGATATCCCGATCAAACCGATCCAAGAACGCCAACATCGAAGCCAGAATAATATCCGCATACCCAGCCTTCTCACCCTCCAAAAACGGTCCCTTCTTCCCTTCCTTCCCCTTCAACATCTTAACCAGCAGCAAACTCTCCTTCTCCAAAAGTTCCCACAACTCACCCAACCCCTCCTCGTCCGTAGGCCGAACCTCAGAAAGCGGCTTCCCGAACCGCTCCGAGCGCGTCCGGACAAAGTACTCCCGCCCACGCTCATCCAATACAGACGGCACCCTCGGTGTAATCAGCAGTCCAGTGCATTGCCCGAATATCGCGATCGATCTCAGCACCGCGATCTCTAGCGCGTAGCTTGCGTCGCCGGAGGGGAACAGCGGCGGTGATGGGTACAGTTTGTCGATGTACATGGCAATCGGCTCGGAGTCCATTAGCATGCCGTCCGGGATTCCCTTGTGGCTGATTGCCGGTAGTGTGTAGGGCGTATTGGAGGTGCCTGGGGGGACGCCATGGGCTTTGAGTAGAGGCGCAATGTCTGGGTATGACACCCAGCTCTGGGTGTAGGGGATTCCCTTGAAGTTAAGCACCATTCTGGTGCGGAGGGTGTTAGGGGACCATGATTTGCCTGGGCCTGGTGGGCTGGTTAGTATGCGTTGTTTGTGGTGATATATAGATTGGGGGGGTCTGATCCGTACCAGGTAGGCTTGACCAGAGATCGAAGAAATGGATAGGGTCAGTTTCAGTCATTATTGTTCTGATTACACTGGAAAGTAGAAGCGGTTGCGATTGTATCTCTGTTCTGAATATATAATAAGCCTTTGTCCAAATGAATGAGTTCGGCCTTTAAGTATCTGCTTCTACTTCGCAAAAGGAGCGGACTTCGGAGTTGATTTATCAGCTAAACCCCGGTCAAGCAAGAGCTAGAAAGCCAATGGAAGACAGGTAATAGATCGCGCTTGAGGCTATTTGGCGTTAGTAGCTTAGTTTAGATGTCAGTTTCGAGCCTAGGGCGAGGCGAAGTCACATCGGGGTTTCTTTGTACGCGTACGCGTGTGTGATATAGGCATCACTGTTTACCCTATGTCCGCTCAAAAAACCAAAGATGGCGAGTTGCGCTTCATCTCTCCACCGCAAGTGTACGGAGAGGCGCCACGTTGTCAGTGGGGAGTCTCGTGGACGCACGGGTCACATTGGCATTTTCTCCTCAAAACGTTGGGAATCCAGATCATCACTTCTACGAGCATTCAATCTAAAATACATCTTCAAGCCCCAGAGCTCACATCTGACAGCTGACGCAGCCTCTGAAAGAAGCGGGGCAACGGCGATCCTTTGCGAATAAGCTAACCCCTCCTACTGTGCCGGCATCGCTTCTTCAGGGAAAACAGAACACGACAGCATGGAGCAAGTCGAAACTCTCGTGGACCAGACGGAACATCTGGTCCTCCATGAGCCACCCGAGACGCACATACATAGTCTGGAGAAATTCCACCCGACTTTGGACGCTCATGTTCAGAAGATCTATCAGACGGTTGGGGTAAAGGCTCCGACTACAAGCTACTTTCTCGAGGAGATTCAACATGATCCCAAGACTGAGAAGACCCCTGGGGAAGCTGGGGTCGATGTTTTGGCCAACTTGGACAACTTCCGCGCTTATATGAGAGAAGCCAACTCGTGTGCGATGGAATTAGAAGATGGCTTGGATCTTTCTGCGCCTCTTTCGGATTACTTCGTCTCTTCGAGTCACAACACTTATTTGACGGGTAACCAGCTGTACAGCGATGCTGCTGCGAGTGCCTATACATCTGTGAGTCGAGGCTGCTCAAAATGATCCTACTATCTAGGGCCGAAGCTGTGAGGTCCTCGTGGTGCTAGTTCAAAACTTACTCATACCCCAACAGGTGCTTCTCCGTGGCTGTAGATCCGTTGAGATCGATGTCTGGGATGGTGAACTGGACAGTCCTAACTCCAGCGACAGCGAGCTGAGCAGTGACAGCAGCAGCAGTGAATCCGAGGCAGAAGATAAGGAAGGTACACGAAGCAAGTTGAAGAAAAAGGTTAAGGCCATGAGAACTACACAGGAGAAAGCTCCAAAGGTCCCCAAGGAACCAAAAGAGTCAGTCACGACCAAATTGGGAAACAAGCTCGATGGCGTCCTGCGTCGCAAATCCGTCAGATCGCCGCCGCGACAGCTGGACGAACAAGCTGCAACAAGCCACTTGCCTGTGAAGCCTGAACCACGTGTTCTGCATGGACACACTCTCACCAAGGGAACGACGTTCCGTGAGATCTGCTATGCGATTCGTGACAGTGCTTTCATTGCCAGTGATCTCCCACTAGTGATCAGTCTTGAGGTCCATGCGTCTTTGGAGCAGCAGCAGACTATGGTGGACATTATGCTGGAGGCATGGAAAGGTCTCCTCGTTGAGCCTCCCGAGGACGAGGAAAAGCTTCCGTCGCTGGCTGATATGAAGCGAAAGATCCTGATTAAGAGTAAAGGTGTTCCACTGTGTGGTGACGGGAAGCCAGAAGGAGATGCTCTCACGCCGCAGAACTCTGCTCTCACTCCGCAGAACTCTGCTGAAACAACCTCCAGCCAACAGGCGAAGCCATCGAAGATCCTCGAGGCTTTAGCCAGATTGGCTGTTTACACTCGGGCGTATACTTTCCGTCATTTCAACCAGCCAGGTATATCACGCTATGGTGTAGCCTTGAAGACATGCTAATCCGACAAACAGAGGCCAAGGTCCCCGTCCATGTGTTCTCGCTCTCCGAGAAAGCGGCGCGTGAAGCCCACGCCACCCATCGCGAGGCCTTGTTCGAACACAACCGAGTATCTCTAATGCGCATCTATCCGTACGCCTTCCGAGTCAACTCGTCAAACCTTGATCCGACATTCTACTGGCGACGAGGCGCCCAGCTGGTAGCGTTGAACTGGCAAAACCTAGACAAAGGCATGATGCTCAACCACGGGATGTTCGTCGGCACTCACGGCTGGCGACTGAAGCCCTCCGGCTACCGCAGCGGTAATGATCCGACCAATGTAATCCAGCGACGCACCATGACCCTCTTAATCGAGGTATTTGCAGCACAAGATCTCTCCCTCCCGGAAGGCGACACCAGCGAGCGGGGGTTCAAACCCTACGTCAACTGCCAACTACACGTCGAAGAACCGGGAGACGACAACACCCCAACCCCCGACGACGCCAGCTCCGACGACGAAAAGAGCAGCTACAGACGATGCACCAAAAGCTCCTCCGGTCGAAACCCGGACTTTAAGGGCCAGAAATTGGAGTTCCCGACCGTGACGGGAATCATCGAAGAGCTGAGTTTCCTACGGTCAGTGATCTTCCCTTTTTCCCCCTCCATTTTCCTTGCATCGATGCTATATTGAGTAACATTCCTCGTACTTTTGCTGCCTCCCGTAGTCCCATCCCTTGCTGCATTTGCCCTCTCTCGCCCCGATTTATGCGCAATGCAGGGTTTATGCCTGCATTGTGATATCCGTCAAAAGCACCCACCCGCATGAGCCCGCACCCGATGACCGGGATTGCCTTTCTTGCTTATCTCGGCCCTCTTGGGCAGTCTATGCACAAGGGGATGAGGCTTAGGGCGACCTATCACCCTAAGCTCTAGGCAACCCCTCCACTGTCATGCACACTATCCCTGAAAAAAAAAGCCGTCCAATTACACATGCAAGCCACTGACTCCAGTCTGCTTTTATCCAGGTTCAAGATCAAGGATGATGAATTCGGTCGGGATTCCCTGGCTGCATGGGCTTGCATCCGACTCGACCGGCTGCGGGAGGGATATCGGCTTCTCCGTCTCCACGATTGCACCGGCGAGAAGACCGGTGGGTTTTTGCTGGTGAATATCACCAAGCAGTTTGTTTAGGTTTCTTTGTTATCCAGGTGCATTGCATGTGTTTGTCTGAAGGTGTGTTTTGGTAGCCATAGCGTGATGCAATAAATTGTGAGCCACAAACAAACCCCCTACGGAGGACTCCGGACGAAGTGCTCCGTCGAAACCCAACTGTTTGTCAGGGCCTTCGGGCAGCATGTCGTACAGGGCTACTCAGGAACCAAGCCTGCAGAAATGTGACGAATGTGACAAATCTTTGTGTACAACGGTCTGTTTCGTGACACGCCTGTCCAGACCAAACGCGTCCTACGACAGATTGGCGATCGCGATGGAGAGATAGAATCATGCGAGTCAGCGCCCATATTGGATCCAGCGGCGTTACACAGAGGGATTTTTGGTATTTGACACTCATTTCCTCTAGGCTGCATGCAGAGTTATAGAGTCGACGTAACGGTTTCGTAGGTGGCAGAAAACAGTTATTTGACGCAACCCTGCTAGCCTTGCGTGTTATTGTGGGGATCTGCACTCAAAAGCAGGGACGAGATTGGGCCGATGATCTTCTCTTTGAGTCAGGAGGCTCCATTGGTACTTGAAAGGAGGTGTGCATATGTATGTGTGCTTGTGTCACTTTTGAACAGAGTCGGCTACTAGCTGCATTCTGCACGACGCCGATGGCGCGCATTAGTTTGAAGGGGAAAGCGTCATATCTGACAGAGTTGGATGGAAAAGGCGCAAGTGGTGAGTGGGTATTGGGGACTCAAGCTCGTGTTTGGGGTGGTCTCGCCCTGCATATTGTGAGATCATAAAAAGCAAAATGGCAAATGGCATAGATGACATGGACAATGGGAGGCGTGAGACAAAGAGGGATGGAAAGACAAGGGTAAGACTGGTAGGTCTGGCTCTAGTGATTTGTATACATCTCGGTACGGAGAACGGAGCATTGTATGTGCAGACCAAGTCATGCATGCTGCGAGCCATGTACTCCGTAGAGACCAACAGGAATCGGTGAAGCCGAGGTAAGCCTGGCCTTTTAGATCAACGGGAACAGACGCCAAGCGATACGCATTAGACTGATCAACATCGCTAGTGAGAACTAACGTGAAAAGTTGACCGGTAAATCCCCCGATAACGTTGACCATCGCTCGATAATTGTTTGTGACTTGGATCGACAGGGCGGAGCCAATAACAAATCTCCAAGGACAGTTCCAAGATGCTCTTCAGGCAACATGGGGTTCCTTGCGCTCGGGGAGGTTGCGTTTGGCCTAAAGTTTGCATGCATGACAGATGCTGAGATTGCCCACGGTCCATGTCGATGCACGAATGATCAGGGCTGATCGAGTTTTTTTCCTTCTGAAAGAACGACCGGGGCTCATGTCGAAGATTGCCAGCCAATCACCGCTGTGCGTCTAAGAACAAGCGGACGCTGGGCCCCATCTGGGACCTGCTGTGGAGTTCTGGGGTTGATACATCAACCGCTAATTTGGCTCACTTCCCTCCCCTTTTTTTTTTCTTTCTTCCAAGGGAAACAAAAATCAGTGGGAATCCTTGGAAGGGGGGAATACATGCAACTTGCCGAAGCATATCAAACAGATCATGTCCCCGGGTCTTTCGAATTCAGGAAACAAACACCGCCAACTCCCAGCCCGGAGAGCTCGGGAGGTACCGATGAGAGGACGCTGATTGGCGTCAGTGGACCAGCGTGGCGCGAGGGGGGACTCGTTTGGGCTTTTTGGTGCTGGGCCAAGCCGTCACAGGAACCTGCGATCTACCCTAGGGACGACGTTGTACCCTGACTGGCTGGAGGATTGGAGACAAAGACCAGATGTGGGAACTACTCTCTGATTCTCCAGATTAATTTTGAGAGCTTTGCATTTTGAATTTTTGGGTTTATTCTTTTTTTTATGGATTTCTCTCGACTTCCTTTCTGATTAGTCCATGCCATCCACTCTGCGATCGCGGGGTGGGAACTAGATCTATTCCTCTCTGTCGGATTCTTTCTCGCCGTGCCCTTATAAGGACCCCTCGATGCCTCGTCCTGTTCCTACATCTTCAGACTTCATCTTTGAGAGAAAATCCTAATCCACATTTACGGAATCTCCGGCACAAAAACTCCATTCCCTATATCTTCCCCTTCTCAATCCTCGGTCTGCATACCGCTATACCATGACTTGCCCTTCTAACTGTGGCACTTCGGGCTCGAGCTCCCCTGCCGTCACCAAGGTTTGTGCCTCCGGCTGTACTGCATTGGCAATGCAATGCCTCGTACTCCCACCTTCACGATGTCATGCTAACTTTCCTCCCCAGATGCCCGGTGTACGATGCCCCAATTGCGAAGCACAGGGGCAAGAAGTCTGGGTCATCCCAGGCAAAAGCTGCCATGTCTGCCACACACCTTGTGCATGAAACACCCAGAGCCCTGTGTTGCACATCATTCAAAAGTGAATACTACAGGCAGTGATACCCACTGCTCCAATTCGCCTCTCTTCTCTCATATCATCTCCTAGATGATCGATGATCAACCCTGGAAAGTCTGATATCTCATCCGCTAAAAGACCCAAATGGCCTGTGAGATATTCTGCAACAGACACTCCATCGACAGGCAAACGACCAGCGCAATTGGTACCATGGTGTTTCTGTCATTCTTTCTTTTCCATTCCGTTTTTTGGCGTCCATAACGAGACATGACATGTTTGCTTTTTGCCCTTCGAGTCAATATAATTGAATATAATCAAGTACTCCGTTCGATCTCCCTCGCCGGGCTCTCCACCTTCCCTGACAGAACTCTCTCAGTTCTTCTAGAAGTACACCTCGAGATTAAATCGGTCGTCTTCATGTACCTTTGTCTTGCATATAGATAGCCCCTAGCGAGATCGCTGACGTCATATCCCCCTCGTCCCGAGATCCCGGGGAGTTGTATATTAGCAACTGCAGCGCCAGCGCAGATTTATACTACGGATCTAGCCCCAGGAGTAGTAATTTACCCGTGTGTGCCGATCACCAGCGACAGAGGTTTATAGTGGGGGTATAGGGTTAAAAGACTCGCTAGTGAGATATGACAGCCATTGGCCAGGTTGGAGATAGAATGTGCGCCACTCGGCAGATCATATCGAGCAGTCAATAATGGCATGGTTGGCGTGAGACCTGTATCGCCACTTTATACCAGACACCCCCCACCAGACGATCTAGATATTCCCCAATAGATCTTGACGCGTCACTGCCTACAAGAATATCAAACCGATCAATTAACCAATTCATAAGATATTTGTCGGAATATCTACACTACACGGAGTAGCTGCCCGATATACGGAGTACTCTATCGATTCCCCTCCCAAAAGCGGCAACGGTCAGCACTCAGAACGGGAAAAGCCCCGTCATCGCCCCGCCACTTCCCACGCCGCAAAGATGCCCAAACGATGAATCTACACCTCGCCATGGAGAAATACCCCATCGGCACACGCGCCGAGAGCGAGCGGCTCGTCCGCGAATGGGGGTTTCGCGATGTCTTCACTTGGACGGATGGAAGGTGGGGATCATCCCTGATAACCCTTGGGACTGTCGCTGGTTTTGCCCTGCATTCTTACCTGCATATTATACGTATATCCTGCGCTGACACGTCTAGTAACCACCACTATGCCCCGCACTCGCATCGCGGCCTGACGACACATCTGATTCGCAGGGGTTGTTTGACTATTACCTATCCCGAGGATCATGCCTTGTATCATGGGGAGGTGAAGAAGGAGACTTTTGGGGTTGGAGAGAGGGTTGATGTTCCGGCTGGGAAGGTTCATGAGGTTTGGATTGGCGCGGACGGGTGTGAGTATGTGATTGGGGAGTAGTTAGATTTCTGGCTACTACGGAGTAGATGGTAGTTTTGAGATGATATTTTTGGACCTGCTAAATAAGTCCTGCTTATTTATATCCTTTTTATGTCCCTTTTGTTTCCCTTTTGGGGTCTATGTACACCTGGTGCAGCCATGATTCAATCTAGTGTAAGAAGCGGAAATCGACTCTGTAAATCAGTTAGTGGGTGTTTTATTTCGCGCCGGAGATGATAGATGTACCTCTTGTTTCCAAGATCCTTGTTTTCGACAACGTATCGAGATCGCTCTTCGCTGGTCATTTTATCCCAGATGGCGGCATTTTGTCTGGCAGATATTAGCAAGATCCATTTGAGAATACGTGAGGAGACATACTTGTTTCGTTGCACGTAGTAAATCTTGGCAGCGATGAACACCGCCATACTCCATACGGCCAGAGCAATGAGGACCTTGTTACCGGTGCGGTAGTATGGTTTGTCCTCGGTGCGGTAGATCTAGAAATAAGATTGTTAGTATTCTTAAACTCACAAGGAAACACCAAAGCCAAAACTCACATTGTTACCAATGATGTTACTCGCCTGCACCGCCATGTTATAGAGAGCAGTAGCAACCGTCCGCGTCCGTACAGACCCGGAATTGCGCGAGGTAATCGCAACAATAATCGCATGCGCATAGGGCATACCAAGCAGGAGGACCAACAAGGCCCAGCGTACCCACTGACTCGCACCGTCAGGAAGAACCGTCAAGGCGATCAACATGGCCAAAGCCCAGATTTCAGCAACGACACCGATGAGGAATCGCTGGTTGAACCGCTCAGAGATCCATGTCCAGAACATCAGATTAAGAATAAATATCACGTAGGCTGGAATGGTGAGCAGATTCGTGTGGAAGGTGCTGAAGCCAAGGGATCTCAACTCTAAACTGATGTATGCTGTCGCTGGCGTGTTGGGGATCAACCAGGTCAGGCCGAGGAGGTAAATCACCCACATGTCGTAGTCCTTCAGAGCCTGCCAGAGGAGCTTGGGAGTCACGGCTTGGCGATTGTGCATGGTGCCCTTGCTGGGATCGTCGCGCAGCACACGATTCACCATGATTTTCTCCTCGTGCTCGTTGAACCAGCCGTTCTTCCCCCGGAACCGGCCTGCGGTTTGGGTGGGGGAGGCGGGCATCCAGAATGCAGCGACGATACCGATCAGACCGGTGATCAATCCCTCCAGGGCGAAGAGGTATCGCCAGCCACCGGTGCCATCGGATTGGCGGATATGAAGGAAGCCGAAAGCAAGGAATGCACTGATGATCATGGTTGCTTCGTATGTCATCCAGAAGAAGCTGAGGCGGATAGGCAACTCTTTGGATTTGTACCAGAATGAGAGGAAGAGAATGGTGTCTGGGATGAAGCCACCTTCGAGGAGGCCGAGCAGAGCGCGGGTCGCGAAGAACCCGCCCCTGTTCTGGAGAAATGCCTGGCAGGCGGCGATGAGACTCCAGCTGACCATTTGGAAGGGGATCCAGCGATCGGGCCCTACCCACTTCGAGATAAGCTGGGAGGGCATCTCGGCGAATAGGAATGATACGTAGAAGATTGTTTGGCCGGTGTTGTAGTCGTTTGTTGTCATGCCAAGGTCTTCTAGCATGTTGTCGGATGTTGCTTGAACGATGTTTCCACGGTCCAGCTGTAGTGCGAAGAACGTCAAGCAGGCGAACGTGCAAACGCGCCAGTCGATCTGTGGAGTTGGTCAGTGACCCTGTACAAGAATCGAATATACGACAGGACTTACCTTTCGGAGGACCGCATTTTCTTCCTCCTCTGTCCATTCAAAGTCTGGATCCCAGCGATGGGCGCCCTCATATTCAGGAATAGGCTTATAAAACCGTGGGTCCTCGGTAGTATCAAAGGCACAATCACTCTGCGTAGCGCGAGGGCCATCGTATGTTGATGAAGACGAAGAATCCGTGGACAAGACTTTAGGAGTTCCCTTGGAGTCCCGATCTTCCAAGTTATCGGCCGTCTTCTTGAAGTCGTCCGCCATTTTGCAGGATCTGGGATCGGAGTTCAGGATCGGAGATAGACGAGGATTATTCTTGTCCAGGCCGACTGAAATCCAGTTCATATATAGCCCGATCGGTCACACTGACGCTTTTTACTATCACGCCATCTTGTGGATACATAGCTTTCGGCTGTACTTGTGTGCAGACGAAAGCTCGCAAATGATGATACGAAGAGGTTAGGTCGCCGGTGATGTGCATGGGCAATTTAGGGCCCCTATGGCGACTTATTCGGAGGGAGACTTTGACATCGAAAGTACCTTAACAGGCGAGTTAGTCCCACGAGGTGTGGGCTTGCAGAAGAAACCAGCATGGTGCATGGTAATACACAGATAGATATCAGGATTCCCGCAAATCAAGCAAGACCATATGCGAGTGCTGAAGCCCCTGTCCAGTTAAGCGTTGGCTTGGCCGGGATCACGCAAGTGTTGACGGAGTGACGTTAGAGCTGGCAAGTAGGCGGAGCCCTATCTGTCAGGGGTGCGGATTGTCCGGTACACTCTATGCTCCATCTTCAATGCATGTTTCATGTTCGAAGCCCGATATTTGCTGACAATCCCGGTTCATACTCCCATGGGCAGTCATCGCGACGCCCATTCCACGGTATGGGCGCTCCGGAGCCTGCTCCGAATTCCGATAATCTTATGCGAGGGCCTGCAGGTCGGATCTCGCTTGATACTATCTTTTCATCAAGTGATATATGCTGTCAGCACTGACTTGGGGTTATGATCTAATTCGCACTGAGGTCAAGGTAGCTGATGTGATCATTTTTCCTACAGTGGATAGAGTGGAGTTAGATGAGATCAAGTTTTTGAATCTCTAGTCAGGAGGATGCCATTAAAATGGAGCCCCCTGGGAATCAGCTTGCTTTTTCGAAGAGTTAGCGACTCGATGGAGTTGGAAGTTATGTGACTGCACCTTCATCTATAGCGTCAATGCGGTAGGGTTATGTTCGCCAGTTGCCACTTGCCCATCTCCCTTATTTGATCCGCAATGCTAACTATCGATCATGCCACCGAGTGCTCCGTACAATAATAGATTGCCTTATAAAATGTAATTGTTGTGTCTTGGCGTGGAACAAGGCTTGTTCAACGCTCTTGGCATCCGTCAAGCGTTGCTTGTTCTCTTCGCATCCTCGCGATGTTTGGCACCCCGACTACGGACAACGGAGGACATAGTTAGATAGCTAAGGACCGTTAAAGCAAGAGATTATTATGTATGAGCCTCATAACTTCTGCACCCCCAGTTCATCGCTCAACGCGAAATGAAAATGAAGTTGTGTATCACGCCATTCCGCCAGGTTTCGACACCACCGCGACTAAATCGAATCCTCCGTTGGAAAGGCCGTGGAGACGGAAAACGCGCTGCTTTGCCGTGATTTCGCCCATCACGCCATTTTAGTCGATTGTAACGCACACGAGAAGATCGCCGAGGGAAACCCTGTATAGCACCCCGCAGCCCGTGTGTAGTAGATCTCCACGCTGATGGTCTTCTGCGTCCGAAATCCCCGCATTTCTCGGATTGCGCAATTTGGGGCCGAGGGACGACATTCGAGGGCATCGAGAGGTATATAAGGTAGATATTGCAAGCTCCTCCAGGTATCTGCAGATTCAACCCCCAACATCCAGTACGCTCGGCTGTTTGCTATTCTCTATAATTATACACAATGGCTCCTGGCCTCACAGAGACTGTGGCCCTTCGGGCACCAACTATCGCCTCTCCGTTGAAGGCCGAGGCTGGTCATAATAAGGAGAACTTGATCGGATACAAGATCGAGAAAGACCGGGAGATTAAGGGCACAGACAAGATCGCCCCCGTATCCTATCCTGAATATCTGCCCGTGTGGGATAACGAGACAGAAAGGTATATGACAGCTTTGCTATCACCCGTCCATCCTGGAATATCACAGCCAACACTCTCCCAGATACCCCCCTCTGGTGCCCTTCGAGCACTATGATCACGGAAAGGATGCCGATCCCTCTTTCCCAGACCTCTTCCCCAAAGACCAAGCCAAGATCGATGAGATCACACCTTTCATTGGTTCCGAAGTCCACGGCGTGCAGCTCAGCCAGCTGTCCGACAAGGGCAAGGACCAACTAGCTCTCTATGTTGCACAGCGACGAGTGGTCGGTATGTACACCGCGACAACAATCCAATGCCAATCCTTCGGAACGCCATACTAACCGAGCTCAACAGCCTTCCGCGATCAAGACTTCGCATCCCTCCCAATCAAAGACGCCGTCGAGTACGGCGGCTACTTCGGTCGCCACCACATTCACCAGACCTCCGGTGCTCCCAAGGGCTTCCCCGAGGTCCACCTCGTCTTCCGCGGTGCCGACGACCGTACCGGCGAGACCTTCCTCCAGCAACGCACCAACACCATCACCTGGCACTCGGACGTCACCTTCGAGAAGCAGCCCCCCGGCACAACCTTCCTGTATGTCCTCGACGGCCCCACCACCGGCGGCGACACCCTCTTCGGCGACATGGTGCAGGCATATAAGCGTCTGTCACCTGCCTTCCAGCAGCGTCTGCACGGATTGAAGGCCGTGCACTCCGGTCTCGAGCAGGTCAACGCCAGTCTGAACGGCGGTGGTATTGCCCGTCGCGACCCGGTGCAATCTGAACACCCCATTGTGCGCACTCACCCCGTCACCGGCGAGAAGGCACTCTACGTCAACCCCCAGTGTAAGTTTCGCCCCACGTTTGCTATGGGGTAAGAAGCTGACCTCTCTTCCAAGTCACCCGTCACATTATTGGATATAAGAAGGAAGAGTCAGATAACCTCCTCAAGTTCTTGTACGACCACATCGCCCTGTCGCAGGATACTCAGGCTCGCGTCCGCTGGAGAGCCGGTACCGTCGTCGTCTGGGATGTAAGTGATATGCACTATCTACTCTTGCCACGAGAAAAGACACTAACCTCTACAGAACCGCGTCGCATGCCACTCCGCCGTATTCGATTGGGAGGATGGTCAGCGCCGCCACCTCGCCCGTCTCACACCCCAGGCCGAGGCTCCTTACGAAACCCCCTTCGACGGATAGACCGTGACAGCCTTGCTCATTATGACAAGACCATATTTGGAATAAACCAAAATGGTCAACGAATATGATTCCCCATCTCTGCATTTGCATATGAATGAAGACTCCATGTAGACATTTCTGAATTTAAAACTTCGAGAAGTAGACTAAGCTTTCCCGCGCTTATACCGACTCAGAAACCCAACATGCCACTCATTAAACCTCCTCGCAGAGACGGGAAGCATCTCGTTACTCCCGTTCAACGCACGGGACATAGCATCGAATATCATTGATGGCAATTCCAGCTCTTCAACCGACAACGGTGACGGGTTTCCAATCTCCGGATGAAGAAGTCCATCCACGTCAGCAGATTCCTGGTAGAAGACCTTCATCGCCTGCTGCGCCATAATACTGCATCCAGCGCTGGAATTCGAGTATCGCATGTCTGGATTGAAGACCCAAAGCTGGTACGGAGATTCGTTAGCCGTTGCCTGGAACCAGTTCTCTGTCGTGTTTCCAGAGAAGGGATCTGCAAAGGGGTATGCGTATCACTTACGACGAGACCGTTCTTCTGTCCACAGTGCACGACGAATCGGCGCGCGCTTTCTCGCTCGATCAATTCGAGTAGTTGGGCGGCGACGATCGTTTCGGTTGCATGGTCTTCCCAGTCTGGATCTGAATCGGTGGATTTGGTGTTCAGGGAGACGTTGGCTTTTAGGAGTCGCCATCCGTTGGCGATGGGATCTTCCATGCCGATTATGGCGTTGCAGTTTGCACAGTCGAGGGTTCGTTGGGTTGAGACTGCAGTTGTGGATTTTTGTTCTTCGTCATCGCCCTAGATAGCGCGTGTTAGCAGACTGGATCTGGAACGGAGCTATTGCGCATAAAGAGGTACTTGGAAAATGGAGGGAAAGGCATTGCATTCGGATTTTATAATTATATAGACATTACTCATATCGTAAGAGAGAATGAGAATAATATGCCTCTTGTCATCACGCCTGCTCCACTCTAAATAGCTGGCGTCGAAAAGAAGAGGACACCTTGAGTCACAAAACAGAAAGAAAGGCAGCTCACGCAAGTTCAGTATCATAGACGCGAAGAGCGAAATCCATCTCCGAAGAGAGGATAACTACCCTCGTTGTCTGTGATCCTGTTCCTGCGATAATGCCACCCTCCTGCTGGATTGCAAGTAAACGAGGTGGGATTCGTCCATCTTGGGCAATTGTATCGGAGACCACCCCACCGAGAACTGAGTGGTCCCCTTCTAGATTGCCCGGGAAAAAACAACGATGGGAAAATAAAAACCAAAATGACGCGAGGAAGAGACAGAGATACAAATCTTACCTTTCTCAACCCAGTGCAATCTCCCTCCGCAAGGAGAAAAGTGGCAACATCCACAAGCACCGTCCCCGAAATAGCCACAACATGGCTTTCCGCACCATATCCTTTAGTCTGCGCAGTTTGATCCTCGATCTTCAGCGCAGAGTCCTTCTCATCTTTATCATGGTCCTCATGAGGGTCGGGTTTATGACAGTGCCAGAAATCCATCATCTCAGCCCAATTGCCACTCGGAAGATCTTTCCAGACCCATCCAGCAAAGTCTTTATCAGGTTGTTCATGCGAGTCGGGTATCGAAGGATCCAGGAACACATTTCCACACCCCCGACAACGAATCCGCGTCGAGGATGACATCTCTTCTGCTGTCCAGGGAACAAAATCATCAATTAGTTCGTCCTGAGGCGCCAGCACCTCATCCTCTGGATCAATCTGCATGCGAAACGAGAAGTCATAGCTCGCGCTCTCCGCGCTATGGGAATCTGATTTCGCTGCTGGCGCGGAGCTTTTCAATGCGCGTCGAGACGCCTCGTTAACTCGCGCTGGCAGTTTAATTGTTTCTGTGACATTTTCAAAGGGCTTTGGGAGTGAGACGGTGACTGCTTTTCTTGACTCGGAGAGTTGGACTTCTGGTCGGATTCCTTGCAATGCTGCTGTTCCGGGAAGGGAGACGTAGAGTGTTATCTGCCGGATGTTTGGGAGAAACTCCGCGTGTAGATAGAGTGGCACGTCGAAATCTTGCATTGTGCGAGTTGTACTCATATTATTGTCTTCCAGATAGAGTGATGGTGTTTGGTGCAAGTCGTGTTGATGCTCCAGGGAAGAACGATCAGGAGGAAATGAGAGGTCGGTGATCTAGTGGGTTATCTAGTACCTATATAACTGTCGGCAGAGTAAGCTGTCTAAGACTGAGCGGAACATGTCATGATTGGAGAAAGTTAGTAACTGTCAGTCGTGATCTCCAAAATCTCAGGTTCCTCATGTCCACGGCTGCGTTTCCCCGGTGCAAACATCCCAAACATTCAACGCGTCAACGGCGTGTCATGTGACCATTACAGAACTATGTATCAATTTGAAGGTTGATGATGGAGGACAGATCATGGATTGCTGTGTTTTTTGTACAATTACTCATTAAATCGTGGATATACTATACTAAATGGAGAGATGGACAGAAAAATGGAGCCTAGAGCTCAAATCCGACAAAATTGCCACCCCAACCCGTGAACTCGGTGACAAATCGCACAGCAGCTTTCAAGAAGAAGGTATCAGAATCACCCCAGGTTGCGGCCATTTCTTTCAAGGCTCGGGTGGTCTTAACAAAGTGCGCATCTGTTGAGAAGTCTCCAGTAACGGCTCTCTCAGCAACCCAACCCCAGTTTTTCCCATCCAGATTGTAATTCCGGATTTGGTCCATCTTGATCTCAGGTCGCTGCTGTGCGACATAAATACCGAGGGTAACCAACCACCATTGTCGGAGAAGACTGATTTGGAACTGGGGAGGAATGAAGGGCAACATAACTCGGACAGCATGGCTAGTTGCGAGAGTCGAAGCGAAGAACCAATCGTAGTGCCCAGTCGAGTCGCCGGCAGTGCTCCCTACAAGCAACGCAGCTACAAGCTCCTGGCTTTCGCGGAACTGCTCCATCGGGTTCTCAATGCTCCATGCCTTCCAGTGGTTGAGAAGCACGGCGTTGCGGCTGACGAGAAGGGTGTTGAGATTGTTGCCGCCAGGAGCAGAGAAGAGGCCATCCAAGCCCTTATCATCCCGTACGTGGTTGAGAATTGCAAATACTGATTTTTCTTCATATGACGTTTGCTGTTGCGAGTGCTTGGGGTCCTCCAGGGACCTGTAGATTTCATTATGGCACGTTGCGGCAAGGCCGAGGGCTTCCATGCCGAGTTCACGGCTGTTCATCTCGAAGGCATATGCAAGGTGAACGAGTGGCAATCCCACTATGGAAATGGTTAGTATAGGCAAAAGGAACGCTTTCTGGGGAGCAGCAAAACCTACGAGAAGCCATAATTGAATCGAAGACGGGCTCTTTGCCGTCGAATAGGTACTCGGTCACGACTTCCTTCCAGTCATAGCCGAGGTTCACCATCTCGTCTTCAAAGAAATTTACAAAAGCTCGGTCGAATCTATTGGAAATTAGAGGAGTTCAGAAAGGAAGGAAGGCCAAGATAGGCCTGTGTAGACTCACTCTCGACGCCCTAAATGGTTTTTCCAGTCAAGAGTGGTGACTTCTGCAGGCGAGTCATTCCATTTGACCAAATCAAGGACTTTTTTTTCGTAGATTCGGCTCAGAATATCTGCGTCTGCGCCTTGGAGAAAGGAAGAGCTCAAGAGCTTTAAACGGGTTAGTATCTCGGGCCAATGACGACACTTTCATGCATAAAAATCTCAGGTTATGAGATCTATACCAGGTACTCACCTGCATTATCTGATTAGGAACTTCCCGACTGTCAAACAAGGAGTTTTCGACATGGTTCAGTTTCAGAAGATACTTCAACGCCCGGGCCGGCTTTTCCTGAGCTGTATCTGTATCATGGATCTTGACTGACGGCAAATCGATTGCCTGGGGTGGTGAAGATGAGAAGAGGCCAAAATTTGGCAATGAAGGCCACCGAACAGTAAACATTTTGGCGATAGGTGAGGTAGTTAATGTTGGATTCGATGGGATTGTTGGGAAGACATCACGTGTAAGGAAAGTGGTATGACGTCGAAAATTTTGGGTTATCAATCTGATCACATGACGATGGGCCAATCTACATGTATGCACCTAGTACAAATGAATGAGGTGTAAATGACTATAAGATGGCATTGTGAATGGTCGAAATTCTTACACAGATAGTAAATAGTGTACTTCAAAAACTTATTCTGCTAAAAGGTTGCATTGAGCTTAGTCTATCATAGCCCTCTATACTTCTATTTCTTATGCTGTTCAACGAATGGAATAGGCTGTTCATGTTGAGGACCAGCCTCTCCGTTGAAGACTTCAACTTCGATACGGGGACCGACGAAATTCTTGCGTCCGTCCACAATCCACTGGAAGGTGGAAATGACAAAGACGATGCCAAATGCTGCAACACAATAGTCTGTCATAGCCGACACATTAGCCTTATTCTTTAGCACTAGACAGATGATACGTGACTTACTCATGCTGCTACCAGTAGCTGGCAACTCAGGGGGGAAGAGGAAGAGGATGGTAGTCAGGGAGATATATGCCAATGAGATCTGAGGGAGTCGGGTCAGTAATGGTCTTCGCGCAGCTCACGGGACAGGTGTCATACAAGGTTGATGGTCCAACCGAACCATTCTGGCAAGTTGAAAGAGCGTTCGGGCAGCATTTTCCGTCCTCGGGCGCAGTTCACTGCGATTGGCATTCCATATGAGATATCAAGCAGGACTACGGATGCCGAGACAATAGCGTTGAAGGCGCTGGAATGTATTAGCATGATCCATGATATAGGAAATATAGCATTGCTTACCTGGATGAGCCCAAGAAGATACATCCGAAGATAGTCACAAGAGCCAGGTTCAGGTATAGAGAATTAAGGGGAACTTGGAGCTTAGGGTGAACACGAGAGAAGAAAGGAGAAGCGGGGAGACCGCCATCACTAGAGATATTATCAGTATGATGGCTGACAGTAAGGGCCAGGATTCACAGGGTGACATACCGCGCGAAGGCATAGATCATACGACTGCTGGTGGTCATGATAGCGGTTGCTGCGAAGAGGACACAGACGAGTGGGAAGCTTGAGAAGAGGTTAGTATATCAAGGAGATAGCGGGGAATTGGTGGAATATACATCAGGAGACAGATAGCTCCCGCATTGCTTGAGGTGGCATTCTTCAAAATTGCAAGGAGTGGAGTTGCTGCAGAATCAATGATTTTGTTGATATCGCCAGCCACAAAGAGCAGGACAACAAGGAAGATCGTGCCAGTGACAGTACCAATAACAACACAAGCAATCATAATCTTGGGTCCCTCAATAGAAGGGTTGGGGATTTCTATGATCTATTAGCCTCGAATTTCCATCCAGTTGGAATCAGTTCAAGCTACCTTCAATCATGTGGGCAACACCATCAAAGCCAGTGACACCGAGGCCTCCTTGTAGAAGCTATGGAAAGGTTAGAGATATTCATCGGTTTTCGCAACAATCAACATACCCCGAGCAACCACGCAACGCCATCAGGCCCTATGAAGGTCAGTTTCAGAATCGGAGACCATGATGATAGAACCAACTTACATCCTGTTCTGTTGATGAAATCGGTGAAGACAAATTCCGCTGAGTTATAATCGGGCGAAGCACATGCAAGGACGGTGATACAAATGACGGCAAATCCAGTCAGAGACCAGGTGACTGATAACGATTAGCAAAAGTTATTGACAGCTCGAGACAAGGTATCTCACAGGCACCCTTGGTAACATAAGGCAAGACGTTATTAAGGAACGCATTGATCAGAAAGGCAACGATGTTGTATCCGAGATAGATCAGGAATTGGTGCCAGCGCTCGGAGGTATAATTCTGATTTAGAAGGTCAGTCGACGGGGCCAACATTACAGGCAAAGACGACCTACCGGGTTCATAAGAGAGATGACACCCAGGATGAGCTCACTACCCAAGAGACCACCGGTTGCGACCAGCGCAACCCAGCCAGAGCAGTTCACCCAGCCGGTGATCCAGGACAGAATTGGCATGCAACTTTTCCAGGAAGTCACAGCGACCCAATGATACTGGCCTCCGGCGGTGGGATAGGCGGAAAGAAACTCGGCCAGAGAGGTGGCCATGCATAAATTACAGATACCGGCAGTAACGAGACCTGCATACGGAGTAGAATCATGTTAGCGCTGTGCGGTGGAAATTGACTCACGAAGCCGAGCCGATACATACCCCAAACGACACTAGCACTGCCTCCCGAGGGTAAACTGAGCGATAAACTTGCGGATAAAGCGGTCCATGACTATGCGGTATTAATTGGGGGTTTCTGGGATATTGAGCATGCTGTCGATCGCGTGACATACATTTAGAATGGCAAAAGCAAGACCCAGCATAGATCTATCAGAATGAAGACATAGCAATGAGCATAATCCAAAAAGGTCTCCAGGGTCAATTGCAACACATACATTAATGAGAAATTCCGCTTCAACTCAGACTTATGGCCCATCTGGGCCAGTTGCGCATCATCACTGTTGTACTCTGATTTATCCATGGCGAAAATGATATCCCACGATCAACGGATGAAAAATGAAAGACCCAACCCCAGCGAAACAGGCACATTATGAATGCCCCGAAACGACATGACGAAAGAGTATCGCGTATCATTTTCCGTTGCCAATGCCGATTCTCTCCACAGCCCTCCCCGCGGGGGAAACCGAGTCCAGAGAGGCGTTAGGTAACGAGATTGGGGTACGTAGATATCCAGGCAAACCGAAGCGATAACTCGCCGTGGCCTTGATTGGTGCGATGGACCGAGAACGGCAGGCCCAGCCAGTGACAAGCGACACGATGATCGGGCCAGTGCAGACCCCTGTCGCGTTGCGGACTGCTGATCCATGGCTCGCGGCGGCAGCCCCAGAGCTTGTGTTGCAGGGGGGCTTCTGATTGGCTGGTGGGGGATCCACCTGGATTACCTGGCGCGGGGGAATGTAACTGGGGGAGACCGACGATCTTTGGAGATGGCGGATTGCGACTTTATACAAGACGAATATGCAGAATAGATGCGGGATAAATAATTCCACAGGACTTGGCGAGCGCTACGGGCTTGATCTAGTGGCGGACTCTGTCCTTGTCTCAGCGTTTGCGACCGAAATTGGGTGTTGAGACTACCTGATAGGGGACTTGCATGTGGAGCGGTGGGGATAAGGGGTTATCTCTCCCACGGTCTACGGAGTACAAATCCTCCTTTGTCAGGATGTCTCTTTCTCTCACCGGGCATGTTTCTTATCCTCCATCTACAGAGTACAGGTGCAATCTAATATATTCCACCCCCATGTGGCAGGGATAAGCATATCATCAGTGCAGCTGCGATCCTTTCCTGGTCAATTGAAACCCAGGTGTCCACTGTACCCGGATGCTTCGTTACGCCACAATATAATATGGATATATACCTACTCTCAAAGCGTACCCTATGGGTACTCACCGGAACACAAGAAATTCCCTAGTCGGATAAGACACCACAGCATTCCCGTTTTCAGACATGGCAAATAAAAAGTGAAAAGTGAGATAAAATAGTAGTACAAATGAAGCGAGACAAAAAACGAAGTGAATTGGCGAGATGCGCCATGTGTTTTCATTATTTCGGCCCACGTTGATAAACGTACATGTCCGGCGTAACCCCCCACCAATGCCCCTCCTCACCATCATCCATACGCCTCTCTTCCTCCCCCTCTGTAGTTGTCAAGAATGAATCCTCTCAGTTCGGTCAACCAACTGAATCAAAGGATTCATGAAAAACCCAGGCCCCACTTGGGCGCTGGAAAAGAGTCGTCTACTGCTCGCCGGAACTTCCGGCGTGCATCAGAGCCCAACCCCCGAGGCACTCATTCCGCAGATGATCAAGCAGCTCAGGGAGTTCCCACACCCGGAACGCACGACGGAAGAGCACGACCCCTCGCTCCAGACTGGTGAGATTCGGATCGAGCCGCAGCATCTGCATTTGGCGCGTGTTCAGCAATGCCAGGTTCGGGTGCGTGATCATGGCAGCACAGCCGCGGCACGAGCGCATGATCTTGCGCGTATTTCCATACGGGACGACAAATGTCCGAATCGAAATGCCAGCGCTGTGTACGTGAACGTGGGGGTACTTTGTGACCAGCGGAGAACGCAGCTCGGCAGGAGTCAGAGGGTCCAGCGAAGCAGAGCGGTAAATGTCAAGGTGGCTTCGGATCGTGAATGTCTCCTCATTAGGGTCAGAACCTCCCTGCAGTGTGTCGGGTCTTGGTGAGTAGGCTTCGACATGACGTCTGATAGCGTCGCGAGTACCATACAGCTCAAGTCCTTTGGCGAGCGCAACCTTGATGGGAACGACCCAGGCACTTTGGTCCCGGGAGCCGAGGTTTCTGACACTCAGGCCGGGGATATAGATAGGTGTCAACTTGGTGACTTCGATCGCAGGAAGACCGAAGGTAATTGCTGCCTGTTGGATGGGGAGACACCAATATGCATGGTTGTATTGCATGCATGGCTGACAGACACGCTCCATCGTCGCAAGGAAGATGCGAGAGCAGGATTCGCCGCATGACACGCACTGGGAGCAGCGAAGGGTGGCTTTGATCTGTGCGATGGACCACTCTCGCTGGATGTAACTGTTTCGGAGGAACTTCGGCATGTCCGGCGCCCACTGCTTCAAGAACGGGACAGGGCTTTGCTGAATAAGGACATTGGCGGTGCGGCTCACATATGAGAAGCTGATGGCACTAGGTAAATCCAGCTTCTTGATAATCAAGTCCATGATTTCGTTCGGGAGGGCTCTCAAGTCTCCGAGGTCTTTCGTGCCTTCCTCTTCGAAATTGATCCTCGCTGGGACGGGCCACTGTTCAGCCTCGAGGTCACTGGGAAACAAGGAGTGGACAAGTTCCGGGGAAAAGACTCTCAGTGCCTCTCCGGTCTCCAAGTTATTGGCAATATCCCGTTGCCGGGCCATCAAATCAGCATCCATATTGAGATACATTCTGAGGAGGTGATGTGTGGGCACAAGAAAAGTGTGAGATGCGGTATGTCGAAGACGAGATGGAAAGGTATGCGTCTGTTTGGGGGCTCAACGCAGACCTGTGGTCTCAGTGCAAGTAAAGTGCGAGATGCGGTATGTCGAAGACAAGATGGAAAGATACGCGTCTGTTTGAGAGTTCGACGCAGACTGGTGGTCTGAATACAAGAAAAATGCGAGATGCGGTTTGTCAAAGACGAGATGGAAAGATATCCGCCTGTTTGGGGGGTGGACACAAACCTGTGGTCTCAGTGAAAGTAAAGTGCGAGATGCGGTATGTCGAGGAAAAGATGGAAAGAAACGCGTCTGTTTAAGAGTTCGACGCAGACCTGTGGTCTGAGTACAAGAAAAGTGCGAGTGGCGGTATGTCGAAGACGAGATGAGAAGATACGCGTCTGTTTGGGCGTTCGAGCAGACCTGTGGTCAACTGGGAAAGACCTATCGTGCAGACGGAGGTTGATATCTGATCGACGACCTTACAGCCTGGGGTAATGAATCGCACTATCTTCTTAGGAACGAAAGATGAGAAAAGAGGGAAGTTATAGAGGCCCAGGAAGTCAGAAAAAGTACTGTGAGAGTTGGAACAACAGACACGAGACTTCTGTGAGGCGTCACTACTTTTTTCACCTTCTACGACATCACCTATTCGAGGGCAACGTCTATCTACAGTATCTCTGCCGAGTGAGGGCCATTCAACCATCGGCACTATTTTTTGAAAATGGAAACTAAGTATCCTTCCAAGTCTTAGAGCCAACTGGCTATGTAATCATAATCCGTTATTCATATTCATCAAATCGAAACACAGTATGTCATATACTAGGGCTTGTTCTGTCGTCTAGCGTGTAGTCATTCCCGACGCGTTCAGATTCTTTTTTCGCGTTGGCAATCTTGATGCTTGGGATGACATGCTATTTCTAGTTATTACCTATTTTCCCTTGGGAAGTTCAATATTGCAAGCTAAGTATTGGTGAACTACTAGTCGACGCGTGGCTAAACCTCTGGTGTCCATAGGGAGCATTATTTTCACTAGCCTATATACCCAGCAACGAGCCTGCCAGCGCTGATCCATGCAGGGATGATGATTGGGCTTGTGATAGAATGAGAAGGCACAATCAAGTCATACAGAAAGAATTGCCACAAATAGTGCTTTATGCTTCTTTGTCATTATCGTGCTGGATGGAGGCGCAGATATCTCAGGCAAATCCAATGCAGATTGAGTATAAGTAGATGACCGCCCAGCTACCTTAATGATATAGCGCTGGCAGCCTGAAATGCATTTTTAGGCTGTCCAGATATTCTCTATCATGGCTATTTGGAATACCTTTGGCAGTCCTGCCATCCAGATATATAATCTCGATGATTACTTTGAGGACTCCTCGTGGCACCTGCACTTGGAACATATGGCTCATTCCCCTTGCATAAAGATTCTGTGTTTCAGGGTTTGTCTATATGAATCGAAGTCCAGATAAAGCCATCCGGGAGCTGGAATTGAGTATTATGAGGCTAAGCAAGTCAGTGAATCCATTTGAGTCCCAGTTGCCAGCTTAAATTGACTTCTGAACAGGGTTGATGTGGTCAACCGTGAAAGAACAGTGAACAACTCCAGCGCCTGCGATGTTCTTTCGACCAATCTTGCTATAAATGACGATGCAATTTTATACTTGAACACATGATATTAGGGCTACTTATTGGAAGACAAGGATGGGATCAGCAAAGGAAAACCGTGATCCCAGTGGGAAGGGGACTTTTCTATATTTATTTGCTATATGCTCTCCATCACTCAGAGGCAAAATTTCCCCGTCAGCTTGCTATCATCGTCTACACCGGTACTGTCAAGCCTTTCGTGGATTACCTATCAGAGATGACTGACCATATCGAGAAGGCTTGCGAGAAGATATATATACTATGATAAATACACTGTCCACATCGTCGTCAGGATGTTGGATAGATAAAAATGTGAGCCTAACAAGCAAGCCTCAATAAGCCTACGATGAAGAAAGCTCCGACCTGTTAATGATGTCTCCACACAGCTTTCCAAACTTTCAATTCAGCAAAATATCTTCTCAATTTCCATTATCCCTGACAGGGAAAGCCTGTTAACCTGCTAAAAAGAACAACTCCATCACCGGCTACACAACTTCCTCTCCGAATACCCCGATCTCACTTTTCCCTCAGTTCCACCTTGCATTAGTTCTGATTCTGCATCTGGTTGATCAAATACCAGGATGCAATGCAGTCTCCCAAGATATGACGACACATCTCTCTTCGAGACCGGGCACAAAAGGCCCGGCGGTACATCACTACATCAAACTCGATCTCATCGATCTCAGGGGAAAGCCCCATGAGTTCCAATTGGTGGGTGGTGAGGCTGTCCAGGGACAATTCCAGAATCGCTCGACAGGCTCCGCACCAGAAGATTTCCAACTCATGCTCTCCTCGAGGCACCACTTTGGCCTCCATGATGAAAAACAGAAAGTTCTCGTCGATATCGCTTGGCTCCACGATCAAAGGTTTGCGCAATTGCGTCGGAGTAGGAGGCTCCAAGGATGTCGCGCGGATAATATCTTCCATGCTCATATCTTCCTCATCGTCAGGACCTGCGGCATTGTCATATGTGTCCAGAAACCCTTCCGCCGCATTCTTAATGCCTTGTCGCGACCCATACAAGTCAAGAGCAGTTGAAAGGGCTGATTTGATAGGAACCAGCCAGGCGAAAACAGCGCCATCATCCCCTCGTGGGTCGTGGATCGGGTCAATGTTGTCAAAGTCATTGATATCGAGGGCGAAGATCTCCATGATATCGTCCAATGGATAACAATGATAGGCCCGGTTGTACCGCGCGCAGCCGATACAGATTCTCTCCAATGTGGGTAGGAAGAGATGGCCACAAGTTTCCCCGCATGAGACGCATTTGGACCTTCGGAGTGCTGCTTTCAACTGTCCAATTGACCATTTGCCTTCGGTCTTTGTCATTTGCAGTATCTCTGGCATTGCAGGTGCCCATCGTTTGATGAAGTCCAGTGGGCTAGCTCGTTTGACGGTATGGTTTGCTTCATGGCAGCTGAGAGAGAAGTTCATCGTGTCTCGCAAGTTGAGGTTATCGATAATCATGTCGATGATTTCCTTTGATAAATGGTCTAAGGTGCCAAGTCCATGACACTCGCTTTCCTTCCAAACACGACCTTGTTGGTGTAATTCATTGAGGGGTCCTTTGTATTCAGAGGCACTGAGTGGGGAGACTGATTCTTCTGAGACCATTTTCACGAGGTCATCATTAGACCAGTCGCTTAAATCTGGCCGCTCCGTCGGAAGCCTTGTTTGGCTGTTTAGGTGCGACATGATGAGAGATGACATGGTGAGACGACGCTGCGACCCAGGTGAGGTTTAAACGAAACAACGGTAGGATGGAAGCCAGGTTGAATAAGGAAGCGATATTCGTTTCGGACGCCTGGTCAAGGACTGTTTCTTCAATGATGTGTCACTATTTCGGAGGGAGCAAGGTATGCTTCTATCAATGTCAATATCAAATCACCGGTATGGTGAAGATTTCTGATGGCTTACATCGGTAACCTTGATGCCTATCACGAACAGAACTCTCAAGGATAGAGAATATCTCCAAGTTGAAGATGGAGTTACGACGATCAAGGTGTGGCCGATGAGAGATGATGTATGGAGGACGAGGTAGAGAAGGAAGAAGAGAGGTCTATAGGAGCGGTATTTATATCTCATAGAAACAGGACAAACACGGCGCCTGGAGGGGCCAACATAAAGCTTTGGTCTGATCATTGCATCCATAGAGTATTGAGTCAAAATCTACACACATACGCTGGAATGAGAGTCTCTCGGCAAGGCTACGAGGTGTCAGATATGTATATTCGAGGCTTGCAGAAAGGTAGATAATGCCGATCTAATATCCATCGAGGCGGGGGACATTTTTACGAAGAAAAGACATTCTAACGAAGGCGTCTGGCTTTCGGGTGACCATTTCAATTCGATTCGAATTTGCTTCCAGGATATCTTACTATATCACTGAGAGCACCCCAAACCGTACTATCTGATTGATCATGGGTCTTTCGAGTGGTCTTGTAGAAAGTTGTTTTTTGCAGATATCTTCTCCCTTTCTCAAGATTCATATAGAATAGCTTCAAATGTGGGAAACGCTTTAATCAGGAACCACAAGATACAACACACAGTAATCAGCGGTGCCGAAGGTGGTCTAAACCCAAAGAACAAAGCGAATTCGATTATCAATGTACAGATGAACGAAAGGTATATCAAATCAGCATACTAGATACAAAGGCCATCTCGCTGGCTAGCTGAACAATGCGGGCACGCTAAAATATACGGAATGTGCCAGTCCCCTCTATTCGACTTCCTCCATGGGGTTCCTCAAATGATCAGTCCGGACGATGTAATCATCGTCGTCGTGATCTCCATTGACTCTATCCGCGATATCATCGTCATCGCCATCAACGGATCCCTCAGATTCCGCACCAGTGAGGGATCCCTTGCCCTTCTTGCTGACGCTCTTTCCTTTTCCTTTGCTGCTGGTTGCTGAGGTGCCACTGGCGCTGCGGACAAGACCGCCGGGCCGCTTGTTCGGGCCTTTAGTGCGGTTGGTGGAGCCGCCTGATGTGTTGATGTCACCATTGGGGACTGGTGACTCGATTGGTGTCATTGAATCGTCTAGGGTGAATGCCTCCATTGCCTCGGCGATTGTTTGAGGTGCGGCGGCTGTGGAGTCTTGCTTTGATTTGTCAACGGCTTCGAATGTCTGACGGATACGCTCGAAGTGTTCAAGTTCCTTGGCGCTGTGGGAGGTTAGTCTCATCATGTTTTATCGAAAGGACACTGGGGGTAAGGTGGGGAAGAGGGTAGACACATACCTAACACTGGGGACGAGCTCTCCTTGCGCAGACAGGAAATCCTCCTCCATGACCATAACATTTACATCTTCCTTTGTGGCGAGGTGATCGAAGAACCAAGCAGTGCTGACGGGGCCATTAGGCAAAGTCTTAATCTTTTCATCGACCGCAGTGGCCTTCCGGGTGATGGCTTTCAGCATGGCATCAGAGCACAGCGCATATAAATCAGCACCAGTATAAGTCAAAGGAAGCTGTTCCGCAACACGGTCAAGCGAGACCTCGGGGTGGAGAGCGAACTTGCGAGTCAGAGCCTCGAGGATGGTGGCCTGCTTCCTGTGTGTATCGGAGACGCCTAGGTAGAGCATCTTATCGAAACGACCAGGGCGGAGAAGTGCAGTGTCAAGTAGATCGGGACGATTAGTCGCGCCAATGACGAAGACACCACCACTGTTCTCCTCGCCGCCATTCATTCCATCCAGCTCTGCGAGCAGCTGACTGACAATACGATCCATAACACCACCGCTGTCTCCCTGGTTACCACGCTTGGGCGCAACCGAATCCAGCTCATCAAAGAACACAACGCAAGGACGAGCATCCCGAGCGCGTTGGAACACCCGTCGTACGTTGGCTTCAGATTCACCAATGTACATGTTAAGTAGCTCGGGACCCTTAACGGAGAAGAAGTTGAGGGAGAACTCGGTGGCAATAGCTTTGGCAAGCAGGGTCTTTCCAGTACCGGGTGGACCGTAGAACAAGATACCACTGCGCTTCTTCATGCCCTTGGCGAAGAGCTCGGGTCGCTCAAGCGGCAGTTGGATAGTCTCGACCAAGGCATCCTTGACATTAGTTAATCCACCAACATCGTCCCAGCCGACATTTGGGATCTTAGGTGCACCGATTGAATCGGCAAAGTTCTTTCGCGCGGCTTCTACAGCAGCGTCGAAGTCTGCCTTCGTCACACCTCGTGCGCCATCGCCTCCTGCCAGCAGGACGTCTCGGACAAACACATCCGAGCCCGAAATCTTCTTGCTGGCCTCTGCCAGACCTTCGAGGCGAGCTGTTCTCGCCCCGGCAGCTCGTTCCACAACATCGACCAAGTCTCCTGCAACCAGGGCTGCAGTCTTCAGAGCTACAGTTCCCAATTCCACATCCGCGGACAGTTTAATACTGCGCTCTGCGACGGCATTTCGAAGGATTCCTTCACGCTCTTTCTCTTCTGGGGCGCCCATCTCGAACTCATGGGTGATGAGACTGCGGATGCCTTCCGGAATGGTTTCAACATCCGTGGTGGTGGCGATAACAACTCTGGCATCGTGGAGGATATCGGTCATTGCAGTAACGATGCGATCCGCAGTTAGAACCTCAATGTGCTTGATCAGCAACGAGGTGCAGTTTGCTCCGCAGTGGAAAGCCCGTTCCGCTCGAGCCTTGAGATATGCCTCGGTCTTGACATCGCCGCCGTTCGCACCGCCTTCTGTCAAAATGTCGTACGCATCGATAGGGAATGTGTGGAGGCCAATATCCGCGCACGCCCGGGTTGCGACGGTTGCCTTGCCAATATGTCTCTGCTGGGATCTAAGGAGAATAAATACAGGCTTCATTCCCAGTTGAATAGCGCGAGGGCTTGTGGCAGCAGACATCAAATCACGGAGTCGCTCCTGCAAGGGTGGGACAAAGGATTGAGGTGGGTCGGCAACAATACCATGAGGCGAAGGGATATCATGAACGCTCTTTGGGATTGTCTTGACGCCTAGCCAATACTCCCATCCGTTGTTTAAGACGCCGGGAACACGGCTCACGGCGCTTCCGGCCTGAACCATGCGAGTAGTTGCCGGATCAAGAACAGCGACTCCACCCCACTGGTCTTCGCCTGTTTCCTCCACCTCCTCTACGGAAATGGGGGCTACCTGCCCGACACGGAACCAGGCAACGCCAACTTTGCGGGCTCCGCCATTGTTGGAATTGGAATTCTGGCCTAGACGGGCAGTGATATCATCCTCCTGGTTGGCACTGTCACCGCCAGCGGTTCCAGAGAATACAGCTCTACCAAGCCCTTCATCCACGCTAATTCCGACCAGATCGCCACTTTTGAGAATACGTCGGCGCGACTCAAAGTACTGTTTGAGCCCTGCAAACAAAGCTGGCTGAAGAACCCGGTCCATTGAGAGAGGAGTAGAAACTTTCAGCAGTGTGACTTCCTTTGCCAAAGGCGGGTTCTTGGCAGCGGAGTTCTTCATGTGATGTAAAAGACCAGGTTTCGTAGAATTTGGGGTTGTGAAGTTCATTGAGGATATCCGCAGGTACTTGGGATTTTCAATGTTACCGAGAAGCAATGGCGGGACAAATACCGAAGGTGTCAAACGGTTGGGTGCACGTTGTGAGATGCTAGGTCGACGCTCACCCGAGTGATTAATGGCATACCGTGGCTTAGAGGATGGAAGACCGGAAAGACCAAAAATCTTAACAGGTCGCCAATCCCCTGAGTCTTCTGGAGTATTGTTGAAGCTTCCAAATTGAAGTGAGGCAAACATATTCAGCTGGGGCTCTTCAGTGGCTTCAATTCTGACCCAATCGCCAGAGAAGCACCCGATTTTAGCGAGAGTGCTGATATCGACAAACACGAATGAATCGACATCTTCATCATCGCGAGGGCGGGGGTGTAGCGCTTCATTCGGGACCTGTTGCAGGAGACCCTCCACCTTGAAGGTCTTGCCTCCGCCACGGCCAGGGCGCATTGTCGCCGATGTGAAATTTGATGCCACCGAACCCGGGGTATGAATACTATCTGATCTTCGACCACCAGCTCTAGGGGTCGCCGCAGTCAAGGAAGACATGGCTCCTGATGCTGACTGTGTAAGTTCAGGTGCGCTCAGGGAGATCATATCCTCCAAAGAATCATCTGAGGAGTCACTGATGGAACCTACTGAGCCCTCTGTTTCCGATTCCTCGGCAGCAGACGTGGCCTCCATTTCAGTTCCGCTTTCTCCGGGCTTATCCTCAGCGGCAGAGTAGAATTGTTCATTGGAAGTATCGTCGGCTTCATCCTCGGCCACTTGCTTCAGAAGCGCAGACCTTGAAGGCAGGGTTTGTTGAGCGCGAATTCCTTGAGCACGAGCTTGAACAAGGATAATCTTTGTCGTTGACATCAGCAAGCCTTGCGAAACCGGCTCACAGAATGAGATCCGCGCCGGTGGTGGTGGCGCATGGGTTATGGGATGAGCAGGGAGTGGAAGAGGCAGCACATCTCCAGTATGTACAATGCGCTGAGCTCCCAATGCCTCACGTACTGCTGCAGTAAGACGTTGTTCAGCATCGCCTGTGGCTCTTTTCGAATACTGCTTGGCTTCGGCGGTCTTCCCCGCTTTACCCCAGAGACCATTTGGCCCCTGCGCATTCGTGAAACCACCACCAAATTTGTTCTGGACATCATCATGATTGCGAAGGAGATGTCGCTCTACAGTCACAAATATCGTATCGAGGTGAATTGGGGCGACATCGAGAATCCGAATCTCTACGGAACGGTGAGCCTGTAGGGAGTTGCGTGACGAATCCACTTTCCCCAGAGCTTGGAGGAAAGGCTGGAGTGAGTCAGCCGATTCGGGAAACAGGACGGTCGAGTGTGACATTGGGACTGGCGACCTCTCTGTTGGCTGGATGCGCACTGGGAGTATCGTCCAGGCCTGGTCTTCGACGGAGGTATAGGTCGGGGTATGCGGGGCAATTGCAACATAGAGTACCCCATCGTCGGAAGTCGTGACATCTGATCCGAAGAAACAGAATTGTTAACAGTCATTGCATTGAGATCATTCAAACAGGCTTCCCACTCACCTTGAAGAGCCTGCTGCTGGAAGAGGTCATTCGCTAGATCCTCGGATAATATGCCAACCTTCCCGCGCAACTGGGGATCTAGCGCCAAACGAGCCGCGATGGGCGCCTTATTGTTCAATCGCCGTCTTCCAGCTCTTCTCTTGCGTTGCCGAGGCTGCTGGGAGCTCTGCCCGTACTGTTCGAAGTCCATCGGTGCCATGTCTTGTCCGGTTGCCGTCGGCAAACCAAGCGGGGGAGATAAGGGACGATGTGATGTGGAATGCAATCACCAAACCATCCGGTTAACGAGCGCGCATTAAAGAGTTCTCTAGGGAGACCAGCGACAGATTGATCGAATTACGGAGGTGAGGAGTTCAGGTTCGCCTGATCCAGAATCCGGGGGAAATCAACACGCGGGCATCTCGGCACCGCCCGCCGTTCTGCCATCTCCCGAAGCCGAGGTCCAATCGGCAGGTACAATGCAATCGCATGAAGACATGGATGTAGAGAGAAGACTTGAGAACATTGTGGGTTGTTGGTGCAATCTATATTGGCATCATACTCTAGATAACCCTCTGAGCATGCTCCGGTCGTCTCGGCTTTTGGTCCGATCTTGGTCTCAGCCGTGCTCTTGTGCCATTGGCTATAGTCTGCTTGTGATCGCATGCTACGAGCTTCCCCGGCTTCAAACAACCCCATTTAAATTTTGGTCTATGTAGTGGTCGACTGATAAACCAAATGATGAGCTTATACACCCTGTATTGGGGGGTTTGCTACCTATATGCTTCATGATGGGACCATTGTTGCTCAAGGCAATATATATATGTTCGTCAAATGTCGTAATTCTCTAGGCAGACTCATTTTTCTCTGCCCAATTCCCCGCCAGATCGCAGCATATCTCTGAATAGTAACCCGCCAAACATATTAGGCAGTTGCATATCGCCGGATTATTTTGCAGCCTGCGAGAGTCAGGCCGATAATGGGCGACAGCGTAGGGTATGATGTAGATGATACACCTTCAAGAATGATGTTGACTGATTGCTTTCGCTGGGTGGCTTGTTTCGGCGCAAGACAATTACATGGCCTAGAAGCATCTCTACGATGCGGCTGAACCCAACGACGTACCTACATATAGGTACATGTTCTGAATAGGGCAGATACATCGACGAAACCGTGACTAGGCTCTTGCGTACGATTGGCGTGGATTGCTGTCGCAGACATACAAAGATTCTCGAATTCAGGTACAATGACGAAAAGTCAATTCGATGCTTCAAAGAGTGAGCTTGGTCATAATTTGTAGAAAGCCAGCATCTGTTGATGGACTAACAGGTGGGCTGTGCAGCGGGGAAGAAGAGTCAGATGGGGCGGAGTCGAAGGGAAATGCAGCTTGACAAGGGCCCGATCAGCGCATAATCACAGGCATATGGCCGTTTGAACGGGCGCATTTTCGTCCGATGCAAGTCGAACAAGACCAACGATTGGGCCGGTCACGGAGTACGGAGTACAATGAGCGGTCACAGGCGGCTCAAATGCGCCTTTTGCAGCTCGTATCTGGTGGAGGTCAATAATAGACCGGTATGATTGGTCTGGAACATATATGGACTCCTCCATACGAAGGGATTGAATTAGCCTTGCAAGATCGTCCACAATGACCACTCTTTGTTGGCTGGAGAGTCGTGGACAGTTGGGAGCCAAGGCCCGTGCCAATGTGATTTTTCATAAATTGCATGATCCCAGTTGATGGGTGACGTACGCCGTAGCAGGTAAAAGATTAACATGCTGACTACACCGGATTTGACCGAAGGAGTCGAGAGGGACGCGTCCTCGAAGGTGGGAAATTAAAAAGACGAATGCCTCTTCGTACAGTACGCAGTACCGGTACGGAGTACGGAGTACTCCAGGTGAGGCTCTGGAACGGGACTGCGTTTCCATTTTAAGACGCAGTGGAACCGGTGGAGAAACGGTACAATACCCGCCACGCGGGAGCCACCTGCAGAGGGCTAGACGTGGTGATCGTGGTAATTCTGGTAATTCTGGTTCTGGGTTTACCATACCACTGCTGACCAAGATCTCCTGGGGCCAATCACAGGCCGCAGAATGTGCTCAGCCATCCATAATTCGCAGTCTATACCCTTTCGGTCTTAGCGTCTTCGTCTATCAGGCAGACATCCAACGCATGAGCTCTGAGCCTCCGGAGCCTTCTCTTCCTTGATCCGCTTACTCCCCCAGTGTTCTGGCTTATTCTTCATTTCTTGATCTTGTCTTTTGCTCTATCATCGCTGCCTTCAGTCTAAGGATCCCATAAACAAACCTCGTATCTAGTGGGGCTCACCGCTTGGAACCCAATCTTGAACTTATATCTCGGGGGCCCATCATCTCGGATCCGGGGAATTTGTCTCGTCTTTGGATATCGATACGATTGAAACCCATTCGGGCTGGTGTTATTAAATCATCTGCAAATCCTGCTTTGAATTCCTTCGAACCCCGCACCTGGATTAGGAGTACATGGTCCAGAGACTATCAGTCGATCGCTATCGTGATAGACCCCCCAGTCCTTCTAGCTTCCCAAGTGTGTCGACCTTTGGTTGATACCAACGAGCAGCGGTGCTTTCATATATCGAAAACCCGGCGCAAATCCCAGAGTCTTACATCTCTGACTCGACCGTACGTCACTTCTCGAATCATCTGGACAACCGTCTCCGGTGAGTCATGGCATGGGCCAATCAGCCGCAATCCAACGTTCCTTTCTTGTCCGAATATGTATGCTAAGTTTTGATTGCCGCAGTACCATATCCAATAATGTCTACCGCTCAACCTGAGCCATCGCGGGTGCACCCGCGTCGTCGGCCCGTCTTAAACACTGCCCTTCCCACCTTGTCGAACGACTCGCTTGACTCTAAGATGCGTCTTCAGAAAGGAGAAACTTTTCATACCCCGACTTCCCCTCCCTCGACTGATCGCGATCCTGTCTTGAACGTCCGCTCCCTGCCTCATCGCTCAGTAACATCGTTGGAAGCCCTCGCTGCAGCCGAAGAGCGTATGACCTCCATCCTCGGCCGACTGACTCTAGACTCCACCGAAGATCAGACCGCGCAAGCCACTAGTGACGATAGTATTTTGAAGGGCTTGATGCGCAGTAGCCCAAACTCTATGTCTGATTCGCCGCGTTCCTCAAATGAAGAGGGTCGCAGTATTCCCATCCCAGTGGACGAGAAAAAAGCTCGTCAACAGCATAGTCACGAGTCCGACAGTGGGCTCGGAACTTCCATCAGCAGCGAAGAGGGGCTGGTTGATTTGCAAGATAAAGGTGGGTGCCCCACGACAACAATACAATCATCGTTTGTCCCCTATTGTTCCATTTCAAGCCCTAACAATGAATAGTCAATAATGATATTCACGACAACCAATCCGCCATTACAAGCTCTATTGCAGCATTTGATACTGGTTCGTCGCCAAAACGTCAATTAGGCTCCGTTGCTTGCAAACAAATTGAACGTTTTGTGCTTGTGCCTATATTGAAAGAGCCTCGTCTAAAACCATTCCACTCATTGGTCCGGAGTGTTCCCCAGCGCATTGTCAATAAGCAAATCGTTTGTCTGCGCGATCTCGAGAAAACCCTATTGTGGTTGGCACCTGTGAGTCAATATACTCTTCTATACATTGGGTCATTGGAGTTCTGGTTAAGCTTATTCTTTGGTTCTTTCTTTAAATTCAAGAACTCCGCCACTTCTCGGAATTCTTATCTCAACTTCTGCGAGTTCACCATCCAGTGCTTGCATACTTCGACTTCACACCTTAACGATCGCGATCAACGGTTACCGGCTGATCGACCTTACACTAACGGATACTTCCTTGACCTTGTTTCTCAGGTTCGACGATACGCAGCAATGGTTCGGGCTGAGCGTCAGCGAGTCCAGGCGACTCAGGACTCCAAGTCCGACAAATCCAACATTCGGTATGTATATTCCATCTGCTTTGGACTGCGGGACCTAGCTAACGAACCATAGTCTCGAAACTGCTACCCTAGAAGGTGGTCTATCCAAGAACGGAAAACCAGCCGAACTCGTGGTCATGCAAGACGGAAAGCCAATCTCTTTGGCCACTGGCAAGCCCTACGAGGCGGATGTTGCTGGTGCTACCAAGCGCACCATTACCCTTGACGATGCAGTCGATGAGGGTGTTGAGCGCTCCATGGCACGCCGCAAGAAGGATGCCCCGCCAATGAACATCAATCAGAAGTGTTCCGACTGCGATAAGGTTTTCAAGCGCCCCTGCGATTTGACGTATGTTGTTCTCCTGGCTGGGACTGAAAATAAAAACATGTTTGCTAATTCATCCACAGGAAGCATGAGAAGACGCACACTCGGCCCTGGAAGTGCGAGCACACTGACTGCAATTACCACACCAAAGGTTGGCCCACCGAGAAAGAACGTGACCGTCATATGAATGATAGGCACTCGGACAAGCCTACGCTCTTCAAATGTCAATTCCACAAATGCCCGTATGCTTCCAAGCGGGCCAGCAATTGCAAGCAGCACATGGAAAAGTCCCACGGATGGGTCTATGTCCGCTCTAAGAACAATGGCCGCAATGGCAGCAAGCGCGGTGGTTCTGTCCAGACCACTCCCCAGACTCCCAGTGTGTCTACTCCTGCTTCGAAGGCAACCGACTTTGCGTCTCCGATCCCTGGCCCCAGTCCTTCACCCAGCATCCAGAATTACAACTGGCCCGAAAATCCTCAGTTCAACTTTGCTGATCCTCCTGCACCTGCCCATGGCGAAGACTTCCCACTGTTTGGAGAAGCCTCGCCCTATCTGATGACCGATATTAACTCGTTCCCGACGTCGATGAACCTGACCTCCTTCCAGAGTCAGTTTGAGGCCGGTGACCCCAACGGACTGATCCCAGCCCTTGAAATGCACCGCCAGTCTATGAATTCCATGTCTATTCCATCTGCCGACTCCGTTCCCGACCTGATGGGACCTGTGTCCTTTGATGGATCCCCACTCACCGGTACTGAAAGCATCAACTTTGACTTGGATTGGAGTAACCTAGAGTACCCTAACGAGGACTACACTGCGATGGCTGCGCAGATCCCTCAGGCTCAGTCCTTTGAGGCGATGAAGGGTTACTCGAACGACTACGACCAAATGAACCTCAACCACTGCTCTTTCGATCTTTCGAGCAAGCACGCCGGTCTCTCTCCCGGTGCCCAGGGGAACGCCATGTTGTACTCACCCGACTCTTGCAATGTCGGCGACACCCTCTCCGAGCGATACGAATACGGACTCCAGGCTCAGGCCGACAACGACTTTACGCTTTACAACCAGAGCGCTGCGATGAGTCACGGTGCCCAACCTATGATGCAAACTTCGAGCGACCACTCAGCTCGCTACAGCCAGCCTCCGCAGCACATGTTTCCTTCGCTTGAGCAGGAACGCGTGCTGCAGAGCATGCAGCCCTGGAATAGCCAACAACCCCAGGGACATTATCTGCCCCGCGACATGGATCTAGAATTTATGAAGTAGGGCGAACTCATTGGCTGTCCCCATACTTCTTCCATTTTTGCCTCCTCTTTTGCCTCTTTTTCTTCTCTTTCAATGCTGTTTCTCAAGCGAATCTAATGCCCTCAGCGATGGAAATGTGGTTGGTTTTCTCTCAACTCTGGTTCTTTTAGCTCAAATAACATGGATCCCTGACATCCTCTAATCTATCCTACTTTTGCTTATGTATGTGATCTGGTTGTCGTATTTGCTGTAAATGAGCTGGTGGCCTTGACGCCCCTAAATTGCCAGGCGAACAGCCCCCGTGGCTCTTTCTACTTTTCCCTAGAGATCAACAGCTCCTCATGCGAGGTCCACGTGTTCATGTCTTCATGTATTCATGTGTCTTGTAGATCCCATAACTACCTAGGTATACTCCGTCCTCTGGACTCCAGGACAATGCCGAGAAATGCCACCCCGCCCCGTAAGGCAAAGGATAAATAGGCAGCACCATAATCCGCCTTGGCATATGGGATCTCGCCTGGGCGTTTGGTGGGGGACTGGCGTTGAGTGGTCAGCCTGCGTCAGAGAGACGATCCAAATGGTCATAGGGCGTTAATGGAGAAAGAAATTCGCGTAGACGAGGCACTAAATAGCCCTATAATCTCCATGATGTGGCTCTATTGGCTCAGTCATCCCTGATGGGGGTTAATATAGAACTTGGAGGTGACGACATCGTTTCTCTCCGCCCAGCTGCTCCGCTCTGCCCCCTGGTCTTTCTTTCCTCCACCTTTCACCAAGCAAAGTCCCGATTGTTACTGCGCAGTGCTCAGCCGCTCTTGATTCTCAGGTTGCAGCGTCGACCGGCCTAACTAGGCAGACGCATTTCGCGCTTCGACAGTTCGCTTCATCTTCCCTGGACTAGCTGTGCTATTCAATTTCCTTGCGATTTAGCTTCGCTTTCAAGTGAAAAGAAGAACTATCTAGATACCCCTCAATATGCCTGCGACAGAACTCCCCAGTCCTGCGTTCCCGAACGAGCCCAAGGGAAATGCAGGTGCTACCCCGCCAGGCCAAGTCCTGACCGGAAAACAAGAACACTGTGAGCTGGAAAACAAATCAACTTACGGGCTAACAGCTGCTAATATCGGGATCTTTTTCGTGTAGACCTCAAGCGCGAGCTCATTGCCCGTGAAGTCCGCAGCGAGATCTCCGAGCTCAACTCCCCCACCGCATTGCAACGATTTGGCGCCCCTTTTAGATCGGACTTTGGCGAGGTCGCTCCCGTCGATTCGGAGCTTCCTATCCTTCGGTACATCTTTGTTAATCACATTCGCAACTTCCCGTTCCTCGATCAAGCGCGCGAGAAGGAGTTCTGGCAGGACAAGCTACAAGTCGTGAGTGTTTTGCTCTACCGGTTGAAAATCGGAGAAAATGGCTGACACATGGCGATGAAATAGTTTTTGGAATCATTTGCCAACAAACATGTCTCGTCATCGGAAGATCGACTCGAGGAAACAAAGCGAAGGAAGCTGGCGCGGAAATGCGAGAAGCTTGTGGAGCTCATGATGGTTTCGGGCGTGCCGACCGCGTCGGGATACGAGGAGCGTATTCAGTTCTCGGAGATGGAAATTGTGGAACGTGGTGCTCAGGAGTCGGGCTTGCTGGCTAATATTCCCGAGGGTAATCTAATTAATGGGTGGGATGTGAACGTGGCTGCTGTTCGAACCACCTCCGTCAAGCGGACAGTGCGGTACCACCAACATGCTGTGAGTTTTCCTGTTCCGGATCTCGGATCGCTTTGGAATATGGGCTTATGGCTGATTCTATCTACCTTAGGAATTCATTCTTCGAGTTCGCCATGGCGACAAAGGCGAGATTCATGTTGGGAGGAGATATGGAGAGTTCGTCAAGCTTCACAGGAGACTGAGCACCGAAATGCCAGGAAAGCACCTCCCTCCTCTGCCACGGAAGAACAAGTCCTCCACCTCTAGTTGGTGGGGCTCTTCTGCCGATGACGACGCTTCGTCTCTTTCGTCCATTTCTACGCAGGACGCAAGTGCCCCCGAGGATCGGCCTGATCGACTTTCTGCACCAACTCTCGCCCCAGGCAAGCTCCGGCGATCAATCTCCAAAGCGTCGATGCGATCAACGAAGTCGCCTCGCGGTTCGACTAGCGATGTGTCAAGAGAGACTGTTCTGTACCGGGAGGATCAGCGTGTGTCGCTGCGCGCCTTTCTACGTACTGTATTGCAAAACAAGCGCATAGCTGAATCCAAGGCGGTGGAGGAATTTTTGACTGCTCGTCCCATTCAGTTGAACGAGGAAGAAATGGCTGACGTTTGGAAGCGGAAAGAAATGGATGCCGTTAGAATCGAAGAACAAAAGAGGTTTTACGAAATTGCTAGGCAGCGAGCAGCAGAGCTCGATGTGTACATGGAGCAGTTCCGGCGAGATATTGTGGAGAACAGTAAGTTGCGAGCCCCAATAAAGCTTGTATCTCAACATTGATTACTGATATATCACTTTGATTCCAGATGGATTGACAAAGCTCTTCGCGGAGTTCCGGGAGAAGCCCTCAATTGAGGAACTCAGCCCGCAATATCAGAAATTTGTTGAGTGGCTCCGTATCGAGTATGTTGCCTGAGCCTTATGAGTGTTTCAACCTACTTACATTGTATAGAATCGCTGCAACGATTTACCACTTGTTCCTGGCCGAGGATAACTCTCCTGAATTGTTCGCACAGGCGAAACGAATCCACGGTCTCGTTCCATACACCTTGATGAAGAATGTGATCCGCATTGCCAACCCTGCTGCAGTCATGTCTGGTGTTCTTGACCTGTTCATGGCCCAGCCCTTCGGCTCACGGTCACTCTTGCAACGTATTTTCTCGTTGACGCTAAATGACAGCATCAAAGATTTCCAGAGATCAATCGACTCTCTAGCCTCGAAGGTTGAAGATACAACTCTCACCCAGAAGCTCAAGTCCTTTGCCGATTCCGCGGAGGAAATCAAGAATGAGATTCGAGAAGAGGCCGCTGCTGACCAGGTTGACATTATTGTGGCCATCCTTCGCTCCGACCTCATATCCCCTGAACTCAACCCGGAGCAGATTGGCAAGGTTTTCAACGGCTACGTGGCTTGGAATCATGCCGTGGAAAATGTAGACCTGGAAATGCAACAGGGTGCCCAATGGTTCGCTCACATGAAACAGCTCCTGAAGCTCTACACGCGCCAACGCGATAAGGCGATGATGATGAGCATTGTCGAGGAGCCAGTCACATTGCAGCTTTTCCGCGATCTGTTCACTATCTTCTATGAGCCGCTGGTCCGAGTCTACAAGTCCGCCAACGTATACAGCAGTATTACCGACTTTGCCCTATTTGCCGATGATGTCATTGCTGTCATTGAGAGTGCCCAACGCCACGATGCATCGGCCGATCCCAACCAAACAGTACAAGCCTTCATTGATCTGTGCGCTCGCCACGAGGCCAACTTCTATAAGTTCATCCATGAAGTGCACCAGCACGATAATGGCTTGTTCCAATCTTTGATGGGTTGGATCGAGGAGATCCTTGACTTCTTACGCAACGGTCCTACCGGTGGTAAGATGGACATCAACGCGTTGTTCCAAGGGGCTGTTGGTGTTGGCCAAATCAACAGAGATCTTGCCCTTGCGGAAATTGATCAACTTATCAAGTGGCAAGAAGATCGGAAACGCTGGCATCTGAACAAGACTCGCCAGAAGATGGCAGCTGAAGGTACCTCCGGAGAGGCTATTCCGGGCACTGCGACTTTCAAGGGCAGTGATTTCGGTCTGGATGAGGCATGCTTTCCCACAAATTCGACCCTGAAGAGAGAATACAAAGCTAACCGCGATTTTCAGGCTGATCTGGAGGATCTCACTATATCCGATGAAGCATCTGATGCCTCGGATGAAGATAGTGGGGACGAAGAAATGGACGACCCTATTGCTGTTGAGCGCCGCCGGCGGACAAAGAAGCAAGACCAGCTTCGCCGTACCGCAGGTGAACCCGTCAAGCCCGAGGTTACAGAGATCCTCAAGCTCGCTGATTCGTTTAGTGTCATGTTGCGGCATGTCCTTGCTGGTTAGATGGCGATGTTAAAATTATTTTGCTTCGTCGGTTCATATTAGTGCTACCGCCTTAGCAATTCCTCCTGTTTTGTTTCTACTATCTCTATTAGCTTTTGTTCGATACACCGATGCATTGCTGGCTTGCTTTAACTCGCTGGCTCACCCATGGCTGTCTGGAAGATTTGGGAAGATTAGATGGATACAGCGGACCTAGGGCGCCGCACGCTAAATAGATCATCATAATTTACACGGGACGGTTCATGAGGAGCCATCTATGTACTCCTGTAATATCTTCACGACCTGTTCATTCCCATTTTCCGACGCGACCTCTAAAGGTGTCTTCCCATCCATGTCACCCAGTTGTGGATCAATCCCATCAGCGCCGAGGAGTAGTTTCACGATGCCTATATGACCATAAAAGGCAGCAATAAACAGCGGTGTCTGGCCATCCTCATTACGAGCATTAGGATTAGCTCGTCGAGGTCCACTCAACAACTGCCTCACAGCCCCTTCATGGTTTCGATCTGCCGCAACCGCCAACGGCGTAGTCCCATCCATATCGGGAATCTCCAATCCAACCCTCTCACATTCAACCAGCAATTTCACAATCTCCTCATGTCCACTCTCCGCAGCAACAAACAAAGGCGTCTGTCTCCTCCAATGCGTTTGCAGATTAGGATCCGTGGCCTCCCACTGCAACAGAAACCGCACAACGTCCACCCGTTCCGCCCAAGCCGCAATAGAGAATGCGCCCCGACCATATTTATGTCCGTCAGAGCCAGGATCAAGGTTCTCCCCGAAATACTTGACCAAATACTGCACAACATCGACATGTCCCATGATAGCCGCATAGAAAAACACATGCTGACAATGCGCAGCACCATCATCACCATCGAGAATCAGCCGCAAATGCCTAGCAAGCAGCAATTCCACTGCCTCATTTTCATGCTGCGCTGCACGACTGAGCGGCGTCCACCCTTGTCTATTCGGCACGCGTGGGTCCACCCGCCTACTACACAGAAGCAGCGTGACCATTCTAGGCTGGTGAATGGCGGCAATCAAAAGCGCAGTATCACCGGACTTATCTTGCAGGTTGACATCGGTGCGGTCGTCATCTAACAGCGTCTGCACTACAGCATAATGACCCTCTTTGACAGCCCAAGACAGCGGCGGACGGATACATATCCTGTCGCGGCTATTTGGATTTGCGTCGTCGTTTAGCAAAAGCAGTTTCAGGACTGCTAGGCTGTTGTGAAAAGCGGCTAGCATGATTGGGGTACAGCCTTTTATGCGCGGATCTGTGTCTGTTTTTGATTGGATGTCGAAGCCTGCGGAGAGCGAGTGTAGGGCTGTGGAGGTGTTGTTGGTTGTTGAGGCCCAGAAGAGGGATTTGGGGGCTGGGGAGGTTACATCGAGCTTGTAGAGGGTTTTTTTTAGGAGTTTGTAGGTTGCTGTGTTCGTGCGGGTGAAGGCGTTTAGGTCCCGTGCGGGGAGGAACTCGGATATCATGATGTATAATTCCTTAGGGAGGGTTGCCAGGGGTCCTGGAAGGTTGATACATGATGTATGCATCTGTGGTTTATGGAAATATATCGCAGCATGAGGGTTTGATGGGGGTGGTGTATGGTTAAGTGGGCATATAGAGACTGATTCGGCCGACGTGGGGTTAAGCTTCTTATATGGGATGTGGGGAGGGGGTGGTCAGCCTCAGTGGCACTGTGCATATTAATTGGCTTATGAGGTCATTTTTGATCGGAATGTTACGGCAGAGATGTCTCAGAATCATATCTTAGCTCTAGTATGCTTTTACTCGCTCTGGTATAGATCCAGGGCTCGAATGTCTCAGTTATAAACAGAATGCCAAGGCTGCCAAGAATCCGGGGCGATAAGATAAGCGAGTTTCCATGGCGACGAAACCACGTTCTTCCTCCGCCTCCTTAACACATGCTGGGGTTCAGGCTTGGAAGATGTCTACTCCTCAGAAATATCCTCGCTCGCCAGGTACGACGGCACCTTTGCGTCGTGGTCTATTCAAAGATGGTCTTTGGTGTTGCAATTGCCCTGAACGCCCGGCTGCGGCTCGTCGCCAGACCAAGAAGGAGGGGCCAAACATAGGAAAATGGTGTATGTGAAGTATTGACTTCCCGAGATATGACCTAGAAAATGGCTTTGAGCACAAGCAGCGACTAACATTACATAGTTTGGACCTGTGCGCAACCACCACATATCAAATGTAGCTTCTTCTTGTGGGCCGACGACGCTACGATGCGCGAGCAAGCGACCGTTCTTGCCAATTCTAGATCGGAGCTCGATCCTTTCTCGTTCACTCCGACAAAACGAACTCCAGGACGTATGACCGGCGGTCTACTCACTCCCCAGACCGAGCGCAGATTTGTCGTTACCCCACAACGCCACTTCATGTCACCGCCCAAGACAGCCAAAGCTAGAATGATCTCAGAAGCCTCGGACGACTTTGACTGGAGTGATGATTTGGATGACGATGATGAGCTACTCGAGGCGCTCTCCTTCACCAAGACCGAGAGCTTTATCTCGCAACCCGACTTCCGTCCCGAACCACCATCCAAGACCCGCCGTACTTCCACAGTGACCTCGCCCGGGAAGCGCAAACTTTCACAAGATACAATTACCAGTTCCTCCTTTGGGGATACCGCCCTCGCGACGCCTTTCTCATCGCGCTCCTTCCGTAGTGGAATGTTCCCTCCCTCGTCTGCAGAGTTGTGCATGACACCCACGCCGACCAAGTACAATGATGTGCTCTCCGCAGACTCCAAATTCGACACTTCGGATCTCGCAAAGAGTCTACTTGAAATTTTGGACAAACATAGCGTCGTTTTGCCAAACAAAGCGCAGGATGAAGTCGTCGCGCTGCTCAATCGGCAGGACTTGCGAACGCAGGGGATTATCCGTGGCCGAGACTTGACGCGGCTGGCATTGAACAAGAAAAATACTGAGATAAAAAAGCTGCAAGATCGTGTCTCCAATCTGGAGGCTCAGAGGCAATTAGATCGTTCTCTTATCGAGGGCATGAAGCATTATTGAATGGAGAGATCGATTGCATGTGCCTCATTGTTAATAGTGATGTCAGGAATTGGCATTCGGAGATCCTCGGGTCTTGCTGGCGCGTTATGGGGCTGCTTATCTCACGAATTGTTACGATAATATGACAGCTTTGCGATTTGCGATTATTGTGCTACTGTTTCCGTGTCTCTTTTTCGGAAGCAAGGGAATTATCGGTGTTTTATTATCAGACCAGTCTACGCATTTAAATTACAGAATATGCGGCATTCTCCATCGAGCAAGGATTATATAGTGTGTCGTTACCATATCAGGATCATCCAATCCACTTTACCTCAGGTACCAGAGCCGACTACCAGAGCTGACGTCCTCTTCAAGGCCCCAGCACTAGTTCTCGCTCGCGCGCTGAGCTTATCTGAAATATCACAGAGAGCTCTTGGTGAACTATGCCCGAGTCAGTATTTGGAAGAATTCCTATGTGGATATCCATCCGACATGGTACCTAGGTAGGATCTATATAGATCTAGCTGATATGTATGTCACGTGCGCGATAAGAAATAAATTATCGCGCCGCAATGCGCCTCGAGCTTCGACCAAACAGGCAAACCAAAAATAGTCCGAACTTAAACCCTTGTTATCTTCAATGGAGTCGACAGACTCAACCTCCAAGCAGGTTTCCCGCGAGACACCCGAAATGATTCGACCCCCCGTGAACCGTGCCATGCGCACACTCGATCGGTCGTTTTTCCGAAGAAGCGTGCCCCTCTCCGCCGCCCGCATTTTCAAACCTAGCGATATTTCGAACGTGCGCAAGGAACTCACCAAAAGTAATGACCTCTTGGTCTTGCCACGCGTCAGCAGTGTTCGTGAGATCAAGGGGCAGAATGGCGAGGTGCGGAAGGCTTTGTTGCTGCGGGACACTCTGAAGGCTGATGGTAGGTTCATTGGGATTGGATCGGGGACTACATCAAGAGATGGGTGCTGATGGAAGTTTTCAGATAAGGCAACGTGGTCGCCCACTATCAACGAGCTCATCAACAAGGGAACTGTGGAGGTTGAGCCTTACGAATTGACATTGGACTATGACCACTGGTCATACGGTATGCATGCCAACATCTATAGATGTGTTTCCCTCAGCGAACCGTTCCATGCTGACTGAATCCTCGTAGCTGATATTATCTCATCGATCCTACCCGATGAATTGATGGAGGAGATCCCTCAAGGCTTCACTCAAGTGGGGCATGTCTGTATGTTCGTCTGAGTCACCTGGCATAGATCGATTACTGACTGAACAGCGCATCTCAACCTCCGCGCACAATACTTGCCATATAAGCACATAATCGCCGAGGTTCTTATGGACAAGAACCCGACCGTTCGCACCGTCATCAATAAGACCGAGGATGTCGGTTCACACAGCCAGTTCCGCACCTTCCCCTTCGAACTATTGGCAGGTGAGAATGACCTGAATGTCGTCCAGCACGAGCAGGACTGCGAGTTCCACTTTGACTACGCGCGCGTGTACTGGAACAGCCGCTTGGAGACCGAGCACCGTCGCCTGGTCGAGAAGTTCCGCCCCAGCGAAATGGTCTGCGACGTCATGGCCGGCGTTGGCCCCTTCGCTGTACCGGCAGGCCGGAAGAAGATCTTCGTTTGGGCGAACGACCTCAACCCGCACGGATATGAGGTCATGCAGGATGCCGTTGTTCGCAATAAGGTGCAAGACTTCGTCACCCCGCACAACCTGGATGGTCGGGAGTTCATCCGTACCTCGGGTCGGTTGTTGCTGGAAGCGGAGCCTCTGACTGTCACCATCCATCCCAAGGTACGCAGAGAGAAGAAGCGTAAGGTTGAGCAAGGCAAGGAGGATCCGCTGCCTGCACCTAAGAAATATACTCGTCCTTCCGTTGTCGACCACTATGTTATGAACCTGCCCGCTACCGCCATTGAGTTCCTCGATGCTTTCCCTGGCCTTTATGCCGGCAAGGAGGACCTTTTCGCTCCCAACACGGAGCAGAAGTTGCCCATGGTGCATGTCTACTGTTTCTCGGGACACTCGGATAATGAGGTGGATGACCACATCGATATCTGTGAGAGGGTCTCTGAGCGCATGGGATATAAGATTACTATTGATGACTGCGTCGGAGGCAAGGGTGATGAGGGTGTGGAACTCGCTATCCACAATGTGAGACTGGTCAGTCCCAAGAAGCAGATGTTCTGTGCTAGCTTCCGTCTGCCACGAGAGGTTGCTTTTCGGAAGGTATAGAGTAGTTGCATAGTTGTATGTGAGGCGGTGGGAACTTTCACGATAGATCAAAATGAAACTCTGATACCCCAAGACAAAACTAAATATCCGAATCTACCACATAAATTATTTATCTTGATAACCAATTTTGCAATCTAGAAACATACCATCTGCCCAGGGCGCATCCCTGGCATCGGATGTTGTCTTACCTCCATGGTGGGAGGCGGTGATGCCCCCACCGCCTCGAAATGCCGGACGAGAAAGTGCAGAGATCAACGTCGCGCCTAGCTTCTTTATAGCAGACACACAGCGTCAACGAAATAGCAACCCGCTCGTTATCCTAGCAATTTACCGAATTCATACCGAATAAGCTACATCCCGAAATCTAGTCAACCTCGCCGCTCACATCGCACAATGAGCATTCAACTCCCCCCACCTACCCACCGCAAGCGCGCGCTGCCCCAAGGTGAGCTCGAAGCTGCCTCGACACTGAAGCTGGGCGCCGATCAGCACACGCACACCCTCTCCCTCTCCGAAGCACGACTCGTTATTCACAAGGTGTTGGAGAACAAGCGGCGTGGGGGCAACAAATACGAAGAGCCAGAGTAAGTGGATCAGTCACCATCTGATATGGAGGAAATGCTTATCTGGGATCTATTCTACAGGAACTTGACCAAGACTTTGGATTACCTGGATGTGTTTGCCCGTTTCAAGGATGAGGAGAATATCAAGGCCGTTGAGCGGTTGTTGAACTCGCACACGGAACTGGAGATGTTCGAGCGGTCACAGCTGGGTGAGTTCTGCATTGCACTGCCCCATCCCGTCTCCCGAGAAGCCAAGACCTGGTCCAATACATGGCACTGGCAGCAAAACCAGCGATCTCGGATTTACTGACTTTGGATTTGCTCTGCATAGGGAGTCTGTGTTGCGATAATGCCGAGGAGGCCAAGTCACTCATTCCTAGTCTCCAGAACAAAATCACCGATGGAGATCTGCAGGAATTGCTAGATGAGCTGACCAAGCTCCGCAACTTCACCGAGTAAGAGGCAAAAACAGCAGCCGATCGCATCACGGGCGAATGGGGGCTTCGTTTCTGGGAGCATGGAGTTTCAAGGTGTTTAATTTCGGCAGAGGTCGCTACATTCCTGGATTAACAGACCATAGGTACATATGGGGAAATGGATGATTCATAATAGAAACGTCCCCGAACCAACCACCACATCTCATTTCTTATTACCTCCTCTTGGCCAAGTCCGAGCCCTTCCGTTTGCCACCGGAGGATTTTGGCATGTGCACTTTGCCGGGGACAGTGTTGAGGACTCCGGGGCGTTCCACTCCGGGCACTAGCAGAATACACACATCAACAGGTGTCGGTCAAAGGGCAAGATCTCGTAGGCACAATTGCACATAATCATGCATGTCTGTAGAGCGTGCATATAGGCTTCCTCCACACTCCCCACAGTTCTGATTGCAGAGTCTCTCGGGCGCTACTGCGACTTTGTCTGGCAGCTTGCCCCTGATTGGCTGGCGGGGACGACGTTATCACTGCCCGTTGATTGGCCCAGGGATCCCAGGTGAATGCCGACCAGTCAGATCGCCGCCTGGTCATGCACCCAGCACACGATCCCTGGAGAACAGCATCGAAAGGGGAACTAGGAAACTTAGCATGCGACCAAGCAATTCTTATTATCTAACTGTTTGATCTATATCCCTTCTGTTTGGAGCTCCAGCTCGGGGGCCCTGTTCGACTGCTGACCTAAGGATATTCAATACGTAATGGCATGTCTGGATTCAGCACCAATCAGCAAGGGGCCGCTTATCGTTGACAATTAAAGTGGCATAATTCCCACTCGCTTGCTTAGCTGATGGGTTTTTGTTACGAGACGAAAAGGGCTGATCGTCTGGTAGCTGGACCAAAGGGAGTATATACTGGGTTTATATTAGTTTATATTACCTATTAGACTCTCGATGTCATCATCTGTCTTTTCTTCTTCTTCGGCTCTCTCAATGACGGAGCAAACGATTCGGCATCTTCTCCTGCTACAATCACTTGCGGGTTCTTCTTTTATTTCCATCTCCGGTGCCGGCTTTGGATGAACGTCGGAGATAACCCTCTTTGGTCTTTGCTTTCTTTTTGATAAGCGTAGGTACACTCTTATCAATGATCTCATCCAATGACTGACAGTGTATTCAGAAAAGAAAAAAAAAAAAAAAAGAACGAAAAGGATCATAGAGACTAGATCTTAGATTGCGGAGTGACGCCTCCGTGAAGACCCTATCGAGTGTCTTCCCCCCATTTGCCCGATTCACCGTACCTAGCTCCCGGTCCACATGGCGACCGTTATCACGCTCCAGCCTTCGGGCTATTCCAATCCTGATCTCCGCACCGCCTCGACCCCAACGCTTTCTCCATCCCCCATATCTCTACACTCGACCCTCCCCCGCGTACGGGATGGAGCCAGTTGTGACGCTTGTCTCCGCAGAAAGAGCAGGTGTGCCATGAACGAGATGGTCAACAAATGCTATTCCTGCGATTTCCATCGTCAGGACTGTACCTTCACCCTCACAGTGCAAGAGGCTCCCTCCAAGAAGCGGAAACTGGACGGACCGGAGCCCGCGGAAGCGAAGCGGTATGGAATTCTACCCTGGGCATATACCTCAGAGCCGGAGAGACAGGGACAGTGTGTTCTGACAGCTCCCAGGCCCTCCACAATGCAACCGGCGCATGCGGTAGAGATCGAGCACCCGCTAGCAGTGAACATGATTCGCCCTGGCTTCTTCGACCAGTCCACCCAGCACATTGGCATGACCACCGAGCTGGAGCCGACATTGCTCGAGTATCTGCCATTGGATCAATACGACGAATGCACAGTGTCAAACTCGCGTGTGCGTAGATGCGCCGATGATGGAACTTTCATGCGTGTGGTCAACATTCTGCCTCCCGGTGACTCACAGACCTCTCCTCTCGACACCATTGAGAGCATGGTTGCTCCCTACGGTGCAACATTGATTGAGAAGTTCTTCGACCATGTGCACCCTTCGTTCCCGATTTTGATAGAGGAAGCGTTCCGCCGATCATACCGTGAACGCCGCAGTGTGTCGCCACTACTACTGGCCGCAGTATACGTCTTGACATTGAAGTTCGTTGATGTCGGTGCTAACTCGCAAACTACGCGGAAACCGGATGCCGCCCGTCTGGAGGCTACGGCGCTCAAGATGCTAATGGAATCTTTATCATCTCCCAGTGTGTCAACTATTCAAGCCGGACTCTTGTTGACGCAAAAGTCGACATTGGCTACGGCCTCATTGAACGGGCAGCTAGTCACGGCCTGTTTCGAGCTGGGCCTGCATCAGGACTGCACGAACTGGCGCATGGAGACGTGGGAGAAGGGTCTACGGAAAAGGCTTGCGTGGGCTTTGTATATGCAGGATAAGTGGTCGTCGCTGGTGCACGGCCGCCCTTCTCATATTTTCGCCTTTAACTGGACGGTGAAGGATCTCGTGGAGCAGGACTTCTCAGATGCCTTTGCCTCCGGGACTGACTCTTCACACGATGAGACCGCCGTCGGCCATGGGCCCCTTCTCTTCTGCCACATGGTCGCACTAACAACCATTCTATCCGACATTCTCGACCGCTTCTACACCCTCCACGCCATTGAAGAGTTCTCCGCCGCTGGAAATCAGCGCACGCGCATGATTCTCGAAAAGGCCAAACCAGCTCAAATCCGACTGAAGGACTGGTTCTCTTCTCTCCCACCATCTCTCAAGATGGAAACTTCAACCGGCGAACTTGTCGAAACAATCACAGACGAACACGCCCGCAACGGTGCCCTCCACCTCGCCTACTTCGCCACTGAGATAACCCTGCACCGCTGTATAGTCCGCTCCCTCTTGGCCGAAGGTACAGACCCCTACCTCGCGCACATCTGCCGTTCCGCCGCCAAAACGCGCCTCATCTCCGCAATGGATTTCGTCAACCGTCTCCGCCCCGCCCACCTGCGCTCTTTCTGGCCCGCCTCCGCACGCACAAACTTCTCCCTAATTGGCTCCTTCGGCATGCTCCTCCGCATCACCGCCCCAACAAACGAGGAAGCAGACTTCTACCGCGTCCGCCTATGCGAGTACCGCTGGACCCTAGGCGTCAGCCACAAAAACGCCGAATTCATGGGCTTCGCGCTCCAAAGTCTCGATAACGCCACCATGCTGCACAAGCACGTCCCCGCGAAGCCGGGAATCGCCGAGCTGATGGCATCCTCATGCAAGAACGCGGCACCGCGCATGCCCTCGTCAGCAATGAACTCTTACGATGAAGCCCTGATGGATGCCGGAGGCACGGGTTCCAGCTCAGTGATTTCGGGTCTTGCTTCGCCTGCCACCTCCGTCAGTGATGGGGAAGACGCGGAAACTTCTATGGCGCCTCTATGATAAAATCTCTCCCCTCTATACCTTACTATTGATACCTCTCTCAACCTCCTGACATTCTCCTCGACTATCCTCTCTCACGTTCTCCTCATGACCTCACAATGGCGTTTTCTCGGGATGTTATTTCTTTTTTTTCGGAATGAAGCGCTTGGATTACTTCGATTTTATTATGGATACATGTACCCCCGTATCACGGACGGGAATTTCTGTCTACGACAGACTACCTCCTTTGTGACCACAGGACTTCCACTTTTCAGACTGCTGATAGCGTTTGCTTTTCTGTTTTCCTCGACAATTTTTATAGACAGGGACTATGTATATAGATCGGATGATGAATTATGATTATACTCTTACAGCCGTTCCTGCGCACAAACATCCGTAAAATAAACTAATCCAAAGACCCCGATCTATATCCAAATCAAAAGAAAGAAAACTCATTCCCCCCAAACGCAAAATCCTCCAATACACTCGAATCCACCAAATTCGCCAACATCTCCGCCCTCGTCCGATCCGGCTGCGTCTGCGCACCACTGCTAAACAACGAGAAAAAGAAATCCCCATCCTCGGCATCCTGTTGTCCAAGCACACCCGGCGGATCAAGCGACAAGCCAGGCGTGGACATCGACAACGCCGGCAAGGAAGCACCGGCCGATTTCGGCGTCGTCGTTTGATTCAGAGGATTCTGTACCGACGCATTCGCAATACGAGACGGAGCTTCTAGATCGGTTGATTGACGCATCCCAGATCCGGGGGATGGGTTCTGAAGATCCCCGCGTCGACGAGTTAGACAGGTGCGCGCGACTTCCAGAACCTCGCGGAGCATTTCGGCGCAGCGTCGGGCGACGATGATCTCGTCCATGGCGGAGAAGACTTGGAGGGATTTCTCGACGTCTTCGAGGAGGTCTGTGTCTGGGAGGTTGGGGTAGTTGGAGAGGATTAGGTGGAGGAGGATCATTGAGCCGTAGAGGGCGTAGGTTGTGTTATACCACCTGGGGATGTTAGATTCTGGTTTCTAGTTGCGGTTGCGGGGGGAGAACCGACCACGTGCGGATGTAGATTCTGTGCATGAAGGACTCGTATTGCATGTTTATACTTGTGCGGGCGGCGGCGAGGCAGGTTTGGAGATGGGTGGAGAGGTCTGGGGTGGTGGTGTTTGCGGTGGCGGCTACGAGGAAGGGTTTGTGGATTAGAATTCGGGTGTTGTAGTATCCTGGATATGGGGATTGTTAGGGGCTGCTAGGGGTTTCGGTATTGGGATATGCTGGGGAGGGATACTCAGTCTCAAGACTAGTTTTTGTTTGAAGGCCCATTCGGGATCGTTTAGTGCGTGGGCATCGAGGTTTAGGAAGGATGGGATGTTTGCTTTCCATTTGAGGAGGCGGTGGTCGAGAGACATGGCAAGATGGGATTTATCGCTTAGAGACAGTCGTGTGGAGTGGTATAGTTGGTGGGAGGCTTCGGACATGATTCTGGATAGGGCGACCATTACTGGGATCATGGCTATGTCGTTGTCCTCGGCGTCCGGGTCGAGGTCGTTGGTATCAATCTAGGGGTTTTAGTCTGGTGTTGCGGATATTGGGATGGGGGTGTTTACCTTTAGTTTGGGGAGGGAGGTCTGGTAGTAATGTAACTCTTTCATGCTGTCCAGACGTCCTGAAGAACAGCACATTTCTCTGGGGTTTGATGTTAGTGATATCTCATGAATTGTAGTGGTGTGAGATGGATACTAACATTTCATGAGAGTAAATGCACCTGAAATATGGATTAGATTCTAAGTCTGTCATTTTAGGCTATCGGGACATACCACCAAGTGCGCCTAGCTTCTCGTCGAGCACTAGGAGGCAACAAAGACATGCTCGAGCCGAGTCCTATAGCCGCTGCTGTGCGGGCAGCCATACCGCTGTACATATAACAGCTATGAGGCTGTAGCGAGTTCTGAAGGAACACACTCTAAGAAAATATGTCAGCTTCTCTCCGACGTAATATGAAGAAAGAACGTACCATAAGGAAAAGAGTCTGAGCAGACTCTAAGCATGAACTCTCAAACAGATTACCCAGGGTCCCCTTTGCAAGCCCGAAGAAGAATTTTGCAAAATCTAGCGCTGTGAACGCAGATCCTTTTCGAACTTTTGGTTGCTGTTCATCCACAGATTGCTGGCAGAAATGTTCGAGTAGGGAGGTCTCATTCGGGCTTGCATTGATTGCCCCTAAAGCGACGACTGCGAAGTAAAGTCCAGCGAACTTCGTCGCACCACGGAAGAGTATAGAACGTTTTGGACTTGGCCATGCTTCGCTCTCACAGCGTTGCATGAATGAACCTTTGCAGAGTAGTGGGTGGATGTAATGCTTGTTGGCAAAATAGCTGCCAATGAAGATTTTCTCGATCTCCAACTGTGCAGTTTCTGTAAGCCGCGGGAAGCATACTTCGAGGTTGGTATCTTGGCCTATTACTTCTGGTCAGAGATTGAGTCATTTGTACGTTCTAGTAAACAACGAAAAACGACAATTACCGTTGCTATTTGGGGAGACTTTGTTGGGACCGCCTGTGACTCCGGGACTCATCTGTGTTGCATCCTTGGCTCCATTGTGGGATTGGGGCGTTGGGTGTCCAGTGTATTCAACATTGTAAAGCAAGTTCACAATCGAGAGCTGCGACTTGCTTGATCTGCTGTCGTGCTTTTCATGGCTTGTATCTGACGATAACAACTGTGATCGTTGATTGAAGCTATGGGGTGAAGCTTTGTTTGGCTGGGAAGCTTCGTCAGGTTGATTATGATCTCTGCTTTCTGCTTGATTCTGTGCTCGCATATATAGATTCCCGAGGAATGCGAGATTTGAAGAGTTACCATAGAACTCGGTCCCATTGGTATGCAGATTGACCCCGCTGAGCCCATCTCTTGAAGCAGCATCGCCTATCTCAGAAGTTGGGGCTGAAGATATGGTCAGCTTGGTTGGTTTGAGGTCTTTAGGGGGTTGATGTTTACTATGTGAATCGTCGGATGGTCTAGTCGACGGGATCGTAGTTTCGGAAGTGTGAACGGCAGCTCGGGGGTGAACCCTCAACAAACCGGCCGACTGGGTTTGGGGGGTGCCGGTTGATGATAACCTGTTAGTATTGCTCACACTCTGAGAACGATCACTCTGGTGCGGAATAGGCCATGGAGACGGTCTGCCGGTACTCTTTTGGCGCTGTGTTTGATTCAAAACACTCGGGTGTGGACGTGAAACCGACTCCAACGTTCGCTGAGGCTCTTCGACATCTCGTTTTCGTTTATTTGAAGCAATTTCGGTGCCGCTCCCATCAGAGGTGCGATATACACAGTCGAATGAGTGATCTGTCTCTGGGTCAATTGATAATCTTTGATCCAGGGGCTTTGGAGAACATACATGCACAATAAGAACAAGGTTGAGCTTGGTCACACTGACAAGTAATGTTAGATCGACTTCGTTTCATGAAAGAGGAACGAAAACAAATAGCAAGCTCGAGATCCAAGTGAAGTCCGACCTACCTTCGTCTTCCGAGAACGGCAGGTTTCGCATGCCTGCGAAGCTCGCGGCCGACGTTGCGAAGCCCATCGAGTTCTAGCCTCCGGGATGTCCATTTTCACGATCAATAATTTGTTGTGTCTTGGGAAGTGAGTAAGTAGTTCTCTTCTTCGAATGGCGAGAAGAGGTGTTGTCCTAAGTGGATCCCGAACTAGACGCCGCTCTCCCTTGGCCGAAATGGCCGATCTTCGACTCATTCTTCACATACATCATGGCGGGGATTTTGTGGGTCTGGGGAAATATTTGAAGCATATTCGGATATCTCATTAGTTTACTAGCTGGACAGAGGGTATCATAGATGTTGTTGCCCTGGATACTAGGGCATCCATCGGTCGGGGTAGGAAGTAATGAGGCGGGACGTTAAGAGGGCATTTGTACGTCTCGTTTGTGAACTGGGGGTTATGGCTGTTCCTCTTCCCTTGGAATATGATCTCTGCTGGTCAATCCCCGTCTCCGATGTACAGTTACGTTTCGCTTCCGACGGAAGGCGAACTTCCGACGGATACAATCCGACAGAATCGTTCCTTCAACATCATACCAAAGTGATTATGGACTATTTTTATGCACAGACACTGCTACAAACCAGTCTCGGCGAGGGCCCTTCGGTAAACGCTCTTTAATGTCAGAATTGAGTAAACTCGCCGACGCCTTTCACTGCCTCTATGAGAAGACCAATCTGTGAAGGTGTATAGTCCTAGTCGCCTTTTTAGTAGCCTTTTGCCTCGATATCTTCCCAGGTTCTTCCCTTCTCAAAATTGAGTACTGAGCACCTGGGTAGTGTCATTAGCAGTTCCAACATAAGCATCTTCAGGCAGCAAATTCAATTTGAGAACACAACCCCTGGGAACTATACAGAAATGCACTGCAAATTATTAGAAGGTTCTCGAAACTGTTGCATCCAAAGGAAATTATTTTGGAACAAGATTGTTGACCGTCTAGACCCTTTAATTGATCGATTTACAACATCTCTATAAGTTGCAGAATGCCATCTCGAGTAAGTTCTCCAGGGCTATTTTATATTCACGTTCACCCAGAGCACAGAGAGCGCAGATCACTTATAGCCTGAGACTTTATTAGCACAGTCTGAGACGTTAAAAGCAATAGATCATTCAAATAAAAAAGTCGAAATCTGCAAACATGTTCGGCAAACATCGCATAGAATGTCTGATGTCCCCCAAACTAATATAGTAAGTAATACTCAGGCACAAGAACTCAAGATCACGTTTATTAACAGCCCTGGAGCCATTCCCGTGGAATTTTCAGAGACATATCCCCCACAAGAATCTCCCTTATATCTGGATTGGGGCCGGGGGCGTGAACTCCGCAGTTACCGATTGATGATGCGAACACTTTCGGCCCGGGCTCACGTCGCTCGTTCCGGCCGATATCCTCAAAAATAGAAAGACGCCCAACTTCCTACATACGCACTGGCTATTTTCTCATCATATTCCCCATGCTCATCGCGTTGAATGAATAACATCGTCTTTTCGCGGTGGCTGAGATGTCGAGTTTGTTGATACAGAGCGTGCTTCTTCTATAGCGAGACTGCCCGCATGGCACCAGTTCAAGACCCGCCAAATGAGAACATTTCCTGGCATATCCTAGTTGGAACTATTGTCACCATTATCCCGGCTACCATATGTGTGATCTTGCGATTCATTGCCCGCTATATCCCCGGCATTGGCCTGTGGTGGGATGACTATACCATCGCAGCATCTCTGGTGAGCGACTCCATGAACTCTGCCTCGCAGATTCACCAATACCCACATTCCACACATAAGCTGACTGAAATAGGTGGTCAACTGGGGTATGGCTGCTTTGAGATGGGCGCAGATCGCGTTGTATGACTATGGCCGTCACTCTCAATATGTGACAAAGGAGCAGCGCATCGGATTTCTCAAGGTACCTCATCAGCTCTGTCTATGAAGGCGATCTCTCACAAGCAAGCAGAGTTTCTTGGCTGTCCAAATCCTATATTTCACCAATGCCGTCTTGACAAAGGCATCGCTGCTGCTTCTCTTCCACCGTATTTTTGGTGTGGTTAGATGGTTTCGCTGGGTTCTCTGGGCGTCCGGAGTCCTGGTCATTTGCTATTTTATCGCCTGTGTAATTGCATCGATTGCGGGATGTTCGCCAGTGGCGAAGTTTTGGGACACTGACATACCAGGACACTGCATCAACGAAATCGCCTTCTTCCGCTGGAATGGCGTTGCGAACATGATTCTGGATTTCCTAGTGCTTTCCCTGCCATTCCCGATGGCTTGGCGAGTGAACACAACCCTTCGACAAAAGCTGATTCTGACTGGTATCTTCCTACTCGGTAGCTTGTGAGTTTCTTCCGTGCCCCAAGAGGAGACAGACCACTAACTATGCACCAGTGTCTGTATTGTCTCAATCCTTCGAGTTGTGAGCTTTGATAATGCAAACCCGAATGATCCAACTTTCTCCAATGTCAATCCGGCAACTTGGTCCTCGGTTGAGCAATCTGTTGGGATAATCTGTGCCTGTCTTCCCACGCTCCGGCCTCTCTTCCGACGGCTGTATGGCTCCTCGAGAGCAGACTCGCATATGGATGGTAGCTCTTCCTATGATGATCAACACCCAACCTCGCTACCTCGACGCTTGTCGCAGTATGATGACGACAGCAGCATTCTTGGATTTGCCCAATCGAATTCAACGCGGCATGACATGCGCAGTACTTCCTCGCATCAGCTAGAAGTGATGCAGAGTATGAATCGCGCACCAACAGTTCATGAGGATAATGACCGTCCTATTTCGCAGGCTTCGTATATGAATATGAACAGACAGGTATCTGCAGCTAAATCATTTGGTTAAGGGATTTTATCAGGGCACTTTTCGTGGGAGAGAGGTGTTTCTGTACTATGTGATGCCCATGTCAAGATATATATTCTTTCTTCAATTGAACACCATCGATTCGTCTCCTTGGCAGTCTTCCCATCCAACAGCGAGAAAGTGGGGGAATTTGCCAAATTCCAGTAAACAGATCAATTGAACGTCCTAAAATCACTACATGCGACCCTTCGGTGCACATCTAAGAAACCTAGGCGGATCCTAAACCGACACCTTCTGAATGGTGATGGCTTCGTTCCGCGCATCAAATCTGTCTGCCGAGGTCACATCTTGGCCATCATTGTCACATTGAATAACAGAAGACAATACTATATTCGTCGGCGAATCCATCACAGAAATCGCTTGATGGCCCCCAAGGGCTAATGCAAGGTTAGATTAATTATCATGCACGCTGAAGTTAGTCGCGTGCTGGTTGAATGATCGGCGTTCTCTCAGCCCAGATGCTTTCGGCCATGCGCAACGCACACTTTACTATTCCCCAAAATCCTCCAAGCTAGTCTCTTACGGCAGTGATGCATTCTTCCAATCTTGCACCTGCTGTCCTAGCAGCGTCCCTCGTGGGATTCGCATCCGCGAATTCTCCGAACTTGAATCTCTTCGCCTACGGCAATCAAGGTCCTTTGCTTGGCACGTCTTTCGGCATCCCCGGCACGAATGCAACCTTTGACTACGTCGTTGTTGGCGGAGGCAATGCCGGACTGACGATTGCAAGCCGTCTGTCCGAGAACAGGACAGTGAGCGTTGCAGTCATTGAGGCGGGCGGCTTCTATGAGGTCGACAATGGCAATTACTCGATCGTGCCTGGGTATTCAAGCTATTATACAGGCTCAGACACAACCGACTATCAACCCCTCATTGACTGGGGATTCAACACCCAGCCTCAGCCTGGATCAGGAGGCCGGGTCTTGCATTATGCCCGAGGCAAGACCTTGGGCGGTTCCTCTGCCAGGAACTACATGCTCTATCACCGGCCGACAACTGACAGCATGCAGCGTTGGGCTGATGAGGTAGACGACCAGAGCTATAGTTTCGAGAACTTGCTCCCTTACTTCAAAAAGTCTGTTCATTACACGCCTCCCAACCAGGAGCTTCACAGTAACTCTACGAACAGCCAAACGCCAGATGCGTTCAGTGACGCAGGCGGGCCGCTAGAGGTATCATTCAGCAACGCCGTGCATGCCTTTGGAACATGGTGCCAGAAGGCGTTTATCGCTCTCGGAATGAAGCAAATCGATGGATTCAACAGTGGCGAGCTACTGGGCTCGGCCTTTGCGACGTTCACTATCGATCCGCGAAATGCGCATCGCTCCAGCTCCGAGTCCAGCTTTTTGCAGACCATGCTGGCAAAAGGTGTCGGGCCAATGGTGTACAAGAATACCATGGCGCAAAAGATATTATTCGATTCCAGCAATAAGCATGCAACCGGAGTCCAAGTATCAACAGCAGGCACCTTTGGCACGCCGTCCGTCAACTTCACACTCCACGCTCGAAATGAAGTCATTATATCAGCCGGCGCTTTCCAGTCCCCTCAGCTACTGATGGTTTCAGGTATTGGACCCTGTGACCACCTACGCGAATTTGACATTCCTTGCGTCAAGGACCTCCCCGGTGTGGGCCAGAACATGCAAGACCACCCAATCTTCGGTACTGCACACCGCGTGAACGTCCTCACAGCCTCAGCCTCGGCCAACAATGCAACTGCTGCAGCGCTTAGTGCGAAGCAATACATCGGAAACGCAACAGGAGCCCTGACCATCTTTGGACCAGGCTACTATGGCTGGGAGAAGTTACCTAGTTCATTCCGTGCCAATCTCACGCAAGAGTCTCGACAAGCTCTCTCAACCTTCCCATCAGACTGGCCGGAGCTGGAATGGTTGCCTATCGGTGCATTCAACGGATATAATCTCAACAAAGTGACAGCCGATCCGAAGGATGGTCACCAATACGCCACTCTCAGCGGAGCTTTGATTGCGCCTCTATCGCGTGGCTCCGTCCGCCTCGATGGTCCCAGCATGAACACCTTGCCGTTGATCGATCCGCAATTCTTTGCAGATCCCACCGATGTAGATCTGGCTATTCAGGGCTTCAAGCGGCAGCGACAGATTTGGGCGGAGTTGGCGAAGCTAGGCGTTGCTGAGCATGAGGAGTATTTCCCAGGGTTTAATGTTTCGACTGATGCTCAGATTTGGGAATTTATTCAGAAGAGTATGACTACTGTGTACCATGCATCGGCAACGTGCAAGATGGGACGCACGAATGACTCTATGGCTGTGGTTGATAGCCATGCCAATGTCATTGGTATGCAGGGATTGAGGGTTGTCGATGCCAGCAGTTTCCCATTCCTGCCGCCAGGTCATCCCCAGTCTATTGTTTATGCCTTTGCGGAGAAGATTGCAGATGAGATATTGGGCTCTCTTTAGAACAAAACCAAGCCCAAGCACTTGGAATAGCCATGTTATAGCCATCCTACACAGTTGTGACCGAGGATTCTCTTCAAGAAATTCAATACTATAGAATACAATGCATACAGAGAAAAGCCCAAATCCATCTATCTGTACAAATATGCCGCAGAGATATCAATGCATCACAGCAGGACAATTACCAGCCTAAAGGATCAGGCCATATCACGACTGGCACTCTGTCCATACCTCACTGTCGGACGATGATCCGGCATAACGTTTTCGCCTCAAAAAACAGAGCTTCTCCCAAACACCGAACAACCCAATTATGACCGGGGTTCAATTACCGAGCTGTCCTCGCCATCCTCGACGACCACCGCACCCTCCGCCAACAACTCATCCGGCGTCTTGACGCGCACATCCATGACGCGCATCAGCGTGTAACGGTGCTTGCTCTTAGCCTGCTTGACGTGTCTGTTTCTCCGCTTCGTCTTCTCCTTGATGCGCAGCGGCTCCGCATCCACACCCGTCACACGGACCCGGCACTCGTACATACGCTCGTCGATAGTCGGCGTGCCCTTCATGGTGAATTCGCGGGATCCAATAGCGGAAGCGCGGTTGAAGCGGAGGATATCACCGGCCTTGACGTTGGGCATGAGGAAGGGCAGACGGATGTGATCACCTTCGGTCAAGAGATATGGTCGAGCGTGCAATTGAGCGACGACGTAGTGCGGCTTCTGGCCGGCGAGGTGGGGGAGCTGGGACATGAGGGATTTGGTCACTTTGAGAGGGGAGGTGAAGGTCGGGGCGACGGGTTGTTTCGCAATGGGGACATCTGCGCGTGTTTGGGGTGTCATGGTGGTTTCGTCGAAGGTGTAGGGCCGGCTAGCCTTTGGTTGGGAATCTTGGGCCCGGGGAGTGGCGCTGAGAGGTGATTCGGGGTGGGTGGATGACGATTGGCTCTGGGGTTGTTGCGAGTTCATCAAAGTGGCACTTTGGTGCAGGCATGCTCGTTGCTGAAGGGGAGCTGCGGATGAAATGGTAGAGGGCGCAGTCCAGCGCAGGTCGGAGGCGAGGCTCCGGAGAGCAGAGCGTGAGAACATTTTGACGGACCGCTTGCCAAAGCTCAATTCAAATCGAGAGTGGAAGTGGTTCACAGTGGTTGATATTCGAGATAGAAGAGCGGCTTCCCCGTAACTAGAGAAATTCACTACTTGCGCAAATGGCCGCTTGGTGGCCCGTAGTGTCACGTGGTGCTGTAAATCTGATTCGGGAATGCAAATCTACAGAAGAAAGCAATATTGGGATGAAAAACTACGGAATTCTTAAATATTGCACAATTCCTCAATATCTGACTTTCTTTCCTTAGAAAAATTATCCGACTGTCGACTTCCACCAATTTCTTTGTCCAAGCTGAAGTCCATGTATTGATCTTACCGATAAGGGCGTCACGTGCCTCGCTATCTTTTGCCGCATCACAACTTTTTCGGCTTCGATTAGATCTTCAAGGCAGGAACTTCATCACCTATTCACCTCGTGTTGTTCATTCGTCGTTCATCATGGTATGTTCCCTACAAACCCCCAATCTATCAATGCTAAATAAATAAATTTACTAACCATTTTTCCCACTTACAGCCTCAGAACGAGTTCGTCTCTCCCCGCCAGCCACCGCCCGACCTCGAGCTGACATTTTCCTACTAGGTATATCGAGCGCTGGACGAAGCAGCACGGTAAGCGCCTCGATCACGATGAGCGCGCCCGTAAGCGTCAGGCTCGTGAGGGACACAAGCAATCCCACGATGCCCAGAACCTGCGCGGTCTGCGGGCCAAGCTGTACCAGCAGAAGCGCCACAAGGAGAAGATCCAGATGAAGAAGCGCATCAAGGCCCAGGAAGAGAAGAACGTCAAGTCTGCCGCTCCCGACGAGCCTTCCAAGACCCCTCTGCCCCAGTACCTGCTCGACCGTTCGCAGGAGACCAACGCCAAGGCCCTCTCCAGTGCTATCAAGAACAAGCGTAATGAGAAGGCTGCTAAGTTCGCTGTGCCTCTGCCTAAGGTCAAGGGTATCAGTGAGGAGGAGATGTTCAAGGTTATCAACACCGGAAAGAAGACCCACCAGAAGTCCTGGAAGCGTATGATCACCAAGCCTACTTTCGTTGGTAACGACTTCACTCGTCGTCCTGTCAAGTACGAGCGATTCATTCGCCCCATGGGTCTGCGTTACAAGAAGTGCAATGTCACACAGTATGTTCCACCTCCCGGGAGAAGCATTCTCCTGTTTGTTATGACTGGGTATGATATTAACTTTTTTTTCTTTTCTTCAGTCCCGAGCTGGCTGTCACTGTTCAGCTCCCCATCCTGTCCGTCAAGAAGAACCCCCAGAACCCTCTCTATACCCAGCTGGGTGTCTTGACCAAGGGAACCATCATTGAGGTCAACGTCTCTGAGTTGGGTCTTGTTACCACCTCCGGTAAGGTCGTCTGGGGTAAATGGGCACAGATTACCAACACCCCTGAGAACGATGGTTGTGTTAATGCGTGAGTTATCTCGATGATCTCCTATAATTATACCTCAAACTAACATTCAATAGGGTTCTCCTTGTCTAAATCTACCACAAGCACTTCTACATTCCCAACAGGCATCCGCCTGTCTTCGATACCTCCATGCTTAGGCAGTTCTGTATTTCCCTTTCTTGATACATAGAGTCTATCAAGACTGTTCTATTTTTGGGTGGTGTTAATGGCGCAAATTCAAGTCCATTGATTTCAAACGAAAAGTATTCTGCATGTTTGGCTTCTTGAATGGACATAGCTAGTTTCTAGATAGTCAGGCAATTTATCAACCATGATTTTATGAAGACAACAGCATCTCAATCCGTACTGCCGCCTCCTTTAGATAGAATCAAAAGACATTTATTTAATTTATCAACCAGATACACTCATTGAAATTTTCAAATAGCCCACAGGATAAGAAACACACAGGATCCAAGTGATGAAGATAGAGACAAATGTTGTCAATTAAACACCTTAACCAAATGAGGAGTGATGGTCACTCCAGGAACATTGATGCTGAAGCAGTATCCGGATGTAACAGAAAGGAGAAGGCTAATGAAATCATATACAGGAAAAAGCACACGCTGCGCTGAACCGAGACTCGTCAAGAATACCCACCATAGAACCAAAGGTTGGGTTAAACACTCCCGAAGGATGATGCAGAAAGAAGAGAAGAAGCAATGCGAAACCCCCAGGTAGTCAGATACCCTGCAAATGAACCAAGTAAACCTAAACAGAAAAGAAATAACACATCCAACACCGGTCATGAAGTCGTTCTAACCAAGAAGAGAATATGAGAAAACGCCAATTAGGCAGTCAAGATAAAGGAAATAAAGTAAAAGGAGTGTGTGGGTGTTGTCATGCGTTTTCTTCTTCGAGGGCTGCTTTGATTTTTGCAAAGAAACCTGCGGGCCATGCAGCCAGCTCCTCTTCTCTGGGTACACCGCGGACTTTGCAGTGGTGGACGACATTGGCCAAGATACGACCAAGCATGTCTTGGGTGACTGGAACAGCACCCTCGAGCTGGGCATCAGGGTGCAAAAATGGATCGCGCGGGCCAAGCATCTCCTCGATGGTTGGGCGGAGAGTCTGATCGCGCTGCAGGCAGCGCTTGAGGGTCCGAACGAGACCAGGAGGCACGGGAACTCCGCCGACACCAAAGGCCGGGAAATCGATTTGTACACGGGGGTTCGGGATAGCCATGATGCGCTCGTAGTATTTGGCGATCTTGGCGAAAGGTGGTTGTCCGTAGACCATTTTGTACAGGATACAACCCAAACTCCAGACATCGCTGGGTTTTCCTAGTTTCATAACCTTTCCAACACTGGAAGGCAGGCCGAGGGAGACGTTGGAATCAACCAGTGCCTCAGGAGACATGTAATTGGGTGTGCCGACCTGCTGCTCGCGATGAACGTTGACCGTGTTATCTTGGATTGCGTTCGCAATACCAAAGTCGATGAGTTTCAGTCGGCCCTGAACCATGAGGAAGTTCGCTGGCTTCAAATCCGAGTGAACGATGTTGTACTCGTGGACAGCTTGGACACACTCGAGCATCTCCTTCCAATAAAATCGTGTGAAGTTAATATCAAAGATGGCGTCTTCGGCATTCAGACGGTAAGTGAGAATCTTTTCAAGATCGGACTCTCCAATCTCCATAAGCACGCTAAGGGCATGTTTGTCATTGTTGAGCTCCCAGTCAAACAAGCGCACCACACGGTCCACATTCTCCAACTTTTTCAACAAGTCAATTTCACCCTTATATCCAGTCAAAGTCACCGGGTCAACATCCTCAAGGTTGACACGCTTGAGGGCGAAGATTTTGTAGTTCTCTGCCATTACTCGATAAACACGTGAGCTGCCGCCCCTGCCAATGCAATCGAGCCGGGTGAAATGTTTGCCATTAATGGAAACTTGAGATCTCTTTTTTCGTGATTGTGATGTTGATGCACCTGCCGTCGAGGTAGCAGTCTCAAGAACTGACATTTTCGGAGGAGGAGGAGGGGCTCTGTGAGGGGTGTTGTTGCTCCGCGCAGCCAGTATTTTTCGTGCAGAGCTGCTTGCCGGTGTTTCCGCTGCATCCTTCTTCTCGGTATCATAGACAACATTATACTTTTCGGGCTTATCCAAAACACTTGGTCCCTGGGGCTTTGTGCGCCGGAAAGTTGGCGGCGGTTCATTCTCCTGGTCACGGGCAGATGGCAAAGCTGGTATTGAAGGAACTTTGAAGACAGATTGTTCCTTTGCGATAGAAGATTTGGAAGACAGATCCGATGAACCGGGAGTCGACTTCGAGCCGTATGATTTGGGTGATGATGATCGCGAAAATGGCCCTTCAACCGCCGCAGGGCGTAGAGGATATTCTGCGCGATATGATTCACGGACAGGTGGGCTCGGTTCAGCCCATGATACCTTAGGGGATGAGGATTTCACTAGGTTGCGAGGTTGATATTCGGCATTCTCCTCTTCCCCCTCGATGTCCTCCCGGACGCCATCAGCCGAAAGATAATGGTGGTTTTCCTCATTGCTTTCCTCGCTCTGTCGTCGCAGCACGCCTCTCCGGGCGGGGCCATTCAAGAAACTACCAGCAAGTCGGCCAACCCGCTTCACGCGCAACGAGCTATGAGGAGCGATTTCCTCACCACCACGGCCCCGGAGTGCTGAAGAATTGCCATATCGTGCTGCTGGATCATCATCATAATGCAATTTCCGATCACTGCCTGAACGCTCTGCGCTACTGTACTCTCCGGCCAAATTGCGTTCCGACGAGCGCTTTCCTGAGGGCGAAACAGAGGCAGGAGATCGTGTGCTGCTGCGCGAAGCATTGATACGAACACTGCGTTGGCGTGGAGCAGGAGTTATGAAATCATTGGGGCGGCTGTGATGGTCGGACTCTGCGCTTTGGCTATTTGATAGAGGAGACCCTTCCCGTGAGAATCGAGCAGCCGACGAGATTGCTCCGATACGAACAACTCTGGGAGCAGGGCTACCATTTGATGAGTCGTGTGGGGACGAATTGCTGGGGGAGCGGCTTTGCTGTCTCGATCCTGACCCAAATCGGAGGTCGTGCGACACGGGTTGTGCCTTTTGCAAATGTGGCGAAGAACCTAATCCATCGCCATGCAACAATGCCTTCACAGAAGCGCTGAATTTAGGTTCTGGGACCTCATCATCAGAGCTATCACCAGAGTAGTGCTTGGGCAGTGCACTGGCTGTTGATACTGGAGATAGCCGTCTAGGACCCGAGCGTGAAACCGCGGATCGGGACATCGGCTGGGATTGCTGTCGGTACAGGTCGTTGTGTGCTGAAGGGAAGTTTGGGGACGCCATGGCGATAATACCTACATTGAAGTCGTGTATCAATGCGGCCGCCTCCAAAGTTGTCGATTGTTTGTTGATCCTCTAGGAGAAAGAAGGCCTGGTCTCGAGGTTTCGTCGCGAGTGGGCGCGCTATACAGTCACGTGCTTTTGGTTGCTATGACGACGTCAACACCACAACATGCCAGAAAACAGTGAAAGCATTAATTCCCGGAGTGGCTTGGATAAAATAGAACTGTAGCAATTGAAGAATACAGGGATTGATGCTATCAGACTCCACGAGTTCTCCCTTCGGTGATAATATCAAAGACCAGGTGATTTACGCTTTCAACGTCGGGGCTACGGGGGTTGGTTTCGGAACCTCCACTTCTCATTAGACTGCTACCCTACTCCGTACTAAATCAAAATCGGCTATGCTGTCATCGATTCTCCCTCAAGGCTATCCAATCCCACCTTAGAGTGTATCCGCATGGAATTGATATTTTTTTTCTTGGCATCAAGCAGTGTGATTCCCACTCAACATCATTCTGAAGATCCATTTCGGCATCCACGGGAACTCTACGTTATATATTCACAAGCAAGCATGACCATGAGACCTAAGCCAACAACACAAGGCATTCTATGACGTCTCGCAACTAAAGCTTCTAAATTATTGAGCTATCCAGTGGGATCAAAAAGAAACGTAAAAGGTCTAAAGAAAGACTAGATTCACTGCAATATATAACTATCTGTAGTTTGTTACTTTACATTGCAGGTATGGTAGAAGAGTATAGGGAACCTTGGAGATAATCTCATGGTATTTTAGCTTAATCAGTGTTCAAAATGCGAAGAATGTAGGAATTATTGGCCTCTAGAAATATTCAACTGGTGTGGGTATGTACATGTATATTGTTACCTACATAATATGTACCTATCTGGTAGGACAAGGCTGCATGTTCTAGGTACGGGGCATACATGTAGATATGTATGTAGTGGAATGGGCTTGTACCAGATTAATATACTTCTGATAGGAAAAACAAAGATCCCTCTATGGAGTAAGAAGTCCCATACAGAGAAAAAAAAAATCAAAAATAGAATAAATCATCGTGCCCACGCCCCAAACCTATCCAGGGATTAGTGCGCCCCAGCACTTTATAATTTTTGAGACCAGGTATCTTTTGTATGCTATACCAATACAAAAGGTACATACTAGATAGAAAGCCACAACATCCATTTTCTCAATGAATCAGCTATATATTATGAAAATGAGTTTGTATTGATTTACTACAAAAAATTTATTCTAAATACTCAATGTTTCGCTGTACGACGTAGTCTAAAACACTCTACTCCGTATGTATGTATGATATAGACTGATTCAGATGACACTGGGGCAAATTAATTGTTTATCATCATGTGAACAGACCTAGAATTTCCTTGGCTCAATAGGTTGTCTAGAAAAATGATATTTTAGTTTTCTATATATTATGTACCTTTTGTACTGGTATAGCATACAAAAGATACCTGGTCTCAAAAATTATAAAGTGCTGGGGCGCACTAATCCCTGGAGAGGGTTCGTGGGCAAACTTGAAGAACTGCTCTATTCCGTACCCGGTACAACATCCATGTGCATAGGTACGGAGTACATATGGAGAGGTCTAACCGAAAGCGGAATGTCCCCGCCCGGCGGGGCATAGTGAAGCTCACCGCCTCCCCTCCATTCACCGCCTCATAAATGAGGCGGAAATACGGCTTCGCACAACAACCCTTCGCGCAGTTTTGGAGATATCGCGCCTCGACCGAGCGCGTCTCTTCACCATACTTCATTCCTTCACCACTTCATCTTCCTGAGAAAATGGCTTCGAGCGTAGATGCCAAACTCCTGAAAAGGACGAAGTTTCCTCCTGAATTCAATAAGAAGGTTGATATGAGCAAAGTCAATGTTGAGGTTCTGAAGACGTGAGCTACCTTTCCCGGGGTATTTTTGATGCAGTCGCAGTTCACTAATATTACTTGTTTTCTCGACCGCAGATGGATCGCTAGTGAAATTTCCAAAATCCTAGGCAATGAGGATGATGTTGTTATTGAGCTCTGTTTTGCCCATCTGGAGGGACAACGCTACGTATGTCCACCTATGGGATATGTAGCGTCAACATTGGTTCACTGACAGGCATTTCTGATCCTAGCCTGATATTAAGTCCCTTCAAATCCAGCTTACTGGATTCCTGGACAAGGATACCCCCAAGTTCTGCCAAAAGCTGTGGTCATTGTGTTTGAGTGGCCAAGATAATCCCCAGGGTGTCCCGAAGGAGCTCTTGGAGGCCAAAAAGCTTGAGCTCATGCAAGAGAAGGTGATTCAAAGCGTTCTGTTGCGATTGGATAATTAGTAACCCAAATATAGCTCGATGCCGAGAAAGCAACCGAGGCAATCCAACGCCAGAGAGAACAAGATCAAAACCGCGAGCGAGACCTGGATAATGTGAGACGCCGAGAGCGATCAGACCGCGCACGCGGAGGTCGTGGCGGTGACCGTGGAGGCCGATTCGGAGGACGAGACTTCGACCGACCTCCCAGAGATCATGACCGCAGCCGTGACCGATTCCGCGAGCCTGCACCCCGACGTGACTTCGACTCTTATGTGCCGCGTGGTGGTCAGCGTGGACGCCGCCTATCTACAAGCTCTTCCCATGGTCAATCGCAGGCCCCGAACCAATCATCACCCCCACGCCAACGTCGCGACGACCCCCGCCACAGGCCTCGTGGACGTCGTGCCCGTTCCCCAAGCGACGCAATCTCTCCCGAGCAACGCAACCGCGGAGGATATGGAAGACGCAGCAGCCCGGATTACGGTGACCGTGTTAAGAGCAGATCCATTTCCCGCAGCCGTTCCCCGCGCTCACGTTCCCCCAGAGGAGACCGCCGCCGTCAAAGCTCCGTTTCTCCCGCCCGTGGCAGCTCACCCTCGCGCTCCCGCCGCTCTTTTGGACGCTATGGCCGTGACCGAGACTTTGGGCGCCTGAGCCCCAGCCCTGACTACACTCTCGGCGTCCGTGACCGTGAAGAGAATCGTCGACCCCGCAGCCCCAGCGGTGGTCGTAGCCGCAGCCGCAGCCCCAAGCGTGAAAATGAGGGCAAGCGTCGCGGCTCTATGGCAAGCCCCAATCCTGATGAGAAGAGACAGAAGATGGCTGATGACAGTGAAGTGAACAAGGCCCAGCAGGTTGGTAATTGAGAATTGAGAATCGAGAGAAACCTCAGTGCTAGTTCCAACAAATGTTTACCTGGCTAACGACACATGATCTCTACCTAATGTTCGTTCACTATTCTCTACTGTCATGTATTTAGATGTTGGTGTTGCTGTGGTCGAACGCAAGCTAACCAGAACCCGCAATATCTAGGCCAAACCTCCAGTCAATACGCGCAATCCCAAAAGCAAAGTGATCGCGAAAGCGGTCCGAGCTCGGATCGAGGCCATCCGTCGTGAAGCCGGAAAGCTGGTGACTGCTTCAAAGCCAAAGCCAAAGCAGAAGTAAGGGAGACCAGAACGAGAACGGAACGAGAAGAAAGGTGGGGGGTGAATGTGGGCGTGAACTTCGAGATTCACGCCGAGATATCTGACCTTTAGCGTTGTACATGTATGGAGTACATTTTCCAAATGAAATCATTTTTATCCACCTTTAGGTTGCAGAGGCAACCTACCTGTTTATTCTAGATATGAAAGCCACCAAAGTGAATATGAAAACGTACCAGACGGAGGGAGAGAGCAATTTGCAAAGGTGTACTTTATTAGAACTAAGGTCTGCCCCAGATATATTGTTGTTGAGTCAATATCCAAGAAACTCTTTGATAACCGCTATCTGAAAGACAACTTCTTTATACACAAGGCAAGCTGTGTCAATCTCCACACAAGCACATTAGAATTAGAATTAGATATCTACAGACACAAAGGCGGAGACGTCAGATCACAGGTGTGGGAACGGGTATCTTGCGCAGGGGGTGGCACAGTGAAACATCCCGCGGTTAAAGGTCATCTTGTCATGAAAAGGATAAAAACGGGGTGCAGAAAGATACAGAAAGTGGAAGGAAATTCTATAGAGACCTTCTGGTCATGGCTTATGTCCAAAAATGTCTGCTTTACTCGCAGTTGCAGACGGTGGCGGTCACGGTCACGATCTGGGTCTGGGTCTGAGTGACGGTGGAGTCACTGCCGGTGGACTGGGTGGGAGGGGTAGTAGGGGCTGGGCCGGAGGGGGCTGGGCCACCGGGAATCACAGTGGAGCCGATGATCTCGGAGGTCTCGGTGTCACAGGGGACGCTGGTAGCAGCAGGGCCAGAGGGAGCAGGGCCATCGGTACCGGGAATGCCAGTGGGAGCAACACCGGAGGTAGTCTCGGCAGGACCGGTAGCGGTGGGCACAGCGGGGAGAGAGACAGTGTTGGAGCCAGTGGCATCGGGGCCACCGGGAATCACAGTGGAGCCGATAATCTCGGAGGCCTCGGTGTCACAGGGGACGCTGGTAGCAGCAGGGCCAGAGGGAGCAGGGCCATCGGTACCGGGAATGCCAGTGGGAGCAACACCGGAGGTAGTCTCGGCAGGGCCGGTAGCGGTGGGCACAGCGGGGAAAGAGACAGTGATGGAGCCAGTGGCATCGGGGCCGCCGGGAATCACAGTAGAGCCGATGATCTCGGAGGTCTCGGTGTCACAGGGGGTGCTGGTGGCAGCGGGTCCAGAGGGAGAGCCGCTGACACTGGGAAGTCCAGTAGGAGCAACACCAGAGGGAGTGGCGGCAGGGTGGCCGGGGATGAGGGTACCAGTGACGGAGACGGAGGCACCGGGGCCAGAGGGGACACCGGAGGTACCAGGCAGGGAAGGAGTGCTGAAGGGCAGGCTGGGGACGGAAGACGAGTGAGAGCCGGAGGGAGCACCGGGGATGCTGCAGCCGGTGAACCACTGGATAATGATGATCTGGATGCTGATGTCAATGTCGATGGAGGTGCAGCCAGCAAGGAAGGCAGCGAGCTCAGCACGGGCATCGAGGGACAGGCCAGTGAGGCCACCGCCAGCGGCACAAAGGGAGAGAGCAGCACGGAGGTCGACGCTGAGGCCGGAGAGAACAGACTCGGTCAGGATACCAGTGACATGGCCAAGAAGGCCACCGACCAGGTCGAGGGAAGCCGAGACATCAGCCTCGACACCGAAGGACAACCAGAGGAGGACAACGGCCTTGAGCTCAACGCCCAAAGAGCAGTCGGCGCCGGCAAGCCAGATAGCGAGCTTGGTGCGGATATCGAGTTCAACAGCGGTGGCGAGCTTGCCACGAGCACATGCCTCGAGAGCAAGCTTAACATCGGCAGCGAGGCCGGCGGAGAGATCAGCGCCCAGGAAGGCAGCGAGAGAGCCCTGGCCACCAAGAGAGAGGAGGCCGGACTCCTCAACGTACACGCCGACGGAAGCACCGACGGAGATAGTAGAGAGAGCAGTCTCAGCAAGAGCACCGATCTCAATGAGGTCACCACCGGCGTGGCCCTTGATCCAGGCAAGGACCGAGACCTTGAGGTGTGCGCTGAGGTCACACTCGGTGCTGCTGATCCAAGCGTGTAGGGCAGCCTTGATATCAGCTGACAGACTGCTGACAACACCACCGGCAGCACAGACATGGAGACCGACCTTGACAGCCACATCAAGGCTAGCCTTGGCCTCGATCCAAGCGGAAAGAGAAGCCTGAGCAGCCATGTTCAGGACAAGGGCAGACTCAAGCTTGGCGGCGTCGAAGATGCCGTCAACAGTCACGTAGAGCTGGCCCTGAGCAGTGATCTGAGCCAATCCGGGGACGTACACGGCCAGAGCAGCCAAGATGTCATCGGAGAGAACGAGCTCTTCGTTACCCTCGCACCAGGAGATCAGGGTCTTCTTGAGCGAGCGGTCGAAATCTGCGTGGAAGAGCAACCAAGTCTTGAGGGCAAGCTTGGCCTTGTGGTGGATGGCACCCGACTTGCAGCCAAGAGCACCTGCCTGCAGAGCAGCAGCACCCTCGACTTTCAGACCAGCAAGGAGAGAGACACTAGAGTGGCCGTGGTGCAGGACGCTTCCGAGAATAGAAGTCACATCGACGGTGAGATCACCAAGGAGCTCACCGAGGAGACCCAGGGTACGGGGCTCCAAAGGAGCAGCCAGTTCGGTGGGGTAGGCGAGAGCCGAGCCCGCCAGGCCGGCGAGCAGAACGAGAGAAGAACGCATAATTGTACTTTATGTTATATTAATGAATGTGTTGGCCAGATGCCGTTGGGAGTATAAGAACTTCTGAATGATGTACAGAAGCGAAGGACTGGATAGGCAGGCAAAAGCCACCAAAGGAATTAACGATAGACTGTGGAAAACGGCGAAAAGAGAGAAAGAGTGTGGAATAATTCAAACCCCAGCGAGAAGGTGATCGCCCAGGTTGTTTATATACCCCTGATCAACTCGGAGGGGGAGGCTTCCGGAAATCGATCCAAGCTATGTGGTTCCGCACCGCATCGGAACAGACTCACAATGGCTGTACATACCCCGGTCTTAGTTCCCACAGTTGGAGCTATCTACCCCTTAGGCGTCAGGGATATCACGGAACGGGGATCTGGATCTTTCACAGGCGAGTGGACCATGACTCTTGCCAGTGAGAGGCTAAGGGCAGATACATAGCATTACCGCATTGTGGACCACCCCTGATACACCTGTGCGTCTATTCTTGGCTACAAATTTGCGAAAGGCCTCATTCTATCAGACTTATTTGTACCAAGTACGAAGGAAAGGTCTGTATTACCTGCCCTGTCTGCGTAGTTGAGGCGGACCCATCTGGTAACCTCGATGATATGCTGATATCCCCTGGCCAGGATCGATATCCAAACGGGCAAAACACACCCAAAAAAGCAAACATATCCAAAAGCAAAGAAAAGTGCCAAGTCCCAAGGGGGCAACAGTCACCGCGGATCACTAGACCATGCGATCATCCATGTGCGAAGGAGGGGATCAACATGACCCACCAACGGTTAGGACCTCGGAACGTTCTCAGACAATTTTCGTTGTACGGAGTCTTCTTTGAATCGCCTGCTCTCTCCACAGTCTGTGCGAAGAAGCGTAACTCGCATTGACAACTACAGGGTATATCGAGTATCTGAATATCGTGAGAGTATGGGGATGCGGTGTTCCGAAGAACCCGTTGGAAGCCGATGTCCCGCAGCCCCGGGGAATTAGCCCACAACATGCACGCTTTTGGCCATATCTGGCAAAGATGGACGTGTCCGATCATGCCCCCTTGGGCTCGACCTGTCAATTCAAGGCTGACCTGCGCATCCTGTCAGCCACCATCTGAATTTTGGTTCTACTCTTTGTGAAAGAACCTCAGTCGGCGGAGTAGTCGGGATTATGATCTACGAAGGTGTAAGACCAGAGACCACCCCAATGTCCAGGGTCGCAGAAGTTCGATGAATCGCCGCAACCAAATTTGACATACTGTGAAGAGCAGACCCAGTATTGCGAATGATCCCATAACAGGGAGCGGATACCACAGCCTGTGAACCCGAGCTCCCGCGAACAGTTGGCCTGGGACTGGAAGAACTCGACAGTTCAAAAAACAAGGCAATGAAAACAGGGATAACAGCATCTAGACCCTTGACTGTCGCAGGTTGGATCCAATCAACCCACTTTGTTCAGTTCTGAACGCGAAGTTATGCAGTTCCTGGAGAGATCCCCACTGGAAGCACAAATAAGAATTAGTAATCTATTCTTAATAGATTAATCCAGTCAAAAATAGCCCTACTATACCCGATCAAGCGCGAAGGTGGAGAGCGAAGGACTCAAATTCGGCCCTGGACTAACCTGCTTAGTGCCGTGATATTCCTGGGCATCGCCAGGGGTAAAACAGGCAAACAGATTGTGGGATTGGGGGGCTGTGATTTGAAGAGCCATTGAACATTTCTTCAACCTGCTCCACAAACTACTCGTCCTCAAACAGCACTAACAGCACTAACCCTCCCCCTTACCCACTTCGGGAACCGGTTCATTTTGGGAACTACCTAGGTAACTCCATGCCCCCAAAGATAGTCGGGACACTCGGATCTTGAGGCGATCGAGGTTTTATGGCGGGTCGTTCAAGACATGTTGAAACAAACCATTGATGTCGATCACCAGAGTCGTACGGTTTCCGGTGTTAAGCGTCCAATGTCTCACTCCACGCGGGAAACTCCCACGAGTCAACTTGCGCTGCAGGTATGCTGTACGGCTCTGTGCCTTGGAAATTGCGTGCAGCCTACTTTTTAACAGGCCTGCAATGCCAGAGATGTGGAACTGCAAGCTGCAGTTTCTGATCTTCAGCTGCAGCTAGCCACTGTCCAGAATTTCTTTTCCCTGCAACTTTAGTTCCGATTGTGATCTAATGCAGGTGCTCATCTCCCATGGCTCGAGTAAAAGGATTGGAAACAACACTCCACGGGCAAAAGTCCGAAATCTCGTCGGCCGGGATTTGCAAGGCAAACATCCAGCTGCCCCTAACACCATGGCCCCCGGGTTCTTAGGGGGTTTGCATTCCAAATAAGTCCCAAAATCCGGTAGTCGTACGGTATACCAACAGAACAAAGAAGACCCATGTGATGCGAGGACTAAAACCCACAAGATTCAACTATCGAAACGCCTCATTCCTTGGCTGTGATAGTACAACGTATGTTTACTAGAATAATTGACCCAAGAATGGCCTATTCAGACGATATACGCCCCATGATCCGTAGGAACAGAGTATATGAAGTCTGCAGCGTTCTCTCGAAGTCTTAGTTGAAAAAGCTTAAACATCAGCCCTGCACAGACGTCTCATATTGAGATGTCGGAGTCCTTTGAGACATGGATGCCCTGGGCCGACTTCATCCATCTCTACCTCTCCCTCTCTCCCTCTCTTTCTCTTTTCCTCTCTATTTTTCCTCCCGTCCTCTTCCTTTCTAGCTAGCTCTATCATAAATAGTTTCCTCCCTTACTACGTAGTGAACTAGCTATCCTAGACTTTATCTTCAAAGAGCCTCGTCTGTTTCATGAGTTCGACTTGCCCCACAGCCAATTGCTATTTTTGGTGTCTTTGCTATTCGATCTGTAAATTGCCAGTTGAAGGTAAGCTTTATTGTGAATATATCCATACTAATTCTACCACTAGCCATACTACCAATCAACTATTTGTAGCTCAACTCTCAATCTGATCCAATCTACCGCGGATCCAAGTAGCAAACGGCCCGAAGAAATGCGTATCACGATTACCTGGCCGCTCACAAAACGCCAGAAGAGCCTGATACCGTCGCAACGCCGAGGCCGAAGTCGCGCAGAGAACCTTCGCCAAATCAACTGGACAGAGATAAGGCGGCTGTCTTGCGTCCTCACAGATAGACACTGTGCCTTGCATCGAGCACGCATAGTAGACACAATGCTCGATACCAAAGCAATGACCCAATTCATGACTTGCTGTCCGACAAACACGACCCAACCAAAGCGCAGACAGCAAAGACGGCGATGATTCTATATCTGGAAGGGAACGGTAGAACGAAACTGCCTTTCTCAGAGGCCCCTCCACCTCCAATGACAGCTTTGCCGTTGTTCGGCTATTAACAGAAGACTTCTTTTGCCTCTTGGCAGATGATTCTGCCGATGCACATTCGGACATGAATTTCTCACAATGCGATGCTGGCCATGCATGGGCATGTTCGATTTCTTGTATATCGTCCAGAGCGGGATTGTACCGCGCACTTGATACCACCGCAACGCGGCTTCCGCCGTAGGCACGGCCACACACAAACTCGTCCTCTTCATCCTCATAGAGATCGAAGTCCACAAGCATGATGAGAGCATATGCATCATTCGGTAAAAGACTAATCGCAGCATCGAGAAGATCGTCTAAGTTGACTTGGCCGCCATATTCTCCATGTGGTAAAGTACGGGCGCGAATCCGCACGCACTCATCGCCGATGTTTAGTCCCAGATATTGCGGGCCTGACTTTGTCCGCGATTTCTTTTTGGGCTCTTCCCATGGCACGAATCTGAGAGTGGATGATGGCATGGCTTTGACCGGTAAGCCATGGTAGAATGCAGCTAAGTAATCACGGACATCTTTGGCGGTAGGAGGCTTTGGCTGATCTGGGTTATCAGGACATTTCGGTGTTGTCCACCCCTCCATGAAGTCAACACTTGAGTCAATCCTGGGAGATGGAACGACATATATCGTTTTTCGTTGTGCGGTTACGGGATTGCGGTCTTCTCCGTCCAACCATTCCTGCAGACTTTGCGCGTCCTCTGGATCTCCAGCGAGATCATCGCCAGGAAGCAGTAAAGGAGCAGGGAAAGCACTAGTATCTTCCTCAAGGAACAGCCTGTCCTCCTTTAGAAATTCTTGATTGTCGGCTTTGGTTGCAGCGAGACGTTGTCCTTTGCTTGGTCTTTTGAATCCTGCCACGATAGCATGGGAGGAACAGGAAGAGCAGACCGAAATATGTTCACACTTTGGGATAAACTTTTGTGGCATATTTGCAGTTGATAACAATAGATTTATCCTGTATTCGAGGCAAAAGACAACGGCGGTGAACGAGGGAGTTGAAAGCTAACATGCGGCTCTGGTGTAAGGGGCTCGGGCCGCAATCGATGAGGCTGAAAACTACGTGGACAGAGGAACTATTAACTGTGGGTGGTAGGCATCTGGTATTTGAATATCCATTGTGATTGGGCTGTTATCTAGTGTAAAGGAGACGGACATGGAGAAGAAAAGTTGTCTGATTCTCTAGATGCAGGAAAGCTGGGGACTCCATAGTCCTCGAAGCTCGCCTCGGTCTTCACTGAGTGAGCCAGATGCCCGAATTATCAGGCAGACAACAAGAGGTAACTTGACTGTTAAGAGTAACTTAGCAGACAGTTGCAGATCAATAACTAGGAAAATGGGGGTGCTATTACAAGCTAAACAAATACTGTTGGTTGATGCCACGAAATCGGGAGGAGGGTCACTGGCTATCAAGTTAATAACAATTGGACACACGACGTTGGCCTAATTTAGTTCTATACCTGGTAGCATTTTACTAAAATAGGAGATGCATTCCTACATAGACATCAATATAGGAAATGTACAATACACACCAAAGAAAGAAATCTCATAGTTTTCTTCTACCACTGATGTTCCCGCTCGTTTGTCTTATATTCCCTTCACCAAATAGCGATCACTGATGTTTTTCTTCTTTACACAAAATATGCATCTTCATCAAGCCTAAAGCTAGTATCATGAAGCTGCATTACTAACAAATACAAGAAGAACTACGAAGAAACTTGGACACTAGAGGCGAGCCTATCAATGCCCAGGGCCTGTCTTAAAACGCCCAGATATAGACTAGGATACGCATAACACGCTAAGAGGATTCCCCTCTTTTAGAACTCCTTCTCCCTCCGTGAGCACAATTCGAAGTCTATCGTTTGAAAAGGAGACTGACATTGTTAAAGGTCCCTCGGTAAGAAGCATGATGGTGAGCGGGGAGCAGAGTGTGGTGGAGGACCGAGAGATCGTCCCAGAACCCAAGCTATGGAGTCGAGAATCGTAAGTATACAAACCGAAAGCTCTGTTCAAACAAATAAACTAAGTAACAGATATTTCGGTTCGTTATTGTTCAACCTTGGAGCTTTCGCCCTGCCGGCACTATACAGCACCCTTAGCAAGCTCTGGATCGCGAACATCGACTCAAAACAAGTGGTCACGACAGATATCTATACATACATTGGAATAATCGTGGAAGTGCTGAATGAGGGTCTACCGCGTTCTGCATGGCTTGTGATCGGCGACAAGTCCACGCGAAATATGAACTCACGGCTGAATCTCGCTTACACGATGATCCTGGTGCAAAGCGCGCTTGGGATATTGATGACGGTGATATTTTTGGCTACCTCCAAGACACTGGCCGCGGGGTTTGTACCAATCGAAGTCCGGAAGACCTCCATTACCTACGTGCGACTGTCGTCTGTACAGGCCGTGACATCGGCGGTCGAAGCCGCTTTGTCGGCGTCAACCAGGGCGCTGGATAATCCCGACGTGCCGTTGATTATTAGTTCGACTAAAATTCTTGTCAATATCGTGTTGGACTTAATAGTTATTTCGAAGGCCCACGTCGGTGGCTGGACACCTACGATTGTCATGCAGGGTGTCATTCGCTTGGTTTGTGATAGCGTGTCTGCGTTAGCCGGGTTGATTTACTTTCTCACAGTCGTTGTCAGGCGCTGTCAGAGGGAATCGCGCAATCCGAGGAGACTAAAATTCAGCTTGTCAGCTCTGATGGTCCTCATTAAACCAAGCGTTTACACTTTTGCAGAATCGGCGGTTCGGAATGCGATCTATCTGTGGCTGGTGCACAGAATCATCTTGCTAGGAAGTGATTATGCAACAGCATGGGGTGTATTCAACACAATTCGTTGGGGGCTCGTCATGGTTCCCGTACGGGCATTGGAGGCTTCGACTCTAGCCTTCGTAGGCCACAATTGGGGACGTTTCCGTGCTCGTAGTGACACTGAACACCCTCGGGCAACCAGAAAAGATCTTCTTGGTAGGTTAAACAGCCCGATTTGTCTGGAAGTTGCTTGCTGAGATGTCCTATCAGAAATAATGCGGCCGGCAATTCGTGCCTGCGTGGTTGCTTTGGTATTCGAGACCGTCTTATGCATCGCATTATCACTGCGTGGGATAGAAGAATTCGCTCATTATCTTTCTGGGTCTAGGACTGTGGCAAGTATTACCCAAACGATGTGGAAGGTAAGTATGAAAGGAGGGAAGAATTAAGCGGAAAGCTAATGGTCATACCTTAGAATATTGACTGGACGTACATCTTCTATGGGTTGAATTGTCAGATTGCGGCTATTCTACTTGCGACGTCGCCGAGGTGGTACCTCTACCAATCACTTGGATCCAATCTGCTTTGGATGCTGCCATGGGCGATTGTAGTAACCGTTAAATCCCTACCAAGCTCCTCAGCATGGACGTTCTATGCAATCATCTTTGGTGGAGCTCTTGTTTTCGACGTGATTTATGTGAGCTTGACAGCCTCCCTGTGGGCCTACAGACTGAGTCGAGGGAAGATTAGGGTAACTTAAAAGACAAGGGGTATTTGAGCATGGTTTAAAAGGGCTTACAGGGCCCAGGGGTCGCTTTCAATTGAAATCGAATTTGTTGCCTGGACATTTCTCACTTTGGACCGCTCTGGATATCGCTCATTACTGTTTTGTCAATCATAGTCTAGCTTAGCAACAATGACAGCCCACCAACCTACAAAGCTAGCGGCTTTGCCAGCACGCACTCTGTGGGTTGCCCTGGGGCTTATGAAGGACAAAAGTCCCATCCCGGTCTTCCTCGGTCTGAAACGACACAAAAGCCATCAGCCACGGTTAATAAGGCCCTTAGTTGGCTTCAGTACCCCCAAGGCAGGTTTAGAGCCCTGCTGCATAAAGGCGACTGTCCGGAAGATGTGCAGGGTAAATAAATCCAGGAGCGTAGCGGACCGCGGCAGACTAAGAGTCAATCGAATACAGTATTTGAAATAAAAAACAATGAAATTGTGTAACAAAAATATATATCTGTGTAGGATTTGCACAAATCACAAATCACAAATCACGAATCACGCATTAACCAACACAGTCTCCAGGCCTTGAATGAATCGCTGAACTTCCTCCTCAGTGATCAGCTGACGATTGCCCTCAAACTCGAGATCTAGCTCTTCACCCCGTGGGGTAGCATATATTTCCGGTCTGTTTCGTGGCTGCAGATCTGACTCGTAAAACGAGATCCGGCTTTTCGCACCGAGGAAAGTGAAGCTACGATCATCCTCCTGCTGGAAAGATGTTCGCCAGCCAAAGTCCCTTGCCTCTTCAGGCCAGTCGGTACAATTCCGGATAATTTCCTCCATACCGGCGGACTCGTACCGAGAATCTTCAATGAACTGATGCTGGAGTTGCGAAGCAATGCCCGAAAGGGTAGCATGAGGATCAATTTGAACGCTAATTGGGACCTCAGTCATAGTTGGACCAACCGTATTTTGAAGACTGCTGGGTAGCATCGATCGACCGGTGACGAGACGACCAAAGGCAACGTGCGCTTGTTGGTACTGGCGGGACAATACCATGGCACAGGCGGCATGGAACAAACTGGCGGGTAACAACCCCTCAGCTAGTTGGGCCTTCGGCATTGGGATTGTCGCTCTCACTGTTAGCCGGTCTGAGGTAGAGAAATCTTGATTCGAGTAATCTTTCCTACCCCAGGCGGGATTTGGAGTATCTTTGAGTCGTGAGGTCCAGTAGGTAAAGGCGTCTGTCTTCTTGTCCGCCCTGTACGTGGCATACTGGGCGAAGTCTAGTTGAACAGGGAGAGTATCGCCAGAGTAGATCGAAAAGAGAGTGCGAAGAACTGAGTCCCAACTGAAGCCATCGAACTGGGCGTGTGAGATCCTGAAGATAAGTCGATGTTGACTTGAAGGGCTCCGTACTGCCATAAATCGAATGAAGGAGGAACCGAACGTCCTGATCCTCTTCCGATCCAGCTCACAGATAGAATCGGTGAAGGCGGTGATATCATCGTCTTGGCTTGCCTGGAAGTTGTCATATGGAGGATTTAAATCCTTCAACAGGACCTGCCAGAACCGATCATGCGTTTTGACGAAGACTGTACGAAGGATCTCGTAATGATTGACCAACTTCCGGCAGGACTGTTCCAACCGCATGAAGTCGACATTGGCTGGAAGATCGAAAATCCAATGCGGCAATCGGCTGGGCGGGTCTTGGAACGCATCCAAAATGGCACATATTTGGAAGTCGGTGCAAGGAAGAACATCAACAACAGTTCCAGCCCCTGGATCGAGGATCGGATCGACGTATCGAGCGAGGAAGACAGCTGGATCATCCTCGAGCAAAGCGAAGGGTGTATACACTGGTAAAGATTCCTCAACAGTACTTTCCTGCACCAAGAGCGCAAGTTGCGAGAGCCTTGGTGCGCTGAAGATGTCCGCGACTGTGAGTGAGAGCTTTTCATTCCGTGCAGCAGCTACCAGCCTCATGGCAGCGATGGATTCTCCACCAATTCTGAGGAAGTTGCTGTCGGCGTTAATGCTATTGGCATCCATTCCTAGCACTGTTGACCACAGATTTTGCAGTTTCCGTTCTATGGTGGTAGTGGGTGCGCGATGCTTTGTGCCATAGGACTGCAGTTTAGCCAAATTCTCCAAAGTCTGTTTGGACCCAAACTCCCGTAAAGTTCGTCTATCTGTCTTGTCCGTGGTTGTCATTGGAATCTTTTTGATGGGGATGTAGGAACCGGGAATCATGCTAGAAAGAAAACATGGTCAACACAAAGGTTCTCATATGGGCCGGGAAAAGGGGGTTGGCATCGGGTTATACATACTACTGTGGGACACAGTTAGAAAGTCTGTCATCCAAGCCCTCGATTAAACTGGACAGTTCCGATATCGTGTCTTCCTCGGATCGCTCTCCATCACAAGAAGGTAGGGCGAAGAAGACGGCCAGAATCGGACTGCTGTTACTGGGGGTAATGATCTCCGCTGCAAGACTATCACATAAATTATGACGGCGTAGGTTAGCTCGAACATGGTATTCCACCTCGGCCAGCTCAATTCGTTGGCCTCGCAGTTTGACCATGCCGTCCTTGCGACCGAGGAAGTCCAATGTACCGTCCGAGTTGTATCGAAGGAGGTCACCCGTCTTGTATAGGATAGCCTGACGACCGGGAAGGTTTGGTGCACCTTGTAACAGCCAAGTAGGGTTGTGAATATACGCGGCGGCAGTCTTTTCAGAATCATTGAAATACCCGCGACTAACTGTGGGACCTTCAATCAGAAGTTCCCCGACAGCTCCAATAGGCGCGAGGCGATCGGGACAGCCTGGTTGGACTAGCCAAGTCCGGGCTCCGTAGGAATATCCCACATGATTCTGGGGCCCATCAGGCCGGAGAAGTGTGAAAGTAAGGGCCTGTGCGCACTCTGCAGGACCGTAGATTCCAATGATAGCCTCAGCCTGTGTCCATCGAGCAATCTCAGTGTTGGGAATGGGTTCGCCTCCCATAGCCAATGTCTTGAGTCCAGGAATGCTCGATGGATCCAAAGATCGCACCACCGAGGGTGTGAAATAAGAATAGTTGCAATCCATACGGTTGAAAGCCCCAGCAATGTCATTTCGACGCTCCATCTCGTCGGGAATACAAAGGCAGCCACCGCGAATTAACGTTTGGAGGGTATTAGACCATGATACATCAAAGCTGTAAGAGACAAAATCAAACACGCGCGTGGAGGGTTGAATCCGCAGCATATCTGCCTGGTGTGTCGCAGCGGATGCGAAATTTTGGTGAGTGGTTACGACTCCTTTAGGTGTTCCCGTGGACCCGCTGGTGAAAACCACTGATAAATCTAGTTAGCAAAGAGAGGGAATTGCGGTGACAGAAAAAGATCGATGAGAAACGCACCGTATAGCACATTGGATGGTTCAACCGTAGGAAGAGACTGAAGAGGAGTACCTTCGGCCACCAAGTCGATGTGATCTTGATCAACTATCATGGGTGTAGCATCGGACAACCGACTGACCAGCGCGGCATTTTTGGTTGATGTTAGAACAACCCGAGGATTGACCTGTTTGACAATGGATTGCAGGCGAGATTCTGGTTGCGTAGAATCTATTGAAAGACAAGCAGCTCCTGACTTCATCACTCCCAGAGCTGAGACGGGATGCCACATCGATTTCTCGAAGCAAATGGGAACAACGACTCCAGGTCCTACGCCACAGGATAACAGGTGCCAAGCCAACCGCGTGGAAAGTTCGTCCAACTCAGCGTAAGTCAAATTACCATTCCAGGCGCATATGGCTGGTTGATCTGCATATTTCTGGGCAGTTGTAGTGATTAAGTCATGGACACACGTAGAAATAGCTTGTGGAACAGATGCATTCCATTCCCAAAGCTCCACTAGATCGGAGTTACTGAGAGTTTGGATGCCTTCGACAGTTTGAGTCGTGGCCGTGCAGACTTGACGCAAGACATGCTCGAACTGGGCAGCGACTCGTTCCATCTGCTTGATATCAACTACCCTAGAGTCGAAGCTGAATTCAAGCTGGAGCCCATTGTTGTCAGTGAGTTGACAGATAATCATGATAGCGTTCGGATTGGAGTCATCCAAGTCGTGAGTTGCAGAGATTAGTTCCCTGGGATGCGCATAGGGGCCATCCCGTTGATTATCAGACTGGGCTTGAGTTGCAGGCTGAACGACAAGAAGGGTGTTGAATCTGCTCCCACGATCAGTGTTTGTATCAATCCGTCGAATTGCGAGGAGCTCAGTCTGTTCGTAAGAAATCATGTCAATGGACTGCTGTTGGATCTTGGCGAGGAGACTGTCGACCGATTCCTGGAAGTCAAGCTTGACTCGGATGGGAACGGCATTGATGAGAGGTGCAATCATGCGATCCAGACCTAGGAGAGGAGCCTGTCGCCCCGTAACCATGGCACCGAAAACCACATCATCCGAGTCCATGTAGCGCGCGGAAAGGATGGCCCAGGATGCACGGATGACTGTAATTGTAAACATGTTAGCAAAATTGGGGGTGAATGAATTATCGGGGTTTCCGAAGTGGCAGGGTGGGAACATACTTGTTGAGGGAGTGACATCGCGCTGAGGCCACGAGAATGCCTCCAAATTCCGACGCACTGTGCTATCTGCCTTGGGCTGATGATCCTCATGAGGTAACGAGGGGAATGGAATTGCCTCGAAATCTGCAAGTTCACGGCTCCAGAAGCTCTTCGCCTCCTCTGAATCAACCTCCATTACGTGCTTGATGAAAGCCTGGAATGATGCTACTGGGAGATGATCGTCAACAACGCCATCATAGGCCTTGGAAACCTCATCTACGAGGAGGTTCAGCGAGTAGCCATCGTATATCGCGTGATGCTGGGTCAACAGACAATAGCGCTCGTTATCGCTTTCGTTTTCCACAATTGCAAGGCGAGTTAATGGGGTGGCCAGACCCATTGGCCTGGTTTGATATTTCGCAAGATACTGCTGCAGGGGTTGAGTGGGGTCCCATGGCAGTGGTTCATCCACCACACCTTGAACGAGGCCCTCTGTACGACTGTCCACAATCCGTGTGCGGAGGATAGGGGCGGACTTCCGGCTCACGGTTTCCCATGCATTGATAAACCGTGCCTCGTCAATATCGTCTCTGAGTCTGATCAAGAGCCGCGCAACATAGGAGTTGGCACGTTTAGCTGTCATGGAAAGGAGTGACTTTTGCACGCCAGTACATGGGAATATGTCTTCAATTTGGTTCACTTGGATGTCGCATTGGCTCGCGAAATCACCTAGGGTGGCGTCTCGCTGCGTTGGGTATTTGAATAGGGAGAAGGTATCAACCCTTTCCATTCCACTGACATCCGTGGAAATCAAGGTAGACATCGACTCTGCCATCTCCGACAATTGAGGTCTTGTAAGAATATTCTGAACTGACAACCCTAGACCTTGGGCGCGAGCCAACGACGCCAACCGCATCGCCGAAATAGAATCGCCGCCGAGACGAACGAAGCTGCTTCCGACCCCAATCATCTCGGCGGGGACGCCTAGAACTTCGACCCATAAAGCCTGTAGGTGGCACTGCGAGGGTGTGCTAGGGGCTATTGTAGTTGCAGGAACATCATTACGGGCCAGCTGCTCAAGTGTCAAACTAGAGCCAATCTCACGCAGCTTTCGTCGATCTGTCTTGCCATTCGCAGTGATGGGCATAGGTGAGGTTGCAACATAGGTTGCGGGCACCATGTAGGATGGGACCCGGTTCGGCAACTCAGCTTCGAGATAGGACAAGATGGCGGCCAATTGTCTTGGCTCACATTCGATGAAGACCGCGAGCATTGGTCTACCAGTGGATGTTGGGTTTATGACCTCTGCAATCGTGCTCGGTGTGGTTCCTGGTGATGAATGCTCGATGAGGCACTGGTTGACATGGTGCTGTACATCTGCAAGTTCAATCCTTTGGCCTCGTAGTTTGACCTGTGTGTCCTTGCGACCGACATATGACAGATTTCCCGTGAGTGGATCATATCTCACCAGGTCACCGGTCTTATACATCCGACCACGCCGTCCCGAAACTGTGCCATCAGGGGAGCCTTGGCTCAACCAGGAAGGATCCTCGATAAAAGCAGCAGCTGTCTTTTCCTCATTTTGGAAGTAACCTTGGCCCACTAATGGTCCTTCAAGATACAGCTCCCCCACAGTTCCAAGAGGAGCTAGTTTGTCTTGGTCTGCTGGGTCTACTACCCATGTGACAAGACCTACGCCCTTTCCATTGGAATGTATCGGATCGACCGTGTTCTTCGGAATTTGATAACAAAGGGCACAGGCAGAACACTCGGCGGGACCATATGCGTCAAACACATTCACATGTGATGGCCAACGAGATAGATCTTCTGGCAAGACGGCCTCGCCTCCTAGAAAGAGATAGCGCAGCGTGGGTGTCCGTTTCGGGTCTATCCACCGCGCAGTGGAGGGAGTTAAGAAAACGTGCGTAGTTCCAAACCGGCGAACGCTCTCGGTCAGGTCATTCTTGCGTTCTTCTTCACTGGGAATGCATAGTGTGCCTCCAGAGAACCAAACATGAAACATGGACCAGTACACTGCATCGAAGGAGTAAGAGGAGAAATCATATATACGCGTTGTCGGATCCATTTCGAACATGGATCGTTGGTGCACAACTGCACTTGTAAACTGTTGGTGCTGTATCAGACAGCCTTTGGGGGTTCCAGTGCTACCGCTTGTAAAGACTGTGAACAGAAGGTCATTCGGAGAAACTGATGGCAAAGCTGGACTGTCAGTTGTTCCATCCACTGCACAAACTTCAAAGAAGGCAGATCCTTTCCCGAAGACTACTGGATCGTTCACCCACCGGCAACAACGTTGTTGCTGGGAGATTGACGACAAGATGACAGTAGGTTTTACCTGTTGCACTATATCATCAAGACGGGAATCTGGCAATGATGGATCGAGGAGGAGTGTTGCACCACCGGCCTTGACAACGCCAAGGATAGCGAGCATGGCATACATGCTCTTCTCAAAGCAAAGCGGCACAATCATGTTGCTTTTCACCCCCATTCGAACCAGCTGATTTGCAACCCCGGTAGACAGCCTGTCTAACTCGGCATATGTTAAACTACCGTCCCACGCCGAAATTGCCGTTGCATCAGGCTGTTGTTCTGCAACTTCCTTGATCAAGTCATGCATGCATCGATCTATGGTGTTCGGTACTTTTGCGTTCCAGGACCATATGTCGTTAAGATGAGATTCTGGCATCATATTGACATTGCCAAGCGTGATGTGAGATAGAGTCTGTGTACACACGGCGCGAAGAGCCTGCTCTAGGTGTGCTTTCATGGTATGAATGGTATCTGGTTGAACAATCGCAGAGTCGTAGCAGAACTCGACCTTCAACCGACTTGGTTCCATGTTGCACACCACCGACAACGCATAAGAACTGAAGCTATGATATCTAGCAGCCTCCTCTCTTTCGACTGACTGGGGAACGAACAGACCAGTATCATTCATAGCCTGTTCGGGCGGCTGGATCACTAGCAAGGTCTGGAAACGACTTGCCTCCTCCGCCTCGCTACTAACCTGCCGGATGTTCGACAAGCCTGTCTGCTCATGAGGAATCATATCTCGCTCTTGGTCCTGGATAGATTGGAGGAACTGCAAGATAGTGGCATCGTTCTTTAAATGGACACGCACAGGAACCGTGGCAATGGTTGGTCCAGCAATCCTCTCCGTGCCTTGAATGGGCGCTTTGCGGCCCATGACAACTGTTCCAAAAACTATGTCGGATGACATTGCGTATTGGCCACATACCAGACTGAATGCCGCACGGATGGCAGTAGACGGAGTGAAGCCATCATTTCGCCATTTGATATGATCAATGACAACAGTTTCAGTAGAATCTGTGCGAGGCTGGTAACTCGAGGAGGAAAGCAATGGAAACTGTGAAGCTTCGCAGCCCGCAAATTGCGCCTTCCAGTACTCGGACGCAGCCTTTTCATCCCGATCGCAAATGTACTTCACGAAAGACTGGAATGGACACAGTCGAAGAGGACTTTCCCCATTGTAAAGACTCTTCAGCGTGTCTATGATCATCGCTGAAGTTGGCCCATCATAAATGGAATGATGCATCGTCAGTGCGAAATACCATTGCACTGCACCAGGGGCACTGGCTGTTTCGCGGTGTGTCTTAGAGGAAAACAGCCCACAGCGCATGAGGGGTGTTCCCAAGCCCATGGGAAGCTCGCGATCACGGTTTAGGTATTCCTCCACGCTACTAGCACTACTCCAGGTTACTGGCTCTTTGATCACGACCTGAACAAATCCTTCTCCGGGAATATCGACGATCCTCGTGCGTAGGATAGGAACGATGTGAGCCAGTTCCTCCCACGCGTGTTTGAAGCGATCCACATCCGTTGATGAATCCAGCTCCTGTACATTTTGACCGGTGTAATCCCCGTGAGATTTAGCTGTCAAAGCTAACAGACCTGTCTGCAGGGAGGTGCAAGGGAACAAATCCTCGACGTCCGCAGTGTTGACGCCACACGCGGATGCCGCATTGTGGCGGGAGAGCTGTGGGTCCCCGCGCGGATCCAAAAGTGCGAACGGCTCGATGCTGTCGTCTGGCGCATCTTCGAGGTTCTGCAGCAACCTCGCCATCTCCTCTAAAATGGGAGACTCCATCACTTTCGCAACTGTGAGCAACAAGCCGTGTTGACGCGCAGTGCCTACCAAACGCATGGCATCAATGGAATTGCCAACTTGCAAGAAACTGTCGGTAGCCGAAATTGTTTCAATCTCGGATCCCAGAGTGAGCGACCATAAACGGGCGAGTGTAATTTCCGCAGTTGTGGTAGGTGCCCGTCCTGTAAATCCCTGACTTGAGGGATTACAGGCCGCAGCAATCTCGTGCAGCCGCTTTCGATCACGCTTCCTGTTGACAGTTAAAGGAACGCTTGGGATTCCGATATACCAGGATGGCACTGCATAGCGCGGAAGTACCTTCTGCAGTTTTTGGTTTAGCCCGTTGGTCAAGGTATCGATATCCTCTTGGGTGACGATGAATCCCACGAGTATCACTCCGTCTCCGCCTGGAGGCGTGATAGTGTCAACTATCACCTCGGTTTGCTCGCCGGGCTGGTCGAGATATTGTTGAATATGTGTCTCAACCTCTTTAGGAACCACGAGCTGTCCCCGAACTTTCATCTGAGCATCTTTCCGCCCGATGAACACAAGGAAACCGTCGGCATCATATCGGGCCAAGTCACCTGTACGATAAACGTACCCCTCTCTTCCAGGGTGATCAGGTTCGTGTCCCTGAGATAGGAATCTAGGATTGTGGTAGAAGTGCTTGTCTGTCAAAGTCGGATTACGGACATAGCGACTGGCCAGTGCAGGTCCCTGGGCCACAATCTCGCCAATCGCGCCATATGGAACGAGCCTCTGGCGGTTGTGAGGATCTACAAGCCAGCAGCGGCAGGTGTCGATCCGTCCGATCACGCTGCTGAACCAGCTTGGTTCATTGGCAGGATAAATTGTAACTGGGGGAAATTCTGCGGGCCCGTACCAATTGCGGATGCCACAGTGCCCTTTCCATCTGTCCACGTCACCCTGCAAGACGTTCTCGCCGCCCATTACGACAGTCAACAGCCCTGGTACATCTTGCGGTCGCAATATCCGGGCAGTGGACGGCGTGATAATGGTCCAGGTTGCACTGAAATGATTAATCGCGGATGCTATGCTATCGAGACGCTGGGCTTCGGATGGGATGCAGAGACAGGCCCTGTGAGTTAGTGCCATGATGGTTTCCAGAGTAGCGTTATCGAAATCATAAGATGAGAATTGGAACATGCGTGACTGAGACGTTACCGACAAACGCACGGCTGGCTCCTCTGCATTTGCGGCTAGAGCTCGGTGGCTCCACAGAACGTGCTTTGGCTCGCCCGTACTGCCGGAGGAGGTCAGAACTGCTGCCGAGTCCTCCATTTGGAGGACTGGTAGTGGTGTCGAGATTTCGACTGCCGGGATGTCCAAGATTTCTTCCATGGTCATACAGCGAGCGTACTTTGAGACTGTCTCCACGCGCTGAGGTGAGGCCAGAGCGACTTGTACCTCAAGATGCTGGAAAGTACGACTCATTCTCTGCTCCGGCATATCGGCTGATTGTAGCAGAGTCATTCCACCGGCCTTCCACACCGCAAGCTGGGCTATCGGCATGAATCTCGATTTCACAAAGCATAAAGGCACGACAGACCCTTTGGTGACTCCCAAATGTAGGATTAGCTTGTGGGCGACGGCGGTGGAGATTTGATCTAACTCCCCATATGTCCACTGGCCATCCCATGCATCGACAGCCAATCTATCTGGCTCACTTATGGCACAAAGAGTGATTTTATCATGTACAAGCATGGTTGGATGTGGAGGTAATTCCGCATTTTGTGTCCAGAATCGCTCCAGATCCAGTCCACTTGCTGTCTGGATTGTTTCCAGTTTCATCCTGTCGGGGGACTTTGTGCACAATTGATGAATGACCGTCTCCAGCTGTGAGACCATGTCCTTGATCTGCCGCTTATCAGTAATCGTTGGATCGAAGCTCATTTGGATGTTGACTCCTGAGCTGGTAAGCTGGCAGATGACCATTAGAGCATAGACATTGAATGGATCGATCCCCATGGTGCTCAGATTGGCGGCAAAGCTACGTGCTTTGAACAACAAGCTATCTTCATTGAGGCCCTTGCCATAGTTCATTGGCTGAACTACGAGCAAAGTCTGGAACAATCCGCCATTGGGGTCCCCATAAGCTCGTTGAATGTTAGGCAAGCCGTATTGTTCGTAGGACATGATATCCAGCCCTTGCCTCTGAAGGTCCTGGAGGAACGTTTCAACTGTGTGCTCCCAATTGATCGACACAGCCACTGGAACTGTCGCAATAGTTGGTCCCACACAATTTTCCATGCCAGCTACATTTGCCTGTCGACCACTCACTGTTACCCCGAAAATGACATCGGTGGAGGCCACATACTGCGATGAAAGGATTGCCCATGCTGCACGGAGGATTGTGGATGGAGTTGCACCCTTCGAGGGCCAACTCACTGTCATAGTATGCTCCACAAATCCACTGGCTTCAGGTTTGTACGCAGGAGATGGGAGGGCAGGGAATGGACGGAACTCAGCACGAGTGAGCTGGGCCTTCCAGAAATCATCGGCTTTCTGTGTGCTTATCTGGGTCAAGTGGCGAATGAAATGCTCAACTCCAGTGATTGCTCTTCCAGGATTATTACTATATTGTGCCTCCAGCTCTTCGAGGATCATGGGGAGTGAGCTGCCGTCGTACAAGCAATGGTGAATGGTGAAGATAAAAGTGCGATCAATTATGGCCGCACGGCAGAGCTGGCTCCCTAGGGCCATCGGCTCCTTCTCATCCTGAAGCAGGTACTGTTCGATATCTTCGCCAGATCTCCAAAGAGTATCCTTCAGGACGACCTGCACAAGCCCCTTCCCGGGAAGATCAACAATTCGGGTTCGCATGATAGCCATTTTATCAACCGTCCTTCTCCAGGCCTGCTTGAGCCGATGTGGGTCGATCTCGTTTTGAAGTGGAAGCACACTACGAGATACATATTGTCCTTGTCTTCTGGCGCCCAAAGCCAGCAGTCCCTCCTGAAGGGCCGTACAGGGGTAGACATCAAGAATTTGATCTTCCGAGACCGAACAGATTCGAGCGGCGTAGGATCGACAGTACGCTTCGTCGACCCCTGTGGGTAAAAGTGAGAATGCTGGAATATTCTGTATATCCTTGTTACTTTCAACCTTCACCATTCTTTCGACCATAGTCTCTAACTCGGGGGTTTCAAACACATCAGCAACCGTGAGAGAGAAACCCTGGTTACGGGCAATTCCCACCAGGCGCATCGCACTGATGGAATCGCCTCCCAAGCGAAGAAAATGATCGGTCGCATTGATGATGTCGGCGTCAACCCCCAACACGTGGCCCCATATTTGCTGTAATTGCTTTTCACTGTCTGTGGTCACCTTTCTGACTTGTTTTCGGGCAGGCTGCATCTCTGCCAAACGCTCGACTGTGAGCGAACTTCCAATCTCTCGCAATCGTCGCCTGTCTGTCTTTCCAGTCGGGCCGATAGGCAGTTCACTGAGTGGAATATAAACCCTCGGAATCATATAAGATGGGAGAATGCCCGCGAGGTGATTCTCGAGAGCATCGACCGGCCATGACGATTGAATATATGTTTGGGGATCTTCGCGATCAGCGGCAGCGGTAGGACTCACAAAGAGGACCAGAGTTTCGCTCTCAGAACCAGACGGCGAAAGGATCTCCGCGACCAACATTGCATCCAAGAAACCCATCAAAAAGCCCTGAATACACCGCTCTATCTCCCCTAGGTCAATCCGTTGGCCTCGGATTTTTCGCTGAGAATCTTGGCTGCGGCCGAGGTATATGATGTTACCACCCGAGTCATAAGTGACGAGATCACCGGTACGATAAACCGGCCCTGGTCGACCAGGGGTCTTCCAGTGACCGGCCTGTAACCACAACGGTGAGGCGAAACTTTGTTTGTTCAATGCCGAGGCATTGGCTCCAGTATAGCGAGCCAGCATCGAGCCCTCCATACACAGCTCGGCCACTGCTCCTACTGGGGCGAGTAGGTTGGGATTTTTTGGATCAACCAGCCACGCCAAACCGGCGCGACCCTTTCCAATCATTCCTGGGTGCCAACTGGTACGGTCTACAATACATGAAGTTGCAACTGAGGCCTCTGCTGGCCCATACCAGTTGTGCACAGTCTTCCGTGAGTCTAGCCAACGATGAGCAGTCTTTCGTTCTAGTTTTTCGCCCGCAAATACAACCGTTTGCAGGGATGGCAAATCATTAGGGCACAAAGTCTCTGCGACAGATGGCGTCAAACACATCCAGTTCGCATCGTGGCCGTTGATTGCCTCCATCAGTCTATTCCTTCTATCCGTCTCTGATGGGATGCACAGGCAACCTCCAACGGACAAGGTGGCCAAGGCCTCAACGGTGCTGACATCAAAGTCATACCCCGCAAACTGGAACACTCGGCTGTCATTGTGTAAGCCAAAGGCCACAGTCGCAGCATGGATGTTGCTTGATAATGTGCTGTGGTTCCATGCGATGGCCTTCGGTGTCCCTGTAGATCCTGATGTAAAAAGAAGAAGAGCAGGGTCACCAGGAAGGTGCCGGTATGGCGTGGACTTAATAACGTCCTCGGATAAGTTCCTGTCCGGCTTGATGAGGTCTGCGACACTGAGTACAGGGATCAGTTCGTCGAAAGGAGATGACTCGCATGATGTCGATGTGATAGCCAAGTGTGGCTGCAAGCTCTCAACTACCTGCATCGCACGTGTTTTGGAAACTGGCACAGACATTGGCAAAACAATCGCCCCGACTTTGAGTGCTGCAAGCATTACCACTGCCTGCCAAGCGGATTTCTCAAATGCCAAAACAACGATTGAGCCATCGGTTACTCCTGCGCCGAATAGGCGATCAGCCAGGGAGATGGACCAACCATGCACCTGTTCCGCGGTGAACTGCTGGTCCCATGCAGATATCATAACTGATCGTGGTTTCATAACAATTTGCCGATCAATGATGTCGGTGACAGCCTCGAATGCAAGTTCCGGCTGCACGACGTTCCAATTCCAGATGTCGGCGAGATCCTCCTTGGTGACAGCACTGATGTCGGAAACTTTCATAAGACTGCTCTCCTCTGAGCATAGTTGTCGTAACAGATGCTCGAATTGGATTGACATCCGCTGCACCTGCTCTGTTTTCATCGCGCCGGAATCGAAGTTGATCTTCAATTCGACCCCGGACTCGTGCAACTGGCAGATCATCATCATCGGATAGGGGTTATGCATGCCCACCGTGTCTGATTCTCCGTCCTTACCTACAACTTGGAGACTTCCAAGTTCATCGGAGCTGCTAACAACGCTTCTCGCCCTGTTAAACAGCGCATCCGGATCGTTGCTCCTCTCCGGCTGAGCCGGCTGCACCACCAGTAGAAGTTGGAAAAGATTTGTCTCATCCACCAATCCAGCGATCTCCTGCAAACCAAGCTGCTCATGCTCTGTTGCTTCCACCGCTTGTCTCTGGAGCTGTTCGAGCAAGCTCTGAACCGTTTCATTCCAGTCAAATTTGGCACGGACAGGGATAGTTGCGATCGTCGGCCCAGCAATTCGTTCGATTCCAGGAACGGTAGCCTGTCGCCCACTGATCGTGGCACCATACCTGATATCATTGGAGTTGGTGTAAGATGCCAGCAGCAATGCCAACGCAGCGCGGACGACGGATGATGGTGTAGTACCAGTGCGCGCCCATGGCATACCAGAGATGTTGTGGTTGAAATCAAGTTTCCTCCCGGGCTGGTGAGCTGGAAAGGGGAAGGTCTTGGTCTCCGAGCCTCCGTCCAAGTATTGCTTCCAGTAGAGAGATGCATTTTCCTTATTGATCTCTGTTGTGTATTTCACGAATTCCCGGAAGGGCAAAAGGGGCAAGGCAGCCGGCTTGTCGTGGTACTCAGCTTCCACAGCATCCAAAATCAACTTAGTGGACCAGCCATCGAAGATTGAATGATGCATTTCCATGATCAAACAGAGAGAGTCCCCAGTAATGAGACCCACCCGGCATAGTGAAACTCCCAATCCCATGGTTACGGAGTCTTGAATGAACTCATCGATACTCGTATATCGATTCAATGTGCTGGGGGAATTGACCACAACTTGCATAAGGCCAGCGGTAGCCAGATCAACGACTCGGGTTCGCAGAATTGATGCTTGTTGCAACGTGTTTGTCCACGCCTTTTCAAACTGCGCAAGATCCGTGTGATCAGGAAGCTCAAATAGTGTCCGTGAAACGTTATTCGTTGCCAAATCATCGGATCTATGCTCACTGCGGGCTGTAATCGAAAGCATTCCTTGCTGGAGTGCAGTGGAGGGATATATATCCTCTATCTCGGAAATCTCAATATGGCAGATTTTAGCAGCCTCCTCGCGCAATTTTTGGAGATCTGACACGCCATTCATAAGCGAGAAAGGAGCAGTTTCTTCCGCTTCAAAGGATGAATCATCGACCTTCATAACCAGTGCAAGATCACTTAGCACTGGTGTTTTGAACACATCTGCAACAGTGACAGATAGCCTGCCTTTGCGCGCTGCGGCTGCTAAAAGCATAGCTGCAACTGAGTCTCCTCCTAGCCGGAGGAAACTGTCTGTAGCACTGATTCGACTTGATGGTATGCTCAACACCTGCGCCCATAGCTCACAAAGCTGCTTCTCCATGGGAGTAGATGGGCCACAGAATTCCCGAACGGGTAAAATGTTTGATTGTAGTTGGAGAAGCTGATCCAGAGAATGGCTATCTCCAATCTCTCGCAGTTTTCGTCGGTCGACCTTGCCCGTGCCAGCCACGGGTATTTCATTGACAGGAATGTAGATACCAGGAATCATAAACCCTGGCAATACATCCTCTAGATCGTGTACAAGATTATTCATTGCAATCTTGACTTGCGCGGAGTTCTCATCTTTTGTCTGAACAAAGAGGCCGAGCAATGCGGTCTCACTTCCTTGTGGAAGAACGATGTCGGCGATAATAGTCAGAGCGTCATTCAGACATGCCCGCGCGTGGTGCTCTACATCCCCAATCTCGATCCGCTGGCCTCTGACTTTTAATTGTGAGACATCTTTCCGTCCTAGGAAGACTATACTCCCATCTGGGCGGGTCTTGACCAAGTCACCGGTTTTATAAAGACGGCCATGTCGGCCCGGAATGACAGCGCTCCCAGACAAAAGCCATTCAGGATCATTGATAAATGCTTCTTCTGTCTTTTCGGGGTTTGACAGATACCCTTGGCCCACCATGGGCCCCTCCAGGTATAGCTCTCCAGGGGTACCAGGGGAAACAAGTTGGCTGCTATTGTTGGGGTTCACGATCCAGAGGCAAAATCCGATACCTTTCCCAATGTCCGGCCGATCCTCTCCGCATCGATTCAGCTGCGAGAATGTACACTTCCAAGTGCACTCGGTAGGACCATATGTGTTGAGCAGTCGGACACGCTCAGCCCATTGAGTCACATTCTCCCGATACGGCATTTCTCCGCTCAATAGCACAGTTTCAAGACTGGGTGGGACTGGACTGATAGTTCGCAACACAGTGGGAGTGACATTTATCAAGGTGGCCCCAAAGGCCGTGATAGTGGCTGACAGGTTATTCACCATGTCTTGCTCGTTGGAAATGCATAGACAGGCCCCTGCGCACAGAGTGTGAAGTGCATTACTCCAGGCCACGTCAAAAGAGTAAGGCGCGAAGTCAAAGACGCGTGAGTCTTTGTTGAACCCTAGAGCTTTACCCTGGTGGTGAACAGCACTGCGCACGTTGGCATGACTGATACAAGCTCCTTTTGGTTGGCCAGTAGTTCCACTAAGTAAGTATTGAGGTCAGCGACGAATCTTGGTAGAGGACGGAGGAATTATTTATCTTACGAGGTGAATGAAATATATACTATGTCTGTGGGTGATACCACAGGCAATTCAAATATCTGATCTTTTTCGGTAGTCGTAATTTTGAGCAGGCGGTCGTCGAGTTGTAGAACGGGGGCATCACCCAAGATAGAGGCTCTGTCACGAGTTGTGACAGCACAAACCAGTGCCTGCGGTTGCGCAAGTTGAATGATAGATTGGAGTCTCGCATTTGGATGAGTCGCATCCAGGGCAACTGCTGCGCAGCCTGCTTTGATAATACCCAATTCGGCCACACAAGTCCATTTTGACTTGGGGAATAGAAGCGCCACGGGTGATTTAGGTGGAATGCCCCTTTCACAAAGAGAACGTGCAACATGATTGCTCAGCGTGGACAGTTGAGAATAGGTGAAATTTCCGTCCCATGCGCAGACGGCTAACGCATCTGGTTGTTCTTGTGTGATCTCGGCGATCAAATCATGGACACAACCTGTGATAGATTCGGGCACAATAGCATTGTTTGCCCAGATTTCTTCGAGCTCTTGCGCTGAAGGCGGAGCATCAGGAGTATCAGGAGCATCCAATCGAGCAGTCTCGTTCATTGTGGTAGCATCCATTTCAACGGTTTACCACGATGTATCTCGTTATACTCCGTGTATCTAGTGAGTACAACGGGGTGGTCACCATGCCTTAACATCATTTCTAAGAACGCTCGCTATCGCGTCAGCACCGGCAATGGACTTTCCCCATTGGGATGTGGGGGGAGCCCCATGCACCTAGTCGCACTCCACTCGATAGCGTGCAGTCGGTGCTGCATTTACGTTTATCGCGTGAGACTAATACAGTCAGAAAGGGCAGGTCATATACATGGTTTCACCCATTACAATCATGTAAGATATACCTTAACTGGGACGGGTCAGGACCTGTTCAGCACTACGGTCCACAGACCAGCTCCCGGGACAACGGGTTCACACGGTCATCACATACGACCACCATAGTCTGACATATATCTATCGATCCGCAATGCATTAGCTACATGGAGCATTGCATATTCTACCAGTATCCATACGCATGCAGCAATTTCCACGCTTTCCACAATACTACTATCAACCATGTCCGGCCAACTTGACTTTTCAAGATTCCACAGCAACAACGCTGATGAACGAGACCAGTTCTGTCGTGAACTGATCGCTGGGTTCAGCAAGTCAGGCTGGGTCCGCCTGATCAATCATGATGTGCCTACAGCAAGCATCGATCGCGCATTTGAAATGGTGCGCGTATTTTGTCGATACGAAGTCTGTGATATATTTTTGCTGATTGTGGTCTCTCTAGAGCCATGGCTTCTACAATCTCCCGTTGGAGGACAAGCTGAAGTCGCCTCATCCTCCCACAGCCCATCCGCACCGTGGGTTCAGCCCCGTGGGCATGGAAAACGTATCAACCGTGTCCAATTATCGCTCGTCAGTTGCTCAACCACTACTCAAGGATATGAAGGTACAGAGATAAAATATGCCACACATCCTTTCTCTGCGAATGTTTTTCGAGTGACATACATCTAATCAAAGGATCCTCAGGAGTCTTACGATATTGGATCAGAGCGAGACCCGCTGTACTCCAACATTTGGCCCCCAGCAGGAGTACACGATGGTTTTCAGACAGCCATGACCTCGTTTTTCACCGCCTGTTACAATGCCGAGTTAACCATTTTAGATGCTATCTCCATTGGTCTAGGGCTACCCATTCACTCGCTACGAGACCTACACAAAGCGCAAACCAACGAGCTGCGTCTCACCCACTATCCCGCAGTGGATCGGGCTGATTTTGCCAATGCCACTCGTATCGCGGCACACACAGACTTTGGCACCATCACCCTCCTCTTCCAAGACAATGTTGGAGGTCTAGGTAAGCAATACCACCTTCCAAGAAAGGAATGTTTCATCTTTGCTGGCATTTAGCTAATGAAATCCTAGAGATGGAATCTCCTCCCGGCAGCGGGGTATTCATCCCTGCTGACAGCGCCGGCCCCCACGAGTGTATTGTCAACGTTGGGGATTGCCTCCAAATGTGGACAGGGCTGCATAGTGCTCGCCACCGGGTTCATTTGGTGCAGGGTGAGAACCAGGGAAGTCTGGTTCCTGAAAGATACTCCATTGCGTATTTTGCCAAGCCTGACCGTGCGGCACTACTGCGCCCGCTGCTTGACTCGGTAGTGGGGGAGAGTAAGCCGGTGCAGAAGTTCTTGACAGCGAATGAGTTTCAGCATATGCGCATTGCCGGGACTTACGCATAGCTGCTCACCCGCATGCACGGTCCCCGTCACTTGGTCAGCGATATTCACTTGCTTATGGCTGTGTGGACAAGAAAAAGAATATACGTACGATAGATACGGAGGTAGATTACTTGCAAGCAACAATTATCTTCATTTTGAAACACGCGTAGGAGACGGAGTAGATTGATAACAGTCTCCACCACACTGGGCCAGCCCGTGCAGAATTCTTGGTTCTTTTTGCCGTGCAACAATTGAATTCAAGATCTGAGACATGTCGCAAAAGAAATCTTCATCTTACCAAGCTAATCGACCTGCCTAGGTGCAAGCCCCTCCTACCGGATCCTTTGCCCCGCCTGTTGGCCCCCATGTTCCGGCCTGCCGTCGGAACGCCGAGCCACCCGCGTGGCCCTAATCTGGACAAATGCCGGGATCATAGACCGGCATGACATTTGCTCCGTACAGTCCAAGGATAACACCGGCGGTGGCGCTTTCTCCGCGGGGCATCTGATTGTGCTTTCGAGCCTGATTCCATATCGTTTGCTCCTTACAAACACCATGTTACCAGATGATCTCCGGTTCAACATGAGTTGGCTCGAGATTGTCCCAAGAGCCCTGCTGCTCTGCCTGGCCATTACTATTGGATTTTTCGTGCGACGAGTATATTTCCATCCGTTGTCCGCATTCCCAGGCCCAAAGTTGGTCGCCGCTTCCAGCTTCCAGCACTTTTATGCTGTGTGGAAAGGGCGAGAAAAGAACTGGTACAAAGATCTACATAAAAAATATGGTATGGGGGAGGTCGCAACCCAAAATTATCGTTTCATTTTCTAACTCATGAATAGGCCCGGTCGTTCGCTGCGGTCCGAATCACATAACTTTCAATGATCTGGACTTAATTCCGGTGGTATATCACCGCCAGAGTGACAAGACAGATTATCCCCAAGACTTTACTTGTCCCGGGGCAGCCACGAACAAGGCAAATTATCTTGAGTATGCCGCAGCCAAGCGTAAATTTGGCCAGGCAGTAAGTCGTAATTATTTCTTACTTTTGCGAATGGGTTGCTGATGGATATAGTTCTCGGTGTCCCGCGTCCAATTGTTTGAGGGTTTGGTGGACGAGAATCTGACCAAATTGCTCTCCATTCTTCAGGAGGAAACTAAAGCAGAATCTCCCGTGGACTGGGGTATCTGGGCTAGGTAAGTGCCTATTCTCCGTCCTGGCTAACTGGATCCTGCGGCGAACTGATTTGGATCAGATATCTCGCATTTGATGTGTATGTGCCCATGAGTTTGGGTGAGACCTTTGGGTTCTTAGACCACAAGGGTGATGCACGCAACATCTTGCCGAGCACCTTCCGTATTTTCCGATATTGGACACTGAGTCGATATCGTCCAATTGCCTGGTTGGCTACAAACACATGGTTAGGTCGCCGTCTATTTGTTAGCGGCCGCGAAGATTCCAAAGGAATGGGAATATGGACAGATGTAAGTGCCGATGTCTTGGTTTATTCTATTTTATTTTTCTTCGCGTGTGGAAATACTAACTGGTCGTACAGGAAGTACACAATATCACTCAGAAGCGCATTGAGTCTACTAATACGGAAAGAAAAGCACACATGGAGCTTTCCATGTTGGACCAATGGTTGGCAGTCAAGTCTGCAGCAGGAGAAGGAATTCCCCTAGCGGACATCGAAGACCAGCTAGTTTCAGATGTGTGAGTCGCATAGAGTCAGGGAAAAGGAGATCACCGATACTGATGCTATTCATGAAGTCTTGGCGGTCCATATGCCATTGCCACCGTGCTTGGTTATCTGATCAACACAATGTCGAAGCATCCAGATGCCGTTGAACGCGCCCATCAAGAGATTGATGGAGCTTTCGCTCAAAAGGCGTCTTCCACCGACTCACTGACATACGCAGAATGCTGTGCTCTCCCATTCGTTGATGCGTGTATCCGGGAAGTCATGCGTATCACTGCAACTGCCTCTCCTCGATGGCGCACTTCACCGGACCGGCCACTTCGTATACACGACCGGGATGTGCCTCCGGGAACAGCCGTAGCCACCAGCCCCTTCACTGTCTCCACCCATCCTCAGCTCTACGGTGAGAATTCCGAGGACTTTGTCCCCGCACGCTGGGTTGAGGCGTCTGAGGAGCAATTGCGAGTGTGGAACTCGTATGATTCTCACTGGGGATTCGGATATCGCAAATGTCCTGGACGCCACATTGGCGTTCTTGTCTTATATAAGACATTCGTTACGGTATGTGCCTCCGTCTGATATTTGTTCGCTTTTTCCAGTTCCATGGCTGATTTCCAGATAGATTCTACGCCATTTCGATGTGAAAGAAGGTCCCTCAGGATCTTCTTCTCTAATGATGAAGCCACGCAAAATATAGTCTAACTAAAAGTCTAAAAGTTAAAAGTCTTTGATACCTGGATATTATCCACTGTCAGCACAGATGTTGCAACTTTACCGATAACGATCTTGAAATGCATGACAAGATCGTGGCTAACGCGAGACCGACAACACTCTGGGTTCTATCAAACCTCAAAAAAACGGACTCAGTAGGGAAAACTCACGGGGGATAGTATATATAGCTACGTCCCAAAAGGGGAAACCAGGTTTCCCGCCTATCAGAATAATAAAGATGAGCATTCATTAAATTATGCGCAGTACCACCAGTACGGAACCAGGCTGCAGCGTGAGATACACTAGGTAACTCCAAAGTACACCCTTAAAAAGCGTGCGTCGTTTATTACTAGTGATTCATGCGTGGAAGTGGATTTCTCGCCCCGGGGGCCGAGCTAGGTATCTAGCAGATTTTGACAGGATTTGGACAAATATCTCTCGCCCAGGCCCCTGGGGGCCTATTTTGCGGGTCATACCTACACGTAAGTATGCCACCATATTAGATGTATTACGTGTGCTTATATTCAAGGTCGTTCCATAGCAAATCAGGGCGAGAGGGATACTTATCGCTGTATACAATTTACGTGTATAGAGTTTCCAACAGAGGGGACCACTTTGTTGAGTCGGTCTCACTTCCTTACTTGGCAGCCGTTTGCTTCCAGGTTCTTTAAGACTCGCTCCTAGTGCATTGGGGCCAGTAAACTTGATCTACAATCGAAATCGGTGTACTCCGTACAGCAAGTTTATATGGTACTTTTGCAACCACCCTCTCTATAAATGCACAACAACGATCTACCATCCTCATTGGCCCGTGAAAAAAAAAATTTAAAGCATTTAGAAACCGGAGTCCCGAGGCCCTGTAAACCGCGTAGTAACATTCACACATCATACCATGTCTCAATCCTCTCAGCATTTAGCTTCATGCAACCTAGCCCTCCAACCGGTTCCATTTTCGTATTCAGTCTGGGCATGCCGCTTGCTTATGCTCATCCCGCCGTCCCGCCCACAGGATTCCAGGTATGCACGCAATCGAACTCGGCAGTTTTCTCACCATGCGAGATTATCCGTAGCATTATTGTTACTTTTTCCCCTGCGTATTTACCCCTCTCGCGCAAGGGGCGTTATGCTGATCATATCACCGGGATTGGTTGACGGGAAGTTGGAACTAGTGTGGCGGTACGCTGAGTGTATGTGTGGATTGCAACAAGTACAGAATATTGGAAATTGATGACAACAGGAAGATTAGCTAGTCCAGTCAAGTTCATCAATTTTTGACATACATCAGAGTGACATTTTACATATAATTTCCTCCTACGGCGTAGCTCGGTCAAAAAAGTCTCATTTTCCCTTTTTGGACGGCATCATGCAGCTTCAGCTTCCATACCGTGATTTGTTCGCAAGTCCATCATTGCGAGTGTCTTTGTATCAGGATGACCTGGATCATCCGGGCGTCCACTCATTAGACTGTCCCAATTGTCCCTGTCCAGGATGTGCAACGTGCGTCGCTGGTAGTCGGGTCGTGACCACGGCCGAGAAGATTGCCCCTTCGCTTCGCATTAGCCACCAGGAGGAAAGGCACTCAGACCCTCCCTTGGACAGGAACACCAAAGTATGCATTATTGGAGCCGGCATTGCAGGCCTCTATATTGCACTGATCCTACAAGACCTTGGAATTCCCAATCTTTCTTGGGATATCCTCGAGGCCAATCGGGAGCGCATTGGTGGCCGTATCTATACTCATCGCTTCTCCGATGCCCCCAATGACTACTATGATGTGGGAGCTATGCGGTATCCAGATATCCCCATCATGTCCAGGGTATTTGATCTTTTTCGTCGAATGGAAGTACCACTGAAGGAGTACCATATGCGTGAGATTAAAACGAACAAGGGTGATGTTGGTAGCTCCAAAGGGGAGTGTCCATCCACCACGCTGCTCAACCAAGCATTTGGCCCATATAAGAAAATCATGCAACGGAACTTTGTGCATGGATTCCAGCTCCTGATGCAAACTGATGCAATGAGTACACGTGAATATCTTCGAGTCAACCACAAGTCCGATTTGATGGCTGTTCAAACTGCCGAGAGTCTCACCACTGGGACTGGCGCATTTGATCAAGCTTTTTCGGAGAGTGTTATGGACTCGTTCGACTTTGAGGGACTCACGGAGTCTGAGCAGTGCCTGACGGGAGTAAAATGGTATTCAGTGGCCGGCGGCTCGTCCGTGGTGATTGACCGCATGTGTCAGCAAATAAAGAGTAGCAGCACTGTTGAGACCGGAAAGCAAGTTCGTCGTATCGCTGTCGATTGCAGCGGCGATCTTTCCGTGTCATGTAAGGGCGAGGCAGAGGCACGGGATGGATATGCGACGGTATTCAGCACTGTCCCATTGGGCTGTCTACAGCGAATCGACACCGGGTCACTACATCTTGACCCAATTCAAAAAGAGGCAATTCGGTGTCTGCGATATGATGATTCAACCAAGGTGGGCATCAAATTTGCCTATCCATGGTGGATTGTAGACTGTGGGATGCGAGGGGGTGGGAGTGCAACAACCACACTCCCTTCAAGGAAATGTGTCTACCCGTCACATATCTCCGCGGAGGACTGGGACAAGCCGGCTGTATTACTGGCTTCATACACCTGGGGCCAGGATGCTTCTCGCATGGGAGCATTGATCGGGCCATCATCTACTGCCAGCTCCGATGATGGCGAGGATGGCGGTGATGATTTGTTGGATCTCGTTCTTCACGACCTTGCTGAGCAGCATCAACAACATGGAATCACTTATGAAAAATTGCGAGCATTATACCGAGATCACCATGCCTTCTGCTGGGGTAACTCGCGCTTCTCCTCAGGAGGATTCGCACTCTTTGCCCCCGGGCAATTCACCAATCTCTACCCCTCATTATCACTCCCAGCAGCCGATGGCAAGTTCCATATTGTAGGAGAGGCGGCTAGTATTCATCACGGGTGGGTTGTGGGATCTTTGAATAGTGCATATGTTGCGGTCTATCGATTTTTGCGTCGGTACGGACAACATCGGGCTATCCGCAAGCTGGAGAAAAACTGGGGAAATGTGCATGAGCTTGACCTTGCGGGCGTTTCTTGTTTTTAGAAGCTGGTTTCAAGGCACTGAAATCGCCACCTTGACTTCGTGATTTTCATCACGAAACACAGTCTGGTAGAAAAGCTTAGGATGCGGCTGTCACGCCTAGGTAGAGTGGGCTAGAACGTAGAGAATTCATTCATTCTTTTCATTTCTACCACTGGTAGTGACGGCGACGCACATCGCTATGATTAGGAAAGAAATATGGAGTACACCAAGGGGATTATGGACGTCAAGAGGTGTCATTTTCCGCGTCGGTCCCTCTTAGTGAATCTGTCCTCCATAGTTCTCAAACGCTGGTGGGCATTCTGAAGGAGAATGTAGCCCGAACACAACAAATAATATCAAAAATAATTGATATAGCATATTGGTGATGAGGCGATTGACCACAGCCAAGTAGACAGTTGTGAAGCGATTCACTCTGCCCATAGGTACACGGACCCAATTCATTCAATTTCGGATAATACATGTTTTTTTCTATCGGGTTACACTGCTTGTTGAATCAATCAATCTTGCACATGCCCAGAACGAAGCATTGTCACGCGACGATAGCCAACCGTCTTAGCAAGAATCGACCGCGCGTTGGGGGCTGCATATGTACCCCGTCGCAAGTAATACCTGAGGTTCGAAGGCACGGTCTCCAAGTGCCATTCAGTATTAACGGCCCGAGTTTGAGCAACCAAACGCAGCGCTGTGATAATTTTAGATCCAAGGCTTCGGGTGCCTTTTGCGTCGCGCGTGATATCAGCGGAGATCCTTTCGTGTGGTGATAGACAGGGCAGTAGGCACCACGTTCTGAATCAAGTAGAAACACGCAAACTCGGCTACGTCTGCGCCCTTAGATGTCCTCCGTATCCAGCCCATACATCATAACGTCCACTCGAAGGCTGGGTGAGCGAGCTGTCGGCGCGAGCCTTGCGAGAGGTCTTAGCTTGAGATGACAGGGGATCTTTTGGCCCCCAGGGGGTACCAGTACTTGGTCGCTCTATTGGCCGCTGACGAACGCGAATGGTCCAATTGAACAAGCATATAAATATCTCCGTAATCTCGGATACTCAGCCAGGTCAAAGCACTTCGGTCACATTGTTTCGAATGACGCAGGAGTCAGCGAGGGGTGGTCTCAGGGCCACAGTTTTGGCCGACGCTATGCTCTCTATCAAGTGCAATCGATATAAATAGATTCATGTATAGGTAGGTCAATTATGAAGGTAGGGAATGTTATGCAAAAGCCCAAGAGATATGACGAGCCACGTACTCCGTAGAAGCGAGCATGTCGGCAGAAAGGGGCGGTGGTGGCATGAGTGGACGTTGCAAAGACAAAGCAAAGACACCGCGGTGACATGCTCGCAAATGACATTCTAACAGCAACATCAAGTTCGGGAGACGCGTATATACCGACTCCTGTGATTTCCTGCACACATTTATTTCCAGAATGAAACAATCTGTCCCTCGAATCTCGCCCTTTACGGAAGGCAATCTACAATGCAATTGTTGGGTGCTGGGACCTTGTTCTGACACTCCCCAGATCCTTTTTGGTCTGTTCGTGACTTATCCTGGTCAGGATTTGAAATCAGCGATTCTAAAACATGACAAAATCTTCAAACGAAACCTCGCGGATGGGCCTCATACTCGGGATATATATTGCACTTGATTCGTATGCCTTTCGATGGTGGCGTTCTGGGCCGCTGCGGCTGGGAAAGTGACACATGCAGGAAACGTTGGATCTCCAGGGCCAATAAACGAGATCCAGCATAGCATTTCTCTACCTGAGTATAATTATCTCGACTGGGCAGTGCAATCAACCGATACATGGCAATAGATGCGACATCAAATAAGACAGTAATAACTCGCAATCCATTCTTCGTAGCACTTTCTTCATCCACTCCCCATCGTACCTGTTATACACCACAATGCCATTCACTGTACTTCTAAGTGTGGCTCTAGGGGTCCTTGGACTCTATATAACAAAGGTGGTATTGACTCGCCAAAGGCGCCCTGGCCCACTACCCCCGGGCCCAAAACCTAAGCCTTTAATTGGCAACATGCTTGATTTACCGCCGCCAACTACCCCAGATTGGATTCATTGGCTGAAGCATAAGGAGACTTACGGTTTGAATTCACGAAGATTCTAGTTCAGTGATTCAACTGACGTCTTGAGTTGTTAGGGCCGGTTAGCTCGGTCACAGTGATGGGACAGACCATTGTCATCCTGAACGATGTAGACTCAGCGATGGAACTGCTAGGAAAGCGATCAACGATATACTCCTCGAGGGCAAACCTTGTGTTTCCATGTGAATTGTCAGCGTTCAACGCCGATATACAAAGAGATACCCACACTAACAACGCATCATCAGGGTCGGATGGGACCGTACGCTAGTAATGCAAAAGTATTCCCCTCACTTCCGCTCTTCTCGCAAGGCTATTCACCAATTTGTTGGAACCGTCCCGGCCGCGGCCCAGTTTCATTCGTTGCAAGAAATAGAAGCCCATCGCTTCCTATTACGGGTCCTCCAAGATCAGTCAAGGCTCGCAGAACATATTCAAACGTGAGCAAAGCACCCGGTTATAGTTGAATCATATAGCAAGACTAATATCATGAAATTCTTACAGCGAGTCTGGAGCGATCCTTCTAAAGATGGCATACGGTTATACCATTGAGCCGCATAAGCGAGATCCGTTGGTGCGTGGTGCGAACCTGGCCCTTGATCATTTTGCTGAATCTACCGCACCTGGTTCGCGACTGGTTAATATCATTCCATCTCGTATGTCAACATTCCACGCTAAGATAGGATGCTTTCAAAAAGTCTTCACTGACCAAATCTAGTAAAATACGTGCCGACCTGGCTGCCTGGAGCAGGTTTCAAGCGAACTGCTAAGGTGTGGAGGAAGAACCTCGATGCTGTGGCAGATATACCCTATCTATTTGCCCGCCAGCATATAGAGTCGGATATTCACCAGACATCCTACCTCTCAAAACTCTTGAAAGCTGCGGGATATCCGCCGTATGGCTCGGCAGAGGACAGTGTCGCAAAATGGACTGCTGCATCGCTCTATACTGGAGGCGTTGACACTGTGCGGCTCTTCAAGGTACTTTTTGTTTTGACGTTCACTAACATTCTCTAGAGCGTCTCTGCTATGGAAGTATTCTTCCTTGCAATGACGTTATATCCCGAGGTTCAGCACAAAGCTCAAGATGAGCTTGATCGGGTCTTAGGACCTTGCCAGCTTCCAACATTTGCAGATCGCCCACGATTGCCGTATATCAACGCCATCGTCAAGGAGGTTCTACGTTGGCATCCAGTTGGACCTATGGGCTTCCCACATGCGTCAACCGAGGATGATACCTGGGGCCAATATTTCATTCCAAAAGGTTCATTGGTTATGCCAAATGCCTGGTTAGTTGGACTTCCAATAAAGTGTGAAATTCCCAAAACCGAGCCAAATTTACTGACCATTACGGAAGGGCTATGACGCATGATCCCGCGGTGTATCATGATCCAATGACATTCAAACCGGAGCGCTTCTTGGGTATCGACGGCCGGGAGCCTGAGTTAGATCCTCATACGATTGTCTTTGGGTTTGGTCGTCGAATCTGTCCAGCACGGTTGTTAGCAGATAACACAGTTTATGTGACTGCGGCACGGGCTCTCGCAGTCTTCAATGTCAGAAAGGCTATAGAGGATGGGCGGGAAGTTGATGTTGAGGCAAGATTTGAAGCCAAGACTATCAGCCACCCGATGCCTTGGAAGCTCTATATCGAAACACGCAGCAAGACACACGAAGCTCTGATTCGTTCCGTGGAGCAGAAAACACCATTCGAGCCTAGCAACGCTTCAGACCTACCAAACTTTGAGCTATAATTCCTTGAGGGTTCCTCTCCATGTTTGTTGGGATATCAACGAGTCAAATCTTACCTTCATCTAGAACAAGAAGAACCAACGAATGTTTCTAGATAATCAAACTATATTGGGTTTTAGTAACCTGCGATCTGCTTTTGCTTGTACAGAGTACTCCTTGCAAGATCAGTGTTTACGATCAGTCTCACTGCGGTTTCCAGCGCGATTTGTAAAATAGGGAACAAAGTTGTATAAAAAGCAAACATGAGATAGTCAACTATTTTCCGAGCATACTGTCGATCAAATAGAGAATTAGGGGAACAAAATAAGCGACTCCCGATCAGGGATACTATTAAGGTTAAGGTTCGTAAGGTGTCGATCTCGTCGGGTGAACTGTGCTCTTACCCCAGGCCGTAGACCTAGTTAAATGCATGGGTCGCATCCTCAGCTGCATGGTGAAACAAGACTCTACTACGTCAGTTGTCCAAACATCGCCTCAGATCATATTGAACATTTGCAGATTTGTCTATCCAAGTCACTGCGTGGGTTGGTGTGACCTTGGAGGTGAGATCACCGGTCACTCATGGAAAAGGGCATGGACGGGAATACCTAATGCCAAGGTAGGAAGTACCTCCATTCCACCCCCACATTCACCAATGGCACTTACTTGGCGCCTTGATACCACTACTCCGTACTCTTGGAGTGTTGTGGATATCAAGGACGTCATGAGCGTCATGAACATTAAAGTCGTCTCTCGAGGTCTGGGGATCTTAGTAGATGACACAGCCACCACCCCTGCTTCCATGAGACCTTTTCAGACCTCTCCTTCGACTCCAGGGATCCTTGCACTAACTTCAATTTCAGAATTCGATCCCTAGATCGCTCCGATGTTATGGTAAGGACATAGCTACGTCATACGGAGTATCGACTCCGCATCTAACCTTCAATAAGCAATACCAGATCGTCAGCTGACAGGCTAAGCTCGTCAGGTGAGAACATCTCAGATCAACAAAACCCCCAATAAGATGACCTATAACAATAACCCCAGTGCAACTGCACGATCAGCAGCTCGTGCCACATGGGCCGTGAGGTTGACGATATCCCAATCGATCGCCTTCGTGACTCGGTCTACCCGAAAATATGTAGGCTGGCAAGTGTGACGCATGAAAGGCGGCAATCAGAAGCGAAAAATGCGTTGACAAAAGCCAGATAATGGATCCCCAAACAACACTCGTCCAATCAGACTGTCGCTGCATTTAAGGGGCACCGGAGTGGGCTCACTTGGGGGGCATCACGTGTTGTGATTGGTCGGACACGTCAGCTGTACTCACTTGGCTGCAGGTGCCCTGCACTTGGAGGTCTTTGATTTTGCCTTGTGGTATTTTTTTTCTTCTCTTAGTGTTTGTGATTCCCTTCAGAATGCTCAGAGCGACTGGAGGCCCAAATTCCAGTCTTGAACATGGGTGATACGATTCAAAATGGGAGACTGTATCTTGAGCCCGAGGGTGAATCCTTCAAGGCCCACAATGATCTTCCTTGTCAGATCTCTGAAGATCAGCCACTGCTAGACTATCGGTTCATTCAGCCCGAACCTACACGCGTCGAATCTCCACAAGGAATCGCTATCATATGCTGCACGGTATCGGTGTTGTTCGTTAGCTGCGCACTCAATAGCCTAGTCACGCTCAACATCCCACAACTTTCGTCGGAGTTCGGATTGAAACCTGGAGTCGAATTATGGTACGATGGCTCCTGTTCCGGATTGGGTTCCGGTTCTTGTTACACTGATCAAACTAAGCTCACCACTCAATAGGCCAATGTCGATGTACTATCTCGCCCAAGGCTGCACATTCCTGCTGGCAGGATCTTTAGACGATGTCTTCGGTAGCAGAAAAGTGTTTCTCTTTAGTTGCTTTCTGCAGACCATCTGCTATCTATGTAGCGGACTTGCCAATACTGGGATGCAGCTTATCGCACTCAGAACAGTGTCTGGTGTGGCTTACCCGATGTGTTTCGTTTCTGCAATGAGCATTCACAGCGACGATCTTCCCATTGGCAAGTTACGCAATTTAGCTTTTTTCTGTACGAGTATAAGTCAATATATTGGCTCCGGATTTGGTATACTTCTCAGTGGAGTACTCTCAGAGACTGTGGGTTGGCAATGGGGTTTTCGTGGCGCCGCAGTCTTGAGTCTCTCGGCTCTTCTCTTGTCAATTTGGGCAATTCCCAAACAGTCCGAAAACCCAAAATATGCCACATGGGCAGCAATGGCTGAGGATATTGATTTGGCCGGAACTATGCTCGCCAGTTCATTGATGGCGCTGCTCTTTGCTGCATTGGCGTACGTATCCCCGTGTCATGGTCCGTTTCTTATATTTACCGCAGGCTAATCAACAATCTATAGTGTGATCACGAACAATGTCGCGAACATCGGCAAATCAGGGCTTTTCATTCCAGTTGCTCTGGGATGGATTATACTAGTCGCTTTCCTTTTCTGGCAAGATTGCTGGGAAAGAGACCACACCCTACGCATTCAGAATTCTCTCTGGACAAATAACCATTTCATCTCGATCTGCGTGGCTGTCTTCTTCGTTTACGCATCTTCCCATTCTACCTCGCAACTGATGATCTTCGTATTCCAACGCGCACAAGCACTTTCAATCCTACAATCTTCGTGGCGATACTTGCCAATCCCAATAATTGGGGCACTAAGCAGTATACTCACAGGACGGTTCTTGTCTCGCGTGGAGGCCAGCAAGATTCTTATTATTACAATAGCTCTTTCGGCTCTCGCTCCCTTCTTGATGGCTATCTCAAACCCAGACTGGCCGTACTGGAAATGTGCTATCACCGCTGTGTCACTAAACTCGATTGCATCAAATGCAGTGATTCCAATAGCTGGCCTGATGGTCTCTGGAACATTCTCTGCCGACGTTCAGGCACTTGCGATGGGAGTGCTCTGCACTGTGGCTATGATCGGAGCCTCGGTTGGCATGGCACTCACTGCGTTGATTTCGAACGATTTCATGGCAGATCTACTTCTGACGCCCGATCGGACCACATCTCTACATGAATCCCCAGAAATATGGATGACTGGGTATCGAAGCGCATTTTGGTTCTTGTTCTTGATGAGTTTGACCGGATTGGCTGTTACTCTTAGCTGTTTGCGCAACATTGGATATTTGGGGCGGACATCGGATCTAGGTTATTGATTTGTCCAATCCAAGTGCTCTCTGTTAATTTTAACAATTGGGGGTGTCTGAGGGCCGTGTTTGCTATTCAGGCGGGAGTAAGTATTTCACTGATCGTGAGGGCACACAAGCCACCTGCAGTCTGCTAAGTTTTAAGGACACGATTCAGGCTCCGTTTTTTAAGAGAGGTTAAACTTGAATATTAACAATAGTAGAGCTAGACTGCTTCCATATCGAAATGATATGAATGAATGGAATCCATTACTACCACTGATTCTCCGCTGTGCTTATCTCTGAGTAACCATACATCGGCTAGTATTCGTAGAATGCGACAGCACACTCTCATGAGGTGGGATACTGTACGTCCAGACACTTAATAAATACTGTGAACAGATTGATCGATTCTACATTCTCATTTGCTAAAGGCTGAGTAAATACGGAAAACACCATGTCAGCTCCAAAACAAGCTATTCTGTTCCTGACATGCTCCGAGCATGGCCAGTCCAACGTCGCACTTGCAGTGGCAGAAGAGTTCTTACACCGCGGGGAGTTCGAAGTCCATGTCGCTTCATTCAGAGAATTATGCGCTCGCGTACAAGCAATTAACGACCAGGCTGATCACGACCAAGTTATTCACTTCCACACTATCACCGGCCCGTGCATGTCTGAGGTAGTGGCTCGGACAACAACCGATGTATGTCACCCGCCGGGACTGGCAGGCACGCGCGAAGGATGTAATAAGATCAATCTCTCTGTTCTGGGATGGAAGCCCGAGGAGTATATACGGTCATTTCGGAGCTGTGTGGAGATTCTGAGGGATGTCCAGCCCGTCGTCGTGGTTGCGGATCCGCTGTTACATTTTGGTTTAGATGCAGCTCGCAGCATCGACATGCGAATCGTGATTTTGTGGCCTGTACCATTAAAGGATGTTGTGATAACTGTCCAGCCAAGGTTCGCTATTCTTTGGAAATATCCGCTGTGAGTACTTATCACAATGGGATTAGAAGAAGATATCGCTGATTTTGATACCAGCACGGGATCCGGGTACACCTTTCCCCTTCCATGGCATCTGATTCCTGCGAATATATACATGGTCGCTTGCTTTGCATTCTATGTCTGGTTGGGCAATCCCATGCGTCAATTGCTGGATATTCGAAAGAAGGCAGGAATCAGCACCACATTCCCTCATTTGTCACCGTACTGCGAGAACCATCTGCACCTCACGCCTTCATTTCCAGAGATGGATTTCCCGTTATACATTCCTGATAATGTGGTAAGCTGTGGGCCAATTCTTCGACGATCCTTGTCGCTCGCAGAGAGCGATGCAGAACTGGGTTCATGGTTGAAAGAGCCAACGATTTTGATATGTCTTGGTTCACATGTTCAAGCTCCAGAGGATGATACCGTACGGATGGCGACGGCGATTCAAGCTGTTTTGCGGGAGTTCCCCAGCATACAGTTTCTATGGAAGCTCCAATATAGTTGGGAAACTTCGCCCAGGATCAAGGGTGTTCTCGAATATCTGGTCGATTCCACGCAAGTGAGGATCGTCCAGTGGATCCAGCCAGAGATCATTTCACTTTTGGAAGACGGAAACATCGTTGCATATGTCCACCACGGAGGAGCCAACTCATTCTTCGAGGCGTGCAAGTGAGTTTGCTACTTCAAATTGTGGATTCGCGGCTAAGGTGCTGATTCCCTCGCAGAGGTGGTATTCCGCAGGTCATTCTGCCGCAGTGGTTCGATACGTATGATTGCCCGGCGAGGGTAGAGTGGCTGGGGATCGGTTTACATGGAAGCAGGACCATGGCACCGAAAATAAACGGTACTGAATTGTCTTCGGCTTTGATACACGTGTTGAAAGACAAAGGGATCCAGGCACGGGCCAGGGCAATTAGGGACCTATGCAAGACGACAGAAGGACGCTCATTTGCTCATGACCAGATCGTACAGTATGCGAAGAAAGATTGATGAGTTTTTGTAGATGACTTGGTTGATTTATGGATCTCCTCGGTCCGGTTCCAATGCTCATTGAGGATGCCAGGGATTCGAGAAAATCCGACAAAGACCGAATCAACAAATAATATGACAAATTTGGACCAAACATGTCCACCAAACAAAATGCACCCAATAATACAAATCTTGCTAAACGGGAGCTGTATTAAGAACCTTTCATGGTCAGCGCTCCACGCCCATATCGCTACATAGTCCGGTCAAGTCGTCAAACGCAGTGGTCACACAGTCGACAACTCTCTCAAAATGCGCCGGACATCCCGCCGAGCTTGACTCAACTCCTCGTCAACAGTGCCACTGGCATGTCGCGCTTTGACCTCATAGTGTAGCTCCACGAGTTCCTTTGCACGACGAAGATCGGTATTGTCCTCTGCTGGGCTCTTATCTGCCGATGCGCTACCAGACTCGGTAGATTCTGGGCCTGCGATATTTTTGTGAACATTCACTAGTGCCAAAGCCTCGTTGTGTCCCTTATTCCTGTTGTCAGCAATGCCATATTATTTGGTGGAATTTCGGCTTGTTCAAAGACGCGGTTTGGACGCGTTTATCACGCAATGCGCCCCGTTGAGAGGAAGCGACAGGAAGTGATAGCACTTACGCAAACTCGGAGGGAAGTGATATCTGAGAGAATCTCTGCGATCTGCATGTTTGTTGATTGGTCTACCTCCTAGGTAGTGATGTTGGCTTTAAGTTAGGAGGCCTGTTCCGGTTGCTCAAAGACAAACGTCACATGTCTTGGCAGGCGCAGGAACCTGCACAGGTGGTATCTTGAGTATCGCGCCGATATCTTTCAAATTCATGTAGAAAGTCTTGTATTTAAATCTGTCGACATAGTCTATTCAACCGGCCCCGGGGTTTATTCTACCCCAAACGAGGTATTCTATGTGTTCGCTCGGCATCGCCAAATCGCCACCCAGGAACCAGTTAAAGATAACATCCCCATATATACTTCGGGTCTCTCTGAATCATTTTATATAGCCAACGAAGATCAAATCTAAGTCTCCTTGAACTCATATCGACCCTCCCGATCCTGCACCTCAACCTCAATTTGTCCCTCCTCGATCTCCTTGCCGTTAACCTCAATCGATGCCCTCATAATATCACCCGCCTTGACCTGTCCAACACCCTTGGGTGTGCCAGTAAGGACAATATCACCCTTCTCAAGGGTCATCACGCGCGAGATCTGTGCCAGCTGCTGGGGAATGCGGTACAGCATCAAGCTTGTCGAGTCTGCCTGGCGCTCAGTCTGGCCAACGCTGAGGCGCAGGAATGCGTCGTGCGGGTTGGGGATGCGCGACTTGGGAATCTCCTGCGAGATAGGGCAGAAGGTGTCAAAGCCCTTGGCGATGGACCAGGGAAGACCCTTCTTCTTGGCCTCGTCTTGTACGTTGCGGGCGGTCATATCGATGGCGAGGATATAGCCTATAAAACCGCGCAATGGGTTTGATTAGCGACATGCTGATCCGAGACCATATGCTTGGGATTTTCGCGCGCGGCACTTCGGGTCCACCGCCGTGGTAGACAGCATTCAGGTCCGGACTACATGGCTGTACTCACTCTGAATAGCGTCCAATGCGCCCTGCTCATCATTCGGATCGAGATCGCGCACGGTCTTGCCAATTACCAGACCCAACTCGACTTCATAGTGCAAGCTGACGCCCTTGGGACGCAGAACGGGCCCTGCGCCGGGAAGGAGGATGGAAGATACGGGCTTGAGGAAGAAGAATGGCTGCTTGGGGGTGGCATTGTTGAGTTCGGTAATGTGATCGCTATATCAATCCAGGCTTGTTAGCGACTGTGAGAGAACGAAGTGACGCCGCTGTCGGAAACCCCCGAGGGAAACGGAACGCGGGGAGAAGGGGAGACAAGGAGACTCACGCATAGTTACGGCCGATACACATAATCTTGCGGCAATTGGCACGGATGGAAGCCATTTTGAGAAAAATTGAAGCTATACAGTTAGCGAGGAAGAGAAATTGAGGATCGAAGTCGTGGGGGATATGGAAATCGGAGGTTCGGGTGTTCTCCGAAAGCGCGATGCGGAGAACTGAAAGGGCGGGTTTCTGCGCCGAGCCGCTTGTATGTTTATCCACTCTCTCCATGCGATACTGACATGCTGTTCCAGAATCAAGAATACAATTCAAATGCTGTTGTTTATTATTGTACTCCGCATGGCCGTGTAAATATTGGTGGTTATCCTTTAAAACATTACTTAATATGATATCAATATTTATCCCAATGTATATATTAGCACCCAACATATACCATGGCCGAAGTGGATATCTTATACTCCAGATTCAGACCTGGCCATCACCAAAATGATTATATCATGATAATCTACTCTTCAGGTCCCAGTTCTAACCCATTAAGCCTTACATTAAGCCCCCAGGTACTCATATTTCCCGTATAAACCTATTCATAGCTACATATAGGTGTCGGTTCATTTGTCCGAAGATCGGAGGCACTTCCGAACGACCAAACCGACAGCTACTAAACAAGACAAGAAAGTATATATTCTATACTGTAATGGCAAATTAATTAAGATATAGCGACGTGGTTCGAGATTCACGCAGACACTAGGGAATAGTAGACCCTGTCCGTATGACAAAGGAGGTGGATGGCATTCTTGGTACATGTAGGCATGGATATGCCTTTTATTGTTCTGCGATCAATCACCAAATTCTGCTTTCTACTTCACTTTGGGTGGTAGAGTGGATATTGTATAAGACAGTGATGGGAATTACCATCCCTATATACTTGAACTACGTGCTATTTGACTGCTAATTATCAAACCTCCACATTACCTATACCTTACCATCATCCAATCCACCCCTCCTTATATACATCCATATGTACTCACCAACATGGGTCCTTGTTCACTTCACCCAAAACACCCGGATGATTTCCGTGCCATGAGTCTATGTTTGAAATATCCACAAGGAATACATCGAGTCTGATATCTTGCGGAAGAGGGCATGCACTTCGAATATGTCCATCATTCACCAAGGCCAGGCCAAACTTGGACTCGGCAGGAGAATGCAAAGAGCTCGTGCACATTTGCGGGTTTCTTTGAAACCCACCTTTTTAACCGACCAAGTGAGGTGAAGTTAGAAAAACATTTTCCGCGTTATCGACGAACAACACGGATGAAAGCCAAAGCCCTTCATATGCCCTTCTAAGGTTGGGCGCCACCTGCTGCCTATTTTCCTCACACCCCTGATTTCGACTCTCATGTCATTCCGCTTCCACTCCGCCGGCTAATAATAACGCTGATCAGGGTTGTAACGATGGTGACCTTACCAGTGTGGCGACAAGGAGACACTGAAAGCCATCACGGCCACGCCACTGTCCGATGTGGAGATTGCCTCGAATGGGTTGAAGCGATTGCATGTCCGTGCACAAGCAGGTCAACCCCCGTCTTTACTTTACAGCGGGCGCGGAATATCATGGGGGATTTTCATCAGCTCTACAATGGGAGAGTATCTACCGCAACAAACTAAAATGCTTACAAATATGAAATTTCGATTGCATGACTTGCTGGAGCTTGCGGGCTCTAGATCCATGATTGAAGGAGGAGTGGATTGAAGGAGGAGTGGGACATCCGCAACATAGAGCTTCACGGCTTTCTCGCGTGGTTCGGTCTAGGATACTGGGCGACGAGGATGATATCGGAGATTACAGGCTGCCGCGGGCAGTCACTGGACAAAAGCAGATATCGAAGGCTTGTCGAATGTGACCAGCGATGGTGAGATTGATAGGTTCTGGACCAACCTCGAAATGGCGTGGAAAGATTTGTCTCTGGATAACTGATGCGTCTGCATCACTCAATCTGCCCACATCTCGCCGAGACTCTTCACAAACTACCCATATGTAGGTGGTACCCGGGCAGTGACAGAAGTAGGATTCATACCGAGGATTTTGAAAGTTTTCATTTGATTTCGCGCGGACAAGGATCAGAGATTCTGGCTGAGCCTGTCAAATCGCTCAACTACCGTCCATGGTGATGTCCAATCAGGATGATCTGTTTCGTCGCTGAAGGGGTTGGAAAAGCTCAACAGCTTCAGAATTGAGACACTTTGGAGTGGGGGAAAGGCATTCACCGCTGAAGCATTCCAATGCAAGCGGTAACATATGTTATTAACATACCAAAAGTACTTGTTATGTCCGGACAAATCATTGGTGGCAGCATGCAGCCTTGGTTATTGTATAGAAAAAGTAGCCAAGGAGTAGCACATGTACATGAGAGTGAAAAAGATGGGATGCAAAAATGAGGATCTATACCATGTAACCTGTGAGGTAGTGGACTGACAGTTCGGTCCGATAAGCGATGCTGACCGTCTAGGGGTTCCTAGGCTGTTCTAACATTGAGTTTCGTTCATGTTGTCAACTAGTAGTTGAGTTCTAATGTCTTGACCCTTGAAGCGCTGCTGGCTCAACGTCGGAAGTTCCCCAAGTCGATGTAGATGTATGTGGCCCAGGGCCCCCATTCAGAGAAATGCCACGATCAAATGTAGTTGATGGCAACATACAAGTCCGAGGGATACGTCAGATAAGTACTTCGGAGATGATTCCATATCCAAGCAACGTACGAAGCCTACATCTACCTAGTGAACAGCCCCGGGAGATACGTGTTTTAAGATGATCAAGGACGACGCCTTGAGGAACAAGTCACATTTTGGCCCAGTCTATTGATTAAGTACGATAAAAGGCAGCATCCTTAACCAACAAGAGCGAGCTAGATACAGACGAGGGGGAAAACGGAGGAAAATGCATAAAAAAAATAAGATAAAACAGAGTAGCAAGAAACGCAGACATGTCTCATCTCCGTTGGTGCAAGACATAGGAACCATAGCACGGGCCAGGAAAATGACTGGAGCGTCGACTGATCGATTCAACGAGGTGTCGACTCAATATGCGGGGCATAGCCCCAGTCATTTACCTAGCCCAGTGCAGGTGGAAACGCAGAAAGCCACTTTTAACGCAGATTCTGCGATCATAAACCGCATCAGGACGTCAAGAGTTAGGGAGTTTAGATGAGGTCAGCCACGTTCATGGGCATCTCCTCAACCTGGGTGGAGTAGAACTGCTCGATCTCGCGGAGCATGCGAACATCATCAGCGGTGACGAAGTTGATGGCAACACCCTTACGACCGAAACGACCACCACGACCGATACGGTGAATGTAGTTCTCACGGTTGGCGGGGAGATCGTAGTTGATGACCAGGGAAACCTGCTGGACATCGATACCACGGGCCAACAGATCGGTGGCGATCAGGACACGGGAAGAACCGGAACGGAACTCCTTCATAATCACATCACGCTGACCCTGCTCCATATCACCGTGCATGGCGGAGACAGTGAAATCACGGGCAGTGAGCTTGTCGGTGAGCCAGTCGACCTTTCGGCGGGTGTTGCAGAAAATGACGGCCTGGGTAATGGTAACGGTCTCGTAGAGATCGGAAAGGGTGTCGAGCTTCCACTCCTCCTTCTCAACAGCGATGTAGAACTGCTTAATACCCTCAAGGGTAAGTTCCTGCTTCTTGACAAGGATACGGACGGGGTCGCGCATGAACTTGGTGGTGACCTCGAGGACGTCCTGGGGCATGGTAGCGGAAAGGAGGGTGACCTGGGTGGACTGGGGGAGGAGCTGGAAGATGTCGTAGATCTGCTCGGTGAAACCACGCTGAAAAGACAAGTTAGAACCGGTCGCACCACGAAAGGCAGTTATAATAACTTACGGACAGCATCTCATCAGCCTCATCGAGAATGAAGAGCTTCATGGCGGTGGTGGAGAGGACACGGCGCTGGATCATGTCGTGGACACGGCCGGGGGTACCGACAACGACCTGGGGACCGGCGCGGAGAGCGTTCATATCCTCACGGACGTTGGTACCACCGATACAGGCGTGGCAGTCAAGGGACATGAAGTCACCGATGGCAACAACGACCTTCTGGATCTGCTGAGCCAACTCACGGGTGGGAGCAAGGATAAGGGCCTGGCAAGCCTTGACCTCGGGGTCGATCTTCTGCAGAGCAGAGATAGAGAAGGTAGCGGTCTTACCGGTACCGGACTGAGCCTGGGCGATAACATCGTTGCCTGACCTCACACGTTAGGCGCAAATTTTTTCAAATAATATCAGAATGCAACAAAACCTACCCTTGATGATGGGCATGATGGCGCGCTGCTGGATAGCAGAGGGGCGCTCGAAACCGTAGGCGTAGACACCTGAAATCCCACAGTTAGTATTTTCCCCCACGAACCCCACTAGATAAGACAAAGGGTCACATACCGCGAAGCAGCTCGGGCTTCAGGTCCATAGCATCGAATGAGTCGGTAACCTCATCGTAGTTAGACTCGATCTGCCCTATTTCCCACAAAAAGGTGACGTTAGCTGGTGTAATTTTTGTGTTTTGCCTCCCCTATCTCCCCGCCACCCGACCAGTATTATGTTGCAATCGCATTTTGAAGAGCGACAGCAGAATAACGATCAAGTGACGGCGAAGTAACGGCTAAGTGACGGAGAACGGGGATTCGATAAACATACCCTCGGCGAGATCCTCAAGACCCTTGTCAGCCATGTTTGCGGTTTTGATAGGAGGGATCACAGGCGTTGGCTGTGATCGAGTGGTGGGGTTGTTTTAGCGAACGGTGGGGGTTCGCTGCGTGGGAGAGTGGTCTTCTAGTACCGCAGACTCTTATTTAAAGAGTCTATTACAGGAACTAGGGAAGGTTGAAAAATATGGTTGAATGTGAAATTCACAAATGGGGTGGGAAGAGGAAGAGAAGAAAAGGGAAAAAATCAAATGCCACACTGCGGTGCCATTTGCTACGCTTTTTTTTTTTTCGGGGCACTATCTCACCGCTTTCCACGTTGGGCGCCACCGACCCCAAGCGAGTTTAGAGTGGGCGAGATGAACCCAGAACATCTTTATGTTGACTATATTTAATCCTTTGGATTAAACAACCAGGCACAAAGGCTTAATTTACTTGGTCTCTTTGGTTCTGTCAATTTGGTTTTCCTTGTTCCCATTTGCTTGGTGAGCAGTCTTCCAGTTAGGCTGGTAAGCGCTAGAAGAATCTTCGAAGCCCTAAAAGTCCCGGCCTCAATCATGCCCGACATCACATCGTTGCCGAGTCATCCACCACCCCTGGATGCAGAAGTCACAAGAGAGGCAATTCCCTCTCATCCACTGGGCGTGAAGCCAAGTGGAAATGCTCTGTTAGCAACCTGGAGTCTCCGAGATGCCATGGGAACGTTTCAGCATCTACCAGACGAACTAATCCTGTTATTGTTGGAGGGTTTTGACGGGCCAAGCCTGTTGAGCATCGGGCGGACATGCAAGGCGTTCTATGCATTTACCCGGGCTGAAGAATTATGGAAGGCACTGTTTGTTCGGTAAGCTACTGCCTGCAGATCCAGTTGAGTTATGTAGATTCAAGCCTTGCTTTCGTCTTGAGCCCTACATCTATTCATAGTATCATAATGTCTCAATCAACTCAAATTATATTCATACTGAATCTTCCTGCAGTGATCCAAGAGAAGACTTTACATGGCGAGGAACATGGCGCTCAACATATCTGAACATCCCCGCCTCTAAGGTGCCTTTCGTGGACTGCTCTCAGCTCTTTTCCGATTCTCTATACCGACCTTTCAACTGCGCCCACATCTCCCTTGACCCGTATGTCTCTAAGATCCCGACACGGAACCAGATCCCACGACTCCCCGACTTGTCACCCGAGGAATTCCAAGCCAATTGGACCGATCGCCCATTTATTCTAACCGAGCCCGTCAAGGCGTGGCCAGCGTACAAGGACTGGACCATCGGCTCGTTGCTATCTAAATACGGCAAGACCAAGTTTCGTGCCGAAGCTGTGGACTGGGCTATGCGCACCTATGGCGACTATATGGCGGACAACTCCGACGAGAGCCCGCTGTACTTGTTCGACCGATCCTTTGTCTCCAAGATGGGACTTTCCGTCGGATCTCCTGAAACTACACCTGACGCTTCGTACTGGCCACCAGCATGCTTCGCCGAAGACTTCTTCTCTGTACTTGGCACGGACCGCCCTGATCACCAGTGGTTGATTATTGGGCCCGAGCGGTCTGGCAGCAAGTTCCACAAAGACCCCAATGCCACTAGTGCTTGGAATGCCGTCCTGCGTGGGCCCAAGTATTGGATCATGTTCCCGTCTGGCACGAAGCAGCCACCCCCTCCCGGTGTGTTTGTCTCAGATGACCAAAGCGAGGTGACTTCCCCCTCAGCATTGCCGAATGGCTATTAGGCTTCCATGCCGAGGCACGTCGGACACCAGGCTGCCTGGAAGGGATCTGTGGCGAGGGTGAGATCTTGCACGTTCCATCTGGTTGGTGGCACTTGGTGGTCAACCTCGAGCCGTCCATGGCCATTACTCAGAATTTCATTCCCCGCGGTCACCTTGGTTCTGCATTGGACTTCTTGCACAATAAGCCCGACCAGGTTTCTGGGTTTAGGAAGAACGTAGCTAATCCGTGTGACCGATTTATGTCTGGGATGCGTGAGTCTTACCCTGATCTATTAGATCAAGCATGGGAGGAGCTACAGAAGAAGAACGAGGGCAAGAAGCGCAAGTGGGAGGATATTGTCCATGGGAAAACCGAGGACACCACTGACGGGCAAAACACCGAGGGTGGTGGCTTCAGCTTTGGATTTGGGGACGATGGGAGTGACGTTGAAGTTCCATGAATTATAACTGCAATATGGAGATGTTGTGGAATCACCAGACAGTAAGGTTGACGAATCTAGAAACCAGCATCATTCTCCACCAGAAAAGTTGTCCCAAGCTACCAATTTGAGTTTTCAAAACTAGTTGAGACCTTGGCATGCACTTGGTTAACCTCCAGCCTGTCCCCGAGCCTGCAAGTTCGTCGACACATCTGACTGCATTCTTTAATGGCATGCAACTGTCTTGGTGGCTGAAGTTCCTTCGGAGAAAGCCAAGTATCCAACGAACGCGCCAACTGCAACCGCGATCATCACGGGACCGTTATATGTCATGAAGAGAAGCCTGAATCGCAAAGTCAGCAAAGCAGAAGGATGTCAGAAGGTTGTTCTGGATACACCCACATGATGAAGAAGCTGTAAAACACCTGGATGGCATACAAAGCCGCCATAGTCAGCTTGCCCTTGCGCATTAACGCAGCTCTGTTGTCCCTTCCTACAAGCAATGGTGAGCCTTCGTCGTGAGTGTGATGGATTGCATCCGCCAGGCCGTTGGCAATGATAGGGTCGGCGATCTCATTGTCTGCAGAGAGTCAAGACATCAATAAGAAGCTTGCTCAGTCAGAGTATACCGCTTTCCCGTCAATTCTCCGAAATTACAAAAAGCGTCCCAGCAAGTCCAGAGAGTATACTAATCTTGACATGTACTTTATTCCCGGAGAGAGTCAATGACTTACCACCAGTGTTGACAGAAGTGGCCATGAATCTACTAAGCCGCTGTGCATGTGCAGCCTCGTACTTCCGAGTCACGGATCGTACTCCCTCGTAACCGGCAGTAAGGATAACAATAGCGATGAGGGACAACAGGAAGGAGAAAGGACCCGTAATACGCCAGCTGCGGAAGATGATACACAGATTTTCGGAGGACCAGTTGAACAGCATCTACAATTCAAATAACGGAAATTAGCATGGAACAATGTTACAGTCGCAGTCAAAGTTGGAACCAAAATCTCACATTCATATTGCATTGCCCGCCCATGTCCATATCGCCGTGACCCATATCGCCGTGACCCATGGCCATATGCATTGAGTGATCCATCCTAGAAGGCGGGAAACAGATATGTAGTGGAGAGTAGCACGAAACTAGTGATATAAACTGTTAAAAGAAACCAAACGACAAAATTCTCGCAAGACGCAAGGTGGTACGAGGAGAGACAACAAACAGAACCATGCCTGTGACGATCAAGAGGGGAATGCAAACATCACAAACATCGATAAGATCTGGAACTCTCCCGATCCCCCAACGCGGTCATTGACTACGCACCGACCCAATTGCCGGCTTGATTCCAACTCCCTCTCGCTGGTTCTGCGCATGCGATCTGTCAAATCAGATATAAAACGAAATAATCCTCCGATTCCATCCCAACTCCTCCACAATGGCCGATACAGCAACGGCTCCCACAGCCGTGCCCGCGACCACCGGCGCTGCGGCGCCTGCCGCCGGCGCAACAGCAGGAGGACCGAATGCGCCTGCGGACCAGAATGCCGCGAGTCGCGGGCTACCATACTATGAGAAATTGCGTCGTGAACTGCGGGATACACTGCAGAAAAAGCGGTTAATGGATAAGAGCATGGTGAGTACTGTCTTGCGCGTTCTTGTACTTAGCGGACTCGGGTGTGGTTAGCTTGTCCCCATTTGGTTCTTTCCCTGAGAGAGAGCATCCCTTAATATTGGGTCAGATGGCAGGATAGGTCTCCATATGTTATTTCAACGCTGGGCTTTGGCTGCTAACGCAACTATCCCCTCCAGGCTCAACTCGAAGACCAAATCTTCCGCTTCGAACAATCCTATCTAGAAGAAACCACCGCTGGGAACATCATCAGAGGCTTCGACAACTACATCAAGGGTTCTGTCACCGGATCAAGTCTCGGCGCCTCGGGTTTGGGTTTGGGCGGTGGCATGGCTGGGTCGAGACGAAAGGCCCAAGTGACGGAATCTGATCGAGTTTTCTCGCGGAGCTCGGCGAGCTATAGAATGGTATGCACAGTCAAACGGCGAATCACCGATTACGGACTCTGGGTTCGGTTATCTCACTCTGTTTTCGAGGCTGACAATGAATCTTCTATCTCCAGGATTCCCCCGGCCCCTCATCTGTACAAACTACACCCTCCCATGCCGCAACGCCGACATCTACGACTGGTGGAAACAGTATGCCAATGAAGAGCGGTAGTATGGACATGTCGGGTTCTGTTCCTGGAGGGATGAGGAGCTCGAACGGCTCATCCAAGAACAAAAAGAAGGCGACCGGCGGGTCGAAGAATACAAAGGGCAAGAACCAGACCGAAGATTTCTCCGACGAGGATAAGCCTTCTGTTAAGCGGTTGAAGATCAGCTATGGGAGAGATTGAACCTTCCCGGGAGATTCGTTATTCTGTTATGTCTCCCGTCTTGCATTTGCTTTAGTCTTTGACTAGTATGGAGTTGGTTGGGCTTTCTTTTTACATGACTCCTGGAAGGAGTTATTCTGGGCGCACCGGATAACCGGGATGATATTTATCTGGTCTTTTCTTTCTTCTCTGCCTATGATGCGATATCATGTACATCACGAACTTATAAAGATTACAGCGTCTGTCAGATACATGGATAATTCGTTTGATTGTTTCAAGTTGAACGCGAACAAAGGCCACTATGGACGGTAGGATTCAAGCCTTGAGATAGCTTCGCTGTTGTGGGAAGCTTGCATTAAGAATCTGCCTGCGATGTACTATAATCCAGGACTATCACAGCTGCAGTCGGAAAGTAGCGACCTCGAACGCTCTCAGCTCGATCTTGACTGCTGAACCACCATCATTATCAAGAACATCCAGTCCAGGATGCTCATCGTCTTCGAGAACATTGCACTTGAACGCCTTCTTTATGGGCAGGGTGGTCTCAATGGAGCCCCGAGCTTTGCCACCAAGCGACTCATACACGCGCAAAATGATACTCTTCCCATCGCGAGTAGGAGACCCATCCCATGAAACATCAACATCATCCTCACCGCGCTTGACAACATCGAGAATCAACGAGGGAGCACCCTTGATAGAGAGGGATTTGAATAGAACACTGGCTGCCAATGCTTTGGGGCCGGCTTTCTCGACGACGAGAGGATTATTGAAATTGAAGCCAGCGCGAACCGTTCGGGCATCGAGAGGACCCGCATGAGGAAGGATCGCGTAGCGAATGTGGTGGCGGCCCATGTCGGCGTGGGCGTCCGGTGCCTTAGGGGCACGGAGCAGAGAAAGACGCATCAAGTTACCACATGTCGCGAAGCCATATTTCGAGTCGTTGAGGATGGACACTCCATAGCCGTTCTCCGAGAGATCGGCCCATTTGTGACAGCAGACCTCAAACTTAGCCATGTCCCAGCTGTAAATTGATTAGTCGGGTCACGGGATAATAAGTAGACCGGTGAGACGTACCTTGTGTTATAATGGGTTGGGCGCCTGACGATGCCATACTGGGTCTCGTAAGACGCTTCAGTGTTGGTGATATCAACAGGGAACTCAACCTTGAGGAATTTCATGGTCTCTTGCCATTCCACCTCGCTTTCCATCTCCACATAGGATGGTTCATCACATGTGGATGCGGATAGGCTGATCGTGGTCTTGATCCAGCTCTTATCACTGATCGGTGTCTCGGTCATGACACTCACACGGTGCGGGTCATTTTCTACAATGGTTGTCTTTCCACCAGGTAGCTCTTTTCGTGATTCGAGATGGAACACCTCCACATCCCAAGCTTGCCAGTAGAGAGGTTTGTCATCGAATATAACCAGCTGGCCAGCCTTGTGGCCCTTAGCGACGATCTCTCTATCGGCCTCCACGTCGTACAAAGATGTGATGACCCCATCCTCAACATCAACCCTAAGCTTACCGTTCTCGAGACGGAAGACCCCGGATCGGACCTCGGACACAGTTACCGCAGTGGTGGTTTCGAAATCAGCAGGCTGGTACTGCATCACTCCCGTTGGTCCACTAGCCACACCATACTTGGGTCCCTTGGATGCGGAGAGTGCCGAAGGAATGTGGACAACCTCTGATCGGGGCCATGGCAATGTGTTCAAAGCCATCAAATTTCCGGTTGTGGCATCGCCCGTAAGCCCCAGGGCGTCGAGGGCATCCTTCCGCAACTTAGCACCTATCTCAAATATTTCGGCATACAACTTGTCCGAGTCGTCATAGCACATCTCGATTGAGCTTCCGGGCAAGCAATCATGGAACTGACAAAGGAGGGTTCCCTCCCACATCCTATCAATCTCTTCCTTGGGATACTGGTATCCATCATTGGAACCATGGATAGTGGCAAAGGTCGCAAGAAGCTCAATTTCACGCAACAGAAATTCAGACTTGCGGTTATTGCGCTTGTTGTTTGCCTGCGTGGTATATGTACCACGGTGCAACTCAAAGTAAAGCTCACCATACCAAGTGGCAAACTCGGTACCAGATGCAACCTTGGCCTCCAGCTTTGCAAAGAAATCATCTACCGACTCGCCCATTTTCACTCGGGGTAGTAAGCCAACTTGATCACTGAGACCACGGCAACGACGCAATTTTTCAAGATGTCCGAAAGTCGGACCACCACCTCCATCTCCCTTTCCGAAGACAAGCAGTGATGACTTGTCCGAGTCAAGCGATTTGTGTTGCGTGACACTCCGCTTGACATCACCGAAATGTGCCTCAGCCGTGTAGGTTTCTGAAGGAGCCATATGACACATGACTTGGCTGCCATCAAGCGCAACCCATTGGAAGGTGGTATGAGGGAAATTGTTGATGTTGTTCCAACTGAGCTTCTGAGTGAAGAAGCGGCTCATCCCAGCCTGACGGCAGATTTGAGGGATCTGAGTAGAGTAACCGAAGGTATCCGGCAACCAGAAAGTCGTGCTTCGTTTACCGAAGTTTGACTCGAAAAATCTCTGTCCATACAAGAACTGTCTGACCAGCGATTCACCACTGGGCATGTTCGTATCGTGTTCAACCCAACTTCCGCCAATGGGCTGGAAATTTCCCTTCTTCACCCAGCGCTTCACGCGATCAAAGACAGACGGGTAGTACTGCTTAAGCCATTTGAATTGTTGCGCTTGAGAACAAGCAAATCGGTGCTCGGGATATCGCTCCATCAGATCGCATTGATTCGACCAGGAGCGTGCCACCTTCCGCTTAGTCTCAGCCCAAGGCCATAACCAGCAAGTATCAATATGGCAATGACCGATAGCATAAACAATCGGCTGTGAGTCTGTGTCATAAACTTTAGACGAATCCACTCTGTTGCCGAGGTACTTCCTTGCGATCTTCCGTGCCTCATTGATAGACTCGTTGCTTCCATTGCCAGCAATGAAAGCATCAATCATCGAATTAGCCACTACATTGGCTTCATGCGACTCCCACGACTCGGCTGGGAATTCCCGGGCGGCATCACCAATAATCCAAAAGTCATAATATAGCGCCCGCGCAGCTAGGTTTACAGCAGTGATCCGCGCTGTGCTGAGAGTGAAATGCTTATCGGGATTTGGTGGCTGGATCGAATCGCCACCAGGAGCATTGCCGAACATGCCATTGCAGGCCATTTCAATGTAGAATGTATGCTGCTTGCCATCGCACCACTCCTTGGGTAGAATAAACTCCGTCCTCTCTCCACCTCCCGTCAAGCCCTGTAGTGGCCGACCGTCTTCTGTCCAGATCAAACCCTCGTTGTTGGCATCCCAGTGGAACTCCAGGTGCTCCCGTTGGAGCATGTCCTTGGGGACTGTCAGGTGAATGCGGAACCAATGTGTGGACCAACTGGGCCCGAAAGAGGCGCCTATATGAGTTGGCTTGAACTCATGGGAGGTCGCCTCTTCGAATGTCGGTCGCTGCAGGTCCGGAACCGAGTAAACAGAAAGCTTGACATGGTCTTCGTCCGAGTTTGTAGCTTCGTGGTACTTCGAGACGAGATTTTGGCCTTCGTACTGGCCGTTCGATGTGAACTGGTTCAGACGATCGGTGTAGATCTTCTTGATCCGTTGGCCGACCGGGCGCTCAGCTAACTGGGGTAAAGCCGGAGGAGCGGGGCGAAAGGGAACTTCTCCACCCATGATGGCTGCTTTAGTTTGTTACGTCCAGGAATCAACAGCAATGTATCGTGAGATATAGTCAATGTTACACATTCAACGGTCGTATCGAGATGCTCGAAGGATGTTGAAAGTAAGAAGGTGAAGGGGAAGGAGAGGTCCCAAATGCGGAGGCATGACGGAATGCGGAGACGGCGATCGACAGTGGATGCTACCTACGGCAGTAATTTGCGACCATCCCGCCAACCAGGGTATTCCGCCTCCATTTTCGGTTTCTGCCGTTAGAACAGAGGCAGAAAAGAGAGTTCCTATGGGCACCCAGCACTAAGCCCCTTTTGATATTTCTTCCCACTGGCCGCTGCCTCTGATCCTCTAGTAATACTAAACATAATCCCCAGTTTCCAATATCAATATCTCACAAATAGCAGCAGATCCTATTATCACTTGATTTTATGAAGCTATTCCTAGTTTTCAATACAAATATCTTAGAAATATCAGCTGATCTAATTATCGTTTGATTATATGAAGCTATTCCTAGTTACTATCCTAGTGTAAAAATATAGGATTAATCGATCCTAGGAGGGGTCCGAAAAAGGGGTTTATAATAATTAAGAATTATCTACGGAGTACACTAGATTATACACTAGATTAGATGAAAAAGAGCTTTCTTATAGTGTAATTTTAGCAATTTTGTAGTGTGATCTATTAGTATGATAAATGACGTTACTTATTATAATGATTAAAGGAAAAAGCCTCATTTTTACACTAATAACTGTTACAACCTAACGTACGGAGTACGAATACGGTGCGTATATCTTATAGCATATATCGGGTATTTAGGTTAGTAACCTAATATGACGACCAGTTGGTCGTCATAGTGGCTCTTTTGGTAAACGCTCTACCTTACCATTACTTCCTACGTTTTGCAGTGGTGTCAGGCCCACTTGCCTTAACATTAACTCCCGAGGTCGGTATGATAAATCCCATTTTCGGCACAAAACCCCTCCTAGGATCGATCAATCCTACATTTTTACACTAGGATAGCAACTAGGAATAGCTTCACGAAATCAAGTGATAATGGGATCTGCTACCATTTGTGAGATATTTATATTGGAAACTAGGGATCATATTATTACTAGAGGATCAGAGGCAGCGGCCAGTGGGAAGAAATATCAAAAGGTGTACTCCGTACAGGCTGGTCGAAGACGGTGACCCAAATAGTAGGCGGTGATAGGGAAAAAGGGGCGGTGATAAAAAAGGAAGGCGGACTACCCTGGTTGGCGGGATGGTCGCAAATTACTGCCGTAGCTACCCTCATCAGCGCAGTCTTGGCCAGTGTTTCTCTTTCAACGTTCTATTTGCTATGAAGTGTATGAATTATCAACTATTTGCCAGAATGATTCTTATCGCTTCGGTGCAACCTATTATCCAATATACTGGGCATACTTCGTAAACTCTTCATCTACCTTCAACCGCTGCCAATCTTCATCTCTCAAGCTGATGGCAATAGGCATCTCGCCAGCAGGCGATCGAGGCATCAAGTAACCCAAGCCCTCGATTGGAGTAAAACAGGGTCTACGCACCGCTTCCGGTTTGCCTAATCCCATGTTGAAATCGAGCTCATAGCAGCTAATCCTCGACCACGAACTGAGCATAAAGTCCTTCGACACATTAACTGTGGCAGTGAATGAGGCCTTTGACTTATCAGCCGACTGACTTAGAAACGTAGCGAGAGCACGAGTACTGAAGGCTAGATCATTTTTCTTGGGATCGAGTAGACCTCCGCAATGGGCCTGGTTGGGCCCGGACCTCAGGCCCATAGCCCAACCAGCAGTGGGCTATGGGCCCTACCTTCGAAGCCCAACCAAGCCCATGGCCCATTATGGGGGCCCATGAGGCCCCCATTAAAGCCCATTTGTATGCATAAATACAGTCTTGGCGCTCATAAACCTGCTGATTAATGTCTGTTCTTTACACATGTTTGAGTCTGTATGCTTACCGCGGAAGATCTCGGCGCCGGCCCTGATCTAGCCTAATACGGGGGTTCAACAGTTGACAGAGAATCAATGTGCAAATATATATATTTCACATGGAGAGAAGTCAGTGCATCTTTCTATTAATTTACATTTTTCTCAAATTTCATAAATCTCAAATTTATTAATTCAGTCAATTCAGTCAATTCAGTTAATTCAGTCAATTCAGTCAATTCAGTCAATTCAGTCAATTCAGTCAATTCAGTCAATTCAGTCAATTCAGGCACCTATAGTCAATTTAGGGGGTAATCTAAATACCTAGAAATACTAGAAAAATCTGCATTACTTATGTATCTGCCAAGCATTAGCATGTTTGTATTGTTTGAAGCCCATTGGGCCCCCATAAAAGCCCAGTGGGCTTCTACCCTAGGCCCATAGCCACCGATGGGCCCAGGGACCGGGCCCAAAGCCCAGCCCATTTGCGGGTTGGGGCGGGTTGGGCTTTGGGCTTTGCGGGCTGGTGCGGAGGTCTAGGATCGAGCTGGGAACGAAGCTCTGCAGCCACAACACCCAAGGGCTCCTCGCATAGTTTTTGAACGGTCTCAGTGTTGTATGTTAAGGTTTGTAGCAGTCCCGGATATCGCAGGGGAATATTAAGGCGCTGTCTCATGTCAACTGCGCGCGTAAACATCGTTTCAGATGTCGGTTCTAGGCGCGAAGCCCGGGCGCGAGCGATGGATTGCCAAAGAAACGCACTGACCGCATCGTCCGTAGAGATGAACTCTACGGACGGGGACAATGTGTCTGTAGCGAGGGACTTGAGGGCGTCAATTTGCGTCGCAGAGAGCTCAATGTAGGCCCACGTGAACTTCGGGGGCTCCGAGACAGCGTCGTTGGCGCTAGGCTTGGGTTTCACAATCTGATGCTCGAGCTCAGGGCCTGGGATGTATGAATCATCCAGTAAGGGGATGACATGACTCCGATTCATGTTACCGACTGCAAGTTCCTCGCTTGTAAAAGGCTCATTGTGGCAAGCCTTTGACATTAGCCGAATGATGAAGTCTTGGCCAGTCATGTCCATGACATTATGCTGAGCCACGATCGTGAGGATCAGACCGCCCTCGATGAAATTCGCCTGGACACAGAATACCAATGCGGACTCGGTTGTGATGCTTGGCAGATTACCAGGGATATTTAGTGTCGTGCAAGGTGCAATGACATTCTCATCCAGCATGCTGAAAGGGTACTTGGCCTGGCGTAGGCCGTCCATTGTCGGTGCGGAGGGGTCATGTCGTAAATCTTTCACCACGAGCTGAATTTTGTCGAGGGGGGATATTTTGAAGATGCCCGTGTTATTTTCCCCTGCGCCTTCATTGACAACCTGGCCAGTAAGCCACGGGAAGCTCTTCGCCAATCGGTCGAGTCCATTTCTTAAAGTGTCGACGATGTCCGGGTGGGAAGATGTTTGGGAGACAGGGTAAATGGAGCTTATCTGTGTGTACAACTTGTAGAGGCCCGGGGTTTGGCCCAATATGTCAAGTATTTCGTTGTCTGCCATGGCTAAAACTCTTAGAATAGCAATATTCTACCTTGGTACTTCGACATTCAACGTCCGTTTTGAATTCTTTGATTCCTCGTGGCTCAAGCGGATATAGCCGACGCCCCACCGGCTCAACCAGGGGTCATCGTGGGGTCATCATGAGTCAAAATTGCTCACTGAAAATCGTTCTGAATCCCAAAGAATCAGAGGATTCAAGTGGATGCATGGATGATTAGGGACTAAATAGCTATCTAAGTACTTCTCAGTCAAAATTTAAGCGATAAACAATTCCACGTTAGAATTCAATATATAATATGGTCGTAGTCGTGGTCATCACACAAGTTTGGCCAGACCTGTATCAGTGACAGGTACTTTCTTCCAACATCAAGCGAAACCAGCTTCTCACCATCCAGGCTCTAGGATGCGCTAGTTGCAATTACTGAGAGATACTCACATTCCACGTATAGGCACCTGGGACTGAAACAAGACCCATGGGCTGGATGGTATTAGGCGTCCCAGATACAGACAATGGGGGCACTGATCAGTATTCCAGCTCTGAACAATTCAGGTGGAGCAACACGATGATCCAGGAGACTCACAATATGTATCCTCGAATCAATGCCTTGGAAGACATCGCTTATTACTATACTCTATGCAAGGGATGCGGAATGCTTAAAATAAGTCAGCACGGTTGCTGATCTTAAGAATTGGATTGGATATGTCACCGTGGAGTATACTCCATACTAACTTTAATCTGCATTTTCTCAATCTTAAATCTCAATCTGCTAAGCTCGGTTGCCGCCAGAGTGAAGTAAGCGAGTACTCAGAACATCCATCTCATAATGACTGGACGATGAAGCTCTGGTGGACCCCACGTTTTCATAATAAGCTTCAAAATCGACGCTTTGCACGTAAGCATTCTCACGAAGGATCTTCTGGCTATCTCTGCATTCCAGATCTGTTCGAAAAGAATTATGCAACGCTGATCCTGGTCCTGATTCTAACTTTTGTTCCATACTGTCATTAATTCTGGATGCCGTCCGATCTCCTTCATTACTGCGGCTGGAAATAGACTGCTCGAAGCAGTCTGTGACAATCCCAGCCATCATGCCTGTTTGGAGATCGGCGAGGACACGTTTGAGGGTTGGTATACATGTGCAGATGATGGATGCACTGAGAGTGAGTTGTAGCCAAATCACCGGCATTAGGACGTCCCACGTCTGGTCTTGAGTTTCAGATCGATGGAAAGGTTGAAGCGATTGCAGACCGACAATACTTAAAGCTAGAACACTGTCTTGGGTTAGCATTTGAGACTTGCACTGGAGGCTTCGGGATAGACTCACAGGACACGCATCCCAAATAGAGCGGATATCTGGTGGCGCTTCCACTTCATTATTTGAACTTGATGTAAAAGTGTAACCGGTAGTCCAATTATTATCACATCTAATAGCATGTGTAGGCCCCAAAATGTGATGTATAGAGCTTCTTGGTTCAAACATCGCTCCGGTTGAGAGTACCATGGTCGGGGGAGATCACACTGAAACCCGAGCGCAAATAATGTAGCCAGCATCCACGTACCGATCAAGCCCAGAATAAGCTTGCACGCGAGAGTGGTCTTTTTGAACGGTTTCAAGGATAGCACCAGAAGTACGACTGCAGCCTTTGAGGATCCCACAACGAGAACAGCAAGGAGGTGACTTGCATAGAGAGCCTTCAATCGGTGAGCATATAAACACTAGACAGAGCTCTTGTACCAACCTTGCAGTATATCTCATATGAGGCGTCATTCAGCGCAAATCGATGTTTCCCAATGCCGTGGGAACTCGCGATATTGATACATGTGGTCTGCGGAATGAACAAAATCTGGTCGACCAATTAGCGACGAGTAATCTTTGAAGTTGAGATAACTTACACAGCTAAAGAACACTGTTGAGTCACTCCAGGATAGTTTGCGCAAATTGCGGAAGCGAGAAATCAAGGTCACTGTGGTTGCAAGGGTAGTGATGATGAGTAGAATAGTGCTCACTGTAATAACCCAAGCCCCATGGTCATCATCAGTGACTGGCAATAATGGCGGCAGTAGAACATCTGTGCTGAAGGTCATTATAGTGAGAAGGATTTCGCCGGAAGCACGAAATGATCCTTTTCATGTTGGGGCTAAGCGAGGGCACAACACGATATAGATATACAAGATGTAGTAACCGCGGAATCTAATAATAAATTGGAACTCTGGATCTTCGCTGTCGCGAATAAAGTGAGTCCCTTCTTTCAATTAATGATTCTATCCCACTTGAAAGGTTCCACAAATGTGCATTCTCCAGCCCCAAATCCAAGGCAGACCAGACGTTAGTGGTGCAGCATACGCCAATCTCCTCCAGGTAAGACAAAATAGCACCACCTTCAGCGTAACACCTAAATTCTGCATGATCCTTGTTGCCTTTACATTCCTGGCTGCCATGTCATATTTCCTTTTTCTTTCTCCGACGATCTACCATGACTTCTCGGGTTTTAGAAGTCCCGCACCCACTAGTCTTCTACTTTATCGGAAACAATGGCAAGTTATGAGACACACATCCCGAGGCGAGGCGATAGACGCACTATCAAGTCTACATTACATCAAGATGCAGTTGCTTTCAACGCCGATGGCCACCCAAGTAAGAATAGTTCCACCAAGGAAGCTTCGCCCAAGGTATGGTCTGCCCACCCAGTTAAAGATTTCCAGCTCAGAAGTTCAATAGCGACTGTTCAATTTTACCCAAATCTTTCTTTTCTCACTCACCTATCTTTCGAGCTGGGAAACGCAAGCTTTGTATGTAAATTCACTCCTTCGTTTGAACTCCACTAATTATCTAACCTGTGTCTAGAAACTTAAGTACAGTCCTCTCAAACGGCGGCCCAGAAGCGCTAGTATGGGGGATTGTAATTGTGATATTTGGAGCGATGGCTCAATCTGCATCGCTAGCGGAGATGGCATCAATGCAACCAATTGCCGGGGCTCAATACCACTGGACACACTACCTGGCACCCCAAAGCCAGAAGAAATTTATCACTTGGATGCAGGGTATGTGAGTCACTTCAAGCTGCCTATTCTCAATTCTGATGTCCCAAATTCAGGTTGGGTGACCTGGTTCGCATGGATCTCCACACTTGCCGGCGTTGCAAACACCACTGCCACGATGATCCAAGGCCTAGCGAGTGTCAACTTCCCCGAGTACGAAGCAAAGCAATGGCACATAACCTTGATCATCATCGGCATGCTGGTTGTGGAGTCATTAATGAACATGTATACATTTTGGCTCATTCCGTGGATTGAAATGATGGCGGGTATACTGCACATCTGCCTTTTGATCGTCTTCCTGGTGGTCCTTACAACTCTGGCACCTCGTCACACCCCAGAATTCGTCTTTCTACGCACGCAGAATACATCGGGTTGGTCGACCTTCCCTGCATGGAACATTGGTCTGCTCACCCCTGTGTGGGGATTTGTTGGTACGTATAGACTAAATAATGGGAGAAAGCTTAGCCAAGATACTAAGCATCACAGGCTTTGACGGGGTAGTCCATATGAGCGAAGAGGTCCGTCGAGCAAAGCAGGCAGTTCCGCGATCAATATTTTATACCGTTGTCATGAACGGTATTCTGGCGTACGCAATGGTGGTGTGTTTGCTCTTCACAATGGGCTCGATTGAAGAAGCGCAGAAATCACCATTCCCGATAATCGAGATCTGTCGCCAAGCAACTGGCTCCGTGAAAGCCGCCACTGCGATGGTGACCGGGCTGCTTGTGATCTCACTGTCAGTGAATCTAGCGAGTATCGCGTCTGTCTCACGGTTGACGTGGGCGTGGGCTCGTGACGGAGCCCTGCCTCGGTGGTTTGCTCATGTATGTATCACATGTATGGTGACACATAAGATTACGTGGGATTTCGCTGACAACCGCCGCAGATTGACCGTAAACATAATGTACCCATACGCGCTGTCTGGCTCCCAGTTCTTATCGTTATGGCTTTGGCTTGTTTGAACATCTTGGATGGGGCGGCCTTCGGAGCATTCGTGGCATTAGGATCGATTGGCCTGTTTGTGTCGTATTTTATCGCCATCCTTTGTATGGTGCATAATCGGTTTCAAAGGCATGCTGCGCCTATGGGTAACTGGAACATGGGTAGATGGGGCCTTTCGATTAATGTTTTTGCTCTGATATACACGGCTTGGGTGTCCGTGTGGCTGGCATTCCCATCCTCGGTCCCGGTTACTGGAGAAAACATGAATTATGCAGGACCTATTTTTGGTGCTACTACTTTGTTCGCTTTTGTTTACTGGTTTATCAAAGGTGCTAGCTGGGAGGGATTGAACAAGGAAGTCGTTCGGCTGGTTGTGGAAGCTGGTGAAGTCCAATTGAGATGATTTGCTCTTTTGTTCTGATTGATTGCCTTTTAATCGAAGTTGCTGATATACTTCAATTAAGGCTTAAAGTTGTAAAGTATCTGATTAGACGGGCTTCGGCATTATCTACATCTTGAGCTAAGTCAACCATCAATTTGTTGATACCTATAGCATGTTCCCTGGACGATTGAATTGAGCAATCAAGATTGGGGATTCTCTGGATACAATTCTTCTACCATAATATAACACTGGTAGTCAACTAAATTTTCAATCATTATTAGGCATTTGCCCAGAATTGATGGATTATGGGAAACAACTACATTCAAATATGAAGTCAAGGTCTATCGAGTTAGCTAGTGATCTGACTTACCATTCCTTCATTCTTAAGGCCAAAAAGGCGCTCTCGATTGATTTCCACAAAGCCTTGTTGGATTTCATTCAACCGCGTCTCTGCCTCTAGTCTAGCAGTCGCAAGAATAACCGTATGCGGTGCTTCACCGGGTCCATAGACTGGGATCGAGATACAATAGGTTTCAAGCCGATCTCCAGGAGAGTCAGTAACCACAGCCCTCCCATTTTCGATTCGGTAAAGCATAGATTGCATCAGCATCTCGCTGTCATATTCCTTATGGCGTTTCTCCAAGAACACTGTCACAAAGTAAACACATTCATCTGATCTCGCCTCCCACTCAGGGAAATCCGGGCCTCCAAACTTATACCGAAATAAACTTGGGAGCATCATATTGATCTATGGTAATGGGATAGATGGTCCATAGACTAAGGGTGGATCAAAGTCGTTGGATAGATTCATCGGACTATCCGGAGAGAGCGATATTCCCACATAGCTCGGGCGTGGAGCTATAAATACTATTTACTGAGACAACGGGGTTTATTTCTAGAAATGTCTTTGTTCCTCGGTCTTTGATATGAACAGAGATATTGTTGGGACAAAAGATTGCTTCAATATGAAAATGAACAAAGCCTTAAACTTACGTTATCGTATTGCAAAATGGCTGGTCTTTGGGTCTAAGATTGACATTCGATGGGTTAATGAAGGATCCATCTTTTGAGAATAGGGGAATACGTTGGACTGTGGGAATTGTCGCGTCGCAGATATAGTCTTTCATGCATGTCCTCAACGCCAAGGATCGCACCAAACTTATAATTTTGGAGATTGCCGACGAATGTAAACGGACAGCCTCGTTTGTGCGTTCTTTGAGCTGGTAAAGGATTAAAACAAAACACCCAAAAAAGGACGGCTAGAGCGCGTGGGAAGGATCATCGCCCCATACGGAGTACTCCACGCTCCATAAACCGCGGAGATATAACGGAGGATTCCACATATTGCAATTTCCCAAAGGTCAAAGCTCGGTAAAGCGAAAACAAAGAAAAAAGCCGAAGCTCCATGAATAACAAGGGTGCGAATGGGAGGGATTGAAACCCCTGACTTTCCAGCATGGGAGAAAGTCTTCGGCCTAGCTATTTAGGCACTCGCTACGGAGTACTCCATAGATGCCATACAAATGCTAACAGTAGAAAGCTACAAAGCTAGAAGTATGAGGAAAAGAGAGGGTTTGATTGGAGTTGGAAAAAAGTCCGCTGGTGTCATTCGTCGTAAAAGAATCATGGGAGAGTACCAGCTTCAGCCACAATTATTTTTTTTTTGCAGAGCACGCTCATGCTATATACAAAGAAGGCACCGCCTTAATGAGAGAAAAGAAATGAAGTGGACCCAAAAAGACCCGGGGGAATCAGCGAAAGAACAAGAAGACAAAGAAATAAATCCAGAGGTGGATCGGTCAAAGACTTGGACTTAAGCTTTGATACAGTACTGATAACCAAGCCACAAGTTCGTGCATGTTTCGTTTAGGCCTCCATTCAAGCTGCGGAGATCGGAGAAAGAGATTCCGACTGTATCGGTCAGTCTTTCACAGAAATCACCATCCAGAACGGTGTAGTATTTTTGGCATGATAAGGCGGCCTCGGGGTAGAGAGGAGCCGATGATGAGCCAGAAGCTGCTGGTGCGGTGGTAGCGGCAGGCACAGATCTGGTTGTCCAGGTTGGGGTAGGTGCAGAAGCCACTGTGGGCTGAGGGGTTTCGGTAGGCTGAGGGGTTTCGGTAGGCTGAGGGGTTTCGGTAGGCTGAGGGATTTCGATAGGCTGAGGGGTTTCGGTAGGCTGAGGGGTTTCGGTAGGCTGAGGGGTTTCGGTAGGCTGGGGGGTTCCACAGGGGCGGGAGCTGAGCTGGATGACTCGACAGGTTGGGGATTCTCGGTGGGCTGCGCAGCAGCCGTAGTAGTCCAAGAGCTGCTTGAGTCGTCATCCTCGCCACCGAAGTTGGACCCCAGACCTTGGGTAATACTTCCGATGGTATCTTCAAGGCACTCAGTAATATCGCCTGCCCAGCCGCGTAGACGATTGGCAACGTCGGACGCATAGCAGTGAGTTGCGCCACCTGCGCCGAGATTGCCGGAAGAATCGATGGAGCCAGAGTTGTAGGTGCGGGCAGCCTTGTAGTATGTGGCTGCGTCGGAGCCTGTCTGGGCCGCAAGGCACTGCTTGAGACCGTCGCCCGAGTTGGTTCCCTTCGTGCCGTCCCAAATCATGTCCTCGATCATTTTGGCACTGCAAGGGCTTATCTTGTTGCCATCCTTGTTGCAGGATGCATCACCATTATGGCTCTGCATCAGACCAGTGTTCTGGACACCGTTGTTGGTGGACTGGACGCGCACACAGCCCCTGCTCTCTTGCATAATGATTGCAAGGATGAATCGAGGATCAACGTCGGTCTCGGCGGCGACAACTTTAATGCCTTCATTTATGTTGGCTGTCTCCTCATCGGAATTGTCGCAAGCCTGGCCAATAAGGATCTTGTTGAGGTCCCAACTAGACAAAACCTGTTAGCCCCGAGGCCCGAGCTAAGTCGCTTTCATCTATCCTGGTGTACTCACAGAGTTCCATAGTCAGACCATTGGGTGGTCGAAGGCCATCCGTCGGAGACATCGCCAGTTCCACCCATGATAGAATAGGTGTTAGCCGCGCGACGGTGCAAAAAGAGGTGGGGCTTTGCGCCATGAGGAATGGCCTGAATGAGAGTAGGCAGGCTGCCAGCAGCCAGGATCTACTGAGAAATCAGCAAATGTTGGATGGGGTGGAGATATGGACCAGGTCACACTCAATGACTGATTTATCCGAAGTATTCACATACCAATGAATGAAAGAACATCTTGATGGAGGGAATGTGAGCGACGAAAACGAAGCGACGAAAAAAAAAAAAAAACAAACGATAAGGAACAGTGGAAGAAGCCCTGCTTGCACGGTCGAAAGAAAGAGAGAATGGGGACGGGACGAAAGTATATGTACTCCTCCCGAGTAGGTGTGTGCCCTTTGCCCTTTCTTTCTCGTATGGTCGAGTCATCAGTCGAGGCCCGCACCAAGGTCAAATTACATCCACAGGTGGCTGTAAAAGTGGCCCAATTGCGGGCTGAGGGCCTTGCGCGGTAGCGTATACATACAGAGTACGGAATACATACCCTGTAAGGGTTGAAACACTGTCCGGGAGAGGACCCAGTCATCCGGTCCGGGATCGAGTGGTCTGTTTCACTGTTTGACATAGCTTTAAGCCCCTGTGGGTGAGCCTGGTTGGTCCCCTGAGCTGATGGTGATGTTCATTTTCCCGATTGTGGGCTGGTGATTGGCCCGGTGTGGGGGCCTAAGATCACCCATGTGGGACTCCGAGGGCAAACTTGCTCGTATCCCCCTCTCGCCCTTCTGGGTGGCTGATTGACGATGGACGTTAGACATTACGTTCCGGTTGGTCCAGTTCCTGAGAATTTCCCCTGGTGCCTGAAGGCTCTGCCCATGTGCTTCCAGGGGCTCACTGCATGTGATGGAGATTCGTGCATCCAGCAATTCTACACTTCAGAAATTCATGAGGCGGGTGTGTGTCTGAAATCAATTTGTAAATTAACTCACTGCCAGGGATGTGGGACCCTGCAACTTTGTCCCACAATATCCCTAGCACTGATGAACAAAGAAGCGAGGTAGTATGTAGCGTCGCATCGAGTTCGAATACCCGATGTCGTGGCTGATTGTGGCCTGGTTGATAAGGCATCGTTCAGGCACCAATCCCACCTGACGCGTATGCCATGTGGTCTCGTTTACGGAGTAAACAAAAGCGAGTCTTTCTTTTGGGGTTTATTATGTATTTACTTTTGATGTTGGATATCATTCTATTGGTTATTGATCTTTGAATTCTATTTTGCCCGTGAATTTAGATTGTCAGTCATACGTGCCCGGTTTGTAGTGTATCTGTTCCATTCCCTTCAGCTTATTACGGTCGCTTGCAATGATAACACACAACTCTGCAATATACAAGTCATAATAGACGAACGCGATGTCATCGTAAAAGATCCGGAGTGTACTCTGTAGTGGGGTCCATTTGGCTTGGCTTTTAGGGCATGTTCACTGAGTCACCGGTGAAAACAAAGTTCTTTCAACCATAACGCGTATCCCTCCACCCTCCACCTAGGCTAACTGACAATAATAGGCGAAGAGAACCTGATCGCCATCATCCATGTATGTACTCCATACTCAAAGATCTCTTTTCCTCCGACCTTAAGAACATATGTGGTACTTGGTCAGCCATCTCCAACACCATCGCCGGTTTAACTATTCTGATTAGTCGAATCGCTGAAGGGACCAGTATCTGTTGCGGATGTGGTTTTGGTGTTGCGAGCATGATCTAAAGACGCAATACTCAATATTCCGCATACGGAATACGGAGTATAGTGAGCACAAAAGCTGATCAAGCATTAGAGACTTACCGGGAGTCCAGCCAGTGATATGCGATCGCTTTAGGGCACCTATTTAGCAGTGGGGCTACAAATACGATCAATCCAAGGGTTCTGATGTATGCCAAGTATGCTGGTCATGTAAATTTTAAGGACCGGCAATAATGCCTTCAATATCTACGGATATACAGCCTACAAATCCGTACGGCGTACGGAGTAATCCGTATGAAGTAGCGACATGCATCCAGAAAATCTGAACATCATATCTACCGGGCTCCACCATCAAATAGCTCGCCAATTTGCGAGCTCTGCAGCTCGACCTCGCTGTCATCGATGCCAAGACATGATGAACACAGCTGGCATTTCGTTACTGTTGGACCAGGGCACACATGCTCTGTCCACGTGTTCAATTGCATGGCAAGCGATGTTGCATCGCACCGCCTTTTGTTTCTGTGTATGAAAATGTACACTGTTCTCTCTATCTTGCTAATTTAGACGTCATTGTTGTCTAGAAGCAATCGTGTTTATGTGAGGAATAAATTCAACCGCTGTGGCTGAGTCTGAGGCTGAGCATTACTTGAGCCACCGGGGCTTCTGACGATCACGACGAGCGAAAAACCCGGGGTTCAAACCGAACGGTAATCAGTGAGTGATAGGGTAGTGTACTGCATCGTCGGGGAATCCAAGGTACTTGAAATTTTGCATGCCGCTTAGGTGTCGCAAGTATAGGCTGGATAAGCCACATACATCCCGGATTCATCTTAGGAAATTAAATTGAATAATCGAGTATTTGTAACAATAATCCATACGAAAGCCTTGAGTTAAACCTTAGGGGTAGTTCCCCCTGTCCAAGGAGCATGATATGCAGAATATCAAGGCGTAAGAATTTGACGATAGCACATTGGGTCCGCAACCCCTACCCAAATTACTCCGTGCCTACAGCCGAGGCCAATATATGACCGCATAACTAAAGTCCTCAGAAGTTTCCGTGATCATCACTTGCCACATTGGCTAGCTCCTTGGATCTACTCCTGCGCAGCCACTTTCAAAATTCAAATGATCTGCCCGAAGGCCATTCAACTACCCAGCCGCTAAGATTTCCGGCCCCTTTTTTTGCCTGCAAAGTTTGGGAAGTATCAAAGTAGGGATAGGTCTGCTTTCACCTATCACAATGCACAAAGTACTTCATACAAAGACTCCTCCCCAATCCCCCGTGCGGAGTACGGCGATTGATCTATAAATCGCTCATCATGGCCGACCCAAGTCATCCCCGGTTAAGATCATTACCTGCAGTGGCATATTTTTTGGGTTTCATTGGTAAGACTCGTGCTGCATGTTGATACAAGCGGTATTTGTTGGCATCGTGGACAGTATATGTGTCTACTCCGCGCGCCAGACACCTAGCTGCCGATAATTACTCTAGAATGTCTTGGGATCCCTAATGAATGAAATTTCAGTTACACGCAATAGATTCCCCCAAATTATGACGCATGCGGCAAGCAGCCAACCTTACGAGATGAAGTTAATTAGAAGACGTGTACTCCGTAGTTAATTCTATGTTAAGCCATGAGACGATAGCCACGGATAGCGGAATATACATCCAAGGCTCGGTTACAATGTACCCACTTTTGCGGGGATAAATCTATCACTCAGACCGCGACCAAAGGGATGAAAGCAAAGAACTTGAACACAAGTTTATCAACACACCGACCATACGGATCGACTTTCTCAAGTAGAATAATAATGAGCCGCGTGGAGAACGGTCCAAAATCAGGGACATTCAGGCAGAAAGTTCGATTTTAATTGAAACCGCCCTTTGAGCGCTATACACCTTTGCACTGGAGCTTTCAAGGGAATCATTGATCATCAATCATCACCAAAATTAGGAACTAGCCGCAGTATAGCGCAAGGATCTATCAGTAAGCTCGCTTTGCTTGGAAACCTCAATAATTCTATTTCAGCGTAACGGCCCTGGTAAAATGGACACAGTATAAGTATTCTTTAGAGCTATAAACAGATTCATATTGACCGAAGCTTCTCTCAAAATAGGGTGAGAAAGAGACGCCAAGGTTAAGTTAAAATTAAAGACTGCCAAGTATCAGGCAAATCGCTCACCAGGTCACCAGGTCACTAGGTCGTGGTAAAAACTGGTAAGTATTTACTAGTAATAAATAGTAGCTTATAGGGGTTACCTAAGAGGGTTAAATTACTAATAAATTACATAGATGTACTAACTAGGTCACCAGGTCACCAGGTCATACCTAAGCTTTATAAAAATATTCGAACCATAAGTTACTAGTTATCACTATTACACTGAAAGTTACTAGTAACGACTATAGGAGGTGCTTAGAAATCTAACCTAGTGACCTAGTGAAACGTGTATTTTATAGTAAAGATACTTTTAAAGTATAATTACTATAGATTATAAGAATTTTACTAATTTCTCTTAGCTATAACTAGTAACTATTAAATTCTAGTATTTTATTATCTCGTATTATATTAGTATACTTTATAGGAATATATCTATAGGTAACTAGGAGAGACTAGAAGGGATTAAGGCTTAGGTAATAGTAATAACTAGTAGTAATTAGTAGATACCTAATTTAGTAGACTTATAATCTTATTACCTAGTCTATCTTAGGATATATAGTTATAAATATATTATATAGTAATTAATTAACTAGACTTTATAAGAGAAATAAACTAAATATAATATAGGGCTTTATAACTAATTACTATTAACTACTAAGAATAGATAATAGCTAAAAATAAAGGCTATTTTTAAGAATAATTATTATATTTTACTAATAGAAACTACTAAGATATAGTTATATATAGTAACCCTTAATTTTATTCTATCTAATTAAATTATAGTTAAATCCTTAAAGTTCTTCTTTTTTAAGGTATTATAGCTCCTTTAGCTACTTTACCCTTTTACGTTAAAACTCTACTTCCTTCTCCTTTATAGTCTACTATAGCTACTAGATATCTCTCTTACGAGACTAAGAATTATTAGCGATAGCTAATAATAGTTAGTAACTACTAGTTAGAGTTAAGGTAGGATTAAATATACCTAAATCCTCTCTTATAGATATTTACCCCTATTAATATATCGCTAGGATAAAGGCTAAGCGATAAGGTTAAAAAAGATTAGTAGGGTTAATTATTAATAATTAGTAGGAGTTAGTAAAAACTAATAATTTATCTTATCTAGATCTATCTCGGAACTTAAATCTATTAAGCTTTAATATAAAAGGTTAGAAGGCTTAGGATCTATTAGAATTATTAGTAGTTAGTAATAGCTAGTAGATATTAGTTATAATTAGATATACCTAGGTTAATAACTTTAGAAGGGAGAGATTATAAACCTTAACTCTATCTCTACTAACTCTTACGAGCTCGAGCCCTTTTTAGGTTTATTAGTGCTTAGGAG